ACTGATCCAGCTCAGCAGTACCGCAGCAAGCGTGCGCTGCGACTGTTGAAGGGCAGCTCGTCGTACGCTGAGAAGTGACGAGGCCATCAACGCCTTGGACGAGGCCCAGGGCACGAAGATTACCTGACCAAGAAACACAACGCGTCACATCGAATCTTCTGCTGGAGAAGCGTGCCTGGTTTGACCGCACATCGAACGACCTGTTGAACAGTCTACGCGAATACACTATCCGCCAAATTGAATCGGAGCGCCGCACCCTTGCGACACTAGAAAGCGTTCGGCCGGATATCCGTTCTATTGATTCTTCCGGCGGTCTAAGTCGCCTGGGACGCGAGTCTCATCCGTCCATCCGACGGCCGAACATGGCTTCCAGTCAAGGCCCCAAGGGAGACGCGTGGAGCGGCATTCCCCGTCGCAGTGACAGCATTGGACGCAGTCTGAGTGGTAGCTTCATTGCGCCTACGCCCGATGAGGATGACGAGGTGAACGGACAAGGGGCCGCCGCTAAGGGACAACTGCGATCGACCAGTGGCGTTGGATCGATTGCGGAGGAGGATGACGATGATCGACTGGATGCGAAGAACGCGGCCAGCCGACTGGCCACCAGCACCTTTTGAGCGATTCCTGTAGATTACGGACGTGATGTTGTGTGAGATTCCCCTGTGACAGCTAGTTTTCCATTTTGTGGTCCTCTTTCTTTGTCCTACGGCAGAGCGCATTCTGTTTTTTTGAGCTTGCAAATGATTTACGCCTCCTTCCATTGCTATACCTCTCTGTCTGTATCCACAGCATATCGCAAATACACAACCCTCTGACCATCTCCGACTCGTTTCAATTCGATTTCCGCTGCAAACTATTCAATCCCTCGATCATCTCCGGCGTGAATCCATCTACTCGTTCGGCTTCATCGTCGGGCAGATCGAACCACGCCGCCTTCTCGCGCACAAACAGATGGCGACTCGGCTTGGGGATCTCGGACCGAAGCGTCTCGTCGATGGTCCCCGTTGTGACGCTCAGGTGTCCCGACTCGTAGTCATATTTCATAGCCATGCTAGCGCCGCATTTGGGGCAGAAGCCGCGGCTCGCGACGTCGCTGGAGCGCCGGAAGGTGGGCTCCGTGTTCCAGACGATGGCAGCCAGGGGGAAGCTCGTCCAGCTCTGAAAGGGGCCTCCGGATAACTTGCGGCAGGTGGTGCAGTGGCAGTTGACGGTGTCTTGGGGAGGTTGGGTGGTGGTGTAGGTGATGTGGTGGCAGGCACAGCTTCCTGTAAGTGAAGCCATCTGTAGTGATGCTCTGATATTGGAATATACTTATTACACTGTGATATGAAACAAGTGAATTTATAGATCTATGTATATCTACTGTTGTCAAGAGGATACAGACTATACCCCGCGTGCTATCGACGTCACTACTCGTATTCCGCTCAATAATGCTCGTATAGCTCTATATATATATCTGGGGGAAATGATGCCATTCAAAGAGGATATGCGAACAGCAGTATGGTTGCTTATCTACTACTACCGCCAGAGGGATTGTTGAGTTCATCTGATCGGTACTGAAGATGATCATCAACATTCGTCTTGATTCTTTTTTTTCTACGCCGTTTCTCTACCCCACTTCTGATCTGCTCTCGAGGCTCTGATTGAAGCAATTCTATGGTTGATGAGGGTCCAATGTCATTGACTCCATCTGGTGTCCCTTTTGATTTCAAAGCAGTTGTGTTTGTGAGGTTGCACGACTTGGAAATCTTGCATTAGTATGTAGGAACACAGGTAAGGTATATATAGCTGAGCTCGTCTCCCCGCTTTGACGTGCCTCGACAAAGTTCTTGCTTTCTTGACTTGTGTCTTCTGGTACCAGCAAACCATTTTTTGTTTCAGAGAGCAAGCAATATGGGTCTAAAGGTTTTTCTGTACGCTATTCCATTGCCGTTCGGTGCATATTTGATTCTGATGGATTAACTCTAGCACTGGCGCAACTGGTTACATCGGCGGAGATGTCTTCTATACAATCTCCCAAGCCCATCCCGATTGGGAGGTAGCACTTCTGATCCGCAACAAAGAAAAAGCCGCCCAGCTGGCCAGCAAATATCCCAATGTGAGAATCGTGCACGGGGATCTTGACTCCGCCGACACCATTGAGGAGGAGGTCAAGAAGGCGGATATCGTTTACCGTACGTGATGACGTGATGATTCAATCAACAGAGACTGACATCGCTAGACTGCGCCGACTGCGACCACGTCGCTTCTGCTACGGCGATCGCCAAGGGCGCCGCGCACCACACTCCCGAGCACCCTCTCTGGATAATCCACACGTCAGGCACAGGCATCCTGACTGTCGAAGACTTCCGCAACAACACCTGGGGCATCGAGCGGACCAAGGAACACAATGATTGGGACGGCGTGGACGAGCTGTTGAACCTCCCGGACGACTCACTCCACCGCAACGTTGACACGATCATCATCGGAGCCGGTCAGCGTGCCCCAGACAGCGTCAAGACGGCCATCGTCTGCCCGCCTACGATCTACGGCCCTGGCCGCGGTCCCGGAAATCAGAAGAGTGTCCAAGCATACTGGCTCGCCGCTGCAGTTCTGAAGCGCAAGCAGGGGCTTCTCGTTGGCCAAGGCAAGAATACATGGCATCAGGTGCATGTTCAGGACCTGAGCGATGTCTTCCTGGCGCTGGGGGAGGCCGCCGCCGCGGGGGGCGGCCAAGCCACCTGGAACGACAAGGGGTACTATCTAGCTGAGAACGGCTCCTTTGTCTGGGGCGATATCCAGCGCGCCATTGCTCAGACAGCGTTTGACAAGAAGCTGATCCCTTCGCCGGACGTTGAGCATTTAACGGATGAGCAGGTCACGGAACTGAATGAGCTTGGACTGTATGCTTGGGGAAGCAACTCGCGGGGCCATGCCATCCGTGCAAAGAAGCTGCTGGGTTGGTCGCCACAGAAGCCTAGCTTGGTGGAGTTGATCCCAGATATTGTGGAACTTGAGGCGAGGGATCTGGGGCTGATTTAATGTGACAAAGTATATATTCGTAGTCATGATGACCATCTTAGTAGAAATATTCCTCGACATATCCCGCTCTGCCAATCTCGAAGAAAAAATAATGAACTAGGACATTGCGCTAAGCATCTTCTATTATCCTTGCCAGAACCCATATTGAATGTTGAGACATAAACAAATCTGAATAGCTGGCTGAATAGGGACAATAGGGAGCTCAAACCACGACAATAAGCGGGGAGAAAGGCGGGCAGTCCCTAAGCGACCCAAGCGCGGCAATCGCCCCGCTAGGCGCAATCCTGCCTGCACGCCTGTTATTACGTTCTGGAGCTTCTTCTGTGTATCTCGGATTGCTCCAACCAAACAGCTATTTCAACCCATCCTAGCTCGTATTAGCTACCGCAGGTTGTTCTCTCCATCGTCCTATGCATTGCCACGTTATGTGGAATTCTGCTGTTCACCATTCATTTGACAGTTTCTTTGTACTGACACTTCACACCGTACAGGCCCGCCCCATGAATCGCGACCTGTCGGGAAATTTTCCGGTTCGCCGTGTGACGTGTTAAGCTTGGAACGAAGCTGTCATGGCTCCAGGTGCCGGAGGAAAGAGGAAACGAGGAGACAGATCGTGGTCTGGCGATTCTGGCATTGACGGTCAACGCCCTTCTCCCCACCGACCGGGCAATCTCAACATGGCGCAACACAACCACGGCCCGCATCCCAACCAGTCTCGCGACTTTCCCGAGACGCGTGGTCGGGTTCGCAGGCAGGCCAGTCGCGGAGGCCGAAATAACAATTTCGGTCGACGGCTCAGTAGTGAGAATCCCAATAATGGACCTGGTGCGCAGAGGGATACGGCCATGGCTCCGCCAGCACGGGAAGTGTCAGATACAAACCAGACGAACGCAGTCTCTTCGACAGGGGCCTCTCAACCTCAGCCGTCCCCTTCACCCGCGCCGACGCCGCAATCGGCACCTTCACAACCGCAGCCGTCTCCTGTGGCCCAGTCACAGCCACAGCAGTCGCCAGCTGCACCCGTTCAGCCTCCACCTGGGCCACCGCCTCCTTACGATTACGAATATGTCACGGACGGTGTGATTGAGGATTGGGCATCTACAGGGAAAGGAAAGGTTATTGCGGATGGAGTACAGGCAATAAACCAGGAGGATGCGTCAACACTGGCCTCGGTCTACCAGGAGCTCGTTCGATCTGCTTTCTACGGCCGGCTGCCGCCAACAGAGGCCGGATCGGCGATCAGGGAAATCCTCGGCGAGGAAGTCGCAGCTGAGGATGTGGATATGGCCGTTGAGGGGCAACCCTCCGCCGTTCTGGATACACGCTCTTTGTTCTTGGACACCCTGTCTATCCTCACCGATTCCGATCCAGCTAATCCTGCACTGAGGCCGCTCATGTTCTCTACAGGAATCAGCGCCGCTCTTATGCGTCTTCAACTCGAGACTCCCGTTCTTCAGTCGCTCGGTCTCGTCCGTGATACCTTTAATCGCATGGGCATCCGCAAACAGACCAACCTACTGTACCGACAATCCAACTACAATTTGCTGCGGGAGGAATCTGAAGGCTATTCCAAATTGCTGACTGAACTTTTCACCACGAGTAACAACGAGCCACCCACTAGCGAGGTTGTCGAAGATACTTTTGAGAAAGTGAAAGCGATGATCGGTGCATTTGACATGGACGTAGGCCGAGTGCTGGATGTTACCCTCGATGTTTTTGCTGCTGTGCTGGTGAAACAGTATCGTTTCTTTGTCAAGCTTCTTCGAGCCAGCTCCTGGTGGCCCAAGGACGATATCTCTCGCAATCTCGGCGGCTCTGATCGTGATTTCGGCCTGCCAAACTGGGCATTACCAGGCTCCGCAGGGTGGGTAACCACAGACGAAGAACGAATAGAAATTATGCGGTCGAACGAACAGCGAGACCGCGAGTTCTGGAGCAGAGTCAGAGATATCGGTATCCGGGCGTTCTTTGAGATAGGACGTAAGCCAGTCTCAGAGGAGGAGCGCAAACGGATTTTCCCTGAAAGCACAAACTTATCGGAGGAAGAGCTGGATACTCGGAGATGGATTGAAGAGACAGGGACGCTACCTCCAAAGGGCAATAGGGTGGCAGCACAATTGCTCGGCTTCAAACTGCGCTTCTACTCCTCCAAGGCACGAAACAAGTCAGATGTCCTCCCAGATAACCTCATTTATCTGGCTGCTCTTCTCATCAAAGTCGGCTTCATTTCCCTTCGTGACCTATACCCCCATCTGTGGAGGCCGGACGAGTCCATGGACACTTTGAAGGAGGAGAAGATGAAGGAGAAGGCGGAGCGAGAACGAGCCGCGCGTCCCGGCGGCGGCGTTAATGCTTTAATGATGGCTGGCGCGCTGTCCGATGATACCTTGCCCATTCCACGAATCCGAGAATCGGAACAACGCTCAGCCACACCCGGGAAGGATCAAGAGGCGGATAAAGCGGCCTCGGCAAAGACAGAGGAGGACGATCTGCCGGAGCCTTCGGACCAGAAGGTTTTGTTGCTCAAGAGTCTGCTCGTTATCGGCGCTCTTCCTGAATCGCTTTTCATCTTGAGCAAGTTTCCTTGGTTGATGGACGCATACCCCGAACTTCCCGACTATATTCATCGCATCCTGCACCACAGTCTAAACAAAGTCTACTCCTCGCTGCGTCCTCTGCCATCGGCCGAGGAACTCAAAGACCAGAAACAGATTCTAAGCCAGGACCAGGCTGGGCTGGCCAAAGGACAGATTCGGTTAACTTCGGCGCCTGGGCGGCGGGTACTCCGCTGGGCTCAGCTTGACAAGGAAGATACAAATGATGGGACAGATTACAGATTCTACTGGGACGACTGGGCCGACAATATTCCGATTTGTCAATCCGTTGATGACGTTTTCGCACTTTGCTCATCGCTCCTGAGTCTATCTGGACACAAGATCGGACAGGACCCAAGTTTGTTGGCTAAACTGGCAAGAATTGGCAAGAGCAGTCTTAGCCAAGATGACTCGCCCGAGAACAAAGCGCGTTGGCAAGATCTTTGCAAGCGTCTCTTGGTGCCTGCGATCAGTTTGACGAAGGCGAACCCTGGTGTAGTGAACGAGATCTTTGACCTTCTTGGATTCTTCCCTCGGACAACACGGTATAACATGTATGCAGAGTGGTATTCTGGACAGACATCTCGGTTACCGGACATCAAGTCGGCATTTGATCAAGCAAGAGCAGAAACTAAGGACGTCCTCAAAAGGCTCAGCAAGACGAACATCCGGCCTATGGCTCGGGCACTTGCCAAAATTGCCTTTGCCAACCCTGGTATTGTCATCAACGTTGCCATCAGTCAGATCGAATCTTACGAGAACCTTATTGAGGTTGTTGTGGAGTGCGCTCGCTACTTTACCTACCTCGGATATGACATACTCACTTGGGCGCTCATCAACTCACTTGGTCAGAAAGGACGAAGCCGTGTCCAAGAAGGTGGGCTCTTGACCAGCCGGTGGCTCAATGCGTTGGCGACCTTCGCTGGAAGGACGTTCAAGCGCTATTCCGTCATGGATCCTACACCTCTTCTGCAATACGTGGTAGAACAGCTTCGGCAGAACAATTCTACAGATCTCATCGTTCTAGAGCAGATGATTAGTGCTATGGCTGGCATCATCACGGATACAAACTTCAATGATTCGCAAATCCAGGCTATGGCTGGTGGCGATATCCTTCAGTCTCAGACCATTCTACAGCTACTCGACAAACGTCACGAGTCAAAGACAACATCGAGGCGACTGATGAAGTCTTTGACTGTGTCGAAGTTGGCTGGACAATTGCTCATTGCTATCGCTCAAGAGCGATGGACATGTATATACAAGACAACTGAAGGAGATTCTGAGCTCAAGCTGTTGGGCAACATTTTCGATGAGATCCATCGGATTCTGGCTCAATATCTCGACCTCCTACGCAGTAACATGACTGTCGATGAATTCGATTCGTTTGTTCCAGACTTGGCCTCTCTGATCAAGGATTTCGGCGTTCAGCCTGAAATTGCCTTTTGGATTCGGCGACCTAGCGTCTCGCGAAAAGTTGCAGACGTTGAGAAAGCCCTTCAAGAGGAGGAAGCGGCAGCGAAGAGCCGTGAGAGCGAAGCAACTCTAGTCAAGACCGAGGAGGATAAAATGGAGACGACAGATGAAGGTGAAACGAATGGTACAGCTGAAGAACAAGCCGAGAACACTATGGATGTCGACAAGGAACACCCTGGGAATAATACCGAGGCGGAGGTCGCTACTGCTGGACAGCCTGCACCTTCTGGTCCATCTCTTAACCCAGTCATGCAAGACCTCGAGGATCAAGCCAAATCTGCCCTGTCACCGGAGACATGGGGCGTGGTCGGCCTGCATTTCTACGTAACCTTCTGGCAATTGTCGCTCTATGACGTGCATATCCCCCAGAAAGCTTACGAGGACGAAATTGAACGCCAGAAGAAGAAGGTGATGGCGATCAATAGCGACCGCTCGGATATCAGCATGGCTGGAACACAACGAAAGGAAAGAGAAAAGAGACAAATCACCCAACTTCAGGAGCGAATCCTCGAGGAGAACAAGGCTCACCTCAAGGCTTACGGACAAACACGGGCACGGCTGCAGAAGGAGAAGGACCGGTGGTTTGCCGGCATGCGAGGGAAGCATGATTCTCTCAATGTCAGCCTCTTAGAGCAGTGTTTCCTCCCCCGTTTACTGCTATCGCCCATCGATGCTTTCTACTGTTTCAAAGTGATCAAGTTTTTGCACACTTCCGGCACGCCTAATTTCCGAACAGTTGGTCTGCTGGATCAGTTGTTCCGCGAACAGAGACTTACCGCTCTCATTTTCCAATGCACTTCGCGTGAAGCAGATAACCTTGGTCGGTTCCTGAACGAGATCATTCGGGACCTTGGTCGTTGGCACGCCGAAAAGGCTGTCTACGAGAAGGAAGCATTTGGCACGAAGAAAGATCTTCCTGGGTTTGCCATCAATGTTGATCCTGAGGGCAAGCCCACGACTTTCCTGGAGTACGAGGATTTCCGCCGACTGCTGTACAAATGGCATCGCCTGCTGGCCTCTGCGCTGAAGATCTGTTTGAACGGAGGCGAATACATGCACATCCGCAATGCGATTAGTGTCCTCAAAGCCGTTGTGCAGCACTTCCCTGCGGTCAACTGGATTGGTCGTGATATGCTGACCAGCGTGAATAACCTGAGCCAAACCGATGAACGAGATGATGTGAAGATTCCAGCCGCCTCGCTGATTGGAGACCTGAACCGCCGCGAGAAGAAGTGGATGCTACCGCAAGCCTTCATGATTGCAAGCCAACCTGCAGGCAAGGGTGCTACGCCAGCAGCCGGAAAACCTGGCACCCCCCAATCCCAGTCTGCGACACCAACCCCTTTGAATGCTGCCGCAGCGGAATTCAAACCTCCTACCGCCAACGAGTAAGTAATGTACCTGTATCCGTTCGCTGTACAAGACTTCTGACACCATTCCTAGACCCGAGGGCGCGCCCAGGCCGGAGGCAGGCAAGAAAATGGAGGTAGAAGATGGAGAAATTGAGGACGCGAAGATGACCGATGTTGCCGCGACGGTTATGGAGACAAGTGAACCCGCCGAACAGAAGGCGGGCGAGAAAGCCGAAATGCCGCCACATCAAATTGAAGAGGCCGCATCTCAGCCTCGAGAAACCATTTCTCAAACTGAAAAGCCAGCTGCTCCAACTTCCGACATCCGAAATGAGATTGAGCTTCCCTCGCATCCTCGAATTTCCCCTGCACCACCAGCGCCTCAAGCGGCTGCGAAGCCTGCCGAAACTGGACGCCAGCCAAATATCCCCAAACGGCCGGACACAGAGCGAGCCCCTTTCAACAATCCAAATATGCGTTCACAGCAACATATACCAAGTCGTCCGTACCGAGCCGATGACGGCAGGTTGGGTCCTCGGTCTGATCTTTTGGACGCTCGGCGAGACAGACAGCCCGAGTTTCCCCGCGGCGGTCGCTTTGGGGATGACCACAGCCGGTCTTTCGACCAGCCAGGCCCTGAAGGCAGGGGCTACGGTCGCCTTGATAGAGACTTCCCTTCGAGAGGCCCAGTAGATGAGCCGTTCCGTGGACCTCCATATCGGGAGGGTCGTCAAACGCGAGAGACGGATTGGCCAGAGCGCTCCGGGCGACTGCGCGGCCCCCCCGAAGGTCGAGACGGTCCTTTGACAATGCCTGGTCCGCAAACCCATCCTGATCGGGCAGATCTGATCCAAGATCTTCCTGAAAGAGCTGGAGAGGGATATAGACGCGGAGAGTCGATACGTCAAGAGAAGGATGACCGCAGAGCTCTGCCAACACGAGCATTGTCTCCTAGAGCAGAACTTCCGAGTCGCCCAGAACGATTCCCAGCCGATGAGCGCCGTCTTCCCAACCATCCCCCAGCACATTCGCGATACGACGACTTGCCGACCGGACCTCGCGGTGACCGGCCGCCTCGACCTCCCATGGATGGGCCCGAGCCCAGAGATTCTGGCATCGACATGAGCCATGGACGATTGCGCCAGCCCGAGCCCTCGGCAGAGATTCCCTCAGGCCCAAGGGGAAGGTCTGGCGCCACACGTGGTGGGCGCAATGCTTCCGGTGTGCTGCATCCTCCACAATCTTCTACTGCCACCCCGGAGCGCCAGCCTCCTACCGGACCGGGCCGACAAGGAATGCGAGGTGGGCCGGAACAGCCTAGCTCTGGAGGCCCTCCATCGCCAACTATCGAGAAACTGGATGCTAGTGGGATCCATCCAGACCGACTCAAAGCCCTGCAGCAACAATCATCCGATGACAACTTTGGCGGAGGCGCGCGCTCCAATCAACCGGCGCCATCTGCAGCATCCGCTGCTCCACCGTCAGGACCTCGAAGTGCCCTTGGACCACCCTCCGGCCCATCCTCTGGCAACCGTGGCCCACTCTCAGGGCCCGGTTATAGCAGCGAGCGTGGACGGGGGGACAAGCGGTTCGCAGGAATCAACAACATGCTTCAGCAATCCGGCGGACCTCCTGAACGCGGAGGTGCCGGTCCACAAATCCGTGGACGCGGTGCAAACAGGCAGTCCGGTATGGGTGGTCCCTCGCCTCAGTCCACTCGACCTGGGACACCGGGAGCCTCGGAGGAGGGTAGTCGTTCGTCTGGCCAAGGCCGACCCGATCTCCTAGGCGGTCGCTCTTCCGGAGTCTCGTTCGCAGAAGACGAAGGTCCTTCCAGGAATCGTCTTGGTGGAGGACGCGGTGAGATGGTGGAAGAACCAGGATCGGAGCCAAGGCGGTCCGGGAGATATCCACATGATCGAGAGCGGGATCACAACCGTGACCGGGATCGGGACCGTGAGCGTGAGCGCCGAGGTGGTGTAGAGGAAGAAGGTGGACGGACCAGTAATCGACGGGAGGAATACCGCGAACGGACCCGAGATTATGAACGCGAACGTAGTCGACGCAGTGATGCCACAGCAACTGGTAACCGAGAGGAACGGTATGAATCTCGCGAGGCTTCCCGTCGAGGTGCAGGCTCCCGCGAGGAAAACCGTCGACGAGACCGCCGAGAGAGGGACGAAACCCAGGAGATTGGACCGGGCAGCCAAGAACATGAAGGTCGCCTGCGGCCTCCGTCTTCTCTCGGCGGGCCACCGCCTCCACCACCGCCACCGCCGCCTCTTCCTGGAAACGGGGAGGAGGATCGACGATGGGGTGGCAGTGGCGGCGCCGGGGGCGGCCGCGAGCTGCGCGACCGGGATCGCGACCGGAATCGTGACCGAGCTCGGGACCGCGACTACAACCGCGAGAGCGGGAGCGGGGGTCCCCCTCGGAAACGACGCGCAGGAGGGGATGATGGAGCTGGTGAGCCAGGAGCAGCAGCAGGAGGAGGAGGAGCAGGCCGGGGAGGAATGAGAATGGGCGGCGAAAGCAAACGGCCTCGACGAGGGGCATGAACGCGAAGAGGGACGAAATAGCCTTTGTTGTTGACCTTTTTCATTCATTTGATCATCTATGTTTCCTTGTTCCATCTTGGAGTTCTTCATCCTTGCATCTGTTGGACGGAGTTGTTGCAATTTTCCACTCAGCCTACGTCGGTTTTAGGGGATCTTTCTCTTCTATTTGTTCATCTGAGTACAGGATTTCGCTTCATAGGCATGTAATATTGATGGCACCCTCATCACGCTGGGTTATCTATCTACTGTGTTGTAAGACCGTCGGTAGGGGGAGTGTTGGACAGTCACGAGTTTTCCGTGATGTTATTGTCTCTTGTCCTCTCATCTCATCCTCCTCCATCATCCCGTCATATACTCCAGTCTCCCCCACGTCTGGTTGTTTAGCCATCAGATCCTGGTAAAATCCATCAAATCACTATCATTCCTTTATCCGCATACTGTTTAGAGTCTAGACTAATCCAGGTGTCCCATAGCATAGGCATATCGGACCGATACTCCGCGTCCCTCTCCCCCGCTGTCTGGATGGCCAAGCATCGGTTAAACCTCGGACGCGCTGCCCCCGTTTCCTTTTCAGCCAAGCGCCTTGTTCGATACCCTCTTTCATCCCACTCCGTCTTCCGCGAAGTAAATAGTGACCCAGATGTCGTGACCATCGCTGCTGGTGATAGTCAGAGACTCGGACAGGTGACCGACCACGGCCCCTCGCTAGTGGGAATACTTTCTCGCCCTACCAAGCGTCGTCTCAGATGCCAATAATGACAAGGCGTTCCAGTGCAGTTTCACAGTTAACACCGTTCACACCACCAATGCTCTTCTCCACCCTCTGGGCGAATTTCGTTTTCGGGCGTTGGAACCGACGATCCACCCACACGGATGATGCACATTGCCTACCATGTAGGGAGTATCTACTATCTACTATCTAGTAGTTACTAGTTACACAGGAAGCTCCATTTCCACATCCTTGCTCTTGGTCCTGTCTTTTTGGTGGAGGCTGATCCACTGCGGAGATATTGTTCCCCTGCTGCCGCGGTGCTCTCCTCAGTTGCATCGGCGAATCGGTTGTGCCCTCCCCTCTCCCACCAGGCTCTTTCGCTGCTAGACAAGCTGGATGCATGGTGTTCTGGAGTCGGAGAATCGGGACGGTAACAGGCAAGACTGGCTATGTTTCCCAATTGAGGATTACTTGTCTCTTTTTTGCTTTTTTATACATCGCTGCATTGTGTCTGACGACATTCCTGGGGGGTGGTTGTAGAAAACGATACAGCCGCAGTATATCTATAGCTTGACTTCCCTTCTTTTTTTTTTTTTTTTTTCTTTGCTTTTCTTTTTCTTTATATCATACCCCTCGGACCAGTATCTCTCGTTTCTTCTACCGTATCATCTTGGCTTCGTCTTCCTTTTCAATCGCTGGACGTCCAAGGTCGATTTTGGTATACTGAGCGTCGTGTCTCTTCCACCATTGACCGGAGGGAGTTCTTGTAGGAAATTTCATTGCATATATATACTTGTTTGATTGCCCACCATGGTTCAATTCGACGTCGAAAAGACTCTCGAGGAGCTCACGCTAGGTGAGAAGGTGGCTCTCACAGCTGGTAAGTCAATCAAACTAGTCGCTGAATCCAGCTGGGAGATCACGGATCCCTGACAAGCCACTGGTGAAACAGGAACTGATTTCTGGCACACGGCTGCCGTTCCTCGCCTCAACATCCCCAGCCTTCGCATGTCCGATGGGCCCAATGGAGTGCGCGGAACGCGCTTCTTCAATGGTACCCGTGCCGCATGCTTTCCTTGCTCTACTGCGCTGGGCGCAACCTGGGACACGGAGCTGCTGTACGAAGTCGGCCGCCTGATGGCAGAAGAATCCATCGCCAAGGGTTCTCACATCATTCTGGGACCGACCATCAACACTCAGCGCTCCCCGCTCGGCGGGCGAGGATTTGAGTCGTTCGCCGAGGATGGCGTGCTTTCGGGTCTTCTGGCTGGTAATTACTGCAAGGGCTTGCAGGATAAGGGTGTTGCGGCCACTCTGAAGCACTTCGTCTGCAACGACCAGGAGCATGAGCGCCTGGCTGTTGATAGTATTGTGACGATGCGCGCTATGCGCGAAATCTACTTGATGCCCTTCCATCTGGCGATGAGGCTTTGCAAGACTGCCTGTGTCATGACCGCGTATAACAAGATCAATGGCACACACGTCAGTGAGAACAAGCAGATCATCACCGATATTCTGCGCAAGGAGTGGGGATGGGATGGTCTGGTCATGAGCGACTGGTCTGTTTTCCACTTTTGACAGGAGACTTGCAGAAGGCTTGAAACGAATACTGACTTGCTGCAGGTTCGGAACATACAGTACCTCTGATGCCATCAACGCTGGCTTGGATCTGGAAATGCCGGGCCCAACCCGCTGGCGTGGAACTGCCCTGGCGCATGCCGTTTCATCCAACAAGGCTTTTGAGTACGTCTTGGATGAACGTGTCCGCAATGTGTTGAACCTGCACAACTTTGTCGAGCCACTCGGCATCCCAGAGAACGCCCCCGAAGAGGCCCTTAACCGGCCAGAAGATCAGGCTTTGCTCAGACGGGCTGCAGCGGAGTCAGTGGTCCTCATGAAGAATGAGGATAACATCCTTCCCTTGAAAAAGGAGAAGTCCATTCTGGTGATTGGACCCAATGCGAAGACTGCCGCATACTGTGGTGGAGGTTCTGCCTCCCTGGACGCATACTATACCGTGGCACCCTTTGACGGTGTCAAGGCCAAGAGCGAGGGCGAGGTCAGCTTTTCCCAGGGTGTCTATTCATATAACGAACTTCCCGTGCTGGGACCTCTACTGAAGACAGAGGAAGGCGAGAAAGGGTTCAAGTTCCGCGTGTATAATGAGCCCTCGTCCAACCCCAACCGCGAGCTCCTCGATGAATTGCGCCTGGAGAACTCGCTTGGCTTCCTCATGGATTACAAGCACCCCAAGGTCACATCCTTCCTCTTCTACGCGGATATGGAGGGTTACTTCACCCCTGAGGAAGACGGCATCTACGACTTTGGTGTGACCGTACAAGGAACAGGCAAACTCTACATCGATGGTGAACTCGTTGTTGACAACAGCAAGAATCAGCGCCAGGGAACCGCCTTCTTCGGTAACGCCACCGTCGAAGAGAAGGGCTCCAAGGAGCTGAAGGCTGGTCAGACATACAAGGTGGTCGTCGAATTTGGCAGCGCACCGACCTCTGATCTGGACATGCGCGGTGTGGTCGTCTTCGGCCCTGGCGGTTTCCGCTTCGGCGCCGCTCGTCGTGTCGGCCAGGAGGAGCTCATCTCCAAAGCGGCCGAGTTGGCCTCCCAGGCGGACCAGGTGGTCATCTTCGCCGGTCTGACCAGCGAGTGGGAGACGGAGGGCCACGACCGGGACCACATGGACCTGCCCGCGGGCAGCGACGAGATGATCAGCCGCGTGCTGGATGCCAACCCCAACGCAGTCGTGGTCATCCAGAGCGGCACGCCCGTCACGATGCCCTGGGCGCACAAGACCAAGGCCCTGCTGCAGGCCTGGTTCGGCGGCAACGAGTGCGGTAACGGCATCGCAGACGTGCTGTACGGCGACGTCAACCCCTCCGCGAAGCTGCCTCTCAGCTTCCCTGTCCGCCTGCAGGACAACCCGTCGTACCTGAACTTCCGCTCCGAGCGCGGCCGGGTCCTGTACGGCGAGGACGTCTACGTCGGCTACCGCTACTACGAGAAGGTCGACCTGGCCCCGCTCTTCCCCTTCGGCCACGGCCTGTCGTACACCACATTCTCCCGCTCCGACCTCTCGCTGGCCACCGTCCCTGAAAAGCGCCAGCTCGAGGACGGCGAGCCCATCACCGCCACCGTCACTGTAACCAACACGGGCGACGTCGCGGGCGCCGAGGTCGTGCAGCTGTGGATTGTCCCGCCGCCGACGGGCGTCAATCGGCCCGTGCGCGAGCTCAAGGGCTTTGCCAAGGTGTTCCTGAACCCCGGTGAGTCGAAGACGGTCGAAATTGTGGTGGAGAAGAAGCTGGCGACGAGCTGGTGGGACGAGCAGCGCGAGAAGTGGGCGTCGGAGAAGGGCACGTACAAGGTCCTGGTGACGGGCACGGGCGACGAGGTGCTCAAGTCGTCGTTTGAGGTGGAGAAGACTAGATTCTGGCTGGGCTTGTAGATTGACACTCCCCCCTTACCCTACCTTGGGGAAAAGTTTATAATGAATGATGGGATTTGATGATTAGGATTTGTTATGGGCCTGCATGGTTTATGTCTTCATTGAATGATTACCTCTACGTCTGTCTACGCTGTGAGACTTTGATACCTCCAGAGATGGTATGATTCGATTCGATTTGATTTTGATTCATAGTAAGGAGCCCGTAGGCATAGCCAAACACGACAGACCGGTTGCCGTGTCAAAAAAGTTCGCATGGAAGCACATTACATCATAGAATACCAGATAAACATAATTATGTAGGCAGATCACAAAAGGTAACATTTTGGATATCATATCACAGGTTCGGTTCGATACACCACACCTCATATCAAACGTAAGAGCATCGGCACAGGCACATGACACAGAGTCTGCTCATTACCGTCATCGCAGCGGTTGGGTCAAAAGAAGATCGCAAGAGAGTAACAAACGGGCAGACTTGATTCAGGTATCTTCGACCATCCGGCTGAACCCCGCCGTATCCTTGCTACGGGCGGCGCCGACATTCCGCTTCGTGAAGTCGAAGAAGGACAATTTCTGGAATATGAAGGATTTGTTCTTCCCAGCTGGCTGACAGTCAGGCTGGGAGTGGCCTGAGGCAGGGGCCTTGAACGGCCAGAAAGGCAGCTTCTTGCATCTGGCGGTGTCGGCGGGTGTGCGTTTGTCTGTCTTGGAAGGGGAGAGGGCCGGGACGGAGGCGCTTGCGATGATGCCGGTGTGCATCTTCTCCTGGACAGCCAGCTGGAGGTCGATGTTGCGCCGGGTGGCTTCGGCGTGGGTGATGGCATGGCGGACGCCGTTGCTGTCGACGATGACGGCCGGGGGTGGAGTTGCGTCGTCATCTTTGTCGACAGTGGCGCCGAACTCGATGAATTTGGATCTGTAGTTCTTTTTGGGGCTTGGGGGCTGTGAGGGTGCTTCCTTCTTGTTTTCAGTAGGAAGGACGGTGTTGTCCTGGGCAGGAGCCTGGATGTTGGGGCCCAGGTGCTGTTTGTGGGTTGGATAGGAGGTGCTGGTGGGAGGACGAGAGAGGCTAGGCATGCGGCCGAGGACGAGGGTGCTGTCTGAGTTGAGGAAGACTTCAATGTCTTCTGGTGAAAAGGGCTGGTGGTATTTACCCGTCAGGAAGGTCAGGCCCTCCTTGTCCTGGGATGAGGTGCATCCAGAAAAGTCTTCGAATGGGGCCTGGCGCTCATTCGGCACGGGGCTCTTGATGGAAGGCTCGATGCTCGAGTGTCCAGTGGCAAAGGTCATATCGCTACATGTTGTAGCCGGGGAGCTGACGCTCGACGATCCGTGATTAGAAATGGAGCTAGTTTCGTTGAGATCATGGAAGGGGGATGTCAATGGAGCTTCCGTTGCCTGGCGCGCGGCGCGCCGAGTGCGCAGATCAACTGCGGAATCACACATGGCATCAGTATCGGTGGCGGTGGGAGCAGCGCCCAGTTCAATCGGAGCCGGAATCTCAGTTGCAGCCTGGGATGTTTTCAGTTCTTCAGGTGCCGCGGTGTTTGTTTGTTTGGCAGGTAGCGTCTGCTCGTCCTGGTCGAGAATACTCTCCGCGAGTAGCACAGAAGACCAGCGAATCTGTTTCTCCAGATCTTGAGGGATCTTGGGGCGATTGATCAAAGAAGGCCGTCGTTTGAAAAGACCTGTGGTGAATTTTATATCATAGTATCGCTGGGGTTCATCGCGATTGGAGCTGAGGATGGGCTTCTGCAACATGTCAGCGGTCTTAAGCTTGATTATGAAGCTGAATAGAAGACAAACTTACTGGAGAGCCAAACACAGAAGATACTGAGAGTCTCTTCTTCTGACTCTTCTTTGTTTGGAGTGTACAATCCATGATGATACAAGCCGGTTGGGGTAGGGAGTCAATCAGATAGATTAAAAGCAATTGAGTCAAAGAAAAAGATGTTGTCCTCGATAGAGGAGAGCCCAGCTCTGATTATCCACAGGCCAACGCCAAATATGCTTTGTACACCGTGGAAGAGAGGCACAGGGTGCTAGGCAGGGGACAATGGCAGTCGAGCAGACCGGTCTATCCCCCACGAACCAAAGTCCTGGATTAAAGATAAGACAAGATTCTGCAGAATCGTCAAGGGAGAATGTGGCTGATGACTCTGGTCAAATCAGAACCCAAGAAACACAGTCACAATGGAGTTGTCTGTAGCAATGGGTGACTGGTATGTGGGGGTTGCCTGGTCGATCTGTATAGTTGGATGAGCGAGCGAACGTGGATCTGGACGGAGCTTGGATTGATATTGAATGAGGGAAGCAGTTGGGAAATTGATGATGAGGATCAGAGCTAAGTGATCTGGATGAAATGAAACGATTGTGTGAAGCAGTTGGATAAAACAAGATCAAAAAGAAGAACGGAGATGAAGCGTCTCCTGGGGGGGGGGGGAAATGACTGACAGGTGATGCCCAGGTAGCCTCAGGCAGCGAGGTAGGCAGATGAAGTGAGCGACAGACAGAAACACGATGGAAGTCAGGACAGGAAGCAGAAAGCATCAGGATGACGACAGCTATAACAGTAAAGGAACTCACTGCACACGCTAACTGGAACGAAGTAAACAAACGAGTTCAGAAACAAAATACAGGGCGACGAGCGACGATGGCAATTAAGTCCGTCAGTTCCTGGAGCTACGACGGTCACACTGGGCAGACTGTGTCACTCCAGAAGACGAGAGAGCAGTCCTCGACCCAATTGCCGGGTCTGAGACGATGTTGGGGAGCCTGAGACTAGATCAACCACTAGTGACGGTGATGCTATAGAAACAAGGCCAGGAAGTCGTAGCTTCATATCCCCCCCCATGCAAGTGGACATCTCCGTTCATTGAGCACCTCACTCCCCTCCAGTTGTCATGTCCAGCAGCTGCTCTCTCCCCCAGAGTGCCAACGCCACTTGATGCATCATTCTCCTCGTCCAGTCACCTTGGACGCAACCCATCGTGCAGCGGGTATGCTGATCTTCCTCAAGATGGGCCGAGCCTACTGGATCGCCAGTGCTGTGATGTTCAACCCTCCGCCGCAAGGGATCAGCCGTGAGGTCCTAGAAGGGATGAATCAAGGGATGGTAGATTGAACAGTTCATGTTGCAGATTTAATGTGCGTTGGCAACACAGAGACTGATCTTTTCTCCTAGTACAGTGAAGCAATGTACAATAAGGTTAATCTTCCAAGTTTTAGGGAACAGTGGGAGTTCAATATACTTCACTACCCAAGAAACGTTGGCGAACCAAGTTTAGTGTCTTGGGCCATGCGCTTATGAAATCGTGCATTGGGAACAAGCAGAATTGTCTGACCTGTCAGATGCAGAGGCAATATGAGCATGGTAACATGATTCAAAATGGAGCCTCACAGCAGTTATGGAGGCGCTAGTCGTAGACATGCATGGGTTGTTGTCTACAGCGTACAAGCACAGAACCAAGCAAGACCAAGGACATGCGAATATGGACATTGCAATCTAATGCGATGCTATTCTAAAATGATTTGTACCAGAAAAAAAAAAAAAAAAGAAGGCAAAAAAAAAAGGTCGACTACCACCCTCAGCTGGATCATTGCAGTCGCTAGAGTCCAGGTATGTTTTAGGGTTTGTATGATGGAGAGCAGTTGGATGCTTCTTTTACAGCCTAACCTGTTGAATAGGTTACGAGGGAGGCAGTTGGATGCTCATTCCTCTTCTGGCTTAAGAACCAAGATCACCAAACGGATTGCACCGCTACTCCCGCCAGGTCGCTTGACACGGAGATGCAAGCGCCCGAATCTGCCTCGACGCGTCTCCTCTTCACCGAGAGGAGATCCGGAACCCTTGCTCTTTCACAAGGCATCGAAGCACCATCGTGCTTTTTAAAGGCTGCAGTTAATGCGCCAATATTGGTTTGGGACCGTTGTGTCTGCTTTACCAGGCGGTGATATCCTCCACTTCCGCCTCGCCAAATGTGCTGCTCTTAGTGAGTTTGTTCACTCCGTCCATGGCGACAGCCCCGTTGGCAGGCGGCTTCGACATAATATCCGGCAAGACTTCCCGGAAGAACCCGAGAATGTAGCGGTTAACCTGCTCGAACTGTAACAGGAAGGCATCGTGACCCTCAGGACTCTCGATCCGTAGGAGTCTCGAGTCTGGGATGCCCGCTGCAATCTCCTTCTGCTCCTCAAAGGTGAAAAGACCGTCACTTTCGATACCGAGAACCAATGTCGGCTGCTCGATCTGGGATAGGGCCTCTTTGACGGGATCCGCCGAGTCCGGACTGGCACGGTGCCGAGACACATCGTGCGTGTCAAGTTTGCGTGTAATGGCAATGTAACAGTTGGCGTCAAACCGCTTCACAAACTTCTCTCCCTGGTAGCGGAGATATGACTGTGCAGAAAAGTATGTTGGAGGCTGCTTGCGATTACTCTCGCTGACTGGTGTGCTGAAGGTCTTGGTTCCGGAGAACTGGGGATCCATGTACTGGACCTCGGAGGGCTGCTGAGGAGCAGGCGAACCGCGTTCGCTGGGCGCTCGAGAGGATAACCCATTCTTGTGCCCATCATTGTGGATGGCCCAGTGTTCATTCAGTGGGGTCGGTGATTGCTCGGAGCCATTGATGGTTTGCTTCTTGGACGGATCGGGCACATTTCTACCGAACCGAGACTCGAAGGAGTTGCGGCTTCTGTATGTCAAGAGAGCGGACATACGGGCTGCACCCAAGCCAGTGGCTGGCGGATCGTCGAATGGGTAGTATCCATCTTCATATTTGGGGTCACTGTAGATGCTTTGCCGCTGAGCCTCACCCCAACTGATGCACCAGGCAGAATGACGCGCTGAGGTAGCGATGGGAACAATCGCTCGTACATAGTCCTTGCCAAAGTAGGCATATTCGAGAGTCAGCATGCCTCCCATGGAACCTCCGACGACAGCTGCGATCTGTCGGACGCCCAAATCATCCAGAACCATCTTGTGAATCCTGTTCCAGGTTAGCAACCTGCAGAATACATATCCTGAGGGTCTCGAATACTCACCTAACGTCGTCACGGACAGTCGTAAGAGGAAATTCAGGTCCATACAATCCCTTCGCCGGGTCGCCATCTTTAGCAGTCACAGCACTCGCACTTCCGTAAGGGCTACCGAGGCTGTTCAAGCAGATCACGAAGAATCGAGAAGTGTCGAAAGCTTGACCAGGGCCACCAAGCAAAGGACCCCACCAATCGGCCACATCGGCACTGCCGCTCAGAGCATGGCAGATCACGAGTACATTGTCACGGCTTGGAGACAATTCGCCACGGGTAGTGTAGGCGACGGGGACATTGTGAAGGGTAACTCCCGATTCCAGGGTAAATGAGGGGATGATCGCGATCGATTGATCGGTGATCAATGTGGCGTATGGGTTCTCAGGGAGGGAAGCGACTCTCTCTACGGGATTTAGTAGCCATTCAACAGACGGCTATGGGGAAGAGGGGCAAATGAACTGGGGGAAGAAACAAAAATGAGGGGATACTGACGGAAGGTTCCAGGAGCACTGGTGGTATCAGGCACCATGGTGAGCCGATCTGTCGTTGTGAACGAAGACAGATGGAGGACGACAAAGTGGGTGTATGAAGGAAGCACAAAGTAATTCAAGAGTTATCTTCTCCTGATGGATTTGATCCGGGGAAGCGAGGAGTTTTCAGTCAAGGGAACAGCAACAGTCCCAAGTTCCAAGTTTTCCAGCAGCCGCGGAGGCCCACTAAGTAAAAGTAGTTCTCCGTAGTACTCCGTACTAACTACGGTATATGGATGACTTCGCGGCGGAGACTCGGCAGCTCGTCATCAGCAGCCAACCAGAGGAGAGAAGGAGCCATAGGGCGGTGAGGAAATCTCTGCCCGTTGTATCTGGCCGCCTTTGATGACTCATTGCTGCTGTCCTTCCCAGTTGGCAGTTAAATGGATATCCTCTGAGAGAAAACATCACCCTGAATGGTCCCTTTGAGAGCAATAAATTGTCTCGAATACGAGAGCCGCCCCGCTTAGACAATGCGCATGAATCATCCTCGCAATATTTATTTATCAGATGGAAGGTAGCCACGTAGATAGACTTCTTTTGCTATACTTACCCTGTCGTCTCTGTCAACCGGTGTCTTTACCACGCTCAGCTCTCAAAAATCTCAAACTATGGCGACTATAAACAGACAGAATGATCTCGCTATTGAACTTTGCAGGCTGCATACACCGGGAAAGCCTTTGGTCCTCACAAACGTCTACGATGCAGCCACTGCCTCCATTGTCGCTAATAATCCCTCCACTAAAGCCATCGCTACCGCTAGCTATGCCGTCGCCGCTGCTCAAGGCATCGCTGATGAAGACTTGACCTTGACTCGGAATTTGGCTACTGTACGCTCTATTTCGGCTGTCTTAAGACCAAAGGACGAGTCGACAAGTGAAAAGCAGACTGACACTCTCCCACGGCTTCCATTGACAGTAGATATCCAAGACGGGTATGATGATGTTGCGGCAACAATCCGCGAGATCATCAAGCTAAAAGCCGTGGGATGCAATCTGGAAGACTTTGACAATGCCAACCGGCGCTTGCGGCCCATCGAAGAAGCCGTCGAGCGGATTCAGCTGGGCCTACAGGCCGCAAGGGAAGCAGGTGTTCCTGACTTCGTAATCAACGCCCGGACAGATGTGCTCATTGGGCAGCATGGTCAGAAAGGAGGATCAATTGACGACGCGATTGAGAGAGGAAGGGCGTATCTTAAAGCCGGAGCCTGCACGGTCTTCGTCTGGGGCGGTTCTCAGAGAGGAGTGTCTCGGGCTGAAATCGAGGCACTAGCAGCGGCCTTTGAGGGGCGACTAAATGTCAAGCTGGTTCTTCAAGAGGGATATTTGACAGTCTCTGAACTTCAAACTATGGGGGTTGCGCGGATCAGTGTTGGTCCTGAGCTGTATCGGGCTGCCATGAAAGCGTTCCAGGAGAAGGCCGACTTGGTGTTGAGTGCTTGTGGTTAGACAACAGCGCATTGGGAAGTGGATGTAACTTATTCGACATGATAATATCACTATCTATGTGTAGTCGATCGTAAACATCTGGTATCTATATAAGTGCTACCCTAGTTCGATAATGAGGTATTGATGGATTGACTTGCGCTAGCCCCTTTTCGGTCAGGAACACATCCTTCACCGACACTAGTCCATAATAGGCAATTCCACTGGAACCGCTAGTCTAGAACTGGCTTAACACACGACATCATTCCGCCTACGGTTTCCAACGACAGGCATTTGGGGCGCAAGCTATGCTGCAAGGGCCGTCGCATCTTCATCAAGCAGCAACACCCCCAAACCATGACAGCCAAAGTCTAGCGTCACCACTCTGGGAAAAAAACAATTACACGAACTACGATACCAATTCTCTGCCGGTACATTACACTGTCACAATGACCGACTACTCGGCATGGAAGGTGGTTGATCTGAAAGCAGAGTTGAAACGGCGCGGTATTCCCCAGACAGGTCTCAGGGTCAAACAGAATTTCATCGATAAACTTGTTGAGGAAGATGAGAAGCGACAGGATAGTGGCGCGGATGACGACTCGGCACCCGCCCAAGCTATGCCAGACGATGCTCAACCTGTCACCTCTGAGCAAACCACAAACGAACCTGCTGCCGACGGGCGTCAGCCCGAAGAATCCAAGTCGCCAGTGAGAGCACCCGAGCCCGTACAACCGCGCGAACAAGAAACACAAGAACAAGCGCAGGAGCCAGAGGATCAGAAAGACGAAGCAGAGACCGAGCACGCCCAGCCGGAATCTGTGGTGGAGGAACAGAAGGCCGGCGAAGACACGGAAAAAAAGTTGGAGGAGATGCCACAACAGATACAGCAAGAGAACCTTGACCAGGAAGCACAAGATGCTCAGACCAAGCCTGCTAATGGGGTGACTGCTGAGACCGAGCACCCTGCGAAACCAGTTGAGCAGGCTCCCGAACCCGCAGAAGAGGTGCAGCCCACACCCACAGAGCAAGTTACCGAGAAACTCACTGCTGATGAGAGTGCTGTGACTCTTCCCTCTTCCGTACCAACCGAGGGGTCAACCCCCGTACCGGTTGACGAGGCTATTGAAGATAGTCGGAAGCGCAAGCGTCGCAGTCAAAGTCCCATCCCAACAGCGGAGGCAGTGGCAAGTAAGAAGGCCAAGGCGCAAGAGGAATCACCCAAGGTCATACTCCCTGAGGATAACGATGCGATGGAGGTAGAAGAAACCACGCAAAAGGACCCGGCTCCCGAAGAGCCCTCGACCAAACAACCTCTTGATCAACATGCCGACGAAGGAGAAACTGTGCAACATAAAGATACTCGCCGCGCATCGCTGACAGATGATATGCGTGCCAAAGGAGGCGCTCACATCAAGCAGGACGCGCGTTTCAAAGGTCTTTTCGCACCTACGGAGAGGGAGCAGGTTCGCCCTCCATCCCCACCAGCTGATACTACAATGGGGGATGTAGAAGTTGAGCCAGCGGTTCATGTTGCAACACCAGCCTTGTACATTGATGGTCTGATGCGTCCACTCCAGCCTGCTGCCCTTCGAAACCACTTAGTTAGCATCGCAACTGCCCCTGGCTCTTCACCAGACCCTGATGTGGTCGTTGACTTCTATTTGGACCCCATCAAAACACATTCTTTCGTTGGCTTCTCCAGCATATCTGCCGCTTCGAGGGCCCGATCTGCCTTGCATGGCAATGTATGGCCGAATGAGCGCAACAGGAAAGCCTTGTTTGTCGATTTCATCCCTGAGACCAAACTGGAGCAATGGATCGCAAAGGAGGAAGAATCGCGCGGGCGCGGTGGTCCTCCTGCTCGGTTTGAGGTCAAATATGAACAGACTGACAACGGCATCGAGGCTGTCTTGCAGGAAGTTGATCCAAAGAACGCCACCTCTCGTCAAGCTCCAACACAGGCCTCCGGGGACTTCTCTCGTCCTCCTCCTTCAGGGCCCCGAGCGAGCATGGCCAACGTGGATCGTCGTCCTAGTGGCCCTCCACCTCCAGAGCCTCAGTCTAGACCAGGACAAGGATTCAAGCCGCTAGATGATCTATTCGAATCTACCAAGACTAAACCAAAACTGTATTATCTTCCCGTTCCGCGAGAGGTAGCGGACCGACGTCTAGATCGATTTGACGACCTCTTGCGGAAGGGTTCATTTCCGCGCCGTGGGGGAGACGAGACCAGACGGATCACCTTCGAAGACGAGGATTTATTTGTCGATCAAGGGCCTGAATACGGGGCTCGCAGCGCCCGAGGGCCCCGCGGACGCGGACGCGGTCGCGGAGGTGGCATGAGACAGTCATGGAGGGGTGACCGGCGAGGGCATGATTAGTCTCTTGATCATCTAGCGAGCGCGAATATCTCGAAACTTTGTACCATCTATCTACATATCAACACCTGGAGTGCCAATCATGCGGGTCGAGGTTGTCCGGTCCCCGTTGCAAGGGATGAGAGCCGGATAGCACATGTATAGTAGCAATGAACTGATGATGTAGTGAAATCTGATATCTGGCACATGGGGAAAATTGCACTTCTTCCAATCTCTCTTGTTCTCATATCTATCTATTTAACCTACAGGAAAACAGAGCGCTTGCTATGCATCCATAATTGTCAGTATAACTGACTAATCCAGTATATCTTTCGCCCTGTAAGGCTTGACCAAAAAGCTTGGCTGACAGTTCGTTTGGGTTCCTGAATTCTGAGGCATTCGGCACCAATTTTTATTCTGGTGCCTGAGGCGCATTATTTGGGTATAATTAGCACAGCTCGTGGCTGTACTTACTATCTCGCATCTATCTACTCCGTACTCACTGTGTCTTCTAGACGTCTGTTGTCGTAACGAACGGGAAATGAGAATCATGAGTGACTACTGACATGGATCCATGAAATCAAATGATCCCAAGGTTTTCTTTTTTTATACGACTCTCCTCCTGCCTACATTCCGTTTCATCCCTACCGAGGATTATTGACACTCCACTTCCACATTCTCCGAGGAGCATACTACAGAGTACAGAGTACAGATAGCCTCTGTCGCATAATTCCATCCTTCAGAGAACCTGAATCGCCAGGCGTCGCCATCGTCTTCGACTCCGTACCTTGGCTCCTTGACATTTCTCCGGTTCTCTGGTGCCAGGGGTTGTTGATCGGCTGTGCCGGGACTAAGCCAACTTGGCGGATGAGATAGAGAGATCCATATCTACTCTGTAATTCCAGAACAACTACTTTTCGATTCGGAGATTTGATCTCTCCCATTCCTTTATCTGTTATCGTCTCTCGTTTTTGGTTCCGAAGTCAGTCGCTACAGTCAAGTCCCTCTCTTTTCTCTCACTGTCGCAAGCATGGGTTGGCCGGTCTGTAATTCCACAGCAGAGGATCAAACGAGTATGGCTTCCCTTCCTCATCCCCCCCTTGGACTGGGTTTTTCGATGGGAATTGCTGGCTAACCGAGGATTAATGAGGACAGTCGCTGAAGTTGACTTATGGGATGGCGGTCTCACGTTCCATGAGCTTTGCCTTATCGTTGGAGGCGCTTTTGCGATTCTTGCCGCTACAATTTCCATCTATCTAATTATGTGCCATGCGACGCACTATAGCAAACCGATAGAACAGCGGCAGTATGATACCCCTCACCAACCTTCTTCCCTTTCTTGTTTCGCATGCTAGTTTGATTTGAGCTGACAGGTGTCCTTCACGGCTTTCAGTATTATTCGAATTCTATGGATGATCCCCATCTACTCGTTAGTCGCATGGCTGAGCACCTACTTCTACAAGAGCGCCATTTACTACGAGCTGATCGGCAACTCCTACGAAGCCTTCACCATCTCGGCTTTCTTTGCCTTGCTCTGTCATTACATCGCGCCGGATTTACATAGCCAAAAGGAATACTTTCGAGGAATCACGCCGAAGCAATGGCTTTGGCCTGTACCCTGGTTTCAGAAATGCTGCGGCGGGGAGAAGGGGATCTGGAGGATACCGCGAAGCGGATTGACATGGTTCAATGTAAGCTGTTTTGCTACGAACGATGTGACGGGAGAACCTGTGCTGATTGGTCTACTGTTAGGTGGTCTGGGTTGGTGTTTTCCAGTACTGTCTCCTGCGCGTGCTCTCGACTATCATTGCGGTGGTTACTCAACACTTTGATGTGTATTGCGAGGAGAGCTTGAGCCCTGCTTTCTCGCATGTCTGGGTACGTCGTACGCATACGTTTGATAATCCGAACCGAGGACTGACGGCTACTAGGTCCTGGCTATAGAGTGTGTTGCTGTGTCGATCGCGATGTACTGCCTTATCCAATTCTATTACCAGGTCAAGGAGGATATCAGCCAGTATTCGCCTTTCCTGAAGATTGCCTCTATCAAGCTGGTGATTTTCCTCTCGTTTTGGCAAACTGTGAGTTGGGTCTCGGGTTGATGTTTCTGTCAGTCATGGTGCTAATCTTGTTTCAGACCTTGATCAGTTTCCTATTTTCTTCCGGAGCAATTAAACCAACCGAGAAAATACAGGAACCGGATCTCAAAGTCGGACTTCCAAATCTTCTTATCTCAGTTGAAATGGCCATCTTTGCTGTGTTGCATCTGTGGGCATTCTCATGGAAGCCGTATTACCTCAAAGACTCACAACCTGACGAAGTCACCGATTTCTACGGCAACGGCAAAGGCCTGTATCACGGCGGCCGCTGGGGTATGAAAGCCCTCGTGGACTCCTTTAACCCGCTTGATCTTCTTAAGGCCGTGGGCCGTAGTGTGCGGTGGCTCTTTGTAGGCCGGAAGAAGCGAATGATGGATCCCAGCTACCAGAGTCAGAGCGAGGCGATTGGTCTTGAGAACGCCGGTACTGGCGCAAATGCGAATATGACAGCCTACCAAGGCGCAGGCGCCACGTTGGCTGGTGGCAGAACAAGACCCTATGGTACCTCGCCCGATGACGAGGACCAGGTGCTCCTCTCCCATGCACAGCCGAACCCTACCTCGCGATTGACAGGCGATCTGGGCATCGCCCCTCCACCTTATCAATATGACCACGATGCTCGCTTGTACTCGCATCACGATGATTTGAGTGACGCATCCTTGCTGGACCCTGCCGCTTCTCATTCCCCACAAGCATATTCTCCCTACGAGGATCCGCACCGCAATCCGTACATGGCTTCGGGTTTGATAGATGACCCCTATCACCACCAGATCAACGTCTCTTCAACAGGACAGGGAGCCGCAGTACATAACCAATACCCACAAGAATCCCTACGAGAACAACCACCCATCCCCATGCCAGACCCATACCAATCTCCGCCTTCGCATCACAACGCCGAGCATAGCCGACGATAAGAGGTCGACTGATATTCATATCGCTGATTCTGATATCTCTCTTCCTTCCCACAATCATGTCACGAATGAGCTGACTTCTTATCACGGCATCAGTCTGCTTTTTTTTTTTTTTTTTTTTTTTTTTTTTTTTTTGGTTTTTCCATCTTTGTTTTGTTGATATACCCTCCCGTCACGTTCATCTATTCTACCATTCCATTTCATGCCTTTTTTGATATTCTAAGTTTTTCTTCTTCTTTTCCCGAGCCTTTTGTATAGAAGTGCGGCCAGCAACTCCTACCCCTTTTACCACGCATCATGTCAACTATGCCGGACGAGTCCTAGCACTGATTAGCCCTCTGGCAAAGTTATTGGACGATATTTCTGCCAATGTACATAAAATTGAACATCGATGAAATGTGAGCATCCATGAGATCAATGCCAAAATATAAGTGCGACGAAAGCGATATCCCTCAGGTCATTCCCACCCAGCCTAGCTTGATAGGCAAGTTCGTATGAATGTTAATTAGCCCCAAGTTCCTACCTGATTTCTGCCTACACGCCAGCATCAATTTCTACATCATACCATCATGTCACTATAAGCCAAATATAATCTGTAAGGTACTGGGTATTTTTATTATGGGTTGGAGCCGCTGGGGTGTCATATGCATTATCACTTTCATACTGGGGCATGAGGTGGTAGTATTACTTTAGATCGTACCAACATATGGCAGAACTACCCGCGAAGAGTCAGAATTGACAGGTTTCTGTTTACCGTTACAAATGTAGACTTAACGAGGAGATTTCAGGTTGAGGATCGAAGTGTCTCAGGTCAATCTTTCTAACCATCTTCTTCCTCATATCATAAGTTCGCTTCATAAGAACAACGCCGGACACCGCTGAGCCCTCAGGCCAAAAGGAATCATCACGAAGGAGGTAAAGGTCATCAGATGCGTCAGTTCGCCATTATCCATGCGTCAAGGCTTCTCGAGAGAGGAATTCCTCCTCCAGCCTGCTCTGCAAGGCTAATTGAGTCTTTCGTGAAGAATTGTTCTGCCTCACTTGATTCATGATGGCGGTCTTGCGGCCGAGCTCTCGCATGCCCTTGATGCACTCGCTAAGCTCTCCGAGTAGAGAGACGAGACGGACATCGTTGTTCTGGGCGAGACTCTCTGCGAAGAAGCCGTTTTGCTCATGTGGTGTGAGAAGAGACAGGTGGGAAAGAAGGGCATTGATGTTGCGGAGGATGGGGTGAGACAGATATGTTTTTGTGGTTTCCCCGCTTTGGTCTTCAGATGCGGGGGATATGCTGGAGAGGTAGGATTTGATCAGGAAAATGCGAGACTCCAGTGTTCGGACTGCGTTAAGACGGGTATTGAGACTGGCAATCACTGCGAAAACCCACGTGAGCTATTTTCAAGCCGTCTCGTGTAGAATGCACTTACACTCTTCTTCTTCTTGGGATAAGACAACATTCTCCGGTGACGGCTCAGCCTCACTCCTCTTGCCGGCCTTTCCACCCTTTTGCGAAACACCAGCAGAGTTGGAATCTGGCGATTCGATAGCAGCGGCCGTTCTTGCAGTCCTCGCCACGGTGTCCATACCGATCATCTCAGCTTCCCCGGTTTCGACAGAATACGGCAAAGGGCGGAATCGGATGGTTAGTGACTGCTCCTCGCCGTCCACTTGCATTGCCTTGCCGGTTTCCGCGGCATTTTCCCCTTCGTATACGCTCTCATATATAGTCAGGGGAAGCTTCACACCATTCCTCGACGCCTCCTGTACCTGCGACGGATGGAAGGCAAGGAAAACAGCAGATTCGTTGTAGTTCTGAAGAATCTGGCGGTGGATTGAGAGGTAGGAAGGGTCCGGGCCGGACGGCGGGGCGGTCGACCACCATCCTACGAGATCAAGAGCAGGAGATTTATGTACATCCTTAACTATAGGTTCAAGTATGCAGTCAGTGAAGAGTACCAAGGTTGTCCAAGTATGCCTCGCTCTTACATTGCTTGACTCGCTCAACGAACCACTCATCCGGCAGCTGTAGCTCTCCATTAGGGCCCTCGGCCACAACGCATTCAAATGCATGCTCTAAAGTAATCACGCGCCCATTTTGCTGTCCCAGAAGAGCCCCAATTATCGGCCCTTGCTGTAAACGCGCAGCATGACGGGTGATGTGATCGGAGATGGTGAGGAGGACCAACGGGTGGAGCTGGATATGGAGGCCCGAGTCGGACGATTTCTGAGAAACCAGAGATTCGCTATGGTCGGCCATCCTGGGGCGGAGATCTGTAGAAATGGACAAACCAAATATATCCGGAAGGTCTCTGATGTATATCAGGTTGCTGAATGATGATGAACTTCCCCGGTCGATAGAGGCGGAGCTATTATCAGTGTTTGTCGTGTTTGCACCGGTTGCTATAAGATTCCCCGCGGTCATCCACATCATTTCTCCATCATTATCTTTACGTCGCTCTCCAAGTACTTGGAAGCTCAAGGTGTTTTATTGATTCAAGCAAAATGGCCGTCCCATCATCATACGAGGAGGTGAAGGCTCATCTTCAGCAAATTCTGGATGATCCTTCCACTCCTTTGGATATAACCCTTCTCGACAGACTGAAGCTGGAGCTTACAGAGAACACTGATCGCAGGGTGCCTGGGACACTTCTTACACAGATCTCACAACTTCTCCCGGTTCTTCAGGAAGATCCGGCCCCTATTACGACTCTAGGAATCAAAGCTACATCGTTTTTCTCTTTCACAGACATTCGTTCTATCGAGCCTCCGATTGACTTCATTGCGGGCTTCAAAGCGCCATCACCACCGGTTAACCTTTTGGCTCTATCTCTGCTGAGCAAAGCGGGACGGAACTTCAGTGATGCTGCTATAGTCGCTAGTGACTCGGAGCTTGTGGGGTCCTTGGTTGAACTTTGGCTATCCACCACTTCCACAGCTGTCGCTCAAGCTTCTCTTGATGTTTTGTGGGCCCTACTAGAGATCGATCTTGCAAGTCCATTGGACAATGACACACATACTCGTGGAGCTGGACAGACTTTCAGTGGAAAAGGGCTTGTTTGGAGGCGCGTGTTCAAAGACAAGGATGTTTATGGACGCATATTCTCCTTGTGCAGTCTTGCGGACCGTGAACCAGGCGGTCTTCCAAAACGTGAGAGGACGGTGGCCCAAGGTAGACTGATGGGGTTTCTCGTGATGGCAGGAAACTTACGATGGGATGTGATTTCGAGCTCACAGCTCCCTGAAATCGAAGCTAAGTACAGTAGTCGCAGCATTCTGGATTATGCAGCCTGCCATATGGTCGACAAGAGGGACGTTCTGATGCACATGACTTTGTTGAATTTTCTACGAGACCTTCTAGAGATCAGGGCTCCTGGACTTCGGGCCAGAGCATCCGTTTACTCCACATCGGCTTTTTCATCTCCAGCTCTTGACTTTTTGATCACTCACGATCTGCATTCAAGTGTACTGGAGTATTACTTGGACGAAACCAAACTGGATCCGCTAGATTTACGGTACCTTTACGGACCTATCATGGCTTACGTCGCACAGTATGCGGAGCTATATCCCAACCACTTGCTACAAAACCCAAGCAGTTTGCTTGACAAGATCATGTCGCGGGTCTCCGCATCCCTCGCCATTTCGTCTGCACAGTGGGCTCATGGTCCAACCCCCAGTGGCCAACTTAATGTCCTTGCCTCTCTACCCCGAGTGTTGCTTGTAGAAGCCAGCAAGCATGGGGTCAATCCCGTTCTGAGTATTCCGACGAGTCCTCCGTGTAAAGAGGCACTGGATGCACTGGCTAAGGTCTTTCATGGGCCCATGAAATCCGACGATTTTGTTGATTTGGTGGAGTTGAATACCTCTGGCCAAACACCAACGAATCGGTCCAAAGAAGCTGCCGCGGCTCGGATACTCTACTTCATGTATCTGAATGACCACGCCAACTTTTGGACAGATATCGTAACTGCAGCCGACCTTTTGACAATGAAGGATGTATCTTTAGCAGCCATATCCTTCATGAAAGCCATAATTACGGCAAATTGGCACGTCCTATCTGGCGAAGCCACCTCACCTATTCCTGATACTTCTCGCTATCAACTTCCTCTCGAAGAGGCCTTGGGGACCCTGTCTCCTGCTGCGCAGGGCGTACTTCCCTCGTCTGGTGTCTGGGCGGCTCTTACACCCCCTGCCTTGACCGCATTACTGCCGTATCTGTTCAAGCCACCACGCTCCTATGCCGAGTTCGTTGGGGGTGGCGCTGGGGACACTCAAAATGTCGTCTGGAAAGTTGCTACTGCGAAGTACGAGGTTCTGGTCGCGATGTACAATCAGTTGAAGGATACGGGCGACAAAGTCAATGGGTTCGAGGACATCGTTCGTACACTAAGGCAACGGGTCAGTGAAGGACCTTGGGGACCTGCTATGCAGACTATGCCTCGTGTGGAAACTGTAGGGTTATAAATTCAGATCACTATTGCTAGGTTTGAACCATTTGGGAGATTACGATGTAATGAATGATAAATTTGGACACTTGTCGCTACGAAATGGAACCATTCTTTACCACTATAATCCGAGTTAGAGCACTCAGACAGAGATAGGGTTAGAAGTTAGTGCCCTGATAACAATTCTGCCAAAGGCGGTGGAGTGGAACTTCGCCGGGACTTTTTTTCTTGACGGCTGTCATTTCCTTGTGCATCGCAACCGAGGCACTGTTCTTTCGGAGCTACATCTGCAGAATGGCAATTTGAGGACCCCGATATTTCTCTTCAAATATTAGGTTCGAGAACAGTCCCGTGAAACGGCCAACATGTCTCGATTTGGAGCCAAGAAAGGCAGAAAGCTACCCGGCGCAGAATTCAGCTGGGAGACGGAGCCTGGCGGGGAAGCCGACACAGCGCCTACACCTCTTTTTCCTGTATGTGTTGGAGGAATTCCCATATCTTCGCGAATCGCCTTCTGAAAATCGAATATCCAAAAAACAAAAATATGTTGTGGACCATCAACTCATCATCTCGTCTAGAAATACGCCGTGCCGCGCGCCAGACCGTTGAACCCCCGCGAACAGAGACAGGTCGATCTCTACCGTGCACTACGCGAACGCTTCCACGATGGACCTTACTACTCCGTCCTGCAGTCGACATCTATAGCGGCGAGGAAGGACGACCCGTCGCGCGCGCACTTTGACCCGTTTCACGGAATGCCTACGTACTCCGGCAAATACCAGAAGCAGAAGCGGGACCGTCCCGAGTTGAAGGGTCGCCCGTATGGTGAGTTTTTTCTTTGGGGGGGTGTTTGATTATGAGTGATGAAAGGGTATGGAGAACCGGGCTAAAGTTGTGGTACTGCAGTTATGAAATTCTTTCCCCGTCACCTGTGGAAGACAATCCAGCCGAATTTCAATCCCACCGTGGCTATGGATGGCTATGTGCCGGTTGGCCCGCGTTCGGCCATCAAGCGCGGATTCGAAGATGATGAGGAAGAAGAGGATGTTGAGGATACCAAGCGGCAGAAGGGTGAAGAGGAGGACGAAGGGGCGGAGAATGAGGATATCTTGGATGGGGATGAGGAGCAGGAAGAAGAGATCGTCGATGACGATTTTGAAGACGATGAGGATGAAATGGGCGGCGACTATAACGCGGAGCAGTACTTTGATGCTGGAGATGACGAGTACGGAGATGATGGGTTCGCGGATGGCGGTGGTGGAGGAGGCGATGAAGACACCTACTAAGGTGCGACGATTGAGATACCCCCCAATCTTGTATATTTTCTATCTTTAAGCGGTGCATGTCTATCGCATCGGCGGCGTTCAAAATATTCAGTTCTTGGTCTGGCTATATCTGCTGCGCATCTCCAGGTAAAGTCTCATAAGCTTTAACTATTATATCCATCATACAGAAGAACATAACATATACATAAATATGTATGTTTTCACTTCTAGAGGAAGTGTTTCGCTGTTGATATAAGTCTCTATCTCACATGAAATTATTGGCCTCAGGCGCAGACTGGCCTGAAGAAGATGATGTCATCTCCACCCGAGCGGGCCTGAGGCCTCCAAATGTCAATGATAGAGGGGCAACTCAGCTATCCCGATAATTATTTGCCCCGCCAAGAACACCATTGATACTCCCAGGATGAGCGAGGGTCAAACGCAGGCATCTCAGACACGGAGTGCCCTTGTCATCTATGGCTCCGAAACAGGGAATTCGCAGGAAGTGGCCGAGGAGCTTGGTGCGGTAACCGAGCGTCTGCATTTCGTGACTCATGTCGCCGAGATGAACGCCGTCACAGCCGTGAGATTGTCTAGACTGGGTTGTTGTGAGGGTGTGCGCTGACAGCGAAATGGTTTCACCTACAGGAGTCGCTCAGGTCCTACACGTTTACGATCTTTGTGATATCGACCACCGGGCAGGGTGACCTTCCGGCGAATGCGCGGACGTTCTGGAGGACGTTGCTCCTGAAGCGGCTTCCGCCGACGTTCTTGAGCGGGGTTAATTATGTTTCGTTTGGGCTCGGGGATAGTTCATATCCCAAGTAAGTGGCATGACCATGGCATGGATTGTTTGCTATGGCAGTGCTAATTGCAATCAACAGGTTCAATTGGGCTGCGCGCAAGTTGCACAAGCGCCTACTCCAACTCGGAGCTAATGAGATATATCCCCGCGGCGAGGCTGATCAGCAACATCCTGAGGGGTTTGTGTATTTTCCGACATCTATAGAGTGGCATTTGATTAACTCGATGTTAGGCTCGAAGGCACGTTTATTCCATGGTTAACAGGATTCCGCAAGCACTTGCTGGATCGATACCCCCTCCCTGCAGGGCTGCATCCGATACCGGACGATGTTCAATTGCCGCCAAAATGGATTCTACAATTGCGAGATGAAGATACAACAGATGCAGAGCCTACTAGTGGCCCGATAGCGACGGGACAGGTCGCGTCTGAAGAGTTCCCGGAGCTGACTCGGCTGGATCACGATGTCAGACCGATCCCGGATACCCTTACGGCGATCCTTGTAGAGAACCGGCGGGTCACGCCCCAAACTCATTGGCAAGATGTCCGACATATCTCGATGACTGTTCCCAATTCAGTAGCCTATGCGCCTGGGGACATGATCTGCATTACGCCCAAGAACTTCGATGATGATGTGCAGGCACTGATCGATATGATGGGCTGGGGTGAAGTGGCGGATAAGCTGGTGTCCTTGATTCCTGGAAAGAGCCTCCAGGATGTAGTGGAGAAGCCTGCTCCTCCTATACCTAACCTCGGAGAATACCCCAGAGCAACACTACGAGCGATCTTGACAGACTATCTCGATATCAGAGCTATCCCCCGACGCTCGTTCTTCTCCAGTATCGCACACTACACCAGCGATGAGATGCATAAGGAACGGCTCCTCGAGTTCACGAATCCCGAGTACTTGGATGAATTCTGGGATTATACCACGCGACCGAGACGCAGCATTCTCGAGGTCCTGCACGAATTCCACTCGGTCAAGATCCCATGGCAGCATGCGACATCGGTCTTCCCCATCCTCCGCGGGAGGCAGTTCAGCATTGCCAGCGGGGGCGAGTTGAAACAGACCGCTGACGGGGGAGCAAAGTTCGAGCTGCTGATCGCGATTGTGAGATATCAAACTGTGATCAGACGCATTCGGGAGGGTGTCTGCACAAAGTATCTGTCGGTACTCCGGCCAGGCAGTACGCTCAGAGTCCAGTTGCAGCGTGGGGGTCTCAACTCCTCCGCTAACCAGCTGGCCGGTCCGACCGTCCTCATCGGACCTGGCACAGGCGTCGCACCCTTGCGATCAATGCTCTGGGAGAAAGCGGCGCTTGTCAAGGCATATCGAGAGGAGCACCCAGATGGCAAACCCCCGATCGGGCCTACGATTCTTCTTTTCGGCGGTCGCAATCGAGCGGCCGATTTTTTCTTCGAAGAGGAGTGGCAGGAGCTGAGTAAACTGGTCGATTTGCAGGTCTTCACCGCGTTCTCGCGAGACCAGCGACAGAAGATCTATGTGCAGGATATCATACGACAGAATTTTGGGCTGTTCTTCCGACTGCTGCATGAGATGACGGGGTCTGTGTATATCTGCGGCTCATCAGGCAGAATGCCGCAGGCCGTGCGGGAGGCGCTGATCGAGGCATTTGAGCATGGAGGGCAAGAGGGAGCACAGCAGGTAGATCGACAGAGAGCCGAGGAGTATTTAATCGGGATGGAGAAGAGCGGGCGGTATAAACAGGAGACTTGGTAGTTGTGACTTTTTGGGGGGGGGAGGGGGGGGGATGAATGTCTGTCACATGCTGTTCTATCCAACTGTATATACGATTCCCCATAGAACAGACAATCGAGTGGATATCGTGGAGCAGACGCTTAGACAAACCGAAGACCCCAGAATCTCAATCTAGTATCTCATAGTTACCCGTCACTAATCCACATTGTCAAAAGCATTCTGGCTTGTTCGTCCAGTGTCCAATATCCATGTCCGTAACCTCGGTTGGAGACGGGAGACGATGATGCGGTTGCCAGTACATTCTCGGGCCGCATCGGCCATCAGGAAACCTGCGATCGCTTTCTCTCTCTCTCTCTCCGCCAAAAGTCACCTGCTTTCCAAGGTCCGTCGGAGTTCGCACCTTTGACTCTACTTACTTACTCTACAAGTCACCAGGTCAATTCGCCCTCTTCATTGATTTTACTTTTCGTTTTCTTTTTTTTTTTGCTCCTTTATCAGCATATATCATGAGCGGATTGCGAATTTTGGTCCCCGTCAAGCGGGTGATTGACTATGCGGTGAGTTTTTTGTCTGTTCTGCGGTTGCTCCGTTGTCGGTGGGAGGGATGGAGGAGTCAGAGCTGCGGCTGCAGCTTCAGTTTCAGCTCTAGCTGCTTTACTACTACTATTATGGGGGCTGTTATGCTTGAGGGTTTGCATAGGTTTCATTTCTAATTGTGGCCCATGGAAATAGATCAAACCCCGCATCAACAAGACGCAGACGGGCGTCGAAACCGCCGGCGTCAAACACTCGCTCAACCCGTTCGACGAGCTCTCGATCGAAGAAGCGGTGCGCCTCCGCGAACGCAAAGGCCCACTGAAGGTCGAGAACATCCTCGCGCTCTCCGCTGGCGGAGCCAAGTGCGCCGACACGCTGCGGACGGCGATGGCGATGGGGGCGGACCGCGCGTTCCACGTCGAAGTGGCGGACAGCAACGACGGGGGCTTGGAGCCGCTGACGGTCGCGAAGATGCTGCAGGCGGTGGTGAAGCAGGAGAACATCAACCTGGTGCTGCTGGGCAAGCAGGCGATTGATGGCGACCAGGGCCAGACGGGCCAGATGCTGGCGGGTCTGCTGGGGTGGCCGCAGGCGACGCAGGCGAGTAAGGTGGAGATCAAGGATGAGCAGGGGACGGTGGAGGTCACGCATGAGGTGGATGGCGGTGTTGAAACGCTGCGGGCGAAGCTGCCCCTGGTGATCACGACGGATCTGCGACTGAATGAGCCGCGGTATGCCAGTCTGCCGAACATCATGAAGGCGAAGAAGAAGCCGCTGGAGAAGAAGAAGCTGGCGGATTTTGGCGTGGAGGATCAGCGGCGATTGAAGACGATCAAGGTTACTGGTGAGTTTGCTCCTATTGTTCTTTCCACCCCCCTCCCTTCCAAAAAAGAAAGAGAAAAGAAAAAAGAAAAGCAAAAATTGGGTTCATTGGTATCTAACGTGGAAGTAGAACCTCCTGCGCGCCAGGGTGGTGGAAAGGTCGAGGATGTGGATGGTCTGATTGGCAAGCTCAAGGAGCTTGGTGCTCTGTGAGTTTGTCAAGGGTCAGATTCCCTTCGAAATGCTTTTATGTATGCTATCTATCTACCTGTTTCCTCTTATGATTAGAATTTTCTTGCGCGTGCGGCCCGCTATCTAGATCTACCATGTGAACGCACCCTTGATGATCTGGAGTTTCATTTTCTTTCTTCCAACCTTGACAATTTAGCCAAGCCATGGAGACTGGAGTCGAGCAAGGACATGAAACCCGAAATCCTCACTCCACCGATTCTGGCCGAACATGTCGCCACGCTATAGATCTCAATGACAGATCTCATGTGGAATTCGCATGAATTTGAAATCCTGGGATCTCCCGTCCCATTGCTACCCAAGTCTACGGTAGTTGGTCGTAGCGGCGCGATAGCCTTAAGCATAACCCCGGTTGCGGGGACGATGCAGTTCTTGTGGTAGGAAGACCATCTATCTAAAATCTACACATCTCTCTCAAATCTCAATAGAGGAAGTAGATCCTCACTACTCCCTCTCCCCGATCCCGCGAGATTGATCATATTTTTTTTGGGGGGGGGGGTGGTTGCTCCCGGGAAAGTATCCAAGTGATGCATCACAGACAGGAGATCTGGACTCTGGGCTCATCTAGTCAGTCTCGTGAGGCGAGTTCTCGAGTCCGATGATTGTTTGTGAGGAATCGGATGTGGGATGTCGATCGTGATTTCTTGGTTTTTCTCTTCTTTTTTTTTTGTTTTGTCTGAAGAGATGGCCAGATGCTTAGTAGGTTAAAGTAAAGTATTATCTAGTATCTAGGTGGTCATTCATTCCAACTATAGTACTGTATGTACTACTATACTATGTTGAAGTTGGATCTGCTGATCGCCGACGCATCCATCGAAGCTAATGTGTGTCATCTATCACATTTCGATGCGGGACTGGGATCATGGAAGGACTACAGACTCCAGTACGGAAGAGGTTTTTTTGGTAGTTTGCACTAAACTACAGTGGCTACAGAGTATGTAGATTGTGTAGACTCGACTGTACTCTGGATTCAGGACAGATTCGGAGGATTAGCCTGTGCAGATGTCGTACCTTTGTAGGGCCGAGACTGAAGGCAACTACCTACATAGTAGTATCTAGTTGTGTACGGAAGTCAAAAATCCTGACAGCTCTGGCTCTGCAGCGGACATATACATCGATCCATACATATGTAGTTAGTGGTAAGGGGACTATTGAAGATACCTTACTACAGTATGCTTTGGGGGGAAGACCAGACCTGTCATATAACCCAAGGGATAATTATTATTTTGGCTTTATTTTGATAATGATTAGTAAATTATTTTGTGTGGTTAAGTATAGATACATACTATTTTCATCTGAAGGGGGGGGTTCGTGATTCAGACTGACCGGGATTGGGATCAGGATGGCTGGGGACTGAAGGAGGTGGGAATTGGAGCTGTCATATGTATGCAGATTCCAGGGATGAGTCCAGGTATTGTCTCGAGAGATGGTTGATATAGACGGTACCTAGTGTAGAATGATATTGTACTGAAGCCTTATCGCTGGCAAGAGCCCACTTTGATGACACTGTGGTGAAGATGATGATGATGACGATGATGACATACATCCCTTCGTCCCTCTCTCTCTCTGCCTCTTCCTCTCTCTTCGCTTCTCTTCTCATTCATCCTCTTCTATCAAAATTACTTCCTTAGTTAGACTACTTCTCATCTCATCTCATCTCATCTCATCTCTGGTCCAGCCTTGGCACCACTAGAGCCCTTCCCAAACAATTCGATTCATTGCAACAATAGTTATGCTTTCCGATCCAGCCGTGCTGGTTCCGTTGACTATAGATACCTGAGAAAGAAAAGAAGAAAAAAAAAAAAAAAAAAAAGAAAATGACTGGATGGAGGAAATATTATTGATATAATACCACTGATGACTGCTTCTTTTATATCCTATACTAACTACATGCTCTTTTTTTTTGCCCTTTTTCCTTTTTCCCTTCCCAGTCTCTTCACTTTTGAACTTCACTCTCCCTTGACTCCTACCTCTGCATACCTTGCCGTACCTTATTATAAACCACCGACTTCATCCCCATCCCCATCGTCCGTCCTTCCCCCGTCCCTTAATTCCTGATTATTTATTGATCCTCCGTCTTCTTCTCTGACTGGCTCCTGCTGTGCTCAACCTGGTAAGTTTGCCCAAAAAGTTGGCCTTGATTTCATAATTCCTGGGTTCACTCCGTCCCATGGTTCCTCTGAGTACTTCCACTCTTCCTCTCTCTTCCTACCGTTTACAGCATAAGCACTCCAAACGCAAAGTCGCCACTCATCTGCCGTCCACGCGGATATCACGGAGTTCACCTGGTGGCTAACAATCTGTCTGGCGCTTCATATATATAGATATATATGCAGCTGCAGTTCAATCCCATAAATCACTTCTCCTAGACTATACATACTTATATATCCGCTTCGTTTGCAACCCCGGCTTCAACCTTGGTTAGTGGCATTCCTCGGCTGCGGCAAACAGAAGACCCAACACTATACCCCGTTTCCTCTCTCTGTCACACATTCCTGTGTCGCAAAAGGGAAGACCCGCTGGGCGCATGTTGACCGTTCCCGTCACGGTTTGACGTTTCGGGTCAAAGCTCCTCAGGTATAGAGAAGCGCGCTGTCCTCTCCGCTCTTTCTCCCGCCCCGAGGACTTGGTCCTATCTGCGGGGACGGCGGATTCAACTCAATTTCACCAGAACACTCTCTAACCCGCCGTCACGATGGCCCCGACAATCTGGGAAAGGGCCAAGGTCGGCGGCAAGAAAGGCTTCGATAAGGCATGGAACACAGTCGATAAGCTCGGCGCTCCCGTCAACCGTCTGTCGAATCGGGTCGGAGCCGAGGCCTTTTGGCCCATGACTCTAGACAAAGAAAGCGACAAGGCCGCTCGGATCCTTCGCAGCTTCTGCAAAGACGGGTTCTATGCCAATACCACAGAAGACGCTGATCGCATCAGCACGGATAGCAATGGCAAGATTGATCGCCCCAAGGGCAAGCAGCGAGTGCTCAAGAAGATTCCCGCCGCAGTCATCCAGCGCGCAGTGGGCCTCGCCATCTTCACGACCATGCGGACGGGACTCTGGGTAAGTGGCTCGGGAGGCAGCGGTGTGCTCCTGGCCCGGATCCCCGAGACAGGCGAATGGAGTCCCCCATCCGGGATCATGTTGCATACCGCGGGGATTGGGTTTTTGGCCGGCGTTGATATCTATGACTGCGTGGTGGTCATCAACACACACCAAGCGCTGGAGGCTTTCAAGAAGGTGCGGTGTACATTGGGAGGAGAAGTCAGCGCAGCGGCTGGTCCATTTGGACTGGGAGGAGTGCTCGAGTCGGAGGTTCACAAGCGACAGGCGCCTATTTGGACGTATATGAAGAGTCGGGGTCTGTACGCGGGTGTCCAAGTCGATGGCACGGTTATCATCGAACGCACGGACGAGAACGAGCGATTCTACGGCGAACGTATTTCGGTCAATGATATTCTGGCCGGCAAAGCGAGACATCCCCCGAGCGCCATCCGGACGCTCATCCAGACCATCAAATCCGCTCAAGGCGACACTGACGTCGACGAGGACGTGATCCCTTCACCAGGAGCCACACCGGGTGACGTCGAACTCCAACCTGCCTCCACCTTTGGGGTTCCAGACCCCGAGGATCCTGATCCGTTTGGCGTCAAGGCCCTAGAAGCTGAGGGATTGTTCATCCGCGAAGCTGGCACTCGAACGCGTCCGACGCAAGCTGTTTTCGAATTTAAGCCCAGTCCTAGCAGTCCCATCTACTCCACTTTCCGGCGCAGTATGGACAGTTCGCCTCGCAGCAGCTGGCGCGCTAGCGTCCAGAGCCACATCAGTGTGGACCGGGGGACGCAGACTGACGGTGCACCCTTCACGGCGGCCACCTCGGTCAGTCGGGCCTCATCACGAAGCAATCGAAGTGTTGCGGGTCGCACCGAAGCCAATCCGTGGGACGGGTGGGAAACCGTGATACCCGAGCGACCCACCGATCTGACCAGAGATCGAGACTATGACAGTGACCAGGATTCATTGGATGACGATTTCGAGGTGCACGAGATCAGCAGTGTCACGGTCTCCAAGCGCGAGAGCACCACTCCCTCGTCTCCTGTCTCGATCGAAGATACCACCGTCCCTCCTGAAGTGAAACGCCATTCACCCACCTTCACCCGTGCCCGCCTCGTTACCATTCCCAAGCGTCTCCCCCCAACCCTCCCCCCTCGGAACCCATCCCGACAGCCCGTCTCCCAATCGACACCAACCTCCCCTACGTCTCCTACTTCCTCCTCGCCGGATGGCCGGCGGTCCGTGGTGTCCAACCCTGGACAGTCGACCAACGCCTTCTCTGAACTTCCTTTCCGCCCTCTCGACGACTCGACGACGAGCCTCCCCTTGAACGAGATTTCATTGTCACCGACGCAGGCGCCCACGGAGAAGGACGAGTTCCACTCCGTGTCCAGTGCTCAGGTCTCGGACAATGAGCTGGACGACAAGGAGGTGCCTAGCCTTGAGCAATTGAAAATGAAAACCTCAGCCGAGAGTGAGGGCACTTCCACTGAGAAGGCGGAGAGTGAAGAAACCACACTTGAGGGGGGCAAGAGCCCGGTTGAGAGTGAAAAGTCTCCAGTCGAAAGCGAGAAGGCGGAGGTCAAGTCAATTGAAGCCAAGTCAGAGACTGCCGGCGACGAGTCGACTTCCACCCTGGAAGTAAACGGCTTGGACTTGGAAAAGACCAAGTCTCTCTCCGAGAGCGATAGCCACAAAACCGCCGCGGAACTCGCGCATGCCACATAGGCTGTTTATATAATCTCCTTACCCAATCTCGTTGTATATATGTTTTCTTCATCGCATTGACGGGGCCTTGCTGTATGTTTTGACGGATTCCACCATTGTCACATGTGAGGGTATTGCATGGAACTTGTGGATGTCTTTTGATTATGAACTGCTTGCGTTTATTCTCTGATTATCATTAGCGTCTGTCTGCTGGAACAATTGGCAAGGATACCTGGCGTTTGGTCGGAGAGTATTCTAGAGTTGCAGGATTGAATGTTTCTCTAATTTTCTCCATTATTAGTTAGATGGCATGACATCTGGGCATTGAAGCTACATCGTTGTCAGTCTTTCAGTCTCTTGAGACACATGAAATTTGTCAATGACCTCAATTTCTCTTCTCTCGTTTCACCACTTAAGACCAATCCAAGTTGATGAGCTTAGAGAAGACAGCTGAGCTGAAAACCCAGTCATCAGTCATGTCAGGCAAGCCCCAACACCTCTTTGCACCCAACAAAACAAAGGCACCTCCCACACCCAGAGCAACTTGAATGCAAGCCCACTGATGCCTTGAGCCCTCCCATCATTCCCAAGCTTCAGACCCTGTTCTTCAGAATCCACTCCAGGGCCAACTAGTAGACTAGTACTGTGTGGTTTAGTGCCATCGTCAGTCAATTGTGTGGGGAGGAAACCAAAAAGTGGACCCAGACCCCCTTTTCTGCCTGAAATCCGCGGCCGTCTCACACTCATCAGCAGGCAGCAGCGCGCATCTATGCCTGGGTTCTCAGGCCACGATGTGATGCAGACCCCCAGGAGAGGCGTTGATAAATAGCGAGCAGAACCAGCCGGTTCCAGCTCGGAACTTCTGTTTTGTTGTGTGTCTTGAACATTTGAATATACCAATTCCTTTTGGACTTTTCTTAAATTTGAGACGGTGTTCGGTGGTGTCTTTCTTCCTTCCAGTCTCCTATTATTCTCCTTGGCTGATTGTTTGTTTACTTCTACTACCTTACTATCTACTCCGTACGGAGTATCTACATCTATCTCATCCATCCACACACACATCTCTTGTCTACCATCCCTTACCCTACTCCCATCATCTCCAGGGAAGAGAGAAAAAAAAAAGAGAAAGAAAATGCCCCCCCGCTCCTTCAAAAAGCTCTCCATCGCCGTAAGCGGCACCTTCCCGGGCTACAAACAGGGTACGTTCCGCACCCCCCCCCCCCCCGACTTCTCTCTCTCTCTCTACCTCCGAACATCCATACGGGAACTACGAGTCCGCTAACGACTCCCGCACCTGTGCGCAGCGGACCTGAAATCCATCATCGAGGCACACGGGGCGAGTTTCGCGGCCAGCGTGGGCGATGGGTGCACGCATCTCGTGAGCACGAGGAAGGAGGTCGAAAAAGGGAGTGTGAAGTGTGAGTTTTGTGATTTTTCTTTTCTGCCTTTCTCTCTCTTTTTTTTCGCATTATTTGCTTGGGGTGGTGTAAGTGACGGGGGTGTTTTCTGTGGTTGCGGTTATTGACGGAGAGTAGATAAGCAGGCGTGCGCGGTGAAAGGGTGTGACGTTGTTTCGCTGGACTGGTTGCTTGAGTCGGATAAGGCGCGGAAGCCGCTGGCGGCGAAGGCGTATCTGCTTGCGCCGGGGGGTGGGGATGCGGAAACCAAGGCTCCGAAGGAGCAGAAGAAGAAGCGGAAGATTGATGCCGTTGATGCTGACGGGGATGTGAAGGTGGAGGCCGAGGCAAATGCGAATGGAGATGCGAATGGAGATGCGAATGGGCACGCGGATAAGGCCGTCAAAGCAGATGCAGATGCAGATGACGCAGTGCCGAGCAAGAAGCAGAAGGCCGAGACCAAGGCGCTGAAGGTGCCCGTGGACGAGGGCTGCATGCTGCCGGGTATGTTTGAGGCTCCAGGCGTCTGGGGGCGGGCATATGTAGATGCTGACTGACTTGTCTAGCGGAGGTGTACATCGATGACGGGTTGATCTGGGACGCGACGCTGAACCAGACCAACTCCGCCAATAACAACAACAAGTTCTACCGCATCCAGCTGCTGCTGGAGACCTCTAGTAGCTACCGCACATGGACGCGCTGGGGCCGCGTCGGCGAGTTTGGGTCCACGGCCCTGCTGGGCGATGGCACGCTGGAGAGGGCCAAGGCCGAGTTCGAGAAGAAGTTCAAGGATAAGTCCGGGCTGAAGTGGGCGGATAGGCTGGATCCCCCTAAGGCGAAAAAGTACACCTTCATCGAGCGCAACTATGAGGAGTCGGACGATGAGGAGGATGCGGACGATGCAGAGAAAATGGACGTGGACGGGGCGGCGGAGGACAAGAAACCCGTGGAGAGCAAGCTGCCGCAGGCCGTGCAGAAGCTCCTGACCTTCATCTTCAATCAGCAGCACTTCCTGTCCACCATGGCGTCCATGTCGTACGATGCGAAGAAGCTGCCCCTGGGCAAGTTGAGCAAGCGCACTCTCACAACGGGTTTCCAGGTTCTGAAGGACCTGTCCGAGCTCGTGGCGGACCCCACGCTGGCGAGCTCGCGCTACAGCACCGATTTTCAGACTGCGGCGCAGGATCTGAGCAACCGCTACTTCACGATCATCCCGCACGACTTTGGGCGCAATCGTCCTCCCGTTCTGAACGGCGATGATCAGATCAAACGCGAGGTCGAGCTGCTCGAGGCACTGACGGACATGGGAGTCGCCAATGAGATCATGAAGGTTTCGCGAGACGCCGAGATGATCAACCAGCTGGACCGTCAGTACCAGGGCCTGGGAATGCAGGAGATGACACCACGTATGTTCTTTGTAGCCAACCGATCCGTGAAAGATGCTAAATGGGATAGTGGCCCGCGCCTCGACCGAATACCGCGAGCTGGAGGCGTACCTGAACAACTCCCGCGGCTCAACGCACCATCTCCGCTACAATGTAAGTCACCTCCATGCGTTCCATGACCGAAGTCAGACTAACCAAAACCAGGTCGCCAACATCTTTCGCATCGAGCGTCAAGGCGAAAACGACCGATTCAATGCCTCCTCCTATGCCAAGATAGAAGGCAGCGACCGCCGTCTCCTCTGGCACGGCTCGCGCAGCACCAACTTCGGTGGTATCCTCAGCCAGGGCCTGCGCATCGCACCCCCCGAAGCACCCGTGCAGGGCTACATGTTCGGCAAGGGCGTCTACTTCGCCGACATGTCAAGCAAGTCCGCCAACTACTGCATGCCGTACAACAGCGCAAACATGGGCCTGCTCCTTCTCTGCGACGTCGAGGTCGGCAACCCCATGTTCGAGCAGACGCACAGCAACTACAACGCCGGCACCGACGCCAAGGCTGCTGGCAAGATCGCGACGCTGGGTCGTGGTCACACGATCCCGGGCGCCTGGAAGGACGCTGCTTGTGTCAATCCTGCGCTGGCGGGTGTGCAGATGCCGGATGTCGCGCAGCCGGCAACGAGTGCAAACGCCCCCAGTCTGATGTACAACGAGTATATCGTCTATGATGTGGCGCAGATCCGGCAGCGGTATCTGTTCCATGTCCATATGAACTGAGCGTGAGCTCGGGATGTGATGATACGCATGGTTGGCGTTCGGTGGATGGCATAGCGAGGGATCTTTTTTTTCTTTATTTTATCTTGAGGCTGGTCTAGTTCTCCTCTGGTTTTCGGGTTTATCTTCACAATTAAAGCTGCTTTGCATCTTAGTGCATTTATGGGGTTCTGCAGGGTGATTAGTCGATCTTCACACTCCTCTTCTGTATCGTCTTATTTCTCACTGCAACTCCATCTGTCAATCGACCACATTAACAAAATGATCATGAGTTGGTGGGATACTTGCGACTTTATGTGCTGTGGATGTGATGGTCCACATTCCATAACAGAATAATCTGCCTGTCTCGATGATCAGCAGTGGCTGTCTATCTATCGACGTGACCCGCCAATCATCCACACTGCTATCGAGAATGACTCCATCCCATCTGCCGGCTTGAGTCCTTGACTATATAAAGCGCCCCATCATCCGTTTCTCCCCATTCTTATCTTCTTCCCCAGTTTGATGAGCGGGTGAAATGTGGTCTCTTGTATCCCTTGTTACGGCGGGCCTGGCGACCGTCGCGTCGGCACAGTATTTCCCGCCCACGCCAGAAGGGCTGAAGGTGGTGCATTCAAAGCACCACGAGGGCGTGAAGATCTCATACAAAGAGGTACAACCGTCCCCGCGACTCCTTGACTTTTGACTTTGGCTAAAAAAGAACAACTCCATCCCCCCAGCCAGGAATCTGCGAAACTACGCCCGGAGTCAAGTCGTACTCTGGCTACGTGCATCTCCCGCCCAACACGCTGGCCGACGTGCAAGTCGACCAGCCGTACCCGATCAACACGTTCTTCTGGTTCTTCGAATCGCGCAACGACCCGCGCCATGCGCCGCTCGCCATCTGGATGAATGGCGGGCCCGGCAGCTCGTCGATGATCGGCCTGCTGCAGGAGAACGGCCCGTGCACTGTCAACGCGGACTCGAACTCGACCGAGCTGAACCCCTGGTCATGGAACAACTACGTCAACGTCCTCTACATCGACCAGCCCAACCAGGTCGGATTTAGCTACGACGTCCCCACGAACGGGACCTACGACCAGCTCTCGGGCCGCTGGAACGTGTCCGCGTGGGCCGGCGGCGCGGACGCGGGCCCGGTGCCGCAGCAGAACAGCACGTTCTACGTCGGCACGTTCCCGAGCCTGGAGCGCAGCCATGCGGCGAACACGACGGCTAACGCGGCGCGCGCGCTGTGGCATTTCGCGCAGACCTGGTTCGCTGAGTTCCCCGCGTACAAGCCGCACGATGACCGCGTGAGCATCTGGACCGAGTCGTACGGCGGGCGGTACGGGCCGGCGGTCACAGCGTTTTTCCAGGAGCAGAATGAGAAGATCGCGGCGGGGACGCTGGCGGGGGCGTCCGGCGATTATCAGCAGATCCATCTGGACACGCTGGGGATCATCAACGGATGCGTGGATCTGCTGACGCAGGCGCCCTTCTACCCGGCGATGGCGTACAACAACACCTACGGCATCGAGGCGATCAACCAGACGGTGTACGAGCGCGCGATGCGGGCGTGGAGCAAGCCCGGCGGGTGCCGGGACTTGATCGTGCGGTGCCGGGAACTGGCGGCCGAGGGCGACCCCGCTATGCACGGCGGCAACGAGACGGTCAACGCGGCCTGCCGCGTCGCCAACAACTACTGCAACAACCAGGTCGAGGGCCCGTATCCGCTGTTCTCGGGCCGCGGGTACTACGACATCGCGCACGCCAACCCGGACCCGTTCCCGCCGCCGTACTATCTGGGGTTCTTGAACCAGCACTGGGTGCAGCGCGCGCTGGGCGTGCCGATCAACTTCACCGAGTCTGTGGAGAGCGTCTACGACGCCTTCGGCGCGACGGGTGACTACCCGCGCTCCGACGTGCGTGGGTACCTCGAGGACCTGGCGTACGTGCTCGATGCGGGGATCAAGGTGGCGCTGGTGTACGGGGACCGCGACTATGCGTGCCCGTGGAACGGCGGCGAGGAGGTCAGCCTGCGGATCGCGCACGCGGACGCAGACCGGTTCCGCGCGGCGGGGTATGCGCCGCTGCGGACGAACGCGAGCTACGTCGGGGGCAGCGTGCGGCAGTACGGCAACTTCTCGTTTGCGCGCGTGTTCCAGGCCGGCCACGAGGTGCCAGCGTACCAGCCGCAGACGGCGTATGAGATCTTCCACCGGGCGCTGTTCAACCGCGATATTGCCACGGGGAAAGTGTCGCTCGTGACGAATGGCACATATGCAAGTGAGGGGCCGTCGTCGACGTGGCAGATCAAGAACGAGGTGCCTGACAGCCCAGCGCCGACGTGTTATGTGTTGTCGCTGCGGGCGTCCTGCACGGATGAGCAGATCCAGGGGGTGGTGAATGGGACGGCGGTTCTTGAGGATTATATTGTTGTAAATATTTAGGTAGGCCGTAGATAGTAGGAGATAGCATATTCCATGTCGTTTTGTCGGTGGACACATCGTCCAAGTGGATGTGAGGCTATCCCAAGTACCCCGCAATGGGCGACTGACCGCCAGATGAATCAATCCGCATGAGTCTGCATCATCAGCATCAGCATCATCAGCATCAGCATCATCAGCATCATCATCACCGTAGTTCTGCGTGCATCGTGCTGGATAGAAACGAAGTAGGGAACCATCGACCACCGACTCATCTCATCATCATCGCCATTGAAAGTCCATTTCTCGAGCTTCAACGCATCGAACCTTCTCGAACCTTCGACCACTACTGCCTTGCAACGTCACACGTCATGTCGGCTTCGCTTTGATCTCAGCTCAGCTCGTCCTCCATTTCCCCCCCCTCAACCACTTCCTCACTCTCTGTAAATCCTCAACTCATCAAATGTGAGGCAAGAAAAAAAAACAACTTTCTCGAGAGTTGATGTGCTCTGGAAAATACATTCCTCGGATAGTGTGCACTGGCTGAAGTACTCTCTCAACACCGCGGAACCCACCTTTTGTATCGCTCCCCGGAATCTTCTACGTCATTCGAGATCCTCCCTCATCCGACCTCCCCAACTTCCACTGTCGCATGACGATTCTCTTCCGTGGCCTGACTTTCCATCCGTCTATATTATCGCTGCTTCCTCGTCCTGTACTCATCCCTCGCTAAGCACACATATACATACAACACAATGGTTGCCGAAACAAAGCTATACGACTCCCTCGGCATCAAACCCGATGCCACTCAAGATGAAATCAAAAAGGCCTACCGAAAAGCCGCGCTGAAATACCATCCGGACAAGAACAAGAATGACCCCAAGGCTGCGGAGAAGTTCAAAGGTATGTCCTACCCCCTATCCTATGGATCTGGAACGCGTATCGGCTGCATTGATTGCTAACTACCATGGTAGATGTCTCCCAAGCCTACGAGGTCCTCTCCGATCCCGAGAAACGCAAGGTTTACGACCAATTCGGTCTCGAGTACCTCCTCCGCGGCGGTCCTCCCCCCAGTGCCGGCGGCCCAGGCGGCTTCGAAGGCTTCGAGGGTGGTATGCCCGGCGGCTTCGCCTTCGGCGGCATGCCTGGTGGAGGCGGCGGCGGCGGCACCCGTACCTTCCACTTCTCGACCGGCCCCGGCGGCGGCGGCGGCGGCGGCGGTGGCTTCCGCTTCAGTTCTGCGGATGATATCTTCCGGAACTTCGCCAAGGCGAGTGGCGGAGGCGGCGGGGGCGGCGGTGGGATGGACGACGATCTGTTCAATATCCTCGGCGGCGGGCTAGGCGGCGGTGGTGGACGGGGCTTCCGTGCGAGCCGTGGGCCTGGGGGTGCGGGTGCAGGCGGGTTCCCGTCGGCGCACCGCGCGCCAACACCGGAGCCGACGGTCGTGGAGAAGGAGCTACCGCTGACACTCGAGGAGATCTTCAAGGGTACAACGAAGAAGGTGACGGTGAAGAGCAAGACGTTCGATGCGAGCGGGAAGCGCACCGTCCAGGATGTGACGCTGGAAGCCAACATCAAGCCTGGTCTCCGGACGGGCTCGAAGATCAAGTATCGTGGTGTGGGCGACCAGGAGGAGGGTGGACGGCAGGACGTCCATCTCATCGTGACAGAGGTATGTTATTTTTTCCCCCGTCCATCTTTATTGACTTTCTAGAAATTACATGCTAACAATCCGCCAGAAACCCAACCCCAACTTCAAACGCCAGGGTGACAATCTCATCACCACCGTCGAGCTCTCCCTGAAAGAAGCCCTCACCGGCTGGGAACGCATCGTGCGCACCATCGACGGCAAATCCATCCGCGTCTCCAAGCCCGGTCCCACACAGCCCGGCCACGAGGAGAAATTCCCCGGCCTGGGCATGACGATATCCAAGAAGCCGACCGACCGCGGCGACCTCGTCGTCCGCGTCAACGTCAAGTTCCCTGCGACACTGACAACTTCACAGAAGGATATCCTGAAGGATGTGCTGCCGTGATCGTGATGATGAAATGATGGGATGATGGAATGATGGGTTCTAGGTTCTGGGTTCTTTTTTTTTGGCATTTGGCGGCGTTTCGGAGTCATAGATTACCAACTGACTGACTGGCTGGCTCCTGTTCTTATAAAATAATATCGACTTGGTTGTTTGATACGTACTCGAGTCTACTGGACGACGTGAATAAAAGGTTACTTAGGTTCAATAGTACTGTTTGTTATAGTTACTCTAGCAGAGTCATTTTTCCCTCTGGGAACATATTACGTCTCTACCGAGTCTATAACCACTCCCACCACCGATCTTATAGAGTAATAGTTCAAATTATCCTTATGATAACCCCCCTCCGCGAAAGCGAGACTCCTTCACAAAATACACAAAACACAAAGCACCGCAGCTAGTCATGCTCAACATGCCCGCCCATCCCCAGGGATAGAAGCTCCAAGACCTGATCCACCATCATGGTATCTGGATCGAACGGACCAAATGTGGCAGTCTTGAAGCTGCGCATGCACCAGATTTGCAGGTGATTCCCTTACTGATTTGGGCGGGGTGGTGTGTTCCCTGGGACCCAGCTCTTGGTGTTGGGGGGGTCTGTCTTCACTGTTACATACTCACCACTTAGCTGAAAAGGGAGGTCCAGACATCACTAGGTTCCTAGCTGGTCAGTGAGATATGTAGCTTGTTTGAAAGGGAAAAAAAAAAAAAAAAAGATACTCATCCCTACCTAGTCCTAACACACACATTAAATTAGCCCTTGTAGGTGTACTACTAGGTGCTCCCTAGCCAGCACACAATTATCCAGTCCGTACTCCGTACATGGCTGTCGAAGACCAGGGACCAGGTGACAGGGGAAGACATTGTTGAGGGGCAGCTTTCATCTCCTTTGGGCGCTGACAGTTTTTTATGGCAAGAGTCCCGAGTCCCGACTATCATCGGAGTACACAGTACAGCCAAACCTAAGTACTCCGTAAGCAGTGGCAGCCCGGTCTGGATGAAGGATGTGATCTCCAGACTCCAATCCCCCATACTTGTCAACAGCAACAGGGTAAACGGAGACGATGAGCAAGGGGACTGCGATGCCTTAAGCTGATTCATTGGGCCATTCGTAAGCTAGATAATCTATTGCTCTGTAGACTGTATGACTGTATGCGTCTAGCTGCAGCTGTCAGCATGCATGCATGTATGTATGTATGTGTGGAATCCATGCATGCATCCGGTTTCTCCAACGCCTGTTCCTGACAGGCTGACAGAGTAATATAGCCTAAATCCTAATACTACTAGATGTTCGAAAGCTAGTGGGTGACACTAATGCGTTGACGATCCTAATGTCAAGGACGTTACAAACTAGATTTGAGCAGGACGAGGTGGGCAGTCAGCCACAATAAGCCATAATTACTGTAAGGAACTAGAGCCTCGCGAGAATACTATGTATGTACTCCGTAGAGGATCTTCGAGAGATGGTTGACCAGACAAGTCCGAAGGACTAGGAGTCAAAATTTCCCAGCTTGGTAAAGTCTAGGCGCACTCTATATTGATCCTCAAGCCACTGCCTGTGCCTTGACCGGCTCAGCCACCGAATAAATACCCGCACGTTGATACACGTCCTTATACTTCTGCCGCACATAATCATCCACCGAGATAGGCGCGTACTTCTCATCGTCCGGCCTTGCGCGGCACGACTCAATGCACCGGATGATGAAGTCCGGATTGCCATTGTAGTTGAATGGGATGGAGTACCGGTCAACATCGGAGCGGTTGATGACCCGGTGCACGTTGGAGATATATTCGTCGTTTGTCCACTGCTCGAACAGATTCCCTAGGTTCACAACATACGCGCCCTCGACCGGTGGCGCAGGGTAGTATGACTTCGTTTCCTCATCCCACACCTCCAGCCCAGGCACATCACCCTGCAGCAGTAGCGTGATGACGCCAAAGTCGCGGTGGGCGCCGATTCCGCGCTGCAGCAGGTCTGCGTCCGCCGGTTGGGGCGGGTAATGGAGCAGCTTGTAGAAGGCCATTGGCTCCGTGCAGAACTCGTCGAAGTAATGCTCGTCGTAGCCCAAGGATACGCCGATGGCTTGCAGGACTTTCTCCGTCAGCGCGCTTACCTGGTTCAGGTAGTCCATGCAGGTTTCGCGGAAGTGCGGGCCCAGCGACTCGGGCCAAAGGTTGGGTCCGTGAGCGAACTTCTTGGAGAGGACTTGGGGGTGGTCTGGGGACAGGTCTTGGGCGACGTAATAGCCTTCTTTGAGGTCTGGTTTGGTGTCCTTTTCGATCATCTGGCCGTACATCACTTCATAGCCGCGGTTGTGGTCGTTTTGGGCTAGAGGAAGATGAGTGATAATTAGATTTGATGTCTAGGAGAAAGGGGAGGTAATACATTTGTCCAGTTTCATCTTTTCCTCCAGGGGAAGAGCGAAGAACTCCGTAGACAGCTTGAACATTTCCCGCTGCAGGCTGAGTGGGATCGGATGGTTGACGATCTGGAAGAATCCCAGGGTTCGGCAAGCATGCCCGATTGCCTCGGTGCATTTCTTTTGGCGCTCTAGGTCGCCGGACAGGAAATCACCAAAGTCAATAACTGGAGGAGAAGGCATAATGTTGTAAAATCTCTTGTGTTGTTTGAAGGCTGAATTGAAAGAAGTGAATTGAGCTGGGCTAATTGAGGAAGACGTGCTGCTTATATATCTACCCCTCGTACTCTCTCGTTTGTAGATGATACTTGCTCCGTGCCCGGATCCGCGGTCCAAACTGGTAAAACACCCAGGGTAATGGCGCCATTGCGAGAGCCAGGAATCCCAGCAGGCTCGTCGCCCACGATACCCCAAGGGCATGATACATATCTGTTGAAAAGAGGGGAAACACGGCCCCAAATAGTGAGCGCAGCACTGCATTAGCTGCTAATGCACTTGCCCCAAATAAGCCGTAACAGTCTGTCAGATATGATGTGATCCCTGTGAAAAGCAGAATAAGGCCAAAACCAAAGGGCACGCCAGCCGCGATTCCAGAGATCCAATGGGTGGGTGGGGAAGCCGTCCAGGCGAACCAGAATAAGCTGATTGGGATCAGCCAGGAGACGATGATCAGATGCGGGAGACGGGCCTCCGGGTGAGAGCCGCCTAGTCGCCGGGTGTATATGCCATAAATTCGATTGACATATGGCGAAGTCAGGGTGGCGATGGCCATACCAACGCATATCCCTAGAAAGGAAAGCCCTGTAGTGCCAGCCGCCCAGCCTCGTGTCTCATGATAGACGACAGGATAGGCGGTGAAATCCAGGTAGAGAATGCCGTAGATAAAAGCCATATACAGGGACAGCAGAAACAGGATTGGTTCCGTGAATAGCATCAGCCATGGACGGGTTAGCGTCGTGTACAGTATCTCCTTGACAGGGGGGTGATTAGCTGGGGAATAACCCGGCATGCGTCGTCTTTTATCCATGAGCAGCTTAGGTAGGTATGTCTCAGGGAGAAATATCATCATTGCCACATAGCAGACCCCACTGATGATAAGCACTACCCAGAAATTCCACCTCCATGATGTGTACTGGCAAATGAAACCCCCCACCATAGGCGCAATAACAGGCCCTAGGAAGCTAGCCGCAGAGAAGAGGGCCAGAGGCACAGACCGGTTTTCTTGAGGCCAGATGTCGGTGATAGACCCGCCTGAGTTGGTTACCGTGGGAGATCCGAAAAAGCCGGAGAAGAAACGAAAGACAATCATCGATGCCACGTTGGGGGCTAGAGCACAGCCAATCTGGAACAAAACGAAAAGCCCCAGCACGAACCGGAAGATCGTATTGCGACCCCTGCGTTAACCGCGTCAGTGTGAGTGTGGCCATCTTGTAGAAAGCTGCAGTCTATAATTACCACACTTCCGACAGCGGCGCAAACAGCAGCGGCCCGGATGCGAATCCCAGTAGGAAGGTTGTAATCCCTAGCGCAGCTACGGTTGATGAGCAGCCATATGCATGTGTGATCGAGGGAATAGCAGCTGTGTAGATGCTCGAGCAGAAGGCAATCATTGCTGTCATCAACACCAGGATCCCCGTACAGATCCCTGTCCCAGTGTGAGCAATAGTTATGGAGACACCAAAAGTTCACTTACATTTCTTAACCGGGGGCCAGAATTTTGGGTCTTCATGTTCCTCTATCAGCACGGGTTGTCCCCCTGGAACGGGGGCTTTTGCTTCGATATCCCCTTGTAGGTGCGGTTGATTTTCCGTGCTCATGGCTCCGATAGATCAATTGACAAACTAGTCGTCAAGGACCGCGGGTTGCGATGGGTTTAATGTCTGTTCTGGTGATGTCGAGACCGGAGTCGATGGCGTGATCAGACTCGCGGAGACCCCTGGAGACTGATATCGCGGTGTTGATCAGGGATGTGTGTGTGTGCGAAGACGAGGCGAGGCTGTAACAGAGAAATGCAGTCTAGCAAAGAGAGGACTGGGGCCCGACGAGTCGCATTGGGTGAGCTCATCTTGCGGCGGGGAAGACGCACGTTATTATCACATTATGCCTGTTTCACCCAGCGGGTCTTTGGTGATAAAACAAAGAGACAGGGGGATCTGGAGGTCACAACTCACAAGGAGTCAGTTGATTATTAATGGTGTTATGTACATGCGGTTACTCCTGTTAGGTTCACTCACTCATTCCACTCACTATTGGCCAGCCCACACTACTACCTCGAATGCTTATCTACAGTAGGCTCAAATCTCAATATGACTGGCAATAACTAATATGTACTTATTATGTACGGATACATCCGCTATCGATCCTCCTCGTAGTGTCCTGCACTCCTGCTGTACGGCACAGTCATTCCCCTTTCATCCATGGCAGCACGGCACGGAGTGTCCGAAAAGCATCCAAAAAAAGCAACGATCACCCTCTATCCTCTCAATACCGAGTGATAATATTGTTTCTGACCTGCATATCACCTCATCGTCGAGTAACCTTCCTCGAGAATCGACCATGAAAATGAACGATGCGTTTGATTTTGATTCATTAGCCAGTGCGTCATCTCAGAGGGATTGATGTGTTCTCTCTTTCTCGATATCTTCCTGTAATCCCTTCCTCCATTTCAGCATGGAAATAGGCATCGTCGGTGCCGGTGTATCTGGTCTATATACCGCGCTCCTTCTCCAACGAGAAGGCCACCGGGTCACTCTATATGAGGCTAATTCCCGCATTGGCGGCCGCATCTACACCCATCGCTTCCAAGCCCCCAACTCCAATGAAGATATCTACTTTGAAGCCGGGGCGATGCGCATCCCCCGTTCGGCCCTGCATTCTCGCGTGTACCTCTTCATTCAGTACCTCAACACCCACGGCCGCCATGAAGACAAGATCGAACTGATGCCGTATGTCCTCGAGCAGCGCAACAACATTGCCTTCATCCGCAACAAAAAGGTGAATGTCGACGATCCCGCTCTCCCGGCGGAGTGTGGCCTCCCGGCGGAGTATCATGGGAAATCCGCGCGACAGCTGCTCGGCGAAGTGGTCGCGCCATGGCTGAGCCTGCTTCACAAGAACTTTCAGGCTGGGTTTGCTCAGCTGCTAAGCCTTGATGAGATATCATTCCGGATGTACCTACGGCTCATAGTCGGGTGGCCGCACGAGGTGATTGAGTTCGTCGAGCTGATGAACAGCCAGACGAACCAGTACGATCTGAGTTTCACGGAGATTCTGATGCAGAATCTCGACTTCCATACCCGGGACTGGAGCACGATCCACGGGGGTATGTCGCGGCTCACAGAGAGTGCGGCGAACCTCATAGGCCGCAAACATATCCATCTCAACGCGCGGGTCGATTCGATTAAGGAAAACCCAGACGGGACCATCGCACTGTCTACCGGTGCTCACCATGCCACATTCGACAAAGTCGTTCTAGCGATCCCCCCGGCAGCCCTACAAAGTATCCGTGACCGCCCCACCTGGTCCTTCATGAAAGAGCAGGCCCTGCGCGCGATCCACTACGAGCCTCTCTACAAAATCGGCCTACACTTCCGGACCCGCTTCTGGGAGAGGCTTTCCACTCCTTGTCGCGGCGGCCAGAGCGTGACCGACCTCCGCTTCCGCTGGATCGTGTATCCATCGAATGATATCGGAGGTGCGGGGTCCGGTGTGCTGCTGCTCTACTGCTGGATGAACGATGCTTACAGGATGGCCTCCCTCCCGCGGGATCAGCGCGTGTCTCTTGTGTTGCACGATCTCCAGCGCTTCTACGCGGACACAAACATCAAAATCTCCGACGAATTCATCGACGCCTTTGACGTATGCTGGAATCAGCAGTCGGCGACGGGGGATGCAATGTTTCTCCCCGGACAATTTCGACGGTTCCACGATATCTCGCGCCGCGAAGAAGGTAGTATCTATTTCTCCGGGGAGCATTTGAGTAGACATCATACCTGGATTGCGGGGGCGGTGGACTCGGCGATCCATACAGTGGGCCAGATGCTGGGGATTCGCGAGATCGGATCGTTGGGGGAGGAGTACTCTCATGTGAATAAAGGGAGCGTTGGCGTGCGACGACCCTGTGGACAGAACAGATGTAGTTATTCGATTCCCCTGCATAATAATGTGCAGTATGTCGAGGATTTGGAGAATGCGCGGATGGCCCAGAGTGGGAAAGCCCGACAGCGATTGATTTGAGGACATAGATTGATCTAATAGACAATGAATGGGTTTGTCCTTCGAATGGGGACGGCTCATATCCTTGCAATTCAGAGGAAAGGTGATTAATGTTCCTTTTGATAAGACACAGGAGGCTAGATATATACAGCGTCATGTCCTGGTGGCTGTCAGAGGAATTGATAGCAAGGTGAAGATGTGAGGCACAAGTGAATCTTTTACTATAGTCAGCTGAAGTAATAGTATGATTAATCTTTCATACTTCTATATAGCATCATAAGAGACTCTAAAAGCCCAACGCTTGCAGGGCAGTCAATAAGCTAGTAAAGATAATAATATTCAATCTGGTTGCTATGCTAGTTACTAGCATAGCCTGCATAGGCGGACCCTCCCTAAAACGGCGTATGAATTGCTGAAAGGTAGTAGGATCCGCTGCGCTGTGTGTACCGTTGAGGATCACGTCCTTCGCGCGACGGACAAATCGGGTGAAACGATCTGTATCCAAACACGCGGCAACAGCTCTTGCGGTACGGTAGTCAGAATCCTCTGTATAAAGGTCTTACCCAGCTGGTTGATTTTGCTTGCCAGGCACTTATGGAAGCGAGGGTGTTCCTTTTCAGTTTTCACGCTGGAGGGCTTCGATGTAGATGCAGAGATTCCCTAGGGCTTCGTTCAAATGGCGTACTGCTGGCCATCCGACACGGGAGCCGGCCGGGAGGGACCCTCCCCTCCATCAAGAGTTCGGGAGTAACAGAAGCCATCGTCAACGGGCTTTGTGTCGCAGGTTCGACGTAGAGGTACGCAGCACGCAGTCAGAACGCAGTGGAGGCGTTGTTGGAGGACAAGCCATATAGGGGGTGATTTGTTGAGTATCCTATGCCCGTGCCTGGATGCGTTCACGACTCCAGTGATGTCTCTTGATTCCCGCCAATATCGTCGTCGACAAGATTCACCTGGGCATCTCTTCCCGCGAACTTAGCGTCATTCTGACCGTCCATGTAGCTGTCTGGCTCTGATTTTGCGGAATGTGCAGATACGTGGAATCTTGGTTGGTATCAGTATTGGAAATGGTTCTGTGCACGTGGGTCTGCTCGAGAACGATCAAAGTGCCCCGCGACATGTCTTGCTAGGCACAGTATTCTCTATCATCATGTCGCAACATTGTATGTTTTTGCACGGGAATTGATCTGGCAACGTGTACTGCTGGAAGTAAGGACACGAAGCATCGCATAATGCCTCCACAATTTTCCGATCAGGTATACTCCTGCACTGTCTTTCGGGTCCCCCGTCGGTTATACACCTAGGCAGAGTGCCCGCGGGGGTCTTCATCTCTCCAACAACGCCAACGACGGTATCATGCTGTAATTGTAGAGAACCTGCGTTGTAGTGTTACCGGCTGCCAGGTGTGAGATGATTCTTCCCGGACGTGAGTCAGGAGGCGCCCTCAAGATCTTTAGAGGCGAGCTCAGTATCGAGGGGCTTTATCTTGGCCATCAAGAAAGAGACCAAGCCAGCTCTCGGGCCGTGTCTATCTTCATTACGGTGCGGACGAATATCAGGTACCGCCGCTAGAGAACCATCAACCTTGACAACCACGCAACAGAGTCGGCCAAAGGCCACAACACATACCTGCTGTTGCCGCTGCTAAACGGTCTCGAGCCACTGCAAGGACGAGGGGAATTCTTCGGGTTGTCTGCCTTCTGCAGGATACGATTCGCCTTTGAGACGGTGAGATCCGCAAGGAGCGGCGAAAGGAGATTAAATATCATGCAGTTATATAGAAATAGAAGAAGGAGGAGGAAAGACAGATTTGGAGAGGTGTGTTGGCGAAGTAGTAAGGGGATGTGAAAGATGGTTGAAAGTATGCAGAGGAAGATCTATATTTATACTGGCATATGTTGTAGGGAATGGTTTCTATCTAGTGAATAGCCTGATTGTAAGTACAATGCACTTCTGGATTCTCCGGAATGGGGTATCCACTGGTATTAATATTATTGACCTGGTAAATAAAGAACCTTCAATGAAGCCACTTCAATGAACTAAATAGAACTGTATGTACAAGAAAGACAATTGAGAAAATGATATCACAGACAAACCAAAAACACCCACTCATAAACAAACACCTCTGCATGCAAAACAAACAACCTGGCTAACAATAAACCAATCAAACCAGGACACTTGACCCATCATTCTTCTTGCAAGAGCATGCACTTGCCCCCCCTGCAATCTGGGAAGGGGTCCTTGCATAGCTTGGAGGGACGTCCAAAGCAGGATTCCGGGCAAAGAAGTTGCGCGGCCGGAGGAGCACCGTCATCGGCTCGGCAGGCATGATGGGGTAATCCTCAGGAGACGGAAAGTGAGTCAGACCAAAGGTATGCCAGAGCACAATGTCCGTGTTGTCGATGGAGGTGTTGGGACCAGCCGCTTCGATCCAAGCGGGTAGGCCCTGGGAGGGCTCGCCGGATGTTTGCGGGACATGGCGACCTGCAGGATGCACCTGATCATCCAAGTCTAGAGTAAGACGTGTTAGTTGGCTGACTGCATGTGAATGTAAACAGCATAGAAACTCACATTTGGTGACGTGCACAGCATGTCTGGCGAATCCGGCCCGTTTCCAGACCAGTCCACCCTCCTTGGGGAGCAGTGGGGGCACCTCGCGGCTGACGAGCTTGTAGCACACTGGCTTCTTGCTGTGGGGATTCAGCTTATTGGTGTTGGCCATCTCCCAAGTTCTGGATGTGGCGCCGTTGTAATCCGACATGGCCTCAAGGGGCGTGGTGAACTTGGTCTTCTTGGCGTAAAAGGCGTTGCCATACTTGTTCTCTGCGCTGCCGACCTCTCCCGGCCCCTGCACGGCATCAACCTGGAAGACGGTGTTGTTGGGCCCGTCGATGTTGGGATCCACGCGCAGACAGAAAAGGTGCTGGTGGTTGTGCGCGTTCACACCGGGGTAAACCTCAGTACCCCAGCCCTTGGTGTCTTCGCCGGGGTTCATGGCGTAAGTATTGAGAATACCGGTCAGCTTGATGTCGAGCTGCACCGTGCCGTCCTGGTGAAAGATCCAGTACACGCAGTACTCGTAGTTGGCGGCGGTGAAGATGTGCGAGATGATCAGCTTGCGTCCGCGGGTGACGATGATGGATTCATCCCGGAAGTCCGTGTGCTTGTACAGGATACCGGCGTCTTCTTCGTGGATGCAGATGGCGTTCTTGACAATTGTGCTGGCGCCGGCACGGTTGACAAACGCAGCATCCATGTAATGGATCGCACCCTTGCAGTCACATCCGAGCGATAGGCTGTTGGTCATATATCCACCACCGTACTCTCCCAGATCAAAGGCATGCTTGCGCTGGTGAGGATGCTCGGGGTTGCCGTATGGCACCACCATCTCAGCCAAAGACAGACGATAGAATATGGGGCGGACATTCCCCTTGTCGTTGAAAGTGATGTTGTTCAGGACAATGCCCTCACGATAGTTGAATCCAACGTGGATGTTCCAATTTTGCCAATCGATCGTTCGGCCATCAATCTTGAACGACACGCCCTCCGGCTGGGTGATGTGAATCGGCTTGATGTCAGTCCGGTAGCCACCATCCTTCTCAATAGATGCCGGATGGTAGTTGTTTGGAGGGGCCCGGCTGATGGGGCGCCGTACAGGCGGAATGTCAATGTGAATAATCTCCTTGGTCTCCGCATTGTAGATTGGACAGAAATCCAGGGGATATGTGTACTGGGAGTCGTCGACATGGGGACGGTAGTACATGAGCGCCTGCTGCAGACGGACCTCACTACCAAACCGCTCGTCATACCCAATAGTCCAAGCTAACAGACAGTCAGTCGAACTCAACATACTTTCAGACGCATCACTTACGATCACAGTACACCTTGTGCATATCCTCCTTCGGTATCCCCAGGATCCCACACTGCTCAATGACCCGAGGGTCTTTGCGAACAATGTGCTCGACCTCCTGCAGATCCTCCATCGTGATGAGCGGCTGCACGCCTGGCGTGTGCTCCCACGAGAGGATCTTCTTCTGGTCCAGGTCGACGATGCCGTCATACACCTTCCCGCCTGGCGCAATGGCAACGACGTCAGCGGCACGGGCAGGACGGGGCACATTCTCAGGGTCTGCGAGCCAGGTCATCATCTCCGCCTTGCGCGGCTCATAGAGAGTAACCGCATTGAAGTTGAGCTTGCCATGTTCCTTGCGGATGAGGGATACTGCGGTGTCGATTTCTGATGTTGAGAGGGGGTCAAGGGGATGGGGTGGAGGAGCAGAGGCGCTGACCTGGTAGGTCAACTGTTGGAGACGGTCGAGAACCATGATCTGTCCAATATGTGTCAATCAATAGAAATAAAAAGAAGAAACTGTGAGAGTCTTTCTTTGACGTTTGTACCGTCACTGTTCTCAAACAAGAGGTATATCAAGAGACTGGTCTGTATATGTGTACAAGCTTGAACAACAACCTCCTCTCAGACCGGGAGCACAGCCTCTTATAAACCGCATCCGCGACTGCATGATTCGCATTGACAGTCTCTTTTTCCGAGATCGCATCTCCAACAACCGACTTGTCGTCGATAGGTTGAGGCTTGATACACATGCAGCTGATAGGCACTCGGCAGTCCTCGTATCCCCGACATGTTTCCCCAGTTCTGCGATAAGACGCCCGGATTCACTGCCCCGATCAAGCATAGCGCGGAATGCGGTGATGCTCTTCCCAAAGCGGTAATTGAATGCTTGTCTCGAGACCTCATCGTAAGTCGATCGCATAATGTGTACTACTAATGATCCGCACTGATTAGCTTCGGATAAAGAGCGTGGGGTATCGCCTTGAGATTGTGCAGCTGCATTCCGTTTGCTAGATATTGTTTCTCAGTGTTTTAGCCGCGGTGGAGAAATGCAGACCTGGCTTCGTTCCAGATGCTGTGCGACCTGTCCTGTCGAGATCGGTGAGAGACAGCGGCATGAGAGATCCAGTCTGGCAAAGAGAAGCAGAACCATTGAGCGGCTTTCGACTGCCCTTGATTGGGGTGTGCAATACTCAAAAAGCAAATGAAATGGGGCCCAATTTGGCTAATTCTACTCTACAACATACACCAGGAGATGGAGAGGCTCAAGACCACGAAGATAGACAGCCATGAAACGTCTAAAGGACACATAATTCAACCGCAGAAACACCAGATACACCTGCGCGAACGCCGCCTCCAACCCAGGCTTAAAGGCATCGAAGGCGACAAACCCAGTTGACGAACCGAAAGATCGAGACAGCAGCGTAACAGAGGAAAATGCAGCAAGAGATAACCATGAAAGAGCACAAGCCGTGCCGCAATGCTATGTACATCCGTCAAATCGTATCAAATCCGTGTCCCACCTGCCAAAGTAAGGACCACTGCAGGGCGCGATGCAGCGCCCAACAAGCAAGATGAGGAAAGATGGGTAGCCCGAGGGGTTCAACACATCCCCACTCGCTGTCGGAAGAACACATGAGACAAAAAGGGAAGAAGCCTATACAGAACAAACGAAGCCCAAGGAGAAACCAGATGCAGACGCATTATCATAAAAACTCCCCTCCTAACCTGAACCTGATTCTAACACCCCACAAGACAAGCAAAGTATGGACCCGGGAAAACAACGCTCATGCCTTTCCTACTTGAAACGCCCCCAATGCTCCACCAGGTGTGAGTACACCGCCCAAGTTCCCACCGTGATGTTGAGGTGTTTGGCTGCCGGCATTGGGCGTGCTCGGCGTCCCAGCGGCGGAGTAGATGGTCGCTCCGTTCAGATTCGGTGTTTGGTGAGGGTGCATATTGTATGTCAGCGCAGGCATTTGGCCGTTCAAGCCCCAGATCTGCCCAGAGTACTTAGCCTCGTCGATCGAGCCGTTGAACACGAGCTGACGCATTTTCCAGTAAATCTCTCCGGTGACCAACGAATCCGATCCTGCCTGATGTGCGATGCCAACCCGTTTCACACCGAGCTCGTCGGCAATATCTTGTAGACCGGATTTCTGACCCAGACTTGTTAGGATCTGTGCAGCGGCTGGTGTCAGTGGCGAATCGTTGACCGCTTGGTTGCGTCCAGCATGTTTCATCAGATATTTGATATCATAGAGTGACGGAAAGAAGATCTTGAGAAGCTTGTGGAACTCCTCCTCATTCTCGGGGAGCGGCTTGCACAGCATGATCTTCATCAGGTAGCCGAAGTCGTAGCCAGAATGGAAAGACACCCAGTGGACGTCATCGAGGAGAACGAGTCCCGAACTGATCAAGAGTGCCCCAAACTCGAACGGATCGATGCCGTTCTTATCATGCATGTTGAAATCAATACCGGCCTTGGCGAGCATGGCCGTAGATTCTTGCGCGTACATGTCGTTCTCCAACGAAAAGCGGAAGTTGAACTGCCACGTACACGGCGCCGGTACCAAGTTGTTGCCCAAGGGCCGGCCGTTCGCATCCGTGGCGTTGGGCGGGGGGACCTCTCCCTCGGTGGAGAACAGGGTGATACCGAGTTGGATCATCTTCAACAGATCGACGTTGCACCGGAGGGTCTGGTAGTGGTAGTCGGCTTTGTTTGTAAAAGATCCGATGGGACGGGCGACAATGCCGGGGAACTCGGTATCCTAGCGACGCAATCAGTTACATTCAGAACAGACCAGTGTCAAGAGACGCGAAAGAAGCTTCCGTCCCAAACACAGCCGACTCCAGACACATACCATGCTGATATAAGGATACTTCTCGACGAGCTGTCGTAACACAGCCATCTCCTGGGCCAGGTTGTGCTTCCATACGTCTCGTATCCGAGTCTTCACCGCGCCAGCCTTTGCCTCGAGAGCTAGTCGACCATCGTGAGTCTGGTGTAGTTGCTGTTGCTGCATCTGTGCGCCGCGTGCGAAGCCCATCTGCGCCGCATGGCTCGCGAGGCCAGAACCCCCTCCATCGCCAGCGCCAGCGAACCCAGCGACCGACATGCCGTTCGCGATGCCGGTCCCTGATAATGAGAAAGGATTGATATTGGTGTTCGGGTTACCGGCCGCGAAACCAGGATGGCCGCCAAGGGAGGGAGGAGGAAGAGCCGTGTTGGCCGACTGGGCGTGGGCCGGATGGTGCTGAGGTTGTTGCTGCTGCTGCTGTTGCTGTTGCTGTTGCTGTTGTTGCTGTTGTTGCTGCTGCTGTTGTTGGAGATGGGCTTGTTGGAGATGTGTATAAGGAGCGCTCAGGCCAGAAGGCCCGTATCTGCCGACTGGAGGTGGCATGGTGGTGTGTGCAATATTAATGCGGGGTTGTTGGAGTCAGGCATCTGATGATATCTGGAGGGTTTTTGGGAACTTGGGCCTGGGGGTTCTGCGACCTTGCCTGGGAGGATTCCTTCGCAGCAGCAGCGAAAGGCGGACAAGCTCGACTCGCCGTATCCGGTTTAGCGCTGCCGGTCTGAGTGCCAAGCCCAGTTCTCTCTCTCGTCCTGTACAGCTTCACTTCTCTCTGTTCTTGAAGACCGCCTGAACTCCCGTTGCTTTTCTGCTTCTCGGAATCTTGCGGACGCTGGGACCTCCATCATTTAGCCCATCTATTCCTCCTACAATTTAATCCCAACAACCCCCCGTCTCCCTCCACATTCACACAATGGCCAACCCCACCGGCTTCGACATCAGCGAATTCAAGGCCGCCGCCTCGCCCCGGTCGGTCTGGGCCAAGAGAGATCCCTGGGCTCGATAGTACGACCTCTCAACCCCTCGATCACCCTCAATTGATCTCCTCAGCTAACATCCCCTCCAGTGAAGCATGGCGGTACAACGGCCCCTTCAGCCGTTTCAACCGCTTCAAGCGGATCTTCCCCGGCCTCGGTATCGCCAGTGTTGCGTTCGCCGGCTACTGCGCATACGAGCACTTCTTCCTGAAGGACGAGCACCACCATTAGAACTGCCCCGATGGGGATTGAGCCGGGGGTTGGGTTGAGCGAACGATACCGGTGGTGAGCGCGCGGATCCAGAGCCACCCCCACGGCTTTTTTTTGCGGATGGGCATGGATTGTATCTGTGTGTGTGGTACTGCTGCTGTGCCACTGGTGCGTTTGGGATGGGGGTAAGGTGCGGCAATGGAGGATGCAATGCTCGGTAGAGGGCGCTTAGATGGGTGATTTGCCGAATGTACATATTCTTGGTCCTGTTATATCAAAACTGCTGTTTCGTTTTTACTCTAAGGTGTGTTTTTTTACGGTTATTTTGTGATAGTAATAGGCTCGTCTACTCGAGGTACTCCTCTGCTTCAGGCAAGAATATGAGAACAATCGTGGGGTCATAAACATATCAACTTTTAGGGTCATAAGATCTTCGCTCCCGTCTAAATATGCGCTGGGATCACAAGACTACTCTATTGACTGCACGCTACCTATTCCTCAAAGACAAGTGCGATGCCATCATCACCAGCGGTGACGACCCGCTTTCCATCAAACCCTTGAACAAAAGCCATGATGCCTCCGGACTGCTCCCCCTCTGCAGTTTCACTGAGGCCGAAATGGCCCTTCCATTCCTTCAGCAGCCCGTTTGCGGCGGCAGCGGTGCCACCACGGGCATCCCACCGCCTTACAACGCCGTCCATACCGACCGAGGTGAGCAGCCACGGGCGTCCCTGGGTAACAGGCGCCGCAGGGCGATTCGAAGCGCCTATGGGCAAGCGGGTCTGCAAGAATTCGACCTTCACGACGGCAGCGCCCTCGTGAGCATCTCTAATGTGCCGGCGGACAGCGAACCGGTGCGCGGCATCGAACAGCGCAATCGAGCCGTCGACCGAGCCGGCAGCCAGAAGAGTTAGAGGTGGGGAGGAGAAGGACAGGGTCTCGATACCGTCACCCTGCGCCTGTAGAGCGGCGACGATCGTGCCGGTGGCGGACGCGCCGCTTGCCGCTTGGTTGGAAGCACCCTTGGCCTTGGAGCCGCCAGCGGATGTGAGACGAGGCAACCCAATGACTCGAATGTGTCCCTCAGCACCACCGACAGCGGCAATACCACCGCCCGGCGAGATCGCGATCGAGTACAGTCCGCCCTCCACGGCAAACCGCTGATCATCGGCGGTCAGACCCACTACCGCGCTGGTTCCAGCGGAATACGAGATGCCAGCCGCCGCGGCCGCACCCCAGACATCGTACACGTAGAAGCTGCCATCCTCAGAGACAGTGGCGAGGAGGTTACCATCAGGTGTCCAGGCACCCGCAGTGCAGGATGCAGTGTGCTGGAAGAAAGTCTGGATCATGGAGATGGGCTCGGCGGCGTCGTGGTGGTTGATGCGGAAGACCCAGGTGCTGCCGTCGCTGGCACCGATGGCGACGACATTGCGCTTCTCCTCATCAGCGTCGTTGCGACACGGGCAAACGGCCACCCAGTTGATCTCCTCCACTTCCTGCGATTCCGCGACAAACTCCCACGCCAGACCAGTCAGCTGCGGTGTGGTATCGCGCCATGCACGCAGCCGACCGTCCAACCCCGCTGTGACAACGTACTCTCCCTTGGGCTCGGTGAACGTGACCGCATTGACGGTATCTGTGTGTCCGTCCAGCTTCGCAATGGGCGTCAATGACTGGCGCTCGCCCTTGGGCTGCGGATTCGACTCGTAGCTTTGCGGGAGGAGGGGCCGCTCGTCGCGGGGCGTCGAGTCGAAGATGTAACTGGTATCGTCGCCCGAGCCCGTGATGACGATGTTATTGTGGATGGGATGTTGGGCGATACAGAAGACGGAGTCGGAGTGGACATCGAAGTGAGCGCAAGAGTCGTTCTGCAGTGTGATCTCCTGTTCGAACATGGCCTGGTCCTCGTCCTCGGGGTCTGATTCCATTGGGTGGTCTTCGTCGCGGTTGAAGATTTCTTCAGCCTCGTCGGCCTCAATATAGGCATCCCGGTCGGCCTCGTGGCGGGGATCTTGCGAAGAGGACATTTTGAAAGAATACGATTATGGGGAGATGGATATGAGAAGTTCTTGGTGGGTTGAGAGGGGTAGAAAAGTGCAAGGACAGAAGATCTCCCACGAATGTACGGAGTAGCACTCAAATATAAACAGATCAGAATTGTTTGCCTCTTCGATGATGCGTCGCCAAAGCACAATCCGACAAATATCCCAGAATTAGCAGGATAGAACAGCTTCGAACTGTTTCTTCCTTCCTTTCTTTCTTTTTTTTTTCCCTCTCTGCTGAGCAATCAATATCTTCCCTGATAAAGTCGACCCCCGCTTAGAAATTCGTTTTCTCCCCGCGCGCCGTCAAACAGTGCAAATACGCCGAGATTGTTGACTTTTGCAGCATATTTGTCTAAGAAGTAGAAGCTCAAATTGCAATCAACTGTTCAGGTATGATGTCTATTGAATCATGGCCCTAGTCTCCCTGGCCATTGTATGAATATATCTATCTACATCCTATACAAAACCACCCTTCTAGTCCGGAGCACCGACGCTTTTATAGCTTTGCACCTGCTTGTCTTCGTGCTTCCTTCTCCTGGTCGCGCAGCAGTCGGCGCAGGATCTTGCCACTAGGACTCTTGGGAACAGCTTCAACGAACCGCACTCCACCCTTGAGCCATTTGTGCCGAGCCTTGTGCTCCTCTACGTGTTTCTTAATAGAATCGATAATTGCCTTGTCGTCGTTGCCAGCGGAGGCTGACTTGACCACGATGGCTTTCGGTACTTCTCCAGCGCTATCGTCGGGAATAGCGATCACGGCACAGTCAGCAACGGCTGGGTGGGTGAGAAGATGAGCCTCCAGTTCAGCCGGAGCGACTTGCAAGCCCTACGAGTGTATGGGTGAGATTGACAGCATTGAGAGCAGCATGGAGAGAAGAGGTACGTACCTTGACCTTGATCAATTCCTTGATCCGGTCGACGATGAAAACATGCTCGGTGCCCTTGGGGCTCACCCGGAAAACGGCCTCATCGCCCGTGTACATCCATCCATCCTTGAACGTCTCTTTGGTGGCCTTCTCGTTGTTCAAGTATCCCAGAACGACACTTGGGCTGCGAACGACGAGCTCACCGGGAGTGTCGTAGCTGGTAACCTCTTCGCCTTCCGGAGTGACAATGCGTGCTTCAACGCCAGGAACCAGGCAACCGGAGGAGCCGAGGAAGATGTCGGTCGGGTAAGTCGAGGCCACAACAGTTGATGTCTCGGTGAGACCTATTTGGCTACATTAGAATGCGCTTTTGGCCGTCAGGTGTTGATCCTGATGCTTACCGTAACCCTGGCGGATCTTGATATTCGGATAGATTTTCTGGAAGTCGGCAGCGGTTTCCATTCCCAGTGGAGCGGCACCCGTGAAGATCATTCCGACTGAACTCAGATCGAACTTCAAACAGGTATCCTGGTTTCGAATCATGGTAATGATAATCGGAGGGACCTGGCCAGTAGGCGCACAGGTCAGCCTTGTTCAATGTCGTGGTTTTCAACATGGCGATGACTTACCACGTACAGACCTGTGATCTTGAAGTTCTGGATGGCAGAGAGATATGTGTTCAGCTCAAATTTCGGCAGAACAATGACTTGATCACCCCGGAATGGCCCCGCGTGACAGGTGACCACCAGGGCATAGATATGGCTCTGAGGTAGAAGCCCCAACACCACATCCATGTGCTGCGGTGAGCCTGGTTTCGTGAGCGAGGCCCGCCATGATTTTTCAGAGGCTGCGATCTGCAGGACATTGGCGATGACATTACGGTGGGAGATCATGACCCCTTTCTGGGAGCATACCAACGTTAGCTCTGTTTCCGCCAGCCAGTGGACTCTCTTGTCACTTACTGGTAACCCGGATGTTCCACTGGAGTAACATAGAAATGCGGTCCTGCGAGTAGCCTCCCCTGCGGTCCAGTTCAATCTGTCTACCTTGGGGAGCGATTTCCCGGCCTCGATCAGTTGTGAGACAGTTCTATACTCCGCGGCACCGTTCGTACCGCCTCCGATCTGGGGTGGGACTTCAAGCAAATAGATACGATCCTTAGGGAATCCAGCCATAGCGGCGGCCTCCAAGGCTGTGGGAAGCAGAGGAGCACATGTAAACAATGCTTTTGCCTTGGAGTCCAGCAGCTGATGCTTCAATTCGGCTGCCGAGTATGCCGCATTGGCGGGCGAAACAATGCCGCCGAGCTGGTGAACGGCCCAGGACAGGGTAAGCGTATCGATCTAAGGAAACACCCAACCATTATTAGTGTCCATCTGCAAGGGAGAGAAGCAGACTTCAACCCCAGCATACCGTATTCAAACTAAAAACCGCCAGGGTCTTGTCCCATTCGGTACCGTTGTTCGGTGCCCAGTTGAGCTCTTTGCCCAGCGAACGGGACAGGAGGTCGACCCGTTCCACCACCTGGGGAGACGAGTAGGATTTCCCGGTCAGTCCGCAGGTGTATGGATGCTTGGACAGGTGAAGCGGTTGCCGACCATATTTCTCACTGAGCATGAATTCACTGATGGGGATGTTGTCGGGAATTGAGGGCAGTGTGCCCGCCATGGCTGGGGGGAGAAACACCATTCTGGCTGTATGGGGGGAGATTGGGGGAGGAGAAAGAGAGAGGACCAAACTATACGGAGGGTTCCAAGGGGAAGCAGAAGAAGAGAAGGAGAGAAGAATATTTGGGGGACGAAGAGAAGAAGGAGAAGGAGGAATAGAAGAGATATTAGTACTTACGACTCTCTAGGTACTAATCTTCTCCCTGCTGTCGGCTGCTTTCTAGGTGCCACTGCGGGGAAAGCTTAGAGATGACGGAGTATACCAGCTCTCGGTTGGCCTCCATTTATTTGCCGACATAGCGTAGTCCTGCGCCCTTTTCTCCTGTTCAATGTAGACGGTAGAATATTAGATACATCGTTGCAGGAGAGATCTGTCATCTTTTTGCAGTCTGACATATTATCTATATGCAGAATCGGATATTTGCCCTGTCCGATGGATGACATGGAATTGATTGATCTGAGGACTGCAGAATCGATCAACACCGCGGGTAGAAAACAACCGAGGGAATTCCTGGACATTCACCCTGAGTAGTCTAAGTAGCCTACCTAGGGACTAGGGAGTACAGACCCACTGTCCACAGTCTCTTAGTTGACGATCCTGTACCCGCGAAAGTGCGTCGACGAGTCAGTCTATTATCGCATTTAATGATTGCACTTCGACAGTTAGTCGATACAGACACGGATTGTTCGGATGATTTTAGTCGACACGGATCAATCATGTCTGTTTATTAACCGGCATGTACGACCACGCGCCAATGTGGACAAGGGAACCACATTGTTGATTGCCAAAATGCCAGTATAACCTTAATCCCTAAGGAGTATCACTATTCGCAGCCCACGATGCCGTGATGACAACGCGTACCGGGTATCTATGCTCAGAGACAGTGACTTACTACAAGGGAAAGACATTTATGACTCAATGGATTTTAGGTCTATCAATACACTAAGTTCAACTAATCTCACGATGGAAGGATAAAGACGTGGTGATGCTGCTGACTTGATGGGACGCGCTACCTCATGTCTATGACGAGAACAGCGATCATGATGCCTTCATGGGGCATGCCTTCTATCTTGCCCTTCCCCATAGGGGGAGTCAATATTGCAAGATGCCCTCGCGTATTCAACAGCTGCTGTCGACCTTCTTGTCGGTCTGGGATCGGTGCATCAACTCTTTTTAGCTGAGGTCGGGGATCATACAACTATCATATAAATCCGGTCTATTCTTCGGAAGGCCTCATTTATATACACAAACAGCAGATCTTTCCAGTTGGCATCAGTTATACCTCATCTGTGAGTTGATACTGCCTCCTTCCCAACAGGGTAAGAGGTCGGGTCGATCTCGTGACTCCAGTGATTGCTACTCTTCCCTCCATCTTACCCTTCTCTATTCTTTTCATCAAACTACCTTCGTCTCATATCTCTGGGTCTTTTCATTGTTCATCGAGTGCCCGTCTATACACACTAGTACTGACTCCTATCTACGAGTCTTAATCAGGATGGGTCCCCGGAGACCAACTGTGCGCTCCACAAGCAAGCCGAGGGCTGTCAAGACGGGTGGCATACGCAAATCTCGCTTCACAGGTATCATTCAGACGGTCCTGATAGATACAAGCTCCAGGATTGCTAATTTTTGGCTAGTTTCGCCTCATAATCCTGTCCCACGAAAACCCTTGGAAGACGTTCATGGACATCCTCCCGCATGGGCAGAGGTTCGTATACTCTCTGATGATCCTAATTGGACCCTCACTGACTCAATCTTAAGTGCCGTCCAGAGCTATGTGATGCTCTTCCGTGGTTCCGAGCCGTTCAAGGCGGTTCTTATCATTGCGATCATCTCTGCTGGGGCTTTCTCCTCGACGCTGACTGCGGCATCCGGTCTTATATTGATGAGGAGGTTGTCATCACCAGAGTGTAAGTGGCTCTCCCAATGTGAAATCTTGACGGGTCTGTATCTGAAAATTGTAGAGGAGGTGGCTGTGCCAAAGATTCAGAGGGCAATCTCATCCTCGTGAGAGATCAAGGTAGCGAAGACAGCGCAATTAGCAGTATTATGAACAGTCTGGACTCAAAAGTTCCTATTGGCTTGATTATCGGTGAGCTCTGCATTTTGGCTGGGAGAGGACACTGTCCTAACTCGTCACTAGGAGATCGCAACGCACTCCTAGGGAGAAGGCTTCCACACAGATATAATGTGATGGACTACTTTCGCATCACAAATATCTGGTACGAGAATATCGGAGGAAAATCAGGGGCCAAGGTCCGCTTTGAAAAACTGGACCTCTCTAAGAAAAGCTGGTGGGCAGCCAAAAGTTCTCCTGACCCGGTCCCTTTTCATCAACGTCCTGAGATCCAGTTGGAGGTGAAGTCCTGCGAAGGATGCCACCTTTCGAGTCCCCATATATACAACAAAGGCTGGATGTGCTTGCAACCTTCCTGTAGCGACTTTTGGAAAATAGACGGCATCGAGCCTCCTGTGGACCTCACTTTCCATTCCAACTTCCTACAGAGTCGCAACCCGCCTGCTCCTGAAATTATCCCGCACCATGATCTCGTACCTAATTTGCTACCCACTCTAGAAGAAGAGGGTGGAGGCGTCAGCTATGCGCGCATCGCCTGGAAGGGGATAGTGTGCCCCAAATGCCGGAAATGTATATCAAGAAAGCATTGGTGCGGATGGAAATGCACTGACGTGCTGATAATGTCTACCTCCGTGGGAGCCCGCACCAGCTGCACGTTTGAGAAGATGCTACCCATGCAGCCTGTTTCACTGCGCTCTGTAATTGATGACTTCGGACTTGGACCGAACAGGCGGGCGTGTCATTTCGATCCCAGATATGCCATACCAGAAATTGATGATCAGACCATCCTTCCCTATAGAAAACTAACCTACAAGATTCCCGGAGTTGGCTGCATCACTCACTTTGTCTCCACCAGAACCATCAACAGCCGTCCCAATGGTCCCAATGACCTCTTTCGACAGCTACAGGTTGCTGACTTTGGATTGCGCCGCTATCCATTGCAGCAGAGTGTGGGTAAGCAATCTTCTCTCCCGTCTCCGGCTCCTGTCTAATCAGTTCTGTTTCCAGTCGCCGGAACTCTCACCGCACACTTTGCGGTCAATTATGTGAGTTGCCTAGTGTCGACTGCAATATGATGGCGCCTGATTTTCTTTCAGGGAATGCCATATAAGTATATTGTCTCTGTGGATTCCAAAAGTTTTGGAGAAGCCCCGGGGGAGGTCCTACGAGCGATGGGCCGTCTGACATGGGCTACTGAGCGGGCCGTGGCTGGTAGTGGAGATACATTTCTACCTCCGAACGAACTACTCATGCTCGGCTACTTTGAGGAGATGAGGATTGGAGTATGCAAAGTATCCATTTGTCCCTGGTGCTGTTTTGCTAACCCATGATGCAAGTACCATGATGATGGAGAGTCGTCCCTGGGGCCGACGATCGCCACGCTGTCCCTTGGGGCAAAGTCCACCATGTCCATCCGGATGAAGTACAAGTATTACAATGGGATTTCCAAGACCAAGACGCTCCTGAAAGAGGACCCTGCTCTGGCGGGTAGCCGGATGGAAGCGGAACGACGAAGTCTGAAGACTCAATTCGCCAGCGGCGAGATCGACCAGGCAACATACGATAGGCTACGCCGACAAACGCTACAGAAGGGGAGGTGCAGCGAGGCACCTGTATATATCAAGATGGAGCTCAATCACGGTGATCTGGTGGTCATGCATGGCGAGGATCTCCAGAGATACTACGAGGTTTGAACCTGGGCAGATCGGGAAGCTTTGGACATGAAGAGACTAATGCTTCGATAGCATGCAGTTACCCCCGACAAGAAACTGCGCTTTGCTCTGACGGCACGGTATATCAAGCCCGAACAAGTGGATCCTCGAGAGTTGAAGAAGGGAGAATTTACGCTGACCCCTGAACATATATATGATGGAAACTAAGTCGACCATTCCCTTTGCATGTGGGACTTTGACTTGAGGAGTCTCTTGCTGAACCCTTTGATTTACTTGGGAGGAAATGTTTGTCTCTGAATGGCTTTGATGCCTTTTATTCCATGATTTTTTACAACATATCTAGTTTTATAGTTGAAATACTTATCATTTCGCTCGGTCTATAATGAATGCTCCAGGATATATTCAGGTAGGCCGACTGAACCTAATCTCTCAACGCGACCCTTGATACTACTAGCTTCCAAACAACCATTACTATGGGTTCCGGTGTCCCCGTGCAAAGATGTGTTCAAAGTCATACGATCGTATCGTGTCGATCGATAATCACACTTGGCTAATAATCTGATCAGTTTAAGAGATGTTGACTGATGACTCCGTAGAGACATAACAGTACATTAGACAATCATCATAGCGTTCCCCACAACTCACGTGGCTCCACAGTCCCTGATGATCGGGGAGAGCTGCTGCTGCTGCTGTGGTGTGGGGAGGAGTTTTATCTTCCATTAGGGAGTCTGGCACTGCTATGGACAATTAATTCTCTGGCTCTGAGGGACATAGTAGGTAGTCTTGAACTCTTGGACTCTTGGTCTCGTGGAGTCTGCCGAGCCAGAGAAAAAAAAAAATATAAAATAAAATAAAAAAACAACAACGCCCAAATACGAGCCAAAAGCTGACCACGGATTTATTTGTCCACTGGAGTGCGCCCGCGTGGTCGCCGCCTTAGGAATCAAGAACCACCACCCACCTGCGGCTCAACCGTCAACAACAATAACCGGTAAGACTAACGACTGGACGAATTATTTGACTCCCTGTTGCTCTCTCGTTCGACATCCCCCAGTCATTGGACCAGTCAGTCATTCTCTCCATCGGCTTGACCGCATCCAATGGTCCATCAGCTTTCCCTACCCCCCTCCCTTTCTCACTCCGCCGACTGTCTCCAATCCGTTCCGACCGCCCCTGGTTGACCTGCGCTGCAGGCTCAGTAGCATCTTTCTAACCACTAAGGGAGACTGACGAGACTCTTTTCAACACGCATATCGAGCGCTCTCGGGCTTGTCCACGCCGCAGATTTCTCAGTCGCGTATACCGCCCCGATTCTTCAACCTTGCCCGTCCTGGTAGGATCTTCCCTGCGCAATGGCTCACTATCAGAACGGCCAGTCGCCCTACTATGGCCAATCCAACAATTCTACCCCACCGTCGACACAGCCTTCGTCCTCAACGAGTCGCTATGATACCTATACCAGTCAGCAGCAACAGAACAACAATCATCAGCTACGACGGATACCCAGCTACATCGCAGGGGACGATGCGGGTCTGTTTGGGGGTTCCAGCACCTCCAATGCCAGGACCGTTAATGGGTCTACGCGCTATAATGGGCAGGCCGGCGGCTACGGGGGTGAAGAGGGACAAGGCGCCTACAGTCTTGCGAACAGCGGGTATGATGACAACTCAGACCCCCGGTACGCGCAGATCCCCTCGGGTGGACCACCACCACCATTACCACTTCGCGACAGGGCGTTGTCTCAATCCAACTACGCCTACCAGTACTCGTCGATTGCCTCCCCAACGCAAGCGGCATACAACCCCCAGCAATATGCCGTCCCCTCGACACCGTCACAGCAGCAGTTTGCGTACAACACACTTGCATATACCGCTAGTTCGAATACGGTGGGGGGACATCAACCGTACAATCCGGCGGCGTACCAGTCGGCGAGTGTTGGAGGGTACGGTTCTCCCACAGTTCAGCGACAGCCGAGTATGGCGAATTTGTACGCGCAACCGCCGCCCACACCACAGACGTATACCTCTCAGCAATCGCTGCCACCTCCCCCGCCTCCCCGGGGCCCGGATCATCCCTACGGAAGTCGCACATCTGGCCCATACGGAAGCGCGTCACCAGCCGCGCAGTATGGCTTTTCCGCACAATCATCCGTATACAGCGTTGCTTCTCCGCTGAACCCGAACGCGCCATACCCTCCTGCAAGCTCGTTAACCGCGACTAGCCTGACCTCAGCAACTTCCCGATCATATTCGCATGGAGCACAGGCCCTCGGATATGTACCTCAATCTCCGCGTCGTTCGGAGGCCATGATGACGCCTTATCCTGGTGACCAACCGCCGGAACCGCCCGCTCATTCGGCACCCACGGAGGATATATACGGCAAACGGCTGAGTTTAACTCGTCCCGGGTCCGGAAGGTCATTGCCCACACCGCCCATTCAATCGAACCAGGGGCAAGTCTCACCCCGACGAACGGATACACTGAATCGTCACCCACAGGCGCGACCTTTACCCGGCCCTCCGGTCGACACAGATGGCGAATCTCCGCTCGGCACCAATGGAACAGGCAGGATGGGTAGTTTAGATGGACGATCGGAGCCGCCGTCAGCCGGGTATGACTACTTTGGACGGCAGGGAGACGCCATAGTTGATCGTCACTCAAGCGGTGATTCACGCTACGACTCGAAACCTCTGCACATAGATACCCAGACCACGAATCAGGAAGCTCAGGAACCCAGCCGTCCTTTCAGTGCCACCTCGAGTATGCGCCTATCTCCTGACGAGAGGCATACGCACACGAATGGAAACATCGCGACAGGCACGGGCCAGTATGTCAATTACGATGCGTACAGCGACGATAGCGATGCAGAGGCCGCCGCGGGGCTGGCTATGTTGCAGATGGCGGATGAGGAGGACCGGATGCAAGCCGAACGAGTGAGGACCCAACGGGAGCGGGTCCACACGCGACGGGAGACCAATGCGTCGATTATCAGTGCCTACGGTAGCCATTCGTCGGTGCACGCGCCCTCCCCACGCGATTCCCGTCCAGATGGGATGCAACACGCGCCGGATGGGACCTCTGATGGTGCTCATTACGGTGGCTACCGCTACGATGATGAGCGTGATGGGTACGCGGAGCAGTACGGCGACCAAAACACAAATCAAGGTCGAATCGTCGCTCCATCGGGTTCGCGCAGGAGCTCCGACCTTTCGGCTGAGGACCGAGGGGAGTACTCGGACAGTTATGACTACTATTCCATGGCTCATGCTCAAGCGCAGCAGTACGATGATTATGCTTCGGAAGCGCGAGTCGATGCTGGCGGCACCGGGGGGCTATCAGAACCCGGTGCTTACGAGCGGCGGATGAGCTTCGACTACGGCGACGAGGCAGAAGGTCCACTGGGCTATCCCGAGGAAGGACCACACTCTGACAGCGAAGGGTCAGATGCAGGGGGTGTTCCAGGGGACCTTTTCTTTCATCCCGGCATGCGGCCGTTGCCACCAGCGCCCGTGGAACCGGCCAATAACACGGACCTGATCCCGCATCTAATACCAGCGGGGACATACCGGCATCTGGAATCAGATGGACTTCCGGATCGAACGCAATCCACAAGCGCCAACTTCCATGTTTCGACGGATTCATATGCATCGACCGCATCAACGCCAACATCTCAAGTGCCACGGTCGACGTCGTTGTCGAGCCATCCTATTGGACCTCGAGCTGACCCTCCCATCCGATCCAAGACCGATGCTGATCGAGCGAAATACAAGCAGCAGCTGGAAGCAATTCGGCAGCAGCAGCAGGGAGGTGGTGCTTTCAAATTCGATCCTTCAGAGCAAGGTCCCGCGATGACGCTTGACCTGCCCACAATCCCAGCGGGACGTCGTAAGAAATTCAACCCGACGAAACTGTCTTCGGAGCAGTTCAGAAAATGCACCGAACCCTGGGCGCTAAGCTCTATTCTCGTGTGGATTCGCGATCTATGCGAGGATGAAACGGATCTTCGGAGGTCTGCCATTCTCGAGGCGATCGTCGCTCTGTTTACTCACAAAGTGCCGACGATGAACATCGCAGACGCCGAGACGCTGGCCGCGCGCGTGTTTGACAACATGCTGGAGCAGGAAGCGTTGGTATGGGATGAGGAATGGGTCAAGTTTGGTAGCGGGACCCTTTCTGGAGTCCTCTTCCAGATCACCGGGACGGGCTGCTACTCGCCCGTGCTGCATGAACAAGAGGCCGAGGTTTCTGGACGCTGCTACTCCCACCATTGCATGAGAACGCTGAAGAAGGTGAATTTGAAAACGCAGAAGATGGCACCGCAGAAGAAGGCAGAGGACTGGGTGACGTTCTACAAGGTTCCGAAGGAGGTGTGGGAAGCTCATCCCAAGAAAGAGATCGACCGTCAGAACAACCTGCACGAGATTGTCACGACCGAGGATGCCTTCATCGGACAGCTGGACGTGCTCCGCGAACTCTACCGTGATCAACTGGCCGGCATGCAGCCATCCATCATCCCGCCGAAGAGATTGAACAAGTTCCTCACCGACGTCTTCGGCAAGGTGGATGCGGTCAAGAAGGTGAACGAAGAGTATCTTCTCGCGCAGCTTAAATACCGACAGAAGGAACAAGGGCCTTTCATCGTTGGGTTCAGTGATATCTTCCGGGAGTGGATTCGCAAGGCCAAGACGGTGTACATTGACTACGCGGCGACCTTCCCGCATGCCAATTACCTCGTACGCAAGGAGACCGAGCGGAATGCGCTTTTCCGACAGTTCTTAAACCAGGCCCGTGAACACAAGATGTCCAACCGTCTGAGCTGGGACACTTACCTCAAGTCTCCCATCACTCGAATCCAGCGATACACGCTGTTGTTGTCGACTGTTCACAAGAATATGCCCAAGGATTCGGAGGAAAAGGCCAACTTGGCGCAGGCTATTGAGGAAATCAAGGTCGTGGCTCTTGAATGTGATAACAAGGTCGGCGAAACAAGCAAAAAGGTCGACTTGATGGAGTTATCGGCCAAGCTTCAGCTGAGGCCGGAGATGAAGAAGGAGGTCGAGCTGAATTTGCAGCATCTCGGTCGTGAGATCGTCTACCGGGGCGACTTGCAACGTCCAGGTGCTCGGATGCGGTTCCTTGTGGACACTCATGCTATTCTCTTTGATCATTACCTCGTGCTTGCCAAGCTGTCCACCACTCGCGATCCATCCAAAGCGGTCAAGTATGAAAGCTACGATGTATCCAAGCTTCCTATTCCTATGGACCTTTTGGTATTGGAGAGTACCAACGATGACCCAGTGGTCAAGTCATCCGTCCGTGGTGTCTCGTCGGTCGCGCCGCCTCAAGCCGTTTCACGGAGTACCGGCACAGCGCCCTTAATACACACCAATAGCGGGAACTCAAGCAATTCCGCCTCTGCTTCCTCGGGCAAGACGCTGGTCCCCAGCACCGTGCTCGAGACATCCAAAGATGACAAGATTCTATACCCATTCAAAGTGAAGCATCTTGGCAAGAATGGGACCTTCACGCTGTACGCCTTTTCCGCGCAGAACCGGCAGGAGTGGTGTGAGAAAATCATCGAGGCAAAAACGAAGCATGCTGCCGCCCTGTTCGCGCAGAATGCGGAGCCCTTCCGCCTCCGCGTGCTGGCCGACACGGCCTTTGCCAATTCAGACCATTCAGCGTCGTCCAAACGGACCGTCACTATCAAGGGTACTCCCCTCGACCGTGCCATCCGGGAAGTCGAAGAGCGATATAGCGTTTCCAACAAGCGGCCGGTTCCCGTTTGTAGGACCAGCGTCCACTGTGCGACGGTGTTCCAGCAGCCTGTCGGCCGCATGATGTGCGCTGTTGGGACGGATTTCGGCGTGTACATTTCTGAGTACAATAACCCTCGCGGGTGGGTTCGGGTAAGTTTTTTCATTGCCTCCTGTTAGATTCGAATCTGTTGCAATCTACGCTGTTTGGTGGAATGTCTTCTAATTGTGGATTAGGCGATACCCGTCATCCGAGTGACGCAGATTGCGGTGTTTGAGGAGTTCAATCTCTTTCTGCTGATTGCGGACAGGTCTCTGGTTGCGTACCACTTGGATGTAGTCTGTCCTGCGAGTGGCATGAACTCGCAAACAACCAAGGACTCCGCTCGTCGGGCACCGCAGAAGCTGTCGGGTAACCGCGAGGTCGGATTCTTCGCCGCGGGACACATGAAAGACCGCACGCTGGTGATGTATAAGAAGCGGGACGGGCTGTCATCCACATTCAAGGTGCTAGAACCCGTTCTACAGAAATCCGCCACGAGCCGCAGCCGGCTCTTCCAGTCACGCCGCTCGCAGACCGAGTTCTTCCGCGAATACGACGAATTCTACATCCCCGCCGAAAGCTACGGCATCAACATGTTCCACTCGTCGCTGGCCATCGCCACGCAGCGCGGCATCGAGGTCCTGACTCTGGACAAAAAGCAGACATGGTCCGTGCCTGACTTCCGGTCCGAGGCCCCCGAGGCGCAGGCCCAGCTGAGTAGCATCGCCCACCGCATCAGCAGCCTGCGGCCGCTGGGCATGTTCCGACTGAGCGACAGCGAGTTCCTCGTCGCATACACCGATTGCGCCGTGTACGTGAACAAGCATGGCGACGTCTCCCGCAGCGTGATCCTGGAGTTCGTCGGCCGCGCGCACTCGGCCTGCCTCTACGGCAAGTTCCTCATCCTCTTCAACGAGGACTTCGTCGAGGTCCGCAACGCCATGAACGGCCGCCTGCGCCAGGTCATCCCCGGCCACGGCGTCGTCTGCCTCGACGACGGCAGCACCCTGCCGGGCTCTGGCGCGAACGCCGTCCCCACCAACGCCGGCACCGCCGCCAACCTCGCCAGCGGCCTCGCCAACGGCGTCGCCCTCGCCAGTAGCGGCCACACCGTCAAGATCTGCATGCAGCATCCCGAGTACGAGCGCAGCCAGCTTGTCCTCGAGTTACTCGAGAACGAGGGACAGAAGGACTAGCCTGGCCCCTTGCCCTTGTCCCTACCCTGTCCTCCTACCATCCAAGTCACATTTCCGCATCTCACTCCCTCCACGATCTAACAACCCAACCCCATCTTGATGATTCTCTCTATCCCCCTTCTTCCCTTCTTACTTCCATTCTGAATTCCCGCGTGACGTGACGACCATGCGATCGGCATCGGCATACTGTTGTTCACTGCGTACCTGTTTCTTCTTTATACCCTATCCTTGGCTATTGATTGTATCCCTTTTTCTATCACGAACCCCACTTGTTTATAGTTCCCATTGACCAGACTTAACGCGCCTCTTGTACATATGATGCAAAGTATACAAGCTCTATTTTCTCTACTGCTGTGGAAATATCACGGGTTTAGGGTAGTTTAAGGGTGTGGGAATTGTGTCGTTTCCACATAGCCATGTATATGTATATATGTCCATATCCAGGCCGGACCGGATATGGAACTTGGTTTCTAGAGCTCTGGATACGGGAGTTGTATAACAATAAGAGTCACTTCATGAAAATTGAATTCCGCGAGATCCACCCAATACTGTCTACCAGAATATGCAAGGCAAGGTACATTGACGAAAGCATGAATATTGCCGAGGAAATGAGACATAAAAGACAAATTGGGCAGGCTGGGAGATGCCGCCGGCCGCGGAATCTATGATTCGAATTCAACCGTCTTGCTGGCAACCCGATCTTCCTGTTCGGGATCCGACGGCCGTCGGGCTGCACGGCTGCCGCTGCCGCTGCCGCTGCCGCTACCGCTACTCGCGTCCCCGGCGTGGCCGTCTTTGCCGTCGAAGAGGGATGCGTCGTCGCGGCCGCGCACGCTGAGGACTTCTGCGCCCTCGAGCAGGTCCCGGTCTGCGTCGCGGACGCTGCGGTGTTCGATGTCTGCGCCATATGCGCCGGCGCCCCAGCCGCCGATCCCACCGACCATGGCTGGGGAGGGGGCGGCGCCGGCGCGGGGCTCATAGTCCTCGTCCTCGTCTTCGTCGTCTTCTTCTTCGCGGCCGAGAGCGTTGCGTTCCAGTTCGCGTTGCGCTTCGTCCATTCTCTTCTTGACCTCGGCTGCCATGCGGATGCCGTCCGAGACGATATTGTCCAGAACACCGCGGAGGCCTTTGCCGGGGGGCACGATGCCTCCAGAGGCGCCGGCGACTGAGGCTCCGGCGGTGGCGCTGACTTGGGGTTTGGCGGCGTTGAGGTTGGAGAATGTAGTGAGGTTGGAGGAGAGAGACGCCGTCGTGGATGCGGGGTGAGGATGATCGGAAAGACGGAATGACTGAGGGAAGAAGGATTCGAAGAATTGCTCCAGGAGTTCGTCGGCCAGGATAACCATGCGGAAAGTGGGGAGGGTAATGTGTAGGGGATTGTTGGGGTCGAGAGCCGGATTGGCAGCTTCGGAAGTCTTTCGGTTGTGCTGCGCGTCGGCATCCTGCTCCCCCTTCTTCTCTGCCGCATCGAGTGTATTAGATGCTTGCTTCGCGGTGGTCTCTTCTTCCATTTCGATCAAATCTTCTTCATCGTCGTCGCCGATGGCAAATGATCCCAACTTGTCCGCCGCTTCCTCCGTATCCTTGTCCTCGGTCGCCCTGCCTTCTGGGTTTGTAGGATCGGCATACTCGAAACAACGGCGGATAAAAGAACTGACGCTTCCTAAAAACCGCTCGTCGGTACTCAGCTTATCCTGATCTGGATGATCCCGGTTCTGTGCACCGTTGATGTCCTCCGTAGATTGGCTAGGTGTGATGGTTCCCTCGAACCCTCGCCGAGAGAGGAAAAGCAGAGCCTCTGACATCCTGAGGATGCCTTCTCGATCGACCATGCCATCGCCATTATCGTCGTACAGGTCAAAAAAGTACTGCATGCTGTTCATGATATCCCGGGTCCCCTTCAGTCGCGCGAGCCCATTGACCACATTCTGCAAGCTGAGTCCTTCAGACGGCTCAGTAGCCCATTTGCGATATAGTCGTTGCATGAACTCGTGGTTTGCGGGCACTGGTTTGTTACCCGGGCGAGCTGCCCATTTACCGAATCCTCTGAAGCTGCTATTTAGGTCTGCTGATGATTCCTTCCGCGACGGTGCAGGAGAGTCAGTCACGGCCCATTTCGCTGTTACTGCGAGGAAATCACGGAAAGCATCGTAGTCCATATGAGTCGGGCTAGGTCCAAGGCCAACTCGGCCGACTTCTCGATCAACAGGGGGGCCAAGTATAGAGACCCGTTCGGCTTTCTTCTTTTCCTGGCGCTTTTTCTCTTCGTCGAGTAGAGTTTGCTTCTGCTGGTGCTCATAAAGCACTTCATAGAAACGATCGTAGATCATACCCAGATCATCCATGCTCAGTCGTTTACTGTCTGGTCCGAGGTTTCGGATAGATGTACGCTTGGCAAAGCTCTCGATATTTTCAAGGACTGCGTCCTTGTGCTTGTCGCGCTGCTCCGTGATGGTGCTGTGAGTGATACCCGAAAATTCTTTGAAGGCTACAACCATCAGCTCTTGGAACCGGGTGATAGCTCTCAATTTCGGATTTTCGGATCTGGGATGAGCCGACTCATCCAGGCGTGAGAAATACGATTTGAGCACGGAGATGAAGGATCCATCATCCTGCACATCCAGCAGCTCTTCGCCATTGATCCGGAGAATAGCGAGACCAACTTGGAACAGAACCTTTGGCCCTTCTAGGAAAAATACATCCAAGACCCTAAAAGCGAAGACTAGCGGCATAGAGTTGATATATAAGGAGAGAAACCAGGGTAGGGAAACGACAGAGAGCTGGACGTCAGATTTGGAGAGATGCTCCCAAAGGACTGGCATGGTCTTCTCCACAAGCGATTCGAACACCTTTTGATCCAGCAGGGTGCCGTACATGGTAGTCGAATAGTATCCTGGTACAAGTCGGTCGCATAGCACGGACAAGAGAAAGAAAGCCTGCGTTTCTGACATATATCTGATTCGGTCAGTATCGGATAGGACTCGGAGGACGGAGATCACATACATCAACAAAGCTGCAACAACAATATTCATGGCCTGACAATATCCAATCTCGGCGTTGATCCAACTATAGGCTGTGAGGACTCTTCGAAGCCGGCCGATGCCCTCCTCGCTCTGAAAGCCGGGGTACTCCGGGAGACTGCGGTTTAGATCCTTCTCAATCTCGTCAATCGCCAAGGACTCCTGGCCGGAGAACTTGGCGAGTGTGGCTGCATAGAGCTTTGGGGATCTCAGACGGAGGTACAATGACCCCGAAGCCAACTCCCATATCTCTCCACGCAGTCGGTTTGGTAGACCGACACGAATCAGCTTGTGAAAGGTCGGTTGCCGAATTAATGTCGCATTCCGGCCATTTTCTACCGAGAGAATCTGCTTAACAGGGGAAAATCTTCCACACAGGGGCCTTCCATACCTCTAAAGTATTCTCCCCATAGTCTCATTTTGCTGCGGTCCCGGAGTTTGCGGGCATCACCAGGATAGCGGAAGATCATTCCCAACCCAGCGTCTGGAGGCAGTCGCGCTTCCGCGTTCCCTGAGTCTTGATCCTTCGACTTTGCACCGGAAAGAAGATATTCTGAGTAACAGTCATTCACGACAACTCGTAGGTTCTCAATCTCCTTCATCGATTCCCGCAAACCCTTCTTCAAACCATCACAAAACCGTTCGCAGGCCTGCCTGCTCCCAACCAGCTGGATAGTGAATCTCTGCGGGGACGAGTTCGGAGTGGGTTGCTTTCCAAGCGCACCGTTCCACGTGGTCAGCGCAAGGGAGAATACATGGCCAAGACTATTCAATCGCTCCACCCGGCGAATACAGCAAAGCGGGATTGTGAATCCATTGCCCGACGGTCCAGTGCCGTTTGTCTGGCCGGTCCACTGGGTAGAGGCACCGAGGGTTGCGGACGGCGCGAAGCTGGTGGGCTGGGTAGAGAAGCAAATGAACCGTTCGCTCAAGTGCAGTCTCCCGGGATAGCGGTTTCCGGCCCGGTCGAGCGGTTGCGACGATGATGATGAAGCTGTGTGTGGGAGCGGAAGGATTAATTCTGCAGTAATTTCCTGCAGCGGATTCTGGGAGTCCGGGAGACGGAATTGCTGACGGAAGAGGGAGGCTTTCGAGGGGTTACGATCGACGGATGTCAAGGTGGGAAGGTTGAAGTTGGCCGGGTCAATGAAGGACTGGGCTTTTTGAACGAAGGACGACCACTGCATCATGATGTATACGGTTACCTGTCAAGCAGGTCGGATGAGGAGCAACAGCAGTCTTATGGAAAGACCTCCCACTGGTAGGTTACGCTAGGAACCAAGTCTGGAGTGAGCTGACAGCTATCGAAGCTCAGACGAACGATCAGACTTGGGCAATCAGTATGAGAGCTTGCCCACAGATGGAAGATGTTGAGCCGAGAATCATTGTAGTAGCAGATCTAGCATGCTTGAGCTCTCACTATCTATAAATTGTGAAGAATTATGAGAGCTCAATAACACTGAATGTTGTTGACCAGCGGAGGGGGATGGCTGAGCGGCGGAGGTGTTCCTGGCAGGCATCCGCGGTACGCATCACGTGATATCCGGGATGGCGGGCGCTCCAGCAGTCAGTAACAACACAGTGGTAGCATGAAATACACGTGAATAATAAAGGGATTAGGTGGCATCACTAGGGGCGCAGGGGTCAATAGACACGATAAACTACCTTCAATTGAATCTACCTAATAGAAATGTAGCTGACTAGCAACGGAGAAGCCTACGGACCTAGAAGCAAGTAGACTGCTCAAGAAGTACATCAAGCCGCGACGAAAGAGGTAAGAACTAGACTATGGAAACAAGAGAGCCAAGGAGAGTGTGCAAGTGTAGAAACTGCATCGCAGTATTGAAGAAAGGTAATGTGATAGAGTCGTCCACCAAAAATCCAAAACCAAAAGCTCCTCACGGTTGGTCCGCTCATTGCAGTGGCCTGTCTCGCTGACCACCATGTTGGTAGGATTCGTTCCAATGCAAGTTCAGTGTTTCATGTCGGAGGCCTGCTCGCGAGAATCCTCATCGCTATAGGCGGGAGGATGACTCTCCGAGGATTCTGTCATCAAGCCCTCCTTCTCCAACACAGTTCCGGCTTCTTCATTCTCCCTGACGGGAGTACGGCGGTAGCGCTGCCAGAGGAACACCACAGCCTGGCCAATTAGCATACCTAGAGCACTAGCAGTCAAACCTGCGAGAACACCAAGCACCGCCGGAACGACGACGTAGCGGATGATACGGGAAACGGTCCGCTCCCAGCCGCTATGGTGCATGTGGTGCGGATGGTGGTGGTGAGGACGGCCGGCCATTCCGAAGTGTTCTTCATCCTCCGTGCTGGGATAATGCCCAGGTACAAAAGCGTCATCAAAATCACCCTCAGGGTGATGATGAGGGTGCGGCATGGCAGAGTGGGGGCGTTTCCCACCACAGCCAGGCAGTTTGGACTTCATTCCAAGGACACGCGCCTTCGCAGCGGTAAACAAAGCCCGAATACGTTCGACCAACAGTTTCCGCAAGCACTTAGGCTTTCCACGGCACTGCTTCCATGAGCCACGGTTGGGGGTCGTATCTTCAATTTCGGTCTTCGCCATGTAGATGTTGCCCCTGAGGTCATTGATCATCGTGATGGCGACAGTGTCGAGCGGCACTGGATGGCCGTCCAAGTCGAGAATTGTGAACCGAAGGGCGGACAACTCCATGGGTGCGTCATCTGGTACTCCCAAAGGCATGAATTCCACCGCGTATCCCAAGGAGATGGGATCAGACTCCTGTCCATCGGGAATCCGGCGTTGAACGGCACTGATAACGGTTTGAGGAGGGGGAGGGAAAATCTGATGACCGTTGACCAGCAAAGCGCCGGCATCCATCGCGAAGTTCAAAGCCTGTTATTGTCAGTTGTGAACAACAAGCCCAACGACTTCTGTAGTTACACTCACCAGAGACGTTTCGAAGCCGTCAGTCCAGCTGACTTCTCCATCCTCACGGACTTCACGGAACGGACATTCCTTGCAGGTGAGCTCAACCAGCTGTTGCTGAGCGGCCGAGGCTTCCAGAGGCAGGATGCTGATAAGTTCGCCCTGCGGAGTGACGGTCACTCCCTCGCTCTCAGGGACGACTAACAAAGCATTGGCGCCGAGAGCGATGGCGCTCCCAAGCAGCAGCGAGCGTAGGTTCATTGTCGCCGCAATGATTCAAAAGGTATACATGGGATAAACCCCGAATGAAGAGAAGTTATAAGTGGAGTGATTGATATTTGATACAGTTGAGACGGAATGGATCAGCCTGAAGGAGTTGATCACTTTTTGGCACTTTCTATTGTTAGCCACACTATTATTGTAAAGAACGGAGACGAAGTGAAACTGGGGGGGGGGGCGATCGGAGGAGCATCAGATATACTGTGTACTCATAAAACCCGTTCGGCGGCTGTGGTTCGCTGGCGGTGGCGTGGGTGACGCAGCGTGTGACTGAGCTAGTCCTATATGGGTAAAAGGCTTACGTCAGACAGCACGCACAGTGGAGCTCCCAGTCACATGGTGTGGATGCCTTAAAACTGGGGGGTCTAGACTCTAGACTAACTGGATAGTTGATACAAACAGTCTATTTATTTTTGTCTCTCTGTCTACTCATAGGGCTGATGGCAGCATAGCGACTTCGACTTGGTTTGATTTCGAACCATGGAGTCCACCAGGGATCCTGGATAGTCATTCCGTTTATATAAAAAGTAACTCCCCGAACTGAAAAAAAAAGAAAAAAAAAAGAATAGATACTCAAAATGGTGCCTGGTCAGCCAAACGACAAGAAGTCCTTATCAAAAAAGTGGAAAGCTTCATACTTCAAAGCCCGTACGCATGATGGTCGAGCTTCTGGGTTCTTCTGCAACTTGGTAAATGGATCCTGGACCATCGCATTGATCTTATTCCACGACTCACGTGGATCTTTTGGGCTTGATGTCGGCCTTTGAAACACAGTGGTCACCAACAGCACCACCCCCATCAAGAGGGATAGCCACCACTTGCCTCCCAAGGCCAGAGAAGGCCTCATGCCCATCTGAAATTCACCTTCGCCCTTCGCTTCGGTGCTATTGATGTCAGTCTCAGATGGCGCTGAATCAGAAGTTTCAGCCTCACTTCCGATTGGAGAAGTCGCCGCCAAGGGCGATGTGTTGTCGTATTGGGAATCACCATCCATGAGACTCTGACTCTCATCGAGCTCGGATAGATGAGGATCCACTCTGATCCTGAGCACGGGTTTGATCCTGCTGATAAGTCTTGGTTTCATCGGGTCGGAGCTCAGCGGCAGCGGCTGTGAGGGGGGGAATGACTTTGGAAGCCACACAGGGTCTTTGTAGTATCCTATCCTTCCATTCGCAAGTAGAGGCCTTGGTTCTTGCTGGATCGACACCTGTGAGCTCTTTCCTGATCCCACAATTGTCGGCTCATGCAAGTCATCCACGGGTTGAGTCCCATGCGAGGCAGTCGAATGCTCTGAGGATATCACTTCGGGCGGCTCATACGGAGAACCAGGGGTCTCATCTGCGACATCTTTATTATCACTAACGATAAGCATCTCTTTCTCTTCTTGGGGAAGAGAGCCTCCACAGTACCGAAAGTCTTCGGTTGTCTGTCCTGGATGATCGCTGTCTTCAGCGTCGTCTTGTGGGCATGGCTCGTTCTCCCTTTTACTGCGTCGTCTCTTCCGGGGCCTCTGATGAAAATCCAGATCATACTCGCTTATTGGTGAGTATGCTTCTTCCCTGTTTATGGGCTCCCATTCCATCAGGGACAGATCCGTATCGAGCTGGAGTGCTGATAAACCGTCAGATAAACTCTTGATTTCGTCGTCGAGCGTCGTACCTCGTGTTGATCCGGGTCTTTTCCTGCCCCTCGAGTCACTGGAACAATCCATTGCATCTCCAGGCTTCACAGTTTGCTGCGCCGAGCCCATGTAATCCAACCTACTGTCTATCTCCGATCCCGTGGTGTGAAACGTTCCATCCAAATTCTCGTCCGAGCCGTTCGAAGTAGGATTTGTCGTAGACTTCGACATGCGAGAACTTCCCAAATCAGACAGGTCAGAGCTCGACCCTTTGGAACTGGATGTGTCGGCGCTCAGTGATATGCGATCGTGGCGTCTGCCTCCGCTAACACCGTTCAGCCAGGTCGTCATCTTCTCGCTCTTGTCTTCCAGACGCTGGGAAGCCCGGTCCACCTGTCGCTCCCATTCCTGGCGTTGGGCCCGATACTGTTGGATCTCCTGTTGATACTTGTCGACCAGCGCGCCCTTCCGTTTCAAGAGTTGCTGCAGATCATCGACGTTCTTATCCCGCACCGCCAGCTCACTTTTCACCGCCTCTAGCTGCTGCTTCCACGTCCGGATGGAGTTCCTCTGCTCCTTGTTCTTCTCTCTGAGCACGGCATTCGCCTGCTCCGCCGAGTAGATGTACTCTTCCTTGGCCTTGCAGTCCTTCTCCAGCAGCTGCAGCGTCGCCTTCGTATCCCGCAGCTCTGCATCCTGGGCCTTGACCTTGCGAAGCTCGCGGCTCAGCTTGTTGTTCAGCTTTTCGTAGGCGACCTGCAGGTCTTTGCTCTCATCGCTGAGCCGGCGGTACCGGTCCACATGGTCCCTCTCGATCCGGGTGAAGGATCTGATTTGCTGGGCTATCGCGCGGTGGAGGAGCTCAGCTTTCTGTGAGGGAGTCGTATTCGGGTCGTACTTGAGTTGTCTTACCTGGTGCAGGAAGTATGCGTAGTCGGCCTGTTGGTCTAGCGGATCGATGGTGAGTGTGGGTGTTGGTGGTGTCGGTGTTGTTGGTGTAGTCGTCATCTGCGGCACTTTTAGTATAAACGGGGGTATTCAAATGCCAGGTAGTATAGCAATAGAGGGTCGGGTTTCTATATATGAGAAGTGCAAAAAAGAAGTGCCGAAGTTGCGGTCAAGAACGTCCATGGGGATTTATATGCTTCTATACATTCCTTGATGTGCAGTGTCTCACTCACCTAAAGAAGCTACCGAGTGCGACATCCTTGGAACACGCGGTATGGGCATGATAAACCAAGCCTCACGGACAAAGGGCAAAGAAAGTGGAAAGGAGAGAATCTCTCTGTTCCCAGCACCGGTTCTTTGTCTGGTGATGACATTGTCCAGTTCAACCGTGAGACAACAAGTTACAAGTACAACAAACACAAGGGGATTGTCTCAGGCATCGTTTGATGCTGGCCGTGCCTGATTGGTCCAAGAGACAGGCTGTCCCATTTTCCTCAATGCTCAGAGGCGCAGGAAACCTCCGACGCATGCATGAACAAGGCCTTTGTCCACGACGGCGGCTTTCGCGCATCGTCCCAGATCGATGCTTACGTGATTCTTTGCAGGAGCCAGCAAACTTAAGTGAATTGATGCAAGTCTAACTGAACATAACAGAGATGGAATATATCTTAGGAGAAAATAGCAAGGTAGAGGATTAGAGCTTGGACTTCTTCTGCCCCTTGACTTTCTGGACTGTTTCGCCGGACAGGAGGAAATCCGGATACTGGAGTTGGCCCTGCGCCGCGCCGCCGGCGGACATGCGCCAGCTTGCTCCGTCGACTATGTAATGTTAGCATGGCATGTTGAATATGCAGTAGAGGATGTAAACGCACCCACTAGGATCTGTCCACTGACGTAGCTACCCGTGTTCGAGAACAGATAGACAGTAGCGTCAGCGATATCGCGGACGGAGCCGAATCGGCCTAGAGGCTGGGACTTGATGTAGGATTGCATGGCATCCGAGGGAAGAAGACGATCGAGGCCCTAGTAACAGTAAGTATTGCTTTACGTGGCTTCGGAAAGGGGGGGCGGGGGGGCATCCAATACCTCTGTGGAAGAGATTGGCCCCGGGGCGATGATATTTGAGGTGACGCCGAGCGGACCATACTCAATCGACACCGTGTGCGACAGAGCATCAATTCCGGCCTTGGCTACGGCGACGTGCGCTTGGAAAGGTATCGCTCTGTAGTGGATTGTGGCACTCACGAAGATGATACGACCACCAGTGCCTAGCGGGGAGGGACGCACTAAATGAACCAATTAGACGAGTTCACAGATACAGATGAGATACATACGGGTCTCCGAATCTACTCTGTGCTTCTTCGCTGATTCAATGAGATAAGGTAGCGTCGCTTTCAGGGTATTGTAGGACCCCAGCACATCAATATCAATGACCGACTTGAACGCATTCACGGATAGCTGCTGGATAGAGGCGAGGAAGTTACCAGCCGCGCCGGCGCTTCAATATAGTATGGGCATTAGCATGAGAAAACCAGCTTCATTGACATAAAGCGGAAGCCCTACATGACATAGTCGATCGCGCCGAGCTCCTTAACGCAGCGATCGACCGCATCCTTCAGATCATCGTACTTGCGGACATCGACGGCACCGATGCCGATGACCTTCGCGCCGGGACGCGCGGTGGCAATGTCCTTGGCTACTGTCTCTGTCTTCTCGACGTTGCGGCCGACAATGCATGCATCCGCGCCTAGATGAACGAGGGCACGCACTTGGGCGCTGCAGATGTTTCCCGCGCCACCTGTACAGAAGACAACCTTGTTTGCTGAATAGTATTAGCGGCGATGGCCTTGATGACTAGAACGACGTAGAAGGCTTACTGAATATGCCCTCCTTCCAGGAGTCACTAATGTAGTCTTCCCTGGGTACGGGCATTTTGTAAGGTGGATTCGATTGTTGGGAGATGAAGATGTTACAGCAACGAGATACGAGATCGATGATGATGCTTCAAGTACAAGCTACTCTCCTAATTGCTGAACCCCTGATTGACGATAATCGATGTGATTGATGTTGCTCAGACTGTAGGACAAGTAAGTTGTTTCTCCACAGAAAGATGCCGCGGCTCATCTTAGCGGTAACTCCGTGCCTCGGATTTGCATGGTGAATTTATGTTTATCTCAACTTTGCAGTCAGCACTAGGTGTGCAGACCAACAGACTGTGACAGATCAGAAAGACAGTTTCAGATCTGTAGAGCTTTGAAGTAGCAATTGCGAGGATGCAGAGTACGATTAAGTCGTTGCTTGTCTGTCCTGCTAGCACATACTGGTAGATAAGTCACGTGTCAGCTCAAGATGATCGACTTTCGAGCTGACTACGACTATGCTACCGAGCGATAGAGACAGAGATGAGAAAGAAGAGGGCCTTCCAGCTTTGCCTGCCTCTGTGTCTATCTGCCTATTCTTCAACGTTGCCCGCATCACAGACTTTTCGCACTCTCAAGGCTGCCAGCGCTGTGTGCTGCCTGAGGCACCGAGAAAGTGCTGGTCCGCTAATTGGCGGCCTGTCATTGGCCAACTGTCTCAGCTTACGACGTCACTTGATCTGCCACTGTTGGAAGCATCAACTTCCATGGATGTGATTTCACCGCATCGACCGCGTCAACTTCGAATTTGAGTGGTATCTTGAGACTTGTCACTCAGTTGATAGCATACCATCTGAGCATCATGGCGTGCCCCATCACGGTCACCAAATTCGTGGGAACTGTTTCCCTGGGCATTCTCACGGTATGTATCTGATCCAACTCCCCTCCAACACACGGCATACCATCTGTTAGTGCTCTCTTCCTCGACTCAACCAAATGGCTAATGCTTTTTATCACAGGGCCTATCCTACTCCGCATCTGCAGTTACAATCCCCGCCTTGAGCCTTCTTCCCACCTCCGCCAACGCCTCTCGTGCCCTCAACGAAGTGAAACGCCTGAACCGCAAACATGGTCTACGGCTAGCCAACCTTGCTAACGGCTGTCTCCTTTTCGCATACTCTATCTCGCCGAGACACCGCAAACACCCCTACCTGGTCTGGATGTGCGTCGCGTCGGTCGTTGGATCATACGGTATGGACTTTTGGTTCCACAGACAACAGGGCCTCAAGGCGTGGGCTTGCAGTGTGTTGCAGGACACGGGGTGCATGGCGCTCGCGGGCAAAGCCGCCAAGAAGGACGAGGATCTCGTTGTCGTCGAGACTGAAGAGTCGGTTAATGGTGAGAGTGTCCGCGAGGAGCTGGCTCGGGAGCGGCGGCTGCAGCGTGCCAGAGCCGTGTTCTCGGGCATTGCGCTTTCCATGGGCATTGTGGGACTCTGGGGTGATAGGAAGTAAATGGATCGGATTGAAGGATCCGCAGCGTGATTTCTTTTCTTGCTTTTCATACCGCTTACTTGACGATCAAAATTGTTGTCTGTCAATCTTGTTCCAAGCCCTAACTCGCTCTTGTGATTTTTTTTTCCCCCTTACCTTTCCTCTCTTTTGAGCTGTTGTTTTATCAATATTTTACGGACTGTGATATGTATATTGGCTGGGAAATTTAGGTACGGTGTCTGGTTCTCTTTCGGATGAATGGAAGCGTTTTGTATTTAGGAGCTAATATCAGCATGGTCAGAACCTAAGGTACGACGATAATTGTATCGACAAGGCCACCCACAACCCCTTCAATTTCTAACAACAGTGAACCCTTCAAAGCCAGGCAGGACAGGTCGAATGTCCTTCAGATACTGCGGCACTCCGCCAGCATAGCTCCCCTGTTCAAACACTGCTCCCGGCTTCGTCCCGCCCATATACATGGACTTGGTCGTGGGGAACAGGGTCTTGTCGGAGAGCTCGTCAATCCGCTTCTTCCACGTCCTCGCAGCCTCCGGCATGGGATCAACGTACTTGATACCCTGACGCTCGATCTGCTTGATCGCATCCGCAATCCAGCGGCCCTGGATCTCAACCGCCGTGGGGCCATTGCTGAGGTGCGTCGGCCCCTGCGGCCCATACAGGTGGAACATGTTGGGATACCCGCTGACGGTCATCCCGAGGTACGTGTACGCACCGTCTCTCCACTCATCCTCGAGGGCGGTTCCGTTGATGCTTGTCAGCCCCATGTTTGTCATGCTGCCGGTGCTGGCTTCGAATCCCGTCGCGATGCAGATGACGTCGAGTTCGTGGACGGTGCCGTCTTGGAGCCTGATGCCGCTGGCCGTAAAGCTCGCGATGGGGTTATCCTTGATACTTACGAGTTCCACGTTCGGCCGGTTGAACTGCTCGAAGTAGGTCTCCTCCAGGCTGGGCAGCTTGACGCCCCAGTAGTGTGGTGGCTCGACAGGCGCCAGCAACTCCTGGAGTTTGGCATCGCAGATGCGCTGGCGGACCTTGGTGCGCCAGAAATCGTAGACGATGCGGTTGGCGTCCGGGTCGAGGAGGTGGTCGCGGTAATTCCCAACCCAGAACCGGAAGCCGCCGTCTGTCCACAACTTGTCCAGAAACGCGTCCCGCTCCGCCGGGCTGTCTTCGCAGATGCTCTTCTCCGAGAGCGTATAGAGGAACCCGCCGAACGTCTTCTCGCGCAGAGAGAACAGCGCCGGATACAGTGTCTTCGCCTGCTCCTGCTCTCGGACGCTCAGGCATCGCCTGCGCATGGGGAGCGCCAGGTTCGGCGTCCGCTGGAACACCTTCAGCGAGCCGGCCACGGGACCCCAAGCCTGGGTGACCTGAGTGCCCGAGGCCCCCGTTCCAATGACGGCGCAGCGCTTCCCCCGCACATCCACGGGCTTCTCCGGCCAGCAGGATGAGTGGTAGATGGCTCCTCGAAACGTCTCGATCCCCGGCCAGTCCGGGACATAGCGTTTTGCGGAAAACCCCGCGGCGATGATGAAGTATTTCGCGGACGCTGTCCTCCCATCAGCCGTGCGGATCCGCCAGCGGCCCTCGTGGGTGTCAAACCGCGCTCCGACCACCACGGTGTTGAAAGCACAGTCCTTCTTCACGCGGAGCACCCGGTCCACATGGGAAAAGTAGCTCCGCAGCTCGTCGCACCGGGGATAGTTCGTCGACCAGGTCCAGTCCTTCCACGTCTCGGGGATGGAGAACTGGTATTCCGGGACCTCCGAGTCCACCCCAGCGCCGGGGTAGCAGTTCCAGCGCCACGCGCCGCCGATATCACTGCCGGCCTCATATATGACGGCCTGAAGGCCGAGTTTGCGCATCTCGTACAGGCAGTAGATGCCTCCGAACCCGGCTCCGACGATCAGCACGTCGACGTGCAGGGCGCTAGCGTAGGCTCCTGTTGTGTCCTGGTGAGAGGCATTTCCGCCGAGTTCGGTTCTCATGCTATCTTCGCAAGGAGGGTTGGCAAGTGGTTTAGTTTGTTTTTTTTTTCTTGTACTTTGTTTTTCTTTTTCTTTGACGCTTGTAACTTCCATTGAGAACAACCACGTAGGGGTGTATATCCTTCTTTAAAGTGATCAGTTTACCCCTCCTTCGTCTGTAAAATTGGTCAAGCTTCCTTCCTGCAGGTTCATGCACGAGAAGGCCACAGGAACGCGCCATGAGCGGTACCTCCATTGGTCCGGGATCTCCTAGCTGGGCCTATTCTCTAACACATCATGGAGGGAAGACAGCCGGTTATACTATCTAGAATATTGACACAGCTATGAAACCCTTGGATTGTTCTTGAGGCTACAAGGTCAAGTCAGCATTGAGAGAGCCGACATTCAAAACAATAAAACGACTCAATCTTCCCCAGACGCCCTTATATCATCGTTCCTAGGCTGGGCTGTATAGACCATCTCGCCTTCGGCCCCGCGGATCCTTCTTAGGTAGTCCTTGGACTTCTAAGACATCCTGACTACCTGATTCAAATGCTCATCGGTTAACGCCGGGATGAGATCCCTGTCCTGCTTGGCCTGGAAGCATGCGAGAGCCACAGCGGTTGAAGCTGCCCACGCTATTGGTAGTGCAGGAAGAGAATCCCCTGGGAGGAGTCTAACGCTGGGAGAAAGACTGGTGGCCGGTCAGTTGTGACTCTCCCTGCATGCGGTTCCAGCTCACCAGGGCGAGACTCACTAGAGCCGATAGTATTCCGTCGGAGAATCCTGGGTGGATCGACTCTCGAGGTAGACATCCGCTCCGTGTAGAAGCAAGACGGCTTGAGACATTCACGCAAAATTCGTATCCATCCTTGTCAACCCGTGGGCCCGAATAGGCGCCCGAGCTGGTCACACCAAGCAGGTCGATGAGGGGTAGATGCATGCGATGCGATATATATATCCGTGACAAGTCACTACTGAAGCGCCTTGCACAACAAGAACAAACTCTCCATCATATCTTGACAAAACCAAAGCCAAATCCAACGATGCCTTCCTTATCGACCGAAACCATCGCAGCTCTGCGGGACAAAGTGGACGCCGCATGCGCAGACCAGGATAAAGGCCTTCCCGGCGCGGTGGTGGTGGTGGTCGGCAGAGACGGCCAGGAGTATTTCGCGCACGCCAGCGGGAAGCGCGGCCATGGCTCTGCGGAGCCCATGGACTTGGAGAGTGTCTTCTGGATCGCGTCGTGCACGAAGATGATCACCGGGATCGCGTGTATGCAGCTGGTGGAGCGGGGGCTGCTGAGCCTGGATGATTCGGGGCTTGTTGAGAGGCTGTGTCCGGAACTGGCGGCCGTGAAGGTATTGCAGAGCGATGGGACTTTGGTGGAGAAGCGCCGGGGGATTACGCTGAGGATGTTGTTGACTCATACAGGTGAGTATCCGTGTTCGTGTTCGTGTCTTGTGTTCATGGCCATCGTCATCGTCATGGGTTATCAGGGCGTGGTGTCAGCAATACTGACTCGGACGCTTCAGCTGGATTTGGCTACGCGTTCTTCAACGAGAGATTGAGGGACTATAGCAGGCCGGTTGGCTTCAATGAGCTCTCGGGAAACATCCACGATATGCTGCAGCCGCTCGTCCACCATCCCGGGGAGGGATGGGAATATGGGGTATGTGCGCTTCCCCCGAAGTCAACCCGTGCAAAGACTGACCGATTGTATTCAGCTGAGTCTTGACTGGGCCGGGGTCATGGTCGAGCGAGTCACCGGGATGTCGTTGAACGACTATTTCCACCGCAACATCTTTCAGCCCTTGGGGCTGAGCAACATCTCGATGTTTCCGTCGCCGTCGATGAAGGCCAACCTGGTCTATATGAACCAACGAGCGCCTGATGGCCAATTCGCGGCCAGAGACCACCTGTTCCGGCCGCCTTTGATTGCGCAGTCCCCCGAGGAGATCAAATCCTGCTTCAACAGCGGAGGGGCAGGCTGCTTTGCCAACCCGCAGGATTACTGCCGTAAGGAAGATCCCTTGGATCTCGCACATCGATATTCTGACGATCCACCTAGAAATCCTGGCAACGCTACTGAACGACGGCACCGCGCCCAGCACAGGGATCCGGATCCTGCAACAGGCGACCGTCGACGAGATGTTTCGCAACCAGATCCCCCAGTTTCCGGAATTCGCAGCACAAGGCTTCCCAGCGGCCAAACCCGCGTGGACCAACGCGATTCCGCATTTGTATCCCTCATCGACCGCTCAGGGCTGGGGGTTGTCGTTCATGCTCTCCGGAGGAGCCACCGGCCGATCCCTGGGGACGGCGCACTGGGCTGGCCTCCCCAACCTGTGGTGGTGGTGTGACCGGGAGCAAGGAGTCGCCGGGATAATCTGTACTCAGATCACGCCGTTTGGTGACGCCCAGAGTCTGGGTCTTTGGGGGGAGGTCGAGTCGATAGTGTATGATGGGTTGGTGTAGATCGATCGATTCCATCAAAATTCTCTCTATGAAGTACTACGTAGACTAGTCGATGCATTCCCGGGTCATTACTATCCGAATCCGAATCCGATTCATATTAATAGTAGCTCGAATTATTATTATTAATAATGACCTGAAGTCTTTCCCCCATGGGGGCGACATTCCCAACCAGAGACGACGAACTGGGAACTACTGGATAGCGCCAAAGCCACATTCCCTCCATCCTCCAACCATCAGCCGAACCAACTCTCAGATCGGACTAGTGAAGTTCGTCCAGAGTTCCATTCAGTCCAGTTGAGTCCCGTGGATCTCTCCAGACCCCGCATTGTCTTGGCCCGCAGCTTCAAAATCCCAGGTTTGTCACTTGTCAAGTTGTCAGGCATGGGGGGAGAAAGAAAGAGAGAGAGAGAGAGAGAGAGAGAGAGCCTGGCACCGTCTCAGCTTCTTCCAGTCGTCAACTTGACTCTGTCTGCACACTCTCCACTTCTTCATTTATCGAACCGGAACTAGCCGATGCTACGTGCGACTGATCTCTAGTGTGAGAAAAAAAAAAATAATACTAACGAACATTCGGTATTGGTTGGTTGGTTGATTGATTGACTGATTGACGGTCGCGATGGACACTCAACGGCGTCGTCAACATCATAGCTGTGACCCATGTCGGAAAGGGAAGAGAGCCTGTGATGCGCCTGCACGCAGAGACAGAGACCGTCATACCGGGGAGGTTTCATCGTCCAACCAAGCCAGCAGCGACACCATCACCTGCTCCAACTGCAGGAAATATAATCGGGAATGCACCTTCAATTGGCTGTCTGAGAACCGGGCGGCGGCACGCGGAGGGAAGAAGCAGAAGACGAGGAATGCGACCGGGCCGTCGCGCGTGGACGCACAGCACGCGTCGAATCCGTTCACGCAGGCCGCCGTGCTCGGGGATATGCTGTCCTCGTCGCAGTGGCTGTCCGAGACGCTGGGGCAGGGAGTCTGGTCGGGGAACGCCGTCGATCAGTCCGCTCCCTGGTCGCTGGGACATGCGGGTGCGGTCGCGATCCCGCTACGAGGCAAGGAGCCGGACCTCGACCCCTTCCGCATGTTCTCCTGGCATACGAACGCGGGGCATGTCCCACCGAGCCTGGCAGAGTCGTCGGGGGTGGTGGTACCGGATCACGAAGAGCTGGGTGGCGGCCCCAGTCTGGGGTACTACCAGCAGAGTCGATCGCAGTCAGGACCCCGTTCGTTCGATGGGACATTCGACGTGTTCCCTCCTCCTCCGCCTCGATCGGATGACTCGAGTCCCGGGCTCACTGACTCCTACTATTCCTCGTCGCCGGGGTTTCCCTTCCTGGACAGTGCGGAGGCTCGGCGCCAGGATCTCACGGCGGGCGACAACGGGGAGGGCTTGGGATCGAAAGATTCCATCAGCAGTCTGTCGGTGTTGTCAGATAACATCGCAGACGGCTATGCGCGCTCGATGATGACGCGGAACTTGGTACGAATATACCACGACAGCATGGAGAATGCGCTCTCCTGCTGGCTGACGGAACAGAACTGTCCGTACAACACGGCCCTCTCCCCCTACAAGTCGGCCCCAAACAACGGACTAATCCGTCCAGCCGAAACGGCCTGGGCGCCGAGCTGGACGAATCGAATATGCACCCGCGTGTGTCGGCTGGACCGAGCATACGCCTCGGCTCGGGGCCGGAGTCTCAGCGCGTCAGAGGAAAAGATGGCGTCCCGGGCGCTGCACACGGCGATCATGGCGTTCGCGTCGCAGTGGGCGCAGAAGATGCCCCGGAAGGATGGCTTCTCGCCCACGTCGCCGGTCGCCCACAAGGAGCGGGCCATGCGGGAGACGCTCTGGAACCAAGCACGGCGAGCGCTGGAGAATGCCGCGGGCGTTCCGTCGTTCCGCGTCGCTTTCGCCAACATCATCTTCTCCGTCGGACAGCGGCCGCTGAATACCGACGAAGACCTGGAGCTGCATGAGTTGTTGGAGGACGACAGCGCCCCCTTGTTTCTGGAAGCGGCCGTGCGCCAGCTCTTTTCCATAAAACACAAACTCACGCGAGCGCAGAGGCAGAAGAAGCCCAGGGCCGGGAGTCTGGCCCAACCCACCCCTGTCGAGGTCTCGAGTACGGCCAGTGAGTTTCTGTCCGCCGCGTCGACCGGCGTGCCGTTGCAGGCGGACGCCTTCTACACCGACCCCGAATATCAAGAGACCATCAACCTCATGTTCTGGTTGGTGGTCATGTTTGATACCCTGACCGCCGCCATGTATCAGCGGCCGTTGGTGATCTCCGACGAGGACACTCAGATCACATCGATCACTCCGTCCGACAACGGCAACGACAACGAAGCCCGCGTCGATCTGGACGGCTGGAACATGACGTACGCGCGCGCCCTGCAAGAGAAACAGGATCTCTGGGGCGACTTCTTCCTCCGCAAACGCGCAGCACGGCAGCAGCAGCAGCAGCAGGCGGACCCGCCCTCGTGGCCCTGCTCCTACGACGAGGCGGCCGAGGTACTCTCCGACGCCAGCCCCGTCAAAGTCCTCCTCTTCCGCCAGGTCACCCGTCTCGAGACACTCGTCTACCGCGGCGCGAGCCCCGAGCGCCTGGAAGAAGCCATCCAGAAGGCGCTGCGCATCTACCAGCACTGGAACGCCGCGTACAAGCGCTTCTTCACCACCTGCAACGCCCACCACGACGACTTGCCCCCGCGCATCCAGGCCTGGTACGTCATCGTGGCGGGCCACTGGCACCTGGCCGCCATGCTACTCGCCGACGCCGTCAAGGGCATCGACGAGGGACGACTGGGGCTGGACAGCCAGCGCGAGGCGCGCGGCGCCATCGACTTTGTCGCGACGCTGCGGCGCGACAACGCGCTCGCCGCGGGGGCCATCGCCCAGCGCTGCCTGCAGGGCCAGGTCTCGCTCTCCGGCAAGTTCGACTCGTTCCACGACTCGGTCAACGAGGCGGCCTTTCTGACGGAGCCGTGGACCCTGGTCCTGATCCGCTGCTTCGCCAAGGCCGCGTACATCCTTCTCGACGAGATCAGCCTCCATCCCCCGCCCCCGCGGGCCGGATACGGCCGGCCCGGCGATGACCCGGCCGAGTATGCGCGGCGGACCTGCGAGTTCTGCATCTCAGCGCTGTGGTGTCTCGGCACCAAGTCGGACATGGCGTTTGTGGTGGCGCGGTCGCTGTCAAACCAGTTGGAGCGGAAGGTGGGGAGGCGGGCGAGTCCGGGTGGGTTGGAGCGTGTGCCTGTACCTGCGTCTGTCTCCGTTGCTTCTGCGATGCCTGTCTTTGGAGATCGAGTGCCGGTAGTTTGAGCTGTGGCTGGTCTGTTTCCATATGTATACGGTATACCCAAGAATGCTTGATAATGGTGCGTCGGGTGGGGGGGGGAAGACGGGTTGTGAATATATGAATAGCCATGATGTACGGAATCTAAGTCACTTATGTATTTATCTATCTTTTCCTTAATTTAATTCCATCTCGACCAAATCCGCTGAATGGGGCTGATCACCAACTCCAACGACTCCCCCCAAGTGCCACCGCCAACTGGCATCCTTCCCTCCCCGCATCCTCGGTCCAGACTCCGAATCCTAAGCAAAAATCTCTTCTCCACACAAAAACAACACGACTGTACAGTGTACAACCTTCCACTTCCCTCCCACAGGCCACAGCACCAGTAATCGATCCCACAACAGCGATAGCGATAGCGGTAGTGGTAGTGATACCAAACCCATGCCTCCAAGCCGATGACTGCACCCGGTACCAAGAACCGCGGTCCGCCCACCCCCCCCCCCCTTCCCCTTCACACACCACACACATCCTAACGAATCCACCAGGCTGCTTCCAATGCACCAAACGACGAATCATCTGCGACGGCGGCGACCCCGTGTGCGCCAAATGCCAAAAGAAAGGGATTGAGTGCTCCGGACAGTCGCGGATCCGGTTCACGAATGGCGTCGCCTCGCGCGGGAAGCTGAAGGGATGTGTTATCCCCGTTGTGGGGGTGAGGGCGGAGAGCGTCTTTGCGCAGGGGGCGCCGGTGCGCTCGCAGCTACGATGGCGCGAGGGGAGGGTGCATAAACGGGTGAGGAGGGGTGGGAAGGAGGAGGGGGTGGAGGTGGAGGATACACTGGGGAGGGGTGGGTTGGATGGAGATGCAGATGCAGATGCAGAAGAAGAGGTCACTCGTGGAAGCGAGATCTGTCCGCTCGCGCCGTGGGTGGCTCCGCTGGGTGCGCGCGCGCGCATGCTCTTCTCGCACTGTACGCTGGGCCCCAATCGACACAGATACAAGTTCGCAAAAGCTAACAGCCCCGGGCAGTCGCGCGCGACGTCGCCCCCGTCATGGTCCTCCTCGACGACGTCGCGAACGGATACCGCGACTTCATCCTCCCCATGGCCTGCGGCGACGACCTCGTGCGGCAGGCCGTCGAGGTCGTCGCGACGCAGTACCTAGCGCAGCTGCAGCCAGCGTTCTCGGCTGCTGCTGAGACGGGCCGCGCGGCGCTGATTTCGCGCCTGCGCCGCGAGTCGCTGCTCCGGGCGCCGGAGCGTGTCTTCAGCGCCGAAACATGGGCCACGCTGATCGTGCTCCTTGTTGGCGAAACGGTCACCGCAAGCGACGAGTACCATCATCTGCTGCGCACGCTGCACTCGGTGACGCACAACGCGGCGCCGGTGCGCTCGGATGTCGCCAAGTTCCTGCTCCAGCAGACACACATGTACGACCCAAAATCCCCAATCCCCAACCCCAATCCCAATCCCAACCTCCCTACCCAACCACCAATTCTCACAAGGATCCGATCCGATCCGATCCAAACAGGTTCGAACTCCTCGGCCAACCGCTCCTCAGCGAAGACCAAGGCCTGCTAGTCCTCCGCTCCCCACCCTCCCAAACCCTCGACTGGCTCGCCTACGACCTCCCCGCCACATCCACCCACCACGCCCTCCTCCACCTCACCCGACAAGCCTTCACGCTCGCCTCGCGCATCTACCTGCACCGCGCAACCACGAACCACGAACAGCGGGCGCTGGCGACGCAGCTCCGCGCGGTGATCGCGCAGATCGACGCGGACGCGCCGGGCGCGCACGCGCTCGTCTGGGCGTGTTTCATCGCCGCGGCGGATAGCGCCGACGAGGCGCTGCGGGCTTTCTTCGTGGCGAGGCTGCGGGATGTGTATGCGCGCACGCGGTTCCGGAATGTGGATGCGGCGGTGCGGGCGTTGCCGGGGATTTGGGCGGGGGCGGGGAGGTGGACGGAGGGGTTGGGTGGGATGGGGGTGTTGGTGATGTGATGTGATGTTTGCTAGGAGTATGGAGTATGGAGTATGGAGTAGGTTGCATCTATCTATAAGACCCAAAATACTATGAACATGGTAGATACATACAGATACAGCTACAACCTAGTCCTAGTCCTAGTCCTAGTCCTAAGGGTGTGCCCCATATAGTCCCAGGGATCTCCACAGTGGAGGCCCGGGGGGGGGACTGAAGTCTGAAGATATCAGAAAGTAAACCTGCATATCCATAGGACATAGGTAGTTTCTTCCGCCTTGTGCATATATGTATATAAACAGTACATATCGCGCAGTAGTGGAATACGGAGAACTCGTGGTTTGTGAAACCAACCAACCTCACGGTTCAGGTGCGAACCTGAGATAAAGTAGGAAACAAACCCCTCTAGAAAGACGACGAAGCATCTAGATTCAGCTGTTGGTACTCCATAATCAACCCATTAACATCGGTCATGTCCGTATGACCGTCTCGAGCCGGGCCTTGTCTAGACGACTCCGGGATCGGCCCCATAGCGCTGGCCGTCATCCGAGCCAGGAGGCTTCGCGCCAGATGCCAAACCCCCGGCGCATAGCGCACAACCCCGATCTTCTTCCATAGGCAGCGAGGCTGGTCCGGTATCCTTCGGTCTTCTGGCCGTCGGTGGATCCACATGCGCCGCCAATTGTCCAACCCGATCTGGACCGGAGCCAGCGTCGAGTCCAAGGCCGGAGAGTTTTGGAGTGGGATCATCAGCAGCGAGTGGAGGGCTGGCGAGTGTTAGCACTCCCGACTCTGCCTGCATCGGAAAAAAAAGACGCCTACCCTGCACGGTCGTGAAGAGGTTCAGCGTCCCCATCGTCGAGTATTCGTGGATGCATTGTTCATCTAGCTCGCCCTGGCATATCCTCCGTGCCACTTCGGCAACAGACAGCCTCGCCGACCAGAAGGTGCTCCCCTCGCAGCCTCGGAGGAGGTTGAAGCATTCTATCGCCGAGTCTGCTTGGAAACAGGGCTCGGGGCAGGACATGTCCATTTGGAGCTCCGAGACCACCATCCGTGGCGGGGTGTGATGGAATATCGCCGTGGCGGCGTCGATGAGGAAGACGTATGTTAGAGTCCTGCCTGTTCCTCAGCTAAGTTTACATACGTTGAAACAGAATGGGGGACATGCCGAATCAACGCTTCTTCAATGGCAAACTGCCTCCACCAGTTCTCTGACGGGTCAGTCAGCCATAGGTTGCGATGCGTCGCAGATTCAATGCCAATGTCTCTCGCTAGCTATACTTCCATTAGCTCAGCGTCCACATCCTGGGTAGGGAACCAACCGTGACCATCACCGCATGCCGATGCCTCCTCACCCTACCCTGCGCTTCGACCGAGCCCTCCCTCTTCTGTAGCCAGCAGACCAGGTATGCAGTCTGAAGACTTTCCACGCGGGACTTGAGGCGCGGCACAGTTACCATCAGTTTTCCGCTCTCTTCGTGGAAACACCCATTGCAAAAAGCCAGCTCCTCAACACCGTCCAACCACATCCTCGCGGCGTGGCCGTCGTCTTCGTATGGGGAGAGACACGCCCCGATCAATACCATAACACAGAGCAAGGCAACAGGTGCACCCAGCGGGTCGAAAGAAGGTCGATGCACGATAGGACAGTTGGGGTACCATAGCGCCCAGAAGTACTCCAGAAAGCGGCGGATATTCCGAGGAGTGTAGAAGGCCTCGCAGGATGCTTGGACGTCGGGGGCCCAGTCTAACTTGATGACAACCTTCTCGAATTTGTTACTGATGACATGTTGAAGACAGTGGGTGATTTCGTGCGTCTTGAGAGTGAGGGGATCTAGATGGCAGGGTTGGTGGTGGAGTGCGGGATCAACTGTCACAGCGGGATGGTCCGTCAGGTGGCTCTCACTGCAGTCGAGAAGGAGTTTCTGTCGCTGCTTGAGTGTTTCATAGTCTAGAAACGTCGCCATGCCGTTGGATCTGGTGAAGTCGGCCAGATACTCCAGCTTCTCCCCCGTGGTGATACTGTCGGACGCCATGGGAGGTGCATGTAGAGAGTCCCAGGCCGCAAAGTCTAGCGACGACGGCTGGTCAAGCAGCATACTTGATTCTGGGCCCACTAAAGCCAACGCCATTGGAGCCATCGGAAGACGAGGCTGGAGTCTTTCGGCCTGGGCTACTGGACGTGCCCGGTATTCAGATAGCGGGCTGTGTCTTGCTTTACATGTCTTTTGGTGGCGCGTCAAGAGATCTCTGGCCCTATCAGTCCCCGAGCACATGTTCGCTGGCAGAAACATACTTTCGTGTAAACGACCTCCGACAGGATTCACATCTGTACGGTCTCAGATTCCCATCTGCGTCATGGTGAGCGGTGTCTTGTCTTCCTGGGAGGGAGTAGCCGACGTACGGGAGCGCAAATGGCGTCGCAGGTGCTCTGCGCGAGTGAAGGTGGTGAGGCAGTAGCCACACTGCAGCTGGAAATGCGACATGACGACATCCAAAGCGGCATCGATGGTATACCGAGTTCATTCCGGAGATGAAGATGCGAACAGCGTCGAGTTTGGACTCGAACTCGCGGTGAATGCGGGGGAACCGATGCCTTAGGCCATCTATCTATCTATCTATCGTACACGTTCTCTTGACCAGTTGGTGATTGACTCCAGCCAACTGGCTACAGCATCCACGCCATGCCCGTCAAGCCCACCACCAACAACCCCTTGACCCCTACAGAGCTAGATGCTCTCTGTCCAGCGTTCTGCTTTCCCCCGTTTGCCGTACCACTGCCCCCCTCGGCGATGACGCCTCCCAACCACGGCGACGCCGTCCACGACCCGTTACTCTGCGCCACGACCTCCGGCGCCAGCATGTCGTTCTCCAGCACCGAACAGTCCACCCTCTTCTCCGACGGTTCAATGCTATTTGCCACAGCCATCGGCAAGTCAAACACGGTATAGTATTCCGATCCGTTGACGCGAAAGGCCTGGTGCATGGAGATGTTGTATTCGCCGCGGGGACTCTTGTTGCCCTCTCCAGCTAGACACGCGGGCCAGACCCAGTTGACATGTTTGACCGTGGACGATGGCTCGAGGTCGAGGACGGAGCCTGCGTCGGTGGCATTGGAGATGGTGAGGTTCTTGGAGGTGGCGTAGGAGGTCAGGAAGAGAGTGAGGGAGTGGAGGGTGGTGGAGGAGTCTTTGGAAGGGGGCCAGATGCGGCCGTTGCCGGAGATGTCGATTGCGACGTGCAGGGTGTCTGTGATGATCAGCTGGGTTTCATATTTCAGTTAGATGGGAGTGGATTGGCTTGGATACCTCCTCCGAGAGGCGTATGGGGCTGGGGGGCATCGACGATAGCCAGGCCGGGAGTGTAGATCTGCCCATTGACGTTCATTGTGATGGTATACTCTGTACAGTCGACAGGAGAGAGAGAGAGAGAGAGATTTTGCTGTCTAGTCTACATCTCGAGGGATTGAGGATTGAGGTCCTTCAACAATTAAGTGATACTTTACTCCTAACGCTGGCCCTTAATTTCCACAATCTGCCTATAATCCTAATCCTGCCCTTCGATTGGCCCTGATTCAATCTATGCTCGCGTCCATTCCGTCGACTCCGTCCCTTCATCTACTCTGTACGGAGTAAGTATATCTAACTAACTATCAAGAGTCGTGTGATGAAATGAACCCCTGACATGATACTAAAATCTGTTCAAAGTCGACGGTCTTGGCAGTAAGCGCCAGCCCAGGAAATCGACTCTGTATCACTATAACTATAACTATACCTACTCGCTGTCGACATAGAGCGTAGAGCGATGTAACGGTATTGCATTATGTGCAGGCCCAACACCGGTTGACGAGGAATTAAACATCAAACTCTCGCTGGACAATATGTCCCTCCCCCAACACCCCCTTCACCACCATCACCAGCTCATCCACCGCCACCAGCACCTTCAGATACGCCATCACCCCGACACAGAACCGTCGATAGCCCTGATCCCGCACCAGCTCCGTGCCCAGCACCTCCAGGTCGGCCTGCGCCGCGCGCCAATGCTCATAGCAGCGCTTCGTCAACGGCGTCGGCAGCACCTCCGGCAGCGCATCGCCGGTCTTGAGCGCCTGCGCCACCACGCCCAGCACGGCCATGACCTCGGCCACGGCGCGCGGCTCCAGCACGCCGAGCGAGCGCGCCAGTCGCCGCTGCAGCTCGGCGGGCAGGGTCGCCGAGAGGAACAGCAGCCGGCCCAGATTCTGGTTCAGCGCCTGGCAGAGCGTCTGCACCTGGCGCAGGCTGGCGGCGTCGAAGCGCGAGCCGGAAAACTCCAGGCGGAGCAGCGCGACGGGCCCGTCGAGGCTGCTGAGCCGCTCGGCCACCTCGATGGAGAGCTGCTCGGCCATGGTGCCCGCGTCGGGGTTGCGCGCCCAGCAGGACAGCAGCAGCGCGTAGTGGTCCGTCAGTCGGCGGAGGGTGTTGGACAGCGACACGCAGAGGTGGCGGGCGGCCGAGGGCGGGCGCGGGAAGATCTGCACGACGACGGCGGCGGCGAATCCGACGAAGACGAGGACGAGACGGCGCCAGAAGACCGGGTAGCCGATGCCCGGGTTGCCGTATTGCGGGAGGAGCCTGATCCAAATCCATTAGTATTGTAGACCGAACCAGCAGTTGGGGAAGGCTTACGCATCGTCATAGCTGTAGCCGATGATCAGGAAGAAGGTCGCGGCGCTCATGACGGTGGCCTGCAGCAGGGCCGGCGACAGGAACAGCCGCGCCCACATGAAGAGGATTACCACGGGGGCCGTAATAGCCGCCAACCCGTAGGGATTGCCCGGCCCATGTCCGGAGCCGATGTACCACGCCGCCAGACCGACCAGGCCGCCCAGCACCGTGCCGATGGCCCGCGAGATCAGCGAGAAGGTGAAGTCGGCCATGTACACCAGCAGCGTGGTCTGCGCCATGATGAGTCCCCAGAGGCCCTTTTCGCGATAGTAGAACCCGGTGCTGGACGGGATCACCGCCGGAATGGCCAGCGCAATGCTCACGATCACCATGCGCAGCGCGAACAGGCCCTCGGCGCTGATGAACCAGTGGTACGTGCCCAGCACCACGCGGCCGAGCGGGTGGCGCCGGCGACCGTGGTACCCCCGGCTGATGCGGCGGAACAGCTCCTGCGCCTCGTCCGACTGCGTCGCCGCCGGGTCGTCCGGGTCGGTGTCCGACGACGGGCCCGCCACGGGCGTGGGCGCGTTGCGGCGCAGCACCCAGCGCACGGCGTAGTGGATGCTGGTCGGGAACCAGAGCCGGGGCTGGGGACGGGCGTCGAGCAAGGCGAGGACTTGGACGAGGAGCTGCTCGAGCGCGTCGGCGACGGAGAGGACGTGCTCCTCGAAGGCCAGGCCGACCATGACGCCGCGGATCGACGAGCCGCCCAGCGTGTCCAGGCGCTTGAGCTGGCCCGACTCGTCAAAGACGTCCCCGTGCCGCTCGATCAACTTCTCGGTCGTCTGCGCCGCGAAGGCAGTGCGGGTTTTCCGCAACGTCTCCAGCGCCGTGAGCGCCTGCTCCCGCGGATCCGGCGCGCGCGACCCCACCCACCGCCGCGAATTGACGCCGCGGATGCACTCCACGCTGACGGCGACCACGGCCTCGCACGCCTGCAGGATCTCTCCGCTGCACTGGCGCAGCACCTGCACCGTGCCCGACCGCAGGCTCTCCGCCTCCGGGGTGGCCATCGCCTCGACCAAGTCCAGACTCTCCATGATCTGCCGCAGCCCCGCCGCACGCTTCTCCGTCCCATGCGCCTCGGTTGTAACGACCGGTGTGGCGGCGCCCGAGACCGCCCGCAGCTGCTCCAGCCGCGCCTGCGCACTCACCCGCGCGATATGGAAATCCAACAAGCCCAAGCTACTCAGCAGGATCTGGCGCACGGGCCGGCGCAGCGTCTTCACGTCCTCGGCGCTCCAGCGGCCGCGCGAGAAGTCCACCGGCAGGAACCCCACGGCGGGCTCCATGGCGCGGTACACGGCGATGAGGCGCGTGCGGGCCGCGACCAGATCCTTCAGCGCCAGATCCTCGTGGTCGGCCTCGGCGGCTGCGAAGCTGGCGCGCGTGAACTCCAGCGGCTGCTTCGCGAGCCCCACGAGCGACTGCATGGCCGCCAGCACGGCATGCGAGGTCGAGTGCGGGAAGAAGAGCAGTGACGCGACGAGACCCAGCCCGGCGCCGATGGCAGCGGGCTCGATCAGCACGCGCGGGAACGTGCCCTGGAACGAGGGCAGGACGGGGCCGATGGTCAGGAATAGGTCGGCGATGATGGTGCCGAAGATCTGGACGAGGGTGAACTTGGGGTTTGCCGCGCGCAGCCGAGCCTGTCTCATTAGCATATCACCACACACAATTGGGAGGTGGAACCCACTAAGAAATAGATAAAAACACAGATCATGGCAAAGTACACGGCGGTGACGCGGGCGTCCAACATGAAGCCATCATAGATCAGCTTCTGCTGCACCAGGGCGGGATTCGAGCCTGTGGCGTTGACCTGGCGCGCGATCTCCGCCTGGAGCGCCTGGAGCCGGGCCATGGTTTCAGCCTGGGGTCGGGCTGCCAGTGCGGCTTCCATGGTGATGACGCCCCAGCCCCAGGCGAGGCCGAGCCCGATGAGCAGGGTGAGCGTACTGAGCAGGAAGATGGAGACGATGCCCGCGGGGGGGTTGATGAAGAGGACCAGACTACGGCGGTTAGTCTCCATGCACTACCAGAGATCAATTGGCGTCGAGTCGGGGACCGCACTCACCATCCGAAGAACGTGGCCTGGCCGATGGTGCGCAGGGTGGGATGGATGAACATGAGGAGAGCAAAGATCCAGGTGGCGGCCGAGCAACGAAAGAGGGTCTTGAGGTCGTGCGAGTTGAAATGAAGCCATTGCGGCCAGGCTTTGGCGGCACGGGCAGGTTCGTCCGGGTCTGCCATGGTGTGGTATGGGTTGCCAGGCCGCTAAGGAGAGGTTAATTGGGGGGCAGAGAGAGGGAGAAAGGAGAATGATCACAGAGGAATGTGTCTGATTCCACTATCCAGGATTCGGTGTCGATCGACAGATCGGCTGTGATTAGTGATTAGTCGTTAGGGTCCAGTAGTTGGTGTTCGACTTGGGGAGGTATACAGAGAGATGTTAATGAGTAGACTATTAGATGACAGACTATTGTTTTCTAGTAAGAATCATGATATAAATACTCTACTCTACTCTACTCTCCTCTAACTAGATCTCTTGTCCTGTTCGAATTTCACCGGAAATGAAGATGGCAGCAGGCACGTGCTAATGCAGCTGCATAATTAGTAAGGACCGTCATAATGAGACCGAGAGAGGGAGAGGATCAGCATAACTTGGATGACTTGGGGTTATTAACCCTAACCCTAATCACCTTGTCCCGATGATCCTCCCTTGGTTCGAACTTGTGCATATTAGATGGTATGGAGATATGTTAATGTTATAACTTATTAACTGACCCAGTTAAACTGCTATGTACTCCGTAAGTATGTTAGTGCTTACTCCAGGCTATGGAGTCCTCCAAGGTAAGGTTATCTATCCGACGGCTGACATACATACGTTTCCTTCTCGGGCTAATCCTCGATTACTGTGTATCCATCGGAGACTTTTCTTGCCAAATCAATCATCAATCAATACTCGAATAGTTGAATAGTTACGCCGGTGGTCACTCCTGGATGCCAGCATCGGACACATTGACATTGGCTCGACTTCACTACCCCTAGTTATATATAAAGGAAAGAGAACATCCCAATGTCAAATCCACTTCATCAGTATCAGGATCACCAGCTTCAAGCTCACCAATTGCTATCAATTCTATCAATTCTACCAGTACTACCCATACTATCAACTCTACTAATACTACCCATTCTACCAATACTATACACACTCCCAGCCTCACGACATGTCCATCCCACGCCCACCACTCAACGCCGACCTCGCCGAGGCGCATAAGAACATCCCTCTCCTGGAACTCACCACCCAAGCGGAACGAGACACGTACCGCGCCTCGCTCAACGCCATGATCACCGTCGACTCCATCCTTCGCGGCAAAGAAGACACCATCACCTACACGGACGTCGACATCCCCGGCCCAGCCGGCCCCCTGCGCGCCACCATCTTCGCCCCCAAACACCGCACGCGGCCCGCCGCCACCACCCCGGGGATCCTCCACCTCCACGGCGGCGGCCTGGCCACCGGCAACCGGTTCCTGGGGCTCACGATCCTCGACTGCGTCGACGCCCTCGGCGCCATCTGCGTGACGGTCGAGTACCGTCTCGCGCCGGAACACCCGCAGCCCGCCGCGCTGGACGACGGGGTCGACTGGCTCTCGACGCGGCAGGATGGGGATCTCGCGCCGGTGACGGCGGCGGGGGTGCGGCAGGTGGCGGCGTTTGCGTTGGGGGCCGGGCGCGAGGGCGCGCTGGCCGGCCTGCCCGAGACCTTCATCGATGTCGGCGAGGCGGATGTCTTCCGCGATCAGGACGTGGCGTATGCGATGGCCCTGTGGCGCGATGGCGTGGCGGCGGAGCGGCATGTGTGGCCGGGGGCGTGGCATGGGTTCGATGTGTTTGTGCCGGAGGCGCGGGTGAGTCGGCGGGCGAAGACGGCGCGGGTGGAGTGGTTGCGGAACTTGCTGGAGGAATGAATGAATGAATGTATGTATGTATGTATGTATCTATGGATTTGTATATAGACAGTCGCGAATACCAGGGAGGTTCACATCGTGCTTCTGCTGTCTGGGGAACTGACCGAGGTGGAACTGCTGGTCCGCCCTGGAGAGGACATCGAGGACATCGAGGACAACGCGCCGGACCCGGTCATGGCATTCGTCAAGCCGACGAAGAATGGAGCTGGAGGTGCAGAGTCAGAGTCAGAGTCCGCGGGGGGGCAGGGTGAGGGCAACCTCTGCTGGCAGAAGGCATACTACCGAACGAACCAGCCACCGGGACTCCGTCACTCGCAACATCTCGATCCATTTCTCAGTCTGAAGATCAACTCTTCTGCCATAGTCCCGGCGTTCAAGACTCATCGTGCAGAGAGTATCCGTACTCTTCGAGACTACCCCCACACCTTCATCCCAAAGGGCAAAACAAAATCAAACAAAATCAAAGCTACAGAGGACAGACTAAAGCATCTTCCCTGTTAATCAACTAAACTCAAAAGTGCAAAAGCATTGCACCAAAAAAAAAAGGCCCCCTTTTCTCTCCTTTCTGCCAAGGGGGCTCCACTTGGGGGAGAAACCGACAGTGACGGCGAGTTTCAGAGTCAGCTGGTTTTCGTCTAGGCTCCACCCGGGGAGGAGGAGGAGGAGGAGGAGGATTTTTCCAGAAACATTCCCTTCATTGCATTGGGGAATGTCTACGAGAGTTGGAAATTCGGGCGAAGTTAATAGGGATAGGTAGGAGAGAGATAAGAGGGTTGTGGCAGGTGGCTTGAGAAGGATGGATTGGGTATACCGCAACAACAAGAAGAATAACACAATTGAAGTTAAAAAAAGAAAAAAATCCGTCCAGTCGAGTTAAACAGGGTATGTGATGCAATCGAAAAGCACAGTCAGAGAAAAGAGAAGGAGAGAAGTCTGTAGGAGTTATGGAAGCCAAAAACAATCAAACAAACAAAGAAAGATTCAGAAAACCGCCTGCGCCTCCTGTTTACCACCCAGTCGTCCGTAAATTGCAAGAGAAAGACAGAGAGGGAGAGAGATCCCCCGTCTGAGGACTCCAAGACTTAGTGATGGCGTCTCTGTGCCCGACCAGAACTCCCGCAAATCGTTGGACGAGGACTGAATGGATGGATGCTAAAAACTCCGGCAATGCATCATGCGTAGGGAATGGATGACCCCCGAGAGATTGGGTCTGCCAGCAGATCCCATCTACTTTGTTTTCAATCTTTTTCCTTGGAGAACCGTCATCGATCCTGGAAGATGGCTCGGTAGGAAGAATCACTCAGGATCTCCGAGGGCAGCGCACGACGATAGTCTCTAGGCTGAGCAAAGGGCGACGACGATGGTCGACGAAGTTTGAGAGACTGCTCCAGAGATGTTAGAAAAGCTTTATCCAACGCCAATCCCGATGACAAGAAAAGAGAGAGAGAGAGACGGGACTCACCACGCAATCGGGACATTTCCCTCCATCGATATTGACACGGCCCCGACAGCCCCGAGGATAATTGGCGCAGGAGAACATGGTTGAAGGGGGAATTGAATTGAATTGAATTGGTACTTTTCCGAGTAGCCGATAGAGAGAGAGAGAGGGAGGGAGAGAGAGAGCTTGATTGATTGATAGATGGATGGATGGGTAGAGTCTTCTTTTATTCTGATTATTGGGTTTCTTTTTTCCTTTTTTTTTTTTTTTTTTGTTTTTTTTTCGCGTTTCTGTTGTTCTGTTCTTCGGTCTTTTCCCACACACTCTGACACACTGACACTCTCCTTTCTAGTGATCTTCCGAATTCCTTCTTAGGGCTGAAATTGGACGTCAAGGCTTTTTTTTTTTTTTTTTCTTCACGAGATGGAAGAAGGGGGGGGGGGAATAAAATAAAGAGACATCCTCCGTCCCCGTCAAGGGATTTGTCGCAGTAGAAATAGTTGATTCACCGAGGGGGAGAAAAAAAATAAAAATATTAATTCAAACAAAATAGAATGAAATTAAAATAAAATGAAAATAAAAAAAACGGGATGATGATGCTGGCTGTCTCGCAACTAAAAGTAACGCTTGCCGGGGTTGGGTTGGTTGAGCTGGGCTGGGCTAGCTCCGCCACAGAAGTGGGATGGAAGATGAGAAGAAGAGAGACCGTTGAAAAAAAGAGAGAGAGAGAAAGAAGAGTCTAGCGATCATGCGTAGTATATATGATACACCTCCGAGTAGAGTCAAGGAGAGTCAATCCAGCAGTATTGGTGGTGTTATCCTGTCCTGTCTTCAGGAGCTACTCCTACTACTACTACTACTACTACTACTACTACTACTACTACTACTACTACTACTACTACTACTACTACTACTACTACTACTACTACTACTACTACTACTACTACTACTACTACTACAACTACGATCACGATCTTCCCCATTTTTCTCAGTCGATTAGATGCCATCCCGCTTACCGTTGCGCTGGCACTACCATGTTTCATATGTCAAGGGAGTGATCGACATGAAGTTTCCAGAATCCAGTAGTCTCTCTAACTCCGTAGGGTTACAGGGCATCATCCTCCTCATCATCATCATGCCGGTCATCGTGGTATATCCCAGCATGCGATAGGCGATCGGCTCTAGGCGATAGCAGGCATCAGGCATCAGGATTCAGGATTCAGGATTGAGGATCTGGCAGATGCATACGCCCCGAACGAGGCGTATGTTTCACATTAACAGAAAGTGGACCATGCCGGGATGGAAGGTGATCCAGTCAAGGCGGTCCCGGATGCGAGAGGCTGAGAGCCATCTCGCATTTTTTTTCTTCTGGAAGGCTGGAAAGGTCCACCACTTCATTTCTTTACACTTTCCCGAGTAGTCCGGTGGAACTGGAATCGAAATCGATGCGTCTGGCTCGGGACGTGACATGCGGCTTATCCCGCGTAATAAATACCTCTGGAGGAAGAAGGATAGTCATGACTCTTCAGATCACTACCGAGTACGGAGTAATAGAGAATATTAATCTAGATTGCTTCTGCCTGCCGACTAGTGGGAGGGGAGGGGACACCATTTTCGTTTCCATCCACCAGGCGTCGATCGAGTACTCGGTACTGGTAGAAGTGTAGAACTGTACTCCGTAGATAGATACGGTGTTGCTTCGATGGGAGAGATCACTGGAGGAGACATGCGACATCTTGACATCTTGACCTAGTCCTCTATCGAAAAGTGCCTCGCCTCCCCAATCCAATTCACGCGGAAGCCGCAGCAGTGGTCGTGAATTTGCCAGACTATTCTCGATCCGGACTGGTCGTATGCTGGTGGCTCGGCTGCCAACTGAACTTTCATGATCGATCAACGAAACAACCCTCGCAATGCGCAAGAGAAAGGGGAGATTGGTTCGGTCCGGGCCCCGTGGGAGGACCAGCCGTCGTCAGCGCTGGTGTGGCCAGTGGGACGGTTGGGATTTTTGCGACTGACACGGTCGACCCTCGTATTCCCGTTTCCTGTACCCCCATCTCCCATCTTCCATGTTGGAGTCGAGACCTGGGAAGTGGTAACGGTTGGGGCCAAATCTCAACCTCAACCCGGAAACATGACATTCGTCGGCTGCGATCGGACCGCGTGTCATATAGATTAGACTGCCAAGGTCCCTGAGGATTCTCGACCAGACCAGATCCAGACAGATCGATATTCCCACGCTTCCCCCCCCCAGAGAGTAAAGACCAAGATGAATACCAAGACGATCGACACTGCATGGAACCCCGGTCGGCGCACATGATCGGCACGCCCTAGGAGATCGAGCCTCGAGCGTCAAGACCTCGTGCTGGTGGCCGGTGGGAGATCAACCGACTATCCCAGGGAAATGATACAGAATCAACCGCGGAGCAGCGACCGCAGCACGAACCACGCGCCCAGACCGCCCACCACCATCGCCAGCAACAGCCGCCGGCCCTCCCAGGTCAGCCCCAGATACGCCAAGCCTCCCACCACCAGCTCCTTGCGACGAGCCTCATCCCGTTTCCGTCTCCAGTCGCGGTCGATGGGGAACGGCGCCCCCAGCGCCAGCCATTCAGCCGCACTCCTCTCACCACCTCCGGCGTCAGACTGCGACCGCCCCTGCAACAGTATCGCCGCCGCCAGCGCAACAGCCCGGTGGTCCGACGTCGGAAACAGCGGCAGCGCGTCGTACCCGTACGTCGTCACCACCACCCGCGGCCGGTCCTCGAGGTACAGCACGCGGTCGCACCAGCTGGGCCACCGCGTACGCGTCCACGCCCAGTCGCGCGGGTCGCGTGCCCCGATGCGGTACTTGTACGTCGGCGGGAAGGTAACCGGCGCCTCGGACAGGCCGTGGAAGCACCGACCCTGGTCGCGCTCGCGGGTGAGCTGGTCGTGCTTAAGTAGCTGCGCATAATGTAGCGGGTGCGCCGGGTCGTCGGTGTCGAGCCGCGGGAAGCGCGCACGGTCGTCGGGGAGAGGGAGGGTGTTGGAGGTGCGGTAATTGAGGTCGCCCGCGAGAAAGAGGTAGCCGGCGGGGGTGAAGATGCCCTGCTCGCTGCTGCTATGTGTGAGCTCCCTATCCGTATCTACACTCACACTCGCATCCGTAGAGTCCGAATTCAGCAGCGCCGCCCGCTCAGACTCCTCCTCTTCCTCGTCGTCCTCCTCCTGCCCCCCGGGTGTCCGCAACACCCTCTCAAACACCAACCGCTCCACAATCCCCCTCCAGTCCCGATTGCGGCGCTCAAACGCCTCCTCCGCTGGCGCCAGATGCGCCCCGACAAAGGTAAGCGCGACCGGCTGCTCGCCGTCCGCGGTCGCATACGTGAGCCTCGCGACCACGGCGCCCTTATTCCCCATCTGCTGGACGCCGAGCCCGACGCGCGCGGTCTGCACGGCGCCAATGCGTGCCACAATGTCTGCGCGCGCAAAGACCATCAGCGCGGTCATGCCGACGTGGTCCGTGGCCAGGCGGACATACTGCGTATCATGCCAGCGGTCGGCGGCGGCGCGCGCGACGGCCTGCGTGAAGGCGTCGAAGTAGGGGGTTAGGTAGGAGCCGCCGAGGAAGGCGTAGGCGATTGGGGCGAGTTCTTGGAGTGAGAGGACCAGCAGGTGCGGTGCGGAGGCCGCGGTGGGGGGGAGGGCGTGGAAGAAGTGGGCGGCGACTAGGTCGATGTCAATGGGGTTGCGGGCGCAGTTGAAGGTGAGGATGTAGAGGAGGAGGTTCTCCATTGCTGGCTTCGGCTTTAGTTCCGAATTAGAGTGTGTAGACATGTCGTAGCTGAAGATTGGTGTGTATAGGGGCAGATGGCGAAGGAGGATTGCTCCATATATATAAGTGACGTCGTGGGAGATGGGCGGTGTACACCAGGAGTGGAGTATGGAGCGTGGAATATGGAATATGGTCTGTGACTGAGACTGACTACTGTCCAGCCCCGTCCCCGTGGGGGGATCATCCACGGTTGTTCTTTGTCTGTTCACAGTCCATCAAGTCATCTGAGTTATTATTAATTGGTTAGTGCTCCAGTAAACAACGAACATCATTCCAGGTGACAAAACCAAAGAGAAGAGAGAAGGGATATGGGAACACCTCCCAAGGGAACAAAAAAGAATGCATCATCCGTGAATCGAACACGGGCCTCGTCGATGGCAACGACGAATTCTACCACTAGACCAATGATGCTAGTTGTTGAAAACCTGGGCACACTATGGCTATATAAGCCAGGTACCTCATGCATAAATACTCATTCAGGAACTCCTGTAAGCGTCCTCGCAAATTGAAGTCTACATGGCAGACGAAGATCCATGGCAACACCCCGTCCAAACTCCCTATGCAGTTCTAGTAACGCCCTAAATATACCCAAAATCAAGACCGAAGATCAACCCGAACATTCTACAATGAAAACAATCCACTCCGACGCTTCCCATGTGGATAAACAATCAATGCCGAGATGAACAATCCCACGGTAATCCCAATCGCCGTCTGGATCATACCATACCCCAGACTCGTCAAAGAGCTGCCCGACGTTCCGCCGGACGTGTTCGCTGTCCCGTTCTTGACGGCATCCGAGTACTCGATCGCCGAGAGGATCGATCCGGACGAGGCCAGACCCGAGGGCACCATGGTGAAGATACCAGGGATGGTCGAGCTGACTGCATTGCCGTGCCACAGGCGACTGTACAGGTTGGCCAGAAGCCCGATTGTGAACGCGCCGACGGTGTTGGCGACCTGCGACGAAGGGCCCAGCTTCTGCGTGCTGAAGTAGTTGGTCACGTACCCGGCAGTCCCGATGAGAACCATCATGGGGATCTGGCGCGGTTTGGCCTGGTTGATCAATGCAGCAATGATGCAATAGGCGGCCACGAAGGGGAAACGCTGCGCATAGGGGCTGCCCCAGACGCTCTGTCGCGCGCAGGTGGTGTCCCGCGTAGCATTGGGGTCGATCGCCCCGTAGATGGTTGTGCCGACCGTGACGCCGTAGCCCAGGAATAGAGAGTAGAGGATGGTGTACACCAGGCGGATCGAGCCGGCGATCATCTGGTGGGACTGGAGTTCCAGACTGCTCGTCAAGACAGAGAAACCGGGAAGAATCAGCGCGATCGACGACTGGGTGATGGAGGCGTAGCAGAAGACCGGGTCTGAGCTACCAGGGTACCGGATACTGCCAAAAGCACGGGCCAGGAAGGAGATGAGGATGGCCGCTGTGACCTCGAAGACATTGGAGTACAAGGCGGAGAGCGGAGCGAGCACTAGTTGCATGACGCCAACGCAGCAACCAAGTATGAAGATAATGGGCATATCCAGCGGACGCGCGGAGAAACCAAAGGGGCCCACGCAGGCGGAGCCCACCCCATAGAGTAGAATCACCAACCACCGGGGATAGCGATCCTTGCGGCCCATGATCTCCGTCAGCTCACTGATTGCCGACTGCATGTCGGTCATGTCGTGCGTGACGCGCTTATAACAGCCATGGACTTCCTCCAAGCGACCCAGATCCAGCCCCTGTGGCACTCGAACCAGCTTGACCTCCGCGGTGCGCGTATACGGATCATCAAAGGACATGATCATGCAGCCAGGAAGATACATGAACTGTGCCTCGATGTCCAGCACGCGAGCCGTCATCTGCATGTACTCCTCCAACCGATGGGTCGGAGCGCCGTATCTCATGAAGGCACGGCACAGCTGCATGATAAAACGTTGACGAACGATGATGTCGGCAATGTGATATCTCAGCTTGATCTCCTCGTCGTTCTTCTTTCTTTTCTTCTTGTTACCGGTTTTGAACTCCGGCGGAGGGACTTTTGCGTTGGCCCAGGCTGACGAGGAGCCGATGTGGCCCATACTCATGGACGCATGGACCAAGGACGCCGTCGAGCTGTTCCTGGACTTTTTGTGCCAGGCCAGTGGCTTGTGCTTGGTCGGAGTCGGACTGGTCGCGGAGGAGGTAACGCCAGGCACGGGGGTTACCGTGCCCGAAAGCGCTGGCATCGATTCCCGATCGGATTCGGCAGCGGAGTACATGCTGTCGGTGCGACAGTGTGACATCTGATTCGCCTGCAGCCGGAGCAGGGCGGACAGCACTCCTCCTCCAAGCAATGGTGGGGGTGCACGGCCGTTGGCCTCCACATCCGCCGGCGTTTGATCACCGGGTGTGGTCGCAGTGGACTCGGCGAACCCATGCTCCTTCTCGTTGCCGTTATGATGTGCCTCCCCGAACGGCTTGCGGTGGCGAAGATCTCCCAGACCGAATCCGTGCATCAACCCTTGAGCTTCGGCATCTACCGCCATCTGAAGCTTCGTATGATCTGATAATCCGGAGTCCTTGTTGTCTCGGAAGACCGCCACCAGCTTCTCGTCATCCATCGCGCCCAGCTCTTCGGTTGGGACTAACGAAGAGCCCAGTCCATGCGCCCCGTGTTCCTCCGGCCGGCCCAACCTGTCCGCCAGACGACCGGCCTTCTCTCTGACGGATCGAGTTGCATGGAGCCATCGGTCTCTCGTGAAGGCGGAGGAGGATGCATTAGAGGTTGTTTCCTGGTGAGAGTCTTCGCGGTGGTTGTCTTGGGAGCGAGTCTCGGTATACTCTTCCAACGGTGGGAGGTTGGTGGGCGGGTGTCCTGGTATATCGGAGGGGGAACCCCCCGGCAGATCAGAGTTTCCTGCACTCATTCTAGCCGTTTAAAATTGAACAATGATAAGAGATAAGAAACGGGAAGAAAGAAAGTCTGAAAATAAGAGCAAAAAGAGAAGAGAAAAGTGGGTGAGCGAGCGTAATGAGGACTATGGCGAGGTCACTATAATGTGCCTGATGACTCGATTCGGAGCATCTTTGAAGATCGGAGCGTCCTGGAGAAATGGACCATGCATCAAGGCCTAAAAAGGAGGCATGTATCTCCTTTTTTTCCTCTCGATCTGAGATTGCAAGCGGGACTGGAGAGAAAAGGAGGTTATCACGATGAGGGAATCCGCAGCACTTGGGAGTCGAGCGAAAAAGCCCATGAATTATTCGTAGTGGGGACTACCTAGACGAGTCAGTCGTTCTCGAGCCGGGGTAACAATACACGTGTATAGTGTATACAGCGTTGGACACGGGGATACACGGGGGATACGATCCATTATCTGAAGCCGTTCAGACTTCAGTGCCAATTGATGCCATTTCAGGGCAGAGAAGCCGTGCTGGTAATGGTAAAACCTTGTGGCGGCCAGTGGGGCTGTACCCACTGGCTTTTCCTGTCATTATCCTCCTCTCGTCCAGTCAGTAGAGTAGGAATGATAGATGCACTAAGACACTACCTTACCTAGGTAAGGATCCGTGTCAACGGCATTCGGCAACTCTTGGCCAGGCGCAGTTGTTGGCTTCGATACAGTACGTAGGTGGACGTTCAGATGCAGATGCCAGAGAAAAGGCATAACCATCGGATGATGCATCTCGATCTGAAATTCTGAATCTGATCAGAGATGAAGACACATCATATGATTTGACACATTCTCCTCGCCCTGCATGGCTCAACCCTTGCAGAATGGCGAAGCTTGATGACGCCCCCAACGCCGTGGCTTCTACTCGCTTCAACTATGTCTACTGTGTATAGCAGACGAACTGTCTCGTTCCGGGGATAACTATCGCTCGTGTTGTGTTTGAGATATTTTTCTCGCAAGTCTCGACTCTCGAGTCTCGAGTCTCGACTCTGATCAGAGGCGAGGGAAGTGCCTGAACCGCAGTTGGCGATCAGATGAAGCCATGGATTGCCACCATCCGAGCCCAAGGATGAAGGATCACGAACCTGGCTTGCATAATAACATGCATTATTACGAAACACCATTTATGCATATGGGCAATCACTGCCACGTCCGCTTCCCGTTCCCTCTCCATATCCAACAAGAAATCCTCCGACTTATGAGGTTGAATCAAGGATGGCTGTTATATACTGCTAAATGACAGCTCACATCTGCGCTTCAACATCATCGTGCATCACTAGATTCTGGAGCTACATAATGGAGCATACTCCTTCGGATTGTCGTTTTAGGCAAGACGGCCGCTCATGGATCTACTTGGATACTCATGCCTTACTAGAACAGATTATTGACTATTAAGCCACTGACATATGGTGAGCTGAGTGATCTTCATTGCTTGTATCGCCGATCCGGATGGTGATATCATCATGATTCCTCATCTGCATGAGCCTAGTCGATGTTGGATTGCTATATTCTTTGTAGCGGTATACACATCTCTATTGGGCTTCTCACCCCCGTTGGTCCTAAAGATGGGGATAGTAACACCCATGGGAAGGCATATCCATATTCGGCATATCTAGCATAAATTAGATAGATACCTGCATTGGTCAGAGTATACCCCCCTCCCCATCCAGCATCTGTTCACACACCCACCGCGCCGTTTTCGTGTGGAGGGTATGGCTCGTTCGTTCATGACGGTCAACCTCACTCCCCGAGCTGAGCGATCTTCCCAACGCCTCGAAGATAACCAACTGGTCCCTCATATACTCATCCACACAGGGCAGGCGCCCTTCCTGCGCACCCTGCAATCGCGGATCGTACAGCTGCCGCACAAACCCATCCACACACCTCTCAGCCAGTTCCACCGCGTGGCTTCTCGCGTTGACTCTTGGTTGGTCAGTCTTGCGACGCGACACCCTTGTCTGCGCGCCGAAGAGTGTGTCCCTTCCTAGCTTGAATCCTCGCGATGTATGTGCTACAATGAGGAGGTAGATATGTGAGTGGTGGTGGGTCGTTTCCGAGGTGTGGATGGTGATGGGGACTGGGTCGGAGGTGGGGTGGTCGTCGGAATGTATGAGTCCAGGCAGTGGCTCCAATGCATCCGGTGATTTCCTCTTGAAAATCGACGCGGCAAGTTTCCCCAGTCGAGCACGGAGGAGACGCACAATCTCATCCTGGATAAATTGACGAGTCGTCGGTTCATCCACCTCATCGGGCTGGGGATAGCTCGGTTCTCTGTTCGCCTGGTTTAAATGGGCCCTCCGATCTTGCCTGGAGCCCGAGGCCACAGAGACGGGGCTATCCGGCGCCAGAACGGTGATATCGATCTGCGTAACTCGGCCTCTTTTGTGCCTATTGAGGTCGACGGATGGGAAGCCGTAGCATGTCTCGCTGCTCCTCTCGCGAATTGGCTCAATGACAAACGACGCTTTCCCCAGATCAAATGGCCCGCTCGACCATCCCCTCTTGTCCAGCTGCACTGCCAACGGGGGGAGTCCGATTTTGGCGAAATTCGGCACCAGGACCTGGGAGACGTAGTCATATGACGGGGCAAATGATACATTCGTGCCCCCCGTGACACTCATGCGGATAGGCTGCGGCTGCGGGTTCTCGTCGGAGGATATCCCTCCGGTGTATAAAAGATACGGATACAGGGCCTGGAAAACCAGGAAGATCGATCCCGCGGTGGTAAGACGGATGTCGATGTCGGTCTTCGTGAGCGCTAGGGGTTTCCGCGGCGGACGAAACGTCAGCGACATGGACCCGATCTTGGCGCCGGCGACTTGGCTCTTGCTCACGTCGGCCAGGTACTCGATGGCAGCGAGGTGTGACCCCTTCAAGCCTTGTTTGCCGCTACGGTTTCCTCGGATATGGTCGATGGTGATGGGGTGGCCGGTGATGGTGGACAAGGCGATGGCGATGCGTACCAGCTGGCCTCCTCCTTCAAGGGTGCGGCCGTCCAGGTAGATGGCTCGTGCTTTTTTGGAAGACGAGTTGGACATTTTGGGTCGGGTGGTTGAGTATACGCAGAATTGTGGAGGAGTGGCATTGTCAATCTGGTGGATAGGATTGAGATTTAAGTAGTAGGGGCGCTGAATATAACGTAGAGATAATCTTCCACTCGTGCAATACTTGAAACAATCCCGTGTCTCTGATTACAGAGTACACAGAGTAGATGCCTTGTTTCCTTGAAAATTGAATGTGTCATTCTACTGGTCAATTGCAGCCTTGAACTCGTGCCGGTGACTCATGAGTGAGTCAAAGATGTATGCATGAGCGCACGTTCTATCTTTATCCTTACCGTGCCACTGGGGCTAGGACTGGGACTCTAAGCTGAATTCTTCGTTGTTCATTTGATAAATAGCTCAGAACTAGAATGCAACGCCTTGAGAAGTATATATATGTATATATATTATTGCCAGGCGACTGAGGAGCTTTGTCGACGCTGCCAACCACCCTGTTACATGGCGCGAATGTCCACACTACTTCTACGTATTCGCCGGTTTGTAAACTTCTGATTTATGGATATCAACCCAGCAGACGGAGACGGTCATTGTCACGGCGATGCGGACATCGATAGGTAGATGCTTGGGTAGTCGAAATGCCTCATATAGTTTCTCACAGGGAGCTCTACAACACCTCCCCCGGCGAAGATATGCACAGCGCCAACAATGGACCTGGTGTAATTATCATTGCGAATTGAAAAATCACTCACTCTAGTCTTAGTAGTGTATATAGTGTATAGGTGAAGATAATATCAGAAATTCTGGAAAGCTGGAGTGGCAGAATATGCTTAATCAGAGACCCATAGAGTAGTGCTATGTTAGTACTGTGTAGTATAGGACCCCACCAGGATGCACCAGGGGAGACTAAAAAAGATTCAATGCGAGACCGGTGCATATGCATGGCTCCAAGCAAACTGCCCAGATGTGCCTATTCGTCGACTATACGGCTTCGCTAATTCCACGGGTGAAACTGTATCACGCAAAATCTCCTTCGTTATTGATATATCCGCTGACTGAATTGAATTAGTTCGCTCGGGTTGAGAATCTACCTCTTCTGAGCCGTTATTTCCAGCTTCTACGCCGTCGGGTACTATCCTGGCTCGGATTCTCGGTGCCTACATGCTATGCCTGCCATCCAAGCAGGATGGTGGCTTCTGCGGACGGCTTGATAGGTGCTGGATATCTGTTAATCAAGAAAATCGAGGACACACACAAGGCCCTATGCTCTGCCATATCTGGCTGGAGAGACATCATGACACAACGCTACGGCAAAACTTCTTCCAATACCTCTCACAAATCCTGCTGAGCACCAGCCAAGTCCCTTTGCAACGGATGGGTTTATTTATTGTAGACAATACTGGGTACTTGTCTTTCCGTAACCGGCCTCTCTCAGTCGAAATTGCGACTTTGGAGGATGAGCAAATCGCAATCGACATGTCTCGCCATTACACTTACTCCACCGTGGATTCGTACGTGGCAGATACACTCAGAATTCATGATAGTCGTCTTTCTTAGAGTCCAGCTTGACCCATGGAGAAAGCTTAGAGGCCTCAGTCTGGCGAGTCGCACAGCCCAGGTCGAGCTTGCTTCTCCCAGTCATGCCGCTTGGAAACCATATCCTCTGGCAATCAACCTGGGCATAAAAAGCTATACAGCGTGATCGACGATATTTACTGGTTTCTCTACAAACATCTATAGTTTACGAGACTGATATGTAACCCTGATATGAAACCCTTTAGTCCCATGGACAGGAAAGAATGGGCGATTAACGACGGGACGAAGATCTCCTTCTCAGGTATCTCTAAGATCTCTGCGGTCGCGACAGAATGCCGAAACCAGTGAGACCCTGCTTAGCACGTCGACATCATTCCCAGATGGTAGACAACGTGAGCTGAGACCCTTAAGGAGAAGGAAAGGAAAGGAAGAAGGAGAAAACGAGAAAATAATCGCACAGAAAAGAGAGATCCGGAACCCGTGGGCGGTGAGCGCTGGTGGAATGGAAGAAGAATCTTCCGACTGGGTAATCCGCCCGGTGTGATTGGCTGGCTGGTGGACAACAAGGCCGGATCCCGTGACTTGAGCCTAGCCCGAGGTTGAGCATCCCGTGAATCCGAACCGCTACGAGAAGGTCCGAACTTCGAGGGCGAGTTTCTTCCTTGGACGACGATTACGACCGATCGAGCGTCTTGCCTGGCTTTGAACGTCTGCACCGTTAACTCGGGATCAACCACGTCAATATGATCTCTCAGAAGATTGCTCAACAATCGCTGCGGCGGCGTATGTGTAGCCATTTGAGGGTTGCTGGAATTCGCTAATCGTGCCGCAGTTGCCGTCCAGCAGCCCTATGCCATGCGCTGGTCTCTGATGAACGCCGCTTCTCCCGCTGCTGTTGCTACGGGAAGAACCATGCAGAAGAGGTGAGTCGGGTTGTGACTTCGAAATCCCGCTCCATGTTTCTGAATCGACCCTCCGACAATGCCGCCGTCGGATATCGAGAATACTGGCCGCTACGTCATGCGATAATTGAGAATTCAGCTCGGAGGCATCTCAAAGCGATACATCAGAAGGGAATCGCAGCTCTTGGAGGATGGATATACTGATTTGTTCATTCAGATTCGCCGTTACCACCACAAGCCCCGCCGATGAATCCAAGATCCTCGCCCAGCAGCGCCTGAACCGTCCTGTTGCTCCCCACCTTTCTATCTACCGACCTCAGATCACCTGGATCGGCTCCAGTCTTCACCGTATCACCGGCGTTGCCCTGTCCGGCTCTCTGTACCTCTTCGCAACCGCATACTTGGCTGCTCCCCTGTTCGGCTGGCACCTGGAATCAGCTTCCCTTGTTGCCGCCTTTGGAGCTCTTCCCCTCGCCGCCAAGGTTCTGCTCAAGAGCACCGCTGCCTTCCCCTTCGTCTATCACTGCCTGAACGGTGTGCGTCACTTGGTTTGGGATCTTGGTCGGGGAATGACCAACCAGCAGGTCATCAAGTCTGGCTGGACCGTGGTGGGCTTGACCGCTGTTAGCGTGCTCACTCTTGCTTTTCTGTGATTTCTGTCCTGTCTGATTGTATCCCATACCTTTGAGTTGTGATTTTTTCTGAAAATGTGTTTCCTTTACAATATATTCCATACCGGTCAAATGATTACTGATATTTGACGTTCATTTTTGGTTCATCAATAGGCCATGCTTATTTTTTTTGGCACTTAGCTGGTAGGGGTTTTGGAGAAGAGCAACCTAACCTTGCTATGGCAGAAGAGCTCGAAACTTTAAGAGCAACGTTTTCTCCAGGCCTTACCAACTACGGAGCCTGAACATATGTTTTCATCATTAACTTTGAATCAAAGGTTGACTGATTTAAATGCAGGTGAAAGCTAGTTTATTCAGTGCTTGATTATGATATGGGGCAAAGTTGGCTTCGCTATCCTTTTTCCTCCATTAGTGCAAGAGCCCGGGGCAACATTCTATCGACGCTTCCCAACGCCACACTGCGGTTCAGAATTCAAAGATAAACAATTTTTCGCATCCAGTTGAAACGGACTTCCTTCTCAGACCATCAATCGTATGAGTTTGCTTCAGGGTCTTTGTTTGGTAATTCGTTAACGATCTCCACACCAAAAGTCGCGTCCTACCTTATTCGAGGGAATAGGTACTGTGCGTCACGGAATGGGTTCAATCCCTGAATTTGACTCACCTATTGTATTGCTCTATCCTACATCAACGCTCGGTGTCATTCCATTCAGCAGTTCAGGCAGGGCTCGGAGGAGGATTCGGGGGGAATGGTCTCGGTGACGGGGGATCGTTGACAGAGAAATTGCATATCGAGATGTTTCCGCTGCTGTCGTGGCTATCAAGAGAGCCGTCTTTCAGACTGAATTCGGATTGAAAATCATGCAAGGTGCAAAAATTCAGCTTGACGGCCATTTTCGAAGATCAACGAGACGATGTCCCACTCGAAGGGCGACTTTCCAATTGATGGACGATGGGCGGATATTGTCAGAGTGGAATATTGCACCAATGCTGTTCTTTGCAGGTCTATTCTCTGTGGATGGGTTCCCTTCGACTCGGATCTCTAGCAATTGTTAAATCCCATCAGCTATCACGGTTCTACTCTTGCTTTTAATACTTCTTCCCCTTGAGCTCAGTCACGAACATCAAGGGGCATCATCCTCGACCAGGTTGTACACCGCCATCTTGTTGGTTGCCCAATTTACGGAAAGGGGCCTCCTGGACATGACAATGAACGCTATAACGAGAGACGACAAGTGTGTCTGTATCCGATTCAGAGATCTAGAAGTTTCGTTGACTCTCTGCATGGGCCCGAGGGTGGATAATGTCGTTAGACGGCTTGCTCGTACCCGACCCTTTCCGTCGACTACGACAATATGTGAGCAATTGCAAGGCTTCAAAAGAGTCAAAGAATACTTCAGGGCTCTACATATGTCAAAGCGTACCATCACTGTAGAGGTGGTAAGGGTACTCCAGATTGCAGATCCCGACTTGGTAGTGACACCAGCGGAATGAGGAATATGGATCTGAACAGTCCTTCAGGGACGGCTGGTTTTGAGTGGAATGTTATTGTTTATGTTGGCTTTCATCTTCTTTGAACTAGACAGGTCGGAGGTGTGGATGCCCTCGGAGTACTCCTTTGCAAGCAACTGGGTTCATCAATTGGATCCTTTTCTTCAGACTTGAACCTCATTGACCCTCATTGCCGGGAAAATGCCGGGATCTGACCCTAGAGAACTATGAAAACTTACAGCCAAAATGGCCTTGTTAGTGGAGTATGTTGGAATCGCCGTCTGAAGCAAACAGTTTTGCTCCCCGCGATCGTCCCCGCGGATGTGATGACCCGACCTCCCTTTTCTGAAGTCCACAAGCACACATCCAGGATGTTCAAGTTTTTTTTTGTCATCGAATTACACCGGGGAAACGGAAAGCCTATCCTACTTCAGCCGGAAAGGATAATTCGGTTCAAATATCGCCAAATGAGAATTCTCCAGGAACACCAGCAATTGCATTGTTGACATCAAACAGATCTGTGCGCATACCTACGAATCCCGGAGGTGATGTATGAAGACTGCACTTAGGCACGTGGGCAACTGAAGTCTTTTTGTGGTCACACAACGAGCAAAAGTCCACCATCAGAGGAACGTATTGGACTGCGACAAGGCCATCTGTGTGAGTAACAAAAGAGCCGTTCCAATTCTTCCAGAATACCAATCCATGATAGAAGCTGGTGCCCCAAGTCCTGAACAGTGTGACTAGCTGACGAAGACTGAAATCCTCATCCAATAGTAGGTTGCTGTGGCCGAACCTTCGGCTTCCATCTACGGTAGAGTCGTGTTGCACAGCACCATCGTGGAGAAGGCTTGGGCCTCGTTCTGTTCTCTCCGAACGGTCTCATTCTTGCGCAGGGCCATAGAGCTTCGATGGCAAGCGGTGCAAATAACCTTTCCTGGCTGTAGATCAAACCAAGAGCTTGTCGTCTCAGTCTCTGGTTTGTTCTTGTCTATCAGGACTTCAGGAGGATTGTTTAAGCCTAATCTCTCTTGCCAAGCGGGGCAGAAGCAAGCATTGTTCGAGAGAAATGCGTTTAGGCAGCGTGTGGCAATTAGTGCTTCCAGAAAATCCTTGACTTGCTCAAGCACAGTGCAACCTGCAACACAATCATGAGCTGGGGTTTGGCACTGTTTACAGCTGATTCAATCTCCGCCAACATACTACATTATTGTCACTCCAAAACACGATTTATACTTATTGTAGGGAACAGACGTCCGTGGGCTTACTAGAGACGTCTAACACTAGGTTTCTAGGGTGTGCTTTGAGCATGATCCTTGGTGAAAGTATAGGAAATCACTCGATGACAATTCTAGCGGTCAGTTGACCAAGGTACTATACTACCATTCTATCAAGAGATTTTCTCCCAGTGTGAGCATACTGTCATCTCATTCTTTCCCACAACGTTACTTCTTTGCAGGGACATCACACGAATCAATGGACCGGTGATCCTAGGCGTAAAAGTGACTTGCGGAATGTTCATCATGGTTCCAAGTAATCGGGTGAATAGATATACGTCTGCTCCTATCGTACGGTGTATATGCAATGCACACTCCGTGACTCTTGTGTGGTTAACAAAAAAAGGCCAACTTGGCGCAATAAGACCAGAGTATATAGATCGCTGAGGCCTTTGCCTACCAAATCTGGTCAATGCTGTTCTTCATCGATCATTTAGTGTTGTCTATCGGATTGACATGCCACTTCTGAGCATAGAACGTGGTCAAGAGTCCTCATTCCTTGGGAGCAAAATAGTGAGCTGCCCTTGGCTCTGCCAGGTCCCAGTATGGAAACTCGACAGTCTTTAGTAATTAGGCGATATATTGTAGAAGAGAAGGAAGTTGTGGTTGGTGAAGCTGAAGTTGACTATTTACTTCCTGTTTACTGGGGTCGTCTGCGCTACTCCCATTTAGGACTAGCGCCATATCTCCGAATTCTTCCATCTGGAACTCCGACTCTTGTTAAACTGCTGGGACAAAAAAAAAGAACCCGGACAGGTGGATCGTCACGGTTTTCCCTCTTGACAACCCAGGATTTTGATTTACAGACACAATGGCATCTTTGACATCTGCCCGAGCGGCCAGGACCGCTTTCTGCTCTGCATGCCGGTTTGCCTGCCCCAGCACGACCGTGGGCTCCGCCGCACTCATCCCCAGGCGCGGACTGTCAACATCGACCGAGCAAGCGCCAGTCGACGTTGCGGATAAGCCGCGCTGGTCCTACACGCCTCCCCGCGCAAAAGCCCCCTTCAGCCTGCGATTCGACTCCAAGAGACGCGAATTTCCCGTCAATTCCGACCCGAAGGCTCTCGATCAGTTCTACATCCGCTTGCTGGGCGCCGACGGCGACAAGGTTCTGTCGGAGGAAGTGAAGTGGCTTGCGGTGACACATAAGAGTTTCGATCAGGGACGGAGAGGCTTCAACGACCGTCTGGCTTTCATAGGTGCGCTCTCGCATGATACATCTCTTCTGTCATGGCTCGGCGATCCGTGGGGGAATGGGGGCTAATCGGATATCTTGCAATAGGGAAGCGGATCGTTCAATTACAGGCCTCTCTGGCTTTGGTGCAGAATCCCGGCAATGCTAGCAGCTCTGCCGCTTCGGATTCTCTGGGTCGCGAGCCCTTCGCCCATCCGGCCCTGGAGGGCCTGAATAACCTCTCCGGTAACACCAAGAGCTTCCTCATGAGCAAGTCGAAGCTTGCGGAGCTCGCGCAGAAGTATGAATTAGACAAGGTGCTGAGATGGAGTCCTCGCAAGGTGAGATTTGCATCATCCTGTCATTTCTACCTACCTGCCTACAGCATCAACTGGGTGTGCCATTGGCCCAGTTGCCCCCAACACAGATAGGCTGACATGCTTTTTACCCCCCTCTCTAGCCCAACAACCTCGCCAGCTCTGGAATGGAACTTGTCCTCGCCCACACGATGTACGCGCTCGTCGGTGCTATTGCCCTGGAGAAGGGCGGGCATGTCGCCAACAAGGTGGCACAGGAACGGATACTAGCACCTTTGGGACTCAAGACGACGGCTTAGAATCTCGGGGGTTCACTCACTGGGAACCGGCCGCAGGAGCATTTTCAGGGCGTTGTCTCCTTTCTCTCTTTTCTGTTCGTTCTCTTGTAAGTGTTGGGGGCTCTTTTCTTCGGCCGTATATGTACTTTTATTTACGACATTTGTGTTATATCACTGCAAATACCACTAGAGCTCAGTATTCTAAAAAAAAAAGGGAAGCACTGATTGGAAAGAACATTGATTGATGTAAAAAGGATGTACGGCTCCTCTGACACCGCCCGAATAACAGTAAGAAAAATATCCGGCCAGTTCTTATGGAGCCCTCATTACGATTCTAGTCTCCGCAACTCTGTATCGCAATTCAGCCATGGAGGACTGCAGACCAAAGTAAACAGAATGTCACAATGGGTACAGAAATCACACGAAGTAATTTTGTGCTGCCTTGCACTGTCTAATGAGAGCGTATGGTACAAAGGAAGAAAAGAAGAAAAGAAGAGGAAAAAATCTCGCCGAAGCGAAGAATATATATGTGTCCCGTGAGAGGAGCGCTAAGCCTCTTCGGGGCTTGGCGTGGGGCTCGGGGTTGGATTCCTGAAAATTCAGGTGTGGACGGACTGGACACCCAGAACGGGCATCATCTTTCTTGATCCCGCTATCAAGTCTCCTGGCCGAGCTTCCTTCTTGCAGTTTGCGTTGGATTTCGGTCTTTTACTCTGCGTGTCTAGCTGGACTTTATTATCACTGGACCTTCCCCTCCCGATCGGATATTGATAAGGCAGATCGAGCGCTGGGAACAGAATGTGGGATATTGGATTTGTTGGCCTTTACAGTTGAAACCCGCTCCCGCTGATACCCTGACCTTGACGTCCTCGACACACGCATCCTATCTCCTGAACCACAACATCTCCGTCCTGCACTATGGCTTCCGCTATTTTCTTCTTAGACTTGAAGGGCAAGGTACGCAAAACATATCTTACGTTCCAATGCTGTGAAATGCTGGGGAGCGCGCATGCTGACCACCGTGTGTAGACCCTTCTAGCCCGCAACTATCGTGGAGACATTCCCATGTCCGCGGTCGAGAAATTCCCCGTCCTCCTCAACGAAGCTGAAGAAGAAAGCTCCGCCGTTCCTCCGTGCTTCTCTCATGAAGGTATCAATGTATGTCTTGCCTCTGCGACCTACGCTGCTGTCCCCCCCCCCCCCCCCCGCCCGTTCCCCGCTTTGTCCCCTATTTCGAGTCGGCGGGCTATGGCTGGGAGAGTGCAAGCGATATGGAATGATACGGCCGAGCGCTATGTCTGTAATTCACCCGTGAAAGATGCTGAGACCGGCTGCCTCAACTATAGTACCTCTACATCCGCCACAGCAACCTCTATATCCTCGCCTTGACCAAGCGGAACACCAATGCGACGGAGATCCTCCTTTTCCTCCACAAGATCGTGGAGGTCTTCACAGAATACTTCAAGGTGCTGGAGGAGGAGAGTATCCGTGACAACTTCGTCATCATCTACGAGCTGCTGGACGAAATGATGGATTTCGGCTATCCGCAAACAACAGAGACCAAGATCCTGCAAGAGTGCGTGGCCATCCTCTTATGTCTCTAGCCTACATGGAGACATGCAACTGACGAAACATCTTCTGCGTCATTCTAGATACATCACACAAGAGTCGCATAAGCTCGAAATTCAAGCCCGACCCCCCATTGCTGTCACAAACGCCGTCTCCTGGCGAAGTGAAGGAATCCGCTACCGCAAGAACGAAGTCTTCCTGGATGTGGTCGAATCTTTGAATCTCCTGGTGTCTGCCTCCGGCAATGTCCTGCGATCCGAGATCCTGGGCGCCATCAAGATGAAGTGCTACCTGAGCGGTATGCCCGAGCTGCGGCTCGGCCTGAACGACAAGGCCATGTTCGAAACGACCGGCCGCGCGACACGAGGCAAGGCGGTCGAGATGGAGGATGTCAAGTTCCACCAGTGCGTGCGGCTGTCCAGATTCGAAAACGACAGGACCATCAGCTTTATCCCACCGGATGGAGAATTCGAGCTCATGAGCTATCGTCTGAACACCCAGGTCAAACCGCTGATCTGGGTCGAGTGTCTGGTGGAGTCGCACTCCGGTTCCCGGATGGAGTATATGTTGAAGGTATGAGCCGACCACCCTTTTCTTTGCGCCAAAGTATACGCTACAAATTCCACGGTCACATTAGTACTGACACACAGTACTCCCCAAAGGCCAAAGCACAATTCAAGCGCCGCAGCACAGCGAACAACGTGGAAATCCTTGTCCCCGTCCCCGAGGACGCAGACTCCCCCCGCTTCCGCACCAACATCGGAACCGTGCACTACGCGCCCGAGAAATCTGCCATCATCTGGAAGATCAAGCAGTTCGGCGGCGGGAAGGAGTTCCTCATGCGCGCCGAACTCGGCCTGCCATCCGTCAAGGGCGACGACGAGCACGGCGGCGGCATGACCGGCGGCTTCGGCGGTAGCATGGGCGGAACAGGCCAGGGCAAGGCCAAGCGGCCCATCAACGTCAAGTTCGAGATCCCCTACTTCACGACAAGCGGTATCCAAGTCCGGTACTTGAAAATCACGGAGCCGAAGGTATTGCCTTTTCCCATCTCCCATCTCGTTGCCCCTTGGTCATCCCGAGCACCTGAATCCCCAATGCTTATGCTTATGCTAATACCATCTCGTGCAGTTGCAATACCCCTCCCTCCCCTGGGTCCGATACATCACGCAGTCGGGCGACATCGCCGTCCGCATGCCCGATGTACAATAAATAACTTCTCAACCTTTCTTTTCTTTTTCTTTTTCCATTCTCCTTCCAAGCGTCGTTGTCCAATTAGCTCAACTAGACATTGCCTCGCCCCCTTGCCAGTATGTGTGTGTGTGTGTACTTCATCCAATCCAGAGCTGGATTCGGATCCTGGCCTGCGCTCGCCCTCGCAGCGACATGATCATGATCCACTCAAAAAAAAAAAAAAAAAAAAAGAAAAAAAAAGAAAAAGAGAGAGAACGTAGCCCATACCATTCATCTATTCATATTCATATTCATGCACTGTCATGTGTTGTAGGACGGATATTTCGCATGTATCCCGCATCCCCGTGGGCTCGGATCAGGATCAGGATCAGGATTTTAGAATAGATTCGTCCTGTTGGATGAGTTTACGATATGTAATATTGTAGGTACTGTGTACTGTGTACTACTTGTATGTATGCGCTGGCGGATTGAGCGTGTCTCTATCCATCCATCCATCCATCTATCTATCCTAGTCAACGGACGAAAGTACACAGTCGCAAAGTCCAATTCCTCTTGCAGAGTTTCAGGCCGGCAGAGAAGAGAATGGCTACACGTCATGTTTATGTTCATTTTCAAATCATATGTGAGTTATATTCCATATAAGAAAATAAATAATCGGCGCGCGGGGGAGGTAGGGGAAGAGTGGGAGAGATGATTTTTTTTTCCCGGAAAATGCCACGCTTTGGGTATCTCATACAGTAAAAGAAAAACGAATCACTCTCAGACCGGAACGCCGTTCATCCCAAGAGCAACTTTTTTTTTTTCTTTTCTTTTTTTCTTTTTTTTGTGAAGGGTGGGGATTGGGGAAGTGCCAGGTTGGTTACTAGTAGGGTTGTCTGGATCGCTTGATGCCGGGGCTGGGTGCTGGTGTCGAGATGGGGTAGGGGATGATCACATCTCCATGGACAGGCACGGGAGCCCCGAGTACGCTATCAAGCGTTGTGACCGTTGGCTAGTTTCCCTTCGGGAGAGTCCGATGCCGGAAGCGGGAATCCGTCTCCGTAGCCCGCGGCCGCGGCTTTGGAGAAGCCCTCGCGGGCGAGCATGGTGTTCAGGACGGCGCAGTTGTAGGCAGCCTCGCCCGGCGGGACAACCATGAAGATGTAGGTGTTGTCGGTGAAGCGGCCGAGGAAGACGTTGAACTGCGGGGTCTTGGTGTGCATGACCAGGAAGCCGGCGGTGGCCGGGGTGGTATGCGTGTTGCGGGCTGCGCAGTGCTTGAAGGCTTTCATGATGTTGGAGAGGCGTTCGTGGCGATCGTAGATGGGATTCAGGTCGCCGATCTCGGACGAGACCGAGGTCACGGTGAGGAAGGTCGAGCGCTCGAAGAGGATCACCTCCTCGGCATCGACGCGCTTGGCGAACGCGGTGAGGAACCGCTCGATGACGGTGAGGTTCGGGATGAGCTTGTGGACGATGCCCGCCCATGCCTTGTACAGCGATTGATCCCAGATGCTGCTGCCGAAGGTGTCGATCGCGAACTGCTCCGAGCGGCTGCGGATCAGGGCGGAGCGTTCCTCGTAGATGCGCTGCCGGTGCTCGGCCTGGATCAGGTCCATCTTGTGCACCAGGCAGAAGACGTGGGCGTTGGGGCTGAATTCCTTCAGCGCGTGGATGATCGCACTGTACGTGTCGAGGTCCCGCTCGACCTCCCGTGACTCGATATCGAAAACATAGATCAAGACCGCGACGTCGGAGAAGATATTCCCTCGCTGGGAGGCCAGGTATGTCTCCATGAACGCATCTTGCCTGTTATCCTCCCCGAAGACCAAGAGTCAGCTTCCCCAAAAAAAGTCATGCCACAACCCGCAAGCAACATCAATCTATCAAGAACTCACCCTCCACAATCCCACAGATTCAGCGTCAAGTTCCCCATGAACTTGACATGGCTGTGCTCCACATCAATCGTCGCCCCCAGCCGCCGTACATCCTTCGCAACATAATTGCTGAATATGATGGATCGCATCGACGACTTCCCCGAGCCACTCTTTCCCATCAGAAGCACCTTTCTCTTCTTCTTGCGTTGATCCATTGTGAGAAGCTCGGCTCCAGTTGCGCTGCACTGGATGATGCGGTCGCTGGCAGTAGGAGCAGTAGTACTGTAGTAGTACCCCGCAATTCTCGGCTACAGCTTCAGTATGGTAGGCACGGGAAAGAGGGACTATCGTGTTGAATGCAATGTCTGGAAGACTTTAGGATACATAAGTGCCGATGAAATCTTGTTGTTGTTGTTGTTGTTGTACGATATCGACAGAGCATGAACTGATCATGAGGATCGGCTGCTGCATGGAGACTGGAGAGATGGGAGACCAGCTTCCGTCATTGAGCATCGCTCGGTGGGTCAACGATGATCCGAGGTGGTCACGTGTGCTCTGTAGGATGGGGATTTTGCCCCGGATTCCAGAGCTCTCTCAAGGTTGAAGCTGCATCTCTGATATTCTCCATCCTGTGCTCGGGTTCAAACCAATTAATTGATGCAATTCGCCGTCATCTGCTGGTGACGTCAATCTGGATTCCAGAATTCCTCCGTTCTGGGAGAATGTACGATTGAACCTCGGCAGACATCTTGGATTCATGTTAACCGCCATCATAACAGAAAGAGGAAACAACTCAAGTCAATTCAGCCCTTGGTAAGGCCCTTGTCTCTATTGAATATGCAGATGTATAGTTGAGCATCTAAACCCCAAGCTGTAAATAATTATTCGAATCTGTCTCAACTGTCAAACGGGAAAGGGAACCAGGCAAAGGCCGTGACATCGTCAAAACTTTTACCCACACCATGAGAAGATAAAAAGAGAAGTCAAAGAATAAAAAAAATAAAAAAAAATAAAAAAAAAGGACGAAGACAAAGAAGAAAAGTACATGGGAGATGGCCATGAAAAACGGTCGGCGAAGGTCTCTACATCGAAAAGTGGATATATATATATATATATAGACAGCTTCACGGAAGCGGAAGAGGCACAGAACAAAGTCAAGGGTGGTAGAAGACATTTCAACATCTGGTCATCAAGAAGTCGTGAGGGGCTATCCGCAAATCATCAGGCTCGGGAAGAGGAAGCCCCAGTGGAGTAGCAACGCAGAAAATTCGACAATGGAATGCTCGTGATTAGAAGACAGTGCCATCGGATCGGATCATGATCGGAGGCTCTTTGGTGTTTGGTCGCGAAACCTCGGCGATCTCACGGCCACCCTATAGAGAAACTCTTGTCAGTACCCAGGAGGGGAAATACACAAGCGCTGGAGAGACAATGTCGCCTACCTTCCAGGAGCCGGCTTCAAGCATCTGTGCGAGGGACAGTTGGTCTTCGCCTCTCAGTCCCAGCTGACCGTTCACCTCGTCCAGCAGGTCATCCAAGAATCCCACGGTCACGGCCCGCCATTCGACCACCACATCATCGTCAGTGGAAAAGAGCGGCACTACCTCCACATTCGGTTGGCCCTTGATCTGAGCGTTCTGTTTGTAGGCCGCAAGGCCCCGTTCCAGGTCGGCCTCCTTGAGCGTCAACAGGCCCATGTCGATGAGCAGACCGCCATTGCGGTATTCGGGAAGTCCCGTCAGGAGGTCACTGCCGGCGACGTGAATGTTCATGAGCTTCGACATCGGTACCATGATGGAATAGCACAGCCATTGGGTAAGCTTGTGGAACGGAACAACGGTTTCCCACGGCTGCGCGGGTGGGGACCTGGGCATGTCCGAGCAGACCCAGGCATCTCCGATTGAGACCCCGTCCACCTGGGTTCTGGATGGCGGCCAGATCGAGGCGAGACCGTCCATGAGGACGGTCCAGAGTGTGGTAATGGGAACAATGGGTACGGAGGAAGCCAGGGTTGACGGATGGGAAAGCAAGTAGTCTTGAATCAAACGAGGGGTCAGCAGAACGATCGCGCATCCAGGTTGCGACCAGCGGATATCTTACCGAGCATATTTCCTGGCCGAGCGTCCACCCCGAAGAACTCTTGATTATTCAGGGCCTCGGACAACCGCATCAGCAGCCCCGCTCGCCCTTCGAGGCCTGCCAGCTGGTTATGTTCCGAATGTTGCATGCCTTTCGCCAACACATCCACCGTGATCTTCTTGAGACCCGCGCCGTCGACCTGGCATGGTTCTGTCGGATCGCTGCTGAACAAGCCGCTCTTGAACATTTCCAGGGTCGCGACGGCCAAGCCCTCACTTCGGCTGTAGATCTTGCCCGACTCCTTCGATTTGTACGACCATTTCGTGCCGGCGCCGGCATCCAGGAGGACGGAGATGACGAAGAGATCGATCAGTCGCCGGGTCCGTTCTTGCGCGTCGATGGTACTGGGCCACGATTGCAACAGTTGATTGATACGGGGTCTTCCGCCCACATCGAAGTGCTGCCAGCGACCGTGGGGTGGGATGGATGCATAGTCCGGGGCGTAGTCTCTCTGTGGGAATTTTGGTAATGGTTAGTCAAGAGCCAAAAGCGGCGCATTTAACAGGATAAGAGGGACGCGAAAGCGGCGCACTTTGATAATGGATACGATGTATGATGCTGTCGCGGTGAATTTGCTCATATCCACGTCGAAATGGTTCAGTCGATTTCTCTTCGCCTTCTCGGCGACAAAGCGGCACCGCTCGCGCACAGCATGGATGCTTCGAAGATAGGCTCCTGGATCCAATGCCGGGTCAGGCGGTTTGGCAATCGGGAGCTCGGGGATCGACGCTGGGAGACCGCTGCCTTTATAACCCGGCGACCTCAATGACGCATTCGAGGTCCGGGCACTGTTCACTGTAGCGAAGGAATCTTGCTCATCCCGATCACTCTGGATGGAATTCTTCGAGTCCTTGCGCTTGAAGAGACCCATTGCAAAGAAGAAGAATCTCTCAGGAGTGATCTCGAGATCGAAGGAGGGAGGGGGTGGGATAGTAGTACCAATGGCCCTCCAGATGAGTCGGAAGGTGGAAACAGGGGTTCAAGCGAAGGAGGGCGGGGGAGGGGTGGTGGGTGGGGAGTGGAATAGGGATTCTGCTGAGAGAAAAAGGGTAGTTATGAGGACACGAGGGTCCAACAGACCAAGAATAAAAAGAAGGGCGAGACGGAAGATTGGCTACGACGGAAGGAGACCTGACATGAATGGAAAAAGATGATGATCTGCGGCGGGTTTCGGTAGGTGGTGAACGGGGGGGAAAATGAAGGAAGAAAGCGTTTGTGTTTGGAGTTTTAGAGCTTGTCGCTGTCTGGCTCAGAGGCTCAGAGGCTCGGGGAGTTTAGTTGGGTGGGTGTTTGTGTCCTTAGTACTCTTCCTAGTACTGGTAAGTGGTAGGTAACTAGTGGTCCTCGCTTCTCTAATCTCCTTCGGTGGTTTTTTCCTTCTTTTTAGGTCTGGGTGGATGAAAATTTGGTTTCCGATGAATCAATAATAATAATGAAGAGGAATCAAAATTGAATTGAATGAGTAAAACAAATGATCAGACTAAGACAGTAAGGAATGGATCTAATAGGTAATAAGGTATCATGTATGATACGATAATAATACGTAGATGTATGTATGTATGTATGTATGGGGAACAGGAGCGTACAGACTCTCTGGAACAGTTAACTGCAGCCGGACGGACTAACTACTAACGACAGGACGATGCATCGAGACTGCGCCAAACGAGATAGAAGGTTAGCGAATTTGAGATTACTATATGGCCTATGCACGGAGTGCATACTCGATAGGTTTGAATGGCCATGGCCCTAGTGGGTGGACTATCTAGTTAGTTACTTAGTTAATAGTACGGAGTACTATTAACTAAGTATGCATCGGAGTCGGGAGGTGGAGAGCTGTGCAGAGTCCACCGTCAGTTACCAGTAACCTTTTAACTACAGAGTACCAGTTACCACTACCTGAGATAGTACTAGTAGACTAGAACCTAAGTAGGTAGTTGATAGGACCACTGTAAATCCACCGAGTTAAGCTGTTTGTTCCTCTTCGCGCGGTGTCAAGGGGGAAGAGGGGCGAACGCATTGCCCCGCGGACACAAGGGCCAAAGGACTCAGCTGTCTAGACTCTAGTCACTCTAGTCACCTACCGAGTGTTTAGTATCGACAGGGGATGGATTAACTCATTGATCTTGAGATGAGAACCATGTCATTGTGGTGAATAATAATAGTCCCTGGAGAGGTAGTGTTAGACTCTGTATATATGGAATGATATCTGATCTACTCCATCTATCTACTACACCTATAGACTATAGCCCTCGGAGCCAGGAGAGAAGACCCCGCAGTGTAATTCCATTACAGGAAAAAATACCATCCAGAATGAACCTAGTTAGTATCTATCGACCAGGGACCTGGACTGGAGACTGGGGCACGGACAGCCGAGTGGACAGTGGACAGTGGACACTGCACAGTGGATACTGGAATACATAGTACTATCTAGTATCGACTCAACAGCCCACTACCCATCTACCGCTTTTCAGCTATCTAATGAGACTTAGAGAATCGAGATCACTAGAAAGATATCGGGATTCAGGACCCAGGAGGCTTAACGGGTGGCAAACTGGCAACCCTGTGCTAACAATAGCATCTATTCATTAAGAGTAAGGGGACTCGTGCTCAGTCTCCCTGGAAAGCAGCAGTATTGAGTAGTCAGTAGTCACCAGTTATCCAGGACGCCTAGGCCCTTCCCTTCAAGCTTCGTCTTTAAACCTCAACACACCGGGCGCTGGGGCTAACACGGGAAACACGGTCCCGGCCATCCTGCTGGGTCGGCCGGGTTTCATGTTTATTTGTCCACAGGGCTTTTGACTTTGTACTTTTTGAGGGGTTGCTGCATATGCTCTCTTCCTCTGTCGATTTTTTTTTTTGTTGTTGTTCTTGTTTATGGACTCGTTAACTTGTTGCAAGTTGAAGCGTTGGACGGTTGGACACCCGCGCCGGCTCAATTACACTCGCTGAGATATATCTCGCGATTAGCTACTAGGTACTCATCCTGGGGATCACCGGAAATATATCATCAGCCACAATCTCGCCAATGGTTGCGATTAGTCTCCTTCAGATCCAAAATATATCAACATCCTGCGTCCAATGCACTGAGAATGCATGTTCATTGGCAGTGTACTGCACAAATATGCAGGCCAAAGGATCTAATGTAGGAACGCATGTCAGTCACACAACGAGTACCAATGTCAGACTCTTAGCCTACTCCGGAGTATGTAGTCGGAGTTTAGACCGCTGAGGTTACTTGTCCCTAACAATTACAATAGTTGACAGTTGGAAGTGTTCAACCCAGTCATGGCTTGGTCAGCGTCACCAATAATGTCCATTCGTTTATCCATATTGAGATGTAGTCAACAGTCCTTTGACATCAACGTACATTAGACCTGCTCCCTCGCTGGATGATCAGTCGTACTAGACGGGATGGTGGCCCAATAAATCGCCATATGAGACAGCCCACTGATGCTGATTGCAGCTCTCGTACGGTCGTACCAGCCCGCAAGACTGCCGAAGCTGTGAACCTGTGCTCGACGGTTCGACCGATTTTGGCAAAAGTGGGAACTGGTCTGTTAGTTAGTACGTAGTAAGTTAATTCGCTATTCAATGTTCCGTCCTCACTTCCTTTGTGGAAACTGGACAACATCTCTATTCTCTAGGCTTTAGCAGTAGCAGACCAGTAGCAGTAGCATCATTACCAGATCTGACTTTCCATAGTATCCATCTGTCCCATCTGTCCCATGGTACCGGACATCCAAGGTTTCGAGCGTACCCGAACTAGGCAGTTTGTGCCCTTTTTTTTCTTTTTTTTTTTCTTTTTTTTCCCCCTTCAGCGCCAAGGTAGGGTGGTGGTCTTGGGACTTTGGGTGTCATTAGGTGGTCTGACCGTGTCGTCCACTTGTGCTCCTACATAGTCGGTCTAGATGATGGCGTAGATAGTTGTGTGCGAAAAGACAACATGACCATGTCACCTGACCAGGTATGGAGTCCTGCTCTCCACCTCAACATCGGATAATAAATCGAGATCTCCTCCGTTTCCCAGAAGCTGATTGCAAGATCGGCCTTCCTGCTAGTGAAAACGAATTATAGGAGTAATAATTGTATCGTTTTTGCACATAATATACGTCTGTAGCATGATAACCAAGGGTGTGTGAACTGTGAATTGCCGAGAGTCGATCACGTGTCAGATAAACGCCAGCCCCACACGAGCCACACGAGGCGGTGCACAACACCGCCTCAGTCTTCAGAACTCAGCCAGCCACCTCAGCCACAATGACGGTGGTTTCCCAATTGCCTGGAGAAGCTGAAGGGCGACGTGGAGGAAGCAGCAATCTGCAAGGACTCCGAGTCTGAGGTCCCTTTTGTTTATGAGACATTTTTTTTTTCTAATTAGCTCGTCACTCAATCAGCTCACAGTCACATAGCCCTGGTGGCACTCGATGGTGAGCTAATCATGGACAGTTTGCACCCCTCTCCTATCTCTATCCTAATTCGGCCCCTCCAGACCTCCACCTGTCAATACTGTACAGTACTATCACAATGGACGACCTGAACGGGTTGAATTGGACGCCCAGCGCCTCAAATGACCCAAAGAAGCTCCCACCGCTGGGCTCCGGATTCGCCTTCCCTGCCGTGACACGTAATAACGTCTCTGGCCGGTCAACCCCCCTTTCTGCCGCCGGCTCGTCACATCCGGCATCCAAATCAGCTACCCCGGACAACGATAGCTTCGCGAACCTTGTGTCCTTCAGTTCTTCCAATGCGAACAAAAACCTGTCTCTTCTAGAGCAGCAGAAACGATTACAAGAGGAGCGCGTCAGGAAGGAGGCAGAAAATAAGTCCAAGTTTGAATCGCAGTATGGGGGGCAAAATGCGCAATTCTGGGACAGCCTGGAGAAGCAGGGGACGAACAACCCTTTTGCAACGGGGGCAGGATCAACAGTCCAGCGTGCATCGTCTGCCGATGAGGATGATCTCCTGGCCGCCTTTGATGCTTCGGCGCCGGTAGATGCCTCGACCAACTTCCCCATCCCAAGCCCCAGTCCGTCGCCACACATTGCGCAAAGCGTGTCTGCTGCTGCTGCTGCTGCTGCTGCTGCTCCGAGAACGTTGCACCAGACTGATGGAATGTCCTTCAATGATGACGACGACGATCCGTTTGGCCTCAATCAATTAAAACCAAAGGCGGCAGCTCCCACCCAACCTCCCACTCAGTCCGACAACGACGACGACTTCCTTGGTTTGCTGGGAAAGCCAGTCTCTGAGATCCCTCGCCCTTTACCTTCGCCGAAACCCACTTCACCCGTCGACCGTGAACACCACGTGTCTTCCCCCAGACCATCCAATGGAGTTGATAGGGCGATTGCGGAGCTTGTCGACATGGGGTTCCCTGCGGACAGGGCGAGTCAAGCGCTACGTGCAACGGCATCTGGGACAGATGTTCAAGCGGCTGTTAGTTTGCTTTTGACCCAGGCGCATGAGGAAGCTCGACAGAAATCAAGGAGCAAAACTCCCGTGCATGATCGTGATATCGACCCTTCAGAACGTAATAGGGAGCGGGGCTCCAGACCTGATCGTGATGTCCCGTCATGGATGCGTGATGAGCGAGCCGATCACTCCAGGAGTCGTACCAGCAACCGGTCCCCCGCATCCGCGGGCAGGGAAGCGTCGCAGGCTGCGTCTGCCTTTGGTAACAATTTCCTGAAGACAGCAAATTCTCTATGGAAACAAGGAAGCAAGAAGGTTCAGCAGGTTGTGAATGATCTCAACGCCGAGCATGATTCGAATCAGCCGCGATGGCTAAGGGATACATCTGCCCGCCAAGAGTCATGGACCTCCTCGCCTGCCGGTGATGATCAGCTTGCTGAATCTTCTCGCAAGAAGCCTGAAACTCTTACAGATGAAGCTCTCCTCCTCGAATCGGGGAACGCTCCCCGTCCATCCCGCAGCCAAGCACGAGATCGTGGAGGTCTAGCGTCACGAACACACAGTAATGATCTGCGAAGCCAGAGGTCTCCAGCGGCAGACGCGCGCATGCAGCAGCCGGCTTCCATGCAGCAGCAGCAGCAGAAGAGGAGGGAGGCGCTGGATCCCAAGGCTCGGGTGTCCAAGACTGTAGTAGAAGAGCAGACGGCGCAAGCGTACGTCAGTCCCGCTCGAAGGAGACGGCCTGCCGCGCAGCCGTCGGCTCCAGAGGCAGCTATAGATCTATTTGATTCTTCCACACCACCGCCGCCGGTCAACCGACTCCGGCCAACGCCGCCACCCGCACAACCCTCGAAGCCCTCTGTATCATCTAAGCCTCTTCCTGCTAGGCCGAAAGCTCCGCCTCGAGTCATCCCGCAACTCCCGCAGGAAAGCCTGGCGTCAATCCACCGGCATCGTGAGAAGGGAACGGGGGCCTACAAGCGAGGTGACTATACTGCCGCTCATGAGGCCTTCACGTCCGCCCTGACCATGCTACCGGACAAGCATCCGATCACCATCGTCATCCGTAGCAATCGCGCCATGACGGCCTTGAAAATCGGCGAGCCCAAGGTGGCCATTACTGAGGCAGACACCATTTTGGAGCTGATAGGCCCCGCAAAAGGCGAGGCGGAGACAATTGACCTTGCCAACGGCGAACCCAGCAAGCCCATGAAGGATTTCTACGGCAAGGCCTTGATGCGGAAAGCGGAAGCCCTGGAACAACTGGAACGCTGGGCGGAAGCAGCACAAGCATGGAGGCAGGCAGTGGAGAGCGGTCACGGTGGTAGCACAAGTATCCAAGGCCGCAACAGATGCGAAAAAGCCGCTGGCATTAGCAAACCCGCCTCGAAGCCTTCGGCTCCCGCGCGGCGCCCGCCAGCACCGGCCCCCAAGAAGCCCTCGGCATTGGATGACCTCCGAGGCAGCTCTTCTCCGTCTGGCGGCTCGTCCGAAGCCGTCAGCCGGCTGCGAGCAGCGAACCAGGCCGCCGAGCGCGCAGACGAGGAGAAATTCGCCCTCGGCGAAAGCGTCGATGCACGCCTGGCGGCTTGGAAGGGTGGGAAGCAGGATAACCTGCGAGCTCTGCTGGGGAGCCTGGATACCATTCTGTGGCCGGAAGCCGGCTGGAAAAAGGTCAATATGTCCGAGCTGATCCTGCCCAACAAGGTCAAGGTACAGTACATGAAGGGTATTGCAAAAGTGCACCCGGACAAGGTATGTTATTTCTGTGACCTGCGAGGGGTACATGTGAGGCTAACACCCCCTGGCATAGATTCCTACCAATGCCACCACTGAGCAGCGCATGATTGCCGGTGCAGTATTCGGTGTGCTGAACGAAGCGTGGGATAAGTTCAAGGCTGAGAACAACCTGTGAGCTTGTCTTTCATTGCAGAAGACGGGGTATTCCCTGCTCGTTTTCTACTCTTGTCATGATAATCCGTCACGTTTCACCTGGTCCTTGATTTTTCCAGTTCTCTATACCAGCCATACAATCTACCTTGACCCATTTGCCTGGGGTCATCGCTATATCCTGTCCCCAAAGCGTCTAGTAGATTCCTGCGCGTTTACCATTGTATATATACATGCTTCTGATGAGTCGAGGCTCTCTGCAATACGGACATTCCGCATGACAGAATTTACTGTACTCACAGGCTCTTTCCTCGAAGCTAGAGATACATCCATTACGAAGTTGTGGCTTCACATAGCCCCATCATTGAACCCACCCATGTTAATACAAAGTCCGTTTAAATCATTACGAAGACAATTAAGATAGCTGGGTAGTTGTTCTCTTAGAGCCATCGTATCGAACCCTATGACTGAGACTGAGACTGAGACTGAGACGCAGAAGCCTCCGCCGACTTCTCCGCCTTCTGATCCTGCGCCTCCAGTTCCTTCGCCTCGCGCTTCAATTGTCGCTTGCCCTTCGGTTTCCCGGCGTCCGGCGAACCGCCCACCTGCTGCGACGGCCAAGCCTGCCGACACCGCTGCTCATCCTCCTCGGTCCAGTCGCGAGGCAGAATAGCGAAGACGAGATACGAGGTGTGTGTTTTCAAGTCCGGCTCCGTCCGGTGGACCACTCGGCCGAGATCGTACGCGGGGGTGGACGATGCAGGAGCGGTGGAGTGCAATGGGATATCGCGGATGGGTCTCTCATCGGCTTCGGCCTTCTTGACCCTTCCGGCGGACGGGGTGGGTTCGTCGTCGTCGTTGTCGTTGTCACTATCCTGTTGGCGCGACTCGCGGAACTTCCTCGAGTTCTCCTCGACCACGCGCATCTTCGCGACGGCCTCGTCGACCGACTTGGGGAACACCATCGCGCCGCGCACGCCCTCGCAATCCAGGCCGCAGCGCTCGCGCTTCACGTCGATGCGGTGGTGCTGCACCTCGACCATGGATATCGAGAGCCACGAGTACTGGCGGAGGGTGCTGATGGTGCGCTGAGCTTGCTCGAGACACGGGGAGAATGTACAGATGTAGACGGGCGAGGAGGGGTCGAGCGGGGACTCGGCGCCGGAGGGCGGGTTGCGGACGAGGTGCTTGAGCGCGAGCCACGGTGCCGGCAGGTCCAGGAAGATCGCGTTGGCTTTGGGCGACTTGCCCGTGGCCGGGTCGCCGAGCAGGAACCCGTCCTTGTACACGTCGCGGTGCGTCACCTCGACCAGGCCGTCCAGGCCGTGCTCGTGGATTTCTTCGCGGACGCGCTGCGCGCGCTGCGCGTGGAACTCGAAGCTGCAGACCTTGCCCAGCCGTCGCTTCTTGGCCGGCGGCGCGTCGGACGGGTACCCGTTGAAGACGGCGCGGACGGAAGCGTGCGTGAAGGAGCCGCTGCCGGCGCCTGCCTCGAGGATCGTGCACCCGGGGCGAACGCACAGCCGGTGCAGGATGTAGCTGTAGTCGGGCGTGTAGACAACCTGTGTCCGGTGCGGGAGCGACGCGGTCCATAGCTCGGGCGTGGGGTATAGGAGATGGAGGAAGCCGCTGGCTGCTGCGACGGGGGTTCCTGGTGATGACTGCGCTTCGTCCTTGTTCGTCGGTGTTGGTGATTCCAGATCGGCCGCTTTGCGCTTGAGTTTCTGGTTCGGCTTGCGACCCCGGGAGCCCGTGTCAACTATGGAGGCGACGATTTGCGACCCCCACGGTTGATCAATGAGTGTGCTGTGCGGGAACGAGCCAAACCGCGTGTTGGTCACCTTGCCTTCCTTGTAGCCCTGGTTTTCTTCATCTTGTAGCTGGAGTATCGTCGGGATGGTCTGGTCTCTGCGGAGATGGAGAAGCGCAAGATCTCCAAGGTCGGATCGAAGATGCGGGTTCAGGAACACGGACCCCATTGCGACTGCCTGCAATCGCAGAGAACCGGGCGAATCTGTCACGGAAAACTGTCGAGAAAAGATTATACTACTACGGGAGTAGAACAGCCTCTAGCATCGACTTGCACCGCTCTTGCGCGCCAACGTCCAGCAGACAAGCTTTGGAGAATCTCCGCTGCAGTCTAGACCCAAAATGGGCTCTCTTTAGGGCTCAGGGCTCAGGGCTGATTGTCAGGGCGAGCAACTTTAACCGTTTGGATGGATCTGATTGGCGCAGAGACTTTGGGCGCGTGCCCTTTGAGGATGCGAACCTCAGGCTCCCAGGCACCCAGGCACCCAGGCGCTCAGGCAGCGTGAGTCAGTCAAGTTGTCCTCCCAGCTCAACCCCTCCCCCTCGTTTTAGTTGGCCGTACCGGTCTTCTCCTCTGTTTTCTTTCTTCTTTCCCCTTCGCTCCGTCCTTGATGCCCTTATCTCTCCGTCGGATCCCCCATCTGGTTACTTCTTTCAAAGCTCTACCAAAGCTCCCGCAGTCGTTCCATTCATCCCTGTCGATTTTTTCCAGATCGATGGCCACCGCGCGCCAGCAGCCGCCATGGCGCCAGCCCACGGTGCATCCAGAGACCGAAGCTCGACTACCTCCTCTGAAGATCTGGAATTCATTGACGCGATCCAAAACCCCATTTGTCCCCATTGATCCCGAAGCAAAGAAGGTGACCTGGTACGCTTGCGGACCTACCGTCTACGATGATGCGCACCTGGGCCACGCTAGGAACTATGTCAGCACCGACATTATCCGGCGTATCATGCGCGACTACTTCCATTTCGATGTGAAATTCATCATGAATATCACGGATGTTGACGACAAGGTATGCTCCGCACACCGAGTTGTGCCCGCCAGCGTAACGGTTTATGCTGACCGAAACCGCATATAGATCATCCTCCGCGCACGCCAACAACATCTCTTCAATGAATTTGTCACCGCTCACCCCGTCATCGACGCCGAGGTCCTCGATGTCGCGAAAAGCGCATATACCGCCTACCTGAAGAAGAACCTGCCACTCCTGAGTAGCGAACTGTCCCCCTCGCAGTACCAAGATGAGGTCGAAAAGGTCTATGCGGTCGTGCTGAATGGAGGACCTCTACCGGGTAACGAAAAGGCCGGCGATGATGAAGCCAAGGTCAAGATGCACATCAAGACTGTGGCGTCGGCGGCCAAAGTGATCGCGCAGGCGGAAGCCCAGGATCAGTCTACAACACCCAGTGGCTTTGCGGAGTCGTTCTACACCAACGCTCAGGACCTTCTCCTCCCTTATCTGGACGCGCTCAAAGGGTCATCGATCAACGCGGATGATCACTCCATTTTCACCAAGCTGACGAAGAAGTACGAGGATCGATTCCTAAAAGATATGCGCGACCTGAACGTCCTCGACCCCGACGAGCTGACTCGAGTCACTGAGTATGGTGCAGAGATTGCCGATTTCGTCGAAAAGATCGTTGCGAATAAGTTCGGTTACGTAACAGATGATGGCTCGGTATACTTTGACATCAATGCGTTCGAGGCCGCTGGACACCCTTACGCCAGGCTTGAGCCCTGGAGTCGGTCTGACAACAAGCTTCTCGCGGAGGGAGAAGGCGCACTGACTAAGAAGACTACGGAGAAGCGCTCAGCCTCTGACTTTGCGCTCTGGAAGGCCTCGAAACCGGGCGAGCCCAGCTGGACGAGCTCATGGGGGCGAGGAAGGCCTGGCTGGCATATTGAGTGCTCTGCGATGGCTTCTGCGAGACTGGGCAAGGAGATGGACATCCACTCTGGAGGTGTTGATCTCGCGTTCCCACATCACGACAATGAGCTGGCGCAGAGTGAGGCCTATTGGTCGCATGACCACTCGCACACCGACCAGTGGGTGAACTACTTCCTTCATATGGGCCATCTGTCGATTCAAGGATCCAAGATGTCAAAGTCATTGAAGAACTTTACTACTATTCGCGAAGCATTGGAGCGCAAAGAGTGGACACCTCGAAGTCTCAGAATCGTTTTCTTACTGGGCGGATGGAGGGACGGCGTCGAGATCACAGAGGAACTCGTCAGTGCTGGAAACTCGTGGGAAGAAAAGGTGAACAACTTCTTCATCAAGATCAGGGATCCCGCAACACTACAGGCCCAGACGTCGGGCACTGATACCACTCTTCCTGCTGCCCTAGAGGCAGGGAGGAAGGCAGTCCATGAGCATCTCTGCGACTCTTTCAATACGCAAGGAGCCATGTTTGCGATCTCGGAGCTGATTTCGAAATACAACGGCGCGGACAAGTCTACGCTTAACGCCAAGGACGTTGAAGCAGTTGCCAGATTTGTGACCTCTATGGTCAACACTTTCGGGCTCAACGGTAATGCTACTCCCGAGAGCGCGGAGATCGGTTGGACGGGTATCGACGTGCCGGAGGAGGCCAAGCCTTTCTTATATCCCCTTTCCAGTATGCGCGATACTCTCCGTCAGGCCGCGCGGGGGAAGGAAGGAGTCACTGCGGAGAGCGTCGTCGCGATTGTGAACAGCGCATCCGTGCCAGAGCAGGACGTGACGGATTCAGCAAAGCCTTATGCTGACCTCCTTTCAAACTTCCGCACCAAGGTGTCTTCGTTGGAGCAATCCGAGAACGTCGGAAAGGAGATCCTAGCCCTCTGCGACCGGGTTCGAGACATCGATCTGTTCGACCTTGGTGTCTACCTCGAGGATCGGGAGAATCTTCCTGCGTTGGTCCGTCCTGTAACGAAGGAACTCATCCAGGCCCGAGAGGAGAAGGCCGCTCGGGCGCGTCAAAAGCAGATCGAGAAAGAGAACAAGGAAAAGGAAGCTTTGAAGAAGCTGGAAAAGGGCAAGCTGAGCCATCTGGATATGTTCCGGACCAACGAGTACAGTGCATGGGATGAAGAGGGTCTTCCTACGCGCGATGCAGCTGGCGAGGAGGTCACCAAGAGTCGGGCGAAGAAGCTTCGGAAGGACTGGGAGAGACAGAAGAAGCTCCATGAGACCTGGCTGGCCAGTCAAATGGGCGCCAAATAGAAGGGTGATGCGTAAAAAAGTCATAGCAGTGGGTTTGATGATGCATAGTGGCGGCGTTCTAGGTTTGTAGTCCGTCTATATCTACAGTTATTTCATGATGATCTATCTATAATCTCGAGCGACACTTTCAAAGTCTTGGATCGCTTCCGGTTTGTATGGAGTTAGCCCGTAGTAGCCCGTTTATGCTATGCATAAGATGAACTATTAACTCCCCGGATCACATGCGGGGAAACCTTCAGGACAATCAGGTGATCCGCCTTCGGTCACCGGACAGGAAGTCGCCTGTGGAATGTGGATTATTATTGATGATCAACTCTCATCAGGAATATCGCCAGGCAGCATAAGGAGGATCAGGTAGTTAGTTCTGGATCCGTCCCCACAGTCTTCATACTCAAGACCAGGAATATTGTATTCGTCGGTCTTTCTGGAGTTAGCTCCGAAATGGGAATCGTTGCCCGAACAAAAGTGCAGGCTGGCTGCTCGACCTCGGCAACTCGCGCTCCCCCACACCAGAAGCCCGCGGTTGCACAGCTGTAATGACGACGGAGGATTTCTCAGTGCGGAATAAGTCTCCCTTTTCTGTTAATAGTTGATGTTTCCCCTGATCTGATCTAAAGGTCTTTGGATATTTTGATACCCCGTGAATTTACACGTCTTCATTTTTGGTAAAATCAACTCTGTTGTTGCGCTGCGATTAGACACAGACAGAATGCCTTTCAACACCGAGTTAACGAGGAGATTGCGGATTGAGGGTAGGTGATGCGAGGTTGGAGAAGTCGCCGCTGGAAGTCGCCTGCTGATGGACTATATAGTCCCTGTCGTGCAGGGTGGTATGCAATGGGTTGGATACGCAGAGCTTGCTGCCGCGGTTAGCAATGCAGGTGGTCTGGGAATCGTACGTTCTTCAATCAATCCCTAGAGACGTAGATACAACAACGGGATATGGATGTGCTAACCGGATTAGCTCACTGCCCTCACGCAACCCACCCCCGAAGACCTCCGCAAGGAAATCCGCAGATGCCGTGCTATGACCAAGAAGCCCTTCGGCGTGAACCTCACCTTCCTCCCCTCCCTCGTGCCCCCAGACTACGCCGCCTACGCCCAGGTGATCATCGACGAGGGTATCAAGATTGTCGAGACGGCGGGGAATAATCCCGGGCCCGTGATCGCCCAGCTGAAGGAAGTCAACACCATCATCCTGCACAAGTGCACAACCATCCGTCACGCCAAGTCTGCCATCAAGCTGGGTGTAGACTTCCTCTCCATTGACGGCTTCGAGTGCGCGGGTCACGTCGGCGAATCCGACATCACCAACTTCATTCTCCTCAGCCGAGCGCGCCAGGAGCTCAAGGTTCCCTTCATTGCGTCTGGCGGTTTCGCGGACGGACAGGGTCTCGCCGCGGCGCTGGCGCTCGGGGCGGAGGGTATCAACATGGGTACTCGGTTCATGTGCACTGTTGAAGCGCCGATTCACCAGAAGGTGAAGGAGGCCATTGTGGCGTCGGATGAACACAACACCAGTCTTGTCATGAGACGGTGGAAGAACACCACCCGTCTGTTCAGGAACAAGGTGACGGAGGAGGCGATCAAGGTTGAGAGGGAGAGCAAGACGGGCGAGTTCAGCGAGATGGCGCCCTTCGTCAGCGGCAAGAGAGGCCGCGAGGTGTTCCTGAACGGGGACATTGACTACGGTGTAGGTTCCCTTCCAATCATCTTTCTTCCTTCCTCGTTCTGTTTTTTTCCATGGCCTCCGGACTAACGAGCTTTGACTTCTAGGTGTGGACCGCCGGCCAGGTCATTGGTCTGATCCATGACATCCCAACCTGCGCAGATCTCCTGCAGCGTATCCAGACGGAGGCTCTCCAGGCCCTGGACCGCGCCAGATCGTTTCATACGGCAACCGCAGGGCAAAGCAAGCTGTAAGCCTGTGGTAAGCCTGTGAGCCCCTTTTCGGATAGCTGCTCTTGTGAATCTGGTGTCATTTCCTATGTTCAGCGTCTTCAGCTCAGAACAGTTGATTGGTTGTCAGTGGTAGCAGAAATGTAGATCTTGAATATAAATTTGTCAAATACTAGTCTACTATGACCTCAGGCATGTGGAATGCAAGGGTCCAATCTTACTATCATATGTGCACTTGGGATGGACTACGCACGGGGAATGTTGGTTGTCCCTTGCAGATGTCCCTTGGGAAGCAACAGCACGGGCGCCTGACTCGACATGAACGTGTCCTGACGTCTCCCATTTCCATGTAGTCTTTTGGAAGGATTCAGAAAAGGTAGCAATATAACCTCTTCCCGAGAAAAAACTGTGGTGTAGAATCGAGAAAGAAAATGAGGTGAGGGAGGCAAAACTGGTGGTTTTTCCACCCCGGCGCTATAGCCCTAATTGGAACATCCAACCAGCACATCGAGATGCAATAATCACTATAAGCTTCTCATAATATCAGCATATGTATCGTGCTGTCTGCACCCGGGGATATCCTCTCTCCGATGGCGTTAATACTTGAGACTTATTTGGGAACTGCAGTCTAATCCATAGCCATCAAACATGTCTCTGGTCCTTGCTTTGTCGCCTCGCACACTCGTATAACTCTTCAATTGTGAATCATCAGACGTCCAAATGAAGATGGGCGTATTAATTAGCCTAGGCCACTGTCTCAAGCGTTGAACGGGAGATGAACTGTTTATTGTCATCGTCGTAGCCGCTCAGTGGCGAGGAAATGCATCTATATATGTAGATAGACGTAGCGGTGTCTCGAGGAGTGCATTCAGTGAATCCATCCCCGCTCGCCATCGCATGCTGGTTTCATCGCGCCAGAGTATATATCAAACAAAGACTGTCGCAGGGCCTCAGACCATCCATCCTTGTGTTCATGAAGATCGTTCGCCCGCCACCATGGATCTTATATCGTCTTTTTTCCCATGTATCCATCGACGAAAGGCACTGAGGGAGCCCGAAGAACAGGAAACAGAAAGTTTTCCTTGTGGCGTACCGGTACCGTTACCAGTGCGTCCAGAGACAGCCGGGACACTGGTGAGCATGTCCTCGCAGAGGATGTCGGTTCGCATCGTCGAGGCAATCGACTCGCAGGTCACCATCTGCCCGGAGGAGCCGATTGTGGAAAACACCTTCGATCGGGAGAAAGAAACCACCATAGCAGCTGAGGTACCTCAAGAAGCCCCTCCGCAAAACGAGAATGCCAACGTCATTCGCATTGATGTTGCCGATGCCCAAGCGGAGCCAAATGACCCACCCAGGCAGTCAATAGAGAAGGAATTGCCGGCGATTCCAGCCCCAGCACCACTGAAGAGCGTCAAGCTGCCAGAGATCAAGAGCCGCATGATCGAGAACATCCCCGAGGAAGACGATGACGACTTGGAGATTCACGCCACACCCACACCTGACGAACCCTCCGTCACCTCGCAAGAGCAGGCTGACGAGACCAAGAACCCCAAGCGCTCAACATGGCGCCACAGCTCCAGGAAGTCCCTGGTCGACATTATCAATCTCCTCCAGTCCACGACAACCAGCAACATCAACACGCTCCGCGTTCAAAGTCTGAAGTGGCCCCTGCCGCCGAAGTCTCACTTCCGTCCGGCAACCGCGCTTTCATGCCGATCCTCAATCTCATCATGCTCCTCTGCAACGGCCACAATCGAGCTTGATAGGCCCCAGCCTGCTGTGAAGAAGGAGCGGCGGATGGGAGCGGCGATTCTCCCGGCTCTGCGCCTGGGAGGTCGAAGATGGAGCGATGATAATGCCACCAACAGCAATTCTAGCAAGGGTCCTCTTTTTTGCGAATGACGGAGTTTGGAGTTCGGGTCTTCTTGGGTCTTTTTCTGCCTTTCTCGGGGTTATGTTTTTCTGGTCGCTGGGGCGGATGGCTTGGTAGTGGATGGGGGTTTGCTTGTGGATATTAGATTCTATTTGCTTCTGGGACTTGGAATGTCCTACATACCTTAGCTTCTAATCTTGTGTACTAGTGGAGGGCTGAGACGGTATTCTTAGTGAAATATGAAACTATGAGCCCGTGCTCTTGGCGAGATGATGAGGACGATGATAACTGAAGCGCTTGAGCTGCTGTCACGAGGAGGTAGCTTGATGTATGTCACATGGCAGGAGGCTAGGTGCCTGAGGACATCAACAAGTCCCTCCTAGGCAGCTGCTATTGTTCTCTCCCCAATCACAGGAACACCATTTGATCACAGGAATGGCAGATGGGGTGAGCTCACGAACGTAACTACTCTCAGCTTTGTGCCTAAATGCTATTGTTGTACGGCAGATTATGATTCCATGTGGGCCAGCGCGTCGCCGACTTGTCGAACTCGCACCATGGGATACTGATCAAGCTCAAGAACTGTGAGCTCGCGGGGTGGATTAAGGGACTGGTGAGAATACGCAGACTAGCTATGCAGTAAAGTACTGATATTGGGAAGGAGGCAGGAATGAAATACTAGCGCATTACAATATGGATTGGAAATGCATCGTCGAAGATGCTGAAGAACATGAAGGTAATTAAGGAAACAGTGCAATCTTCTTTCTCCGAGTGCCTAACATCGAAATTAATGATACAGATTTGAGCAAGAGACACTTGATCTATCGAAAACCAGATTCATCGGGCTCTGTACCATCCCCAAACCGCATATCGAATATCCAACCCTCTTCGCAAGGTTACGAAGGCCACTGAAAGCATTGAGTTGCTTACAGAATGGAGCCAAGGGCAACGCAAGGAAGGCCAAGGCCAATGAGGGAACCGCTCTGCAGGACAGGTCAGAATCATGAAGCACAGTTGAGAAAAGGGAGTACCAACGGCATCGGCAGTGGACTTCTGGCAACAGGCAATGTTCTGCTTGCACTGCTGGTTGATGAGATCCTGGATGGGGATACCAATGATGGGGACTAGGGACTGTCAGCAGGCGTTGTAGAGTTTGCGGGATTGATGACATACTCTGGAGGTCCAGCTTGGAGCACTGGTCGAAGAGACCAAGGCCCTGGTGGCCAGATCCACCACCGATGAGGTTCTTGAGGGTACCAGCAAGGATACCGCTGTCGATATCGGTGGAGTCACCAGCGTAGGTGGCCTTGTTGCAGCAAGAGAGCTGAGCCTGGTCACCACACTTCTCGGTACCCTGCTTGATGGTCATCTCTTCAGGGACGGGGAAGCGGACATTGGCGTTGCCCTTGTTGCCGAAACCATTGCCAGCAGCATTGAAATCCTGGGGAAGAGCGGCCGCAGAGACGGCGAAAGCAAGAACAGCAGCGGTGACAGTGAACTTCATTGTGACGGTTGGTTTTGAAAGAGTGATTGGAACTCGGAGATTTGTTTGGCTTGAAGAAGAGAAGATTGTACTTCGAAGGAAAGGCTTGTCAACGAGAGTGAATGCTGATGGAGAGGAAAAGTCTGGTCGATGGCGATGCAAAGCCTTCCTTATATAGATAAATGTGGAGGCAACCAGGCTCTCTATTCGATCTCGCTTGAGCTAGCTCTACAGGCCCTTGATCGTACAGTGTGTGCCATAGTAGCTGTCCAGCTCGAGGTACTGTGTGGAATGCGGCATGCAAGGAAGGAGCTGTGATTTGTCTTCTGAACCCCATCAAGGACTTCTCGCGCCCTGAATCGAAGCTCTTTCAATCCAGTGGATGGTATGGATCTGCAGGTCCTTTGATTAGTTTGAGTCAACCCATCAACAACCAGCATGCCGGCGAGCCCGAAGCCATGCCCTTTCTTGGAAAGCCAACCATACATACCTGCAATCGCAAAAGAGTGCTAATGTCATTCCTCCTGCTTTTCTCTGTGGATCATCTATGCAAGCGGTAGCTTCGCGTTTATCCACTGACCGTTAGGTTGCATATGTTTACGAAAGTTGTTTCAGTATTACCGCGTCAAAGACCTCTTTTACTTCTCCGGTTATCCGCCAGGGACTCCATTCTTGTGGCGCCGATGTGATTCCTCAGTGGCGTACTTTGTACTGGCCCACTATCTCTTGATTCTAACAGGCTTGGTACATAGCACGGGAAGGGCTGGTCCTCAAAATCCGGTAGAATGGAGCTTGCAACTTTCCAAGGGCCCTCGTGAGGTATGGTATGCAGGTGCTAATGCAGGCATCGTGCTGAGTCCAGGGTCCAGTCTGGGAAGCTGTTTGCCTCGTACAGTCTTTGCTGATCGTCTGCAAGGGATCACTCTCCGCTGAACTGGGTCATTTTGGATCTGCTCCCCGGATCATCCCAAGGGACCCAAGGGATGGTGTCTGAATCTCTAGACTTTACCAGCTCCTATGCTGCGAGGCCAAGTTGAAATCCTCCGAGCTTGTTCACAAAGTTTGTCTTGATCTACTGCAGCAAGACCCATGTGGGCAAGGGGAGGCTGAGACACTGCTTCGTCCCTGGTAGTGATGAAGTAAGGGGCTGTAGATCGGCCTTGCGCGGGTACGTTGTTGTACCTGGGAAGGTCATTCCTTTATCCCCGAATGCAACGAGGCCATCCAAGGTACAGGTGGTATCCCGTTCGCAGTGTCTGGCACTTGGAGTCTTGTCGAAATCGACTTGCTCCTCTTTCCGTTTTCGCCAGGGCGCGTAAGCTCACTGCCATGGGAACTCTTTGCGGCTCCACATGACCTGATTGGAGTGTTTTCAAAATAAACAATTAAAAGCCTTTTCTCTGACTCATAATGCTGTCGAGAGTGAGATGAATCATGTGTGGATGTCTTCTCGCGCAGTTGATGATGGACTTGTGGACACCCGAGGCTCAGAATAAGCTTTACAGATATGACAGTTCTAAATTGACGATGCCACTGAATCTGATAATATCCGTCGCGCACTATGAAACCTATGGCATCAAGGCACAAAGATGAAGCCTATTTGGGTTATCTAGATAGGTGGAATATGTATAAAGGATTAGCGCCATCGCAGCCGTTGTAACCACTCTTCTCCGAAACTGCGAACGTATGAGCGTCAGAGGTGCGTCAGTCGATGACAAAATGCTTCATCTTCTCTCCGTTCCTGCCTTCTTTGGGGGAAAAGTTCCTTTTGTCCAACGCCCATCAACGCTGGACAGGCGTGGCTTCTGCATTGAGGAAGAGTGAAGAACCACGCTCATCTCGACACAAGGTATACAACCTTCTATCTTTGTCCTTGAAACCCGATTACTGACTCACCTTACCATGGCCAGTGCCAAACGAACCGGTCTAGACGTAGCCCAGCGGCAGCTTCTGTCGAAAGGAAACGCATTTGCTTTCGCCTTGAGGTCAAACATGGGCTGGTACTGACTGATTCAGAGGAACTGGCAAAACATTAATCAGGAGCAGTAAGTAGCTACCAATCCACTACAACCCTGAGCAGGACTTATCAATCCAACCTCTGAGATCGACCATGGATAGTCATGAAACAAGAACCTTGCATCCGAGGGAGGTGCTGCGCCAGGTTGCCGACTCCATGAATTGGCAGCGAAATGAACTGTCTGTCACCCTCCCTGCGCACACTACGTGGAGGGCTGCCATCCGAGCTGCCGAAGCAGCCCTCGGCGATATCGATGAACCGATGCTTTTAATGCCTCGTGGAACTGGGAACCGTCGAGTACTTCGGGAGATGGCACGCCTGTCAGCTTCGGAATCGCCCTCTGGAAACGGTTTAGGTCTCCCAATTCGAACAACTATCGATCTAAAAGCAGTGGAACCCCGCCCACCGCTGAGTATGGCAGCTCGCGAGCGTCTCCGCAAGATGGCTGAAGAGACTGCCAAAACGGAATTTCGATATCCGTACGTATCACTTGGGCCGAAATTAGGAGAAAGGCGCCTCCCTATTGTTCGTGCAGATCTTGTTTTACGAGGGGTGAACAGCAACGACACCGACCCTCTCTGTAAGCTTGAAGGGATTGATATGATATTCGATACGGGAGCCCATCGGACCATTATTGTGGAAGACCTGCTCTCCGCTTCCTTCCGGGAACATCTCAAGGGATCGGTTCACGATCCATACCGCTTGGGCGATGGTTCTGTCCTACAGGTTAGCGTTAATATGGCTTTTACAAATTGCCCTGTCGTTATTGAAACTGTTGCCGTTATTATACCAAAAGCTAAGATGCCGAACGAGCGGGTTGGAGTCTTATTCGGACAATCCTTTTGCATTGATCGACTTAGCCTTCGGAGTATACCTCGGCGGATGCTACTTGCAAAGGGAGTGGCGATCTCAGAGGAATTCTGGGGGGATATTGTGGCGGAGGATTATCTCAACCTGGACGATGACATTGTCTCTCTCTGAGAAGTCGTCCGCAACACACACACGGAGACCAACTCCCAACGCAAAGGAATATTTTGCTGCCGCATCATTATTATTATCATTGATCCAGATAATGATTCTTCATCCTTGTACTAGTGCGCAGTTTGGAAGTGGCTCGCTCATGAAGAGTTTAGTTTTAGTGGCTACTATATCCATCTCGCTTAGCAATACCACAACTTCGTTGCCCTCAGTCAAACGATGGCATGTCGTTTTCTAGAAAACCTTTGAGATCTAGTTGATATGTCGGCTTGGAGTAAACACGACTGACCGTGGGCGGTTAGCAGGATGCTTGAACCGCTTGCTAACCGTTTCCTCATTAAACGTAGTAAACCTTAAGATTTTAATATATATATATATATTTTAAAGAAGAGAAGACTAATAGCTATATTAGGATTATTGTTATGGTCATGTCTACGCAACTACCTGATGGTAGATAGAAAGATGATTCTCTAACGCTGGTATTACAATAGCATTAGGCTCCTCTTTATATGTCCGTTCCTGATATAATTGTTTCTATGATGTGTGATACACCATAGTAGACGTGGGGACAGAGATATATATCTCCGCTGAATAGATATCTATCTTCAGTCTCTGATAGCCACTAACTACTGTTACTCTTGATACAGGGTCAACTCTGGCCTAAAGGAAATGAGTCATCTATTACCTGATATTCAATAATCGCTAGTTACAATGTATATTTTAATATCATATTTACAGCAAATCCAGGATAACGAAGTTGTTGCGCGATGTTTGAGCCAAGAAGTAAAGATATACAACCCCCACCGACTATAAGAATGCTAGCTGGATGAAGAACCCTCGAAGTTTGTTACCTGAATAACCATTAGATACGGCTTTTCAAAAAAAAAAAAAAAAAAAAAAATTGATTGACCCCAGCTCTTATATATGTGACCATCGACCCAGCAATATGAGATCGATCAGGTCGAAGCCAGCGCTGAGGGGTGGAGGAGATCCCTATCCTGCCACGAGACATGGAGGTAGTAGTATGGAAGCACTTGCAAGATGGGCTATCTTTTTAGCCTGCTGTATTCCATTCGCATGGACAAGGTCTCAAGTAACAGCCCATAAGCAGTACTGTCCAATGGTGCATTGGCAATGCCTTGACGTCGCACTTGGTCCATCTCCCCTGTGTACCCCTTCTCTTATCTCACATGAGTCTCATTTCCCTGAGCAAATCCCTGGCTCAGTTTCATCAACAAAACGAATCCAGAAAGTTGTACAGTGCGCTTTCATTCTGGCAGTCCTCTATGGCGTGGGCCGTAGATAGATTACAGGCGCATAGGAGATGAGGATTCGGAGCTATTCCCAGAAAGGCTAGTGCGTCATAATGAGGTCCAGCAAATGCGAATTCGAGTTGAATCGTCAACTGCACAGAATAATGCTGCAGTGAGCGTGCCACGCCATCTACGTACCTGCAGACATCCATCTCGATATATAAATCTACATACTAAGCAGCGCTAATCTCAGAATGTCCGCAAACCCGTCTTCCAGCCCCTCCGGCCGTCCTCCGAGCGCAGAGAAAGACGTCACGGACAGCCCGTCCAAGCTCCCCGTGGGCAACCAGCAAGAGCCGGAATCTCGCGCAGAGGATGTACAGGAGAGAGAACAACTAGAACAGAACGAGGAAAAGGAAGATGAGTCGCCGAGTGAGAAACACAACCAGCAGCAGCGCGAAGGCGGTAAGAAAAGCACGGGGGATAACGATGATAATGACGAAGGGGAGGAAGCTTCAGCGCCACCATTACCAGACGAAGAGGTCCCACCACCGCTTCCCAGCGAAGCTCCTCCTGGCGAGGACGATGGCTGGGAACCCCTCTGGGATGCCAACGCTCAGGCGTACTACTTCTACAACCGCTTCACGGGCGTGTCGCAGTGGGACAACCCCCGGGTACCAGCTGCGACGGCAGAGCTTCCCGGAGTTACCCCGGAGCGCGAAGCTCCCGCGAAGGACAAGGCTCCTGTTGTCGGCGGCTACAACCCGGCGATCCATGGCGATTACGACCCGACGGCCGACTACGCGCAGCAATATGAACAGCCGGCCGATGGGGGAGTGCTGGGCGCCGGATTGGACCCCAATGCCTCGTACGAGGCTGTTGGTCAGTTCAACCGCTTCACGGGCCGGTGGCAGGACGCGTCGCTGAACCCAGAGAACTTCAACGATGAGAACAAGTCGCGCCGGCAGATGAACGCGTTCTTTGACGTGGATGCGGCTGCCAATGCCCATGATGGGAGGAGTCTCCGGGCAGAGCGCAGTGCCCGGAAACTCACCAAGAAGGAATTGAAGATGTTCAAGGAGAAGCGCAGAGAAAAGAAGGAGGAGAAACGGAGGGCGTGGCTACGCGATTGAGGAGGAGGGGTGTGGATTGGGATGGCATTGTTGCTTTTATACTCCTGCCGCTAGACTTTTGATATACCTTGAGATACCTTTTGATTCAGTGCATGGGCTTGGGAGGGGGCGTTGACAGCTGTACTATACGGGACTGCATAGCATAAAAGCAGCGTTATCTTTTTTTTTTCTCTCCCTTCTTTTCGTTACACTCTATTACACGAGCATATTAATTAGGAGATATCATTGTAGACCTCTTCACTATCGGAGCGAGACTGGGAGTTTCTCAACTGGAATTCTTCGAAAATGGACGGATTCCCCACACTGGGTCACATGACTCGATATCGAAGTTTCTTTTGCAGCAATCCATCGAGTATACAGCTGGTTTTATAGAACTGGCGCATCAAACTGTAATTTGGTCCGCACATATTGAATTCAAGGTCAGTGGTTTTCTCATGTCTTGTCTGTTCGTTGTGGAGTTCTACCCATCAGCGAGATTGCCTTATCGATATATATATCGAAAACCACCATGGAGGGGTAACGTATTTTGTATGGCCTGGGGAGAAGAGAAGAAACGAAAGGGAAAAAAAAAAAAATCACAGGTCAAATGATGCGATCATACCCCTAGTGTCTCTATTCAGATTATATATCTATGGCATTATGAATCTGGCATGTCAGGATCTATGCTTGGAGCTGCGCAAAAATTTTTTTTTTCTTCACCTCTCAAGATCTATAATATTGATCGAAAAGCACATGATTCGCATTTTCTGGAAACAAAAGAAGGGGGAAAAAAAAAGAACCGCTTGGATCATCCACTAACAGAAGTGCAGATAATCTATCATATCATATATCATTGCAAAAGCGAGAGACAGTTATAATTAGACTTGGGCATCCAAAGGCATCCAAGACACTTCACAAAAGTTACAGCACAAAGCACAACCACCAAATATGTCGACACCACTCACCCTCTCCTTCGAGGCAATTGACGACCTCATCTACGACGCCCGCTCAGGCGATCTGGAAGCCCTCAAAGCAGATCTCGCCAGCCAGAGTAAAGAGCACAACCGCCCAGAGGCCTGGATCATCGCCTCGGCCATCGACGCAGAGCCCGAGGCTGAGGGCGGCACGGGCTCATGCCTGCTGCACTTCCCCGCTGCGAATGGAAACAATGGTATGTCGTGTCCCCGTGCTTCTTTCTTGAGCGCGCGTTCATTACTGACCCGAGACAGAAATCCTCACTTATCTCCTGACCGCCTTGACGGCCAAGTCTGAGTCGCCGCTGTCCGCGGCACAGATCGTAGCGGTGGTCAACCACCGCAATCACTCCGGGAACACACCGCTGCACTGGGCTGCGCTGAACACGCATCTGGAGTGCGTGAAGGCGCTGGTCGAGGCCGGGGCGGACATCTCGATTAAGAACGATGCGGGTCTCGATGCGGTGTTTCTGGCTGAGCGCACGGCTTGGTCGACTGAGGAGGAAGGTAAGGGCGCTGCTGAGGGGGCCGAGGAGGAGGAGGAGGTCGAGATCGAGGTTGGAGGGGAGGCTGAGGCTGGAGAGGAGGGTCGTGGGGAGATGTCCAAGGGCCGACAGGTTGTGGAGTGGTTGCTGAGCTCTGACAAGGCGGGTGAGTTGGAAAGTGGTGTTGGTGGTGCTGAGGCGTCTGCGTCTGCACCTGCTGCACCTGCGTCTGGGGAGGCGATGGATGTGGATGAAAAGAAATGATCTCGATGACGGGGTTGTTTGCCATTTTCTTTCTTTATTCCTTGTTACGAATACCATTAGACAAAAGTTGTGAAAGTTGGAATATGTTCATGTTCATTGTATCTATCTAGTTCTAATTCGGATCATGACTGGTCATGTCAAGAACATCGGTCACATTATGTACTTTCAATCGCGCCTCACTTTCCGAGGTTCCCCTGGATGACTATCGACTCGACTCTGAGCGACTAACCGAGAAGCGGGACTCGAAAATGATCCTTCCATCTGGACTCCCTTTCCATTCCTGATTTCTTGAACCTTCATGTCAAGTCCAACCCGGAATCGTCGGTCGCGCCAGACGACGGTCACTCCGCCATAGAACGCCCAAACCCAGATCGGAAAAGCATGCATCTCTCGCCCCAGCCATGCCGCAAACCAATGGAGGAAGGACCGCCTCGTCCGCTGACGGACCGGTGGTCGTGCAAAGCACGGCGTGTCCTCGTCGAGCTCGACGGTTTTCGCTGAGTGTAGTTTGATATACAAGGTCCAATCGATCAATGCCCAAGTGACGATGCTCAGAGAGAAGAGTGCCAAAAACGCGGTCCACGAGGTCAGGTAACTGGCCCACCCAAAGCCATTGCGCTGCAGGAAGTGAGCAAGAGAAGTTGTGACTCCCCATGCTCCATACAGAGAACAGACGATCGACTCCGTACCCGGCTCAACTAGAGTCGCAAGCAGAACCGTGAACTTGCGCACACGTAGCCACCGGACTCGACGTGCGATGTAGGCCTGGACACTCATGTTTGCGACGGGCTGAATGGCAAGATCGCCAAAGACCATACCATGTTTGCCCCAGCGCTCTCCTGATTCCGTTTCCTCGCGGACTTGTCTTTTCCACAACAAATCTCCAATCAGATGATCCTCGCATATGTTGTCGGAGAAGTAGTCAATCCCAGGATGGCGCGGCCGCGGATCAGTAGGCGATGGTTTGGTCAATTCATCAAGGTGGGAACGGCGAAACATATTCGATTTACCGACAATGCACGGGGCAATGAGGACGGTGTTGATGGCAGTGTACATCTTTGCATGAGAAGAGGACAGGAACAGTTCTTCTAGGCGACCACCCCCGGTCGCAAGGCAGCCAACCTCGCCATGCTGTTCTCTTATCAACGCTGCTGCTTCGTTTCTTTCCGGAATAGCATCGCCTTCATCGTGCGCTTGCAAGAAAGCTTCCCGCTGCTCTCGCAGGCCAATCGTCCCCGTCACATCCACAGCAATGGGCAAGTGGTGCACAAACTTGTACTTCTTCCCTTGTTTGCCCCCTAGCCCGCACAGTCTGTCCACCATCCGGCCGCAGACTCCTTGTCCCACCCACACGTTGCAGTCGATGATCCAGACCAGATCACCCTTGGCTTCTCTGTACGCACGGCTCATATTGCGTATCTTGGGATTGGGGCCCAGGTCGTAGTTGGCCTTATTATGGGGCTGGAGTAACGGGTCTTCCTCCTCGATGTAGATGCGCGCATCGCGATGCGGATAATCCTCCAAAAGTTTCTGCAGGGTTGGGAAGGCGGGGTCGGCCTGCGATGAGATGCAGAAATACACGGTCAATTTATCGCGGGGATAATCCTGCTCGAACGTCGCAGCCAGACAGTCGTAGAGATGTGGTTCAAGGCCCTTGACGGGGCGGATGGCGGTGACATGAGGGGCATCGGTGGAGGAGGCTGAATGGGATTGTTGAGGTTTCTGCAAAAAATGTCTCCATCTATCAAAAGTATATCGTTAGCTGGGGTCGGATTTATCAGCAATTGAGAGGAGAATACATTTGATAATATCCCAGGAGACAGACAGTGAACACGACGGTGTACCAGATCAGACAGATCCAACCTAGCGCGGTCGACCACGCGAATTCGCCATGTCTGACGGCGAATCCGATATCGAAGCGACTCAAATACGACTGAAGCTCTGTCATGGGCGGAGACGCTGAAGGAGAGATGATTGAGAGAGGACGCAGACGTTCAGCGAGGACATTCTATTTGAAAACCGGCGGTGGTGGAAGAACGAAACGTTCCAGCCGTCGGCTGTCAGCACACTTGAAGGTCAATCGCGCTCATCAAACTGAGCAACAAACAACAGGGATTACCACCGGCTTGCATGACGATTATTATTGGAGAAGCATACTGAGAAAGATGGACCTAGCAAAAAAGCTAGTCTGGCAGTAATTCCAGTCGGATGAAACGGATCCTCCCGTGTGGATTGGACTATTTAAGGGTAGCCAAGGGAAACGGACTCAGCCTCAAATACAGCTCGGGCCTCAAGTTGAATCAGTGAACGATTATTGCATTGCAACTGGCAGGGTAGATGGCTAGATAATTATTGGGAGAAGTCTTTTGAACGTTAATGTGCATTAATTTGTAGTATGTTGTGATTATCCCTCTAGTGTGAGGTACAGAGCCCTGTTGCATTGTCCATCTCAAACCGAGCTATGCAGATAGCTCGAGGACGCTATAATTTACGATGTAACTGTTTGCGAGTACCTATCTCGATAGTCTTCAGCATCAATCGCTTCAAGTGATTTCCCCAATGCCTTGCTGACCCCGGTCACCACCGTCGTGGCGACGAAAAAACAGATCAACCAAACTCCAGAATCGCCGACCTATGCAGAATAAAACAATACGAAACTCATATTTTCTTCTTCTTGCGGATCAGGCTGGCGTTGAGCACATTGACTCCTAGTGTCTGACCTGAAGCAGCCACAGGTGTAGCCTCCTCAGTTGGCGTAGGAAGACTTTCCTCCTGACTCTCCTTGGGCTTGTCGCTTCCCGTCTCGGCCTTCTTGCGTTTTCGAACCAGTCCAGTGGCGAGGAGAGTATTGGTTTCAGGTGTCTTTTGTATGGACTCTGTTGCGGTATTCCGCCCTTCAACCTGCTGGCCCACCCAGAGTTGATCGGCAAGAGAAGCCAGCTTCTGGCTCCATGCATTGGTGCTGGCGATGGCTTTTTCTTTGGTGTCATAGTCTTGATCGAGAAGAAAATTGATGGCCGTCTTGTAGTCCTCGTCGCTCAGGACGGCATGTCCTCGACCTGAGTCTGGCCAGAAAAAGGCGCTGGGGCCAGTGGCTTGCTGCAGCTTGGATATGCTATCGGATTTCGAATCAGCCACATGGGGCACCGGTGGCGCCTGAGGTTCGGCCGTAGAATGGATGCCGGAAGATGATTTGGGAGTATCCTCCTTGCCAAGTGCCTCCTTGTCTTCTTGACCATCTTGACCGGCCAAATGCTTCTCGCTCGATGTTGCCGGCTCTGTAGTTTCAGAAGTGATTTTCGCCGCATCCCGAGACACAATCCGAGAACTGGCCATTTGAACTGAGTTGACGAGCCCCGGCGGATTGATGACCAGCCACAAGAACCCGACCAACCGGCCGGCTGAGCACTCTTGCCGAAAGGACATCATCTCCCAGAACTGCGCGAGAGACTTGACACTCCGCCACTGACCAGGATCCTGTTTCGAGCCTTCCAACCCCGCCGAGTCAGGTAGCTCGTCATCCAAATCGATCAAGAAGCGTGTCTTCGGGTCATCAGGGAAGCGAGGAACCAAGCACCGCGGCGGCGCGTTGGGATTGTCGCAGATCTGATGGAGAGGGTAGCTGTTCAACCACCGGGGACGCTCCTTATCGTCCGACTTTGCTGTGTTGGGGAAGAAGCCTCTGGTTTCGAACTTATCGCATCCTGGGACGATTAGAAACGCGGTTGCTGAGCTCTTGGCCGACTCCTTGGTCTGGTCGAGCAATCCCTTTTCCTTGGAACCTGTCTCGGGCTCATACTCCCGTAGGATAGGATCAACGACACGGCACCACCATTTGATCAACCCACGGTCATCCAGAACGTGCTTCTCCGGGTTCTCAATGCTCCCAGGAAACAGATACTGATTCTGAGCACGAGCAAACAACGATACCATCAGCCGCACCCCTGGCCGTTGGCGTGTTTGCACAAGAAACGAGAGGAAAGCATTTGATATGAGTCTGAGAAGTGAGACCTTGGGCGCATTCTTCAGCAGGTGCAAGTAGCCAGTCGAATCGGCCTTGGACACAAATATCGTAGTAAGATGTGCGGTACCGTAAACGTGCACTTCAATGCCAAAAACGATCACCTCAGAGTCGTCATCGTCATCGGAAATGATTGAGACCGAAAGAAAGTGATTCTCGCAGAAAGTAGACTCGGGTTCCTCTCCCGGTGGAGCTGCAAAGAGAGCTACACATGGGTTTGGGGCCGACGAGACGTGGCGGATGGTAACCTTGACTCCGGTGGGGAGCACCCTGGCCAAGAGATCCCCCAGATCGGCATCAACGTTGGCCATTTGAGCTGCTGCAAGCTCGTGTGTAGAGAAAGAAGTCTATGAAGAGAAATAGGCGTGTGTTCCTTTGCTCACTTCTTCTTAACTGTGAGCTTCATCTTCGAGGCGCGTTCCAATCCACGGGCGCGTCACGTGCTTTTCAGCCTGGTTTTTCAGTAAGAGAAGAATCATTCACTCTATATTGGGACTATGGGAAGGATGAAGCCGTTTTTACGCTTGATGGGTATATTCAAGTAATCATAGCTTTATATAACACGTGCTCTGTGACTTGCTTCACACTGGTTCTATTATTGATGACATATTAACCAAACAAGTAATTGTATATGGACACTCGCAGAGGGGGGTCTAGCCAGGGGGTCATATATGGGACTTATCCACAGTGAGGTTTGAGTAAGGCCATCAAAAGTAGCTCGCTGCAGCATCGAGATCGTCCACGTTCAAGAGAGCAACACCCTCTCGGAGTAGTGTTCTCCAAACCAGATTGCGCGTTCTAATAGGATAATTGGGCGTCTCCCAGTATCTGGCGCCAATGCCCCTTTTCTTAGCCGTAGCAATCTGTGATCTGAGAGTGCTAAGCTGCTCATCATTTAGAACAGGCTCGGTATCGCTAAGGGTGACCTTGCCGATTGCGTCCGCAAAACTTGTAGACGCGATGGGTGAGATCAGACCTGTGATGTCGGCATTCTCAGGCTCGTTCAAGGACTCCAGGTGCGCGTCGTAGAAGTAGTCCCGATTTGCAATAGGCCCGACCATGTCAAAGGGTGTGTTGCCCGTGCCGATTACAGTGATAGGTCCGTTAGTGATGGTCTTATTATTCTCAAGAGTTGTCAGATACCCGCGCTCGCGGAGTGGCTTCAGGGCAGAAATGACAGCCTGGAAGGTTTCAGGCCCGGAGGTCTTTATGTCAATGTAGAAGTAAAGGGTCTGAGAAACAGCCGTGTCGAATACGCCGCTGATGCAAGATTATCAGTGCCTGTATATCTCTAGATGCCAGAAGGATGACCTACTTCTTAGTTGGGGAAGTCAAAAAGCGTGATTGAGGGTTCTGGCGCCTGAGAACATCGAGCATAGGGTTGATATACAATGATTCGAGGGTCCGTGTTTCTGTCAAAGAGGACTCGTCATGGCCAACCTGCTCTTTATTAGTTCTCCATGTCATCAAGGGTGTCTTAAAGATGTGCTGACATAGAGTGTGCCATTGTACAGCCACACATCTGCCTCCGTCGAGACGCACCCCCTTGACAAGCCTTTACAGAAGTTAGTTCTAACAATTCCATTCAATCGGAATGCGTTGCAGATATTCTCACCAGAATAGAAGGGTATGTCTCTCCAATAATCGCTGTATTGGCGGTTAGTCAAGTGAAACCCCCAACGCTATCAGCAGGCAAAACATACTTATGCGAATGTACTGGGATCTAACATCTCATCAGCACTGGTTACAACTGTCCGACTCCCCTTGGTATTCGAGAGAGGGACCACAGGGTGAAAGTCATCACACCGTTCACGCATAAACTTACAGGAATAATGCCTCTTGTCAAGTCCGTAGGATACCCATATTCCTGACTTTTGTGCGTGTTATCGAGGATGTTTTGAAGATCCGTTTGCAGTCCAAATACAGTAACCGGCAATGCGAGGATAACCAGAGACGCCGTGGCAAGCAGCGATCGTGACAGTAAGACCATGTTTGTCTGCGGATTCGATATAATTACGCTCTCAAGGATATTTAAAATGTTTCGGAACACGAACAAAAGTTAAGGATACTGAGAAAAATCACCCTGACATAAGAATGGCCGTCTTTTAAACAATGATGGTCGAGAAGATCGGCCACCGCCAAGGTTGGATGCCAGAAGAAGAATTGGGCCAATCCTTGTCTCACGTGGAGCACAACAAGATCAATAAGGCTGAGATCAAAAACAATACAAGGCTGGGAGGATAGGAGCGAGCTACAAGTAGTTTCCATCAAGGGCAAAAAGATTCGCTCGTGCCCGCTATATTCGCTGGCAGTGCAGCTAGGCAAGAGATGGCATGGATAAGTCATAGATACACGGTAAGTGGCTTCCACACCACACATAAGGACAGGAAATCTACTAAACCATGGTGCCGGATCATTTCATTTATGCAAACGCCAGTCATGTATCATAATGCGAACGGCACTTGAGAAGAAACCCATGTCATTGAAGAAAGAAAAACGGAAAACCCCAGGTATCCCGGCTGGGATCAAACGGAAAGGATATTGAAGTCTCTATGCTCTAAACTTCCCGAACCGACGGTGGTAGCGGCCCATTCTGAGAGTCCTGAGTGTTGCTACGCCGAAGACTCAGATTACCTATGCGCTGCACCAGGTTGCTCCCAACCGCATCAACCGCGCCTTTAGGAGCAAGTAAGGTGGGACCTTGAGCGGCGGCCTCCTGCACCCTGAAGAGCTTGATTCCTGTTCCGTTCCAGACACCAACGGTGCCAGGTGTAGCTCCCGATGCCGTGCCAACCACCATTTCGCTTGAAAAGATGAAGCCCCAGAGTAACGATTCATACCAGCCTAAAGATAGCGCTGACCATTCAAAAGAATGCACTCGTACCGGCGAGGGTTCTGACAGGATGTTCTGAATCGTTGGTTCCTCTGCAAACGAAGGTAAATTGGTTATTAATGTCCGAGCCTCGGGGCTCGACGCCGACTGGAAAACAGAGTCAGGAATATGGGGAGCGATCGCCGAAATGATAGTAAGGATTGTATGAAGAGGAAGCTCAGGTAGCCATGACTCCAACTGGGGGTATGCGAGTTAGAACCATCCACAAAAAAAAATATTGGTGATGTTTGTGGAGAGGACTCACCCAAGCAGTGGTTGGCGTAAAGCCGTTTGAATTCAAAAAAATAGCAGACATGCTACTTTGACTGGTAATGCTGTTTTGTCTTGAGAAAGATGGTTGGCCAGCAGGCATCTTGCCCCTGGCCTTTTCAGACATCCCCCGGAGCTGTAATGGAACGCTTTCGTCAACAGCCGACGACGTTGAGGGCCTTCTGGAGGCCTGCAGAGAAGGGGAACGGTGCGACGGCGTATTTTCTCCGTCTCGCTCATCATCAGAGTCATCACCACCAATGGCAAACGGGCTGTTCTCTTCCGGAATACGGGTCAACGGCGATCGAGCACCGGACGAGACGTGGGGATCCTCCTCGACTGGGGGGAATGTTGGGCTTGACGATGGGTCATGGGTTGCGTGTCTGGCCTTTCTTCTCTCATTCTGGCGTTCAATTTCCTGTTGTCCACTCTCGAGTGTAAAGGCCCTCACAGCTTCAAACCGGTTCCTGTATTTGAGTATGGCATACACTAGGAACGAATTTTCTGGGACAGTTAGCACTGCAGGAACAGCGCAATTGACAAAGCATTTTTGACTTACTGGTAAACTGATGTTCAAGGACAGAATTCATAGATTCAAGTACCGACGCGAGAAGTGCATGATTCGTTTCGTTTGCCAGAAGGAAGCTGGGGGCAGACATGGACGAGAAAAGCTGTAAGAGTCTTGAGCACGTGGCAGGTGAAAGATGCTCCAAGTAAGGAGCCACATTGTTGATTATAGCTAATAGCGCTGGATAGACAGCATTCAACTTGCCTTTGCTTGCAGTAAGCAAAGTATGGATGGACTAGGCACATTAGTAGCTTTTCGTGTATGGTCGTAAGCGGGAGCCAAACCATAACCAAATAATCCCCAAAAGTCCCTCTGAAGCCAGGAATACGTATGCTTTGGGGTAGCGTGTCCTGGGCTTCGAAGTCTAAGTTGAGACTCTTCCCAAAGTTGGGTTCAACACTCATTGTCTGCAAGATAAAAATGCACATTCTAACCACACCTTGCTTCGAAGGATCAGACTTGTACTCAATTGCATAAAATATGCAGAGAATGACAAAATCATGTGAGCGGTTAGAATCGATGATGAAAGACCTGAACCGCTTGTTGCATTGCAATGCTTCCCAGAACAACATCAGCATTTCAGGTGCCCATTTGACGGACTTTTGACTGCCTGGGAGATATGAATTGGTCGCTTGCATCTGGAAAGATCGTCAGAACAAGACAAAGTACATTGCTTCCAGAAAGTAGACATACGGGTTGATTCAGAATTCTGGTCATGCCATCGACAAGAAATTGGAAGTCTTGCGGTCTGTGAAGCCGACCAAAGTAATGGCGATAGTAGTTCTTCGGTGGGGTTCCACGACCATCCTCTGGAATGGGATATAAGAGAAGCACGAGCAGGAGCTGGAGGCAGTATATCACCAAAATTTGCTTGGAATCTTTCCATACAACATGGTCATAGGGAACTCTCCAGGATGCCGGATTATACTTGATCGCCTATGTGCAAAGGTCAATGATTGAGCGCGTAAGACGGGTAATAACAGCAAACATACCGTGTTCAATAGCGAGCACAGCAACGTGAGAACAGCCTGCTTGTCAGAGCAAGTCGTTATGTATGTGATGGCTTTTACGCCCTGAACAGGCAGAAGACCTGGGACTGTCAGCTCCGAATCTCGTATTGGAAGGCCTTGAAGCAGCAAGCACTTACTTGATGGCATGTACATGGCTCTTCCGGTCAGCGTGAGCAAGAGCCGCAAAACCTCGCAGCGGTTGCTCTCAAGCTCTTTGGTAGAGCCCATGGAGCTGTTGCAACCGACGCCACTCTGCCAGATCGAGTATGAGATCTTGTCTTTGGCTGATGGAATACTAGGAATTGTGAAGTCCGCGTAGAATAGAAAGTCAACCAGAGTGTCAATCAGCTCCTCAGCCAAAGGCTTCACCTCTTCATATTCGCTGGCTCGAGACAACTCGTCTTGTGGACCTTCAGCTTGCGCCTCGTCGAACAGCACCTCAGCTGCAACCTGAGCCTGCCTGGTCTTCTTCCTGCGACGACCCCAAAAGAATTTCTCTTCCCATTCTTCGAGGTGCTCCGCCTCGTAAACAAAGGGGAGGATGCGGGTAAGGATGCGGATACAGTTGAGGGCATCCCGTTCGGGCGCGATTTCTGGGTCCGGGAAAGATGGATGGTTCTTCAAGATGATGAGACGAGATGTTACTGAAAGTAACAACGTTTCGAAATTCGAGAGTGCGTTATCGCGCGTTCGCCGTATGTCTGCGGGGGTGAACAGACTGAAGACATCCTCTGTTGATTCTGGGAGCTCCCAGAACTAGAAAAAGAAATGTCAGCAGAAGGAACAAGCAAAGGATCGGATCTTGAGGGAAAAGGACAGACTCTAGCCCAGTAAGGATCATCAGCAGGAATGTCCTTCTCTTCTGAGAGGCGAAAGATTCCCTGCTTGAAGACCAACTTCGACTCCGAGGCTCCCATCGTGAAGCGACGCCAGCGCGGATTTACAAAACTCGTGATTTCATAGAGCGAGAAGATATAGCCGGGTTAGTTTGATCTTCATATACTGCCCAGTCTAATAAGATCCCTTCCTTATAAATTGCAAAGAAGGGGGGTGCCGTGTGTGAACAAGCTGGCTGTAAGTTGATGTTGGGGTTCTTTGGGTCCGTCAATGCGGGAAGCTACCTTTTAGGTGCAACGGAGTCTCGGCGATCTATCTTGGGGTGGTAAGTAGAGCTTCACTCCAACCCAGATAAGCCGGCTACATACACCAGAGACATTTGCCGTGGAAATTACATGCTCAAGCCTGCATAATTATTGTAAACAATTCAAAGCTCTGTATCAAGGTAAAATATCAAAACGCTCAGTCTAGAAAGCTTGCTTTACACACTCCAACCCCGTCACAAGTCCACCAACGCCAACCCAGAAGAACTATAGACTACCGTTACTGGCAGACAGCCGCCTGCTCCTTTCGTACAGCCACTTATTGCTTAGCCCCAGGTTCACACGCTTGCCCCCAACGGGAGAAGGGCTTGCCGGTCCTATGCTAGATTCGCCGAAGAGCGAACTGCGACTAAGCGACGACGACCCAAAGCTTGGTCGTCGTCCGTTGTCTCTGTTTCCGTTCGAAACGGCTTTGTAGAGAAGAGGGCTTGTGGAAGGCGAAAACGATGCTCCAGCCGATGGCCTACGCCCTGAGAGACCAGTGCTCACAGAGAGAGCGGACGATGGGCCTTTGCTCGCGCTCGCCGGACTTGCTGTTCGCGAGGCAGAAAGTCGATATCTCGGTGGAGTAATGTATGTGGTCCCTGGTGTGAGTGGTGGTGTAGCGGAAGGGTCAAGTCCAAGCAGTGAACGCTGCGTAGGAGTCAATGGAATATCGGAGATGGTATCTTTCGGCCGGAAAAGAGGGTATAGCGCGATAAGAATGTTCAAGGCAAGGACGAGCTGCAGGGCCAGCAGTGCAAGCTCCGGGTACGCAGGATATTCGCTCGAATTTTGCAGACGAAGCGAGCTGCCATCCACCAGTCAGAATGATCGGAAGATCATGGGACTCGAACACACGTAGTTCATCACTTACTATGATCTAACTGTATTCCCGAAAAACCAGGTCGCAACCAAGGCGCCCCCATTCCACATGAGCTTCCTGACGTTGCGGTCCCCAAACGTCCCGGCATTCTGTCGCCTTACAACCTCATTAAGATAAGGATGGCGCCACTTTCCAGGCGTGCGGGCATCCTCAGATGCAGGAGCGGGCGCAGATGCGGCCTTTGGTGTCGATGGAGCAGATTGAAATGCCATTGAATTCCGCTGATGGGAGGGGCGAATAAAAGAGAGAATAGAAGGAAAAGGATTCTGGCAAAGGTGAGGATCCAGACACTGAATACTCAGGAACAGCACGAGCACTTACCTAGAATGAGAAGCTATGGGGGTGGAACTTACCTATGCGATTATGTGGGAGATGAAATCAGACGGACATTTGTGTCGTAGATTTAACCGTCTCAATAGTCAATCAAGGCCATAACCAGGGATATGTCTCGAGTTTTCTGCAAGGTTGTCGCTTGTGCCTGGTGGAAACGGACAATGACTGTTATGGTTGTTGTGGTGAGTAGGTCGATAGATATCTGCCTCGATAATAACAATAATTGCTCACAGGCAACAGACGCCTTTGCCGCGAAGTTTTCTGGTCCCCCTGTAGGTGGGTAAACGCGCCGGATTAACCGCTTGGCTTCTTCGGTCCGTTCCCCACATCCAGAGCAGCCGCTCCGGAGTTATAGCCAGCTAAGCCCCCTCACGTCATTTCGCTGCTTCGTCTCACGATGATTGCTCATCCCCAGAAAAACTGAGAAATATCTTCACAGTGCTGGCCATAGAACGCTAATCATTCAATCATGGCTGCGGAATCGTCGGTTTTGGCGAGTCTGGATTCCTTGGTCGCGGAGACTCTGGCGGACTGGGATATTTACACGACATTGATCGCAGGTGCCCTTGTTACTTTCGCATTATACTCTTTTTTGTCATCGAAAGAACCTGATATTCACCCTTTTCTGCTTGCTCGCCAATCTACCCCTTTTTTGGTACGCCAGCCCGGAGAATCTGCAACATATAGAAGTCTTGAGACCCCACATGGATTCCCTCTTAGATCGGGATTAAACGTCAAGGATGCCGGCGCTCCCAAATGGACAAGTGGAAGACGGGGTGATCTGCGCGATATCTGGAGGGCCGCCGTTCGTGGTGCCGTCTCAGAAGACGGCACGGTTACTGGACAGCAGGGCAAAATCTATACAGTGCTTGGAAAGAAAGCCGTGGAACACTCCTTGGATCAGGTCACGCAGGAAATCAATGTCATTGGCAATCGTTTGCAGGAGCACAATGTGAAATCGGTTGCTATCTGTCTAACTGACTCCGTTGAGCTTCTGGCTACCATATTTGGTTTGTACTTATGTGGTCCTTAGATGGATCCTCACAGCTAATTGATTTCTGCTTAGCCGGCGCATTCTATAACTTCAAGACCACCATCATCCCTCACAACCTCGAACCACAGGCGCTTTCTATCCTGTTAGAACAGGCACAAGCAGAGGTTTTGATAGCCGAGGCTGGTGCTCTGGATTTGTCGCTGGTAGCCAAGAACAACAAGCAGCTCTCCCAGGTAATCTGGGTCGCGAAGATCGGTAGCCGTCACATGGACTGGAATTATGTCCCCGAGGACGTCCGGGGCACTCTTCAGGTTGCTGTATGGCATGAATTAGTTGACGAAAAGAAAGACCTGGCAGGCTTTAATGTTCCAACCTGGGACCCTAACTCCGCAACACCTTCTGTGACTACTGTATGGCCGAGCAAGTCGGGAGACGGAGATTTGATTGAATATCAACCCCAGGTACGTTCTCTTTCGTGATTCTGGTGCTCTCCGTGACAGTCAACTAAACTTCTTTAGAATCTCGTGGCTGGTGTCGCTGGCTTGATCTATTCTTTGCCTCGAACCCAGAGATTCAGTGGTAGTGACTTGGTACTCTCTATTGATTCCCTGTCTCGCTCATATCCGCTGTGTCAAATTATGGGTGCCTTGTTTTCGAATGCCTCCATTGCTTTGAACTCTGTTGCCGGAGAGGGCGTTGACTTCGCCCTGGCCACAGTTGGAGTTTCGCCAACGGTTCTTGTTGCCTCATCTCACACCATGTCCAACTACCATAATAAGTACATGGAACCGCATTCTGGAGTTTTCACATCAATCATGCGCTGGCTGCAGCTGCGTAAATTGGATGCTGGGGTGATGCCATCGCACGGCTTGCTGAGCCAAGTTGCCAGCATCGGACCTACTGCCGAACTTTCGCTCGAGAAGCTCCGCCTTTTATGTATCTCGCAACGGGTGGATGCCGACCCGGCAGTTCGCCTGACGTCGGCTCAGTTGACAGATTTCCGAGTTTTCTTGGGCGCTCGCGTTGTGTACGCCCTGACGGGTCCAGGAGTGGCAGGCGCTGTGTCGCAAACCAATGTTTTCGATTACCGACGCTTCCCAGGACCGAGCCATTTCGGAGCTCCACTGAGTTCTGTGGAGGTCCTATTGACTGGCGTGTCCGATGAGAACCCAACCCAGGGACAGGTAAACATGGTGCCATTCTTGTATAGATTGCTGGTGGCTAACTGCTTTGAAATAGATAACCGTCACCGGCCCCGCTGTTGTCTCTGGCAAGACCACGCTGTCGTTGGGAGGCCGCATTCGCGAGGACAATACATTGGAACTTTCCCCTTAAAAAACCTCTATCATGGATAGCGCATTGACTGAGCGTACATAACAAGCGTTGCCTGCTGGTTGATGGGCTAAGGGACCAACACAATTAACGAGTCAAATTGCTTATGCTTTGAGACCATTGGATCTTGCATGCTGCAGTTCATAATATAGCATCGATTTTCAAATACAAGACTGATCCGAATCTAAAAGTGGTAATATACATAGTGTCATGGAGACGTCGACGACCAGTAAATATAATCAACGCTAACGCAGAAGCTGGCTTTGCTGAAAACCCAGCGTTGGTTTTTGCTGAACCTTCTCCGGTGCCATCTTCTTCTGATTTGCAATCAGCATGCCGAGCTCGTTCACATGTGTCTTAAGGCCACTCGCGACGGATTTTTCGTTCGCAACTCCCTCGACCTCAAGGGAGAGCTTCATTGCGTTGTAGATAGGCACGTTCTCCTGGAGCATGAAGTCGACCGCGACCCAGTCCTTAACGTCGCGGCTGAAGTTACCGAACCGCCAGGTTGCGAGGAGTCTCTGAGCATAGGTGAGGACGTCGCCAGTCTCATCCTTTCCTCCGAATTCATTCACGGCACGAGCGGCACTCAGCTCAAGTAGAGTGCCGACGACGAATGGCTTCCGCTTGGGATCTTGTTCAATATTGCGCTCCATATGCTCTGGGGCCTCCATCAGAGCAACGAACTGCTTAGCCAGGCTGAGCGCCTTGCTGACTGCGGGATCCTTGAATTCCCCCATCTGTGCTTTGCGGTGAAGCTCAAAGAATATACGCTGCACAATTCCCACGTTGTTGAGTCGCAGGCCCGTTCGGGAAGTCTGCTTGGCACACTCGAGGATGATGCCGAGTGCATCAGCCTCACCGGCTTTACGCACCAACCACTCCCAGCGCTCGGTCTCGATGGTTCTGTGCGACATCCGTAGTCCGGCAAGGAAGGGTAGAAGGTTCTGCCAATCCTTCTTGGTCTTCATGAGGGAGATGACGTCCTTGATCTCTTTCTTCGACGGTCTTGACTGCGGGTCCATCGGCCGGAGGTGGAAAGGTTCATCGGACTCGCCAACGTATACGGTCACGGGCTCCTGCTCGAGCTTGTCTGCATATTTCTGTCGGAACATCAACCTTCTTTGCTCTGTGTTCAGCCCAAAAGGTATGAAGAGCTCTTCTCGGAAACGGTTGAGGGCCTGGTCCAATTCGGCGGAGGATGTCGGTGGGAATGAAGGAACTGCGACACTTCAGCAACTCTCCTTTTTCAGAGACTCTTTGTATACGTAGCACTCAGGAGGTCCTATTTACCATTTTTCGAGTAGGAGCGCTTCTGTGCAAAAGAACCAATTGATTGACGCAAAGTCCTGGAAGTCTGGCAGCGGAAGAGCCTGCCAACGGCGCTGTGCGCCATTTTGCTCGGTGGAGGATGGGTATTAGGTGATGGTGTAATTGAGCCCACCTCCGGTGAATGAAGCCTGATGGCAAAGTCGAAATTAATAACAAAGTCGGGCGTGAGATGCGATAGCAACCAAGACTTATTTGCTGAAGACAAAAAAGTCCCCGGACATTCGAACTCTTGGAGTTGTCCCGAATGGGCAATTCGAGGCTTGGCGGAAATTCTGCCGGGCCGGATCAACCTCCGATAGTGAGAAGTTCGCGATCGCTTCATGATCCCCTTCTCTATCAACGAACCGCCCATTGCACTTGAGGCTCATACACATGGCGGCCTTCTCCCCAATACTGCGGCAGCTGGGCTGCTCGAAGTCGATTTTTAAGACCGAAGGATTGCTACGACCCCAGCTTAGTCGAACCCTCACCACCGTGTACTCGCCGAAGCCAGAGCCTGCACCTCTTCCCGCCAAACTGCCCAAGGCGTTTGCTTCACAACTACCCACCCGATTGCAGCCAAATAATGGTAATTGCGTCTTCAATTCCTGACTTGAATCCTGATTCTGACGCAGCATCTACTACAGGGCGCAAGAAGCTCAAGATCTACCCTCCGCCGCCATCACCTCGGGCAAACTGCAAAGACCCCGTGGCGGCCTTGACAGAATCCCAGTTAGCCTCACTTGACCCTACCGGTGAGCGCCGAGCTCTGTTCGACTACCGGAGGAACCCCCGAAGTGTGAAGGTCGGCGACATTTTGCGTGTGACATTCAAGAATGGAGACCCCTTCTCGGGTGTTTGCTTGAGCATCCGTTTACGAGGCATTGATACCTCGTTTTTGCTGCGCAATGAGCTCACGAGAGTGGGAGTGGAAATGGCTGTGAAGGTCTTCAGTCCCAACGTGGACAGCGTGGAGATCGTACAGAGAACGGAGAAGAGGAAGAGAAGGGCGAGGTTGTACTACATGAGGTGCGTATTCCACAAAGGAGCCGGTTTTTCAGTGCGGATGTATCGCAGCAAATTTGCTAATGTCAACTCTTTCGATCTTCTAGAAAGCCCAGACACGATATGGGCAGTGTCGAGAACATTGTGTCGAACTATCTTCGCCAGAAGTCGGTTCTCACTGGTCAACGCTCGGCCCGGGGACGGAAGCAGAGACGCTGAATCGAAACATATTTTCTGTCGTTTTGAGATTTGGCGAGTGTATTATTACTTGTACATGGGTTTTTGGGATTCGGCTTTTGTCCGCATACAAAGTGAGGTCGGCATAGAAATCAATCGATATCAGCATATTACCGCTCTCACTCAGAGAAGCACCGCTTCGTTGAAGATCACACATTGGCTCTTTAGACTTTCCCCAATGGTCCACTATTGAAAATGGCAGATGCTCTTTTTTGCCATGTCTGGCACGGAATAAATGACAACGAGCCAAACAGCCTCCGCCATACCGATCGCAGAAGAGCCACCGATGTATCTGATTCGAGTCATTTGTCTTGATCCGTCGAACGCAACGTGAGTCAACTGGAGAGAGACACGAGTCAATCGCAGTCGTTGCATGGGCAGTCTTAGATCGTGGATCGGCTCGTAGCCACAACAACTACGTAGGACCCCAAACACCCATGGGTGTAATCCAGCCATGAGAAAGTTCTGGAAGGCGTCATATCTAGATAGCCCATTGAAAAGTGTCTGATCAAACTTGATTGCAGCCGAAGCGGGGGAATTTCCCTGGCAGGATTTCTCGGCGCCAATGCGAAGTCTCTTGGTCGACGCGATCTATTATGGATGAATGGCGCCCAGTCCAATGGAAAATGCTCGCTTAATCGATCGCAAGTGCCTAGAGAGCGGGCAGTGCTCGACACATGGTTAGTTATGCACCGGAGTCCAAGAGTTCCAGACGGAACAAGTCTCAGCTCCTGGAGAGATTCGGCCATTCAAGATGAAGCAACCTGGGTTTGTTCCCCCTTATCCTCCTGCGCTAATTGCAAGAGGCTTTTCTATAGCCTGATGAATCGAGGGACCCCTTCATATCGATCGCAACCTTCGCTCTCATCGCTCTTGTTTTATAAGGATGATGAGCCCACGAGTCTCCGTGCACTGGTGTCTCTAAATACAGGCAACGATGTTGGGTCTCTTCTTCAGACAGGTCTGGACTCTGACCGTCAAGAATCTCCTGATTGTCCTGGTCCGGCCAACCTTCACAACCACGCTCAGAGCTCTAGTTTTACCAGTAATATTCGTAGCTTTTATGTCTGTCGCCTTCGTCCCATTTCCCCTTTGAAAAGGTATCACTGACGGACGGTAGATCTTTTGCGAAGAATCTATTCATCCCCCCTGCCGAGTATGGAATTGGCAGCCCTACCCCTGTTCGCTCTCTAGGAGATGCGCTAGGTGCTGTCTCTGGATCCAGAGATAAAGTGGTCTTTGTCCATAATGGCTTGACCGGTGGTGATATCGAACAAGTCATAAATCGAGTCGCCGAGCCTGTTAGAACCACGCAGAAACAAGTCCAGGTGCTCTCATCTGAAAATGAGCTACGAGAGCTCTGCCGAACTTCGCTACGTGGAGTGTCCTCTTGCGTCGCTGCAGCGGTTTTCTATTCCTCTCCAACTGAAGGACCAGGCGGACACTGGAATTACTCCATCAGAACAGATGGGGCCCTCGGTGTTGGGATCAAGGTCGACCAGAGAGATAATGACCAAGAGACTTACCTTCTCCCTTTCCAGCACTCGATTGACTGGGCCATCGCTCAGGCCAATGCGTCAAGTGAACAGAATGCATTGCCGAACGAAGTATGCTTCCTATGGTCCCTCTACAGCTCGTTTCTTACAAGACTAATGGTGCGATAGCTTCTGGAATACCCGTTTACTTCCTTGACCCAGGCCGAACGCAAAGATCAGATCCGGACTCGGTATATGGGCGCAATTATCGACATTATTGCTGTGGCTATTTTCATCGAAGTGGTGGGAGTCACATACCAACTCACGGGTCTGATTGCGATGGAGCGAGAGCTAGGCATGAGCCAGCTGATCGATTGCATGATGCCTAGCCACTCTCACTGGCAATCCCAAGCTGCCCGTTTCATCTCAGCACATCTGGCGCTAGATATCGTGTACGGTCCAGCATGGGTCATTGCTGGTATCATCCTTAAATACGGGGTCTTTCGCAGGACATCTGCTGGGATTCTAGTCATCTACAATATTTTGGCCGGTCTTTCGTTGGCGTCATTCTCTGTGTTCGGAGCCTCTTTCTTCAGGAAAGCTCAACTCAGTGGTATCTCGATCGTCATCGCTTGCTTGTTACTGGGGGTCATCGCGCAGCTTGCCCCTGCCTCATCAAGTGGAGCAGTCGGAATTCTGAGTCTCCTGTTTCCGCCGATGAATTTTGTCTACTTCTTTGTCCTCATGGCTCGATGGGAGCGACAGAATTTGCCTACGAACCTTGTGCACGCAGCTCCCAATAGTTCGCATTCGATTCCTGGCATTGCCTTTTGGATACTTCTGATTGTTCAGATCATCGTCTACCCTGTCCTTGCCGCTGTCGTTGAGCGGGCACTATACGGCACAACTTCCAAAAGTCGAAAGATACTGAACACCGATGACCCCACCGCCCTAAGTCTGAACGGATTTACTAAGACTTATCGCCCGAGTTGGTTCTATAGAAATGTGGCGTCGCGGTTCGGAAGTACGCGACAGAGCGTGTATGCTGTGAATGACCTTTCCATGAACGTCAGGAAAGGGGAAATCGTTGTACTTCTCGGTGCCAATGGTTCAGGGAAATCCACAACCCTGGACGCCATCTCTGGTCTTACCACAATCTCTTCTGGAAGTATAGATATCAACTATGGCGGCTCGGGCGGAAGATTTGGTCTCTGTCCACAGAAGAATGTTCTCTGGGATACACTCACCGTGAAGGAGCATGTGAAGATATTCAATAAGCTGAAGAGTACCGGAGAAGTGGACAAGGATGACGAGCTATTGAAGCTACTGGATGACTGTGACTTGTCGCACAAAGTGAACGCACGCTCGAAAACACTCTCGGGTGGTCAGAAACGAAAAGTGCAACTGGCCATGATGCTTACTGGCGGCTCATCCATCTGTGCCGTCGACGAAGTGTCCTCTGGGATTGACCCGATTGCCCGCGCCAAGATATGGGATATTCTTTTGGCCGCAAGAGGATCAAGGACGATCCTCCTCACCACCCACTTTCTGGACGAGGCGGATCTTCTTGCTGATCACATCACCATTCTGTCCAAAGGTGTGCTCAGAGCTCAAGGTTCAAGCGTTGAGTTGAAGGATCGATTGGGCTCAGGTTACCGGATTCATGTCCTCAACGTCCCAGGTTCTGAGAAGGTGACTGGTTCTGAGTTCGAGAACATCCCAAAAGAAGTTCATTTCGATGATACCGTCTACACAGTGAAAGATTCCGCAACAGCCTCTCGCCTAATGTCGATGCTAGAACAGAAAGGTATAACAGAATACCGGGTCAGCGGCCCAACAATCGAGGATGTATTCCTTAAAGTCGCCGAGGAGTTGGATTCAAATTCGGTCCATGAGGAGATCAGCGTTGGCCAAAAAGGGACAATTGTTTCTGAAAAGAATGCTACAGATGGTGAACATGGAGGGCTGCAGCTGCTAACTGGCAAGCGCATCAGCATGCTCCTTCAGTCCTGGTATCTGTTTCGCAAAAGGGCTACGATCTTGCGTCGCAACCCAGTTCCGTATCTCGCTGCGCTGCTGATTCCGGTGATTGCGGCTGGTCTCGTTACGCTTTTTTTGAAAGACGCAACGAAGCCCACTTGTTCAGGGGAGAGCACATATCGTGCATCTAGCTCGGAGTCATTGGCGTCGCAGAATAACTTCAAGTTTGTCATAGGGCCTTCAGATATGATAACGCCGTCTGTTCTCGAGAACTTTGTCAGCTCTCTCTCTGGCTTTACTAAGCCCGCCCAGAAAGAGTCCCTAGATGTCGAGTCTCACTTCCACCTTGTGAACAGTCTTGCGGAATTCGACGATTACATTTCCACCAACTATGCCAATGTGACTCCGGGTGGTTTCTATCTGGGAGACACAAACTCTGCTCCCACATTCGCATGGAAAGGCGACAACGGAGAATTCCCATTGTCTGCTTTCGCCCAGAATGCTCTGGATAACATCATCACGGGCACACCCATTCACTTTCAGTTCCAGTACTTCGACATCCCGTGGCAGTCAGGTGCTGGGAAAACCCTACAGCTGATCGTATACTTTGGACTTGCAATGGCAGTTTACCCTGCACTGTTTTCCCTCTATCCTACCGTTGAACAGCTGAAAAATGTTCGAGCATTACACTTCAGCAACGGCGTGAGAGGTGTTTCGCTTTGGCTGGCGTACCTGACATTCGACTTTTGCATTGTCGTCGCATCGAGCGTCCTTGCGATCATCATTTTCAGAGCCGTATCCGATGTTTGGTACCACGCCGAGTATCTATTCGTGGTCTTCTTTCTCTACGGATTGTGCTCGACGATACTTGCGTATGTGGTATCTCTGTTCTCCAAATCTCAACTCGCGGCTTTCGCAATTGCAGCTGGCGGGCAGTGCGTATTATTCTTGATCTACTTCATCGCATATATGTCCGTCTTAACCTATGCGCCGACCCAAAAAGTGGATGATTACCTGCAGGTCACACACTTTACCATTGGTATCATCTCGCCAACAGGAAATCTTCTTCGAGCATTGTTTACTGCCCTCAATACATTCTCGATCTTATGTCGTGGGCGCGAAATTGCCTCATACCCAGGTGAGATCACCCTCTATGGAGGGCCTATCCTCTACCTGATTCTTCAATCTTTGGTTTTGTTTGGGCTACTCCTATGGGTTGACAGAGGGCCAACTTTCTCAATGTTGCGTAGAACCAAGAACAAGGATGAGGAAGAGAAGAACGCTGTCGATGGAGACGTTGCTGCTGAATTGGCACGAGTGGCCGACTCAACCGATGGTCTACGGGTTTTGCACCTTAGCAAGAAGTTCAAGAAATTTGTCGCTGTGGACGATGTGACGTTTGGAGTGCCGAAGTCTCAAGTTTTTGCTCTCTTAGGGCCAAATGGGGCTGGCAAGACGACCACCATCACTCTCATTCGTGGAGACATGCAGCCTTCTGACAATGGAGGGGACATTCTTGTGAATGAGGTTTCTGTGTTGAAGAACCGAGCAGCCGCACGTTCCCACCTCGGAGTTTGTCCACAATTTGATGCAATGGATCAGATGACCGTCATTGAGCATTTGGAGTTCTATGCCCGCATCCGCGGAGTGCCTGATGTGAAGCACAATGTCACGGAAGTCATCCGTGCTGTCGGATTGACCAGCTTCCAGGACCGCATGGCGACAAAACTGTCAGGAGGAAATAAGCGCAAGCTTTCTCTTGGCATTGCATTGATGGGCAATCCCCAGGTCCTCCTGCTCGACGAACCGAGTTCCGGAATGGATGCAGCTTCGAAGCGTGTTATGTGGAAGACACTAGCATCTGTGGTCCCGGGACGCTCCATCGTGCTCACGACTCATTCAATGGAGGAGGCAGACGCTCTAGCGACTCGGGCGGGGATTATGGCTAAACGCATGCTGGCCCTCGGCACTACCGATTACCTGAGGAAGAAGTACGGTAACAAATATCACGTTCATCTTGTCCATTCACGAGCGCCACACACCACAGATGCAGACATGGCCCGTATTCGCGAGTGGGTGCAAGACAGCTTTCCTAGCGCTGTTATTGAGCAGAAGACATACCATGGACAGGTGCGATTCAGTGTCCCTGCAACGGCAGAGATCATCCCGTCAAATGAGAAGAGTATCGAGCGCGACAAAGCCTCCGTCACGGCAGATAAGTTCGGACGTGATGTCAGCGATGAGCCGGATGTTCAACGACAAGAGCCCAAAGCCACCAATAACAACATTGTTAGCAAACTATTCTCGAAATTGGAGCAGGGCAGGGCCCTGCTTGGTATTCAGTACTACTCTGTCAGCCAAACCACTCTCGATCAAGTCTTTCTTACCATTGTTGGGCAGCATCGAGTCGAAGAGGAGAATTCTGGGTAGTTTGCAGCTTTCGTATGCACCTGTCATACTCGGTTTCTTTCACTTGTTTCTACCAATGTGCCGGATCGGCATTTCCTCGTTTTCTGCTTTCCCACTATATGCGGGCTCCCTGCAACTCTTCCATGTATACATTTCAGCTTTAATTTCAGGTATATAGTTTATTTAGACTTGGTTCAATGGTTGAAGCTCGGCTAGGGGCTTTCTCGGCTGAACTTCTCCTCGCTTAACACTCTCGCCGTCTTATCATTACTGCTACCACCGTTTATGACCCCGAATCATCCAGGGAGCGAGTCCCACGCTGGTTAGTATGACTACTAGTTCCTCAGTGCCTCGGGACCTCAGGGTCCCCCCTACCTGCCTGCCTCCACTGCTGATCACTTTCACCGCATCATACGTAGTAAAGGCTTCATCTGCCCGCCCTTCTCTGCTAGACCGATCCATCAGCTAATCCAAGGAAGATCACCACCCACAACTGACACATCGCGTACGCCTCTGGCATGTTTCCACCTATCATCGTCCAGAGGAAACAGCCTCTCTTCCTCGGCCGTTCCCCGGCTGCTTGACTACATCCATGCCATAGGATCACTACCTTGAAACAGCGCTATTTACACCCACATCGACCAATAGACGAAAAAGCCAAGCAGCTATCCATGCGGACTGCGGCGTAATTCCGAACGAATTCTGGGACACCGAAGGATCACTGGAAAGACTCTTAATGTTTGTGGATGTACGCCCCCGCGTCTCCCAAAAAGAGGAGTTCGGTACTCCAGGGTAGCTCCACGACCCCGCAAAATGGTTCGGGAGCAAGGCCGAAGCTAAGAAAGGGATCTGGGGTTGGGGGCCCTTGGGTTGTTCGTGTGGCGCTGGGAATGCCATGGCGTCGTTGATACCTACCTCATTTGGACCCTACGCTTAGACGGATGGTGGACATATGTCACAAGGCATGGTGAGGTGCTGATGGGCTCAGTAGGCGATGGACCCGTCAGTTTGCATTCGGTTGACCTTGTGAGATATGAATACCCGCTGTCTCCAGCCTTCCTTAGCTTCAGGGCCTCGCACTTTTGGTTCTGAGCTTCCAATTTGAAAGATCGCCCTCGAGAAAGTGGGCCAACGGGAGGAATATGAGCAACAACACTTCGGAGCCACAGTATGGCTCCAAAAGCAGTGCTGCCGAGATGCATACTGTCATGCATAGCGAGAACACCCAGGCTGGCACGGCATGGAAGACGACAAAGCCAGCAGACGGTGACACAGCCATGGCGCTCTTCAACGATCCAGACGAGCTTCATGAAGAGATTGACCCAGCGGAGGCGAGAAAAGTGCTGTGGAAGATTGACTTGATGATTCTCCCGTATCTTGCAGTTTGCTATGCATTCTTCTACATTGACAAGGTGTGTCCAATTCTTTGATTAGGCCTTCATGCTTGACATAGGACATAACTCATATATGGCCCACTGCTTAGACCACCCTGAGTTATGCAGCAATATTTGGACTTGTGGACGACCTCGAGCTTCATGGAACGCAGTATAGCTGGCTTAGCAGTATCTTCTACTTTGGTTTCCTGGCTTGGGCATTCCCTACCAACTTCCTGCTGCAGCGTTTGCCAATTGGTACTTGTCCCAGCAAACTCTGTTACTTTAAGTGTCTCATCTAACTTTTTGGCTGATAGGGAAGTACTTGGGCGCTAATATATTTATGTGGTATGTAACCCGGTGCATTCACGAGTGATATTTCCCTTCTTTCAATGGCGGAAAGCTCACATCTACCTCCAGGGGAGTCTTCCTCATGATCCAAGCGGCATGCCATAACTTTACTACGCTTGCCGTTCTTCGAGCTCTAGGAGGTGCCGCAGAAGCGTGCGCCGATCCAGCGTTCATGCTGATCACCAGCATGTTCTACACTCGGAGAGAGCAGCCGGTGCGTATTGGGCTGTGGTATACGGCCAATGGGCTTGGTATCGCACTTGGTGGCCTGCTGGGTTACGGAATTGGCCATATCAAGGGTGCGCTTCCTTCATGGAAGTACGAGTTCATCATCATGTAAGAACAACTTTCCCGCTTCTCCTGATTCGCACCGTGAACTGATCGAGCGGCAGCGGTGCCCTCTGCTCTGCTTGGGGTATCATCATGTTCATCTTCCTCCCCGATTCGCCCGTCTCAGCACCCGGTCTCACCGCACGAGAGCGTCGGATTGCCGTTGAACGGCTGAGGGAGAACCAGACCGGAGTGGAGAACAAGCATCTCAAACCGTATCAGATCCTCGAAGCGTTCATGGACTACAAGCTCTACATCTTCTTCCTTCTGGGATGCGTCAGTAAGTGCTGCCCCCCCACAGCTCTATTATCCACACCTACTCATTCTACAACGCCTAGGCAACATCCCCAACGGCGGGATCTCGAACTTTGGAACCCTGATCATCCAAGGCTTCGGCTTCTCGACTCTAGTAACCACCTTGATGCAGGCACGTATCCCTTCTTCGCCCCAGACCACCCCCATTAAAACTAACAGAACCACACGAGATACCCTACGGCTTCCTCATCGCCATTTCAACCCTCACATGCATCTTCCTCAACGACCGCTTCGAGAACCGCCGCTGCGTGTTCATCCTGATCTTCCTCCTTCCCAACATCGCCGGCGCCTTCGGCCTGCGCTTCGTCCCATTAGACCAGAAAGTCGGCCGTCTGATCTGCTATTATCTAACCGGGCCATACAATGCGGCCTTTGTCTTGATCCTGAGCATGCAGATCGCGAACACAGCCGGTGCGACGACAACCCCCAAACCCCCCCCCATCTTCCCTCTCCATCGCCCGCTGCAACACTAACTCTGAACACAAAAAATTTCGCAGGCCACACAAAGAAAGTCGTCACCAACGCCGTTCTTTTCCTGGGCTATTGTACCGGTAACATTGCAGGCCCCTTTTTCTACAAGACTAGCCAGAAGTATGCCCCCCCCCCCTTCCCCCCATCCTCCGTCTTGGATCCCCCGACAAAAAGCCATCGGTGCTAATGCTGCAAAAAAAAAAAACAAAACAAAAGGCCCACATACAATCTTGGCATCTGGTCCATGATCGTCTCACATTTGATCGAGGTCGTCCTGATCGCCACGCTTGGGCTGCTGCTGCGCTGGGAGAATCGGAAGCGGGATCGCATCCAGTCGCGGATGGAGGGCGGGCTGGAGGGCCGGGATCTGGATTCTACGGCGTTTCTGGATCTGACGGATCGGGAGAATCTGAAGTATGTCTTTTCCCTGCCCTCTTTTTTTTTTTTTTTTTTTTTCTCTCTGGTGGTTTGTGGGAGTGGAGTGGAGGCGTGCGGTGATGGCTGACGGGTCGGGCAGTTTCCGGTATATATGCTAGTAGGTAGGGCATCTTGGGTGAGATCAGATCATACTATTCTGGCGTATACGCCAACGCTAGAGGGAGGAGGGAGGAGGGAGGAGCTGGGGTTATGACTGTTCATGGTTATTCTAGTTTATTCTATCTAATTTAGATTTAGCGGTGTGTTCATCTTTCATTGTTCACCGTGTTCGTACTCCGAGTATCCAGTAGCTAGCTAGTTACAGCGAACCGTCCCCTACCCCCCCCATTACCTGCGGTTATAGTTCAGGAAGCGCGACTGTTTGTGAGCATCGTCAGCGTCCGTATAACCACACAACGCAAGATTCGGAGCACTTACTGCCAAAAACAGGATAATCAGATTCGAACCAATGAACGCAAGGAAGATGCCCAGATCGCGCCACCTGGTGTCAAAGTCCATGGAAAAGGTACTGTAGAACTCATCGCCGAGCTTGAAGGCGCAGTATTCGCACGCCCGCGTGGCGTTGTCGGCCAGGTACCCGGACCCGCCGCGGTCGAAGAACGGCTGCATGTATTCGCCGCAGGTCTGGCCGGCGGGGGCCTGGAAGCGGTTGAACTCGCGCGGGGCGCAGACGACGGGTCGGTCGTGGAGTTCGGTCGTGACCATGCCGCTGATGAGGCGGGTGAAGGGGTCAAGCTGGTAGAGCCAGGCGCGCCAGAAGCCCGGGATCTGGGGCTTGGGGATGGCGACGCCGCAGAAGAGGGAGAAGATGATGGTGATGGGCGGGTTGATCTGCGAGGCGATGAAGCTGTTGGGCGTGAGGGCGGAGATCATCTGGCCCAGGGTGACGGAGAAGATCTCGGTGATGAGGATCATGAAGAATTGGTAGCCGGCGCGGCTGGAGGCGGACTGGAAGCCGGGGATATAGTACAGTGGGAGGAAGAAGCAGACGGCGCAGAGGACGCTGTAGGGGATCTCGGCGATGACCATGGAGAGGGCGAAGGCGAACTGGCTGTAGGTCTTGCAGGCTGATTCGCGGAAGAAGACGAGCCGGGAGAATTCGAATCGGGGCTCGACTTGCTGCAGGATGATCGCCGGAAGCACCGTCACGTTAAAGATGACGAAGATCCGGTACTGGAGAGAAGCGCGAGAGTCGTCCAAATTCAGGAACGCGAGACCTGTGATCAGGGCGATGACAACGTGCGTGAAGAGCCGCGTGAATCCGTAGTTCCTCGACCGCCAGAAGACCAGGTTGGTCCGTTTGCAAACGACTTGGATCTGATGCCACAGCGGCGTAGCATATTCCCTGACCACAGCTTGCGAGTCGCCGTCCTGTCGAACTTTTTCCGCGCGCTGAGCCTTGATCTGGACGATTTCTGCCTTGACCTGCACGAGCTCTGGCGATGTGCGCCAGACCTCTCCCCAGTCACGATCACCTAATCGGCGAGTTTGGCCTGCACCGATGGCATCCAGCATCCATTCTGCGGGGTTCGCATCGGGCGGACATTCGGCCCCATTGCGACGGAAGTATTCTAGCAGCACGAGCGAGTCCTCTCCGATGTCTCCAAAGTACACACACTCCCCTCCCCTCTGGAGCAAGAGCAACCGGTCGAAGTTTTCAAAGAGAGCAGAGTTAGGTTGGTGGATCGTACACAGAATAGCCTGGCCGGCAGCGGCAAGTTTGCGCAGGAAACGAACGATATTGAACGCCGACTGGCTGTCAAGTCCACTGGTAGGCTCATCGAGGAAGAGAAGCAGCTCCGGCTTGGCAGCCAGTTCAACTCCAATGGTAACGCGCTTTCTCTCTTCGACTGAAAGACCGGTATCCGGGGTTCCGATGATCGCGTCGGCGAGACCTTCCAGCTCCAGCAATTGGATGATACCTTCCACGTACTCGTACTTTTCGGACTGAGGCGTGTCATACGGCTGGCGAAGATCGGCCGAGAAGCGCAGTGCCTCGCGCACGGTCTGCATGGGCTCGTGGATGTCTAGCTGCTCTGCATACGATACAGTGCGCAGAAAGCTTCCTGGCGGGGCGGCGCCGTCGACGAGGATATCGCCGCTGATCACGCCAATGTTCTTCCGAGCGGCGAGGACATCCAGGAGGGTGGTTTTACCCGCACCCGAGGCGCCCATCAGCGCTGTCAGCTTCCCTGGCTGGACATACCCGTACACGGACTGGAGAAGACGGCGAGTGCCAGACGGGACGGGCACGTCGTAACAGACATCTTCCCAGGTAAAGACAGACTCGGACGTAATCTTCAAATTAGTACCTGATTCATTGAGGGACTTAGACTGTCGGTTGGCTCGCTTCTCCATCAAAGCTTCGTTCAGCTCCTTGCGCTCCTTGTTCTCCTTTTGGTAGAAAGTGACAGTCTTGCCTCCAGCACCAAATTGCAATGTCTCGCCCAGATACAGATTGACGGTGAGGAAACCTCCTGTCAATGCAATCATGATGCCAAAATTCCGCCAGAGGTCGGCGGGGAGATAGCTGAAGGTTTTGGCGAGGTAGCTGGCACCGGGGATGATGACCGAGCCCGGTTCGCCCCCAGCAAGAGTGCAGACTCGACTCTGCATGTCGTCGTACCCAGGACCGCTAGGCACCAGAGAGTCTTCGGTGCATGTCATGGTCAAACGCTTGAATTCGTTGACCATCAAGGATGCAAACCCCAGTCCGAACGGGTTGACGTAGTACAGCCATCGCAGCCAAACCTGCTCGCTTGGCCATTGGATGAGATAACCGGACGTTAGAACGAACAGAGTAATGACTACGGAGGCAAACTTCATGGCGTAGTCAAAGTCTGGGCACATGCAGCCAATGACTCGGAAGAAGCACGTCATGCAGAGATACCCGAGTAGGATGATCAGAACGAAGGTGAAGAAGGCTCCTGCGTCGAGGACTAAACCACACATGAAGTAGACAATGATACTGAAGACGAGGATTCGTGCGATGGCAAACGAGGTGTCCACCAGAACTTGTGCTATCCAGAGCGCGCTGGGCCGATAGAAGGTGAACTGCCGATGTTTGTTTACGATCGAGCGGCCCATCATTGTAGATGCGAGCTCGGCGAATGCCTGGAAACCATTGAAGAGCAAACTAATGAACAACAAGCCACCTCGGGTAAAAGCACCTGCACTGGTCTGGGGAGACTTCAACCAGACGGTACCCAGAATGATGGCGACGCCGGTGGAGGTGATCCAGGATACCGTGAGAGCAAACTTATCCTGCCACTTGATCAGGAACTGGCGTTGCATTAGGGCCCAGATCTGCAAGTGGAAGGGGATTGAATAGACCGATGTTTTGGGGGTGAATGTGCGCTTCGCTTCCCTGTTAGCGATCTCGAAGTCGTCGTAAATGTGTTTTTCTTGCTCCACTTTCTTGCGGTAGGCTTCCATCTCCTCCGTGAGTTTCTCGCTGTGAGGAGACTTGTCGAACGCTTCCGCAAGTGTATCCGGGGTCGAGGGGACGTTATCCGCACTTCGACCGTCCCTGTACTCTCGCTCGAATGGATCAGTGCAGCCGGTGAGATAGTCAGGAGTGGTCTGGCGAGGCTTCTCCTTGAACCCCAGGCCTTCGAAATACGATCTTGCTTCAGACGTTGGACCGAAGAAAACCTGTCGGCCACTGTCAATTACCAGCACCTTGTCGAACTGCTTGTAAATGTTTTCGGAGGCCTGGTACAGAGACACAAATGTCGTAGTCTGGTAGATGTTGGTGAGAATCTTCAATGATTTCGCAAAGTCCAGAGCGGTTGACGCGTCCAGCCCACGGGTACTGTTGTCCCAAGCGAGGACCGTGGCAGATGTGACCATCATCTCGGCGATACTGACTCGCCGCCTCTCTCCTCCGGACACGCCTCGAATGAACTGATTTCCGATGACAGTGTTGGCGGTGTGCTCGATATTGAACATCTTGAGCAGCATGTCGATGACTCGCTCTTTGAATTCGGCCTTGGAGACTCCCATAGGCCGTTTGCCGGGTGTTTTCGTGTCCAATGCGAAGCCTAGGGTCTGCTTGACCGTGAGCGTCGGCTCATGCACGTCGTCCTCTTGGTTGTAGACAGCCTCGCCGCGGAATCTCTTGGCGAAGGTTTCGGCGTCAAAGGGGCCGTAGAGCACATCGCCGTCGATACTGGTGAAGCCGAATCGCTGGTTCGTGATTGCTTTCAGGAACGTGGTGCAGCCAGACCCCGGACGCCCAAGGACGAGCACCATCTCACCAGGCTTGATCACGCCCCGGAAGTTTTTGAGGATATCGAACTCCTCCCCTTTCTTGCCATACCCCATCATATGCATAATGGTCTCTGGGACGTTAAAGAAGTCGATGATCGCATCCGGGAACGTTTTGATATATGTCTTGACGCCTCCCATGCCACGGACGGTGAGATTGTCCCATATAACGCCTGCGGATCCCGTCAGCGACGGAGAGAGGCCTCTCTACCAAACAGACACTGCATTGCTTCATGTACTCACCTATGCGCTTATTCCTAATCCCCGCTGCCATCTCCGCCGCCTGATTGCCGCGCAGAGTCGTCTCAAGATCCCATGATTCGTCCGAGTCTGCGGAACTGGCAGACCTCTCGACATCCGCCGCCGTCACGCCTGTCTTGGACACTCGTGAGATCTGCTTGGACAGCCGATGGGCTTGGTGTGAGATGCTGGAGAACTGCCGGTTCAGATCGGAGAATTCCTGCTCGGCCCTGCCGACGTCGACACCAGTCGGATGCGAGGTCACCCCCTGAGGGTTCGCATCTCTGATCCGTTCCCGGTGGTGGTCGTAGGCACCTGCTGTGGACAGCGAATCCGAGTCCGAGCCATTACTGACTTTGGAGATAGCTGGCTTCTCCTCCATGGCACCCAGGGGCAACCAGTCAGAAAAATTTTCACTGTGCGGAGAAGGTTGGACAAAGGGGAAGAAGTCCGTCCCTCTTCATAAAAAGGGCAGAATTAATGGTGCTAATAGTAATCATTGGAATAGCACTAAGAAGCACTAAGAAGAGTCCAAGAGTGACTTGGAGCCTGGTAGAGAGAAAGGGCTAGAATCCATATAATTGCTAATGAGCTTGGCGTATTTGAGCAGGTGAGGGACAAAAGGCCAAGCCAGCAGTCATAATGTATCAAGCACACTTGCATACAGAGTATAAAATAGGTACATACATGGCCACCACTCACCATACGATACCTCGCTACATAGGGCACTTCGACTATGCCTCCTTCTCAGCCCTCCCCTGTTCTCTCCACATTCCGGGGTGCGGACGGTTATACAAATACAATAAGGCTAGAACTAGAAGCAGCCTAAGGGCAGATAGTCTCAAGCCATCCGTTGGATTCCAAGCGGGCACCGACGCCTCAGGGTTGGTTCATTGGACCGTCGGGACTCCGAATCCTTGTTCGCAGAGCAGGGCAGCGAACAATCTAATCTGGCTGAGACTGATCATATTGTTCTTGAGCCATGAAGACTGCATCGTCGGGCACTCAATCGAGTAAGACAGCCAGCAGAAAGTTAGCCAAGAGTCGAATGGTCAATTTCCGCTTGTCTCGCGTGGATAAAGACAGTAGACTGGATAATCTTATGGCTCAGGGCACGATGTTGGTCAAACGGTCAAATAGAAAGACGCCAAGCAATAAACGGTGTCGCAGTGGGTTGGAACCTCCGAAGTTTTGACGAGAAAATGGATAGTTCAGTTGTGTGTTTCACTTGCAACTACTACTATTATTATTAATGAAGTCTTTGAAGACTCTTCCCACAATAGATTATCTAATACGGAGAGCAGACGACGGAGGACAACTATCTACGGCGATAGATAGATAACTATGGGCAACATTCCTTTTCTTCTGTTCTTGTTATTGAGATCGTAGTTATTTAGTTCCCTTATATTTCCCGTTCAAGCCCTACTTCACTGTGTCGACTTGACTGGGGGTTTTCCAATCCCCAGTCGAGACGAGAGTGTCTTCCCATGGGCACAGTTGTCTGAAACTCGACCAGTACAGCCCCGGAATCTCAACTCCAGGATTTTCAGACAAGATACATTTGGATGCTCACCAAATAAATCAGAGGCCTGAGAAATGTCTTAATGTAGTTGACAGGGCGCAGGAACTCGCTCGTGATCGACATTGTTCAGCTGCATCTGAACCCCCCGGAATTCAACTTCTAGAGAGTTGGGAAAAGCGAAATCATCGCTCATTGCAAGAAGAATCGTGAATCGTGAACTCATGATTCATCCTTCATTCTTGTTGACGTTAGCCAGTGTCTCCCTTCTTCAAAAGTGATGGTAGGGACATGGAGGAGGAAGTAGTACTACGTAGAGCCGCTTTAGTATAGTAACCGGCTAGTGGACAGTCTGCAATGAACAAGACCTGACTTCAATGAGTAAGTAGAGCTAAGCATTTATGTTGATCGCACAAGCATAACTACTACTCTACTACTCTTCTTGATTTAAGAAAGGATACTTCTCATTATTCTCTACGGAGTAATCTATCTACGGAGTAGCTATTATCTAGATACCTGTCGACTGTAGTTGTTATCACATCACATTCTTCTTCCCCGGCCAACTCTCGTCCGAAGTGGAGAAGCTGCTCTCCACCCCCGTCTTTTTGGTGTCGCACAGTCTACTCTAGAGTGACTAGACTCTACTCTGTCGGCTCTAGAGTCTCTAGGATGCAGCGTAGTGGCATTAGGCATGACTAACAGAGTAGTATCTGATGGGTACATCCAGCATCATCAGTGATGTCGGTTTGAGGGATCCTTGTTGTTGCTCATGGGTATGGAGTGTGAGAAGCTGTACACTGTACAGAGGTGAAAAGGCATCTCTGCCTGATGATGTATGTAGGAGAGAAATTGATAGAATGGATTTCAACTTTTGTGTGTAACACAGCCCTGTGAGGAGCGATGGGCCTATTGAACTAAGTATGATCGCAAAACCCAAAGCTGTAGTCCAACACAGCCTCATCTTCAGCCCTTACTGTGCTTGAAGCCCTGAAGCACATGAAAAAGGCACCAGAGTAGCGCCTCCAGCCTCCAGCCCCTAGGTACTAGTGTGGTAGCTTCCGGAGGACCATGTTTCATCTGCTGCAGTCAACTTCGCACTGGTCAAAGGTTAGTTTCTAGCGCGGGGACTCAAATGGCTTAAACAGAGTGATCATCACCATGATGATCTGAATGTTCTCCTTGGCTGGAAGTAATTGTCACAAGATGTAGTAGGGTGGTCTATCTAAGCCTTCACATTATTGAGGGGATACTACTAGTATTTTCTTCTACATTCCATTCTGGGGCAGCCATACTCGATCTGCCTTGAAAGGCACTGGTTCCATGATCCATCTCAACCACGGTCCACGGGAGTTGGAGTTATTGAATGTGGTAAAACTGCATGATTGCATGTGGATGATGAACCAATGATGTAGATGTCGTCACTCATCCCAGGTCACCGAAAGAACTTGACCTTGGCTGCTTTTGAAAACGCCATGCTGATCCGAAGATCTGTGACGTGGGGGGTTAGTCATGGAAGTTGGGAACTCCAGTGATGCAGCAGTACCTAGGTAAGTCTACCTAGTAGATAGTTCAGTGCAGTAGAGATTTCAATAATCGATTGATCCTACTAAGAATAAAATGAAGACGGGGGGGGGGCTGGTCCTCCCCCGCATTCATCTGCGACACACTCATGTTGGATGACAATGAGCTGCAGATGGGAGAGGGAGAGAGGATGGAGTCATGGAGTACGACTCGAGTACTAGGTACTAGGTATACTGGGATGGGATCAGATGATATGGGCGGATCAGTAACCAGGTAACCAGATTAAGGACAATTGACTGACTTGAAACACGACTCAACCTACATTCTCTTGAGAAATGAATAATGAGAATACTATCATCCATAGTTCCATAGTTCCATAGTTCCATAGTTCCATACCTCTCAAAAACGAAGACAGAATTCTCGTTCTCCCGGGAAGCCGTGCGAGAAAATGACGTAAGGGCTGCTTTGGGGTCTTGAGTCCCGAGAGTTGAACAGTCAACCGGCCCGTGGGAAAGTGAAGAGAGAGTTGAAATCTCCATTATTCAAGTATCCGATCCTCCAAAGCATAATAATCATGGGAGCGAGGTTTTCTTTTTCCACCATTGGTTTCCCCTCTCCCTATCTCATACCTATAGACTGACTGACTTACATGGAAAGTTACCCAACTTACCACCCTCTGATCGCTCGCAGAGGCTCAGCCAACGCATGTCCATCCAGCGCTTCTCGTTTGGGAACAGAACATCCACATCGACCCACTACTGGCCACTCCGGGTGGGAAAATAGTGGGTAATGACCACCATCCTTGGGAACGGCTGGCATTTAGTACTTATAACGTCGACGCATCCTCGAATCTCCTGTTGTTGCAGTTTCTTGTCCTCCTTCACTTTGCTACTCCTCCTCCTCCTCCGTCCCTTGACTCTGGAATTCCTGAGATCTCCAGCATACTATACACGATTTACACCTTCTTCCGATCCCCGACGGAATCCTCTTAACAACTAACCCCCCATTTCTTTTTTAAAACGAAAAGAAGCAAGAACTCCCCATACCTAGCATTTATTTCCCCCGTCATGTCGCGAACAAGAGTTCTGCTGGTCGGAGCTGCCGGTGAGACGGGAGGCTCAATTGCCAATGGGCTCCTGGAGAATCCCATTTTTGTAAGTTTTTTTTTTTTTTTTTTTTTTTTTTTTTTTGCAAGCTTCGTCTGAGAATGGTTCTGTTGTCAAATCATCGTCCTTGTCTGACCCCGGAGCTGTGTAGGAAGTCTATGCGCTCGTTCGTCCCCGGTCGGTTCAGAAGCCAGCCATTGTCTCTCTGCAGGAAAGAGGTGTCCATGTGCGCCGATGCGATCTGAGAGGCTCGGAGGATTCTCTCGCCGAAGCGCTTACCGATATCGACATCGTCATCAGCTGTGTTGGTCCCGCCGAACAACAGGATCAGATTCCGCTCGCAAAGGCCGCCAAGAAGGCCGGGGTCAAGCGATTTGTACCTTGCGCATTTATCACAGTGGCCCCACCCGGCGGCATCATGTGGCTGAGAGATGAGGTATGTTCGAAGAAAGACCCAGTAGTACCCAGTGCGCGCTAACCACTTGCCTGTCCCGCCGTTAACAGAAAGAGACCGTCTACAACCACATCAAGCAACTCTGGCTGCCGTACACCATTGTCGATGTCGGTTGGTGGTACCAGCTTTCGTACCCTCGTCTCGAGTCCGGACGGGTGGACTACGCCATGACCACCGCCAACAACGAGATCGTCGGAAATGGCAACACCCGCACCGCCATGACGGATCTGAGAGATATCGGACGCTATATTGCCAGAATCATCGTCGACGATCGGACATTGAACCGGATGGTATTCGCCTATGACACCGTCATGACCCAGAACCAAATCTACGATATGCTCGAGGAGATTAGCGGGGAGAAGATCCAGAGGAACTACGTAAGTCTTGCTGCTGCTGGTGCTTTTTGCCCACAGTTCCACAACCACCCAAGCTAAATCTCTTATCCCAATCAGATCCCAGAAGAGACCGTCTACACCAGAGTCCTGGCGGCCAGACAGTCGAGCGAGACCTATCCCTTTGACCCCATCAAGTTCATCCCCCGATACCTCGCCGAATATCAACTGTCCTGGGGTATTCGTGGTGATAACAACCCAGAGTATGCCAAGTATCTTGGCTACTTGGATGCTAAGGAGCTCTACCCCGATTTCAGACCTACCAACTTCCGGGAATACCTCGAGACCGTGGTCCGAGGCACCGCCAAGGGTATCTACACCGATCGCACAATTTCCAGAGCTTATCAAAGGGAGTTCCCGAGAACCGAGTCCAGCGACTCGCTGTACACTCGAATCTTCCCTCGAGCCGAGTCGAGCGATTCGCTGTACATGAGCAGGTAAAGAGCTATGCGACCCCATTAACTCCCCTCCTTGGCGACGCTAGACGTCCCCTCTCCGACCGCACCAAGTTTCATGTATCCAACGATCTTCGTCCCTCTGGAGCAGACTGGCTTTGCTCTGGTTTCTTTGAGGACTTCCTCTCCAGCCGTTTCTCCTCTCTGTGATTCACCTTATGCGACACTAGACCTTTGCTGGCGTTTTGATTTTGTTGTTTTTGATTTCTTGCCCCTTTTCAGAACACGGCTTTACGGAATATGAGGCACCGGGCTATTTGATGTTATACCACTTTTTCATACTTGGAAATGTGGGATACACGAAGTTTCTCTTAAAGGGGTTCAATTTTATACCCAGATCGGCTCTGTCCAATCTACTATTGACGAGGCACAATTCCACATGCATTCTTTCGGTCCATTAGATTTTAAAATTCCTAACCATCCACAACGGAGTGTTTTAGACCTGAGTAGCGAACCACTGACTAACCGGGGGAAACAAATGCTTCTACCGTTTTAACCCAGTCGTACTCGGAAACCGCATCCCCAATGAAGTTCCTTCCACTTGCTCTAGCTTTCTCTCTACTCGACCTATTAACTACTCTCCAGAATCATCGCGATTCCGCAATCGACTCTTGCTGAACAAAATGAAGTTATCATTACGTTTCTCATTGCTCTCGTATTCTTCTGATATCCTAATCAACCTAGCTAAATGACTTTCGAGCATCATTTCAGGCATGTCGCAGGACGACCCTCAGTATCCTAGTCCACAAGTAATTCCAGTTGGCAATGCAACAACTTCAAGCAGCTCCAATTCCCACACGGTCCAGTCAACCAAATATGGCTTTCTCAAGCCGCGGCAGACGACCATGATCGGTTTGTCATCCTGAAATGGTTTCAATGCAATGGGTCGGTCCTAGCTCATCACCATATCCAGCGATTGGCGGGGCGATTAATACCGGGTTGATGATTGGAGCTGGAAACGCACTTTCAAAGTAAGACTCAACTGCCTTCAGGTCGTCAGTGGTAGCTAACGGGTTCAGGGCTGGGGTTAGTGTTGTCGCCTTGATAATATGATTTGGTCAGTTGGTTAACCAAATGATCAAGCCTGCCTCGATTATCATATCCTATACGGTTGTCGGTATTGTGGTCTATCTGGTTTTGTGTGCCTTGGGTGAGGTTGCTGCTTGGCTTCCTGAACCCTCCACGGCACCCGCTCATGCTGTGCGGTTCTGTGACCCAGCTCTTGGGTTTACCCTGGGCTGGATGTAAGATTCCTTCCTTGTTTGAACGCCATCTGTGTGCACTCTCTAACTGACTACGGTTTTGCTATCAAGCAGATACTGGCTCAAGTACCTGGTTGTCACCCCAAACCAGCTTACGGCAGGTGCACTGGTCATTTCATATTGGCTAGATATGAAGTACGTGAATCCGGGGGTTTGGATCTCTACTTTCCTAGTTATCATTGTTGCCACAAATTACTGGGGCTCCCAATACATTGGCACATTCGAGTTCGCGCTATCATCCTTCAAGATCTTGGTTCTCTTTGCACTTACGGTGCTTTCTCTGGTCATTGCACTCGGTGGAGGCCCAGACCACGAAGTGAGGGGCTTTCGGTACTGGAGAGATCCAGGTGCCTTTGCGCCTTATGGTGACCATGAATTACTCGGAAGGTTTCAAGCTGTATGCAAGACAATGTCCTCCACAACGTTCGCGTACCTGGGCAGTGAGCTCCTCGGGATGACCATGCTCCATATTGAGAACCCTCCAGAAGCTGCTGCACGAGCGATCAAACTCACCTTTTATCGAGTACTGATTTTTAATATTTTCAGCGTGACTCTTCTTGGGATGCTGGTTCCTTTCGATTCGCAAGATTTGGCCTTTGCAGGCAACGCTTCCAAGCCAACTACAGTCTCGGCCTTTATTGTGGCAATTCGTATGGCGCACATACCTATCCTTCCAAGTATCCTGAACGCATTCATCCTCTTCTTTGTTCTGTCGGCTGCAAACCAGGCGCTGTATATGGCAACGCGGACGATCTACGGGCTCTCCCAAGAACAAAAGGCTCCTGCATTTCTATCGCACACTAACAGGAGAGGTATTCCCATCTATTCTTTGGGTATCTGTTCTGGCTTGGCATCGTTGGCATTTTTAAACATCTCGAGCGACTCCAAGGTCCTTTTCGGGTATTTTGTCAACATTATCACGATGTTCAGTCTGTTGACGTGGATCTCCATTCTCATCACGCATATTTCATTCGTTCGGGCGCGCAAGGCTCAGAAAATTCCCGACTCGGCGCTGCTTTTCAGGGCTCCATTCGGGGTTTGGGGTTCGTGGTTCGCTCTGTTGAGCTGCATGCTCATCTCGCTGATGAGAGGCTTCGATGTTGTAGAGATGGCCGTGCACCCTAAGAGATTTGATTATAAAACATTTGTCACGTCATATCTGGCCGTTCCTCTGTATGTATCCCTTGTTGTCGGGTATAAAGTTCTTACCCGCTGCAAGAGCGTCAATCCCGAGGAGGCCGACCTTTGGACCGTCACAACGATCCGTGAACGGCGCGAGGCGAAGACGACGGTTCCCAAGTCCGAAGTCGAGGCTTTCAAGGGGAAATATTGGCTGTGGCATTGGATCATCACTGCATGGCTGCTGTGACACCGACCTCGTTATCTTACCTAGCTTCTTTTGGATATCGATAGACCATTCTTAACTAACTGCAGTATCCTTCCTATTCCCTTACCAAGTATCTACTGATCAATAAGCATGACACTTGGCTGGTTCTCCGGCCTGGCTGTCAATTGTCTTGGCGGTGGGGAGTGAGCCATGGATGTAGAGGACTCTTTTGTTTACACAGCAACGACCAAAGATGCGTGGCAACGATGAGGACATTCAACGATCCGAGTCATCATTTTATACCGGACTTGGGGATCAGGATAATCAGGTTGGGAAATGCACACTCATGACCTCCAGGGATCATTCAACTAAAAAGAAAAGAAGGAAACCCACTGTTTCTATTGCCAGCGTCGTGATGGACAAGCAGACGGGCGCTAAATTGTGTGGACATGATTTGCCAGGGACCGGACGCTGGAGGGGTGCATCGCTTCCCATCGAGTCCAGCTGTCCACTCTTCGTTCTTTGGCATCAATGGCTTGAACGGAGTGAAAAAGAAAGACACGGGTTCAACAGGTGAGACTGCGATGGTATCTGTCATCAGAAATCAGAAAGAAAGAAAAAACGAGAAGCTGACCGCTAGTATTTTGTTTTACTACGGATGATCCAGCCTTGCTCGTGTCTATCAATCAGTCCCCTCTCCTCTTCCCCCACATTTATTTTGAGCCTTTTGCTCTCTAAGGAAATCAGCATTCTGGGCTGGGATCATGGAGAACAACTCGAACCCGACACTGCACTGAGCAATAGGAAGCTGATTACATATCGCTTTCGGCGTCGTCCGTGACGTTTGCTTCCTGGACGTTGAAGTTGTCAGAGAGTTGCTCTCCAATCTTGAGAACGGCAACTCGATACCAATTGCTCTTCTCACTACCCCAAGTCGAATCATCGCCTTCTTGCGACCTTGGATCCCGCGAGCTTAGATGTATCAGTGGGTCTTGCCTGTGCCAATTTCAAAAGCCATGGTCCTCCCTCGCACGCCGGTCAAGAGCGGAAAGGAATTGTTTCAAGTCATCGAAACTATTAACGAACAGTTCCAGCTCGAGCTCCCTAATCCGCAGATCTATTCGCCCTCGGTTGGCTCTAACGACCATTCACCGCGATGGCGTACGTACAATGGCCTCAAAAGACTGTATTTCAACAGTGAGGTTGACTTAGCTCGAATCCTCAACGACTTTGAAGAATGGATTGCATCGCGATCAACCGAGCTTATGGACATGCGCGGCAACCGAGCTCAAGTGTCACAGAGACAGTCCAGCGCGGCAAGACGACAGCAGTTAATGTGCAGTACCCCAGCGCTGGTGTCTTCACATGAGAAGGAGGAACGCCTCAGATATTTCATGGAGTTAGTAGATGACGAGATATATTTGTTGAACCGAGGCTCTGTCCGCTACCATCCAGAGAATGATCGAATGCAAATCTCGCCAGCAAGCGCACTCAGACCGTTGAAGAGAAGGATCTCCGAACAGGAGGAGGAGGAGAATGAGGAGTATCATACTGCTCCCAATTCACCCGTGAAGGATCCACAAAATGCTTTCAGCCGGTCTACAAATACGAAGAAGTCCAGTCACTCGGCAGACGGAGAGGAGGACTGTGGCGTCAGTTCCTCTCTGGTGGTCGGTGACTCCGTTCATGTGTTCAAAAACCCCAAGCTTGTCGATAGAGCCAAGGAACCGTCCAAATTTCTTGAGAAATTAGCAGCCCCAGACCACTTTCGACGATATGACGCGCTACCGAATGCACACACAGGGCCGAACTTTAGTTTCTCAACGGTTGCCACGTCCTTTGGCCAAAGACACCTCGATACTTCCTTCACTTCGACAGTGACCGACGCCACAGAGCCGATCCCCGACTCGGAGTCTATGTATGAAGATTCAGTTGTGGGTCATATGATAACCCACGAGCTCAACATGAGCCTTGATGATCCAGATATTACGGCAGACAATCAATTGAAAGAAGCACCTTCTTCCCTCGAGGGACGAATCATGGAAGAGCTACTGGAAAACGGACCGTTCTCTTTGGAGCAGCCATTTCCAAGGTCAATTCCTCTTCGATATCGGTACGAGTTAGAGAGGGTTGGTAGGTCGTGGAACGTCCCGTTGAACCGTATGCTCGTAGGGAACAGCATTTCCTTCAAGTCGTACGTAGATTTCTGGAAGTGGATTGAGGGCCACAACCAGAGATGCGGGAAGCCGCTTCCAGAGAAGTCGCCCAGCAAGGCCTGGGAGGCTGCAACTGGGACATTGAAAGCAGAGAGACACTCGGAAGTGGTATTTCTCTCAGGCGAGATGGATTGGTGCACTAAAACCGAGCCGGGTATTCTTAAATTCAGATTAAACCCGCTCAAGATCGAAAAGACATGTCGATTCCGTCGCCGTTTCGGGTCGGATCGATTCCTCAGCTTAACGATACCGGTGCCAGCGCGTCCGCCACGTCATCTCCGTTTCGAAAGGCACCCCACGCTGTTGCGTGAAAGTCTAGCGTTGTGGCTGACCCAGCATGTCCATCGGTGCTTGGGGAGAATATGGCGGCCCTTCTTTGTGGAAGAGGTCAAGACGAAGCGCAAACCGAAGCCGGCAGCGCCCAAGTTCAAAGTAGAGCTCTTTGCCATTGATGGGATTGACTTTATGAGTAGCATGAGCCGCATGCCATCCATCGCCCCGCCGGACCAGGACAGCGAAGGTCATACTTCGATGAGCCTGGAGGCTCTAATGGACTGGCATATGCCCCCGGAAGACAACAGAAACCAATCCAATTGCAAGCTGTTCCAGCGGATCTCGTTGGGGCTTTCTAAGACGTATGCTACTATCATATTGAAACCGTGGCAGATTTTACACCTAAAAGATGTACCTAATCGCCCCGTTATGAACGATGGCTGTGCTTTGATGTCCCGGGGTCTCGCGAATGCAATATGCGATTCGCTTGGGATTACTGGGAACACCCCGAGTTGCTTTCAGGGAAGAATCGCTGGAGCCAAAGGATTGTGGATGGTAGACAGACACCAGTCTGACATTTCAGTTGGCGGAGACGAATTCTGGATCCAAGTCTCGGACTCGCAGTTGAAGATCCACCCCCATCCGCAGACCTGGCGGGAGCCGGTGGACGAGGAGAAATTGACGTTTGAGGTGGTCAAATGGTCGAAGCCTTTACATTCGGTGGAACTGAATACTCAGTTGTTGGCCATCCTGGAGCATGGGGGAAAACTCAGAGACTACATCGCTCAGCTCACTCGAACCGGGATCCAAACGGTCTATCAAGACTTTGCGAAGGTCCTTGACTCGGACAGTCCTGTGCTTTGTCGTAGCCTCATTCAGAAGATCAAACTGGTGGCGGATGATGGCTCTGCGCTGGCGAGCCAGCGGGTCAAACATTTGGAACAATGGACGGCGAATGATACAGAGGCGATCATCAGGTTGACCGAAGCCGGGTTTGCGCCTCGGAGTTTCTATCCCCTACGTAAGCGACTGGGGCGCTGTTTGCAGGATGTGCTCGCTCGATATGTAGATGAGCTCCATATCAAGGTGCCTCTTTCTACCTACGCCTTTTGCATTGCCGACCCGTACGGAGTTCTCCAGGAGAACGAGGTGCATTTTGGCTTCTCAAACAACTGGCGCGATGCCCAGGGGCAATTCGAAGACAACCTCCTAGACGGCATGGACGTTCTGGTCGGTAGACTGCCCGCCCATGTCCCCTCGGACATCCAGCGTCGCCGCGCGGTGTGGAAACCGGAGCTCCGCCATTTCAAAGATGTCATCGTCTTTCCCACGGCTGGGGATATCCCGCTCGCACATATGCTGTCTGGTGGTGACTACGACGGTGACATGCCATGGATCTGCTGGGACCAGAATATGGTCCAGGACTTTCGTAATTCCGGTCTGCCCACGGAGGAGTTCCCGCCAGAGCATTTTGGCCTTACGAAGCATTCCGTACCAATGATGCAGATTCAGTCGACGGATGAGTTTCTTCAAAGTGCATTCACGTTTAACCTGACGATGTCGAAACTGGGCAGATGCACTGTTGAGCACGAGAAGTTGTCATACGATGAGTCGATTGACTCGGCAAGGGCGAAGGAACTGGCATGCCTCCTCAGTCACTTGGTAGATGGCCGCAAGGGAGGTGTGCACCTGTCCGAGCAGGCTTGGCAACAGTACCGCAAGACGATCAGCCCCTGGGTGCGGGAAGACCCCGCGTATAAGAACACCCAGCGGAAACCCAAGAAGGAAAACATCATTGACTACTTGAAGTTCGAGGTCGCCCTTAAAGAGAAGCATGCGGTGCTGAAAGAATTCGAGCGTGTATTTCCCGAAAACGAAAGTCTGTACGACAGGGATGACGACCTGGTGCGCCCATGGAACGAGGCGCAGCGGGAAGCCCAAATTGAGAAGCAAGGGAGCGATGGGCAGCTTCCCGTGGTGCTCAATTATGCTTCATCCAAGGTGGAAGCGTTCTATCGCCAGTGGATCAACTCTGTCTTAGGCGAGAACTCCCTCTCGCTCGTGGCGCGAGAGGCAGCGGAGGGGGCACGGAACATCCCTCCCCCTTCATTCGGAGACCATCCGCTCATCCATACGTGGCGGCACAGCAGGGAAGAATGGCTTCGGCTGCTAGCCTCATATACCTACCAAAAGCATAGCCATGCCGCCTTCACCATCCATGCGTTTGGCGAGGTCCTGTGCCAGATGAAGGCGAGCAGCCTCCCATCACGATCGGTGACGAATGAGATCTTGGCTTGCTACCGGGTGAACCACAAGGCGATCAGCCAGCTCACGGCCAAAGACACCGTGGACGAGGAGTCTGAGGATGCGGAAGAGTTTGAGGGAGAAGATGCGGTGGAAGCGATCATGTATGCGATGCATATGCCAGGGGGTTATGACGACGCTGAGGACGACATGTCTGTGGAGTGATGATCTAGATGATCGGAGTTTGGGTACTTGGTTTGGTGTATCTACAGCTGTAGGGACAAATTTGTAGGATAGTGGGGAAGCTTCACCGTGTAGAGTCGTTGAATTGTCTGTGCGAGTACAATTGATTGCATCCATCTACTCTGCAGGCAGGTCCTTTTGCTATCTACCTACACAGTACTGTTGATGCCTTGAGATGGTGTTGGCCATCAGCGATTCGCACGTGCAACCGCCGATCAGATGCAGCAGGCGGTCAGGCGGGTCATTACTTAATGGTATCATGCAATCCGCAATCACATGCCACAGCGGTTCCAAAAACGGGAATGGTTGAGATCAGAAGCTCAGAACAGAAGCCTTAATGGCGTTCGGCTGGGAGAGTCGGGAGAACTGTCCAAGGGACTAGGACTCGAGGTAGTTGATCTGGACTGCAGTCGAAGCGAGCGAGTCCATCTCAGTGATCAGATCAAATGAAGACTCAATATCCGACGTCAGCAAGAAGGTGGAGAGGGGATTAACGCTGTCACATTCAGGCTATATATCCACCCTAATGATGTTGTTTCAAGCATCGTTTGCGAGGACTGGAGTAGTTTTCTATCTAGATATGATAGTACCTAAATGGATAGCCGGAGATGAATAGGACCACAGCAAACGGTGGCAATCAGAAGGAAAGACGCAATTCCCTGTCAGAGAGAAGATCAATCCCCCCATCTTCGTATAACTTGACTCCCAATTTCCCAATGGGTTTGTTTGCCCGGCTGAGGAAATCCTTCTTTTTTTCTGCCCGTTTTTGCACGTGAAAGGAAAAAAGCAGGAATCCTCCCCTCCCTCGTCAGGATTTCATCCCCATTATTAAACTACTACTTGTCTATCAGCAATCTATCATCGACCGACGGGCAGAGAAAGAGAGACTCATTCGGGCGATCGCGATTTACTTTGATATTCCGTATTCTCTGCTTCATAGTCCATACAAGCGTTATAGTATAATCGTTCGGGTCGCGGGTGTGCACAGTATCCTGGTTCCATCACGAGCTTTGGAGGCGTTGCTCTTCCCCCCCGGACTAGGATCCCCCCCCCCCAGTCTGTTGACGGGAGTCTCTCCCTCTCTCCTCTCTCTCTCCCTCTCTCTCTCTCTCTCTCTCACGCTTCCCCAGACTAGTTCTTTTTTTCTTCAATGGACGCCCGACCAGGCGGAACATCTGCCCCGACGTCTGGCCGAGACGCCACTGCCACTGCCACTACCACCACCACCAGCTCATCGACATCCTCCCTCTCCTCTTCCTCTACCTCCTCCCCCTTCACCCCCTCCACTGCCACTTTTTCGTCGTTTCAGCATGTCCGATCCGCCATAATGGATGTCGATAACCATTCCGCGGCCGAGGATCGCTCTCGTCGGGCCACCAGCGTCCTATCCATGGATGACATAGAGGCCGCTCAGGCGCTTGAGGGGCTCCGTTCTGGTACTTGGCTCTTTTTCTTGCTTCTCGCCAGGTTTTGATGAATGAGTGAAAGGATGAACTGACATGGCGACTTGGCTTCCACATAAGACTATGGACACTCATCCCCGCGAACCGCTACGCAACAGAAACCCTCCAACGCCTCCTCGCTTCCTGCATCCGACTCCAAGCCACAGCCCGAACCCCTCCTGTCCCTGCTTACATCTACCCACCCCTTGATCTCCTCGGCCATCAATGGGTCCATGTCCGCATATACCTCGTCGAAATCGTACTCGCCGCGTTTCAAGTCCGGTGTCGAGTTCATTGAGCGCAACATCGGCTCGCCTGTCGCCAACACCGTCGGAACGGTAGGTCGCAAGACCGGTGTCGAGAGCGGTCTCCGCTGGGCCCTCCAGCGCCGCGAATCCAGCTCGACCGACCCCGCGACGAAGCGTCGCAAAGTGAGCGGCGAGAAGCCGCCGGCGGATGTGGATGTCGAGAAGGGACTGGTCGATGAGTCCTCCGAGTCTCCGCGCGTGCGCAGCTCCTCAGACCCGTCACACTCCGAGCCTCTGCCGCCATACGACGATATGCGGTCTCCGAACTATGAGGAGATCGGCCGGCCGTCATCGCGCCAGGGCCCAAGCACCTGGCAGAGCCGGCTCATGATCTCGACATCGGGTCTGGGCGTCGCCATGAGCGACGAGTCCCTACGCAGCCTGCAGTACTGCCTGACCTGGCTGCGGTGGGCGAACGGCCGGCTGGGCAAGGCCATTGTCGCGCTGCAAAGCGCGCTCAAGGACTGGGAAGCCGCACAGAAGGAGAACGGCGAGGGGGCCGATGCCTCGTTGCTGTCGCAGCGCATCCAGGCCGTCAAGGAGGATGTCCTGTCGACCCTAAAACAGGTTGTCGACGTCGTCTCCAAGTACGCTGGGGGTGCGCTGCCCGAGAATGCGCGGAACCTGGTCCGTCGGCACCTGACTTCCCTGCCACATCGCTTCCAGGTCGCCTCGACGTCCCAGCCGCCGCCGGGCTCGGCGGTCTCCAGCTCGGATGCCACGTTGGGTGCCCATCGCATTCTGGTGCTGGCGCAGGAAGGCCTGGACATGATGGCCCAGGTCAGCGGCGTGGTTAATGACACCCTCGTCAGCGCTGAGCACTGGTGCGAACGACTGGGCAAGAAGCGACCGGAGGGCAAGAATGCGGGCGAAATGCCCCCACCTGAGCCCCGGCAGGAACAACAGTACCCGGCTGATGTGAAGCAGCCGATCTGTGAGCCCCCTCGGGATGCTGCCATGATGGGGACGCAGGAGAAGGTGTAGCTGTAATCGACAAAGCGAAGATGCAGGCCTATGCGCTGAAATGTGCGTGCGAGAAGCAGGCATAGTAGCGAAGCGTCTTCCGTCCTTTGATTGCAATTGCCCGTACTCGCATCCGACTACGGGACCTCCTTGTCGGTCATTCAACTTCAATTTTCTTTTCTTCCCCACTGCAGATTACCTTCATTCCGACCTTTTCTTTTCTTTTCTCCTTTTTTTTTTTTTTTTTTTTTTTTTCTCTTTCTACGATTCTCGTCGCGACTGTCCTTTTCTTTTATATCCTCTGGTCACTTTGATATCCGCATAGCTTGTTTGGTCGATCTAAGACACGAAAGAATTGGCGTTTCTCATTGGTTTCTTGACTTATCCTTTCCCATGACGTTGGAGCGAGACATGGCAATCATGCCAATTGTTGTGTCTCTTCTCTTCTCTCAGTACTCTTTCTCCCATTCTCGGTGCATCTTTTCCCTCATGTCATTCATTCAAGTTACGGGTCGATTTCCTTCCTTGGAGCCGAAAATCGGCTCGTGCTCGTGTACGTAGAGGAGTCTCAAAAGCGTTTGAAAGAGAGCATTGGTTGATAGGAATTTTTTCCTCTGCATCTACCCGTGCTCGCGCTCGACTTCGACCTCGCGTATGAGACTCTTGCATCCCTCATGCGAGCAATACAACCTCACCTTGATAACCCTCGCAGCCGCCGCGGCTCTCACATCCTTCGCGTCCCTTGCAGCCACCTGCCGCCGCCTCTCCTCTACAATCGCAGCCCACTTCATCCTCGCCTCGGCCACCCGCTGCCGCCGCGCCATCCACCCCCGTTTCCACAGCGCCAGCTGATACATCTCCATGGCCGACACATTCGAACCCCCGCGTCCCCCTCCGAGCGTCAGCCGCTTCCTCCCCTGCCCCTGCCCATCCATCTCTTGTCCTCTTGAATCCCCACCGCCCAACCCATCCATAACCCCCACCCTCCACCTCCACCTGCGCACCTCCTCCACCTCCTCCCCACTCCGACAGAGCGTCCACACCCCGCGTCGCACAAGCAAATGCACCTGGATGTGCAGGTCCAGCGCATACCGCGCGCGCAGCGCCGCGTCCTCCGCGTTCGCATCCGTGTTCGCGTATCCCGCCTCCAACGCCTCGAGCGCCGTCGCGTAGAGATGCCGCTGCGTCGCGCTCATGAGGGCGCGGTATCCGCGTCGGGGCGAGGGGTCCGGGATCGTGCGCGGGGAAATCGGTTCGTCGGGTTCGGGGGCGTGGAAGGGCGGGTCGCGGGTTGGGTTGTAGAGGTTGGTGCGGAGGGCGTGCGCGAGGGAGAGGGAGAGCGGGGTTTGCGGCGTGGGGAAGCGGCAGGTTGTGCAGGTGAGAGCTTCAGTGAGGGTTTGGGTCTGTTGGGTTATTTGGTTGTTAGGAGGGTGACGATGATGATGGAAGGTTGGTGGGAGGGGAGGAGAGGGTGCGGGAGGTACCAGTTCGTGGTCGGAGGGGTCAGTGGGGAGGGTTGGTTCTGGCATTTTATTGTTGTATTTGACGTGGGTAGTTGAGAAGCTGGGTAGCTGGGTATTAGTGAGTATTGGGGGAGGTTTATATATATGGGATGCAAAGATGATGTGATATATGTCGTATCCTATACATCTGTCTGGTTGAGGCGGGACAATGGAATAGTTCATGGTTCATAATGCAGCATGTCTTGGGACATGGCATTGTTTTATATAGACGGTGACAATGCCCATTTGCATACTGTGTATGACTCCATCACTTGATTCACTTGTCCCGCGTCTTGTAGCGTCTGTACTGGGTCATGGGCTTGACGATCGTTGGGTTTAGATACATTCCCCTTTTTTTTTTTTTTTTTTTTCTTATGTCGGAGAGCAGGATGTCAGTTGATCCCGAATGCTAGCTAACACCATCACATGTGCTGTATGTAGAGTAGATCAGGATAGTGGGAGAGGATGGGCTAGCCTACACGGGTCGTGGCTTAGATGTGAGGGATTCAATTCGATTCCTTTTTCTCATTATTATTATTATTGTCGTCATTGGTATTATTATCTTTCTGGCTGATGGAAGAGGAGTATCTTGTCCTGTTGAAGACAGCGGTTTCTGTTGAGAGATATGATTGTTGGCGATGGAATGGGATATATCCAACGGCCTCGTTGTATTGCATGCATGCATTTCACCCAGGTATCGTTCAAGACAGGGGACAGGCTCTTCTGAGACACTAGTCCAATAGACATGTCGACATGTCTAGGACTGGTGTCTGAATACAGAAGATCTCCAAAAAAATGTATTTATCTGCAGACGAATCCAGAGTTTGCTAGGTTGCAGTACCATTCCTTGTGTCTACTTGGCGGGTTGCTGGACTAGGACAGGAAGGAAAACAGAACATCCAAAATATACGCTAGCTTGGAGCTTGTAGACCCTAAAAGCCAAAACTGTCCCATCGGGCATATCCTACAGTATCCTCGCTTGACCTGGCAGAAAGCTGATATTGGACTGTATTATGATGGCTTACCGGGGCTGGGAGTGTAGTGGCCACAGAAAGCAATATCTCAAGCCATAGATTGGTGCAGAGGCATCAGACTCAGCGAGGGGCAGTGACCTGGTTGGCCACTGTTGCAGTGAATGATGTGCTTGAGATATCCATGTTTTTGCTGTTGTAATCTGCAGGCTAGATAGAGCAACACATTTCGGCGAGTTCAAACCTGGTCAAATTGCGGCATCTCGATCACGAATTCGATATGTCTGCACCCCTTGTTATCAATCTCTTCCCCGCCATCTGTCTGCTGCTATCTGCCATTTTCGTGGGCTGTCTACACCGCAGGACGATATCGCGGACGCTGTCGCGATTCCAGCCAGAAGCCCGCGGCGTATGGCCGAGTGAGGGACGACGAAGCTGCAGGCCCCATGTGAGACTACCGGCGATGGAACCGCAATACAGGTTGCTGACTGTGAGTTGCTGCATCTTGATCTAGCGATGAAGAAGCGATTGAACTTTCTCGGTCCGATTCCGTATCGACCTCGGAAACTGTCACCGACAACGACGACGATCGACCAGCAGAGTGTCGTCCCGCTACTCCTCTTGCCAGATACTTTGATCCGTACTCCTCCGTTCTTCACGAACATATCCTAGAGCCTGCTTCTCCACCATTGACACCGTGGGAGCGGGAACTTCAACAACGCATCGACAACGGGCGAGGTCTCGGTGCATTCATAGATCGTCTGGTGGATTCGGCCGTTAAACGCCTGCAGCTCGCGATGGGACATGCATGAAAGGACGGTGTAGTGAGGAATCCTATAGCGGTGTAGGAATGAATGATGGGGAGGATACACGCAAGACAGGCCATATCTTGCTTGGTGCAGGGGGTCCGGATAAGGCTGCGCATTCCCCGCGGGCCCAAGGCTATATCAAAAACACGATTCCATCATCTACGGGTCCCCTGCAGGTTTGTATTGCATGCTGCGGCACTAGACCTGCAATGCTTCGTGGCACTCAGAAGAAGTTAGAAGCCAAGATGTGGTGGTCCGTGATTGCGAAGCTGAGTGATCAGGATTTAGGAGAAACGCCACATTCCGCCATACCTGTGCTTAGCAACCTGGCAGATATAACCTTCACGGAATTCACATCTCCTAGAAGCCTCAAAAAGAACTTGAAATAGTATCCTAATTGCCTGGTCAATTTGTCTATCATGCTGTATACTATATATATCCCGTTAGGTGTATCCCCTCCCAACCAAAGAGATCTGCTATTGAAAAAGAAAAGAGAAAAGGTAAATTGTTTATGGTGCACAGTAGCCGCCATCGACCACGAGGTCTGCACCAGTGGTGTAACTGGACGCATCCGAAGCTAGGTAGAGGTAGGCACCCTTCAATTCTTCTGCACGGCCTTCACGGCCCATGGGGATCTTATCTTTCCAGATACTCTTGGTCTCCGCAGGTACGAAGCTGGAGATCTCCGTAGCGATATAACCAGGGGAAACGGTGTTGGCACGAGCGAACTTGACCCACTCGACAGCAAGAGATTTGCCTGTTCTGATGTCAGAGAAAATCCGGAATCAGCATGCTGCTCTTTGGAACTTACAAAGGTGAATCACACCCGCCTTGGCAGCATTGTAAGCAGCCTGCATCTGGGGGACGTTCACGATGTGACCGCTCATAGACGCGGTTGCCACGAAGCTGCCATATGTGAAGTTGGAAAGCTTGTTCCCATTGATGTCGGTTCCTTCCTCCTTTTGCCTCCTCCAGTGGCCGGCGGCAGCTCTGGCGCAATAGAAGGTACCGTTCAGATCAATGTCGACCACACTGGAGTAGTGATCGAGGGGACCATCGACCATTGGTCCCTTGGTCCATGGGATACCAGCATTGGCAATGAAGACGTCTAGACGGCCATTGAAGTCCTTCACAGTCTGATCAACGGCCTCCTGGACAGCCTTAGCATTGGTGATGTCGACCTGGTAAGCCTTAGCTATGGAGATGTCAGTCTTTTGGCGCTTCATTCTTCAGGCAGAGAACCACGGGCTGAGTGGTACCACGCACTTTGTACACCGTACTTCGAGGAAATCTCAGCCGCCCGTTCAAGGCACTTAGCATTGCCACCCCACCACATAGCAACGTTGGCGCCTGCTTCGGCCAGACCTTGAGCCACGGCGAGGCCAATACCAGCACCAGCACCCGTAACGATAGCAGTTTTGCCCTTGAGGGAGAACATCTGCATCAAGCTGGGATGCTCAGGGGCGCTGGTATTTTCATGTACAAAAAGACCATTCTGATTGACGGGATTGGCTGCCATGGTGAGAAACGCAGAATATTGGATATAGAATACAAAGGGAAGCAAAACAATGCAGGAGAGAGTACCAGACAAAGACAAAGAAAACGGATAAACGACGGGGCAATGGGATCAACCAGCGGTCTCTTATATAGAGGGGAGAATACGGAGGACTGGAGATAACTGATCCAAGCTCACTCCGTATTGGTATCCCTCTTGTGGTGTGACGGGAGATGGTGGGGTTCAAAGAGATAGCAGAAGACTGTTGTTTCATGTGTCTTCATGATTCTATCTTACGGAACAAGGTTAATAATCACAATGCTAGCCCTCTAGAACCGACATGTAGGCACATCAACTCGAACCCCCGAGGCAGTCGGAGCTGGCAACGCGGCCTCCCACGAGTCAGTGGGGGTTCCAGCAGAGCGACAGGTCTAGTCATTGCGGGTTTGTATGACAGTAGGTGTCGCCAGAGTAGCCTGCCCAGGCTGCCTAGCACTGCGTTAGTGCGGGTGGCTGAACACAACCCGCAGGTTGTTTCTTTGAGGTGAATCAACCTGGAGTGTGGGACTATGGATGGAGCATTGAGGTCTCTGATGCTCGGAAGTCCATTATCTTGAGCTCGAGTCTCGAGGGGATAATTTTATCCATAGTCTTCATGGGGCGTTATCATCAATCTTGTTGTTTTTTCACAAGTTCACAACTGTATCTAGATCTTGACTGCTCATTTCCAGGAGTTCCTGGGCAGATCCAAAGGCAGATCCAAAGTCGCGATGGAGAGAAGGAGGGGAATGAGGTGGGTCGTGGGGATCCCGTGATTGTTTCTGCCTGAGGGTCTGGTCTGGGATTGCAGTGGATACCATGTTGATAAGGCCACAGCCAAACAACAACAACCACCAGCAGAATACGAAGAATAACACCACCCTTGTGGCTGCTTCTGAACATTCCAACTAACAAGCCATTGTCGAACTATCGGACAAGTCCCGTTCAACAGTGACTGGCCGATGAACAACAGTACTAGTGCACACTACACAGTACACATACCACTGGGGAACTTATGGAGCAAACATTACGACAGGCTTGGTCTCTTGAGCAGACGATGATGAGAGGAAGCCTACCACAACTGGATTTTGGGATTAGCACAGGCGATCATTCCTGGCTTGCTCATACCCCCCCCAATCAAGTTCTAAGAACTCTTTGAACATCAGAAAAATGCCAGATTTGAGAATGATGGTTCGAGCCTGGTCTGCGGACAGGATGTTGACTTTCCCTCCAAATCAACCACACCTCTTCCGAGTAGGATGCATCAGAACACGATTAAATTGATCCGAAAGGCCCTGAGATGATTCAAAATACAATTTAAATGTTGATCTGAGTCTCATAAGAAACTCTGTATCCCATATCCAAGGGAGAGAAGATCAAACCATGGCCAGCATTCCGCGCGTCTACCGTCATGCGGCGGCATTCCTATGCTTCGACTGGTTTCCCCATAACAAACCTCAGTTGCACATTACCCCTAGAGTGCCACAATCCCCAACCTGGAACCAATCTGTTTCTTTTTGCCTCCTTGACCTGTTGTGTGCGTGGATGGTGCTCCGCTCCCAACTGTCCTGTTTGCCATCCATCCACAGAAATCTGGTCTCGAGAACATCCAAGCACACTTCATCACGGGGGGCCAGCGATGAAAAGATTGAGACGGTCTTGAGCTTCGTCTAGGATTGGTGTCTGCTCGATCTCACTGAACGGACGAAGGGGGGACGAAGATGCCGGCGTTGACCACTGTGCTAGCAGTGGCCGCTGTGTGCGCGGCACTCTTCATTGTCTCTGTGGTGGTTGGCACGCTTGTCTGGGTGAAGGCTCGTCGGGAACGCCGTGCGCTGGCTGCAGCTGGTGTGGCACGAGGCCGGTACGCTCGCTCTCTGCAAGCATTCGAAGCCGACACTGCAACTTCGCTTTCTCGAGAGGAGGGATCAGCCTTGAGGTTATATGGTCAACTGCCGTACGGAAGGCCAAACGAATGGGGCCTCTTGGCCAGTCGGGAAAGCCTATTACACTCCCCAATAGACTCCGAGACTTCTTCTCAATTTACCGAGAAAGCTCGTTCGCTGCGCCGCTCGCTTTCGCTTTCACGTTCACGGTCCACCCGACAGCTTAAGGGTCTGATCAGACCGCGTCCTACAGGTCCTCTGGCACCATTAGCAGAAGCTGCTGAGAAATCTTCCGATAAAATCGCCGGGCCAAAAGACCATGTATCACTTTCGGCGATCGAAGGAGTCCTAGAACTACCAACAGAAACAACCCCGAGACAAACACCAGAAAAGGAAGATGATAGGATCAACATGCAACCATGCATACGGCCTATGTCAGCGGCAGTGCCTTCGATTCACATAAGAGAAAGGTCAGGCAATCTTTTCCCATTACTGGAGATGGAGGACTACCGCGGGGGATTTGAACAATCCCAGAGTCGAGTCCGTGGAGGAAGCATTACGAATCAGACGGCTGGAGCTATGCCACAACAGCCAGTGCCTCCACCTCCAAGTGCCTATCCGCCAAATCGCTTCCGTCTCTCGAAGAACGACTCGATGCGGCATTCCTCGTTAAGCCTTGAAACAGCGGACAGTTCCATTCTGGACGAGAACCTAAGAACTTCGACAGGAATGGACAGTAATTTCACTTCACCCGCACTGCCTCCGTGCCCGACGTTTGCGCCCTTTAGTGCGAATGACGTTGGTCGAACGGAATTTGAACGGAGAGGCTTTGCTGCGCTCAATCCAGCATTGCCCATCCCCTTCACGTTCCCAGGTAGTACTGCAACCCGCGAAGATCCCAGACTCGAGCCTAGCCGTTCCTCTCCTCGCCGGAGTATGACTGCGCGTCACCCAAGCCACACCGAAAGGGCTAGCCCACCTCCGCGACGGAGCGGATCTGTCTGCAGCAGTCAATCAAGGCGAGAGATTGCTTCGATGCCATACCTAGACCCTAGTATGACCCCACAGTTGAATGCCACTAGCGAAAATCCTTCGATGCTGCTTTCACTGAATCAGATGCATCGACACTCGATGTACGCCAGTAGGGACAGAGATGTGGATCCTTTTTTTGGTGGGCTAGCCATCTCGAGCACCTCGATCAATATCTCACATACCCCTGGGAGGAGAGCTAGCAGCCTTTATGTGCCAGAAGCCTCTGCACCAGGCGCAAGCAGTGCTTCTAAACCACCTTTGGCCTCGGCATTGAAGAATGGCAACGGACCCCGGAAAGGGCACAAGCGCCAGAACTGTGTGCGAATCTCTATCCACCCTCCCATCACTTTTGGAGGGCCGGCATTCTCTCCAACGGTTGAGGAGCCTGAGGAAGTCGAAGATCTGGATAACCACAGAAATGAAGCCTCGAACTTGGCAGGCTTCAATTTCTCTACGATTAGGCCGACAATCTCATCCTCTTCTGGCAGCAAGCATAGTTCGTACGACTCCCAAAAGGCACGGCTACGAGCCACGGATGTCTCTTCCACGCCTTATGGAAGTCCAACAAAGAAAAGAAAGCATAACCGAACCGATTCAAATGACTGTTTCCTCAGCCCCGCAGGAAGTGACAAGACCTTGCCAGAAATCGTGACATCGCTGCCCAACACCAGTGACGGCACTCTGTCCCAGACCCCGTCCCCCGAGAAGACCATTCCCCTATGGATGCTCCCTGCTCATGCTGACTCGCCAACAACTCGCGAGAATGTATCACCACCCCAAAACAGCAGGCGCCGTTCGGCCGTGAAGGGCCCACGTACCCAGCCTGGTGGTGCTGCCTCCAACAATACTCGCGCGGCAGCGCCGCTCGATGACAGTGAAGCTGCTTCGACCCAGTCCGGCTCGCCAGAGGGTCGTTTTCGCCCGTCGTCCAGACCGCATAGCGGTAGCAGGGAAGCATTCAAATCTGACAATCCTTCCCAGAATGAGGACTTCAACAGTGCATCTCAAGAAAGCCGGACCTCATCCGAAGCTGACAGCCGGCGCAATAGCGCCTCACAAAAGCCTCCAGACGACCTTGCATGTGGTGTCCACAAGACGATGAGTACGCGCAGTGGTAACATGGTCACCATTTGGGAGGACACTGAACACAAAACGAAGAGAGCGCAAGCCAAGTATCCCGCATCATCCCCGCGGAAGTCCAGACAGAAGGGAAGCCAGAAAGCCAAGTCGGATGACAGGGACTCGCACAAATCAAGCCAACGAACGTCCAGGCAAGGCATCACGACACCCACAGGGAAGACAATAGGGTTGGGGATTGGAGCTGCAACTCCTGGTAGTCTGTACGATGGAGACGGGTTTTTGAAGGAATAGTTCGGTTTGTTTGGCTGCGATAGCAATGGATAGCGCTTTAGGGAGTACAGAGGGTTCTTTTGGGCGATTCTTTCGGCTTCATTTCTCTTGCTTGATTGGCTTTTTCTTTCCTCTTTTTTTTGGTTTTTGATATCCGCGAGTTAGGTGTAGTTGGATTTTACTCTGTCCAGCAAGCGGAGCGTCTTTGTCTATTACTTTTCTCATTCTCTACCTTAGTTTATTATTATTGAAGGAATCACCAAAAGATTTAGATGACACACGCTCCTCAGCTATCCATGACACGTAAACACTTTTCTTGTCCGAATTCAGCATTCTATCAAGTCGAAATAGTTTGTATTGAACGCTTCGTTGCATCAGCCGCTTCCCAGCTGAGGCTCCTAATCTGTCCTCCTCCACTTCGTCTCCTCGCCATCATTCTGCTCGTCCTGGCCCGAAATCTGACCATCATCCTCCCTCTGCCTCACCGATCCCGCGCCAGGCCCCAGAGGCAACGATGGCGCCTCACCCCCACCAATCCAATTCCCCTGCTCATCAAAAAACTCGCCCACATTCTCCGCCGTGATCCAGCCTGAGCTGCCCGGCACCGGCGGCGGCAGGCCCCCATCCGCACTCCCCATGGAGATAAACCCAGACTGCAGCAGCGAGTCGCGCTCCTCCTCTTCCTCCTCGGCGTCCTCCTCCATCGGGTCCGGGTGCAGGTTCGAACACGCCGACACAGCCGCGTACAGCATCTGCGTCGGCGTCTCGTCGGGCGTCTCGGATTGGTCCTCCATCGCCTGCTCCGATGCCGTGAGGGTCGCGTCGGCGGCGCTCGCCGTGCCTGCTGTGAACCCCGCGCCTGTCGGCGGGACGATTGTCATCGTGATGCTCTCTTCCTCCTCGTCGTCGGGGTTCGTGCCTGGGGCGGCGGGGGTGGCGATCTGCATGTACAGGCCCTGGGACTGCGGGGCATCTGGGGCGGTTCCGGGGACGTGGAGGCGCTGGATGGCGTGCAGGGAGATGGAGGGGTAGGGGATTGCGACGCCGGCGGAGACGGCGGGGGCGTAGAGGAGGAATTTACTAGAGGAGACCCGTGTTAGTTGGGAGAGGGTTGGGGGAAGGTGAAAAATGATGCGCGCGGCGAACTGCGCGTGCACGTACTCGGAGGTCACCCAGACGTCTATGCCATCGAGCACGATCTCCTTCCCTTCGTCGACTTCTTTGTCTGTGGTAGTCGGCGCATGATCTCCGGCTCCGTTGGCTGTCGGGCTTGGCCCGCGAAGAGCAGTGAGGACGGGCGTGGAGAGGAGATCGCGTTCGAGGATGACGAGCTTGCAATGCTTGCTGTGGTAGTGCAGGACTGGAGGGCCGGAGTGGAATGACTCTGGGGTGCGCGATTGGTGGTCGGCTAAGAGGACAAACGAGGAAGCCTCGGGGGCTGATCGAAGAGGCTCCATGGTGGTTTTGTGTGAAGAAGAAGAAAGAGGATTGTTTTGTAGCTGTTGTGTAGGTGCTGGGGAAAATTATTGATAGATAGTCGCGGACAGCTAGGTAACGCGGAGGCTTGTTATCGATCTGGAGGGGCCTTTTGGTGGAGTCGATGGGCAAGGCGGAGAGTCAAACCAGTGCTGTGAAAGAGTCAATGAGTTCATCGAAGTGAGCTACTTCGGATTTCGAACTGTGTATCTAATTGACTTTCAAGTAGAATTTATCATTTCAATATTGTCTGGTGCTAGTATGTGTTCTACAGAATGTGGTGCATACGCTCGTGTTGGCTGTATATATTCGGGCCTTCAACCACAGATAATGCAATGTGATCCTAGGTAGCACCACCCTGGATAATTGACAACAAATATTATCAAATGTTGTACACTCGTCTTTTAAATGAGACATAGAGAGTGTAGACATCAAGTTAATCAACAAGGAGCCCGTAGATGCCATAGGCTCATCAACTTCCAGTTTACCAACCTAGCATAGACAAATGCCACAGCCTGGCGGATGTTGATGGTCGAGTTAACGCAGCACCAGATAGGTGTCTCAGCGATAACGAGCTGTACTTGCACCGTGTGTTGCGAGTTTCACGCGATGAGGCTAAGATACTGCTATGATGCCTGGCAGGAACCTCGGGTAATGGTAGTTTCCAGATTCAGCTGTGATACCAGCTTTCACGCTGGCTGTGGTGGCCACTATTTCATGCTCATCCCACCAAACGCTCTGTCCAATTCGGCGCCTTCATCGCGAGGCACTAGGGGCGGAGGCCCAGACGTGCCCTGTTGCGTTGGGGGACTATCCAACAAGCTCTGATTTGATTCCTGGTGGCCTTTCGAGGCCGGGACCGATACCAAACTACTTGGCCGAAGCAGTTTCTCATCGCGATCGAGCCAGCCAGGCGCAACGCGCCTCTTTTCGGCAAGATCCCGCTGAGTGATCGCTTCTTCGAATTTCTTGATCGCATTCTCCGCGTCAATCCTCGCCTTGTTCAGGTGTTCTTCCAGTGACTTGCACGACGCCAAGATCTCTTCTGGGTGCGCAGCGTGCTCGCCGCTTGTGGAAACAACATAGCGGGCCTTGACAGTTGGATGACTGGGGTCGACCGTGACAGAGGGAGGAAGAGTCGAGGGTACTGATTTATAGGTGTAAGGAAGAGTGACCGAGGTGGGAAGATTGATAAACGGGGAGACCGTCAAGGGGACCTGAGCGAGAAGCGGATGAGGGCCTAGAAGAGGATCGTCATCAGTCAGATGCAAGCAGGTGTAGTGAGAAAAGAATCGATCAAGACATACGATATGATTCATACATTTTTGCTTTAAATAATAGACTTTTTGTTGTTATTTTTTTTTCACTGCAAGAAACAATAGACTGGGTGAATATTCCAAAACTTCCGCGCAGACTCAGAGATATCTAGCAGGCTCCAGCATGTATGGGTGTTGGGGGAAAGGCGAGATGATGCATCATTCGGGATCCCCGCACTGGAAGGACAAGCAGCAGCAGCAGCAGCAGCAGCAGCAGCAAACAAGAGGCTTCGATTACGGTCTTGCGGAGGGTTGCGATAATAGCAATTGAGAGTAACCAATATATGCATGGGTTACTGTGATAAAATAAGTAATGATGATATCTACCTTAGTAGCAGTAGCAAGCAAGTAGGCAACAAGCTGTCTTAAAACGTCGTTCGCTGCCAATCCTCATTCAGCCTCCTCGCCTGTCGTCTCTTTTGCCCTGGTTGCTTTGCCCAGTTTTTTTCAGCCCATCTGGCGACTTTTCAAGTCAAGTCCTCTTAGTCGATCTACGAGCAATTCAAACATCCTCTCATCCTCCCATCCTCCTCATCCTCCTCATCCATCTGCATCGCAACAATCCCCAAAGGTTCGTGGCCTTATCGTGATTCTCCCCATTAAGAATCTCTTCCGCCACTGCGACCCACGGTCACCCTCAACTTACACTATTTTAGGAAAAGACAATACACTTGGCTGTGACCTAATCCCTACAGGTTTCATCTCCATAGCACAAGGGGTGACTCCTTTTCTCCAGATCGTCTTGTTCTTGATTATTACCAGAGAAATATCTTTGTCCCAGCTGGAGGATTGAATTTCTTCTTGCCAAAACCACCCGGTGCTTCCTTCACTTGAGCCTTGTCTCGTGTGCAAAATCCCGCGGCTCTTCAAACCCCCCCCCACCACAAACTTGCCTCCGCGCAGTTAACTATCTCCCACCCGCTCTTCCCCTGATCCATCCATCGTTCTGGGTTTCGGAGTCATTTCCAAGATTCTATATAGTTGAGAGAGAGAACTTTCTTTTTTTCCTTCTTTTTCTCTTTTTTTGGTTCGCACTGCGCAAGATGGATCCATCATTGGCGCGCGCGCTGAGGGAGAAGAAGCCAGTCCCGGAGATTGACTTCACATTGCATACCATGGAAGATGGCACTCAGGTTTCGACGCAAGAGCGAGTTATCAAGGGTATGTTGTATCTTTTCTTGAGCCTCATCCTTTCAATGACGCCGTATCGGTGGTCATTAACAATTTTGTAATTATAGAAGTGCAGGCGCCGGCCTTGAATACCCCGACAGATGACATGTTCTGGTCCCCTGAAGATCCGTCCAAACCGAATCTCCAGTTCCTCAAGCAGCACTTCTATCGCGAAGGCCGTCTTACCGAAGAGCAGGCGCTATGGATTATACAGGCTGGTACCCAGGTGCTGAAGGCGGAGCCCAATTTACTCGAGATGGATGCGCCCATCACCGTCTGTGGCGACGTTCATGGTCAATACTACGATTTGATGAAGCTCTTCGAAGTCGGTGGGGATCCCTCTGAGACGCGGTATCTCTTCTTGGGAGATTATGTCGACAGAGGCTATTTCAGCATTGAGGTGAGCGCCCTGGCTTGGCACCTCTTCGCTCACCTTTGTCTTGCCAGGAGAACTGACATTCGCTAGTGCGTTCTCTACCTCTGGGCCTTGAAGATCTGGTACCCGAACTCGCTTTGGCTGCTCCGTGGCAATCACGAATGTAGACATCTCACGGACTACTTCACCTTCAAGCTCGAATGCAAGCACAAATATAGCGAGCGCATCTACGAAGCCTGCCTCGAGTCGTTCTGTGCACTGCCTCTGGCTGCGGTCATGAACAAACAGTTCTTGTGTATACACGGTGGTCTGAGCCCTGAGCTGCATACCCTGGAAGACATCAAATCGGTACGTTTATCGCTGCTGGCACGCCCCGCAAAATGTCTGGAAATAATGATCTAATACGCAACAGATCGACCGTTTCCGAGAGCCCCCCACCCACGGTCTCATGTGTGATATTCTCTGGGCCGATCCTCTGGAAGAATTTGGACAAGAAAAGACTGGCGACTATTTTATTCACAACAGTGTCCGAGGCTGTTCTTACTTCTTTTCGTACCCCGCTGCTTGTGCATTCCTTGAAAAGAACAACCTGCTATCTATCATTCGAGCACACGAGGCGCAGGACGCTGGCTATCGCATGTACCGAAAGACCCGGACGACTGGCTTCCCTAGTGTGATGACCATCTTCAGTGCTCCCAACTACTTGGACGTCTACAACAACAAGGCTGCCGTCTTGAAGTATGAGAACAACGTCATGAATATCCGGCAATTCAACTGCACACCCCATCCCTACTGGCTGCCAAACTTCATGGATGTGTTCACATGGTCTCTCCCCTTCGTCGGCGAGAAGATCACTGATATGCTCATCGCCATTCTCAACACCTGCTCCAAGGAAGAACTCGAAGACGACACTCCGACGTCCGTATCACCCTCAGCTCCTTCTCCGCCGCTTCCGATGGATGTGGAGAGCAGCGAGTTCAAGAGGCGGGCGATCAAGAACAAGATTCTCGCTATTGGTCGGTTGTCGCGTGTCTTCCAGGTGTTGCGTGAGGAGTCCGAGAGAGTTACCGAACTCAAAACGGCTGCTGGTGGCCGTCTGCCAGCTGGCACTCTGATGCTCGGCGCCGAGGGAATCAAGCAGGCCATCACCAACTTCGAGGATGCTCGTAAGGTTGACTTGCAGAACGAGCGTCTTCCGCCCTCGCAGGAGGAGGTCATCAGGAAGAGCGAGCAAGAGAGAAAGGCCGCGTTTGAGCGTGCCCAGCAAGAGGCAGATAATGATGCCGGACTGGCTTCTGTGGCACGGAGGATCAGCATGTAAGTGAAGAGATTCGTCAAGGGAGTGGTTGTTTGCTAATCAGGTACAGGTCGGCCGGTTCTGGCAAGAGTCGCCGGCAGCAACAGGATCCCAACCGGGAGTCTCGGGAGGCCTGAGTTGCATATAAAATCAAGAACTGTGGGCCATGTTCATACCGCACATCTTTCCAATGCTGGTGAAGTATCCGCCCAACCCTGGTGCTCGAATCTTGTCGACATAGATGTCGACAAGGTCTCTGGGTCTGCATGGCCCTTGGACAAAAGGGATCAATGCGTATCGAAAGCATTTCGCATGTGTTGATTCTCATTTGACCTACTGCGATACCCAGTCTCAAGGATGAGCGAATAATGTGGCCTGTTTGGAAGAGGGAGGCATATCTGTAATTCCTGGACAGAGTTCTGTAGGCGTCCGTGACGCCTCGACTACGAGCTGATGAATGATACACCATGATTTATTTGAGCTTATATTCATGCCATCTTTACAAATACTGCGATTCTTTTCAAATGGTAATGAACTGTATCCTAAAGTACACGATTTCTCCTAAAAAATGTAGTAGAACAAAACCTATTCTGTTGGTCTTGCGTGGATTATTACAACGAGAGATCGGGTCATTCCGCCAAGACAATCCCATCTCTATCGGCTTTGCGGAATACTTGCTTTCGGAGCTCCTCCTCCACCCTTCCAACGGCTCAACAGACACACCAACCATCTCTTCTAGTCAATGCCTGCCAAACTCCGCGGCTCGGTCGCAAAGACCCTGTCGCGCCCGCTGGACAATGGATCGGTCTTTTACTGCTCGTCCTGCTCTACCTGGCGACGAACATTGTCCACGCGTTCCCGGAATGGCAACGCTTGTCGGCAAGAAAATCGCATTCCCTCATCACCGTCAACCGTGTCAGCGAACGCTTCGCGCCGTCAGCTGGCAACAGTACCCGTAAATAGCGCGGGGAGAAATGTCCCAGCCCAGTATAAGGAGCTCTATGAAGCCTTGAATCGCGCGAGGGAGGCTGCGCCGGAACAAGTCAACGTCAGTCGATTACAGCTCGCGTTGCGAGGGTTGGAGTCGGAGGTTCCGCTTGTTCGCGTTGCTGGTGAGTTTGATGCTCTTGTATTTTCCAAAAGACCACACGGACTGATGCATTGAATTTTCAAGTTCTCGGATTGAATGACGCGACTGCCGCTCGCAAACTCGTTCGCCTGCTCCTCGCCGATCCGCTGAGCCCTCGGGAGTCCTGGGAGGATATCCTAGATTCTTTCGATGCGGATATGTCGCGGGGTCTGCTGATCCGGTATGATGTCCCCGCGAAGTACACACAGGATGAGTTCTTAACCATGGTGATAGATATGGAGAAGTCTCTGAAACGATCCCAAATGACCTGCTACCTACCATCTCCGTGCCCTCCTCGATCTTGAAGAAGGGAAATATCGAAATCTTGGTCAGCACGCTCGGTGCGGAGACGGAGTTCTCGACCTCCCGGCTCTCAGCGGATACCTTCCTCGTACCCACCGTGACAATCCGAACATCGCACTCGGGCCGGCACAACGTCGTGCGATACCCAGTTCACAGGAGTATCGTGTGTGGTAGCGGAGCCGACGATTTACTCGCATACAGCGGCTTGATTGCTCGCTCGAACCTGAAGAAAGAAGCGCGCTCCGTCCACGGCGTGATCGAAATCCCCGGCGCCGCGACGGAATCGACCAGCGATCGCATAAGTTTTGTGGATATCCACCAGGCTGACGAAGCGCTGGCCAAATTCCGTGAGTCCGTGCAAAATGCGTCTCTGTACGAGCGCGGTTGGAGTCGGAGCGGAGTTCAGCCAGTTGTGGATTGGCTGTCGTCGCTGCGGACGGAGGCGGGAACGTTGAACCCCTCCTTGAGGACTCTGATAGAGGCACTGATTGATTCTGCGGAGACAGGTGTGGTCACTGAGGAGACCAGGAGAATGCTAGAGCAAGAGGCAGAATCCATTCCTGAGGAAGTCCGGGAGCAGCTGGCTCGACTCGTATCCGCATGGGCGGAGAGAGCACACATTGAGCTACGGGGTTCGCTCGAAGAAGGATTCGCCAGCAAAGACTGGAAGGATCTGGCGTGGTGGAAGCTATTCTGGCGGGTGGATGATATCAGCATGGTTACCTCTGAGATTCTGGAGAAGAAGTATCTCTGCCGGGCGGAGAAGGAGGTGATCTGGACGGCAGGGAAGTTTGAGCAGGCCGGCGTGCTTGAAGGATCCCCTCTTGCGAGCGAGGACGTGGTATCCGAGTCTGTAGAACCGGACATGAACAGCTCTACGCCGATGGAACCTTCACAACCGCAAGCACCTTGGCCCACTCAGATCGCCCAGAGCCGGACAAAACTTCTGGGAACCACGGTGCCGTCTTTGCATGCTTTGGCGCAGCGGCTTGTGCTCTTCAGTGTGTCCACGACGACGCTGACAACGGCTCTATCAGCCTTGACGTACGTTTCCTGGCCGACTACCTCTATCTACGAGACGGGCACCATGGCCGCGGTGGGCTTGATCTACTCCCTGCGAAACCAGCAAAAGAAATGGGATGCCGCCCGCGCATTCTGGGAAGAGGAGGTCCGTGAGAATGGAAGAACCGCCCTGCTGGAAACGGAACAGGAGTTACGCACAATCACACAGCAGGGAGGCAGACACGTCGAGGAGATCGCCAAGACCGATGCCCGCGAGCGCATTGGCACAGCCAGAAAAGCTCTTGACGAGCTCGATTAAATTTACATAGACCCTAGCTCTAGATCCTACTGTACAATACCAAGTTTGGTCCCCTGTATTCCCTTCCCTTCCCTCTATGTAATCTCCACACTCCCCTCCGGCACACCCTGCCAACTACGCAGCCGCCGCGCAAAGAACTGCATCACCGGCATCATCTCGTCCCGATTGCGCGGCATCCCATCCCCCTTCCTCGCATACCGATGCACCTCCACAAACTCAAAAACCTCCTTCGTCCTCCGCACCGCCCCATCACTCACAGCCGACGGCTCGCGCCCTCCCACCAGCAACACCGGCGTTCGGCTCTTCGCGCCCACCGTGCTCCCAGACAGCGGATACGGCGCCCCGATCGAGATGACCCCCGACAGCGCGGCCTCACCCCCGCGCCCGGCCCGCACAGCAATCTCCCTCGCGGCAACCAACCCGGCCATCCCGCCCTGCCCGAGCCCGAGCACCAGGATCTCGCGCAGCGCATACCCGCATTTGCCCACCAGCACGCCCTCAATCAGCTCGTTGACCATTAGGGTGGTGGTGCGCGTGAACCCGGCGTCCATGTCGAGGTTGCCGGTGCTGGAGTCGAAGGAGACGTCGTCGCCCCAGTGAAAGCCGCCGAGGTCGAAGGGGAGCGGGGTGGGCGCTTGGACGGTCACGACGGCTGTCTCGGGGAGGTTGAGGGCGCGGCCGAAGGAGGTGAATGCGGCTGCGGTGTCGCCGATGCCGTGCAGCAGGAGGAGGATGTTTGGGGGTGCGGGGGCGGGGGATGGACGGGAGGAGGAGGAGGAGGAGGGCGGGGTGATGGTTACGGTGAGGGTGGAGGGGAAGTCGGGCGGTGATGGGGGCTTTTTGGGTGGCATTGTAGTGGATTTCCAGGTCTTGGGGAGGGAGACTTCTTGTTGAGGTGTGTAAGTAAGTGTGTGTGTTTTGTGGTAGGGAGGGTTGAGTTGGAGGTGGTGATGTTTCTATTGGTGGGGTAGAGAGCTTGTGGGTGGGAAGGATAGATTCTCAATTGAGATTTGATAGATGTCTCGAGGGATTGAGAAAATTTATGATCTTTCAAATGGCTCTGCTCGAGAAAATCATTCTGAATTGTTTCTTTGGTTCCGAGACCTTGTTCTTCGCAGTATGAGTTCGTAGAGTTGTTGGTTTGACATCGGCCATTTGACAGCCTGACGAATCAGGCCAGCGACATACCTTCTGCACAAGGTCTTCTTTCTACGACAGCTATGAGCCCGGGGCCTGTCGTTTCGCGTGACGAGCTTTGATCTGGATTTGCTCCCGCACTTCTTCACGGATGGTCTGTACCACTGTTCCGAATGGCCACCTTTCCGCGTCCCTTTTCCATTCGCGTTTGATCTCCCTGGAGAACGTTCGGTCATATTCGTCGAGGATCCTCAGTAGATCAAGGACATCTTGACCATTCCTGAATGCTTCCTTGTCCAGGCGGGCCATCCTCCTCTGAACGAGCTCAAACTCATTCATCTAGGCCTGGAAAGCCTCGAGTGTGTTGAATCTCGGGCCCTCACGCAGGTGGTCGTATTCCTCTTGCATGTCTCTTTTCTCATCTTCCTCTTTTGCACCATAGTGCTTTTGGAGCTCTTCCAACATCTCCCTGGCTTCCAGGACTCCCTCGATTTGGCGAGCTGGATGCTGAGCTAGAGATCCCCTAATCAGCGTGGCAATGGGAGAAAGAGCCTCGATATAAAACGAAGATATATACAGGATAAGGATCCTATCCTGAGGAGGTGTGTCGACGTAGATGAAATAATGTATCCCACTAACTAGAATTCGGATACCTTTTTAGTGTAGCGGTATTACACAGATTTCAGTTCTACGACAGTTATGAGCCCGGGAGGTGGTCATAGTGCTAAGGGTAGGGAGGGAGAAAGAGCCTCAATATACCAGATATACACAGTATACAGGATAAGGATCCTATCCTGGCTACTCCCTAGTAGATACAAACAAGGGGATGGACCACGCTAGTCAGTGTGCGTCGCACTATGCCTAAATATGCATGGTAAGCGAGTGTATCACCAATACAGTGAACACCACTCTACGACACTACTCTACTCCCTATACTCTGTACCTGGAATACATCTTCGAGACCATGCAATTGATCCCCATGAGGAAGTTCCAAAACGCGACACCATGCATGGCTCGGCAGTCGGTACGGACAAGCCCGTTCCAACTGTGACATTGATGTATGTAGGTACGTTTCTCGATCTCATCGCTTCTCATACTACGCAACTATCTAACCATCAAGAATACAAAAGAAAGAGAATACAGCTTCATGGCAGAGGGATCAGATCCTACCAGTAGATAGTAGATACCATTACGCGAAACAATGGACAGTCTCATTTTTCCCTCTCCACTATGAGTTGCCTACGTAGTAGATTTCCAGCTCCAGTTTCAGCTCCAGCTCCAGCCACACAATGTGTCCCAGGTATTGTGGAAATGGAATAGCTCGTTTCCTCGCCACTTCTCCAGCAATGAAAATAGAACCCAAGCAGCCTATAAGATAGCTGTGGCACTGCGCAGTGGCAGTGCACAGTGCGCACGAAGAGAGCCTTCTTTTGATTCGCTCAGACATCACTTCATCTCAAGTGGGGAGTATCCAGGTACAAAAATACCACTCCACTCGAAAAAAAAAATACTGATTACTGAGGGAATTGCCGTAGCTGGGTTATTGGGTTGTGGCTATGCCTTCTGAGAGAAGGTATACTGCAGAGAGCGATTCTGCGCCGTATCTGTCTAGATAACTCCGTAGTTGCAGTGGTGATCCGGTCATAGGGCAAAGACAAGCCTTGGACAAGAGAAGCTTGGCGATGCGAATTTCTCGGTCAAACCGCCATATCTGATATTGCACCTTCGGGTTTCCCGATTCTCGCCAGCAATACCACTAATCAATTAGTAATGCATGGCTAGCGAGTAATAACCAATGCCAGTCTAATTATCTAACACCCTAAGTCTTTCGATTAAGTAAGGCTGAGTGAGAGACCCATTTCTCAACCGATCACCAAGTTGGATCGATCATTGATGACCTACGGAGTAATACTGGCTGGCGGAACGTAAGACGGTAAGACAGTCACTAATCAATGTGGCATTCTCACAATAGTTACGCCTGTATAGCTTGAATTTGGCTTATGCCAGTGAGCATCATCTTTGATTACGGAGTACTCCAGTCTCCACTGAAAGCATTGATGTGGTGTACAACGGACTCAGTGAAGAGGATTGATTGTTCCGAGCTCAGCTATGAGGGTGATTGTATGTATGATTATTACCGACTTACACCTTCGGTAATGGTACTGCCTATTTCCACAGCAATGGAATGGAGTCGAATGATACGTACATGGATCTCTCTTCAAAAGGCCTCTGGTGCACGTTGTCCCCAGTGATTGGTTCAAGGTTTCAGCTTTCTGGAACATTAGCCAACTGCGAGTCCATGCAGCACGTCCCCTGAAAAGGACAGACGCCGTGGCGCATTCAAATCAATTATCTTGAGTCTCGAGTACTGAAGGTGGACTGATTTACCAGGCGGATCCCCACAGCCACAGGCTGAAAAAACTATTACTGATAGTGATGCGCTCAGTAGTCAGTAGTAGTCGAGTAGTTTTAGGAAGAGTGGTTGCGATCTCCTTTCCCCACTGTCGCAAAGGTGCAGGCTGCAGCCTGAGTTAGTCTCACTTGATAGTTCAAGTCCATCTTCACAAGGTTTAGCTTGGTCCCGCGAAGGCCGAAGAGACCCTTTTCGAGACCTGAGGCGAAGCCAAATGAGGGGCAATGAGGCCATTTGACTACGTCGAGGGGCGCTAGGGTGAGAGATGTACAAAACCCCGCCATTGCAAGGATATAAGAACGACCGATATCTCGCTCAGAGTCTCCAACGTAGCTAGAAACCACCAAAATACCTCTCAATCGACCAACTCCATTTTGTGACTTTTTCTTCCCTTCAAACAAATCAATTTGCATAGATCGATATGGCTTGGGGCTGGGGTAAGTCATTCTCTCCCGTTTCCCCCGTCCCCGCGATACAACTCAAGGGAGCCCGACTATGAATGGGGTACCCTCGTCAGCTCGCCCGACTGCAATTACCGCAAGTGGGAATGGCAAGAATCCCGCTAATGCTGTGTTTTATCTAGACCAATCCGATGACGCGCACCGCGAGGTGTACGGCGAGCGCAGACACGAAAGCAGCCTGTCTCACGAGCTCATCGCCGGAGCTGCATCCTTCGCTGGTATGAAGGCCTGGGAGGACCACCAACGCAGCGAAGGTAAGCCTATCGGACCCTACTCCGGAGCGGTCAGTTACTCATCACATTACCCGTCGATTTAGGTAAGCCTGTCAGCCACGCCTTTGCCAAGGAAGCTCTTGCAGCCTTTGTGGGTGCGGAGGTCGACAAGCTGGCGGAAACCAAGGGCCTCGATGAAGTCGACAAGATCCGCGCGCACCACCACGCCAAGGAGAATGCCCAGAAGATGTACGACGAGCACTATATTGAGAATCGTCGTGCTGATGAGTACGATCCCAACCGCTACCCACCTCACGAGCGCTTCTCGCAGTCTGATCGCTGGTAAACGCCTTGATTGGAAGGGGACTGAGAGATTGCTTGTATCTTAGTTAGCTGGGGAGGATTGTGTTTAGCTCCGCATTGCCATGATGACCATTGAATATAATTAGCATGAATCACAAATTTGCCTTGATATGATGATAACTGGCACATTACCAGTCAAGGACAAACAAACTCAATAATAGGTGCTTTCTAACTGACGCCACCTAGTCTTGGCAGCGGTGTGCAGAGATTGGTATGTAGGAGTCAACCTAGCAGTATCCCAGTCCAGCAACACATATGAACCATCCATATCGATAGGTATCCTGGAACAGGTGGCACAGATCCCTTCAGCGTTGAATCTCGGTAGAAATAGGTTTGTAGCAAATTATATCGATGCTCTCACCGTGGAAGAGGGGCAAGTAGACAAGTCACATGCCTGGACGACTGGGTGGTGATTACCGTAGCATGACAACAGCAGAGGTTCTGCCCGCTGTTGGATCCGTGGACTCGGTTGTATGGGGAGGGGGGAGTGTTTTGTTTTTGAAGCTGTACAATCGAGACTCTCGGCTATGACCAGATGAGAAGCCATTGATTGATGGATATTTCCTCCGATACCGAGTCCAAGGTCAATTGGTGAGAACTAGTTACCCTGGGGTCTGCAATGGCATGCACCAGATGCAGCGGATGCGCAATTGAACTGATCGCGTGCTGCACGTGCTTCTATCTGGTTGCTGACTGGCCAACCAGCATCCAGAGTTCAGAATTATTGCTTCATGGATTCAGTCTGAGCATCGGTCTCATGCCTTTGGAGAAGACCACTTTTCTCAGCCTTAAGGGAATTTGGTCGATGCTCTCTGTCCTAGTTTGGCGTGCCCTGTGCACCGTGAGCCTGCAGAGACCAGAGGATATCGCCTAATAGCCTTCGACTTACTGCTTGGCAACCTGAATCAGGCATGACTCTGGTGGAGGACGAGACTTGGTGATCCTCTTCTTGTCTGCGTTGATAATTTCTTTTTCCTTGTTTTTTTTTTCTTTTTTTCTCTCTGTTTTCTATTTTTTTCCCCCTTTCTGCTTCCTAGATTCTGTATCTGTGCTAATATTGCTCTCTTCTGGGGTTCTGCTCTGTTCGATCTCCATTCTTTGATCCTTTTTTTTTTTTTTTGCACAGATCGAATTCGTCATCTCTTGTCGCAGTCTCATTTATCAGTCCAGATACCAGTGATCTGGTACTTATCTTGCAATCATTTTTCATTCATTCCTAGACCCCCCAGTTATCCTTAGAGTCAACTGAGCTAGCAACTCGGATTTGAGCGACAGACGTTAGCCGCGGTATATCGATCGATAATTGATATCACTAGCTTGAATCCCCAGAGCAGAGACCATCGGCTTCACTTTCTTCTCCCTCAGCCGATCCTCCTGATGATCTAGATCCAATCAAGTTTGAACATACTCGGCCCCTGCCTTCGTCCGCCTCTTACTATCATGCACAATCCCGTTGAGTTTCCAGGATGAAGTTCGCCAAGTTTGTGACCCCCGAATCTCCCATTGCCCCCCGCACAGCCTATAAGCTGTACAACCCCGGAGTAAACACTGACATTGGCTCTCTGTCAATAGAGAATTAGAACAGGAATTGGTTCCTGAATGGCGTGCCAAATACTTGGATTATAAGGTGAGTCCCAATGTTCGGCTGACCTCTTTCAGTCTTTTCTCTCCGCTGTGTATGGCAACGCACTCATGCTGATCGTCTGTTCCTGCGTGCAGACGGGCAAGAAAAAAGTTAAAGCCATTGCGCGCGCCATTCAAAAGACCCATCGAAGCCCTCGTTACCCGTCCCTTCGACGTGCCAACACTGGGCTGGACGATCCAGCCGCCACCCCCTCCAATCCCTTTCTCTCCTCATCTCTTCGTGGTTCAGACAACAGAAGACTTGAGATTCCTGGCTCGTTCTATAACCCTTCAACTCCCGGTGGCATTGCGGCAACCCCTTCACGCTCGACAACCGGCCAACGTAATGAACGCCAGCCGTTGCGAGTACCGGGATCTCGGTTCTCCGCCGTCGTTGGAAGCTATGGCAGCATTATTCCGTCGCCTCCACATCACGGCGCCACTTCCGATATAGCCTCTCTTGAGTTGCCTGACCCGGCACTTGACCCCAAGGATGATGCTTTTTACTCGCCTCCAAAAGATACCAATCGTGGGAACAGACTGAAGGCTCCGTCTCCTGACATCTCTCGGAACGGCAGTAGTAGGAAGGGTCCCCTCGACTCTCACAACCGGAGCCCCTTGGCACAACCGTCGGAAGGGGGCAAGTCAAGCCTGAGAAATACGTATGCAGGACCTTCCGCCACGAGGACCTCGCAGCTCCTCAAGCGAGTGTTCTCGTATCCCGATTGGGAACAGCCCGAGAAACGCCCGCAGACGACCACTTCCATGTCAGAAGTGGAGCGCCGAGAGGATGAGTTCTTCGGGTTTCTGGACGGCGAGCTGGCCAAGATCGAGTCTTTCTACCAGATGAAGGAAAATGAAGCCACCCAGCGCCTACAGGTGCTCCGAGAACAGCTGCACATCATGCGAGACAGACGAATCCAGGAAGTCTTGAGTGCCAAAAAATCACGCTCCCGGAACATTGATGGACATCAATCTAACGGACTCGTCAAATTGAATGGCTTCAGCGGTCTCCGCCTCAAAGAGACACTGATGGGCCGGAATCGCTTTGGGAAGAATTCCGAAGCGCTGGCACAGATGAATACGGTGGCAGCAACCGGAGGGCAGAATCCCGACACAGTCATGGATCGTCGAGACTTCATGCGCCGGCCAGAGGATGCACAGCATGGCGATGTTACCTATCGTTCCGCAAAACGGAAGCTGAAATATGCCCTTCAAGAATTCTATCGCGGTCTCGAGCTGCTCAAAGCCTATGCCTACCTTAATCGAACGGCTTTCCGAAAGATCAACAAGAAATATGACAAGGTCGTCCACGCTCGCCCGACCATGCGATACATGTCAGAAAAGGTCAATAAATCTTGGTTTGTTCAGAGTGAAGTCACCGAGAATCTGATGGCCGCGACGGAAGACCTGTACGCTCGTTATTTCGAACGCGGCAACCGCAAGATTGCCATTTCTAAATTGCGCCACACCATCAACAAATCGGGAGACTATTCTCCAAACACCTTCCGCGCTGGATTGCTCTCAATGGCTGGTGTCCTATTCGGAATTCAATCGTTGATATATGCGGGCCAGCACCTCGAGCATGAGGACGACGATGTCCAGGTTCGAACAAGTTATCTACTTCAGGTCAGTAGACTGCTCTAGTGATCCTCAAGAATTTTCGCGGGGAGATTGAACTAACGTCAGTAGATATACGCTGGTTATTTCCTGATAGTTTTCCATTTTCTGCTCTTCTGCCTGGATTGCATGGTTTGGACAAAATCCAAAATCAACTATGCTTTCGTTTTTGAATATGACACGCGACATGCCCTGGATTGGCGCCAGTTATCCGAGGTAGGACTCCTTGCCTTGCTTTGCCTTGTTTTGGACATCTCACTTCTAACACCAAGCAGCTTCCTTGCGTCTTCATGTTTATGCTTGGCTTATTTATGTGGCTCAATTTTTTGACCATTAACTCGATATATATCTATTGGCCTGTTGTGCTGATAGGACTCACGGTGTTTATTCTTTTTCTGCCTGCCCGTGTGCTCTATCATCGGAGCCGAAAATGGTGGGCATATTCCAATGTAAGTGAATCACCCTCCCCGTTTAATCGAGCTTGAGGCTCACAGCTAGCAGTGGCGTTTGCTTCTTGCTGGACTATATCCCGTCGAGTTTCGCGATTTCTTTCTTGGGGATATGTATTGCTCTCAAACCTATGCTATGGGGGTAAGTCCACTCCATCAAGATCCCAGCGGTTTGCCCTGCTAATGGTTTACAAGAATATCGAACTATTCTTCTGTCTATATGCACAGCATTGGGACAATGCTCCACAGTGCAATTCTAGTCATTCCAGACTATTGGGTTTCTTCCAATGTCTGCCATCTATTTGGCGTGCGTTGCAATGTCTTCGCCGTTATGCGGATACAAAGAACATGTTTCCACACCTCCTGAATTTTGGAAAATACATGTTCGGAGTCCTCTACTATGCAACCTTGAGCATGTACCGCATTGAGAAGATGACACGATTCCAGGCTCCCTTTGTCACCTTTGCTCTACTCAACGCTGTCTATACCTCAGTTTGGGACCTAATCATGGACTGGAGTTTGGGAAATCCCTACGCCAAACATCCTCTATTGCGTGAAGTGCTGGCATTCCGCAAGGTGTGGGTTTATTACGTGGCAATGGTCTTTGACGTAATCATCCGTTTCAACTGGATTTACTACGCCATCTTCGCTGCCGATATGCAACACTCTGCGCTGCTGAGCTTTATTGTGGCGCTGTCTGAAATCTTCCGAAGAGGCGTCTGGACAATTTTCCGTGTGGAGAATGAGCATTGTACGAACGTGCTTCTTTTCCGAGCGTCCCGGGACGTTCCCTTGCCATACGAGGTGACCACTCCAGAGGCCGAAGGCGAGCAAGAGGGAGAGGAGCTGCAGCTTCGGCGGCAGCGAACAACCACACCTAGGTCCGCACCAGCAGACGTTGAACATGGACCGCCAACAACGCCTAGTCTTTCTGTTCGGCCACGCGGTCTTTCTCGTGTTGGATCGCTCGTGGCTGCGGCTCACGCCCAGGACTTTGAGCGCAGGAAACGGCCGGGACAGTTGACTGTGGCTTCTGTTACGCATGGGCCAACGAGTGCTGATGATTCTACTGACGAAGAGGAGGAAGATCAGGTGAATTCTCGACAAGATACGGACACAGATGAGGCTGCGACGGAAGGCTCCTCTCCACGTGCAGAGTCTCAGAGATTGCCCAATTGATGAATCATTGAGCCATAAATGAAGCTTTGTTTTTTTTTTTTTTTTTTTTGGACATAATTGGCGTCGCCAGAGCGGGCATATTTGGAGCGATGATCTACTTCACAATCTTGATTTACGACATGTGTCACGAATATATAATTAGATATAGATAGTACCCGGAGTACAGATCATCATAATATTGGCTTTATTCTTTCTTTCCATTTTTGACACTGCTGTGACCTCAATCTTACCCCATAGTTGACTGCGGTGGCATCACGTGATACTGGTAGACGTCACATGGTCAAGAAGTGCTCCCCAGGCTCACGGTTATCGAAGCCATCTGTCTCCTTCCATCCTCATCCATCCTCGATTTCATCGAGATTTTCTTCTGAATCCTACTCCTGGCGAGTTGCATCATAGTCGACACAGCAGCGAAATGGCTGCCAACGCCAGATACGAACCTGCCCCCCAGAGGGACTCCTTGGAGGACCACCCCTTCACCCAGGCCCCACCGTCTTATCAGGCAACCGCGAGCAACGATGCGCCTCGCAGCGAGGACGACAACGTTCCCGATGATTTCAAAGTATGCGCATACAATTTTTCCCAATCCGTTGCCCTGCTCACTACTGACTTGTCCATGTAGTTCGGCGGTACCGTTGCGGAGGGCACCCTGCCTATCCGTATGCAGTTCATCCGCAAGGTCTATGCGATCCTGTAAGTATAACACCCCAAAGAACCCCATGGGGTACCTACCCCAGCCCAATGCAGCAATACCTGACCACGTCCTATCAACCCAGAACCGTCCAGCTCCTCCTCACAACAATCATGAGCTCCATCTCCTTCTTCAGCGACAGCTACCGCCTCTGGATCCAGTCCAACTTCTGGCTGATGATTGTCTCGGTCTTCGGCGCCCTCGGCTTCATGCTCGTCACCTACTGGAAGCGCAAGAGTTATCCGGCCAACCTCCTCTTCCTCGGCGGCTTCACCCTGCTTGAAGCCTACTCCGTCAGCGTGGTGACCTCCTTCTACGACGCGCGCATCGTCATCCAGGCCCTCGTTCTCACCCTCGGCATCTTCGTCGCCCTCACCTTGTTCGCCTGCCAGACCAAGTACGACTTCACCCACTGGATGCCCTACCTCTTCGGCGGGCTGTGGTTCCTCATCCTCTTCGGCTTCATGGCCGCCTTCTTCCCGCGCAACAGCACCGCGGAGCTTATCTATGGCGGTCTGGGAGCGCTCATCTTCTCGGCATACATCCTCGTTGGTACACAGCTCGTGATGCGCCACTACCACGTCGAGGAGGAGATTGCGGCTGCCATCTCCCTCTATCTGGACATCCTCAACTTGTTCCTTGCTATCCTGCGGATCCTCAACAATCAGAACAGCCAGTAAGTGGATATGATAATATAGCCAGGTGTCCAGGATTCCGGATTGCAAGTTAGTACATTTAAATTCACGATGAAAACATGGGCCATTCTTTGAATTTCCAAAAAAAAAAAAAAAAAACTACAAATCAGACAGAATCACCAGTGGTCCCATATCACAATATCCCAAGTGACACATGATCTGATCTTGGTGCTTCACTCAAAATATGGACTTCGTTTCTTTGTTACTGCCCCTTCTTTTTCCATTGTCACTAGCTGCTAATGAGGTTCGATATTTCCAATTATTCCGCAAGGCAATATATGCTGTCACACTAGTTTGGCTTGTTGTATCTGAATAGCAAACGTGTTCTTCCCATATTTCGAGCTACGTTAATTTCTCAGTACATATAATTCCCAGCCAATTCATAGCCCTTCAAGGATCAGAAGTAATAAAATAGTGGTAACCGCAGTATAGTCCTTGAAAAAAAAAAACAAGATGCAGGACACAACGAACACCCTTAGTAAATTCTATTAGAATGATGAAGAAAGATAGTTATGTGAGGAACCTCTGAGGAATTGTGTAATATCGTCAAAACCAAAATGGAACAGACTCTCCCAACGCCTATGGATGGTATCGCGGTATGGAAAAGGTGCCAATAAAGTAAACAAGAAAATAGTAGAAAGAGAGTCGGGGAGGTGGGTTGCACTTTAAAAAGTAAGAGGGAAAAGACAGTGCAGACATAGTGGCTGCAGAAGAAGGGAAATGATCAAAAAGAAAAGCCAGGAAACGCATTCTTTATGCAGGTCTTCGAGACAAGCGAGCACCCACGGACGCCATGTCCATCATCGTGATCGAGTACGCTCATCAATGAGACGCTATGAAGAACGTATTGACAATCAGGCACACGAACATGACGAGGAAGCCGTATACCACGAGCCCAAGACTCAGCTTCCGTAGCAGACCGCGGCGCCAGTGACGGTTGGTAAGCTTCAAAATTGCACTCTCCGTGAGTGGGCGGTTCTGGCCGCCCTCAAGGTCATTATTATCGTCGTCGTCATCGGAAAGCATATCGTCCACTGCTTCATCGTCTTCTTTCATGAGTCGTTGATGAGAGGGGGAATCAGGAGACGAGATCTTGTAATAAAATAGGCCCGGAAGGATGAAGCTGATACTGGTGCTTCCAGTGCTGCCGACGTAGGCGAGTACAGCTTCAAGCGACGAGACGGTCATGGCAACTATGTAACTAAGAATAAGGATGGTTGTTGTTATAATAGAGAAACGAAGGTCGCTCATTGGTTCCGGCCCGCGGTTTCCTCTCGCGCCCAGTAGAGCTTGACGATGGGGTGAATTATCGCTGCCAGCGGCGGGCTTGGGTCTCCAGCGTAGCACTGCATCGACGGAGGCTCGGCATGGGTGGCATTGAAGTGGATAGGAGAACATGACAAGCATGACGATAGCGGCACGTCCAATTGTGGCCCATAGCCCCGGAGGATACATGCTCACAATATTCCCGCCAACGTTGTCCCCAAAGGAGAGATAACCTGTGATGGCCACGAGAATATATGTGGCTGCTGAGCTTCCAATACTAGCCAAAACGACACCAGTTGTTCTGAAATGACTGTTATTGCTGATTTCGTTGAGGATAGAAAACATCTGTCACTGTATCAGCATCACTTATGGTACTTCCAGATGGTCGTGGGGAAGACGGGGATGCAAGCTAACATTCTGGTGGCATGTAAACGCAAAGACGATGACCGGAAGACTGCTGAGAGTCGGGATGGGGCCAGCCCATTGGATCACACGAACAGGACCTCGGTCCGCCACTGTATTGCCCTTCACGAAGTTATACACAACCAAGATGACCAGGTAGCCCATGGACACCAAAGCAGCGATACTCGTATATTTGAGGGAATCAAGACGTCGAAGATAAGAAAGAGGGATGACAATTAACCTGGGCCGTGCCGTTAGCAAGATTCCAACTCAACTCAACCTTATCACTCCAAAGCACGAACATGAAAGCAGTAACCCAGAAATGCCGATCCACCAAGAAGTCGTACGCCGGAGTGCTACCGACGAAACCCTGTACAACTCCCGGCATCAAGTCGCCGATAATTATGAGGTAACTGACACCGACTCCGAAACATTTAATGGCAATAGCCGCATCGAATACCACGGCGGCATTGGGGTATGTCAGCTGCGATAGGGCAAAGAACGACGCACTGCCCCTATCGAGATACTGTGCGCATCGAGACTGGAGGTAAAGACCGAATCCAGCAGTCATTCCGGACCAAAAAATAACACATACACCCAGAACAATCCCCATATGGGAGATAGCCAAAGGCATTGCTAGAACACCAGCGCCAACGACTGTAGAATCACCATCTTGTCAGCTACTGGGGAGAAACGAACCCGATCACATCATCGGCATTACTCACTTGTATTGACCAGGTTGATCACACAGCTGACCCAACTGGCCTCGCCTTGGTACCCCGAAGCCCGTTTGCCTCGCATTCCACGTCTAATCGACAATTGCCATATCATCAGCGAGACGTCCTATAGCGAGACAGGAACAAATGAATATTCAATCGATAATACCTGCGAGATGGATTTCGGAGGCCATCAACGGGGCCAACCCCGACAACAACATCATCTTCCAACATCTTCGGTGGATGTGGGTAGGGTGACGTTGTGGACTGATAAGGGTAGTGGGCACGAGGGCACTTGTAGAACCTATTGTTATCGATCAAATGAGGAGGCAGCGAGTGCGTCAGTCATAATAGCGTCCGGTACCAGCGGAATGATCAGGTAAGTTGAAGAAAGGAGTGAACGAGTGAGCGAAAGTTGAGGGATGGAAAAAGAGCAATTTCTGTTAAGGGAGGAGGTGTGGCTACATGGGAGAATGTCGGGGAGGATGAAGATGAAATGAGATGAGACCAAGAGGAAATGGTGTGCCTGATCCAGCCAGCCAGAACGGGCGGCAAGAAAAGGCGGACAAGCCTGGCTGGCCCCAGAAGCGGTTTAGCGTGGTTGGGCGTATCGTGATTCGTGTGCTTATCAACTTATCGCCATCCTTACATAAGCAAAGGGGACTTTCCGCATTTGTTCCGAGCCATCCTCAAGACTTCAAGACATCTTGAAGATGCCTGTCTCCTCATTTGTAGCCATTCTTATTGTATGATTTGAATATCTACAACTTGACTCTCGACTCTCCCCACCCCTCCGTCGATAACAAATCATACACTTCGTCCTCCACCTTGTTCATATCCGATATAGTGTTCCCGGGTCTTCCTGCCGGTCCAGGATCGTTGAATGCACTAACGGAGCGAACAGTCTTGGACACTTCCAAAATGGTTCCCCCTTGCACTAGACATTGAGGCCCTTGTCCTGTCTTATCGCCAATGGTCTCACTGACCTTGTCTTGCTGGATAAGGGCCAGCATCACCTCAGCGACCTCCTCAGGCGTCACCCATTCGTCTGCCTTATCATCAACCATCTTCATCTTCTCAGGATTATCCGTATATAGAGGGGTTTTGATGACGCCCGGCGCGACAGCCGTCACCCGGATGCCATATTGCCCATCAAGCTTGGCAAGCGACCGCACCAGACCATTGATGGCGTGTTTTGTAGCGACATAGATGGGCGATGCCAGAAAAGCATTCTGGCCAGCGATGCTCGAGATGTGAATGATATGTTTGGGATTCTTGTGACCCCGAGCGCGGAGAAAATGAGATATGGCCAACTGGGTCGTGCGGATCGGATGGGTCAAGTTGATGTCTAGTAAGGCGTAGCGGCCTCCATCGGGTGGGTCCCGGCTGTCTGGAGTACCGGGTGGTCTCCAGAAGTTCGTCCAGTGCTGTGGACGCCGTTAGCAAAGCCCCCCAGGGGAGCATTCTTTGCCCTCAAACAGCGCGAGGACAAGGAGACATACAGGTTCGAAGATTCCAGCACCTGGACATACAATGTCCACCTCATCGAACTCCTTGACCGCAACCTCAAACATTCTCTCAAGTTGTCTCCAATCGACAACATCGGTCTTCTGGAAGACGGCCCGGTTGGATGAATTTGACTGACCGGAATATCTCTCTACCACCGCCTGTGCCTCAGGTCGGAGGGCCAAGTCTGCGATTAGGACATTGCATCCATTCTCGAGCAAAAGTTTGGCAAAGCATAAGTTGATCCCTATTTGGTATCAGTGAGATGTTCCCTGCTCTCTGACGGGAGTCTAATGCCTACATACCTGAACCTGCACCTGTTACAATAGCCGATTTTCCCTTGACGGAGAACGCCATCGTGGTAGAACTAGGGTGTAGATAATTGTTGTTGAAGAGAAGAGAAATCTCCAAATGATGAGAGATTCGCATTCTTATGAGAACACGCAGCGGCTAGGGGATATGAGCACCTCTTATGGGGTCGACTGAGGGGCTACGCGGGGTTGGTTACACTGAATCCATTACCCCGATGATCATATCCTCAACTCGATCAGAATGCCAACTGTATAGCTTGAAGCTCTTCACATTAACTATCATTGAAACAGCGGCAAACTGAATCAACTAGACCACTGCGATAGAGTTAAATCCGATACATCTGGGCCTGTTAAAGGTGTTATCCTACGGCCCCTGGTACGGTATCAGATTGAGATTCAAACCAGACCTCCTGGTACACAAGGGTGACTAGAAAGCTTCCCAAGGCTCTATGGAGCGGTTCGGAAACAGTCATGGCTTTTCTCGGGTCGTCGAGAGGTTCAAGAAGATGTAACCCACCACGTCTCCCACATCGGGAAATACCGATGCAGAAATGCCCAAGTTTGGGCTTTCTCTGCCATCCACTCACCATCAGTGTTGGGGTATTTAGGCTGTAGATGCGGTCTATATACCTCTAGGGTGTGCACCGCCTCTCCGCGTGATACTCGCCAGCATGCACTTCAAGCTGTCTATCATCTCGAGCTACAATGTCTCTCACTAAACTATCTTTACCATTAGGTGGAAGCGGTGGAAAGTCTTTGAGGGGCTTGGATAAGATCTTGCCAGTCTGGCCTGTTTCAGACAATCTCTCATAGCACATCGAACACTCCCTGGCCTGATTGATAGTGGCGCTCGCGATTGCGTTGCTTTCCAACTCTGAAGCGCAGCCTCAACGGTTCCACTGCCACGTTCTATCGAATCCTTGAGCATGCCGATGTAGTTTGATCTTCCTTTCAAGAGCTATTTTCGAGCACCACTAAGCTTTCCTCCAGGGGACATTTGCAGCTTCTTCAAGAACAAGAACAGGCACCTGCAGCAGCTGGGAGTTCTTTTTCAATGGAACTATAAGACAGTCCTGAGCACAAGTCAGCAAACCTTGCACAGGGCTAGATCAAATTTATGGCTGCCGTTTGCTTCCTCACGTGGAGCATAACCTTACTACCTGATGAGATAAATATGAGGACTTTGTTGAATCAGTAAAGTGTACCTAGGCATGGTTCATCGGAAGAGATATTGGCCCCTGGTTAAGCTCAATCTGCCAAACAATGACATCATATCTTCAAATGCCTCTTCCGGTGAAGCGCAGAATATCTCAAATGTCTTCATCAGAGTACCAGGATAGGTTCCATGCTGAGCCTACCAAAGACTCGCCTGTACCGAGTGACTCCGTATGACCTGGCCGTTTTCTCTGCTTCGTTCAAGAGCAGTCCAATTCCAAAGATGCCAATGGAGCGGAACCATACCGAAAACAGAAAGCGTGCCGCTCTCCCAAAACAGCAATTCCGCTCGCTTCTCCACTTGAACTATAGAGTCATGGTAAGGGCAGCGCAGCACATAAAACAGGGAATATCCTGGGATCTGGCGTTGGGGCTTGGAACATCAGTTAGCGATTAGCAAGAACTGCATCAAAAATGTCGGCTTCGAAAATCCTCTCAAGAACGGCCATTCGGGCTGCTTCTACGTCCTCATCGGCATCGCCGATGACCAAGGCCGCTGGGGATATATCGAGTGTGTTCCCAAGCTTGAGACCAGACTATCAACCAGAGCCTCTCCCCCCGCGATTCAAAGATCTGAAATTGAGATTTTTTGAGAAGAATGCGAAAGCGCTCTCGCAGAGCTGGAAGAGATTGCTTGAAAGTCTTGAGAAGGAGATTTCTCAGATCAAGTCTAAAGGGAGTGATGTAAGTCAATTCACACAAAGTTCATGTCTACAGGAGCGAATGCTTACGAGGGACAGATCATCCCATCCGTTCAGTATGCGGATATTGTATCCGGCAGAGTCTCGGATGAGCTTCTTGCTGAGATTCGCCACCGTGGAACTGCCGTAGTTCGAAATGTGATCCAGAAACAGGAAGCTCGAGGGTGGAAAGACCGTATTGAGGAATACATCGCTGCCAACAAAGACCGCGTCAGGGCTTTCCCACCAGACTCGCCCGCAGTATTCGAGCTCTATTGGACCCCATCGCAAGTTGAAGCTCGAGCGCACCCCAACATGGTCGAAACTCAACGGTTTATGCAGCGTCTCTGGCATTCATCGGATGCCGCGACTCCGATTTCCACGAGATATCCATTGACATACGCAGACCGTTTACGCATTAGACAGCCAGGAGATGGCAAATTTACCCTCGGACCTCACATTGATGGCGGTTCGCTCGAGCGGTGGGAGGATCCCGAGTATTCGCGCGTCTACACCAAGATCCTAGAGGGCAAGTGGGAAGAATACGATCCCTGGGATGCGAAGCACCGTGTCTCGGCCAAGATGGATATGTACAACGGAGCCGGTGCATGCTCTATGCTGAGATTCTTCCAGGGCTGGCTCTCGATGTCCAAGACCGGCCCCGGCGAAGGCACACTGCATGTCTGTCCCATGATTACCCACAGCACTGCTTATACTATCTTACGCCCGTTCTTCGACCCGAAGACACAGGAACCCAGCCTGGATGCCACTTTCCCAGGAGCCGTGCCCGGTGCCTGCCAAGAGTACAATCCAGTCACACATCCTCACCTTGACTTGGAGACGACGATGGTTTCTGTCCCAGAGGTTGAACCTGGTGACTATGTCGCCTGGCACTGCGACTCGTTGCACTCCGTGGATAAGGAACACAATGGCAAGGGAGATTCCAGTGTTCTCTACATCCCTGCCACGCCGATGTGCGAGATGAATGTGGACTATCTGCTCAGACAGCGAGCAGCAGCCGCTGCTTACTCTCCGCCTTGGGATTTCCCCGGTGCTGGTGGTCCAGGTGAAGCAGGCTTCACTGGTGCGCTGGACTGGTCTTCTGTCAACTCCAATGGTCTGCAGGCCATGGGTATGGGCACCCGGCCTTGGAAAGTCACAGAAGACATGACAGAGGGGGAGCGGAAGGCTGTGGAAGCTGCGAACAAAGCTTGCTTTGGGCAATCCTAAGAGCTTCGGTAACGATCAGAATGTATATATAGCTTTTTTTTTTCCGACTTCATTTCTCTTTGATTCGACATGGTAGAACCAGTCGAGCAGAAAGCGCGGGATTACGTATTGATAGATATGAAGTGATAGACAATAGAGACACAGTCTTAACACCAATGATTCCTGATCAAGAGCCAACCAAATGTACTTCAAGCGTGGATTGTAGTCGAATGTTGTTATTCTTACGGAGACTTAGCTTATGTAGCTTAGTGTCCACCGCCTGCACCACCAATCAACCGCAACATCATCTCCGCCATCAGGATACAACCACCTCGCTCTCTAGCTGCCTCCCTCAACCCTCCAATGATCGCTTTGGAGCTGGGGATATAAACAATGTGGCTACGGGCAGCGATCTTGCTGTTCGCCTCGTGCGTTCCTTCAACGGTGGCCATCTATTCTGACGAGGTCGACCACATCGATTTCCACCATGCGCTGCTCGGCACTCCCTCGTCCCACTCGACCTTCTTCCTGAAGCCCTCCGCATCCTCCAATGCCTCACTCCTCTATACTCTTTCGCAGAAACATCTTCTCGGTGCGGTAAATCCAAGAGACGGCTCGCTGGTATGGCGACAGAACGTCTCGCGGTCGTCGGTGTCGAATGAAGACGGCCAGCTGCAATCTTTCCTTCGTGCTTCGGACGGAACCAATGCAATGGTCAGCGCGGTAGGCGACTATATTGCCGCGTGGAGTGCGTCGGATGGCAAGTTGATTTGGGAGAATTGGTTTCTTGGTGAGCCCGTTGCGGATCTTGAGCTTCTAGAGCTTGAAGATGCCAGCGCGGCGTCATTGATGAGAGACGCGATCGCACTGTACGGAGATAAAAGGGGGGTTGTCCGGAGATTGGATGCTGAGACTGGCAATGTCAAGTGGGAGTTTAACGATGATAGGTAAGGTTCCGTTTGTGAGGATTTTGTTGGCATTCACTAACGTCTCTGGCTTGTGTTGAAATAGTGGTGATTTCCCCCTCCAAGTGTCCTCCTCCTCAACTGAGGTCTTCTACATCTCTTTGCAGCCGGGTTTGCTCAAGGGCCACAAGATCAAGGTTGCTTCTCTGAATCCCATTACGGGCCAGCAGACGCGGCAGCACATCCTGAACTCGGATACCGATGTGACCGGGCCCGAGTCCATCCACTTCGTCGGGGCCAACACTGCGGCGCCCGTGATCGTTTGGACCGATAAGGCACGGAAGACTCTGAAGATAAATCACATTGGTCTGAAGCAAGTGGACACACTCAACATCGACAACACCAGCGGCGAGGAGATCCGGTCGATTGAAGTCCATACCCCCAAGAAACTGAATTCTTTGCCGCATTTCCTGGTGCATTATGAGACCGACTCCAGTTCCTGGGCGGAAGTGTACCACATTGACTTGACTTCTGCGACCGCAGTCAAAGCATATGCCCTCCCCCGGCTGCACGAGAAGTCTGTCTTCGCGACGAGTAACATCGATGCGAATGTTTACTTCACCCGCATTACGCAGTCAGAGACCACAGTCGTTTCGTCTGCTTCTCACGGAGTGTTGGGCAGATGGCCTCTGTTGCCCCCTACCACTGAACGCGCCATCCACGCCGTGTCTGAAGTTGTCACCAAGGGTGACACCGTCGCTGTTCGATCTGCGGCTGTCCTGGAGTCGGGTGACTGGCAGCTCATCCGCAATGGCCGGATCGAATGGACTCGATATGAAGCGTTGATTGATGCAGTTGCCGCTACCTGGGCTGAAGAAGATTACCAGGAAGATCTCGTACATCAACTGGAAGTTGAGGGACATGAGAGCTTGTACAAAGCATATGTTCATCGCGTCAAGCGCCACACTCACGATCTACAATATCTTCCAGGATGGCTGAAGGGACTGCCTAAGCGTATCATCACTAGCATTCTCACCGACGAAGTATCTAGCCTCGACGGGTTCGGACTCACCAAGCTAGCTCTTGTTGCTACGGAGAATGGACGGGTGTATGGCATTGATACTGGAAACCATGGTGATGTCTCCTGGAGTGTTAAGGCAGCCGAGTCCGACAAGTGGAATGTAAAGGCCATCATCCCTCAGGCTGGGTCCGCTACTGTGTACGCCGACGACGGGAGCTCCGTGACGTTGAACACCACCTCCGGAACTGTTATCAGACGAACGCTACCTTCAGGCCAGATCAGCTCCATCGCTGTCATCAACGATGCCTCTGGCCCAATCACGATCGGTATCAAGGAGAACGGTGCGCCCGTGGAACTAACGGATAAGCCTGGATTCTTTGTAACCCTCAGCGGTGATGGTCGTGTGTTGGGATGGAGTGCCAAGGACAACAAAACCCCCGTCTGGGAGTTTCTGCCTGCGCACGGCGAGAGAATCATCCGTGCCACAGCGCGTCCACCCCACGATCCCGTAGCCTCGATCGGCAAGGTTCTCGGTGATCGGTCGGTTCTGTACAAGTACCTGGATTCGAATCTGGCTTTAATCACGGCGGTTGGCGAGAACTCGGCCACATTTTACCTGCTGGACGCCATCTCAGGCAACATCCTCTACAGCAGCACCCAGACTGGTGTCGACACCAGCCAGCCCATCGCATCTGCCATCTCCGAGAACTGGTTCGCCTACTCCTTTTACAGCGATCCAGTCAGCGGCTCGGACGCCAAGGGCTATCAGCTTGTGATCTCCGAACTCTACGAATCGCCCATCCCCAACGACCGCGGCGCATTGGGCTCCGCCGCCAACTACTCCAGCATCCGCGGCGCCGACACCCTCCCCTTGCCTCACGTGGTCTCGCAGTCCTTTATCATCCCCGAGCCCATCTCGCACATGGCCGTCACCCAGACCCGCCAAGGCATCACCACGCGCCAGCTCCTCTGCACGCTCCCCGCCACAAACGCCATCATCGGCATCCCACGTCCCGTCCTTGACCCCCGACGACCCGTCGACCGGGACCCCACCGCCACCGAGGCCGAAGAGGGTCTCTTCAAGTACAACCCGTACCTCGAGTTCGACGGCAAATGGTACCTCACGCACAGCCGCGACGTCGCAGGCATCAAGACCGTTCTGTCGGGCCCCACCCTGCTCGAGAGCACAAGCTTGATCTTCGCGTTCGGCGGAGACGTCTTCGGCACCCGCGCCACGCCCAGCCAGGCCTTCGACGTGCTCGGCAAGGGATTCTCCAAGCTGCAGCTTATCATGACCGTGGTCGCTTTGGGCGTGGGAGTCGCCATCCTGGCACCGATGGTATGCCCCCTCTTTCCCCCCTTCATCGTCTCATCAGACAAAATCCTTAATGCGGTCGTTTACTAACGCATACACAGGTACGGAGCAAACAGATCAACAACCTGTGGAAGGCAACGTAGGAACGAAAGACGGGAAGAAAAAAAGAAACTAAACATATATAATATTGTCCTTTTCTCCTTCATGAAATGTATTTATTGCACTGCTTGCGCTTTCTTACGGAGAATTGAAATGAAATGAAGATCAGCGGAACTCATAGACACTGTAAATTGTCTAATCGACTTTGACTATCTACGATGGAGGTTTCTCACAATGCAGGATGCTGCTCCTTGGTGCTCCTGGTAGTAAATATTGATTATATATCCGTACCGTAAAAACGATGGATAAGGAAACAAAACAAACAAACAAACCAAACAGATGCAATCGTCTCCGTCTTTTCTATGACGTGCGCAGCCGGAATGTGAAATGTAGAATGTTCTATGAAATCGCCCACTGACGCCGTGTACCTTGCATGATGATTAACTACTAATGTATTTTGTGCCGGACGTGATGGATGAATGGGAAGTGAAGTGAAACCGGAGGAAAAAAAAAAAAGAAAAAAAGAAAAGACTACGCAGAGACTGTCTGAGTCCCCCCGTTCGCGACGGTGACGTGCTCCAGCTCCACATCAACTTTTTCATTCTCGGAGGGGACGTCGGACTGCGCTGCTGGCGGTGTTGGCGTCGCGGGCTCGGCGGATTTGCCTGCGACGGACCCAGCCGGCGGCGGCTGCGTGATGTTCTCTTGCTTCTTGAACGGGACAGGGACGGCCTGCTCTCTGCTCTTGCCATCGACTTTGCCGAGGACCTGCACGTGGTCGCCCTTGAATAACACGGGACCCTTGGTGAAGGAGGGCTTGGAGGCGCCGTCGGCAGGCGGGAGCTCGAGTCCGCCGACTAGCTCGCGCGCGGGCTCGTCGAGGTTCGGCATGTCGCCCCATTGCCAGTCAAGGTCGCCGCCGTATTGCTTGGGGATGCTGGAGGGGTCAATGAAGGAGGTCAGGGTGGGTTGGACTTCTGCGGCGGAGAGGATGAAGATCTTGGAGGTGGTGACCGGGTCGAACCAGCGCTTGATCCAGCCCCAGACGGTAGGGAAGAAGGCGGGGGCGCCGATAATCTAGGAGTTCTTGTTAGAGATACTGCTCCTGTAGCATGGGAAGGGGCAAATCCAACGTACGAAAATCCGGTCCAGAGTCTCTGGGTAATGGGCCGTAGCCAAAACACTCGCATCCTGCATGTGTCCCTTGAGGTTCCAGAACTGCTTCAGACCGACTCCGCTGACATCGACGATATTTGTTGACGTGACGATGGGCGTCTCGGGGTTCGGCCGGGGTAACTGCGAGCACAGCGGCATGACGAAGCGGAGGAGGTTCTCATAAAGCGCGAACAGTCGGAGGAGGCGCTGCGGCACCGTGGAGGACTGGTGTGTCTCGGCCGTCGAGGCAGGGTCGGCCATCGTGGAATTGTACGCGGCCATGTTTTTGCTGTTCAGATGCTTGATCTCGAAGACGTAGACGGGGATTCCGCGTCGATCTCGACGACCAGTCCACTGGGGATACTAGAAATCCACCGGAGCGCCGTCAGCGACGAACAAAGTTTTTCCTCCTTCACAACCCAGGTATCAGACTCACCATCCGTCTCGCAGCATCGTAGGACTCCACCTCGATATTCTCATACAGCGCCTCGATGGCATTATCCCGACGCCAGTCCTCCGTATCCTTAAACTGGCCCCAAGCCCCATTCACATCGAACTTGCGCGCGCGCAGAAACCGACTACACCACCACAGCAACCAAATCAGCACAAACAGCCCTTACCACAACTCAAAGATCAACAGGGGATGAGGGGAAAAAAAAGAGAAAGGAAGAAAACATACAGCATCGTCGCATCATCATGACTCGGCTTCGTATCCGGCCCCTCCCCCTGCGCAGCAGGCTTGTAGTATCCATTCCGCTCACACAGCGCCTTAAACTCCCTCAGCTTCTCCTCCTGGTCCTCCGTGAGATGATTCAGGTGGCCCGCGAGCCAGGCCGTGCCGGCCGCCTGAGACGCCGACGCAGCTGGGTCATTCTGGCCGAATTCGGCTGGTTGTGTCGGCGATGAGGTCTCACTCTCCGTCTGGCTCTGCACGGATTTGGTTCCCCAGAGAGGCATTTCGGGTTCTGTTGTCGAGCGTCGTGGGGCGCTTTCTTTTTGTTTGTTTTGTTCTTTTTGGATCGTGCTGGGACCTTGAGTCTGTGTAGATCCTCGTTTCCTGGTTTCGCGATTATATCTGTAATCTTTTTTTTTTTTTCTTTTTCGAACCCCTGGACCCTTTGATTGATTAGATAATACGGACAATGGAACAAAACGAAAAAGGGGAAACAAAATAGTCAGATAGACATACGTGATGAACTGAGATGGAATCCTCGTTGTTTGGGACTTTGGGTATCTACCTTCGCCTCCCCAGACCCTATGGACACCCTGCGCGCTTGCCTTACGCCTTGGGGTGCGGAAGCGCCGGAGATAAGAGTCAAAGCGCTGCCCGATCAGCAAGCCACTAGTTGATTCCGGTGGAATCGGCAGAATCGAGCTCAAAGGAAACGTGAAAAGACAACAGCTGGTCGGCGTTGGAGCAGGGAAGAAGCTGTGGTTATAAGCAGGAGAAGGGATTTGCTTCCGTCCTGGTGGTGTTTTGGAAATGATTACTTATTAATATTATTATTTGCCAGCAGCCAGAAAGAAACAGGAACTGGCAACCAGGGCTTATGTCAGCGGCATCTCAGCGCCTCCACTGGCGCGGAGATCCGGAGTCCAAGCGTCACAAATACGAGAGAGAAAATTGCATGAGATGCCCATCGCTTTTCGGCAGGAGATTGATAGATATCTGGATAGTTGATAAAAAGACACATTCAGGGACATCCTATGCAGTGTGCTAAGGGATATCATCAAGAAACACGAATACAGAATGAAAGGGGCCCCTAAACCACAAACTGCCCCGATTTTTGCCTAGAAATATGCATTTCACCGTGCGACGTAAATGTACAGTCATTCCATCGTCCCCCTCCCCCGAAGCCCAAGAAGAAAACATAAAAGAAACGTTTTCTCTCTTAGTCCTCAGTGAGATCTCCATACTCCCACATACCCCGTCTCTCCTGCTTCGCCTGGTCCTCCACGCTGCGCAGGTGCGATAGAGTATCGCTGGCAGCACGTTCCCAGGCCTTCAGCTTCCGGGGAACCATGGCCAAACCCTCCCGGACAATCTCGGCGTTGATGCTCTGGTCCAGGTTCTTCGAGACCGAAGGATCCAGCAGGGTAACATGCATGAGTCCATCAGCAGCGACGTAGTCAACGTTGGCAACCAGGGTCCGATCGTAAGTCAGCTCTCCAATGAAGCTGACGGCGTCTTGGAGGTAATCGGCGGAGACAGGGAACTGCAGGAACGAGAAAACAGCGTCCACAGCCTGGGCCCGCAGCTTCTGAACAGAGAACTGGGGCTGGCTCAGAGGCCGGAGACGAGACCAGGGGAGAACTTCGGAGTTACCGTAGTCGATGTAGAGAACCTCTGCTTGCTGCTTTTCGCGGTCGTTGCGGCGAACGCGCGCACGGTACCAGTCGCCATCCTCACTGAACTTGGCCGCCACGTACTCACCTGCCTTGGGCGGGCCGGGCAGCGGGGTATCGTTGGCCTTGTTGAGGTGGAAGGAACGGAAGGCACTCATGAGCTCTGTTAGAGCAGAGGTGCCGGTTCCAATCTGCTGGATCTTGATGCGGGCCGAGGTGGGGTCGACATAGGTGACCATCACATCCCGATAGTCTTTGCGGCGTTCGACAGCCTCAGTCTCCGCACCATTGACTGGCTCCACTTCGGCTTCGGCAGCCTCCTTGCTGGGATCCCAATCGTGCCACAAGCCCTTCCGAGCGTCCTTGGCCTTCTTCTCCGCAGCAAAGTACTCGTTCGCGCGGCCCGATTGTTCGGCGGAATACGCATGCACGGTAGCCAGACCCTCTTCAAGAAGGACCTTGGCGAAGTCCTCCTTGTTGACGTAGAGGGTGCCAATGAAACCACCGACCTTGTCGTGGGTCTGAATGTCAATCTCAACATCACGCTGCATGCATCGTCGGTTGGCCAGATCATGAGCCTCCTGGCCGAAGGGTTCGGAGGCCTCTCCAGGGCTGCGGGCCGATCGGGGGGCCCGGATGCCGCCCAGAACCAGGGTCAACTTGGCGTTTTCACGGGGCACGAGGACGGTGAAGCGAGATCCCGACTTGACGAAATCCACAATGGCAGGAACACGCTTCTGGCGCTGAAGAACGGAAACCTCTAGCTTGGCCTTTTGCACATTCTCCGAGTAATCCTGGTATTGCTTTGGCTTGGGAGGCTTGGGAGACCACATTCCCTTTCCATCTTTCTGGGCTTCCGCCTCGGCGAGCAGCAGAGAATCGTACTCGGGGGAGCGATCATCGTCGTCCTGGCGATGGCGGATGACGGAGGCGTAGCCGGCTTCCACAAGCGCCAGGGCGATGTTGGTGTTACCCTGCACAACGGTTGCGACATCCCGTTCCTCATAACCCTCGTTTGCGGGCTTCTTGCCATTAATCGTGACCTTGACGTGCTTGCCAATGAGCCTCTTGCGCACAAACTCCTTAGCATCGGCCTGGAAGGGCGCCTGCTTGGGATCAGACGGCTTGGGCTGTCGGACACTGCTCAGGCTGATCTTCTTCTCCTCGCCAGCCTTGTTGCGGAGGAACAGAGTGTCTGCGTTCAGCACACGGGAGACAATGTAGTCCAGCTCGGCGGCCCCGCCAGCAGGACCTTTCGAGGCGAATCCGGTGAACAGACCTTTGCGGTTGTCCTTGGCTTCTTTCTCGGCGCGGCGGAAGGAGACCATCTCGGGGCCGAGCAAGGCAGAGTGGTGATCGAAGCAGCGAGCAAGACCAGCCTCCAGCAGGAACTTGGCAATGTTGCCGTTGGGGTGAAGAACGGTGGCAATCAGCTGTCCCTGAGGGGTCACTCCAAGAAGCGAAACCTGCACCTTACGCTGCAGGAGCCTTGACTCGACAAACTGGTATGCCTCATCTCCGAACGGCTCACCAGGCTGCTCCTTGCCCTCGGCATTGACTCGTCTCGCAGCCGGGGCACGCACACCGCCGACCGCAACAACGGTCTGCAGGTGCTTCTCGGGGGACAGGAGCAGACGCAGGACCAGCCGGTCTCCGTTCAAGACTCTTTCGACAATGGCTTCGAGGTGCTTCTCCTTCCACTCGTCAACCAGAGCCCTGCCATCGGTCAGCTCATAGCTGGTCTCCGTGCGACCGTTCTCTGCTCCAGCCCACAGACCCTTGGACTCGGTGCGGGCATGGTCCTCCAGAGCGCGGAGCCGTTCGAGGTAGGATGCTGTCTCCTCGGATTCGTCACGCTTGCCGGCCTCTTCGCGGACACGTGCCCATCCTTCTTGCACGCTAATATCGGGCAGGGAGGCGTCGAAGCCTGGAAGCTTGATTGTGCCGTACTCGCGTTTGGCACCGGTGGGGATTGTGTAGAGGATCTGGAAATTGATCACTTTGCCGACAAGGACCTCGCGGAGAAACTCCCGGGAGTGGAAGCCGTAAGGCTGTGAGAAGATGGGTGAGCGACAATCCACAACCACATCTTCAATGTAGACAAGGATGCTTCCAGAGCGAAGGTAGTGATAGCAGGGATTGAAGAGACTGGGGTGATGGGAGAGCTGGGTGTCGGTCTGGAAGTAGAGGCCACATATCCCGACACCGGGGAAGACAAGCAATCACACAATCCCGCAAGGTATCATGATAAATAAAAATCACAAACTCACCTCATCGCCCTCTCTCTTTAACCTAGGAGCCGAGACATATGCAAGACTAAGAAGGCGCTCCTGTCCATTGGCGAGGTTCGACAAGACAACGGTGTCGCCCGACAGGACAGATTTCACACGGGCTTCGAGAGGCATTGCTTGAGAAGCCACAGAACGGGGTCAAAATTAGAAGAAGTAGAGGAAGAAAGAGATTGTTGGAAGCAACAATCAATTAATTCCAGAGAAATCGAAGATGAAAATGAAAATGAAAAAAAGCAAATACACAGGGGAAGCAGAGGAAGACGAAAGGCAGTGAATCGATGGTTGTTGAGATTAGTTGATTGCGGCCGTGAGGAGAGCTCCAAGAGAGTTTGGAGCCACCTGACTCTGTGGAGAAGCCGCTAGCTGTTCTAGCCAGGGGCAGCAATATCACTGTGAATGCCTCTGTCCATCCCAACAACTGATGGCGACAATGCATCTAGTATAGTATCTGTCTAGTGACAAAAAATGCTACAATTGATAGTCTTACTATTGATAAAGGAATAACTGACGATCACAGGCACATTGGTCATTCATGAAAACATATCAATTCGTGAATCCTATTATCGCATCTAGATCTGAACAGCCACGAGCCAGGTCCAGAACCCCCCTATCCATAGACTCAAGTGCTTTCTAGTTTTTACTCCATCAAACGAAGTACTACTTTTCATGCAATCCTGCTTCCCATCGGGGAATTATCCAGAATTATCCAGACCTGCTCCTACCCCTAGCCTTTTTCACATCCAAGAATTTTGTATCAGGGTGATCTGCGTTTAAGCGGCAATGCCGATGACACCTATAGTACGAACAACCAATCAGCATACACCCATCTTTGTGTATATTTCATTCAATGCACGGGCTAGACTTACCACAGGCGGGACGAGGACCAGCGTTGCCAGTCTTCTTGGACTCCTCGCTCTCACCCTTGCCAAGGTCATCGGTACCGGCGTGAACGACCAGGGTCCGCTAGACGAGATATCAGCTTACGGTCCAATCGCAAGCCTACCAGTTTACACAGGGAACTTACGCCCAGGACGCTCTCGGCGCCAATCAGCTTGATCAGGGGGTCCTTCTTGGAGCCGACGGAGTTACCCTCAGCATCGGTCTCGAAGTTACCAAGGTCACCGACGTGGCGCTCAGCATCCTCGGGGGCACCGTGGGTCTTGCCGAAGGGGTTGACTAGGTAGCATTCGGATCAGTACCAGAGATTCCCGGACCCAACGGACGGGATTCCATCACGGGAAGGGAGAGACGTACAGTGAGGACCAGCGGAGGTGCAGCCGTTGGTGTTGTCACCGAACTGGTGGACGTGGAAAGCACGCTTAGCGTTGGCGTCGTGGCCGGTGATGTTCCAGGAGACGGTGGTGAGAGAGTTCTCGTCGGCCTGCTCGAAGGTAACAGTGCCGGAGACCTTGGAGTCACCGCGGAGGACAGCAACTGCGATGCATGTCAGTCAACCCGGAATGACGGGGGAGAAAAAAAAAAAAAAAAAAAAAAGCTTCGAGAACACGGGAGAAGCGCGCATCCTCCTCAACTGCATGGGCCCAAGCTATGGCCACCTCGATCCGGTATCTTGAGTACCCCGGGGGAGGAGCCAGCGAGGCGAGCAGACGGCGAATAACAGCCAGTACGAGCAATCAAACAGCGACAGGTAACGTGTTGATAAGCTCTTTACCCCGGGATCTGGGATGCAACGATGACTGATGATAGGCCGGGGCGCTCAAGAGGGCTGATTCACAAGGTGCTCAAATGTGCTCACTCTAAGGTCCCCCGGCCACGGTCGATCGTGGATCCCATCAAGGACGAAGAAACCAATGAAACAGAGCAGACAGATGCAGGATAGATGAAACAGTCCCAACTTACCAGCCTTGACCATTTTGACGGTTATTAATGATGAGATTTTTTGAAGGGACTAGAAGAGAGAAGTGAAAAGCAATGATGATGATGGGAGGAGAAGAGGAGAGAGAGAGTGAGAGAGAGAGAGAGGGGGGGAGGAGGGGGGGAAGAAAAGACAAGAAAACCGTGGGACGAGGGGTAAAAAAACAACAATTACTATCCATGTACTAAGGCAGGTAGGTACCTACGATTGGTAACGAACAACTACGGACCCCGAAGTACCTACTACTACTGAAGAAAAGTGGCTCTAGTTATCTGTCTATCCCTAAATCTGGCTGTTCGACTTGCAATTCGCAGTGCAGCCAAATCCGTTCCCCCTCCCTCCCCCACCTTAGCTGGCGGGGGCCATCGGAATGACGTTTTGTTTGTGTATTATGGTCAATTCCGTCGGAGGTAGCCCCGTACAACTGTATTGTCTCGTATTCAGATTACCAAGAGTCAGAGTACCTGAGAGTAAGATCCTTCTTCGCGTCTATCAGATCGATTCATAAGCCGCTTGGTCTCGACCTTTTATCAAGAGACTCTTGTCCTCGTAGTTCATTAATCTATTATTACTACTTATTTGTATTATTGTCTGCATAATCATTGCTAAGCTGTATTGCATTTGCGGCATGGTTGGGAAACCCCCACCAAGCTTTTGATCAATGGGGCTCCAGAGAACACGTACGTAGTACGTCCAACTCTGCGTACATACACCTAGGCAGAATGTATCGAGATACCATGGGAACAAGGATCAATTGAGTCGAATAGTGAAGGGGTTAAGCTCTACTTTCTCTAGACCATAGTACCCAAATCATACCTATGGCCTGGAGCATGGTAATTGATATCCATCGCCGAGATGACATGCCTCGGTATGCACCACAGACAAAACCCTGAACCCTCCCGAGCCAGTCCTCCGATCGACGGCCAACTCCTGCCCGCCATCACTGACCAGAGCCTTTCTACCGGGCTTTACCCTGCTAGACAAGTAGACAAGCCCTCCCTATAAAAGAAAAAAAAAAGTAATAAAGAGCTGGCATGCCATTTCAAATGACGTGAGAGAATTCATTTCATGACTCATATCTACCATAGACAATTTTTTCATGTCGCCAATTTTACAATGCAGATATTAATAAAGGAAAAAGAAAACACGCATTTTCAGCTTAAGCCTGGATCTTCTGCTTGAGGAGCTCCTTCAGGGTGACAGCGTCAGCGGCAAACTTGGAGATACCCTCGCGCAGCTTCTCGACAGCCATGGCCTCCTCGTTGAAATCGAAGCGGAAGAGAGCCTCGTCGTTGAGGTAGCTGCGCTTGGAAATATCCAGGCTGGAGGCGCCGGCGGCATCGAGCTTCTTGGGGACAGCGGCGGTCGAGTTGAACAGATCCTCGAGCAGGTTGGGCTATGTCATGGGTGTGGTTAGCATTCATGCTCCCTTTGGACAAACAAACTCAAAATAAAAATAAAAAATAAAGCGATTGAAAACATACCGAGATGGTCAGGTAGTCACAGCCAGCCAGCTCTGTGATCTCACCGGTGTTACGGAAGGAAGCACCCATGACGATGGTCTTGTAGCCGAACTTCTTGTAGTAGTTGAAGATGCTCTCGACGGACTTGACACCGGGGTCCTCCTCGGGGGAGTAATCGCGCTTGTGGGCAGCCTTGTACCAATCCAGGATACGGCCAACGAAGGGAGAGATGAGGAAGGCACCGGCCTCAGCGGCAGCGATGGCCTGGACGAGGGAGAACATGAGGGTCAGGTTGCAGTTGATGCCGTGCTGGGACTGCAGGATGTGGGCGGCCTTGATACCCTCCCAGGTGGAGGCGATCTTAATCAGGACACGGTCCTTGGAGATACCGCTTTGCTCGTAGAGCTGCACAAGTCAGTCAGTCGGCCAGTCACATGTCGACGTCGTTTGCATCCTGTCGGTCCTGGCAGATGACATACCTTGATGATGTGAAGGGCCTTGTCAACGGAAGCCTGGGTATCGAAGGAGAAGCGGGCATCGACCTCGGTGGAGACCTTGCCGGGGATGATCTCGAGGATCTTCTTGCCGAACTCAACGAGGAGGTTGTCAAGGGTGGCATCGACCTGCTCGTCGACGGTCTTACCCTGTTTATTTCAAATCGAGAACATTTAGCAAAATGACAACTAGTTTCCTCATGGTCATTCTGGGAGCACAACGAACCTCCTTCTTGCCCTTCTCAACGGCGGCATCGATCAGGCTGGCATACTCGGGCTTCTTGGAAGCAGCCAGGATCAAGGAGGGGTTGGTGGTGGCATCCTGAGGCTTGTACTTGCCAATGGCTGCAGAGGGAGTCAGTATTCCGATCGCATCTCACAAAATAAAAATAAAAAACAAGAGCGGGGCACTCGGGGTGCACGGAAGAACATACTGGCAAAGTCACCTAGTAGCAATCCATGTTAGTCCAGATCTATACAAAGGCGAAGACATCAAGGGTCATAGAACTTACCAGAGTCGCAAACCACGACCTGTCCGCATAAAAAAGTAGTGGTTAGCAAACACCAATTGCATTCCCTGTCGTGACGCAAGAAATGTCACCGAAAGAGCTGCCCACTTACAGTGCCAGTGGCCTTGAGCTGTTCGAGAGCGGAAGACATTGTGAAGTGAAGTGAAGTGATGGAAGAAGGAGTTTGAAGATGAATCAATCGATAGAAAGTGAGATGGAGAGAGATGAGAAGCAGTAAGTAAGTTAAGAAGGATGGAGGGGTCTACTAATAATAAGATAATACTATGAAGGCGGAAGACGTGGCGAGATGGGGTACTTTGTACTTTGGGAGTACCAGCTTAAACCACCAGCAATTACTCCTCGGGTCTAGTGTCTACTTGTTTGAGGATGAAGGGGTGGGGTGGAGGGGGGGAAAGATTACTCTGTAAAGGGGATTCTGGCGGGCGAGAGAGATCCGTTTCCTCTCATGTTCGACTGTTCGTTACTCTTTTCCTCCTGCTTCAGCCTTCTTCTCTCTTTTCCCCCCTCCAAGGGAAGCTCTATGGTGGGGTATACTGATGACGCTATGCCTGTTGGAATGACTTCACATAATACCCGGTGAGCCATGAACAAGATCCGACTAATCATTTCTACTATGATGATGATTTATTACCCGATCAACACGCAAAAATGAAAACATGCTCCTTCACTTCCCTCTCCCTCGCTCTAGAGTCTAGATAGAAGATCCAATACTCTGAGTGACAGATCTCTCTCATCATTCTCACCACCTCCGGTTATATTGATTTTATGTATGGGAGCACCAAGAAGCAACTTTACTCGGCCCAGAGTGCTCCGACTCCCGCAGAGCTCGCAGCGCTTTCGGCCCACCCAATCGCTGAGCACACGGGGGTGGACTGGTTCACTGCCCGTTTTCCCTTCACCGGAGTCCAATGACCGAAATAAAATAGATACTCCGTAGTAGTAGTAATAATAATAATAATACTCAGATGGAGCAGCGGACGGTTAAAACAACTTTTGCTTTTCCCCTTAAAAAAAAAAAAAAACAGGCTCAAGCTCAAAATAGCCGCCACTCCGTAGACCCCATGACCTCCCGTCTATGCTAAATGTGGGAGCCGAACTATATACAGACAATCCTCATGGTAGAGAAAAACCTTCAACCATGGCAGACAGACAGAGATAGAGGAGGATTGAAAAAACACAAACACAAAGCACATACAGAAGAGATACGATGACTGGAAACAGGTTTGGTCTATAGGTAAGTAAACAAGCACCACGGCAAGACTGCTCCTCCTGCCAATGACGCACTGTGTGGTTGTATAGGAATTTTGCGAGAACTCCTGAACCCCGATGTGAATTGTCCTCAACGTCGTTGGACGCAACTCCATTCATACTAATTTTTCAGAATATATAAGCTTTCGACTGTCGCATATCGTGTGCTGGAATGCTACTTACTACTCTTCCCGCCTCATCCCCCGTATACACCACGTGAGGCAGAGTCAGAATGCAGCTGATTCCGACCGAGATGTTGGCTCCGTTGTCTCGATTGTTGTCGATATGATGCAGTTGCCGAATCAATTCCAGCTCGAATCGACCGTTTCGGATGATCTTGGACCAAATCTGGCAGACGCATATTAGCAACCAAACAGGCGGAGAATAATCTGCACCATCTTACATTGACGACCCCTCGTCGGTGACCAGTGAAGATCAGCTCGCGCTCCTGCCATTCGTTGTCGACCCCCTCGTAGAACACACAAGACATGACATGGTCATCGAGCGACTCACACACGTCTTGTTCCAGCAACAGTGCCCCGTTCAGAGTGTAGAGGCTGAGACGACTTCCACGGCAAACCACAATCTCTCCAGTCACATCATTAATGCAAGCGCACTAAGCGCAAGTCAGCCAATCTTCCTCAGTCTCATAGATCAGACGCTACTTACGTCGACGGGCCCGCCAGCCGGAAGCTCTCGCACAAAACACTGCTGATTGAGATCCCACAGTATGATTTGGCCATCCATAGACGCAGAGAGGAGGGCACTAAATGATCGTGAAACCGCGAGGACCGTTACGGCAGTACGATGCCCGAAAAGCGAGCCGGCAGGGATCAGATCCACAGATTTGCCGGTCGAAGTAAAGGTCCATATCGACACAACGCAATCTGTACCCGAAGTAACCAACGTCCGGGAATCCGCGAAAATCGTGCAGGATAACTGCCCGACATGCAAATGCTCGAAATGACCAAGAAGCTAAGCCGATCAGTATATGAGACTTCACATGCATATTGGCGAGTATTCCAGGATTCTTTTGTCCTACCTTGCGACTTCCCGAAGAGTAAAATCTTACGCTCCCATCGAAAAATCCCCACTCTAGATACTTATCGTAGTTTGGAGGGATATTCAGCCTGAGCGGAGCAGCACAGAGCAAGCGGTCCTGCTTCATGGACAAGGTGGAGACCTGCTCCCCGATGTCTATATCTGTTGTGAGCACGCGAAACCCAAATCACAAACCGTGATATCTTACCAAGTAGTGAGAGGGGAAGCTGCGTGAGCGACTCAGCAAGACGATCTAAGCGCGGCACCCGATGCCGGGGATCCTCTCGCTGAGGGTGAGGTCGAGTGAAGATCTGGTGTGGCGTCTGTCCAAAATTGTGGATGATGCCAATCGTAGCCAGTCGCTCCACCGGATCATCAATAGCATCGAGATCTTTGGCTCCTTGGTACGACAAATGATGAAAGACATTGACTGCCTCGATCGCCGCCTCCCCTTTCTGTTTACAGCCAAAGACAAGATCAATCCAATGATGAAGGTTCTCAGTCACGTAGGGACTTTCTACAGCCTCGCGATGCTTCGCTATAAAGATTTTCGGGTCGCCCTTCGCCCACGGTGGGAGCTCCACAGCATCAATCGCAGTTGTCATGTTCTGAAGAAGGCCGAAGTCGTACTTGTTGGAATTGACCAGAAACTCCGGCAGATAGAAAAATTCGGGTGTCAACTCTCTAACATCCGACATGTTGCCACGGGAGGCCGATTCCCAGGCCTTGCCGATGGAATAGAAGAGACGGTCAGCATGGTCGAAAGTTCCGCCTTGGAGAAGAAGATATGATTTGACGAATGGTTGCAGACGGATGAGGTATGAGCAGACAATCATTGCCGAAGAATAATGAGTGCCGTAGTGAAAGGGCGGGGAGTCATCGTCTCCCATTTCAGCAAATGCTTTATACCGTTCTCTGAATTCAGCCTCGCGCTCGGGATTTTGGCATCCCATGGGTTTTGACAAATCCCGAAAGGTCTTGGGGTCAGTCAAGTCCAACTCCTCGCTCGTGTAATCCGCAAGAACCCAGGGAAAGATAGGGTACTGGGTTAGATCGTTGAACGTTCTGCCCGCGAGTGTATTGATTAGCATGAGATAATGAAAATTGGATATCTCGCCCTTCATCCATTTCCGTGTGGCTGGGTGTACAGGAGAATGGCCGAAGACGCTGGCAAATTTGGAACCCAGGGACTGCGGCGCATCTTCCTGACTTCGCAGTGTTTCAAACCTCCATATGTCTTCTGGCCGCGAGTGACCAACGCTTCCAGTCACTTGCGGGGCTTTGGTAGCGAGCTGGCTGCATAAGGTATCTCGGGTTCTTGACGAGATCAACGTCAACAGATAGCTGCTGCCATCCGTAAAGAAAATCTCTAGAGCAACGTCTCGGAACAGGAAGCGTCTCTTGGAGACACTGATGAGGTCAGACCATTTCCAGCTTCTAGTTTCATGTTCCTGTGTTTTACGTTCGAAGGATTCTCTGCCAGCGATCATGCGAACGTAGGGATCTCGCTCTTCAGTGGGAGCTTGCCAGACATTCACTATCTCCCCATCTGATCTTTGGAAAAAGTTATCCAGGATGTATATGTGATCTTTGCCCAAAATCAACAGGCCTTCGCATGCTTCCAAGCCAATAATTCGAGACAGGTTGCATACACTCTCCACTTGGTCACCACGGTGAAGACTCCGCATTACCTTCCTGTTCTTGTCTTCGTAGTCTTCCAGGCCAGCCTTAGGATCGTCAATCATCTCGAAGCTCTCCTCGAGAATGCTTCTATCATCTGAGCTTGTGTCTTGAGGGTTATCTTCACCGGTTTCCGCAGCCAAAGCCGTAGGGGTCAAGCCCATTGAAGCGCTATTTGCAGAGGACTGCACCTGCGTACCGATTTTGATGGCTGGAGGTTCGGACGCTTTCCTTTTCGGTTGGTAGTTTTGTCGCTCTCCTGAGTCATCTGGGACGATCCGGAGTCGCATACGACTTCGCCCTTCCGTCTGGTCGAGACGCCATCTGCTTTCTCTGTGCTCAGCCAACACACCTCCAAGGCGCTTGAGGCTCATAGTCAAGCGAGAGAATGCGTTCCACATGAATATAGAATTGTCCTGCTGATCCTGTAGAGCTCGCTGGTACTTGAGGAACTCAGACGCCGATATATTCGATATCCAGTGCGGAAATGTTGCTTCGTGTTTGCGCATCACCTCATCGCTGAGCTTCTCCGCTTGCTTCCATTGTTTCAACTTCTCCTGACGCTTGGTACTCCGGCCCCGTGCTGAGATGTCGATATTTGTAGTCTCTTCTAGAGTAAAGGTCTCCCACGACCTGGACAAAAGCCCAAAGAACAAGGCATTAAGGTCCTCTTCGTGATCATCTACCCATTGAATGAAAGCATTGTCTTCCATGCCGACTAGTGCTTCGAACCCTCCAATTAGCCGTTTCTGCAGAGGGATCGCTGCATGACTCAAAATTGCAGACATCTCAGCCGGCTTTTGAACAAGGATAACTCTCCATAAACTGGCCGCTGCCAGACGAATATCCTGATTCTTGCTTATCAACTTAGTATAGAGTAGATAGCAAAGCAGCTGCAGGTAATCCGAATGAGCCTCGCCTCCGGAAAGTAACACAACTTGCCAATAGCTCAGCCGATTCAGGAACGCGCAAGCCTTGTCATCTTCAATTTCCGATAGTTCGAGTAGAACAACACGGAACAGAGTAGAGCGAATGTTTGCAACTGCTTGGCTGCAGAGCCTGACGCTCTTCAAGATTGAAATATCGGATTGCTGAAGGTATTCGAGAATTGTGCCCGCAAATTCAAGTGTACAAGCGGTGCCGCCCACAAACCAGCCTTCAAATACCGCCTCGCCGATATGCGTTGCAAAGCGTCCCAAGTTAGAGAGTGCTCGCGGTTCTAGGAGAAGTTGTGGTCTTGAGGTTGTGACCCTCTGCAGCGCCGAAAGAAGAGTCCCAAGTATCCAAGAGTTAAAATAAGCCTGATGTTCAAGAGGACTTGAAGGCGTCTTCAAATAGAGTCCCAGCCCGCTGAATTCTTTGCGTTCCAATAGTTGGTCCGAGAAAACAGAGAGGACTAGATGCAAGATGCCTTGTACTAAAGGATGCTCCGTGGCTGTCATATTAGGCACAGGCCCAGCTGCTATGAATGCTCTGCGTACACACGCAGAGGAAGGTGATGGCTTCGCTGCTTTATCTGACGAAACCAGAATGAAGGATGAGCCACGGCGAAGTGAACCACCATGCCCATCACGGCTCCTGGGCCCTTCAACTGTTGTAGTTCGCAATTCTGTTCTCCCGCTTGAACGTGGTCGAATGGGAAACTTGCGGTCATGAAGACTGCTTGCGCTATCACGAGAATTCGGCTCAAGATCTGCGCTTGAAGTCTCCAAGCCAACAACAACAGGGAAAATTGAGTAGATCAGGCCTTGGATGTAATCAGACTGAGTCGCGAAATCGCGGAATTTCGCCGATATTGTATGCAACTCAGCAAGTAGCCCAACGACTGCAGTCAGGAGCGAAGTCTGTCCTTTCACATCCGTCACTGGCTTGTATGAAGATGTGGGCGGTTTATCGGACTGGACTTGAGAATCTCCTGAAGATTCTGTGGCTGCAAGTTGGATCCGGTCCGCTGACACTGTACGTTGGAGTCCAGCTTGCATCATTTCCATGAGCACAGGGAGCATTTCAGGAAAAATTATTTGAGGTTCGCCTTTTGAAGACAAACTCTCCAACAGGCTGGATCGATCGAATGGCTTCTCCAGTTCAGTCTTACCAACATCAAGACCAAACAAAACGTTAAAACAGATAGACCAAATGGCAGGAATGTTCCACCATTTTCTCAGACGATGTCGCATAATGACATATCCACCCGTCTTGTCAGCGAATTTTCGATTATAGACGTCGCCATGGCTGACTATCAACCGAGCTAAGATTTTGGTAGCAAGAACAACGATCTCAGGCTCATCCTCGCTGATGAGGTACAAGAGCCACTGTACGAAGTCAAATATTAGAATCCACGCGGCTCAAATGCAAAAAGTCTCTTTCCCAACATACCTTGTTCGTAACGGCTTTTGCAAACTTTCTCAAGAATACGAAATCATGAGAATCACAAAGAATGGAGCAATACATTCGAAGCATCTCGACTGCTACTTTGGTGTTCGGTACGAAATCTCGTCCTGCAATGGGTACCATCGGTTGATCGGCGTTACCCATAGACAGCGAGCTCTTCTTTCTTTGCAGTCGGCTCGTCCCCCGGTGAGTATGGAGGGCATAGGTGATGAACAGAGCCAATGAACGAAACAGGTCTGCCGAAAAGCAACTCTCCATCAGAGATTTGAATGCAGAGATGAAAAGGCGTAGCGCCTCAGGTGTGAGCTCCTCTCCTTTGAGAGCCTCCAATAATTTCTTATTAACGCCTAGGAATGGTTAGTATGAGAAGTGCCACAGTTGCGAGAACGGAATGTATGATTGTTGGAAAGGCTTACGCATGCGGGAAAGACGCTTTGCATTGAATCGTCGAAAATTACTCTGGCCAGCAAAGATGCAGAACTGAGAGTAGTACAAATCAAGCAACGACATCTCTCCAAGTCTCCAGATATCGAGGTCCACAAGCAAGACTCTGTATGCCAAAGGGTTTGTGATAATAGACTGATTTGGATGCTCAAAATCATATCCAACGAAGCCGAGGGTAAGTCGAAGAAGTTGGAGAGCCAAAGTAGACCGCTCCTCGGCATTGGAACAAACACTCGAAACTCGAGATAGCGCAGAAGCATTTCCCAGTCCTACTTTATCTCGAAGTATCGATGCGAGAACTCCGTACCCATTTTCTCTCTCCATTGCTTCGCTGTTCCGCCAATTGTCCTGTACTGCTTCGTAAAGAGCTTCAACAGCAAGGAGTAAACATTCTGGGGTTTTCACGGCGTGCACTAAGCTTAAGTGTACCGCCGCACAACCCCCAATGCGCCAACTGGCATCATCAAGGGAGTGTGGTATGGAAATGACAGGATCCCCAGTCAAAATGCCTACGCCATGACTCTGGGTTAAAGCATCGTTGATTGCGGGAACGGCACCATTCGCGGCGACTGCATTGCCACCGGCTTTCGTCAGCTGATGCAGGTTCTTCGCAGCTTTCCTAGAAAGGTTCTTCACGAGTTGGGACTCGTCGATATTGTTGCTATCGTCATCATCCAGGACAGACATAGGCGAAACGTTGATCAAGATGGACCCTTCCCGAACCAGAGCGCTTGCTTTCTGGCGAATGGCGGTGATGATATCAGAAGCATCTTCCTTTCCGGGATGCAGATGTTCATTGCGTAGGTTGAGGGTTGCTGATGCTTTATAGGTTTGAAAAGAGCCCAGGCAATCCTGGAAGTTACCGAAGTATCGAGGACCCAGATTGTAAAACACAGCAACCATGTCGTCGCTATAGGCATCCTCAAGAAGAATAGCATTCGCTAGAGACCAGCGAGATGTCGATACTGCTTTGCCGAGTCTCGTCGCCAGATCTTGAGGTGTCCCAAAAAAAGCCTGGATACGCGGTAATCGATTGGGAGTGTTGGATACAGGCATACAGGGATAATCAATTCTCAGTTGTTCAACAAACTCCCCGTTGATGAACAGGGAAGCTCGCGAGTGTGTTGGTGGCCTAGGCTTTTTGTGAACAATACATATATGGTACCATCGATCCGGTTCGAAGGTTATCGACTTGAATCGAACACTGGGACGAGTCCCCTTGATGGAGGTTTGCAATATGAAATTGCGCGTATCTTTCTCCAAATAGGCTAGTAGAAAGCATGTTTGACTGGCGTCGAATGCACCAAATATTGTAGTGTGTGTGCTTGGGTCAAACTTATCAAATCTGGCCCATACCGCCAAGGTGTACCCTGAGGAGGTAATTGGAGGAAACGGACGACCTAAACTCGAAAATTCCAAGGAAGAATACCCGTGGAGTGACATATCGAACTGGATTGATGGGGGTTCTCTGGAACATTTGAGAACATCAACGAGAAATCGGAGCATTCTAGTGCAGCTATGTGCTTCTCGATACAAGGTGACGGCATCGCCCAGGTCTGGTAATCCTTGAGCGCACAGTAGCTGAGCTAGTTCCTGATAGAGTGCTCTTTCCAACTCTGGTCGGTCATTGCTGAAAAGAATGGGCATGATATTGCTTAATATTCCGGTAGCATGCATCGCCGTAAGGTTTCTGCGAGATTGCGAGGCCAGCTGGCAAAGGCACCCTGGCAAAACTACTTGCTGAATTCTGAGGTTAGATGAGGAAGATGCACTTTGCGTTAACCATGCATTAATCAAGGGCCCCAGGAGCTCTGGCACTTCAATCGTCTCCTCATTTCCCATATGCCGATTGACTTCCGCTCTGACATCTTCTAAGGACAATTCAATAATTGATTGCAATTTCGAGTTGATTGTTGCGAATATATCAGCAACAACTTCCTGGCAGAGAGCCGCAGCCAATATCCCGCCATAGAATTGTTCCGTGTCACCCGGAATATTGTCCAGCTTTGAGGTCATCATTGATAGAGCCTCCTGCAGAAGTGCTGGCCCTCCACCCGGCACCCGTTTTGCAAAGTACCGCTTGTTCCCGAAATTTCCCTTCAAACTCTCAGCGAGGACGGCCAAGACATTTTTGTAGAGCACTAATAGAGCCCTTCTCTGTTCGTCCAACTGATCTGCTGGTTCATACAACTCTGACAGCTTCCTGGCGAGCTGCAACAGCGTCTCAAAGCCGTCAAGATGACGAAACGCCTCTTTGGCTTCCCTTGGATGCTCATTGTCGATAAAAAAATGGCGGAGACGTAGCAAGGATTCCGCCGCTGTGTGAAATCGTTGAGAATCGAACGTAGGTTGGTCGCAATTGTCGCAAACAGCTTTGATCTCCCGAATCAACGGCGTCAACTCGGCGGCGGCGGCAGATCTTTCAGTTAAGGAGGAAGAGGACGGCGAGGGACTGAATGTGGGCTGGCTCATCGCGCCGCTGAATCTTATCCCCGGCTATCAACCTGGTGGCCAGTGACCATCAGACACCTTAGACCTGCACTTGGCGTTAAGATTAGGGCGGTCTGCATTGGTATGTGGTCTGCTTCACAACCGGCTTGGTCCGCGGAGCTGGATATAGACAACGTTCGGAGAAATCGAATAAGAGGAGCTGCTGGTCAGTGCGATAGCATTGATCAAGAACTATTGAGGGGTAGGGCGAATTGGTTAGAGACTAGTACCATGACGACAGAACGGGGATTGACAGCTATGTGTGTCCACTTACCACATCGCTGGAAAGCCTGTCGTGAACAATTGGACCTCGAATCTGGGCTACCCGTGTCACTCGATGTACTCAAAATATCGACCCTCCTCACAGCCGCGGGGAAGAGTACAAGTGCTTCGAAAGCTGTGGCTGAGTGTCCGGACTTCCTTCCTTGGGTTCGGGAGATCATCAGGTGACGAGAGTGGCCAAGTGTGTACTCCGTACTACTGAAAGACTGTTAGTAACAGTCATCCTGTGGGTCATGAGCAAGCTGGACCGTACTCCGTAATCCACCATGCCTCGAACTGATAAACACTCCAACTCTATCTGTATACACAGTACTACTTCATCACTTTGCTATCGACCGAAGATATTTATTCCATTTACACCAACAGAGACTTATGTCCTCTACACAGCTAATACTGACTTATCAGTGAACATAAATATATCAATATAGATTGGTTGCCATCTTTGCGAATGGATGCAAAAGATAGGATCTTAAACATTCTATATCTACGTTGTATGGATAGCTTCGTACACTCCATCTGTCCGTAGATCTTGGAGGCTAAGCTAATCGATGATCATCTAGAATTGCCTTGAAACATATATCAGATCCCCTACTAGTACTCCTTTTACGAAAGACCTGAGAATTGTGTGACTGCTTGATTGGCGTGAGAAATGGGAATATAAAGGAACTTGCAATGCAGGTTTCTTTAGTACGATCCGAAGGCGGGTACATTGACACACTGACTGACCTCTGCATTCTTAGAGCAGGATGCCCTAGAGCTGGCCTGCAACCGATATGGTGAAGAACAATCCACAACTTTCAGCCAGAGCCACCACATTTTAGAAAAGGAGAGAACAGCATCCTTGGGACCAGCGGTCAGCATGAATTCAAAGCCTCGAAATTGAAGTTAGCTGTAGGGTTGCCGGCTGTTGTTTCTCTATCTTCTGATTCATATCCCCCAGGTCACTAGCAAACCACAGACACGACCTCAATGCCCACCATACTTGTTCATTCACATTGAGATCTGCAAACAGCACAAGTGCCAACAGGTATATCATGCCGATTTCAACGTCACATAGCATGGTCTCGAATTAGAAAATAGTCTTGGCAGAGTGCCTTCAATTAGGTAGTTCAGATGAAGGACAGCACCGGGGTCCTGAGAGTCTGAGCATGTCCTTGTGCATCATATTTATGGTATCCTTCAATAGCAAGGACCCAACTCTTCATTGCTCTGAGGTCATTCCGAGTCAGCATGGTGAATAAGACGTACAAGAGACACAAGATCTCCATATAGAATCATGGATTATTGAGCCGTTCTTTCTCCAAATGATATCTGGTCAAGGCCTGATTTCCGCAAGTGATTTTTGGGCTTCTTGAAGAATTGAAAAGTAGCCCTCATTCTCATGACCGAGGATGTATATTCAGCGCCATGGTTATATGCTGATTAGATTTGACTTCTCATCAATTGATAAATATAATTGTGTTTGATTGAGAATGTATGCCTGGATCGAATGACAGTATCCGAAAAGAACGCATTTGTGGGACGAGGATGTTTGTGAGAGTGGAATCGTGGAGGCGTCTGTTGGATGCGCCGCAGGTACTCATTATTGAGATTTGAGAGAATGGTGTTAGATAGGTTACTTTACCGTACATAAGGTACCAGGTACCACGTAGGAAGGTTACAATAATACAGAGTGATAGTACCAGACTGATTGACCTCAAGCTTCCCGTCAGCATACCTTCCTCGGTAGTTATGAAGGCGAGTCAGGTGAGCATCCAGCAGAGCACGCGACTTGTTTGGTTAATGATGTTGCATCTCTGAACTTGGTATGGGCAACCTTGATTTCCTTATGGATAATTGATTCAATTAATGGAGTTTGTAATCTGATGACAGATCACTCACTCCGTATCTAGTTCATACCTACGGTCCTCCTGTCCCTGAACCTTTTGTCAGTGGATATGCAGAGATAATGACCTATCTAATCCATATCCGTTGCATGCTGCATGCCACAGGCTATGTGATAATACAATAAATAGAGGAGCGGTTGATCTTCATGCTAGGACAGAAATACCAGCTCCTCATCTCAATGCTATTTATTGCTTTACATGGTGAGCTTATCGACTTATCATCGTTGAGTCACCATCAGGACCAGGTAGATCGCTCAGACTACGGGGTATGTATCCGAACACGGAGGACCTACCTAGTATCTACGGAGTAGATAGGTATCGAGCTATTCATGAGATAGGCAGTGCATTTTGAGGGATTGGAGCTAAAATTTACCTAGGCAACTGGTAAGATAAGTCCTTCTCCACTTTGCTACGCCTCACTCTCAACTCTCAACTCTCAGGTTCTCAGCAAGCCAGCCTAGCCAGGACTCCAGGAACATACTTCGTAGGGTAACCGTACCGAGTAGGTACGAATACATGATAAGTGGCGTCTTATCTTTCCGAATTTAGGAGTATCTTACGTATCGTATCATTCGTATGCAGTGTTTCATCATACGGGCACCATCCCTACCTAGTAATCCTTACCATACCGCCTATCCGCCGACCGCCATACCCCAGGTCTTCCGGGCTAAGTTCCCGCCGCGCTAATCTGGGCTGATCGACAGCCAGTCAGGCAGTGTTTCTCCAGCAGGCTCCAGGTCATCTGCTGTAAGTTACCGTATCCCCGGTTGCATCATCCTCCGTTGCCCTTACCTGCTGAGGAGACCATTAGTAGTCGTCCTCATCTTCTCCTCATCTTCTCCTCTTCTACTCCAACCTCCCCCATCCTCCTCCTCATCCTCCCATCTCTCTCTCCCATCCATCCTCAACCATCTATTCCCATCCCTTTTATCTTATTATTTCATCTGTTTGCCAAACTTTCGTCCTAGTAGTTCATCATGAAAGGCTATCTCAGCCTATCCTTGCTCCCGCTGCTCGCGGCTGCGTCCCCTGTGGTCGTTGACTCCATCCACAATGGAGCTGCCCCTATCCTCTCGTCCTCGAACAACAAGGAGGTTCCAGACTCATACATCGTTGTGTTCAAGAAGCATGTCAAAGCCGAGTCGGCCGCTGCTCACCACAGCTGGGTGCAGGACATCCACAGTGCTCAGAACGAGCATTTTGAGCTAAAGAAACGGGGTCTCTTTGACTTCACCGAGGAGACCTTCTCTGGCCTGAAGAACACTTTTGACATCGCTGGAACCCTTGTGGGCTACTCAGGACACTTCCATGAAGATGTGATTGAGCAAGTTCGCAGACATTCTGACGTGAGTACCTTGATAACCCCGAATGCAACATCTTGAGCATGTCTCGCTGACCATTTCATCGATTATAGGTCGAATACATTGAGAAAGACTCTGAGGTCCATACAATGGAGGACAACACTGTGGAGAAGAGTGCACCATGGGGTCTCGCTCGTATCTCCCACCGTGACGGCCTTTCTTTCGGTACATTCAACAAGTACCTGTATGCGTCAGAAGGCGGTGAGGGAGTTGATGCTTACACCATTGACACTGGTATCAACATCGATCATGTTGATTTCGAGGGTCGTGCCCAGTGGGGAAAGACCATACCTACCAATGATGAAGATCTTGATGGCAACGGCCACGGAACTCACTGCTCTGGAACTATTGCTGGCCTGAAATACGGTGTTGCCAAGAAGGCTAACCTCTACGCCGTCAAGGTGCTGAGATCGAGCGGTTCTGGTACCATGTCCGATGTCGTCGCTGGTGTTGAGTGGGCTGTCAACTCTCATCTCAAGAAGGCCAAGGATGCTAAGGACGGTAAGATCAAGGGATTCAAGGGTAGTGTTGCCAACATGAGTCTCGGTGGTGGCAAGTCTAGAACCCTTGAAGCTGCCGTCAATGCTGGTGTCGAGGCTGGCCTTCACTTCGCTGTTGCCGCTGGTAATGACAATGCCGACGCCTGCAACTACTCCCCCGCAGCTGCCGAGAACCCTATCACTGTTGCGGCTTCGACTCTCCAGGATGAGCGGGCGTACTTCTCCAACTATGGAAAGTGCACTGACATTTTCGCTCCTGGCCTCAACATTCTCTCCACTTGGATTGGTTCCAAGCACGCTGTCAACACCATCTCGGGAACCTCGATGGCCTCTCCTCACATTGCCGGCCTGTTGGCTTACTTTGTCTCCCTCCAGCCCTCCAAGGACTCTGCCTTTGCTGTGGACGAGCTCACTCCCAAGAAGCTTAAGAAGGATATCATTGCCATCGCCACCCAAGGTGCCCTTAGCGATGTTCCATCCGACACTCCCAACGTAAGTTTCAATGCCATTGTACATGAATTGGTTGCAGGACGACGACTGACATATATGCAGCTCCTTGCCTGGAACGGTGGTGGCTCCTCTAACTACACTGACATTGTCACAAGCGGTGGTTACAAGGCTGCTTCTAGCGTTAAGGACCGCTTCGAGGGTCTGGTTCACAAGGCCGAGAAACTTCTCACTGAGGAGCTTGGTGCTATCTACAGCGAGATTCATGATGCTGCTATTGCTTAATTGTGAAATTTCATGGGTCAAGGGTATTGCTTCATTTTTATCGAACACGGGAATGGGTCGTTGGGAGAGAACACGCTGGCGCAGGTTACTTTTTTTTGCTCTGGCTTGAGGAGATGATGGTGCATTGATTGCATCACATCATCCGAATGTTCATCTGCTTTCATTTTTATCGTAGTATACATGTCCACAACCATACATTTTGAGAACTGATTTAGAGGATTTCGTTTTGGGTGCTTCAACAGACTGGCAATTTGACATTGTGAATCCTAGAAATAACCAACACCCCCCGCTCAGTTGTAAATGAAATGGAAATGGGCTGAAAGCTATCATTGCCACTGATGACTTATACATAGGTATTATTGAACTAGAATGGTTATACCTGGTATGATGGCATAAGTACGCCGAATTCAGATCATGGGGGCAGCTGTCCTTCATTGTTGCCCGCTATTCGCAATTGAGATCATAAATGGCGTAAGCAAACACAACAATCATGCACAGTATCCTAAGCTGCCTATCCTCACTTGAGTACCTAGTGATTTATCAACCATTTTTCGTACAACATCAAGCAGTACCACTCCCACAACGTATATCAGGTCGGTTGATCTGTAACACAAGCCTGGTTTATGATCTGGCCGGTGCTTGTAGCAGGACGGGACTGAGAGCTTAAGGTAGTACCTGCGTATTAGCAACTTTATTCCGACCTTGGAGCTTGAGACTTGGAGGGATAGCGTGACCCCTCTGTGCAGGGAATAGGAATGGGCATGTGTCTGGGTTTGAGTCATGGGTTGAGGAGAGGGGAATGGAGATCCGAGTGATAGTTGGGGATTGGGGAATTGATCGGCAAGTGGGTGGTGCGATGGTGCTATCTACCTAGGTATGGTAGTTAGCTAGCTATCTGTGTGTTATTTTGGTATTGACGATCTGTGCTGAGAGGGGCGATGCGATGAGGGTGTGGTGCATAAGTAAGTATGTGGTAGATATATCATGGGGAGGAGGTAAATACCAGCTCTCTATGTAATACTACCTAAGGAGTATGTTTTGAGCTGAAGAACACAATATTCTATCTCTATATATGCGTGACTGCTGTAGTATATATATGTTAGTGGTTCTCGACACAAGTAATAGACCAACGACATGATCCAGATCAACCCAATGTATAGCACGAAAAGCGAATAAACAAGTCGTAAAGAGCATATGATATTCGAGATAAATATGACCATAAACCGTCAAAAATATCCATGTCCTCGCCTACCAATGCGCCACGCTATGCATAACAAGCTGATGAGATCTTGAACCCAGAGATGATGAACGCAGAAATATGAAATAACGAAAAAGAAAACCCAAATAGCTCTTCCAACCCGTGACCATCAGTCCTCATCCTCCTCGTCATCGCTACCGGTATCCTGGTCGTCGATATCCAAGTCTTCGTCCGAGTCACTCCCACCAAACACGTCGCTGTCGACATCGCTATCGGCCCAAAAGTCTGCATCGTCTATCTTATCCGCGGGTTTCTTCATGGAACTTTCATGCGTGGGCATAACGAAATCCTCGGGAATATCCTTCTTAGACTCCTCGACGTTCTTCTTCACGGTGATCTTGTACGACTCAGGATCTTGCCGCAGCATGACACCAGCGTCGACGTTGGCGGGCGACGACACTTCTGCATCGTCTAGGAGCGAGAGAATGGATATTAAGACAGACTCGACGCGTTGGGCAGGGGACCAGCGCTCCGAAGCCAGCTCGCCGGACATCTCATCTTCGCCGGGCGCGTGTAGGATAGATATGCAGAGCTTGCCGTCGGGGTAGATATTGGGGTGGTAGAGGGGTCGGAGAAAACGGAATTCTAGATATCATGGATTACAGCGATTAGTGGCGTATGGACTAAAAGCAGGGGAAGCGATAAGATAGTGATTTGGGGATGCCTCTTACCAGGAGGAGAATATGGATAGTTCTTTGGAAATTTCATAGAAGCCTTGAAGTAGCCGCCATAGTACAACGAATCCGGATTCAGAACGATCAGCCCGACATTCCAGTTAAAGATGTCTTCGTTGTTGAGCTGTCCAAAAAGCGTGTTAGCTTCGGGTGATAGGGTCAGCAAGTGAGTGAGCGTACCTCGATGTTCACCCATTCCTCCTTGGCCAAAGCCTTGTATTCGTTCATCAAGATACGCTCCGCCATGGCGGGGACCAAAAATGGGCAAGACTCGTGGGAGTCGATGTGGAAGGAGAAGCCAACTGTGGCAGAGAGTGTCTTGAAAGGGGTAAGTCGGAAAAGGAAGACACAGGAGGGATCCCGGCACCCAGTTCAGAGAAGGGAATGTTGGAACACTCAAGGGAATAACACAGAAGGAAAAGAGAGAGAAAGAGATACAAGTCGCTACTGAGGCACACTGGATGGTCGCCTAGGTAGACTCCATCATAAATGCAGCCATAGTAAGTTATGGCCATGACTTTCCAATGTGGGTTACAATGCCGGCGTGGCAATCCATGACGGAAAGTCCCGGGGTGGCGCTACACCGAAAGCGGGAAATCTGCTGCAGTCTGGTCTATGGGTAAGTATCTAGTGGACTGAATTCGAGGATTGCCTCGACATTTCTTGGTGATTTAAAGTATCTAGGTTGAGGCTGGAGTAGTAACTGAGTGAAAGGTATGGGTAACGTGCTGACTAGATCAGGCTCTAAAGTTTTGCTAGCACCTCATCTTCGGAAAGAGACAGATCACCAGTCAGCAAAAGTCAACAGTGGGGGAACCAGCAAAGCTTTGCGAGTGGAGTTGCCATGCAGCTATAAAGATAATATCATGTAGATGATGTAGGTCAGCAACTAATAACTGGCTCTCTTCATTATCTGCTATCTAGCCCGAGATCCATGGCTTCGTAGGAGGATGACTATCCCGTATCTCATTGAGCTCACGAGGATAGCCGATAGTCCACTACTCGCAGATTCCTCTACCTAATCCGGCTTCTATAGGACAAGAGATTAACCTGACTGTCTGATAAGAAAAGCACAGGCATCGTTAGAGTGACTCATTAGCATTTAGTATCCAATATCCATCCCATCAATGTCCGAGACCACCATGACTAGCGCGGCAACTGACACACGCCGAAGCCCAGTTGATGCCGCCAGTCAATCTATTGGTTGGCTTGCAGTTCCCTGCAGCATCTAGGTATGTCGAGCAGGGGTCGGTGTGATACAGTAATGGACGAACTTGTAAGAATTGTGCAGGAAGCATTGACTGGTCTTAAAGCGGTGTTGCTGACACGGTAGGGACGCGCTCTCTTAGCCTCTTGATGTTGAGAAGAGTGATATGCTCGAGTTGGGGGAATAATGGGCGTCTTCGTTGCAGCTATGAAGAGTCATCTGGTGATTTATGTCTCACTACGGAGTACTGTAGATTGGAAAATGTTTCGTCCCTTTGACTCATCGACAAAGAAAAGCAGATTGAACAGTATCCGCGACAAGAGCGTTGTTAGTGCCACTTTTAGCATTGGACCAAGTACATTGATTGCTTGGTGCTTCTGAGCCTTCTGGTCTCCAACTTCAAAATCCTCCTAGAAGCCACTAGTTGATTAGGGTAGTTTTCAAGTACGTAGAGATTATTAGTGCAAAATCCAGTTGCATCGGCCTCCGGAGTAGTAGTAGTAGTAGTAGTAGTAGTAGTAGTAGTTTTTCTGTCTCAAAGAAAGACTTCTCTCTCTCTTTTCCTAATCAGCTCGCCGCTCCTCTTCCGCCTTCTGCCCCAATGATAACCATCCATTACTAGTTAATAAGACTGGACCCCGTCAAATTCATTTCTTCCTACTACATAACCTGGTTCGGGAAACTTCGTATTCATTCCTTCGGTCTCTTCCTTTTCTTGCCTAGATAATCCCCTGTCCTCGCCCTTTCCAACCAGATTGCTGGCGATGCCAGGTTCCTCCTGCATCTCAATGTCGGAAAGCTGTCAGTAACGCGAGTAGCTCTTTGGCAAGATCTTCGTTCTTTTAGCCTCAACTCGACGTCATCTACCGTGGCTGGGCTCCCAGCACTCGGATTTGAGGCGACTGGACCGTCGTAGCTTTCGTTCTGACCACTTTGGGTTCAATTTTTCCTTTTAAGAAAATGGGAGTAGAATGCCATGGCCCTATCTGGGCCATTGACGATGTCTCCCGCTGTTTCCAGCGCAGGTATGTCCGCCTTCACCCATCTTTGTTTCCCTCGTTCAAGCAAATCGGGACTCTAATCTCTGAATCCTGATACAGTTATCTGCAATTCATATTTCCGTTATCAGCATGCGGTCTGTCCTTTTTGTATATCGTACTCCGAGTCGCATATCGCTTCATCCTCGCTCGGAAAGGTGTCGCTTACAAAGTTCTGGTGAATGAGGACGAGGTTGAGGATGACAGTCACGTCGTCGGACCGGCCGATGGAGAAGAGGGGGAGGAAACCGACCCGATGTTATTGAAGGCGACACAGGCCGAGCGGCCGCACCTGGAAATCGATCGTCCGCGCGGTGAAATCGCTACGGTAGCTCTGGAAGTGGCTGCATTAGTGGGTGTTTTGACCACGATTGTCATCGTATTGGATACCAACGCTTGGGGAGACAATGGCACACTTCCAGCTGTGGGCAAGCTTGTTTCGTGGGGCTATATAATGATTCTGGTGCTAGTCCGCTTCACGCTCTCGACTTTGAACTTGCAATCAACTCCAAGGCTGTGGAGCCACACGGCCGCTCTCTACGCTATACAGTGGTTACTTAATGTCTTTGTTTTCCGGTCTGCGGTTATCCATCCGATCTCAAAACGTGCTTTAACCCTGAGCGCTGTCGAATTTTCGCTGTCAACGCTACTATTGCTCATCGCCCTGACCACACGCAGAGGGAACAAGGCAGTTTGGGTGCAATACGAGGATGGACTGGAGCCGCCACGACACCCGAAGGCTAGCCTGTTGTCCCTGGTAACATTCAACTGGCTCGATCCTTTGATCTGGAAGGGGTACAGCCAACCCCTTGAGCTAGATGATATCTGGAACCTGACCACGTCGCAAAAAGCTGCTACGGTCTTGGAAGACTTTCGCCGTCAGCAGACCAAGGGCTCACTCGTCTGGAGACTCGGGCGCTATTTCTACGGCACTTTGTTGGTGCAGGGTGCATGGACTGTCTTTTCTAATCTATTTACATATTTGCCCACGCTCCTTCTCAAGGCCATCCTGGAGTATGTGGAGGACCCCAGGTCAACCACCGCCAACGCAGCCTGGCTGTACGCGATTCTCCTATTCTGCTCTGGAGCTATTCAGGGTGTTGCTGATGGACAAGCCCTTTGGATTGGTCGAAAGCTGGGGGTCAAACTCCGTGCTATTATTATTGGCGAGATTTACGCCAAAGCCCTGCGGCGAAAAGCCGGTGCATCTTTAGATGCTCCTAAGAAGAAAACGACCGAAGAACCACCCAAAGACGGCAAGAAAAGTCGAATCTTCTCCTTTGGTCGCAAGAAAAAGAAGGCCACTACCGACTCTGAGTCGGACACTCCAAACCAATCGGAGGCTGAAAAGATTGACCCATCCAAATTGGCTAACGTTGGAACCATTATCAACCTGATGGCCATCGATTCCTTTAAGGTCAGCGAAGTGGGTGCCTACCTCCACTTTCTGTGGGCGAGTGTTCCAGTTCAAATCATCATTGCTGTAACACTTCTATATCGACTCCTGGGATTCAGCTCCTTTGCTGGTATCGTCCTCATGGTTCTCATGCTTCCCGTTAACCTCTTCATTGCCAAGGGCTTTGCCAGGCTGCAAAATCAAATCCTCGCTGGCACGGATGCGCGGATTCATTCCACCAATGAAGTCCTTCAGAACATCCGAATCGTAAAGTACTTTGCATGGGAGCAGCGATTCGAAGATATCATCGATGAGAAGCGCAGAGCAGAGTTGAAGTCACTACGCTCCCGCTACATTTTGTGGTCGTTTGCGGCAACTGTCTGGTATGGGACACCGATTCTCATCACCTTCACCTCGTTTTTCTTGTACACAGTTGTCGAGAAGAAAAAGCTAACCCCATCGGTCGCCTTTCCGGCCCTTTCGATGTTCTCTCTACTTCGCGTGCCTCTGGATCAACTGGCTGATATGGTTGCTCACGTTCAAGAATCCAAGGTTTCCCTGGACCGGGTAGATAAGTACCTTCATGAAGAAGAAACGGAGAAGTACATTCAGTTGAGCAGAAGCGCCAATCTTGACATAACTCCGAAGATTGCCCTGGAAAATGCTACACTGTCATGGGGAACTCCTCAAAAAGACTCTTCCAGACAAGGCACAACTGACAGTAGGGAGGCCTTCCGGTTGATCAATATCGACGTGGAGTTCCGTGTAGGCAAACTTAATATCATTGCCGGGCCCACCGGATCAGGAAAGACGTCTCTACTGATGGCTCTCCTAGGAGAGATGAAGCTGTTGGATGGAAACGTCCATCTTCCTGGAGGTACGGCTAATCGAACAGAGTTGCCAGTTGATCCTCAAACCGGGCTCATTGAGAGTGTCGCCTATTGTGCGCAGGAAGCATGGCTGGTAAATGCCACAGTCAAAGAGAATATCGTGTTTGCATCACCCTTTGACGAGCGTCGCTACAAGGCCGTCATCAAAGCCTGTGCCCTGGAACGGGATCTTGCTATCCTCGACGCAGGCGATCAAACCCTAGTGGGCGAGAAAGGTATCAGTCTTTCTGGTGGACAGAAACAGAGGATCTCCTTGGCTCGCGCTATTTACAGCCGAGCCCGCCATATTCTGCTGGATGATTGTCTTAGCGCCGTCGATTCTCACACAGCCAAGCATATATTTCGGGAGGCTCTTACGGGACCTTTGATGATGGATCGGACTTGTGTCCTTGTTACTCATAATGTTGCTCTGACTGTCCCACAAGCGGACTTTGTGATTGTCCTAGACAATGGCAAGGTTAGTGCCCAAGGCCGCCCCGAAGATGTGGCAAGTTCAGGCGCCTTCGGCGACGATTATTTCAAATCGGTCCCAGCTTCAAGAGCGAGTACTCCTCACCTATCTCGCCGGCAATCAGATTCGGAAGAAGGGCAAGTTGATGATCAACCTTCTGCGAATGGGAAGGTGAATGGTTCAACAGGGAAGCAGAACGACGAGAATTCCCAGTCCAAGTTGACAGAATCGAAAGCCGTTGGCAGTATCAAGTGGTCAACCATTCAACTCTATCTTCGGTCGATGGGTCCTTGGTATTACTGGATCACTGCGGCACTTGTCTTTAGTCTGCAGCAATTTGGCTCCGTCTCTACCAACCTCTGGATTAGACAATGGGCGAACTCTTACCAGATCAAAGACATTGAGTCGGATGATGCCGGTAATTACGCTGCAGCAACAAGCCTTAAATTTCCGTCCTTCAATGCTGGAGGTGTTCCCCGGACTTCCAACACCTACGTTCCTCAATTCAGCGGGCGGTGGACTGCCGCTACAGATCGCGACGTGAATGTTTCCTATTATCTCGGAGTATACGCTCTCCTGGGCATTGGCTACGTTCTTATCTCCTTGTTTAGGGAAGGAGTTCTCTTCTGGGGCTCATTGAACGCTTCTTCCAAAATACATCGGCGTCTTTTGGATGCCGTGATGCATGCGAAATTCAAGTTCTTCGATTCCACCCCGCTGGGTCAGCTGATGAATCGGTTCTCTAAGGATATTGAAGCTGTTGATCAAGAAGTCGCGCCAGTTGCGATTGGTATGCTTCATTGCTTGGCGTCCGTGATCATGATCGTGGTGCTGATTTCCATCATCACTCCTGGGTTCCTTATCGCGGCGATCTTCATCACAATGGTATACTTTGCCCTGGGCGCTGTTTATTTAAACGCATCTCGGGACATGAAGAGACTGGAGTCAGTACAGCGGAGTCCTTTGTATCAGCAATTTGGCGAGACTCTGAACGGTATTGTCACTATCCGTGCGTACGGAGATGGTCCACGATTTATCATCGACAACCACCGACGTATCAATGCTTACAACCGTCCCCACATCTACCTCTGGGCCAGTAACCGCTGGCTAGCATTCCGTGTGGATATCACCGGAGCCTTGGTCTCCTTTTTCACGGCCACTTTCGTCCTGATTAACGTTGGCAAGATCGATGCCGGTGCTGCTGGTTTATCATTGACCTATGCGGTCACGTTCACAGAGAATGTGCTGTGGCTGGTCCGTCTGTACTCAGAGGTCCAGCAGAGCATGAATTCGGTGGAACGAGTGAAGGAGTATCTTGATGTGGAGCAAGAAGCCAAGGCAGTAATTCCAGACTCGAGACCGCCCGCTGACTGGCCTAGTGGTGGTGCTGTCGATTTTATCGACTATACTACCCGGTATAGGTCTGATCTCGATCCTGTGCTTCGAAATGTGTCTTTTGCAGTGAAGCCTGGGGAGAAGGTGGGCATCGTTGGGCGTACTGGTGCTGGAAAAAGCTCCCTCGCCCTTGCGCTCTTCCGTGGGCTCGAAGCGGAAGAGGGCAAGATAGTCATTGACGGGTTGGATATTGGCAGCATCGGGTTACGGGATTTGCGAGAGGCTATCACCATTGTTCCACAGGACCCCACTCTCTTTACTGGCAGTATCCGGACTAACCTCGATCCATTCAATTTGTTCAGCGACGAGCAGATGTTCACAGCTCTGCGCCGTGTTCATCTGATTGGGCCAGAGACATCTGGCACAGCAACCCCTGTCACGGCCATTGCACCTACCAACGCAGAGGCTCGGCCGGCAATAACCAACGGAGCCGGCGTGGGAGTCACTGGCGCTCAGGATAATAAGAACGTCTTCCGCAACTTGGAGTCTCCCGTTTCGGAGTCTGGCTCGAACCTCTCCCAAGGACAGAGACAGCTCCTTTGCCTAGCCCGTGCTCTTTTGAAGAACCCCAAGGTTCTGATGATGGATGAGGCGACAGCCTCGATCGACTATAACACCGATTCTAAGATCCAAGAGACGTTGCGCGAGTTGCGGGACAGCACCATTATCACCATCGCCCACCGCTTGCAAACAATCATTGACTACGATAAGGTGTTAGTGCTTGATCACGGTCGTGTGATTGAGTATGACCATCCTTGGACCCTCATCAATAAGCCGGACGGTCTCTTCCGGAGCATGTGCGAGAACAGTGGCAATTTCGAGACCCTCCTGGAGGGAGCGAAGAAGGCATGGGAAGCTAAACGTCTTGTCGATGACTCATAGCCCTCTGCTGAGTATTCCGAGTACATACTGACCTATTAATCGCGCTTGTCAGTTACTGCTTGTCATATATTTTCCTTTCCCTTGATTGTTTCGAGTTCCTGTCCTCGGCCACAGGGACCAAAAGTTACGAATTCCTTATTGGGAGGCTATTATTAGGGCTGATTATCATTATTCTTCTACTGTATATGGCAATTAGAGATGCCTTTTGCCCTTGCCATTTGTATACACAGTACTGCAGCATCGTATCGATTATCAACAAGAATGGTCATATCGAATATTGCGTTCTCTGTGTAATTAAAATAATGGCACTGGGCGAACTTCTGCCTCAGGCGCCAAGTCGTTAGTAGTAGATGAGCGGCTTGAGCCGACAACTGCCTACATTTAGACTAGTGCATAAGATGATCCTCACTGCTGATCATCGATCCCTGACTGACTGACTGACTGACAGTGAGTACCTCTTCTATCAACTGGGCAGACTCTTGACACCTGCCTCGTTAGCAGCAAAGCATGACTGTCCGTTGCTATTTCAAAAAAAAAAACTTGGAAGACTACTTGAATGATTGCTTGACTTGATCCATTGATCCGGAGACTCTCAGTCCCGAACCCTCGGAGCTGGACGGAAACCATCCATGAGATCATGGTGGCCAACCGCTCGGATGCCTGGGAGAGGCTGACACGAACTCCTCTGGTCTTCAGATATCGAGCCCAAGGGTCTAGGTGAAAGAGAATTCAGAGAAACTCTATTGTTCGAACGGCTCTCGGCGAGCCGGTTCACTTTATCTCTGGTACCGCTCAAACAAGGTTTCCCGTAGCCGGGGTCATGATGCAAAGGACATCAAGAGGAATTAGAGCTTACACTATCCGCAGATGTTTCCGTCTGATAGAAAGTCAATTTGTTCAGGGATTGTCTTGATTTCATCATATCGTTGCATCCGCAAGTGTGTGGTGTGCGTTGTTCATGATGACCGCAAGGACTTGGTTTCCTGTCGCGACGGAGCTTATAAGAGAGCAGCTCGAGGTGAAGCCTTTCTTGTGATCTTTACGAACTTCTCCAATTCCACACCAATCCCCTCCTCTGGTCACCGTACTTCTTCGCGCTTTCAGGCATCATTTCAAGTCAACAGCCAGACAGATAAAACCCATATTCATCATGCGTTTCTTCTCTGCCCTGTTTGTCGCCGGCGCGGCCACCGCTGCCAACAACAGCTACTGCACACCCTCCTCGGGCGATGTTCAGGTCGTTCAGCTCACTTGGGCGCTCGAGTACTTGATTGAGCAATTCTACTCGTCGACCCCCCTCAACCAGACCTTCCTTAACTCCGCTGTGAACAGCTCCAACGCCAACTACTATACCAACCTGCAGGGCATGCAACGTCAGAACCGACTGGGTGTGCGGGCGGTGCAGCAGCTCGGCAACCGGGTTGAGAACTTCGATTCCCCCAAGTGCAACTTCACCTTCGAAACTCCCAGCGACAGCGAGAGCTTCCTGCAGACCGCCCTGCAGCTCGAGCAGAGCGTGAGCGGCGCCCTCATTGGTCTCGAAGGCTACACCCAGGCACCCGAGGTTTCCTTCCTCCTCGCCCGTCTGGCTGTTCAGCATGGTGCCCACTCCGGCTACCTCGCCACCACCCAGGAGGGCGTTGTCTTCCCCAACAATGCTACCTCGTTGACCCCAGCCTACAGCCCCGACTATGTACTCACCTCCGGCCAAAACCCCGGCCAACTCGGTGACTACATCAATGGCTGCGTGTCAGCGCCTCAGCCCCCTTGCGGCAACCTCACCATCGGGCCCCTGATCGGCTCTCTAGGCGGTAGCAACTCCACCACTTCCAGCTCAGCAGCTGCTTCCTCGACTGGTGCGGGTGCTGGCTCCAGCTCTGACGCCTCTGCTACTTCTACCGCCACTGCCACCGGCTCCAGCAAGAAGAGATTCTTCTAAACTCGCTACAAATCAAGCGCCGTGTTTGATAAGCCATTGAATGACAAGGTATATCATTGGCTTTTTACATAGATGTTGGCGGTGCCTTGTGAGGTATTTGGGCTCAATGGACATTTATATCATGTCAGCACTGTACTTAATAAGAATATATAATGTTGTGGAAGGGGAGTGACGGACAGAAGATGCATTCGATCTGGCCCGAAAGTTTTAGTAACTAATCTTCATTGTCAGAACTAGTTCTATGTTCTGCAGTACCATCCTACGCACCGTCGAAAGATTTTGATATGAGAGATGCAAGTAATCTATTGAAATTTATGAAAAAGAACATATTCGCAGATAATTCACGTGTGTTCGATATACGTTTGGCGTTTCTTCCTCCATTGTCTGCTGCTTTAAATGCATCTCATCAACGATTTTATATATCAGCGAGGATGCTGACAACCGAGTAGATATTGAACACTTTGCAGCAACTGCTCGCGCTATCGTTGTTTGCATCGTTCATCAGTTCTTTTTGGCTTTTAAAACCCTGCGTTTGTACAGCATAGATATATCCTCAGCTGTAGCATTTACATGGAAACATCGCGATAGGAGGGCTTCGCAGTATCCTAAAGCCTTTTCTATCGACCTCTACAGCTAGCTACAGATTCCAGAAGGAGCATACAATCCCTCACCCAGAGCCCCTCTATGAATAAAAAAAAAAAGAAAATCCCTTCTTCCTATATACACCAGGTCGCTGGCTGTACAATGAACTGTAACAACTCGAAAAGCGGTGCATCAAGTTCGATATCGATCTCAGGTCTACAGTAGACTGTTGGCCGGATTGAACCTAAACTCATGAATGCCAACTTTCCCTTTCATGGCAGCTTGTACTACAAAGACATGTTCCCTTCATGGTAGAAGGGTCCTTGACCCGAGCGGGCCAGGACAAGAGGCTGCGTCGAAATTCGTCCTCGGACTGAACAACTCCGCCAGCGCTCTGGGAAGAGGGAGTGGCAGAGCTGGGTATAGATCGGGGGCCGTGTACGGTACATGTATGGTCTTCAATTGATCCCGTCAGTGTACAAAAGGAATGAAGTGGAGACGGTCGAGGAACACCGTGTTCATCCATCCCAAAGCGCGAGATGGCCATAATCCGAAACCCGCCTCCTCGTCTATCCATCTTGGGAAGAACAAAACGGAGACGTGATACATATATCCATCTCCTTGGACAGTTCCTAGAAGTGTTACCTCACATCCTACCAAGCATCGAAACCCTCTACATCCCCATCCTCCTGCACCATGATCTCCACGCTAAGAACATCTTTATGAACTCCTCAGACCCAACCAAGATATCAACCATAATCAACTGGTCAGCTATCTATACTGCCCCGCTCTTTATGCAGTCTAAGTTCCCATCTGTCTCTGACTGCGAAGATCCATACTCATGGGGTGCAGTTTAACCCATATTGCCTGAGGACTTTAATACCCTGTCTCTATCCGAGGAACTAGCAGAAGAAAGGCTTGATAGATCTTAGTTGAAGAAGTTCTATAAACTGGCTTCCAGAAAATTCAACCTATCTCTTATTAAGGCTATGGATATGATGCACAACAATGATGATGATCCCACTACATTTATCTTCTATATTATTAGATAGACTTTCCAAGGCAGTCTAATTCTGCTTAGAGAGCTCATGATACAAATATGTAAGAAATGGGATCAGATCATTGCACCGCAAAGGGCTAGCAGTGCCCTGCCCTATCCCCTTCTCATAAAAGGAGATTATTGAGAATGGGCAACAGGTAGAAGAATGGGCAGAAATCTATAGTGAGCTTGACAGACTGCGAGCAGATACTGTTGGTCAAGATGGCTAGTTTTCGCATGAGGAACATCGGGAAGTCATGCACAGATGGGAGAACAAGAGGGAAAGACTAGAAGTTCTCGAAGAGCGACTGAATGGACTTCTATGAAACCTGCGAACAACTGGTGCTCCACTCGTTAATCCGGCTAGGTGTGGAAACAGACCGAAGGTCAACAGCGTATGTAATAATTTGGTACATGTACTGGAATCAACGAGTATAGACATGAAAATATGTACAATATGATGTACAAACCTTGATCTTGGCTAAACCTTTGAAGCTACGCTCAAAAGAGCCGGCAACACCAAAATTCTCCATGATTGAGGGCATGCCAGCAGCCTTGGAAGATCACCAGTCAGGACATATATCCATTAAAATTTTGGCAACCTTGCTACAGGTGTCTGATGTGCATACCTGGATGAACCGATTCTGATGGCGCCACATCATCAACCTGTCCGTACCAGCGCCAGGTACTTCTCCAGACTCTCTCCCATAACATTAATGAATGGCCACTGTGTATTCTTTCGGAATAGACGGGCCCAAAGCTTGATGACGGCATGTCCAAGACTTCGAGGGTCGAGATTCGGGGTTTCCTCCCCTTCTTCGAGATCCATCGATGCATAAGCTTCCTCGACTATGCACCGGGTCCAATGAAGGATCCGGCTTTCATTTTCTGAGTCAGAATTAGCCGCGGTCTTTCGGTGTCAAATAATACTAGCTCTCATACCACTCAGCGTTGTCCCACTCCCTGCCTCCGCCAAAGATAAAAGCCATTTACTTAGAAGGACAGCACACTCTAGGCTGGCGAGAGAGTGGCGCACGCTCCAGAAGAATGCTTGGCTGCGTGCAACATAGTCAATGCCCAAGCGAACAGGAATGCTTAATGCGTGTGCGGCATAAATCAGTGCAGGTGTCAGCCGATAGCTTCGTCCTGGACGGGGTGAGCGATGTAGTGCCGCAGCAATGCAATATGGATCCCGTGTCTCCAGTTGGCGGTAAGGACCCAAGTTAAGGGAAAGTCGAACGTAGGCCAGGCCCAAAAGCGAGCTGGAGGTAAAGGGAATAGGGCCATTCTCATTATGGGGATTGAGACTGGACTCGGGTGCTTGTTGCCAAACGGAAGTCCAGGATCGCAGGGCTCTCCTGTAGACACAAGAATTAGACCGTTGCATTCTCCAGATGTCTTAAATCGATTTCGTCAGACTTACTCGAGTTTGTTAAGTTCCTCTGTGGGGAGAGAAAAGGTTTGGTCCCCGTTCGGTATGGATAGCTCGCTTACCAGATGAATGCGTTGAAGGAGACCATGCAGCAGTATATAGTTTCCCAAAGGTGTAGGAATTGGATTTAACATGACGGGCGTCCTTGAGTTCTGCAGAAGAAGGGCCAATGCATCTTGAAAGAACAATTGTTGCGAAATGATCTCCTTCTGTGCGACCTCCCATTCACTCGCCGTGGTGGCCTTCCATTCCTGAGTCGAACAGGGCAAGCGCAAGTGCACCTCGCTACTTCTAAGCACAGGGTATATGTTGTATGCAATGCTGTGTACATGAACAAAACAGAAGGAGACAAGTCGCGTCCGGCGCACTGACTCCTCTTCTGCCCACTCATGCCAGTGCATAGGTGAATGTCTTGGAGTGACCGTAATGTTTTCAGTCAGGCCAAATTCGCGCAATGATCGCACTAGCAAGTGCTGCAGACCAAAGGCTTCTTGTACTAGCTCTGCTCCTTCCCAAGATGCGAATCCCATGAGAATGAGCAGCGTGCGGATGTTCTCTATTTGTCTCCAGGCACTCCATCCGGGGACATTACCGAGCGGCAAAGGAACTGGCTCCGGGGTGTGTTGTTGAAAAGGCTCGGGATTGTGATACAATGGCATTTGCATATTGCTATATGATCCTCCAGACTGGGGTTGCGGTTCCTTTGAGAGCCTATGGAGTAATATCGCTTTGGAAGCATGGAAGAGCTTCTCGGCATTCCGATGTTCCAGCCGATACTGGGCGCCCACTGCCATAAAGGCCAAGATCAGTTCTGGAGCACGTTCATTGATCCGTAGTGTCGGGAGATGTATGAAGGGAAGATGTAAGTGAAAGCCTTCGAAGAATGAGGTCAAGTATCTCATCAAGGTGTGCCGGGAAGGCAACACGAAATCTGGGATTAGCTGACGAAATTCCTCCAAGGAAGTTGCGAGGCGCAGTCTTTGCTCTTCGCTGACCTTCAGAGGAGAGTGGTTCATCGCGTTTTGAGGAGGTTCTAGAGAAAATGGTTAGATACTGTGACTCGGCCTTTTTTGAGTGAACATGTCACATACCATGGTCGGAGATCGTTCCTAGACTCGCGTCTCCGGGCGGTACTGATGGTAACCAAGACCTGAATGGAGAGTCATCGCGGGATCCCCCCATCTGCGTGCGGCGACTTGAGTTTTGCTGTTCTCTCGCCAATCCACCAGGATCAGGTACATCGGCAGGCACTGCACTATGAACGTTTGGTGTCTCTGCGAGTGTAGGAACCCACTCCGCGGGCAGTCCAATCGAATCCAGAAAGTGAGTAAAGTCTTGGAAATGGTTCAGCTCCTCGGGAAGACAAGTCAATGGTTGAGCTGGAGAGGGATTAGACATTGTATGCCATCACACTGATATTCAATATCCTACCAAGTGGTTGGGCGTCGCGATAAACACCGGGTAGAAGAAGCTGCGCAGCTTGGAGAATGTCTGCGTCATGAACCACTGCGGGGTGTGTGTCCAGAACAGCATTGCTACCACGCGTATGAAGCATGCTTTGATGATCATCGCCCAGATACGGTTCCGGGTGCGAACCGGGCCATTGCTCTATCGACGATGATACAGGAAGCGCAACCTCTGTCTGCGGGATTGACTGAGCCTCATGGCTCGGCTGAGCTTCAGGCTGCTTTTGAGCCTGGAGACTAGTTGATTGGGCATGGTCCTTGCTCTCTTGACCAGGCTGGGATGTTGGGGAAGCAAGCTCATTATCTTGATGTAAGATGCGGGTATGTCGTTTTAGAAGGTCACGGCGTGTGAATGCGGCCCCGCAGAAACAGATGAATGGCTTCTCTTTGGTATCTGGGTCGCAGCTATCAGCGATCCATGTCTAAGATGTACTTGATTGAATAGTAAGATGGTTGCATAATCATGCATGAAACAAGGGGATTTACGTGTGCGAATATGCCGCTCTAGATGCTCCGTTCTCCGGAAGTTGCGACCGCAATGGACGCATACTCGGGACTTTGCAACACTGGGGCGACGAGAGCCGCCGCGGTTCGGTTGCGATGATTGTGGCAGCATCAAGACATTTGGGATGCACGAGAACAATGCTTGTATATATCTACTCAGACTTCAGAGCACTGGTAGAGGATCCTCTCCAGTTGGAGACAAATGAAACCGGGGTGATTAATCACAATAAGTGGACTCGTTGGATATCGGAGAAAGACTTCAAGTGGAGGAGGAAAAGTTGCGCCCAGCGAAACTGGAGGGGAATCAGACCCCGTGACTCCAACGGGACTCCAACTCCCTCTGCTTATGTGATCACGACTCCAACTGATAAGTGATTGCCATGATCTATAGAGCTGATGAGGTTGTACATGTGCATTTTCAAATCGTATCCAGTTCATCCTCGCCTAGGTCAACAAGTATGGTACGAAGCTATTCATTCCCAGGCGTGGCAGTCATCACTGGGGCCGGCGGAACAGGTGCTCTATACTTCCAACTGATCATGAAAGGCAACCTCCTGCTAACAGCCTTCTCCAGGAATCGGCGCAGCCGTCACAGAAGCCTTTGCCTCAGCAGGCTGCGAGAGAATTGCCATCACAGACATCAATGAGACTTCGTTGCGAAAGACGGAAGCGAGAATACTCTCCGCCTATCCCGACATCCGCCTCGTAGTAAGAGCAGGTGATGTCACCGACGAGCAATTCGACGACTTTTTCATGGACGAGGTGGTAAGCACATTTGGCCGGCTCGATTACGCAGTAAACTGTGTGGGAGTACTTGGGGAGCCCCTCCGTTCGACAGAGACAAGCACGGAGATCTTTGACAAGATCAACAACATCAATTACAGAGGATGCTGGTTGTCTTCGCGCGCGGAGCTGAAGCAAATGCTCAAGCAGGATCCGCTACCAAGCCATGATCCCCGCCGTGGGCCACAGCGGGGGAGCATTGTCAATATCGCTAGCCAGCTGGGGATTGTTTCGCGTGCTCGTGCCCGTAAGACACTCTATTCATGATTGTCTTCAAGGTAATAGTACTGGATAGGCTGGCTAATTATTCCTCATACATATGTGCAGCTGCATATTGCGCCTCTAAAGCTGCTATCATCGGAATGACTCGTGCCGATGCAATTGACTATTCCGCAGACGGTATCCGTGTCAATTGCATCTGCCCGGGAGTCATTGAAACGCCCATGACAACTAATAGTGAAGAGGTACGCCAGCAGCTGCAACCTGCTGTGGAGATTGCCCCGATGAGACGAATGGGGCAGCCGGAAGAGGTGGCAGATACAGTTCTCTTTCTCTGTTCGAGCTTCGCCTCTTTCATTCAGGGCCATGCCCTCGTTGTTGATGGAGGATACGTAATCAACTGAATCTTTGTACTGTGGCATTTACTCTTTGGATGAGTGTATGCAATAGTATTGCATCGATATCAGAGTTTATCACACATCGCACGTCTATAAGATCACCTGAGTCACATCTGACTTGCATGGCTAGAATTTAATTAATGGTATAGCGATTGTCTTTCCAATCAAAATTGGTCTCCCATGCATGACCAGCTCTTAAAACCTTGGAATCCTGCCACAACCCACCGACAATCTGCATTCCAACCGGCAACTGCACGTCCACATTATCTTTGGCAGAGGCAAACCCAACGGGGATTGACATGGCAGGCTGGCCTGTGACATCGAATATGGCGGTATTGATCGTAAGTCCCATACTTGGCCTGACTGACTCCAGAGGAAGACCACGCTTTCCATGCCTGGATGCGATAACAGGCGTGGTAGGCATGACCACTACATCGTGATTCTCGAAGATATTCTCGTATAGGTCCCGAAGTCTGCGACCGATGTTCATGGTCTTGCCGTAAAGGCCCGGGAAGCGCGAAGCGAGGTACAAGCCGTTGATTATGACATTCTTGGTCGCGGGAAAAGCTCTCTGGAAGCCTTCATCCGTCCAAGGAAGCCTTGCACCGTCCAGCTCCGTCATGTAAAGCCCGTGCCTCCCATGCGCGTGCCCCAAGAGACTCATGGATCCTGCTATGCGTTGCTGGATTGTCCAGATGGCGGGGCCGTGCAGGTGCTCGGGGAGAGAGATTTCCTCGATGACAGCACCAAGCTCCTTGAATCTTTGCACGGCAGCCATGACACAGCTTCTGACTGTTGGGTCAACAGCACTGTGCTCGAACCCTTCTTTGAGGACGCCGATGTTGAAGCCTTCGAGTCTGGCTGGTTCTGTTTGGAGTGTCTGAGCAAATGTGGTTGTTCCCGGCCTAGGGCTGCTGAGTGATCTATCGTCTATTCCATCATATCTGCTAATGGCATCCAAACATAGCGCGACCTCTTGTACAGACCGCGCCAGGGGACCCGCGTGATCGTTCACAGCATCGCCACTTGTGATACCAGTGAATGGAACCAGGCCATGAGTTGGCTTGAGACCAACACCTGAGACGATATCAATACCAACCTCAAGGCTATAATTTTTGAAGACTCGTCGAACTTACAGCCACAGAATGACGCAGGTACCCTGATACTGCCACCCTGATCTCCCCCTATTGTGATATCCACCACGCCGCCCGCAACTAGAGCAGCGCCGCCAGACGTGCTTCCGCCGGCAGAGTAACCAGCCGCATGTGGGTTCTCGACTGTGCCCTGGGCACTGGTATATGAGCCGGTCGAGTGGCAGAAATTTTCGCATGTTGAAGTACCTAGGATATCTACACCCGCGTCCAGAAGTCGCTTCACAACTGTGGCATCGGTAGTGGGTGTCCAAGATGGTATCACGTCGCTACCAAGTAGCTGAGGCACACCAGCGACTGCGATGCAATCTTTCAGGCTGACTGTCTTACCAGCCAGAGAACCTCCTTCTTTATTGCCCTCAATGAGGAATCTATGAGCCCAGGCTTGCCCGAAGACTTGCTCCTCCGGGCCAGGCCGTCGTACGTCCTGTCGTGGGTAGCGTGATATGTCGGGCACAGGCTGGTAGTCTGGCAGCTTTGACACATCCTCCGCGCAGTCATGAACAGCAGCGAGGAGCGTATGGAAGTCGTCCACCTCTTCAGGAGCGATCGTCAACCCGAGATCATTCAATAGAAGTTGAGCATCCTCCTTCTTCACAGGATTGTCCCTGTATTTATCCATGAGCCCGTAAGCATATTTCCAAGTGGAGCTAAACTCACGGTGAGGTCGAGGTAAACAAGACGGACATGGTGGTCGGTCTTCTGCACTCCGATGAAATGGCTTTTTGGAGTATAGAGTTTCCTCGAGTCACTGGTGGCAGTGGATGCGGGATAACACAAATTTCCCAGCAACAGATACTTAAAAGACGCCCTATTTCATGTCCTTTCCCCTCATAATCTGTAAGCAAGATAGAAGAAAAGAGGGAAAGAAGGAAATCAGCGCCCCTATCGCGCAAGCAACATACTCCAACTGCCCAGGATCTACGGGGTCCTACCATGAGAATTGGAGGCTTGGGAGTTGGAGTCGCGGCCCACCATCAACACCATGATTTGGAGTCAACAAGACAGCCTTATCAATTCCAACAGACATCTCTTTTGTCTCCGCAGAAATGGAGACCCATGATAAGTATCAAGTCCCACCTTGTTGGCTGCAGCTTGATGGACGGACCGGAGGCTGGTAGGCTACTACTTAGACCGTGAACCCCTCAGCCGATCCCGATGACTCCCCTCATATCTCCTGATTCCCCCGTGCTTGTCGTCTCCTACTTTCCAGAAACATAGCCTACTGCCAGTTACACCTCTGACGAAAATCTATTTGTAATTGTCGGGGCTTCATAATCGCTGAAATGGGCAAGAAACGAGTCCTTATTACGTATGGAGTAGATGTCGATGCAGTCACCGGCTGAGGACTCCTCAAACGACATCAGCAGGGGTCAGTCACCACTATACCCGAAGCACAAGCTCGAACGCCGCTGCTAACCCAGTGCGCGAACAGGGATCTGGGCTGCCGCCGTCGGTACGCGACGTCTGCTGAAATTCTTCAACAAATACGGCATCAAAGCGACATGGTTCGTCCCGGGCCACTCGTTGGAATCCTTCACGGAGGATATGGCTGCCGTGCGCGACGCCGGCCACGAGATCGGCCTGCATGGGTACTCGCATGAGAACCCGAAAGACATGACCGTTGAGCAGCAGCGCGATGTGCTCGATAAGACGTACCGCGTGCTGACGGAGTTCGCTGGGAAGCCGCCCCGTGGCGGCGTAGCTCCTTGGTATGCTTCCTCCTTTCCCCACTTGCGGGGCGTAATGATCTTTTCGCATGCTGGTACAGGAGATCCCAGGTGGGAAACAAGTAAAAGAAGGAGCACAGCTGCTCCTGGGCTACGGCATCGAGTATGACCACAGCATGGAGCCACGAGGATTGCCAAGCGTACTATCTGTGGACCGGGGACACCTGGACCAACATCGACCACACCAAGACGGCGAAGGAGTGGATGAAGCCGCTCGTCCAGGGCCAGAAGACGGGGCTCGGGGAGATCCCCGCGAACTGGTACATCGACGATTTGCCTCCGATGATGTGCATCAAAGCGGCGCCAAACAGCCACGGCTTCGTGAACCCGCGGGACGTCGAAGACATCTAGCGCGATCACTTTGACTACTTCCACCGGGAGTACGAACGTTCATCTTTCCGATTACGATCCGTCCAGATGTTTCTGGACGGCCGCATGTACTTTTGATGTGTGAGATGTGTGTGTGTGTGTGTGTGTGTGTGTGTGTGCTATATATCTTTCATATACAGAGAAAGTATTTCTTGATCAGATTTATGAGACCTCAAGCATTATTCTATTTGTTACTTGATAGTGTAAGCGCATTTCTAAACCATGGCATGGGCACTAAATAGCCGAAGTGCTATTTCTATCAGAAACAGAAACGCCGGGCGAGTTGTGGAGTTAGTAATTCATGCAAGCAGGAAGAGGAAGCCGGGGCATTGGTCACTATCTAGCCCTAGGAGGTTCATAGAGCAGGAAGAGACCAGGGCTCCTCTCTAACACGTTCAAGGAAGTGCTACCATGCGCCTATTTGCGAAAGAGCCACGTCGCAGAGTGCCTACTGTATCTCGTTGTAGGATCCAAGCAAGGCCAGACAGGTATTAAACGCTGGGGGAGTTGAGGGGTCAATGATGTGTCAAGGAGAGAGAAATAGTCGACTCCTATGCATCCAGACTGCGATTGCGATCAAGATGGGGTTGGAAGTTGATGGGCATCCCGATCTTGTAGGTTTGTGGTTCTGGAGTGAGCTATGGATTTCAAGTGATTCCTGCTGCAGCTGATATGCTTCCTAGGTAGGTTTCGTATGATTGAGCGGGGTGGCTAAGGATGAATCAGAATCAAAAAATTGGATGGTATATTGGGATCACGATCACCGATGTTCTGCAGGAACAGTAGATATAACTCCAGTAGCATGAGGTCACTTCAAAGGTACTGGTCGAATCCGTTAAGCATGGCCTCCTATAAAAATAACGAGTCTGGAAACGAATTAGTAGGCGTTGTCTTCTAGAATGAGCGAGTACTGTTTACGCAGTCAGAAAATACGTAACGGGACTGGGTATGAAGCTCATTAAATCATTCATGATAGTCCACAGGCTAGAATATTTGCTGGTCGAACTGCTGCAAAGTCAATCCCACCACCATGTCAGTCTTTCCCCCGCACAGCGGTTGGACAACCGCATATCGAGGCTGTAGTTGGCCATCGACCTGTTCCGGGTTACCCTCTGCCAAGAACACCATTACCGAGTTCCCAGGACGGCAACCAGACAGACGGCAATCAATGTTGATGCGTGAAAGCTTCAGTCTTTGAAATGTTTCACATGGGCCCTTCCCGGTCGTCGAAGAATTCGGAAAACTCCCGGTCGAGAGCACGGTGGTCGAAGGGAGAAGAACCCCCTAGCGCCATGCTTCCGCTATCAGGGCTATCAACACTGAGATAGTCTAGAACCTCGGAGTATCTGTTGAGATTTTTCCGGTGGTCAGCCCTGTCTTGATGAGAAAGGATCACATCGCACACACATCATAACCTTCCAGGTCTCCTTCGGAAGGTCCATGTTGTTGAAAGACCAGTCAAAGGGCCCTGCCGCGACAGGTTCATCGGTAGGGTCATGGTATGGAGCTAGGTAGGGATGTCTCAGGGCATCTTGGGCGGAGACTCTGATGTCGGGGTCAATGACGAGCATTTTCTTGAGAAGGTCAATAGCTGTCAAAGATGCAAGGGTTATTATCCGCTTCTGCTATATATTCGGTGAGCGTTGGGAACCGGGGAGTATCTATACCATCAAAGTCGGTATCTTTCGGGACGATAGTGGACAGATCTCGAGGCTCTCGTGATGGCAATGATTGGACGAATTTCATAGTCTGGCAGATGGGGATCAGTCATGGTGATGAACACAACAGGGGCTAAAGCACTGACATTCTTGCTAGTAATCTTCTCAAGCACCGACTTAGGGGGATTCCCAAGAATATTCGTGATCAAATGGAACTGATGAACATGATCTTTCCCTGGGAAGAGTGGTTTGCCCCGGAGCATCTCGGCAAGGATGCAGCCTGCGCTCCAGATATCCACCTGCACGCCGTATCGCTGCCAGGTTAGCATGATTTCCGGGGCGCGGTAGTATCTGGTCGAAACATAGCCGGTCATCTGAGGTTCCTGCAGTCGGGCGAGACCAAAGTCACAGATCTTCAAGTCACAGTTTTCGTTGATGAGGATGTTGGTTGGTTTGAGGTCACGGTGGATCACATTCGCCGAGTGAATGTATTTCAAGCCTCTCTATCGATTGTCAGCAAGGCGGCTGGAGGTTGTATGAAAGTCAGCCATCATACTAAGATTTGGTAGATAAAGTATTGCGCGAATTGGCTGTCGAGGGGTTTCACGCTCAACAGACGACTGAGATCAGTCCCGAGGAGCTCGGTTGCAATGTAGCTAACACGATATCAGTACCATCAACAGAAGCTTGCATTCCATACCAGCAACGTACATGTCTTCGAGGGGAGAAATAAAGATATCGCGCAAACAAATAAGCTATATGCAGGCGTCAGCTTCTTGCGTCGCCTAGTTGACCTGGCAGGCGCCACACATTCTCATGGCGGAGGTACTTGAGCAACTTGATCTCACGATAAGTACGTTTGGCCAAAGACGAGCCGTCAAATGGTTTCATGACCTTTTTGAGAGCAACTAGCTGTTGGGTGATCTGATCGAACGCCGAGCTACAGTTCATATGCCGTCAACGACATCCACGGTAACAGCAAGGTACACTCATGAAGAGCAGAAGAAGCAAAAAGTAGGTGGCAGATACATACCAGACGAGACCAAAAGATCCCATACCAATGGGCTGTAAGTTCACATATCTAGTCATAGTAGTAGTCAGCTTCAGCTTCATAGCCTTCATTTGTTTTCTTTCTCTCTTGCTTGCTTTTTTTTTTTTTTTTTGTTCTCTCTTTTTGTGCACCCTTCCTCGGCAACATTCGAGGGGCAACAAGGGTATAACTATCTATCCATCTCTACCCACCCAGCGGGATAGACAGACTAACAGACCAACAGACTAATAGACCAACGAAACAACAAACAATCACACCGACAGAAAGACAGACGTACCTGGTGGTGTATTCGAATTTAGTACCCAGGATCTCAGCACGGACAAACTCAGCCATGTGAATAAAGGGGACTTGGGGTAGGCCAAGCGGTCAGATATTGCGATCTCCGTAACAATCGAAATCCGCAGGTGGCAATAGTCTCAAAGCTCATAATCCGATCCGATGGGACAGAAGCGATGACAGGGGACGAGGAGAGAGAGGGGGGGGTGGGTGTATGTGTGTATGTGTGTGTCTGGTTGAGTGGACAGTGGATTGGGACTGTGGGAATGGTGACTAGTCGGTTTGACTGAGCTCAGGAAGATAGTAGTAGTAGACAGGTAGGTCGTAGTCTAGGTAGTTCCATTTGTTAATGATGGTTTGTGACTTTGTTGCGCACAGAAAGAATGGGGAGAGTCGAATGGTACTACTATAGAGTACAGACACTGTACATACTCCCTAGTCTACAGAGAGGTAAGGACTAAGGGAGTCGGCAGTAGGCAGTAGGCAGTACCTAGGTATGGGACTGCGAGAGGGTTACTAACTAACACACACACACACACGTCCATTTTTGATGCAGGAAGAAGGTTCGGGAATTTCAGCCCGAATATATTATTTACTACTATCCGTAGTTAGATACTATCTAGAGTTGCTCCAGAGGCCTATGGTAGTAGAAGTAGTAGTAGTAGTCTACGGAGTACCTAGTAGGTAGTATACTGTGTATATAACATGAAATGATGAAAGAGATTCTAGACTGTTCGATCAGCTGAGATCCTGGAAATCCAACTGGGGAATACACTCGTGTGTGGCATTCGATTGGTGGGACGAGATGCCAAAGCTCAGCGCAAAATCAAGGCAGTGGGCCTGTTTCTGCTGCAGTCAACAAACAACTGCGGCCCAGTTTTATCCATCCATCCATCCATCCATACATACATACAATGGATGTTACCTACAGAGTACGTAGTAGGTACAGATATTTACAGTGAGACTAATTGAATTAGTTGTTCGACTGTCGCATCAAAGGACTTATTACCGAGTCAATTTCAATCTTGATACAGGAAGCTGCAGAGAGTGTGCCTGAGAGTCCCAGCAATCAGCTCAGGTCAGTCCCTCCGTATCAATCAGGTGGATCGCGCGTTTACTGATACAAAGAAGGACTCCTACATTCCAAGGTCTCTTGTCAAATGCTCCCGGAATCTGACTCGGTTCAATGATTCCCCTTCCCACCCCTCTTTCGTTCTTTCAAGCGGCCCAGACAATCAACACAGTGCATATTCAAGGTCCTGTCATATCCCTGCCTTATGATATGAGTGATATGATACATCCGCTATGAGCGATCTCACCCTCGACATGTCAATCATCTAGTAGGTCTAGTAGGTTGCCCACCTGCACCGCCCTCGGCTTCGAGAGCGTCACATTCTCCTCCAACTCCAAGTGATCTGGCTCCTTGTTCGTGTTGTCTGCCTCTTCGCCGCGTACTGCAGGTACCCTCTTCTTCCCTTTCTTGTCGCGAGCCGAGCGAGGGCCGGCAGCCACCGCCGCGCTCTGTGATTCCCGTTGAACTGTCGCGATGCTCCTCGGGTTGGCCTTTCGGAGGAGCTGGATATCCTGCTGCTTGGCTCCCCATTTTGCAAACTCCTGATACCCTCTGATCGCTTGCCTTTTCAGTTCCTCCTCCGCCCGGGTCCGCTCCCGATGCGCCATAGAAGACAATTCCGCGTTCGCCAGTTCCAGTTCCGACAAGATCGCCGAACTCATCTCACATTTGCAGGTGCAGGAGTGATTCTCCACGCAAGGCCTGTCACAGACATGCCCGCAGAGCATCCTGAGATTGCACCGCTCCTGGCATTGGACCTGTTCGTGAGAGAAACTGAAACAAGGCATGATTAACATCTGCCCGTCTGCTCGGGCGCATCTATCTATAGCTCACCTGTGACAACTGAGAGAACATTTGTGTCCACATTCAAGAGCCTCCCCGCATGGCCGAAGGCAACCTCCATTCAGTCGGCTCCAGTCGGACGGTTCTAGAGCATTGGATGTCAGTGAACCGTACAGGCCATCGGAATCTGCACCGGCCAACCGACCTTGTATGAAAGTCTTATCGCTGTGTTTCTGGCATGTCAAGGGCAATGAAACCCCGATACTACGGTAAGGGTGCTCCCCGGCCAGGATTTCGATCACCTGGCTCCAGAGATCATCGGCAGCGGAGACGCACTTTGCATTCCCAAAGATGTAGAGTCCGTTCCTTGCTCTGGAGAGTGCAACGCAGACTCTGTTCGCCACGGACAGAAAGCCAATGCTCTTGGCATTCGAGCCTCTCACCAAGGACAAGATTACAACATCGTTCTCTTCTCCCTGATACGAGTCAACCGTCACAACCTTGACATAATGGCCTTGCAGATAGGAGTGGTTTTTAATCATCCTTAACAACTTCTTCCTCTGCCCATTGTAGAACGTCAACACGGTAATAGTGTCTATCGAGACCCCATTGAGCACAAGGTAGACAAAGAATCCAACGATCATCTCTGCCTCCATCTCATTGAACTTGGATGCCATGCTATCGCTGCTCTCCGGCCAATCATGCGAGAAGAAGAAGGACCTGACTTCACCCATTCCTGGAACATGTGGGCGCTCCAGGACTGTGGGATGGTCCTCCAGGTTCCCATAGATGGGTTCTAACAAACGACGTATCTCCGGAGCCATACGTCTCTGCCGGCGCAGGGTGACGTAGTCGATCCCGTTCTTGACAAGGCGTTCAAACATTGACACGTCCAGGTGAAATGGCTCACCTTCGAGGTCCTGCACTGCGCAATGTCCCTTGAGTTGTTGATGGTCGCCTACCAGGATCAGATGTTGAACTGAATCAAGACAGCCAACCGCGATTGGTGCCTCGATGGCCTCCGCTGCTTCTTCTATCAGGATGATCTTCGGGCGGACGCTCGAGATCAGAGCTCTGTACTTGCTCAAACCCGTGGTCGTCATACCAATGACCTTGGTGTTTCGTAAAATGAGGTAGTCTCGCTCCCATTTCCCAATCTGGAGATCTGCGCACGTTCCGGCGTAACGAGCGGCCAGTCCTTGGAATTGTTCTAAGATCTTTGTCTTGAGTTGGCCTCGAAGAATATCATAAACTGCACCACGTGCTTTCACCGGGATCTTCCACATATCAGGGTACTTGAGATAGTCGAGACTAGATTTCTCCGGTTGGATAGAGCGAACCAGCCCACACATTGCTTCACGAAGAAAGATAAACTGACCTCGGAGATTCTCAAAATCATCCTCTTCCACTCCTTGTTCTACCTCGACCTCTTTAAGCTGCTCATACTCGAGATCTATTTCGTCTTCATCGAACCCAAAGTTCTCTTTCGTGTACGCGACCTGGAACTTGAACACCTGATCTCCGAGCCAAGCGTTCAACGGATCGGCATTTTCCCCAGTGTCTGGACGTATCCAGCCCTTGGCTCCTTTTTCGAGGGAATCATGTTGCACTGGGGTCAGCAGTCCGTACTTCACGAACAGATTAGAGGGCAATGGTGTACCATCGTCCTCTTGGTTGAACGGTTGGAGAAGCTCCACAATGGCGGCTACCAAGCTTTTAAATTTCCTCATAGAAGGCCCATAAATGCCACCTTGAACCGTAGGCGGAGGCTCTTTCTGCCTCATAGCGAAGAGGGTGTGCTTTTTGATTTCGAGGTCGCTGCTTCTGCCCCCCAACCGGACGTAGCCTTTTTCAAAAGCAGATATGTGTCTCAACAGTTGGTCCAGTGCATGATTAGTTTGGGAGGAGACGATTATGGGGGGATCCTGGGGTTCCATGTTCGATAATAGGATTCTCAAGGCGATCACGGAGACAAATGTCTTTCCGGTACCTGGAGGACCTTGGATGATAGCCAACTTCTTGGTCAGGATCTGTCTCAAAGCCTCCCACTGTGACTTGTCCAGGTCCCCTATTGGGGACTTGGGCCAACTGTCCAGCAGGTTGACCTTGGCCTCTTTGTCCGAGTCATCAATAGCCGATTGTATATCCATAATAGGACGTTGTTTGACATAGTCCGGCGGATCGATGTTACTGCCCAAGGTGCATATGTGATCAGCTAGTGGGAACCTGAATACAAGTTTAGTAGCTTGCGACTGGCTTTAGTTCCCTGCTACTGACCGTTCGTAGTTCAGCTTCTGAAGAGCAGCCATGGTGTGTCTCGAAGCTTCATAATAACCTGTTCTGGCTTCAACCATGACCCATTCTTGATGGGGGTCAAAGTTGGCGTCCTCAGGTCTGGCAAAGAAGATATCAATCTCTGGTGGCTCTTGCTTGACTCCCTCCAGGGGCCTTGCAGCGACGACAGCGACGAAACACTTGGTTCGAAACGCATCATCTTTGGGAGAGAGTGCAACAACAGAGCCAGTTATCAAGCGCTTCGAATATTCCCAGACGATCCTCCTTCCAGATCTATTCGTCGAGAACTGGATTCGGAAGGCAATGCCTCTTCTCGCGAACGTGATACCGGTTATATAAACCTAGAACAGCCGACGCGTTAGATAGCTCTCAACAACAGAGGGAAGCGTAAAACTGGAGATTGACCTTCTCATATACCGATACAGCTTTGGAGTCCCTCATCTGAGGATCATTGCGGAAATACGCCACCGCATCCCTAAGGGGAGCCACGGCGTCCTCGCGAATAAGTTCATAGTGAGCTCTGAGATAGGTATCCTTGGAAGGCCAGGGACCGTCTATGCGATTAGGCATCAGATCAATACAATCATCATCATCTTGCTCTAATGGCAAGATCTCGCCAGAAGCTGGGATCTCGGGCTTTTTGAGCCAGGCTTCTGTCTGCTCGAGATTATAGCTGCGAAAGTAACTTTTGATCTCGGGGTTGACTAGGACGATTGGACCAGTGCTCACACTCGCCAGGGCTTGATGGATTTCGTCTTGAACGTAGGTAACTGGCTCCTCTTCAGAGTCCATCTTGGATATGATGGTCTTTGACGACTGGGGCTTGAACTATGATGGAGAGTAAGAAGGGGAGTATGGAAATGGGCAGAACAGGAGATGGGGAGGGCAAAGGACGGCATAAGTTGAGAGTGAATATGTGAAGGACGCCGAGAGTCTGATTCACCGGCCAGTGGGAAGTGAGGCAGGCGAACCTCATGAGCATCTTGTTGACTGGAAAAAAATATAGCACAATTCATGTAGTTCTATGGAGGACACTGTAGATACAGACAAGTTTCAGTATTAAACATCTCATAGACTCCTCATCCTCTTTCTTTCATAGGGATATCCAATGGGTAGCTGCTCATCATTTGATGTCTAGCCACCTCAATGTCTGACTTTCCACCTGCTATCAACAGCCTGCTTTTCTTTGTGGTCCCTTGAGATTGATAGCATTATCCCATCCTGAGAGGTCTTGATGAGAAGTGCGTGGACTCTGATGCAAATAGCCGATAGCTAAGGCATCTTGAGCAGGTATGATATTGCTTGACTACTCAATGGGCTTCAAGAGTCAGCGAGCATTCTGTTTGTTACCTGACCCTCAATATCCACTTTTCGGTGTATTATTATCTGATTGTTTTCGACATTATCATCCAAGTCTTCATCTACGTGATGTTGGATGAGCTTCGGCTTTCCATATGGATGCCTCAGGTGGAACTCATAAGTATCCATGCTTATAATTCACTCGCTTGATGAGATCAAACTTCAGAATGACCAGAGATTCAGATAATGGCAATTTCCAATTGAGCAAAACCGAGTTGAAGGAGTCGATTAGTAGTAACTGTCTGCTTCATAGACCAAGATATTATTACTTACTTTAAGCTTCGATGGCGCTAACCCAGATCAGAAACATCGGCCTGAGGCACGAAGTGGGCAGTCAACGTGACTGACATCTGGGGAAAAGAACGAACACAGCGGAGATTGGCCGGTCTCCTCAGGGAATCAAGAGGCTGAAACGCTTATTTGATCGCATCTATGACAAGCTGCAAATCAATCGTCGCATTCTTTACGTGCATGTCAATCAGTTGATATTCCCTGGATTTGACCGGAAATGATCGTGCTATCAAGTCAAGAGTTGCGCCTGTAATTTGCGACTCCCTCCTCCCAGTCCAGAGAAGTCGGGGCCCCTCTGCGCAACAACTTCGGGTGGCTCAGTACCACTACCAAAACAATTGCGCCGGATAGAATTGCCTCCGCTCATATACTTGGCGTTTGCGACACAAGATCTACAATGGCCTCGATCGGGGACGACGACGATCGAGATCTTGTGGGTGAGTCTCCGTTCATCCATTCCACAGGTGTTTGTGACGAACTGACAGGTCGCTCTTTGTAGGCTCACAAGATGGAAGCTCGGACGAGGAAATGGAAGATACTCTTAGAGACGCAGATGAGGCAGGGAATGATAACGACCCTGATCCTGATGCAGAAGCCGACGCAGATCAAGATGCGGATAGCCCGTCGAACACCAGTCATGCGTCCGAAGGGCCTGGTATGGCTTCTCAGCCGAATCCCGATATGACCATGACCTCTTCTCACTCGACAAACCTCACAACCGACCTCACCTCCATCTTCCATCCCAGCGTCCGTCCCGAGTGTCTAACAGCTTCCACCTACGATATTGTACCCACGACCGCTGCCCCCCACAGTACATCGATCAACGCCGTGACAGCGACGGCAGACATGCGATGGGTTTTCAGCGGAGGATCGGATGGATACGTGCGAAAGTTCAACTGGGTGGATTCGATCAACAGCAAATTGATGCTGACCGTGGCGCAACGCCATCCGTTCGTTGATAGCGTGATCAAGGCGGGTGTACTCATGACATACTGGGAGAGCATGGACGGGAACGCCCTATCTCCGGTTTACTCTCTAGCCAGTCATAGCGAAGGCCAGTGGCTATTATCCGGCCTGGAGTCAGGAAGTATTCGTCTACAGTCAGTGCGCCATGATGAGGGCAAGGAGATTGCTCTCCTGCAACAACACACCTCGGCTGTCTCAGTTCTGCATCTAACACCTGATGAGAAGTCACTACTGTCTGGAAGCTGGGACAAACGTGTTTTTGACTGGGATTTGAACACAGGCAAGACAAGGCGTGCCTTTGGTGCCAGTGCTGGACAGATCGCAGCGATTGAGATCAGGCCCGAATCCAGTCTTCCGGTTCCCAAAGACACAGCCGAAGTGCCTCAGACAAACGGCACCTATTCATCGAACTACCATGCTGGTGGGACGGACAGCTTCAATTTGATGGATACATCGAACGACCCAGGAGAGAGCGGTGCCGCTCCAGACCCGCAGGCGGGTTCTCCAGCGGATTCACTCTTTGGAGGAGCTGATTCATTATTTGGAGATGCGGATGGCGCTGGAAATGACGGTGCAGGCCCTTCAGATAATGCGTTTGGAATGGACGAAGACGATGAGTTTGGTAAAGCGCTCGCCAATGGCGTTGCTCCGGACGCCGATGCGAATGGCGAACCAGACGTGATGGATCAACAAACCGCGCCCGTGTCTAATAACGCCAGCGCTGGTGTGCATACGACAAACCCTCCTGCGGAGCCCCTGGAGGCTGAGCTCACAAATGTCGTCCCTCAGCCAGTAACAAACGGGCTACCGCACGCGGAAGAATTAGAACCACCATCTCAGACACAAGATCTCGCTCCGTCCACCCAACCAGAGTCCGACATTGTACGAGATCATACCTTCCTTGCCGCATCTATTGACGGCATCATCCGAGTCTGGGACCGCCGGCAGCCTGATCCTGTCGCTCGGATTACGCCATATAATTCCCCTCCATGGTGCATGAATGCATGCTGGTCCCCGGATGGGAACTACATATATGCAGGTCGCCGAAACGGGACCGTGGAGGAATTTAGTCTTCATAAAGGGTTACAGGAGCCTGAGAGAACCTTCAAATTTCCGCAGGGAAGTGGGCCGGTGACAGCTCTCAAGGCAATGCCCAATGGGCGGCATATCGTCTGGTGAGTCCTGTCCTTCCAGTACTCCGATAGTTGGAGTTAAAGACAAGGTATAAATATTTGGCTAACCACGTTCCCACCAGTGCCTCACACGATATTCTGCGATTATACGACCTGAAACACGAGCAAGTCAGTCGCCATTCTACTGTCCCGTTCCTCATTATCCCGGGTCACCGCACTGGCACAATATCACAACTATATATTGACCAAGCTTGTCGCTTTATGATCTCGACTAGTGGTAATAGGGGCTGGGAGGGCAATACTACGGAAGTCCTGCTGGGATACGAGATTAACGTGCCTCGATGATGATTACCACTCGTTAATGTATACTATATTCTGCCAGGAATCTGTTTGGTCGATTCTGTTGTCTGTTTGGGAGTTTCAAGATACGGTGTTTGGTGTTGATTAAAGGAGATACCATGAAGCGACCCAAATCATGACATCGAACTATTGCATTTCTTGGCGATATTCTTGAATTCGCTTGGTGGGATAGATTTTATGCATCTGGGTACTAATACAATGCACCTATAGATTTCTATATAAGTTGTATCGTATCTAGGTAGTCTAGCCTGGAGCAAGTGGTTCAAGTACAATGGTGGATTAGTGGAGATGGCCTCTGTTCCCAATCACTGTCGAGTCTTGTCATTCCCGTCCAGGGCTCTTAAATAGAATAGGTGGATATCAAACATTCATAGCTGCGTATATATATATATATAGTCAGATAGGGTCTTGCCCAAGATATATAAATCAATGCCCCCCAAAACAATACCAGTGTCCGAATAACGCCTTCTGATAAACCATTCCAAGTCAACAAAGACCATAATAGAGTTAACGGTAATAATCATTATCATGTGCAGAATCATCAAAATCGATTCCTTTGCATACTTCATACTGCTGAGCCCTCCAAGAACCAAACACTGGGTTCTCCGCCCATTTGACCTGCCCTTCTTCATCCTCTTCGAAGAAGACATATCCCGGCCCGTCTTCTGAAGGATCCGCCTTGCTCCTAGAGGAATGGAGACCCCAGGGACCAGATACTAACCCTCCAAAGCCCGGGAGGACCACGTTCGGGATGTGACCACGGGCTTCGATTTGGCCGTTCTTCACATTGTTGACCGTGATCAAATACACCGGCGGAAGTGTCGCATCCCGGTCCGCTCTCAGAGGCATTGGAATCCACGCCTCGTTGTTGAACGACTCGCGCCGATTCTTATCATGCTTCAGGGGCAGTGGTTGGGAAAGCAGCACGTCATCCAGCTTGCCTGAGTCGAGTAGCAGGCCAGGTGTCCGGACGTAGAGTACGCTGTCGTACTGCATGAACTGGATCTGGCCCAGGCGTAGTAGCTTTGTGTCTGTAGGGCGATACCCCGCCGATGTTGCGGCTGTCATGTCAATTGGGAGAAGCCAGATGTTATACTTCAAGCTTGCGGCGCGGAGGAGTGATAGGGCCGTCGCGACGGGCTGGGATAGTTTGTCCACTGGCATGAGATCCCATTCTTGCGGATACATAAACAACCGGTCGTTTATGGCGGTGCCATTAGTGGCGAGATGTTTGAAGAAGAGGATGGCAGAGCAGATATTGGAGGGATCGGGAGTGGACAGCAGCTGGAGATAAGCGTAGTTGCCTCCTGCTCCTGGTTGGCTGTGATCGCGGGCAGCTTTTTGCTGGTCGGATATCAAATCTGATAGGGCTCCCTGCGCGCGTTTCTGGAATGTCGAATCTGCTGATCCGTGTCCAGCAATGGGATCTGGAATAGGCGGGGGGCGTAGAGCAGTCTGGATGCCCTTGACGGATTGTTGTTGGAGCACATAGCCCGAGAGGAAGAGAAGCAGCGTAAATACGCAGATAACGCTGGAGGATACAATGACCGAGACAGTTGAGGATGTCAGAAGCACCATGGCTGTGTGTAACTCGAGGTCCCCATCAGTCGGTGGTAGTCGTGTATGTCTGGAATTTCCCTTTCTGGTAATATGTGTACTTTTCTCTCGAATTGAAGGCAAGATACACGGGACTGCGCATGGGACAACGAATGTGCAGTTAGATCATCAACTCATATATTATTGAAGCATCAATCATTTCAATTCATGCGATGGAGGGGATTTTGTATCTTCAATGTCTCAAACCTGCTCTAGCCGATTACTCCCCATGGCGGTTACATCACCAGCGCCTCCATTTACCACGCGATGGTTGTCCGTGCGACTATCGATAAGAGCTCCAGTCTTGGCACAGCCGCAACGCCACAGCCACTTCTTCATCTTCGGCGCGCAGAAATATTATGAGTTCGCAGCCGGCATCCATCTCGATCGCGTTCCTCCCTCCAGGCATCAGCTCTCTTCACAATCGCCATGTCTTCACACCGTGCCGACGCGAGTACCCTACTTGACAATCGCGGATACTCCGGCCCCTTAATTCGTGGCGTTAATCCTGCCACGCTGTTCGAGAAAGCCGTTCGCGACCGCATCACGGACTCTTATTACTGGAAAGAACAATGCTTCGGTCTTAATGCTGCGACTTTATGCGACCGCGCGGTTGAGCTATCTTCCATTGGTGGAACTTATGGTGTTGCAGAGAAGCCTACCCCGTTTCTGTGTCTTGCATTCAAATTGCTACAACTCAATCCCGAGCGAGACGTTATACTGGAATACTTGAATTACACTGATCCCGGCAGTGATGAGGAGGCTGAGGCCACGGCGGAGGAGCAAGCTCGCAACGGTGTGGCCGGACAAAAGGGAGACTTCAAATACCTTCGGGCACTGGCGGCGTTCTATGTCCGGCTGACTTTCGACGCGGTCGATGTGTACAAGACCTTGGAGCCTCTGCTCCTCGACTATCGCAAGCTCAAGCGTCGAGTTCGCGACTCGTTTGTGCTTACATATATGGACCAATTTGTCGACGATCTGCTTACCAAGGATCGTGTGTGTGGAACAAGTTTGTGGAAGTTGCCTTCGCGGCAGCAATTGGAGGACTTGGATTTGTTGGATGAACGCATCAGTCCGCTGGCGGATGAACTGGAGGAAATGGATCGAGAAAGTGACGACGAGGGTCAGGCTAGCGAAGCACGTTCAACTGGACGCTCGGAGGACGAGTGAGGCGACAGTCTGGTATTTCGCGGCACCACATCTTCTAGCCCATCCGTGTCCCTTCACGAGCCTTGGCCGTCGTCGACTGCACGAGAAGACAGTTCGAGAAGGAACTAGCTGGTCAATGCCCAGCAAGCAGGCATATTGCTCCTCCCTCGAAGCATAAGCTATTGGTGGTCTTATGCTCCATCTTCGGCAAGACTCGCCCATAGCATCCTAATACAAGATGCACCATGCAATCTATCCAAGTGGCCAAGGCTTCAGCTCTGGATTAGCAGAATCAAGCCGAGGTTCTGAGAGTTGGATGACCTTATCTCAGGAGATGTTCTTTATAGGACCGGCCCTGAAAATCGCGATGGCAGCATACCTGCAGAGACACTCTGTTGCCACCAGTTCTTCCAAATCGTTGTCGGATATCTCATTTTTCGCCTTGACACTCAAATTCATACCCACTGTCAAGGTCTCAATTTGTTTTTTTTTTATCTGTTACTGTAGGTATCGTATAACCAAGGCAGATTGATATTATTCAATAGCAACCGGACAGTGCCACTATAATACCTATCTGAAACATAACCAAATCATTAGAATCCTTGCTGGCGATGCCACTTTTCCTCCCAATTCTTAAACCACGGGCTTTCGTCCAATGTGGCCACTTGCCAGTCCCTGGGAACAACCCCTTGCTCTTCTTGCTCCTTGGCCCATCCGTTAAGCTTTGGAAGCACGACATGTTGCACGTGCCATGTGTTCTTATACTTCATGAGGTTTTCTTTGCCCTCCTTCAGAACCTTAGCTACTAGAGCGGGTACTCCAGGTTCGTCCCTGAATTCGGACACGGGGGTAAAGAGAGCCTTGAAATTGAAAACAATGGCCGATGAAAGAGGCAGACGTCTGAGTGTCTGCCAGTCGACTCGCAAGTTACAGTCTTCTAAGCGAAGGCTGGGATCTTGAAATGAGCGAAGCTTTTCGTGGGGATCCCCGGGGGGCATATATAAATGTTGTCCCACTTCGAGGCCCCAGGATCCTCTTTGAATCGGCTTATCCGTTGGCATTTTTGTGAAGAAGCTATCCCCGTGGCAGTATTAGCTGACTGTGCTATTTCGATTTTGTTTTTCTTCCTCTCTTCTTTTATGGCAAATCTGACCTACCGATCCATTGAAAATTGCATCTTTTCTTTATAATCTGGGATTGGCTCGTGGATCTGATGGAGCTGAAGACCAATTTTCATGCCCACATTCCATCCCAGCGCAGAGCAGACGACTCCCGCGCGAAGAAAATAGAAGCCGGTGTCTTCGTCACGCATCATAATTGCAAAATCCTCAGGCACATTATCCATCAGAACCTCGAGTGGATGTTTGGTCGTGACATCCTGTTCCGTGTCAAGGATCTTGTTCGTCAGGACTCGATTGTCTCTCAACGAGAAATACTGAGGATATCGAGCGCATACGAATTGCAGCACCATCTCCATGAGCTCCTTACAGGCTAGTTCCGAGCCTGGAAGATATCCGAGCACTGAGTTTCCATGCTGCGCGTATAATGCCTTGCGCTGCGCGATTCGAGCTTTGTAGGTGTTCTCCAGCTCGATCCACCAGTCAGTTTCCATCTTTGTCAATGCTGCATTTCATAAGACAAACAACATTAGCCGTTCGCTCCACTTGCATTAGGCTCTTAGACCAGATCATTTGAAGAGCTGCACCGGCCAACTCACACATTGTTTGATGGTATGCCCATCTGAAAGGACGATAGGGCCTCGGTCGGGCTTTATCAATGCTAAATTCATTGTATGGCTGGGGCAAAGGCACACCGCAAAGCTTCGCATAGTCTGGAAAGTCCCCGAGCGCTTTGATCTCCTCCGTCGAGAATCCTGTGGGTGTGTATCGTTCTACTCGGCTCGTGCGATAATCCATAGTCATCGGCAAGCTGAACCGTTTGACTTCTGCTTCGTCTACCTTCTTCGGTGGGGCCGAGGCTTCTTGAACAGCAGTGAGCACATGCCGTCGTTGAGGTGGTAAAGCATCGGCATAGTTCTTTGATGGTCCTGTACTGACAGACGACTTTTTCTCGGGCGATATCGATCTTGGGGGTGTGGCAGCTGTTGACGTTTTCCGGCCTCGAAGACTTATGCCTGGCAGAACAAGCACACGCCGTGGTCGGTTGAAGGCGAGATAAAGCCCTGCGAAGACAACCATTGAAACGCCGATCAGGCACCAATCGTCTGGAATATCAGATATCCCCATATTCGTTTCTTTCATATATTACAGGCGGGGAGTGAGGACTGCACGATATAGATTGAACAGCTACTTGTTGGAACAGCAACTGCCATTAGCGCATGAGATGATACCTGGTAGGGGGTATTCCTTCATTTTTAAGATCAACATTATCCGAGAAGACGCCTTCAACTCGGACTCGATAAGATGCCTCATGCCGGCATCGTCTATTGCGCAAGGCAGTATGACCTGCTTGAGTTTACCATGTTTGGTGCAGATATGCAGATGTGAGATAAGGGTCAAGCTGGGCATACAGCAGGATACGAAGCTCCAGCATAATGTTCTCCTTGTTTGACTCGGACTTTGATACTGTTTTGATGTCAAGATACGCTCGGAATTCTTGCTTTGCAGTGTAGGTTCGGGGTAAGAGGCGCAGTAGGGCGGGCCATTGTCAATTACTAGTGCCATGATATTTCAGGCTTTCTTTATCACAACACGAAGCTCATTGCCTATATTTCTTTATTCTGCTTGTATCACCATGTTAGAAGCAAGAAATCACTTCTGACCATTTCTAAGTGTCTTCAGGGACGAGAGGACCTCCTGGCATGGAGAGGGGAGGGGACAAACAGTATTTCTGGTCAAGACGCAAATGAATGAACCTTCTATCATCCATTCAAGACCTTATCATTCGTAGTTGTGAACTCAGTCTGATAATCATTGCAGGATCAGCTTGACTGAAGAGGTAAAGACAAAGTGTGAGTCTGCATTGCCTAAAAGGGTAAAAGTGTCCCAACGGCTGTCATGTGCTTTCTCTTCCTCCTGTGCGATCAACATCACTAATATCACCAACATCACCAACCTCATTATTATCAACTATCTCATTTTTATCTGATGGGTTCGACTAACCCATTTCTTAATCCAGTATATTCTCCTGCTTACTCTTCCATGTTCTGTTTCATGGCCCAAGAGGAATATTCCTTGACCAAAGGACAAGGAATAGGTCTTAAGCTCTTCTCGGACACTGGATCTACCATGTATACCTTCTCATTGAATACACTTCTTTCTCTGTTTCAGCCCTGAGATATTTTTCATCTCAAGTACAGCCGCAGCTATAGATATCTCTTCTTGTTTTGCTCATTCCATCTCTTCACTAACAAGGGAAAGCCTAACAATGAACGAACAGAGGCAGCCTTGTTTAATCAGCGAATATCAACACATTCAGACCATGCTACTGGTCATGAAAGATATCCTTGGTATGATGAGACTGTCTCACAATATCCCAGGCAAGAGCCTTAACGTCTATCATTTGCGATCCTTGTCTTCAATATTCGATATGGAATGTCTTTCATATTCTTTGACAATCAGAAATGCTATCCTTTTAGCTGGCTCTCACCCTCCAATCCTCAATGTGTCCGAACAAAGAGGTGGCACACAGTGTAGTTCTCATTAGAAGCATATAAATTGAATTCCAAGTCCATCAAGACAATTGATTCCCATCATTCCCAGGACCAGTCAATATTGGATAGCAACCACACGAAAAAACACAGGAAGTATCTCCCAATTCTTCTACTCAATTCACCACAATGCCTCCAATCAACATGTTGCCTACAGAAATGGTCGATGCAGTCGGTAAGCGGCTGGATCGTACCTCGCTGGTCAGTTTTGCGGAGACGTCGAAAGCTTTCAAAGATATGTTGGGAAAGGCCATGACCGAAGAAGCGAGGGAATACGCCTTGGCCGATGAGTCTGAGTACAAGGTGCGAATCATAACTGGTGAGGACGGGGAAACCCGACTATCGGATGACTGGGGGCTCAACATGCCCCGTCAACCCCTTTTCGACGCAGTCAACATCCAACGAATCGATGCTGTGAAAGGATTTCTGGACGCTGGCGTGGATCCAGATTCGTACAGCGTGACTGGCGATCGCTTGCTCTCCTGTGCCGTCCGCACCCAGTCTGAAGAACTTGTGGATCTCGTGCTCAGCAAGGGTGCTAGCCCTGCTCTCAAAAACGTGTGTAAGCCATATACCTCACCTCTCGAAGTCGCAGCCTATGAACGGGCTGATCACTTGGCCCAGAAGCTCATGGCCGTTGGCGCTGAGGCTACTCCGGACGGAGTCAAGGCCGCAATTGTTTCTCATTGTTCGCTGGACACAATCAAGCTCGCTATGGAAAAAGGTGCTGATTTTGGAAATCCAGTTGCCGAAGGCGACAGTGTATTCCACTCTGCTGCGGAGAACAAACGACATCAGGACGTCCTCGCCTTCTTCATTGAACAGTATCCCGACCAGATCTCCGCCCGGAATGATTGCGGAGAAACAGCTCTCCTCTCGGCTCTCTTTGTAGGAAATCTGGAAGGTGCACGGCGTCTCATCGAGGCTGGTATCGACGTCAATTTCACGGACAGAGTCAACATGACTGGTTTCCATATCGCACTTGAGATTGCGAAAGACTTGTCCGACGGAGAACAAATTGACGAGGAAATGCGCGCAGAGCTAATGTCACTTCTCAAAGTGATGCTCGAAAATGGGTACCAGCCAGGTGTGCAAAACCAAGAAGGCTGCACAGAGCTCCACTTTGCGGCCGCTGCACCAGTGCCAGAAATTCTCCGCGAACTGCTCGCCTGTGGGAATATCGATGTCGAGGCGCAGACTGGCGATAATGATGAAACGGCTCTCCACTTCGCGGCAGCGGCCGGCCAGCTCGAAAATGTGCAATTGCTGGTGGAGGAGGGCAATGCAGACGTGCATGCAGAAGACGGTGATGGTCTGACGCCTGCAGAGGTGGCAGAGAACAATCTCTGGGGCGAAGTGGCCGAGTACCTCAGAGAAGCAGCCCAAGATTCCAGCACGGACGAAGAGATGACTGACTGATCTTCTTCACAGTCCCTTTCCTGATTCTACTGAAGTTTAGTGTGTCGATGGCCGGACATTGATGGATGAATGAATATACGAGGTACGTGCTGTTCAGCATTTTGTTCCTGAGACATTGCTCGCTGATCTCAAATTATCCCCTAAAATAAACCAAGTCAGATTCTTGGATACTTGAGCCGAAGATTTGATTTTTTTTTCTGTGTTGCCTTTTTAAGAGTCGTTGCGTCTCTCACACCCACTTATCGAACCATACCAATGAAATGAGCATTTACCTCAATTGGACTTACTTGACGATGTATCTGTATCGCCATGCAACTAAAAGGGTAGCTACCTTGTAGATGTCGTTAAAGCCTGGTCTACGGGAGGATGTATTTCTGACAAGAATAGTTAGAATGAGATGTTGCATGTTCACAAGTGAGAGGAGTAGGTTGATCAACGATGTATCCAGGCCACCATTCTAATTAGAACAAAGAGACGTAAAGGAGACTCGTGATATCTAAGGAATACAGCATGCAGGCAAACAATAATGCAAAGAGAAGATAGAAGAGAAGAGTACAACTAAGAATTAAGAGGGATTGGAAAGAATCAATAATGGCAGTCTGCAGATCCATTAAGGTATGTATGTACTCCCACCTGTAAGACAATCGCCATGCACTTTTATGATGTACACAATGCTCAGTGGTAATTGAAGTCGACTTTCAGAAATGAAAAGAATTGCTGGGCGTAGAAATGAGTATCGTGGCTCATTTTTACGGACAACTGTATGGCCCGAGTCGAAAGCGAGCAAACAGTGTCCGGATGCCCTTTGATTTAGGGGTTTCGGGCCACGGTTCAAGGCGGACGCATTCGATGCCTGTGAGCCGTGGTGACTCTGAGACCAGGAGGAGCTTGAAGCTCCGTATGTAAGGAAATAAAGAAGGATTCTGTGAGAATTGGGTATCATAACACCGCTGGTTTCGCCGGGTTGCACAAAAGTGTTTCACAAGACAAAAGAGTCCAAGATGCAAGAAGGAAAGAAATTCGTAGTGCAAAGCCTCCAATACTCAGTCGGGGTTCGTCAACTGTGCAAGAAGTTAGCGACATAAATGTAGAACTCCAGAACATAGAATATGTACTGACCCTGAGCACGGGGCGTGAGTAGTCTTCATTGTCTTGAAGTGAGAGATCACTGTCTCGGCGCTGACCTCCGTAAAGTACGGTGTCCGTTTTCATGCGGTTGTCAGTGAATGTCGGCAAACGCTGGGGTGTGGTCGAGGACCCCGCAGACAAAGTATGGCTGTGTCCATCCGAGAGCATGCCCTTCACAAAGCTCATTTGGGAGCCCTTGCTTTGTCTTCCATCAAGAAGATTGTTATTAACGCTTGGATCTGGGCTCTGCGCTCGTGAGCGGCGTCTGGCTGCAAGGACTAGAAATATGATTGCCACGACGGCTGCTAAGCCTCCCACGGCGCCGATGACAGCCCCAGCGATAGTTCCAGCAGACACTCCGGAGCTTCCTTTATCTGGCTCGGAGGTAGGAGTGGGCGTCGCTGTTGGTACTGTTTTATGGTCCGAAACTGTTACGGTCTTCACTTGACCGGCAATTGTTTCGACCGAAACAGTGTTTCGAGTAGTTGTGGATTCTTCTGTGGTACTAGTCTTGGTGGAGTCTGTCTTGGACGTATCTGTCTAGGGGTGTATTAGCAATCAACGAAGAATGTACGCAGACTCGATGAGCGAGAATCTGCGCAGAGACATATATGAAGGCCCAGTACTACTGACCGAGGACATGGTTGTTTTGCTCGAGGATGGGGCAGTTGCTGTGCCCGAAGGCTTGTGAAGGGACATCTGGATGTACGCGAAAACACCCTTGCTGGCATCACCACAACTATCATCTGGATAGCCGGGACATCCGACATCACAGTCCGAGACATCGGTGTTGGTGGCTTTATTAGGGGCGATATTAGAACACCAGCACTCCTTGCCCTGGAGAATTGCAAAAGCATAATCGGAATTGCAGGTGGTCGTGCAAAGCCCGTTTGACTGATAAATGCTAAGTTCTGGACATAACAGATCAGAGCCACTCGATGGGACCAGCAAAAAATGGTACGCAACCTACGGGAAGAAAATGAGGCGCCAGTGTTCACGCTTGAACAGTATGTGAGGGCTGAAGCTGCTGAGACCGGCGAGGCAAGCAACGCCAGTATGAGAAGTGTAGAGTCGGGAGACATGGCGATAAGTCGCTGGAAGGCGTCCAAGAGAGAATGTCGTGATCAACCCCGTTCCTTTGTATATCGTCCGTCTGCTATGCAGATTCACCAAAATACCCCCGCCCCAGACGCTATGAGAGCTCTTCCGTCACTCGTCCTCTCGATTTGCACGATCTGCACATATGCCTATCACCGAAACGTCGAGTGAATGCCGGTCGGCAAGTAGTTTGCGGACGGTCGTCTGAATCAAGATAAGTATCGTGACAGGTCGTGGAATGCCGCGACCCCCAGCTCCTCGGTAAGTGATGGAATGTCGAGATTGAATCGAGCCCCCTAGGAGACTACAACAGTTGGATGTCAAACAACTCTCTTGATTCTGCAGATGAGAATCCTTTAGGATCCAGACTAACCGCGCCGATCCAGTATCAGCCACAGTTTCGATGACACTTCGAAAGATGGGGGTGCAGACATAGGATGCGGAAAGCACTTACAGATTAATTTGAGCCTGAACTGACTCAAAGGAACAAGCAATGCAATTGGGACTGAATCCAATCCTCTTTCATTTGTGATGGCGGGATCCCGAACGAGGCATTTGGCACAACTCAGAGTAACCAGCGAGATTAGAGATTCCTTGGCATGATAGCCTGGAAACTGAAACTTGTGACTGGCGAGTGACGGGCAGCGATGGCTGGAGAACTACTGGGTTAGATTAGGGGAGAGGGAAGAACAGCAACAAAAACAACGACAATGGCCCAAAAAGAGATGGGAAGAGGTAGAGAAGGGAGGTGAAACTGAGACAGAAAAGAGAGGACGGAGAACGATACGATTATTATGGCTATTCTTAATATTTTTGCTTGTTCGACCGCAACAGGAGTCGAGCAGGATTAAAGAGAGAGAAGAGAGGAATTGGTTGGTTGGGTGAATTAATTTAGTTACAGCAGTGGGAACTGGGAAGCATGGAAAATACTAGGCAGGTACTTATTCCATACCGGTACCCATACAGAGTACAGAGTACACACGACGGAGTTAACTACCTAGATACCTTGCGAATCCGGATTACACCTCCAAGACATTCATACAGAGGGGTACCTAGGTATTGTATCTTGGGTAGCCTGCAAACTTAAAAAAAAAAAAAAAAAAAAAAGAAAAAAAAAATTGATCATTATGACAATAAATAGGAACATTATTGTAAATAGTACACATAGGCTGAGCAAAATACACCAGGCAGGTTGCCAAATACTTGGGGAAGTAAACAATACCAGACTTTGCAGAGTCATGGAACCGATCCAAGATGGGTGGGCCGGTACCGTTCCACTATGCTGTAACTGATAAACCATGGAAGTGCTAAACTGATAACACCTTAGGTACTGCCCCAGCAGGTAACAGGCTGTCTACTGTATAGGTACAGTATGTTCTGACAATTGGATTTAGGATAATTTGCGGAGGCTCGTTGATGTACTCCAATATCTCAAGATATAGTACGCAGTAGAAGTACAGTTGTTCCGATAGGTGTGGGTAGATGCTTCCTAGGCATCCCTAGCAGCTGAAAAAGAAAGATCGAAGAGATTGGTGACTCTGGATGAAACCACTGAAAAGGTATTAATAATTATACTCCTAAATAGTAAGTACTATCCTCTGATACCCATCTGCATGATAGTGGAGCTCTGATGGCTGGATTGAGACGGCCTGTTCTACCAGTATTTCCGGCGATTTCTAACTTTGCGATCCCATCGACTCACTGAGATCCTGGTCGTCAAATGTCATGATTCGTGACTTTGATGCCTGTTCATGCCGTATCTCGATATCAAATTCCACGAGAAGCATGAAGCCTTATCCCCGTGAGTCCCATTATGGGTGTATTTTTTTTTTTTCTTTTCTTCCTTTTCCCATAGCTTAGGAATCTCTACCCTGTATTCAAGTACAGCTGGACTTGTCATCTCTATTAACTATAATGATGATCAGTCAGATTAGTAGATACGTGGACCCCTACATAAACTACATAAATTTCCATAAGATGGAGATGCTGCCAATGGCGCCATCACCAAAAATAAACCGAGATCTCGCATTGCTCTCAGGCTTTTAGCATCGAATAGCGGTCTCCCTCGTCATTACCATGCGATGTCACGGATCTCACTCAGAATGAATAGGATGATAGGATCAACAGGTCCAGTAGCCAAGGTACTACGGTCCTCTGTCGACAACCCTATTTGAGCACTGTTGCTGTTGCATGATCCATGAAGCCGGTTCAACATTGAAGTATAAGGACTACTCCGTAGGTACCTACTTAGTATGTACTTATGTTCTTAGTAATAGGAAGAATGCCGATGTACGGAGTACCACCAGATAAGTATTCTAGCTCTACCAATATATTAATAATGCTCCATCCTGACATGTTTGACACGAACAACTCCAACACTTTAAGAGTTCCAAGACCCTCAACCTGACAGAAGTCCAGACACATCTGTTCAGCATACGTAGTCTGTACCACATTCGTCATCCATGAATGACTCTTGTAATTCTTTCAAAAAGTGTATTTTAGCAAAAATATGTTTCCTGTAACAGAGACCGTGTGGTGCTGGAAAATGGGATCTACCTGGGTCAACCCCTCGATCCGACGGGAGCAACTCAGTGTCTGAGACGTGGACACGGATGGCGATCTAGAGAGTGCTATTGGTGGGAGCGAGTATGGTCCGGTGTTGACCAAAAGTTGGGTTTTCTGAGTTCTCACTGGTGGACTGGAGAGATACTGTGAACATGATAACCTAGTGATAACAGAACGAGCATTCAAGGTAGAACCGAGAAAAATACTGCCATACTGTTTGATGTTTGACATCATGAGGATAACAATAATAATACTACAGAGTATGAGAGGAAGGATTGGTGTTATCCCTGTAGCTATTTGCAATTTCTGGACAGATCCAATTTCTTGTCACTTTGTATTTTGTATCAAACCACAATACAGCGTACGTATCCTTGAAACCCGGAAAAGTGGGACCTGTACTCAGCATCAACTTGGCGATGAGATTCGGAAAAAGGAAAAAAAAAAAAAAAAAAAAATCTCCCAAAGATAGCTAAGACTAGATAAACAGAAAATGAGTCCTGATACATCTTCAATCACCTACTGTATCTTGTCTTGTCCGGCATTCTCATGACTCTCATGGATGTTCACATGCTAGATCATATATACTCGATCTTGTTCCATCATCACACTTTGTTTAAGCATCATTAAGGTAACATGGTTGGGTCATAGACCTCGACCAAGGTACAGCCTCTGATAACGTTGGTGGGCACTTGCGGTTTCAGCTCATCCCGTGCTGATATCCAAGGATGGTCAACAAAACCATCCGTGGATGCCGGATGGGAACGAGAGATGTCAATAAATACTCCGCGCAAAGTCCGCACCTGGAGTCCCCCATGCTTTCATGGTGATATTTTATTTCTTTTTAGCCTTTTGCCAGAGTGATACAAACACACATATATCTATCCTATCTTTTCACCAAAGCAACAGATGTGCTTCGCAGAGGGCGACGAGAGGAGAACCCCCATCAAGCGACCAGGAACATCATCATGACGGATCGAGGCAGGATGGGTCGGAGACGGAGTCCAGAGTCCAGACGCTGCATTAACACCGAAATACGCCCGTTGATCTTCAGGTCTAGAATTGATCCCGTCCAATGGATTTCGATCATCAACATGTTGGTTTGAAACGGGCGTTTTCAACACAACAGCTGCAGTTCGATCAGGAACAGGCCCATCAGCAACCCATCCTGGTCGAAGAACACCCTCCTCAACCACTTTGATCAGTCTCGCTCAGTCTACACTTCGTCACGATGAAACCTCCGCGATGTCGCGGTGCAACTTCTCGCGAAGAATACGCTGGGAGAGCCCTGCATGAGTGGGCTGTCAACTCATGTTGTCACCTCGGTTGCACCTCCGCCCATTCCCCGCTCTATCCGGCTACATTCGATCAACTACTATCTACTACCTACTTGGTAGATGATGGTTGCACGGAGAGGGCTTGAATGTGCAATTCCATCGACGGAAGATACATATGCACTTCATACTTCACTCTCTTCGGCTTCGTGCACCGCAAGGATCATGCAGCGGCTGCATCATTGTGGCCCTACTCAAGCTCTGCCGCAGCCAATCAATCAGTCTCCAGCCGCAAGGACTCGCACGCCGACTGGGAGCTCAAGTACGGTGACGACAATTGGTGCTTGGGTCGACTGATAAAGAAGCAAAACCCCTCCTTTGGAGGGGATTGATACCCTTCGGTTACAGAAAAGTTCTTGTAGAGACTTGCTTGGCTTGTGTGTGCTGAACGCTGATAGCCCGTTAGACTCAGTAGATGCGAAGTACTCCAACAACAACAACAACATATTAACCCAAACAGGTAGGTCGATAGCAACAACTGCCGCTACACTGCTCAGATCGAGCAGTCTGACCGAAGCCCTTGTGCCTCCTCGTTCACATTCAACCGCAGTCTCGGCTCTTTGATAAGACCATGAGACATTGAGAACCGATCATGTAGCTTTTCAAGTAAGGATTGTGCGACAGCATTGTTCAGTGACTTAGTACTTACTTTACAGACTACCTACCATGCCTACATAAATTGGTCTGGAGTATTTTCATAAATGGTAATTTTCACCACTCCCACTAGCCTCAATCTATCCTTCTCTCACTTCTTTGTAAATGTGGCTGAAGGAACAATTGCAGTCAAGAGCACTTGAGATGATTCAAAGTGGAATGCCCCTTTGATTCGTCAATTCGTCAATGCCAATCCCCTTACAGCCCAGCCTTCACCTAGTAGCTAACTAAGAGACTAGACTACCGTGTGGATTATGGAATATCTACGGAGTACGGACTACGGAGTACTCCTCTGTGGGATGCTTCCAGCCTCATTTCCAGACATTGCATAACCATCAAGACCCAAGTCCTTGTATATGTCTTCGCAAAGAAGTCACCTTACACAAGGATTCCCTCTCATAGTGAAAACTCACTGCAGAAGAAACCTGCTGATCGCTAAGATCCGAATCAACCGCACCAAAAAAAAAAAAAAAAAAAAAAGCCACAGTCAAAGAGAACGAAAATAGCATCAATAAATCGAATGATCTCAGCTCGGATACGCTAACTTCTAGTAGTATCCAACTGCCAACTAGTAGCTACTAGCCAAAGGTATTCCCGTGGCTCGATATCTTTGTGGCGTTTTGATGTTATTGCATTGCTGAAGACTTCGCAAATCGCTTCGTGTATGCTCCTATATTTGGAGAAACACAAACGGTTGAATTTGAACAGGGGTGGGTTTATTTTTGAAATCCTGCACTTTGAGCTGCTCCGTACTAGACTAGGGAGTACATAAGTACTCCGTCCATACTTACTTGGCGATCTACCCGAGACCTCAACACACAGAGGAGGACTTGGATAGGGCTGACATAGTAAATAAGTATGGATTCTGGGGCAAACAGACAGAAAGACAGACAGATAGATCGATAGGTAAAGGGCAGAAATGGTGAGAGCTTCGGTTGATCGAGAAGACACCTGACTTTCGTTGACTTGCCTCATTCTCCCCCTGAACGACTACATGTGATCGCTCCAAACGCCTGGTCAGAACCCCTGAATAATGACAACTCGCTCGCACCAGCTCATAAAATAATCGAATAGACAGAAGTTCCTGTAGCTACACAGACAACAATGATGGTCTCTCAAGAGTCAAGGCATGTCGTTTGTGCAAACGGACCATCCATACGATAGATACTGGCCAAGTTAAGGCCCCGTTCGTGGGTCATTCCCTAGTCATGTTTCAAGACATTCGCCACCTGGCAGTGTGCTAGACTGCTAGATACTTATTTACTGGCATACTGCGAGACTTGAAAAGAACAGAACTTACTATTATTACCCATAGCCATACCATACGTGCCGTGGGAACTGCGGGATACGAGAATCCAGTCCCACTCGCTGTGGCCGACAGAAATCTGAGACAGACTAATCGGTCATTCGGTGTCTTGTGCAGTTGTGCTGCATATTTGGAACATATCAAATGGCACTAGTGGTAGATCCACGTAATCTGTCATATAAATAAATTTGATTTCGTTTTCTGGCCTGGTCGGCTGTGGCTTGAAAGGCAGATGCTGAGGATGGAGAGGGATCGACCAGGGGAATATCCTCAATTTGGTCTGGGTTACAGCCGAACGATATGTTGGGGTTCGGCACTTTTTGGACAGCCCTAGGGAGCGCCATCAAGCCAAAGGGATAAATACGAAGGGCAGCAAAATCGGTCGATTCTCATCGATCGTCGCGTGGCCGAAAGAGGAAACGAGTCACATATTGGAAGGAATGTAAGCTGGAATAAATAAGGGGAAATGAAAAACATGGGTATCTGTCATCAGGGTTCTTTCGCCGGCTTGAAATCGAGACTCAACCAAAGCATCAATGATTAATCAAGTGCCGCTCACTCAGACAGGTCGATGGTCATGAGTGAAGTTGCTTCTTTACCATCTGTCCGACCGAGCTGGAGCTGGTCTCCAACGCCCTTCTTCGATGATGAGCTCTCGCTCTTTCTTCAGTCTCCGCTCATCCCGAGCTCGGAGCCGCGGAGACGGCAGCCTCCCAGGCAACATGGGGATCGTTATGTCTGGCTCAGGTGGAAATGGGGCAGGAGGCGCAGGAGGCGCAGGACGCTTGGAAGCTCGCTGACGCTCCCTTTCTATCTCCTGGATACGCCGGCGCCGTGCACGGCGGATGTCTTCCGATAGTGCGACAAGGGCTGATATGTCGTCCTGAGTGGAGGTGCCGTCAGCCGGGGTCAGGACTCAGGACAGCGCACAGGGTCTCGACTCACATATTGAAGATACGAGAAGATGTAATAGAACGACTCTGTTTCTTCGAACTCATACCCGGCCCGCTCAATGGCTTCCCTGACCACCAGGTCCTTGGTAATCTCTGTCCAGAGGCGGTCCCGCTTTTCCTTCGTACCGATATACCGTCGTCCTATCTGGCCGTGCTTACGATTGACATTTTCATCAGACAACCTTTCGGGACCAGTGATGGATCGAGACCTTTGAGCTGGTTGTTGTCGCCGCCTACCATCCTGATCAGAGCGGCTGTTGTCTTCGGCACCAACCAGAACAATTGCCTTATCTTCGATGGAGACCTTCGGTACATTTTTCAATGGAGGTCCCTTTAAATCGCGTCGTGTATAGTGTTCCTCCTCAAATGCTTGGATCTCTTCATCAATATCCTGGCGTTTTGGCTCACGTTCCATAATCACGACATCCTCTTGACGGGCGGAAGTCCTGAGTTTGGCGCGGAGGGTGTCCAATTCGTCCTTAACTTCTTGGTCTTCAGACTCTGATGAGGAACTGGCAGGTGGAGATGAATCTTCCTTGCGTCGCTCTATAATAATATTTTCCTTAGTTGGGCGCCCTCGCCTCCTATATCCATTTAGCAGAACATCCCAGACAATAGTTGGACTTTGTAGCGGCTTACCGGTGACGAATTTCCAACTCATCAAAGCTGCTTGGCGATGAAGCCTCTGACCGGGGTGCCCGGGGTGCACGAGGAATTTCAACCCCTGAGAGAATGAGCTGGCCGAAGTTTTGGGCTTTAGATAGTATTGGTACTTACCATTATCCATGAGACCACGAGGCGTAGCGAGAGATCTCCGCACTTGCGAGAGCTCTCTGGAGCTTGGAGACTCTGGAGACGTCGAAAATCGCCTTTGTCGCATGACTACTTCCTCTTTCTCCTTGAATCGACCCTTTCGACCTCTTTTCCTCTCATCCTTTCTGACGATAATATCCTCCTCTTCCTTTTCATTGTCGTCGGATTGATGCTGGACTCTTCGGCGCAGGCGTGCAGCACTCTTTGGCTCTCTCGCATCATTCAGATCTCTAGCATACTCCTGCATGGGATCCGGTGCCCCGCGGAAGAACTCATCTTGTCCCAGATCCAGTTCTGAATGCCTAAGTCGCGAACCCTTCTTCTTCTCTCTCCTGTCACGGTGCAAGCGTACAAACTCCTCCTCGGTGTCATAGTCATGTCGAGGAACCGGCCGCTCCTTTTTCTTCTTGTAGGTGTACTCCTCTTCATCAGACCCGTCCCCAATGTGTCTCCTTCTTTCCAATTCCTCCTGGAAGTAAACGTCTTTCTCCCGAGGAGCTTTCCTCGGCCGACGTCTCTCACGTCGCTCCGGAATGTCGCTCCTCTCCATCTCGTAGCCGCGCAATACCTCACGCGGGAGCATATCGGGCATTTCTCTCTCAGGCGCAACCGCCAAAGGCCCGGGGTTGCGAGGCAGAGGGTCGAAGCTCTCGTGCATAAAGTCGGGAGTTGAGCGCTCCCGTATGTGGAGGCGTTCCAGCTCTTCCACAGGAAGCGGAACGGACATCCGACGCCTGTAATCTATATCAATCTCTTCGTCTTCGGGGTGGCGCCCGCGTCGAGACCGCCGGGGTCGTCGATACGTGTCGCTTTCCTCTTCGTAGAGATCCTCGTCGACGAACTCATGGTTGCGTGCGCGGCGGGACATCTGTGCAATTTGAGGAAGTGGGTCTGTTCTGGTGCCGGGCCAGAAAAAGGTGTGTGTGCGAGACCGCGGTGATTGCTGGTTTATGGGGGAGCCAGGTGGGTGTTGTTATAGTGTTGGGCTTCGGTCCAGTGTCTGTACCATTGCTGGCGGGGTTGACTGTCTATGTAGATAAGTCAAAAGTAAAACGGTGCTGGTATCCCCATGAGACTGATAAAGCAGATTTTCGCCAACCAGATATCTTGGCTCGTCTGAATTGATGGTCTTTCTCTGAGTTGCCTCTTGTGGTACGAGAAAGAATGGACTGAGGCTCACTAACAGGCAAAATTCCTGACTGCCAACGCAACCCCGCGGCTATGTTTGCTGATGTCACCACCGCAGCATGGCGCGTAGGAGATAGCTTGTCTCTGTTGGACTGTAAGGGCAAACAATATATTTCGACAGGATAAATCAATCAAGAAGAGCTTCCTTTTCGGACTAAATTTTATATGAAGATGGAAATCAAAGTTATCAACGAACTATAAAGTGGGTTGCAGTGGTTCATCAGCCTTGGACTGACCACGGTTCGCCATAGTTTGTCCACTGGAACACGATTGATACCTCAACATGGGATATGCGTGGTATAACGTACAACGATTCCTGGATTGAATAGAACTGCTAGACTAAAATCTTCATCACAACTGTAATCACAATTGTACCCACAACACAGAGATACATGCGCCTATCATAGATTCCTGCCTAGTAAAGAAAATAGTGGTTCTGATGTAATCTCTGCTCAAGGACGGATGTCGCTCAAGACATCATGGTAAACGCTGATTATGCGTAGCATATGTCAGTTGACACTATTGTAACGAGAGGCACTATTGCTTCGAGCCTGTCCGACCAATTCGGTTGATTTTCAGCTGGTCGCTAACTCACTTAAAGACACTCTATCTTTGAAGCGGTTTATGACGGATCTGCTCAGCGGATACGCTGCGAGCTATGATGATTCATGACGATCAATGCGAAGATAGTTTTCGGCGAGAAGGGAGTCGACTCCTCATCCAAAACTGAGTCGGGTCTGCCCTTTTTCAGACCTTCCGCGAGCAGTGCGGGCAGCTCTGCCACGAGGTTGGGACGAGCCAGCGTCACTCACTGAGCGCGAGGCCTGTTGATCATTTCTAGCTGCTTGTCGCTCCTCAATCTCCAAATCTTTGGCAAAATGCCAATCATCATGCTCGTTCCTTCCATCGATCGGAAGAGATTGCCGGCATCGATTGCAGGTATATAAAGCCTCCTGAGCTGCCACTGGCTGTTCACTCCGCGAGGGTTGCTCATGATGGGGGATATGATCGCTGCCCTCCTCTTTCTTTCTATCATGCTGGATCGTATTCAAATCCGGAGAGACGGCTTCTTGGATAGTGTCAGGAGGAATACTGAAGAATCGTCTAATACCGTTGACCTCGGCCTTCCTTCGTTTGTCGTCATGCTGGTGTGTGTCCATCGTTCCAATTATATCTTGATTTCTGATGGGCTGAACAACATTTTTGGCCTGTTCGCCACGGATCAAGAAGCTGTCAATCGCCTTGTTCTTGCTCACACCATCTTCGAATCCGCCCACGCTCAAGGAGAGGTTCGCACAAGGCCACGCGCGACCATCAACAATGACCTGCCGAAGCAATGTTCTACCGAGTTCGAACAACAAACTCTCGTCGATTGTGGCGGAACCAGGAATAGGGAGTTGCTTGGAGCGTACTTGAGCACCTTGTCTGTGATGCAACGAAACCGTCCTCGGGCGGCGTCTATTTTCAAGCACGCCTTCCTCGACCAGGCGGCCATAGATATCGGCAGCAAAGATCCGCAGCCATTTCTCGGCCTGGTCTACAGAATTGATGCTCGGTCTGAATGATTTTGCGGATAACATCGACTTGATCTGAGTCCTTGGATTCACCTCACTCTTGTCCTCGCCTCGAATTATCCCATATAGCCAGCTGGCGGTATCATCGTCAAGCTTGGCCCGGAGTTGTTCATGAGACACCTTTAGGAGATCGCTCACTTGCTCTGTGCCAAAAGAAGCGGTGATCTGGTCTCCCAATTTGCCTCCAAGCATCCGGATTTTGGTGAACTTGTAACCCCCAAGGAAATTCTGGACCGCACGGTTCCGAACGATTGTCTGCTTGTTCGGCTTGTTGCAAGCGCTCCCCAACTTGGCCATCATTTTGTTTCTGGCAACACCCCCGGAACACGTATATTTGAGCTTATCCCAGACAAATTTTCGAACGGATCGTACGATCTCTGACCCTATGAGCATGGCAATATCATCCCAATCAGGATCATCGACCTCGGTCTCGTTCTCATCCAGATCTATCAGGCAATCCTCTGGATTCCACTCCAATGCTGTGGTTGGAGGACGAGGCAGTGGTGTGAAGCGGTCGTCATCTTGCGACCCAGCACGGAGCTCCGGGTACCGCTGGAGTAGAACCCCATAGACCAACGGCGACAGGTCAATGAAGACCTCGTCAATACTGGCTTTTTCAAGACTAGCAGGTTGTATCTGAAACTGCGCGCCGGCGCCGCGTTCGCCGTCCACCAGGTCTGCATGCCACCTCGACAGCTCTTCCTTTGTGAACTTCAGAATCTTCCGAGATTCCGCCCGGTACGGATCCAGGCATACTTTGTCCGTGCTGATGTTCTTGAACGCGTCGTCCCTGTACGCCCACTGTCCGCCTTCCCCTTCCCGGAAGGTCGCGACATGCTGCAGAACAATCTCGGGACAGTGTTTTCTCGCTTCGTCGGCAGACATCATTCGAGTGATTCCAAACGATCGAGCAGGATAGTTAATTGCGATGAGCGAGTCCCACTGCCGCACAGCGAGAGGTGTCTCGCGTGGCTTTGCCAGCCGCACCATCTCACATTGCGCATAGAAGGCATCGAGGTCGATGTGGGCGATCACTCTTAGTGGAGTCGCAGTGGAACCCTGGCGAAGAAGCTGTAGTTGCCGGTACGTATACTGAGAACGGTGCTTCAGTGAACTGCTGGGTGACGAGGCTGGTGTGGCACAGGGTTCCGAGGGCGAGCGAGACATGTCAACGTAGATCGTGGTATAGTCATGGCTGTTTTTTGAGGAACGAGCTGCGGTGAAGCATCAATGGCCTAAGTCCGTGTATTCATCTCGTTGAATGTTGTCTCGGCACCACGATGTGGCCTTGAAAAATCCCACTTATCGCTTATCGGGTCGATTCCAAAGATATGGCTTTGGCATTTGGGCGGGAAGCTGAATGATTACCGGAAACGGTTAGCTTGGTTTTCCATATCCTCTTCAGTGTCAAAGGAATGATCAAAACATCATTTATTGATTAATGGTCGTCAAGGATGACCGTAGGAATTGATTCAAGTATGCTAGCAGCTTGCCTGATACTGTGTAGCTTATGCGCTTTTGTATCAATAAGTCTTCTTGGCTACAGAATCAACAAAGACAAGACATGCTAGCGATAGAGTGACATTCGAATCTATATATATATATTCTCTACATAGTAACAGCCAGAGACTGATAAATCACCCACAAGAGTCAATCGCTAATGCTATGTTTTGACGAAGGAGAACGAGTTCGAACCACCTGTTCTAGCAAGAAGATTCATTCAGTTCGAAATCCTCGATACACTGGCGTCGATGGACCGTCTTCGCGAATGCCTAGTGTATCTGTATCGTTTCCAACTAGCCACTATGAAGCCCTTGAGGTCCCTGAGACCAATGCATAAGCTCCTTGTTTTCATGCGATATGCACACAATTTGTAGTTTGCGAAGGGACCTGGAGCAGGGGGACTGGAGATACCCTTCTTTTACACTCAGTTGATCAAGCTGTATCCGTGATCTGTGTTGAAGAGGTTGAGAGACTGCTCCCTCCAACTCTGACAGGAAATACACCCGCAAATAACCGAGTCTGCCATTCAACACGCTCTATTAAACAAGCGACAGCACCTGATAAGGCATGGAAACGGATACGCTGTAGCCAAATCAGAAGAAGAGTTTAGATAACTACGACGTGGAAGAAGAAAATGCAACATTGTTGTGCTCAGTTCGGCAGCTGCGCTTGTCAGCAGGACCACAAGTTTACAAGGATAGAGTAGATGCAGAGACGCCTCCACAGTGCACAGTGATGCGAGATCATGTTGAAGAGGACACTTCGGTCGCTGCCATTTGCGCAACTGATCGGTCTGTGCCTGAGGCGCTCACCGCTTGCAGGACATGAAGAAGCCATGGGTGGGATTGGGAACCTGGGCAGTCTCAGTCATGTGAGTCTTGAGACAGAAGGACAAGAGCAGATAGATAGGTAGATGAGATCTTGTCCAGTCCAATCATTGATAAGCATTGTAGAATAATATCTCTTAAGTACCTACCTTTAGTGTGTGGACCAAACAATTGCCCTAGCCTTTGTAACTGTGAGACAAGTGTAGGTCGTCTCTACTCTGGGCTCAGGGCTGTTTAGATCCCCCTCTTCCACTGGTGCATATGGATGCATAAGATCTATCGGTCACATAAGCACATCATGGTACTACTACTGAGAAGGATGAATCAATGATGCCAATGGCTGGAACCGAGGTCAAGTGAGCGAAGGTACTTTAAGACAATGCTGCTAATTTGCATCCAAATAAATGAGATGTCTTGAATATAGACATCATCATCGTCGTCGTCGTCGTTGTTCGAGAGAAAGTCCCTCTTGGGTATCTATGTAGTAGATAGATAGTCTATGACAATCAAGGCTAGATAGCTACCTTGCATGGACCAGTGGTAGTGAGGTGGATTTCATTGGAAATCCGGTACCTCAAAAGTACCTTTTTTTTTTTTTTTTTTCTCCTATCTACGGAGTACGCACAGAGATTTCCACGGAAGAGCAGCACAACTGCACAAGAGAGTCTGGCGCACCCAGATTTCGATTAGCGGCCCGGAGCGGGTACGTAGATTGGCAGCTCTAAGTAGAGTCGAGCCTTGGGTCCAGCTCGATCGAACAAATGATTGGGTTGAATACCCAAATGTCCCCTCCAGCCCACCACGCATTTCTGCCCAACTTCTCTGCAAGTTTGCAACACCAGCGCCCTCGTTAAGCGTCCCGCCGTTGGCAGACTGGGCTCTTACTGGCGAAGCACTGGGTATCAGGTACGTATTATTATTTTGTAAAGTCCTGACCGGACGACTGCAGACTGCCCTGTTATTGTTATTGACGACCAGAGCAGCTTCTCCTTTCGTCCATTGTCAAGCATATCTACGACATACTATTGCTGGACGACTTCTTGCTGTTGTGGCGATAATCTCAAAGAGAGCTGCCACTGGAGCTCGAAAGATTGTCATGAGGCGAATCTCATCCTGGTTCTTGGTTGTCAAGGATATTTCGTCAAGCTGTTCTCTGCTCTCTCTGGTCATGAGATGAGATGTTATTTGCTTCATTAGAAACATGGTGGAATGACCAAGACGGCATCAGTACAATGAGTGAATGGACGGGCTGAACATGCATGTATGCCGGATGGAGGAGACATGCCTATTATCATTCAACCGCTGCGCAAGAGACCAAATGAGTCATTCCCGTCCTGCTCAAATTGATAGCATCGGACATATAAGCCATAGTTGAAACTGTCATCTCAGCCGGAGTCGTCGCCCCATCTTCGTCACACAGAGTATCACCGCCAGATTGATGGTCGGGTTAGTCTGTAGTGGCTCGCTCACATTGACATCTGATCCGAGGGGAATGATGAATGATTGTTGATGGGCTGCTACTACATTCATGTTCCTTCCCCCCCTCCTCCCTCCATGAATGCAAGCCCTTTTCCAATGATGGCGAGTTTCGCTGAGATTTCCAATGTCTTCGATGAGCGCGTGGACAGTGAACAGACAGGTTAGGTAGTAGAATGACGGCGATGATGCCGGATCATGGTGGTCAACCAAGCGACAACAATAACATTTGTGGGGGCAATTCCACTTGAGCTTTGACTGTTGACATCAGGACCGGTAGAGAGAGTCTATTCATTTCCCAATTTTCTTGAAGATGAATTTGCCTTTCCCCCTAACTACCTAAGCAAAGACCACTACTGTACGTACTTCGTACCCCCTTCAGAGAATTTTTTTTTTTTCCAGGAAGCGCGACTAGACACAGGAAAATCCTCAGCACGCCCCATTCGTCTCCCTGCAGACGATGGCGACTCGACCACAGTCATCATGCTGCCTGTGGGTTGCAAGACCGTCAATCCTCCCTCCTTCGTTGGCGTGTGTCGAAATTTAATCTTTTCTTTGTATACTAGTAGTCTACGGAGAACACTCTACAGAGTACTACATACCTATTCGTGTCCGATCGGTGTTCTTTAGTCCTAGGCTCTTTAGTCCTAGGTTCTTTAGTTACCTAGTTCGTTACCAATAGCAGGTGGAGTCATCGTGGCACCAGACAAGGCCAGGCAGCCCAAAAAGCCGGCCCAACAGCCCAAATAATAATAATAAAAACGATAATCGCCCATTCTGTTTCTTGACTGGCTTACTTACATAGTCATACTCTGTACTGGGCTGGGTCGAATCAATCAGAGCAACCCAGCAAACAAAAACCCACAGCCCTCGTTCATTTTCCCACCCCCTCCCCTCTCCGTCTCTCTGGTCTCTAAGCTGGCTGCTGTCCTTTAGCCTCTCTTATCTCCCCATCCTTTTTCTCCCTCCCTCCCGTCTTTCTGTTCTTCCTCTTCTTCTTCCTTTTCTCCCTTTCCCTTCCTCCCTTGCTCCCTAGATCGCATTCTGGCATTCTAGCCAGCCCTAAGGACAATCAACATCCACTTATTGGGAGCGTTGAAGGTATTAAAACGCTCACCACCCCAAGCGGAGAGAGGAACCCCACGCAAACTTCACCCGAATCCTTCAACCATTCGGCTCGATTTTCTGATTTCGACAGTCTTTTCTTGCATAATCTCGTCGCAATTCCGGATACAGTTTACTAGCAAAAGAAAAAAAAAAAAGAAAGAAAAGAAAGGAAACAAGCTTCTCAAGAGGATCCTCACAATCGGCCCTTTGACACCCGTCTGTGGACAGAACGCTTTCCCTGGATTTCCTGTGATTCAACAAACCATCAAGGACTTCGGCTTTTTCACATCTTCCAATTCTGCATTGTGCGCGTGTGTGTTTTGTGTGATACAATAAAGTCGGATTTAGCATTGATCATCATCCTTGGAGTTTCCCCCCTGGACTCGGCCTCATAGAACTGTACTTGTGCTGTTTCTTTACCAATCGACCCAGGAGATCGCATCTCATTAACCTCCTTTTCCCCCCCCACTGGACACCTCGGCTACCTGGAACCTCTTGTGGCCACTTGGATCCATTGACTATAATCCTTTAATACTGGACCTTTTCTCCCTGGACAAAAATGACTGGACGCCATGGATATGAAGGACGCCCGGAGCGTCAGAACGAGTATTTCATCCCCGGCGATGGTATCAGCCGGGAAGTCATCCAAGCAGATATTTGCCGTTACCTCGGAAATGATGCTCTCGTAAGACCTGGAAACCATAATGTCTGTTTCCCAACCTCTTTTCTTCTCTAAAGTCAAGAAATCTCCCGCTTGAACCACAAGTTGAAACCTCCAATGTGCTCCTCCACTGACTCATGATGAACAGGGTCGCCAGGGATACTTTATTCGAGCTTATCGGAATCTCACCTCTGTATGTTGAAACCTCCCCTCTCTCTGTGCAGAGAAAAAGAAGAGTGTGAAGCAAAACAACAGGATGTCGGAGCGAGAAGATACAAAGGCTAATATTTCATCCTGTTATAGGAGATGATTGCTGATCTCAAAGCGGATTCCGCTCGTTGGGAAGCAGATGTGATGCGCCGGGCTGACCAAGGCTATCCACGAGGTAGTTATAATCACGACTACAGCGTTTCCCAAGCGCCTAACATGATCCCAGCACAATACGCAGCTTCTTCCATTCATGAAGTGCGCCAACAAACAGGCCCATCTCCACCACCCACATACTCTCAGCCTCCTCCTCAACCTTATGTGGACCCATATGCTCAGGCGCCATATGCCACAACACAGAGCCCTCCCTACACTGCCCCCTCATCTTATCCCTCAAGTCACTCGCCTTTTGCGACAGGACAGGCCCCATACCCTGCACAGGTTCCCTACTCGGCCCCTGGCCAGCCTGCGGTGTCTGCTGAGATGCACCCTTCATACACATACACGAGCAACACTGGTTATGCGTATGAAAATGGGAGAAATAATGCTCCACGCTACACAGGCCCGGGCTATGAAGCAGAATCCGATTATTCCCCGGTCACTTCTGGAATGACTTATCCCGCCACCACAGCCCCTGATCCCCGGATAGGAATGGATCCCAGATATACCCCGGAGTATGACCGCACTAGACCCCAGGCAACAAGAGAAAGCCAGGCTCCGCGTCGTCCCCGGTAAGGGAACATCCAACAAAATTAAAAAAAACCGGAAAGGAAAAAAACCAAAAAAAAAGAATGACATACCTCCTTCGCTCTTTTGCTATGATACCTCAAAGGATTCGTCACAAGCCCTTGGCTATCCTGGGTTGATCTTGACCTCGGAATATAATGAAACCTACAAGATTCCTTGGAGTGCCGCGTATCCTTATCCGGGCTGTTCTGCGGGATCAAATTGCTGTTTGTTTGTTGCCAGCGGGGGCTCCCAACCCACCAGGAATATCTTTTAACATGTTGTGGAAGCCGACTTACAAGCCTGAGGAGCCTTCCCTTGGGAATCCGGGATACTCAGCCATGGATGACCTCATTCGTTTTTCTGGAGATCTTGCTTTGCGTCTCTCCTGATGCTGTTCGGTGCTGCTTTTTCTGGACTGGTCGTTGACATCGTATTGGCGATGTTGATTTACCATATAATAATGTGACTAGCCGAGTGAGAGCTCTGCGTGATGAGTTATAAAAGGTGGCTTTGTGGTTTTCCCGTTGCAATGTTCCGTTGGTTTTCGACTGTCTCATTCAAATCTACTTGTTTCTCGTCTTTGCTTTTTTGGAGAAATATTCCCCGATCTGGTTGCTTACTGGTGTACTGGGCCGTGGTTGTCTGTTTTATCATGGTCTCTCCGGTTTCCCTGTTTGAGGGGGTGTTACGGCCTTTTCCCGCGGTTTTCAATTTATGATGGGAGCATCCAATTGATTCCACATGTCCCGGGCAGGAGCTTGGATGTTTCTGCTGATGTTGTCCACGATCTATATGTAGATATGAGCATATACGGCGTTATCTTTTACTTCTACGGCTATTCAATTACGTTGACGCTGGCAATCCGGGAGCTATCCTATGTTATAAATTTTCGATCCTCACCCGAGAAACTTGTTCTTTCGGATCCTGCGAAGCCGTGTTGATTCAGCCCTAAATCTGGTACCTAATTCGGAATCTACTGTCCCAGCATTGCTACAGTGTCTATCTCCTTTTTTCAAGTGTACATGGAGAGCCATGGTCTACCCCAACCGTGTCGTACTGAATAGATCAAACAATTTTCTCCGCCGTCGATCTCATCTGTTCGATTCAAACTTTTGCCATAGCGGAGGACTTCGGCGAAGCTATTATTCTGGTCTTCGTTCAGGCATGAACGCAACTAATTAGGTATTGTTGCCCATTCCTCAGCTCCTGCCGAGTGACCTACAGCCTTGGAGTACATCTTCTGGTATTGCGATACTTCGACTTGATAGTTTGCTCGTAAGAATGTGCTTCCATCCTCTCGTATTAAGGGTCATATTATCTGTGCGTCTTTCTATAGCGAGATATGAATAATCGGGCTCACCTCGAATCTATTCCCAACAACTCCATTTCGAGCAACCTAATCGAATAATTATCTTTAGGAGGTATTGTTACCCAACATGTTACCAGAAGCGAGGATCATGAACGCGCCATAACAAGCCGAGGAAAAATAGTTCAGACGAGAAAGTGTCTGCGCTCTAAAATCATTTTTCATGTACAATACACCGCAGCGCCTGCTATCAAACTCAACAAAGGAGGTGCAGGGGTATAGAGACACCTAGGTAGGAAGAAGAACCAGGAAGATCCGGGGGGGGGGGGCAGAATTGTTCAGAAACAACGGCTGAGATACCACCCGCAACACCCTTCCTTCCAATTGACGCAGCGTCGATCACGGATCCCTTGTCATCGACGGCCCGACATCGTTTCAGTTCCTTACACTACCGTATCTCGAATTTCCTCCCAGTGACGAGCATCTGAGCAAGACAAAACGCAATTCCACCGATCCTGTTTCCGCGGACCGTCTATTCGTCATCGTAGCCTCGCGGGATGTTCCGGGGACCCTGGGGAACTGTCACAATGGGCGGATAGCGTTAGTTATGAGGATGGTATAGCCGGTATGCGTCTAGCAAGACGCAGCAGACCGGGAAAAGCAGGAGGTGAGGTCCTCACCAGGATAGGTCAAAGGGATGGGTTCCGGGTCAACATCGCCGAAGAACCGTCTGATGGGGGGCAGGGTGACCAGCGCGAGAGGTCCAGAAGCTCCGATAATCAGGGAGTAGAAGATCGCGGGCTTCTCGTGCGAGGCCCAGCGGAGGTACCGGAGAGGAGTCGACCAGAATTGAGGGGTAGTCATTGCTGTTGGTTTATAAGAGTTTTTGCGGGATTCGGGTAGAGGGTCGTGGACGAGGGAGACGTCGGGTTCCGAGTCAATTGGAATTGGAAAAGAGATGAAGCCGCGACTGTTCAGTACGCTGGTAGAGTCGGATATTCAAAATTTAGGTAAAGGGCGCCAGAAGAGCCAGTGTCGCGACAGAGAGGGGGTTTGGTTTGAGAATGGAGGTTGTTAAGTGACGAATGCCGGCGATTGCGCAGTTCGAAGCGGCATGGAGGTCTTGGCGCTCTCGGTCCAAACACGTTGCCCGTTTCCCTTCAACTAAACCGATGCTGAGGGAAGCTCCCAGAGGACAATTACCTCCACCAATTCACCTCCCTCTCTTCGTGTCTTTCTTTCCCTAGACCCGCGGTGATATATCCTTCGGTCATTCATTTGCCCTCCGCTGCGCGGAATCCGATATACCATGCGGTGGTGCCTCACTATCCTCTCGTTCTGCTTCTTGGCAGTTGTACATGCTCTAAGTAGTTCGGGCAATCGCCTTCTGGTAATTCTGGAAGATGCCGCAGAAAAGGAGCTTTACACGACATTCTGGGGGGATCTAGAAAGTAGGCTTGAACTGCTATAATGATATTTACAGTTGCTGACTGCAGGAAACAGCTCGGGGATATCAGCTTACCTTCGAATCGCCCAAGAATGACAAGCTCTCTTTGTTTGAGCTTGGAGACCGGGTTTACGATCACCTACTCCTCCTCCCTCCCAAGTCAAAGGGTCAGCATTACACCGGAGAGAAGCGACATTACATACCTCGTACAGCTCAATTGACTCTCGAACAGGCTACGGACCCTCTCTAAGCCCGAAGAACATCATCGAATTCCTAAACAAGGATGGCAATGTCCTCCTCGCCCTGTCTGGCAAGTCGACAACCGCCAGCGCCATCAACTCGTTGCTTCTGGAGCTGGATTTCCATATCCCCACCGATCGCTCCTCCGTCGTCGTCGATCACTTCAATTATGATACCCTCTCTGCGCCCGAGAAGCATGATGTCTTGTTGCTCCAGCGGCCAGGTCAATTGAGACCTGACCTCAAGGCTTACTTCGATGGCCCGGGTGTCGTGGCTTTCCCCAAGACTGTTCCTCACACCCTGGGTGACGCAAACCCTCTTATCGCGCCTATTTTGCGAGCTCCTGCGACGGCTTACACTTACAACACGAAGGATGACGCACCCTCGGTGGAGGATGTGGAGGCTACAGGTTCGCAGTTGGCACTTGTCTCTGCTATGCAGGCTAGAAATTCTGCCCGCTTCACTTTGCTGGGTTCGGCGGAGAGTCTGCAGGATAAGTGGTTCACCACGACTGTCAAGGCTCCCGGTGATGGGAAGGAGACGAAGACTGTCAACCAGGACTTTGCTAAACAGCTGACGGCGTGGACTTTCAAGGAGACTGGTGTCCTCAAGGTGGGAAAGGTTCAGCATTACCTTGCTGAAGCTGGCGAGGTTGCGCTCGAGGACCTGAACCCCAAGATTTACCGGATCAAGAATGACACTGTATGTGATTAACCCGCACTTGCTTGCCCGTTTATTTGTGCTAATTGATTGCCCTGCAGGTCTTCAGTATTGAGATTTCCGAGTACGATTACGATCGTTACGTGCCATTCCAGGTGCCAGCCGAGGATGCTGTTCAGCTGGAGTTCACTATGCTCTCTCCCTTCCATCGCCTGAACTTGGAGCCTTCCCACAAAACTCAAAACAGTACAGTGTACAGCACACGCTTCATGACCCCGGACCAGCATGGAATCTTCTCCTTCCGGGTAAATTACAAGCGCCCCTTCCTCACCAACATCGAGGAGAAACACGAGGTGACTGTCCGTCATTTCGCTCATAACGAATACCCCCGCAGCTGGAAGATCAGCGGCGGATGGGTCTGGATCGCCGGTCTATGGTCCGTTATTGCCGGCTTCCTTGCTTTTGTCGTCGCGTGGCTCTACTCAGCACCTCCTGCTGCTGCTTTGAACACCAAGAAGACACAATAATCTGTAGTATTTCATTGAATGAGAGGTCAAAATGACGCTTGCAACTGCATCTGCGGTCTATCAGTCTAGGCAGATCTTGTAAAGTGAATCCTCTAGACGCCGGAGTAAGCCGCCAAGGTTTGATCTATATAACCACTGTATCTTGGCCAAACACAGTAGATCATACACATAGGTCGGAAGATCCACGATGCATATATACATTCGTATGTCCTAAAGCAATAGTGGTACACAAGTTTCGTAATCATAGTAACCCTTCCAATGTAAAACTCCAGCCATGCTAAAGAGGTGAGATAAGACCAAATGCCAATTGCAGAAATCCAAGCCGCATGCGTCGTAGCGAAACGACACACGAGTCAACCCAGTCTATCACGATAGCTCACAATCCTCTGGTCTTCTCAGGGTCCATCTGGACTTCATCGCCACTGATCTCCTTGACGCTCTGGAAAGCGGGCTTCCCGGCATATAGTTGCTGGGAGGGTTTGGATTTACCACCTTCGAGCTCCCTCGATACGGAGATGGGCTGGTTTCCGCGGAATCGCTTCCGCATATCAATCAGGCCGCGTCTGCATTGAGTTATAGGGTCAGCGCTACCTGCTAGCAGATGAATTGCGGCCTTGCTGAACTCACTTGCACTCGCTGAATCCTTTCCGCAATTGTTGGCACTTCATGGGCAGCTCGTCGACGAGCGGTTCACTCAGGCACTCACGCGGGGTGTGGCGCTGGACCATGATGCAGTCCGACTCTTGGAGGCATTGCGCCAGAGCATCTCCTGTAAGATTGAGAGGTTCGTTAGCATTCGCTCATCATGAATCCCGACGTAGGTTTCCGAGATCGTGGTGCGGGTGGCCCGCGGCGGTTGTCAGGCAATGGCCAATGCCTATACGCTCTGCGCAACGATTAATAAGATAGATCGGAATACCACTTACTGATTTCTCTGCACGAACTCGGCATCCTGAGATGTGATGGAGCGCTTGCTGACGGACAATCCCGACAGAACTACAGCGCAATGTCAGATTACTGTATTGGACTCTCGGGATCTCTTCGGCGGCGAAAATCCAGGCTAGCCGCTTTGGTGTCCCCGGATTAAGTAAGCATCACATGGGAAATTGAGCGGCGCAATGACCGCATGACGTCGGGGTGCGACTCTGTCCCTCGCTGGAATGGCTTCATTAAGCATGGAGAAATTTGATCTGCCCCCTCGCTTGGCGCATTATGGAATCCATAACATAATGACCGTGGCTCATTTCATCCTCAAGACTCATTGAAAGACATTCATCAGCGAAACTAGAAGGTCAACCCCTAACGACACCATGGCAGTTCCTGTAATCGGACGACTGTTCTGGTTCGAATACCTAGCGCTTTTTGCCTCTTTCATTCTTGTGGGGTTGGAATCGGTCATACATCTAATCACATTCTGCCTGCGTGAGTGCCCTCAATATTCAATATTCGCGTCCTGTCAATATGGGTCGTGGGACAGCTTGAAGGAATAGGGGCTGATTAAAGCAGCCGAACCGGTGATCAAGTTCTGTTACGACCGCTCAAAGACTATATTCAACGCCTTGTTGCCAGCCGAAAAGCCAGACAAACGTCGCAGGGAAGAGCAAGTTGCTGCAGCCGTTGCACAAGCGTCCGACTTTGCAGATATCTGTTCCATCTTCGGTTACGAGGCCGAAGAGCACATCGTGCAGACAAAAGACGGTTTCCTGATAGGATTACATCGCCTGGCCTATCGAAAGGGAGAGGAAGATTTGTTTGTCAACCAGGGCGAGGGAAGTATCAAGAAAAAGGTGGTCTATCTTCACCATGGTCTTCTCATGTGCAGCGAAGTCTGGGTGTGTTTGACGGAAGAACAGCGTTGTCTTCCCTTTCAGCTTGTAGAAAGGGGCTACGATGTATGGCTTGGGAACAACCGCGGCAACAAGTATTCGAAGAAATCTGTCAAGCATTCTCCCTTGACGCATGAGTTCTGGGATTTCTCTATGGATGAATTCGCATTCCATGATATCCCTGACAGCATTAGTCATATCCTCGAAGTAACAGGGCAGGATTCACTGTCATATATCGGGTTCTCACAAGGCACGGCGCAGGCGTTCGCAGCTCTCTCGATACACCCTTTACTGAATCAGAAGGTCAATGTCTTTGTCGCACTTGCACCGGCGATGGCCCCATCAGGTCTCCGAAATCGTATTGTGGACTCGTTGATGAAGGCGTCGCCCAATTTTCTGTTTCTGCTGTTCGGTAGACGCAGCATCCTTAGCTCCACAACAATGTGGCAGACAATCCTCTATCCACCCATATTCGTCCGCATAATTGACACAGCCTTGTCGATCCTCTTTGACTGGAAGTGCAAGAACATCAACCACTGGCAGAAACTGGCAGCTTACCTGCATCTTTTCTCGTTCAGCAGCACGAAATCAGTGGTCCATTGGTTTCAAATTATTCGACACAAGAACTTTCAATTCTATGACGACGAGATCCATGCTCCGTTCAGCATTGTCGCCAGTCAGCGATTCTACAAACCGGTCAAATACCCTACTCGGAACATTAAGACCCCGGTCGTTCTGCTCTACGGCGGCAGCGACAGCCTGGTCGATATTGGGGCGATGTTGCGAGAGCTTCCACGTGGAACAGAAGCCAAATGCATTCCCTCGTATGAGCATTTGGACTTTCTGTGGGCGAAGGATGTGAATGAACAGGTCTTTGGCCATGTGTTTGAGGCACTCGATTGTTACAGCTCCAAGGAGCGTCGCAACTCGAAATGGGATAAGACGCTCGAGTATACCAATGGCGGTACATAGTGGGCAGTCTCTGTGGAGCTCCACTGTAGCTGGCTTTCATTTCCTTGTCCAGGACCGAATAAAGACCAGAAGATGGGGCATGTCTCATAACTTGGGACGACCACGTCTACCTATGTATATACATTAGAGTTCAGATGTATGTTGCGGAGGGGTGGGATGTATGTTATGTGTAGTTTATCTTCCTCCCATGTGTGACGAACTGATTGGCGAGAGCGTCATAGCTGCGTTGGAAGGTTGTTAGAAGAGAGCCGGGCGGTGGCCATCTGCGAGGTGATTCGTTTCTGGTGTCTACAGATATACAGAACAGTCTGTCCATTATTCAGATCGATTCCACGAATTTTGACCTGTCAAATGTCAGTCAGATGATAAAGTTTCACATGAAGCATTCAGCAGTCAAAGCTCACTCTAATATTGTCTAGACTCTAGATACTGTGGATATGCCTTGCTCTCTTCAGGTAGCTAGCTGATTTAGAGGTATGTTGTCCTCCGTTCCGATATAGCGAGTCAGGAATGTTTGCTATCATCAATCCATTTGTCTCCGAATGGACTTTGGTAAAGCAATACTTTGTAGATAGTCTATAGAGAGATTGATGTGTGTTTCCAGGACCCAAGACTTATCACCAAGTAGGGATGAAGGGTGTTTCCTCCACCACAGATAACAGGTCATCCGACATCTATGGAGACGAGGCTGCAATATAGCAGAATGATGCCTCATATCACCGGAAATAGCATGAGGCTATATTTCAAGATTACTTTTAACACCACAAAGTAGGTATATACCGAGAGTCTCAGTCTCAACTTCCCATCTTCACGGACTCTGCCTCCGATCAACGCAAACCCCAGCTGGCTCGGTCTTGCTCTACTTGATTGAATGTCATCTATTTCAACCTCTTTCTTGCGTTCAGTATCTCCTATCTTGGTTCAACCATTGTAGGTTCTTTTGTTCTTTTTTTGTTCTTTTTTTTCTTCTCCCGCTCTGCACTCACCCCCCCCTTTCCCCCGCCATCATTCAGCACCATTTCCCTGTATATTTCAAAAGACACCCATGTGCACGAGGGGAGATAACCCCTCATATAACCGACAAGGCAAACTCTCTTCTCCCTCTCCATCACCCCTCTCCTCCCCCCTCCCTGGGTACGGTATAACCCGGGAAGCTCAAGGCAGCTCGTGAACCAAGCGGACAAACCTTCTGTCAAAGCCATTGTGATGATGCGCTCTTGAGTGTCGATTACTGGGACTAAGGACCGACACTCCGACTATTCCCCTCCTCCCAGGCCGGCACCGCCACTGGCACACTTCCCCAAATTCTCCCAGATCTCCCAGGAGAACAGAGAAAGACAAAGGGTTATACTGGCGGCGGTTTCAGCGAGACATCATTATCATTACATATGCCAACACTACCTTTAACCTAGACTCCTTGTCATAGGCTGTCTGGGGACTCCAATAGCCGAAATACCTCCCCATTTCCGTTTTCCTTTTTCCCCCCTCCCATTTGATTTATCGATTCGCTGCAATGCTGACGACAACAATTGCCATGAAGACAGAGGTCTCATCGAAATACCGCGTGGTCCTCCACGGAAATCCTACGAGCGCTCGCTTGTCTTGGAGGCTTAGAGTTTTGGTTGCGGATATTGGAACGCCTGTCGTGTCCGCACAACTAGTCTCATCGACGATTCTCACCGCCGCCCAGTTGTCACGTTCGGATTCTGGAGAGTTCGAACCAAGGGAAAAAAAAAATAGTGAACCGGGTCAGTTGGTGTTCTCCCCTTACGTGCAATTGCATTCTGTCCGCAGGGTCTCTCTTTCATGGAGTTGACAATTCTGCAGCGTGTCTAATTGTCTTCAAAAAGTCAAGCCTTCCTCGGAAACGAACGATCCCTTTCTTATCGCTCCTCCCCTCTCCCCACACTCGTTCTTCGGTCGTACCAGCAGTGAGCAGACTAGCCCGGCCTAGCCTCCCGGACGTTGGACCCAATCTGTTGACATCAACCTTTTTTTCCCTACTTTTTTTTTTTTTTTTTTTTTCCCGCGACCTTGTCCAGCATATTATTTCTGGATCACTCGCTGTGTTCCACTATCCATCTGGTGAATCTTACGGAAGTGTTTTGAATAAAAGGGCTCATTATCGTCCTGGACTTGAAGGATTTGGTCGGGAACTCGCATCGGAAACTGATGTAACGGATCGCGTCTCTTCGCCCTTGCTCTTCCATTGGGAGCCAGGAAATCAGACCATCCCCCGGACAGCTGCGAATTCGCGGCGGAATCACAACACAGCAAATCCTCTTGACAAACCTGACAAGGGAACCAACTATCCATCCATCTTCGGTTTTCATTCTCACTTTGGGTCTCATCACCATCGCGAAGCATATCGGCGACAGCAGTAACGGGTGGAAAAGGACACAATTCGGACAGCATCCCGTTTACGGTGGAGCCGTACTTATAACTGAACGCGAAGTTTATCGGAGGGGTTTTTATTTGTCGAAATAGTCAGCACAGTCTCGATGCGGCCACAGTAAGTCCTGCTGTTGAGAATTCTTCAATCCTGAGTACTATTGCGCAATGGAGTTCTGATATGGCATCGTGCCACAATTTCTAGACGGGAATATCACATTGTGGTTCTGGGTGCTGGTAGGCATACACGATCTCTCGATGAGAAGGTTCCTGCGCTAAATATTCCAATCTTTTCTGCGTTATAGGAGGTGTGGGGAAAAGCTGTCTCGCTGGTATATACTCCCCTCCTGGTCTTCCATCCCGACGACCCCCGTCGCACGGTCAAATCTGCGGACTGCAGGATCTTTGAACGCTTCGACAATGAGGTACATAATCTAATTATCACAGCTCAATTCGTCCAGAATGTGTGGATCGAAAGCTATGACCCTACGATTGAAGATTCCTATCGGAAGCAGATCGAGGTCGATGTAAGTGGACTGCCCTTGTTCGTCTGAATCCACAGTACTGACACTTTCAGGGTCGACAATGTATTCTGGAAATGTACGTTTAGTCGTGGAGCGTGCGAGGAGCCCTGCCGCAAGAGTGCTAATCCATCTTGAATGTTTGACAGACTTGATACTGCAGGAACCGAGCAATTTAGTAAGTTTACTGCACTGTCTCAATCGACTTACCTTCTTGCTAACACTTTCTCTGTAGCTGCTATGAGGTAATCCAATCTGCCATCACTCTTGCAACCACGTTGTTGGTGCGACCGCAGTCATGCTTTCCGACTTATTCAACGTTATGTCTCGCTGATCATATTTTTGCTACTCAGAGAGCTTTATATGAAACAAGGCCAAGGTTTTCTGCTCGTGTTTTCCATCACCAGCAATTCCTCCTTGAACGAGTTATCCGAGTTACGGGAACAGATCATTCGAATCAAAGATGACGAGAAAGTGCCCATTGTCATTGTGGGAAACAAGTCCGATCTGGAAGAAGATCGCGCTGTTCCACGCGCGCGCGCCTTCGCCCTTTCCCAGAGCTGGGGCAACGCTCCCTACTATGAGACTTCAGCGCGCAGACGAGCGAATGTTAACGAAGTCTTCATTGACCTTTGTCGGCAGATCATCAGGAAAGATATGCAAGGAAGTTCATCTAGCGGCTCCGACAACTCGACACGAAAGCGGGACGGCGCTGGTCGTCAGGACAAGAAGAAGGATAAGAAACGACGGAAGGGTCCTTGTGTCATTCTATAGAATTCGGGATTTACAAGTGTTACGAACCCACGGCCCCGACGACACGACTGGCGACGAGAAAGGTCAATCTATTTTCTCAAGTCCTTCACTCTGTCCGAAAACTCCAATGTATCTCACCTCTAGCATCCCAGCTATGAGCGCTTTCACCTCCTTCTCCATACCCACCGGTCTCCTCAGAATTGTCCTCGTGATGCTTCCATTATCATGCTACATTATACGCCATTGACGTGCCCTGCTCAACGATAGACTTATGTTTCAATTTTTCAATGTGATATTTTCGTCTTTACAAGTTGCTACAATGCATCAAGGAATGGAAAAGTTATTCAAACCCACCGTCTCATCTATCTACTCTGTCTCTTTCTCTCCCCGATCGGAAGCTGCTAGATCTTGGATCTTTTTTCTTTTTTCTCGTCTAATCCTTTTCGACGCATCTTCATCCACTGGTAGTGTTAGTTCGATCTAAATATTGACTGACATCTGGTGTGCCTACAGTGGAAAGAGATCAATGGGCATCTTGCCTTGGAGATTTGTGGGTCGGGTTGATTGATATTCAACCTATTTAGGGTTCAACTACATCATTCTTGTACATCATTGGACCTTATTTATCTTCGCAGCAAATTAAAACATTTGAATCTGAAGTCTTCCTTCCAATTAGAGGTCCAACCTAAGGATGTTGTTGCAATGAGCCAACCACCGAAGTTACGGAGTCCCGATGACCAGTTGTCCACTTAAAAGAAGGATTCCTAGAGATTTGACCTTGATACAGACAAGATGACGCCGAACTTGCTAATCATAACATAACATTATCAACTACATCTGGTGAACAACTGCTTCACATCCTGAAAACACCAAACCGCGTTTGCACATCCTTCTCTACTTTCCCACCAAGAGCAGCCGCAAGACTCAGACCGAGGACATGCCTCGTCTGCGCCGGCGGAATGACCCCGTCGTCCCAGAGGCGCGCAGAGGAAAAGACCGCTTCGGACTCGCGGTCGATGCGGGCTTTCAGTTCCGGATCTGCGGTTCGGCCGACGGCCTCCATGACTGCGGAGAGCTGCTCGGAACCCATGACGCCGATCTTGGCGTTGGGCCACATGAACATCAAACGTGGGGAGTATGCGCGGCCGCTGCAAGACATTAGCACGGGGGCGACTCTTCATTTAGTGTGTTGGGGGGAAGGGAGTGGGGTCAAAGTCCTTACCACATGCCATAATTTCCAGCTCCGGCGCTGGAGCCGAAGACGACGGTGAACTTGGGGACATCGGCGCAGGCGACCGCGGTGACCAGCTTGGCGCCGTTCTTTGCGATTCCACCCTTCTCGGCATCGGCGCCGACCATGAAGCCGGAGATATTCTGGAGGAAGAGCAGGGGGATCTGGCGCTGAGCGCAGAGCTCGATGAAGTGTGCTCCCTTGAGAGAGGACTCGGAGAAGAGAATGCCGTTGTTCGCGACGATGCCGACCTGATGGCCGTAGATGCGGGCGAATCCGGTGACGAGGGTGGTGCCGTAGTCGCGCTTGAATTCAGCGAACTCACTTCCGTCGACGATGCGGGCGATGACTTCGTGGACGGGGATTTGTCGGCGGAGGTTGGTTCCTACGATGCCGTTCAATTCGGCGGGGTCGTATAGCGGCTCCTTGATCGTGTCTTCGGGCAGTTTCAGCGGGATGCTTGTTTTCGGGTAATTGAGGTTGGCGACGGATCGGCGCGCCAGGACAAGAGCGTGCGCGTCGTCCACGGCTAGGTAATCTGTGACGCCGGAGATGGTGCTGTGAAGTTGGCCACCACCAAGATCCTCGGCGGACACCACCTCACCGGTCGCGGCTTTGACCAGAGGGGGGCCGGCTAAGAAGATCGTTCCCTGGTTCTCGACGATGATGGTCTCGTCGCTCATTGCTGGGACATAGGCACCTCCAGCCGTGCAAGGGCCCATGACTACGGAGATTTGCGGGATGCCGAGCGAGCTCATTCTGGCCTGGTTGAAGAAGATGCGCCCGAAATGCTCCTTGTCCGGGAATACATCGGCTTGGTGGGGAAGATTTGCACCACCAGAATCGACGAGATAGAGACAGGGCAGCTTGTTTTCCTGCGCGATCGCTTGCGCACGCAGATGCTTCTTCACTGTAATGGGGTAGTATGTGCCTCCCTTGACGGTACTGTCATTGGCCACGATCATGCAAGTGACGCCCTCCACGGTGCCAATGCCCGTGATGATGCCTCCCGCGGGCACATCCTCTCCGGGATACACCTCGTGGCCAGCCAAGGGGGATAGTTCGAGGAAGGACGTGCCTGGGTCGATGAGAGCTGTCACTCGATCCCGAGGAAGCATCTTCCCTCGAGCGATGTGTTTATCCTTTGCTTTTTGTGGTCCTCCTTGTGCAATGGTGTTGTGAAGGCTGGTCATCCGGTCGACCAGTTCACTCATTTGCTGCGCGTTCTCCTTGTATTCTGCCGAGGAGGTGTCCACCGCAGTCGGCAGAACGGAAATTGCGGAGGCATGGTGCGGGTGCGAATAGCTTGCCACTGATCGTGATGAGACGCGGGGACATGTTGGGATCAAATATCGTTGCGCCGGAAGTCGTCGACGATACGGCAGGGCGGTTGTTCTTGAGCACAAGCCCCGAAGAAGCGGAGATGGGGCGTGCATTGCGGGGATGGCTGTGGAGCAAAACAGAGGATGTTAGACAGACGACGGCCTGGGGATCTTATAGCATAACCTTGACTTGAGGGTTACGATAAGAGGATATATGAAAATGAAAATGAGAAGAAAGGGTACACCCAGAAGGGATAATAATGAGCGGTTGTTGATGGAGGGAAAAAAGAACTGGGCATGACGATGAAATGTCTCTCCCCCGGACTGCGCTGGTTTGCTGCAAACCCGCTGCGGAGAAGACCAGCGACGATTGCCGCGTCTATCCGCATTTGGCCTCAGGCCCGCTGCTCTATCTCCGCCTTCGATTGCCATGTAAATTGTAAATTGTAAATGCAACCTCCCTCGGCTGTCCATCTTACTGAGATTCATCATCTTCTTGTCTCAAGTCAGATAGGATTCAGTTTCGCTACACAATGGCTTCTGTATCATCTTTCTTTCGGACCTCCTCGCGGACTCTCTGTAGACTGAGACAGCCGCTCATCTACACCCCCGCAATTCGGTCATTGGCAACAAAACATCCCAAGGGCTTCGTACCGCCCACCGAGGACGAGCTTCTGGAGCTCAGAGAACGGGTACAGGACTTTACCAGTATGTCTTCGGATTCTTCTTTCTCAATTAGTGCCTTGTATGCCTCGCCTGCGTTGTTTACTCACATTCGTTCAAGGGCGTGAGATACCTGAGGAAGTCGCTGCACGGACAGATACGCAGAATGAGTTCCCGGCTGAAATGTGGAAGAAGCTGGGAGATGCTGGGTAAGTGCTGCGAATCCACTATTCTACCCGCTCCAGGCTCATTTACCTTGGTAGCTTTCTCGGTATAACTGCCAATGAAGAGTATGGTGGTCTGGGAATGGGTTACCAAGCCCATTGCATAGTGATGGAGGAACTCAGCAGAGCTTCGGGTATTTATCTACACTTTTTTGACACATATGCAAGGCTTTACCGACATGACCTACAGGAAGTATCGCTCTGTCATACGCCGCACACTCGCAGCTCTGCGTGAACCAATTATCATTGAACGGCACGCCCGACCAGAAGGCTCGGTTCCTCCCCGGCTTGCTGGCTGGTGATAAGATCGGCGCGCTAGCCATGTCAGAGCACTCTGCAGGCTCGGATGTCGTTAGCATGAAGACGACCGCTAAGGCCGTAGACGGCGGTTGGGTGTTGAATGGGACTAAGATGTGGATTACCAACGTAAGCCACTTGACATGCATATTTCATTGAAGTTGTGTCACTCATCATGCATCATCTTAACAGGGCCCCGACGCAGATTACATTGTCGTGTACGCCAAAACAGAGCCGGAGAAGGGGTCCAAGGGAATGTCCGCCTTCATCGTGGAGAAGACCACGGAGGGCTTCTCGTGCGCGCGCAAGCTCGACAAGCTTGGAATGCGTGGATCGAATACTGGAGAGCTCGTCTTTGACAATGTGTTTGTCCCCAAGGAGAATCTTCTTGGAGAATTGAACAAGGGTGTTAGGGTTCTTATGGAAGGTCTTGATCTGGAGCGTCTGGTTCTCAGCGCTGGTCCACTAGGGTAAGCTTTTCTTTTCTTGTCTTTTTTTTTTTTTTTTTTTTCTTTATTCATTACGTTTGGTACCCAATTATCTACAAAGAACTTTTTTTTTAAGCTAAACAATCATCTCAGAATCATGCAAGCCGCTCTCGATCTTGTGCTCCCATACACCCACACCCGCAAGCAGTTCGGAATCCCCATTGCCCACAACCAGTTAATCCAAGGGAAGTTGGCGGATATGTATACCAAGCTCGCGGCATCGCGCGCTTATACCTATGCAACGGCACGTCACATTGACAACTCCGCGTCCCTGGCTGAAGTGTCTATTCGCACGCAGGATTGTGCAGGTGCCATTCTATATGCTGCCGAGAGAGCCACTGAATGCGCGCTGGACGCCATCCAACTTATGGGTGGAAATGGTTATATCAATGAGATCCCCGCTGGCCGGTTGCTCCGGGATGCGAAACTGTATGAGATCGGGGCAGGCACCAGTGAGATCCGAAGGATGGTGATTGGGCGTGCTTTTAACAAAGAATATGCTTCATAGACAGATAGTATGGATGTCGCTAGGACGGTGGTATAGGAAATGAACAAGTTCAATTAAAACGTTCCACCTGATTCATGAACGGCGGTAATACATAAATATATACTCATAACTGGAAAATGTAAGGAGCAGTCTCCGACTTTTGATGTGAGAACCCATCACTTCTGGTTTGCCTTCTGTCTGGTTGAACTTCGTGTTTGAGCAGGTAATGCCCCTCTGCCGGGTTTGTCTACGACATGGTTCTGGGGCTTCAATCGCTTCGAATGATCCACGGCCTTGTCCGGTCCTTCTCCGACAGACTCAGATGCCTTGCGTTTTCTGTTCCCCTTGGCGGGAGAGAGAGGCTGGTCGACCTCATTCGCCGAATCACCCATTTCCAGATCATCCAATTTTAGCCTGTCGTGGGCTATTTCAAGCACCGTGGAGGCTGAATCAATCACCTTGGCGATATGCGGCGGAGCCGGCGACTCAGCGTCCAGAGGAGTCGAACTCAGTGTATTGTCGGAACCAGCATCCGTCTCGCGGAGGGCATCCAGCGACGTGATACCGGACGTGGAGTCGGAGCTGTCCTCTTTCTGGGCTTCCCTCTGCAGGAGATCGTCGATGATGCGTGGCCGGCTGCGGTCCGTGTCCGACGCGAGATGACCCATCTTCCGCAACCGCAGCCGATCAATCACAGGATGCGAGTTCCGGAACACTTCGCGCCAGTTCTTCAGCAAGGCCACTTTCTCGCCATCGCCTGGCTCGTAGAAGTCAACGGAATCCTTCTCATCGCCTAAGGTTCGCCACACCACAGCTTGGAAGGAGGTATGGTCCGTTTTCACGCGCGGAAGGTCTCCGGCGACGACTTGGCGTGATGGTTGGCGTACTAGAGATTTCTGTGTTTGTGCAGCGCCGTTCTCGTTGCTCTTGATGGCATTCAGGACTCGTCGTCTCCGTTCCTCCGTGGGGTCATCATCGTAGTAATCGTCGGACATTTCGTCCCAGTCGCTGTAGATATCCTCTACGTCGAGGGAAGGGTCGTCGAAGTACAGCGCATCGTATGTAGTGGCTTCGGCTAGGTCATCCTACATCAGGCATTTGGTTAGCGCAATTCTGCCTCGAGAGATATCGGGGCAGATAGACTAACAGCGAGGGTCGGATCTGGCTCCTCAATCCAAAAGATGTCCTCGTCGTCATACTCCCATTCATCGTCGGACATATTGCAAGGGCGTAGCGTAGAGAGATTCCAAGCGCAGGTACGACACGAATCCGCAGTTTTATAAATCGCTCCGTTTGAACGAGAGTAGGCTGGCTCGAGGCTTCCGAATTCAGGTGAATCAAGGCTGTGGAGAGCAGAGATTTTTTGCGTCGATCTATCGGCTTCAAGAGCAAAGAGGAAACCCAATTTCTGTGTTCGACAAGCACAATACAATTAGTATCTATCATGCAAACCCGTGTATCGATAAATCCAACAACACAAAGTCGAAAAAAAGCTCCCACGGTGACGTCGTGCTCTGTGGCTGTTCGCGGTTGCTCACCACGACCGGGAAAAGAAACTTGGCCGAGTCCCAGGCGATGATCACGTGCGTGGATTTCCCCGCAGTTTCGCTTTGCGTCGGCACAAGGGGGTCGGGGTTATCATGGCTGCAAGATGAGCAGCGCCAGCAAGTCTTCACCCTTTTTTTTTTTTTCTCTTAAGACTGGTTGAACTGGCCGATAGCTCTGGGAAGCTACGTATTACCTGGCTTTGGGAGGTTATGCTGAGTGTTCTTCTTCCCTACGCATCATCGGTATAGGCTGTGAAGCAGCAGCAATCGTCACAATGGCACTCTCATCACTTCTCCGCATTACTTCCCGCATGGGGCCCGCGGCAACTCGAAGGTCCAGAAGAGCAGCATCCACCATTTCCAGTACTCAGGAACCGCAAAGAAAGCTCGATTCGGTGCTTATTGCCAACAGAGGCGAGATAGCTTTGTATGTCAAATTGCGCTATTATAAGGTATCATACTGCTGCTAACAGCTCTCGGTAGACGGGTTGGGCGGACCGCCTCACAGTACGGAATTCGGGTGACGACGTTATACACTGATCCCGACCGTCGAGCACAGCACGCCTTGAGCTCCCCATTTTCATTCAACCTGGGGTCGGTTTCTGCATACCTCGATGGCGATCGAATTATTGAGATTGCGAAGCGGGAAGGATGCCAGGCGATACATCCCGGTTACGGTTTTGTGGGTGACGACGATTCATGGAGCACGGTTACCTGACACTAACTGTGATCTTGATAGCTGAGCGAGAACTCGGAATTTGCGCGAAAATGTACAGAAGCCGGTCTAGTGTTTATTGGTCCCCCATGGAAGGCTATCGAGGATATGGGCGACAAAAGGTATGCTCTTCTCTGTGGCTAAAAACAAACGCTACATCATGTTAATGGCCATGCAGCCAATCGAAGAAGATCATGACTGCCGCAGGAGTACCTTGCGTTCCTGGCTACCACGGTTCTAACCAAGACGTGAACTTCCTCGAGGCCGAAGCGGACAAGATCAAATACCCTGTGCTCATCAAAGCCGTCAAAGGAGGTGGTGGCAAGGGAATGCGTATTGCCAGCTCCAAAGCGGAGTTTCAGGCTCAATTGCAGTCTGCCAAATCGGAGGCCATGAACTCCTTCGGTGATGATCACGTCCTAGTTGAGAAGTACATTACAACGCCACGCCACATCGAAGTTCAGGTTTTTGCAGACAAGCACGGCAACTGTGTTGCACTTGGGGAGCGAGACTGCAGTATCCAGAGACGGCATCAGAAGATCTTGGAGGAGTCCCCAGCTCCTCACCTGCCCGATGTGACCAGAAAGGACATTTGGGCAAAGGCAAGGGCAGCGGCGCTGGCCGTGGGCTACGAGGGCGCCGGAACAGTAGAATTCATCTTTGACAACGATACTGGCGAGTTCTTCTTCATGGAGATGAACACTCGGCTGCAAGTGGAACATCCCGTTACCGAGATGGTCACCGGCCAGGACCTGGTCCACTGGCAGATCAAAGTCGCAGAAGGCGCCCCTTTGCCGTTGACACAGGAGCAAGTGGAGGCCGAGATAGCCAACCGTGGTCACGCTATTGAGGCTAGAATCTACGCGGAGAATCCCGACCAGGGCTTCATTCCCGATTCCGGTACACTCCTGCATGTCCGCACTCCAGCGACTTCCGATGACATCAGAATAGACGCAGGCTTCGTCGCAGGAGATGAAGTCTCTGCTCATTATGACCCTATGATCGCGAAATTAATTGTTCGGGGCGCCAACCGACAGGAGGCGATCCGCAAGCTGGCTGCCGCTCTAGAAGAGTACGAGGTTGCAGGACCGATTACCAACATTGAGTTCTTGAAGTCCGTCTGCCGAAGCCCGGATTTCATTGCGGGCGAGGTGGAGACTGGATACATTGAGAAGCACCGCGACGAGCTGTTCACCAAGGATGCAGTCGCCGACGAAGTGCTTGCACAAGTAGCACTGGCTTGTCTCCATCACAACAACGAGCCTGCCTCCCGAACGCAAGCAAATTTTGAGGGCTCTGCCGTCGGTTTCGGCCCCAGCTACCAGACACGCGAAGTGACATTAGCCGAATCGACTCCCGGAGGAACGGATGGCGCAAAATTCAATGTTCGGGTTACGCAGACCGGCAACAACACGTTCGATGTTGATGTTGGTGGACGGGTATTCGAACAAGTGGTCAGTCATAGCACTCCGACCTCGAAAGTCGTGACATCGTTCTTCCCCCACACGCGACTGGATACCACGGTGGTACAAGACGGCGACTCTATCGTCGCGTTCCAGCGAGGTACTCAGTACCGTCTGACGATCCCACGATCCAAGTGGATGGATAAGGCATTGGGTATGAAGGATGTCGCGAACAGTGTTTTGGCTCCCATGCCGTGCAAGATTCTACGAGTGGAGGTGCAGGCCGGGGACGTGGTGGAAAAGGACCAACCCTTGGTGGTAATTGAGAGCATGAAGATGGAGACGATCATCCGAAGCCCGCAGAAGGGCACCATCTCCAGGGTGGTACATCAAGAAGGGGTGAGTCACATGGTTCTTTCTTTCTTTTTTTTTTTTTTTATACCGTTTGCTTTTTCTGTGCATTTATTGGCATTTTCCTTTGCTTTCCTTCCCCCCTTTTCTGCCAATCGCTCCTCTCTGTCCCAATTTGATCAATTACTTGATCTTCGGGGTACTTGACTTTTGATTGAATTAATCATGGCTTGGATTGCTGGTTGAATGTTTGGACTTTTGGAAGTTTGAGCGACGCCACAGCTGCCTGAGATGTGGTCGATGCACGGGCCCTCGTGTCAAGCCTTGATCTTTTGCGCTTCGAGGACTTTAAGAACTTGAATCAGCCAACTGACATGGATTTTATCTAGGACCAATGCAAGAGTGGCACACCTCTCGTCGAGTTTGCAGAAGAGGCTGCCGAGACATCGGGCTGATGACCTTGCTGTGGCCGGTGGGTGTTTGTATGATGAGATGATTGTGCTGAGATTTAGGCGTTGACATGAATAAATCAACAAGACAAGTTTTACTGATTATTTTATAGTTATCTTTATTGGGATTAGTGTCAGAATACCACTTGAACCTTTCACAGGGGTTTCCATTGTTCCATGTATATACGGAGTACAGGGTGGTTTGAGGGAGGTGGGAATAAGAGCAAGAGATTAAGAACTAGCTTGATACTGTCATATATTGATAGATTGATCCACTTTCATCCCCACATCTCCCCAAGTCTGGGACCCATGCCAGTATCTCATACAATTATTAGAGTACTACTCTGTAAGTACTAACAACTAACTATCAAGTAACCATAAATATTAAGACATGCCTGGAGATCTAGAAGGGGCCGTGTGCAAGTCACGCGGGAGCTGTTGGGAGGCGAGACTCCATTAGTGGCCTTGGACTGCAGTGACTGATCTGGAGGATCTCTATCTAACTAGGTACTATCTACTATGTACTGTAACTACCGAGAGTTTAGGTACTCTGAAGTCTCTTTATGTACTCTGTACTTAGGCACTGGAATGGAGTATGGGAGAAGAACCATGGACACCTCAGGTTACACTTTCCGGTTGGAAATCCAGAATTCCAGATGATGCTACAAACAGGAGTCTACGAATGGGAGACTTTCCTGCATGAGCATTCCATTGCATATCGTTATTATTATTATTATTATTATTATCGATCACGCTTCCAATTCTGCTGGTCTGACTTGTTCGTTCCTTCGGCTTTCCCTTTGTGGCCAGGTCGAGATTCACCGCATTTGTTGGAGATATACCGATCGCTTCGTTCCATTTACTTGTAGTCTTGTACCTTTGTAGTGAGTAACTCTCTCTCTGGCTATTCCTGCATTCCCCATAGATGAACCCCTTCTCCTCTATTTTGCCGCCGAGTCTCCAGTACAAAAGGGTTTAATGGACCCGAGGCTTCCCTTGTATTGACATTCCTTCTCTTCTCCCGATCCATACATCATCAATACTATATACTATCACTCTCCCTCGTACACTATCCTCAGTCTTTCGGTTGCACCAATCTACCTCCCCTCACAAACATAATGTTCAGCTCCACAGCTGCTCGCCAGGCCGCCAGAGCACTGCGTCAGAGCTCTCGCCCCGCGGCCTTTGCTGCTGCTCCTCCTCGCGCTTTCGTCTCTAGCACATTCTCCCGTCATCTCTCCTACACCATCCCTCGCGCGCAGAACGACAACAAGAAAGATCCGCTCATCTCGGCGACAACCAGCGCCCCCCAACGCGAGTCTGGTGAGCAGGAAGGTCGATTCGCTCGTACCGATGAGAGTGTCGTGATCGAATACCCCGATGACGCCGACATGCCTCGCACGCCCATCGTCCAAGGCCGCGGTGGAATGCACTTCAAACGAACTCTGGCCCAGTTCTCGTTAGAAAACAAGGTCAGCTTGGTCACAGGAGGTGCCCGTGGGTTGGGCTTGGTGATGGCCCAGGGACTTGTTGCATCGGGCTCTGATTTGGCCATTGTTGATCTAAACAGTAAGTCCGCACTGCCTGTGTTTACCGACGGTAGCAGACTGTTCGCTAATTCGGCGCCAGGAGAGGAGGCCGAGGAGCAGGCGGGAAAGATCATGGAGCAGTTCAAGAAGGAGAACCCCGGATTGGAGCAGTAAGTCGCTGGTCAAGTTCGATGGGGAGAACAGCACGCAGCTTCTAACCATACTTCTGTCATTTTCTACAGAATGCCCAACGTCACCGCCCATTATGCCGACGTGTCCAACCCTGACTCCGTGAATGCGGCCATTGAGGAAGTCCTCTCCAAGCACAACCAGATCGACCACTTGGTGACCTCGGCTGGCTTCACTGAGAACTTCGACGCCATCTCCTACCCATACGACCGCATCCAGAAACTCTGGGGTGTCAACGTTGACGGCACATACTTGTTCGCAACTGCTGTCGCCAAGCACCTGATGGAGCGCAAGGCTCCCGGCAGCATTGTCATGATCGGTAGCATGTCCGGCGCCATTGTCAACGTCCCTCAGCCCCAAGCTCCCTACAACGCGGCCAAGGCTGCTGTTCGTCATCTGGCCGCCTCTCTCGCCGTGGAGTGGGCTGCTCACAATATCCGGGTCAACTGCATCAGCCCCGGCTATATGTTGACTGCCTTGTAAGTCACATGGCCCCTACAATTCAGAGCTACAGACTGATATCAAATTTCTTCCCCAGGACTCGCAAGATCCTTGACGAGAACCCTGACCTCAGAGATAAGTGGATCTCGCTAATCCCCGCCGGAAAGATGGGCACTCCCGAAGACCTCATGGGTGCCGTCACTTTCCTCCTCAGCGATGCCTCCAAGTACATCACCGGTGCCGATCTCCGTGTTGACGGAGGCTACACCCTGACCTAAGCTGCAAGATAATATCTCTTGTATCTTTGACTTTAAAAAAAATAACTTTTCTCACGATGTCATGTACGGGACTTACTTTCGGGCTGCTGGATAGATTTCTTTTGAGTTTTTCTTTTCCCATCTCCCTCGGCAGCGGTTTGTTCTGAGATGCCACTTGTTGGCCGGTCTGATTCTATTCTGATGCAGTATTTAACCCATCGTGTGATATTACAGAAGGTTTCTGATAGGTGTACTTTTTTTTTTCTTTCTTTTTCTCTTCTATGTTGTTATATTTCAAGCGCAAAAACGGGATCATGCATGCTTTTCTCCCCTTCATTATCAGCAGCAAGCAAAATCATTTGTTAGGTATCGGTCGCATACTATGGGATAGACGCGTTGCTTCGATCTTTCTATCTTTTTACTCCTTTCTTTCTGATCTATCGTCAAAGGGCCCATATCATGATGTCATGGACATACCCTTATATTAGATATTAAATCCTTGATTGTCTCAATCTTGCGGTGAAAGGGTTCCTCAGGACAACTGTCCTGTCATGGCGTTTATCCACCTTCGAGGTGGCGGTGTCAGTGGTTCCGCTGCTGCAGCAGCAGCAGCATTGTGCCGACAGGAGGCGAAGCTGACGGTGTGATGTGCCGAGTGCGTTGCAGGTGGTTGGAGGGACTTATATCTGCAATCATGCAATGCAATGCGTCTGGAGTGGAAGATGTATGTCTGGTGAAGGGAGTTATCACTTAGCACACCGGCCCAAGGATATGAAAATTCGTAGATTTCTATCTCATCGGCACTCGCAAACAATCTAATAGGGATATCAATGATTCGCTCTAACCACACCGTGCAACCAAAAAAAAAAATGGCGAGGTTACTTTGTTTTTTATACACCAAAAATGGACAAATGATACAAGCTAAAGGAAAATGAAATGGTTCTACGCCTTGGAGATCTCCTTCTTCACCCACTTCTCCAGGCCGCCCTGTGCGATGATGTCCTGCAGGTTCGGAGGGAGAGCAGGCACGCTCTGCGTCCAGGTCTCGCCGCCGGGTCCCTCCTGGACGGTGACCTGCGAGGTGCGCACGTTCCAGGTGAAAGACCAGCCGGTGCGGCGGGTGGGCTGCTTGTCGTTGCCGAAGGCCTCGCGGAGGCGCTCGACGAGGCGGGGCATCTCGAGGAGCGGGAGGGCGTTGTTGACGGCGTTGCGGCTGAAGGTGTTGCCGATGCTGCCGCAGACGACCAGAGGGAGTTGCTTGGCGAGGATGGAGGTGGCGGCCTGCTCGCGGGAGGAGCCGCAGCCGAAGTTGAAGCCGGAGACGAAGATGTCTATATTTTGCAGTTAGTATTTTGCAGATAGGAAAGGCAAGGGAACATACCGCCAGCGCGGGCAACGTTGTTAAAGGCTGGATCGTAGTTCTCCATGCAGACCTGCGCCATCTTCTCCTTGCTGACATCGTCTTGGTAGGTATATTTGCCTGTGGTTGTTAGCGGATTCATCCCGAGGGGGAAAATACCAGATGTCCTTACCAGGGTAGATGCCATCAGTGCTGATGTTGTCGGCATCGAGGAAGAGGATCTCGCCCTCGACCTTCTCCGGGAAGCCAGGGACAATGTCGATTTCAGTGGTTTCGCTGGTCGACTCTTCCGGCATCACAGCCTTGCTGGACGACTCGATCATGCTGTCCAACTGTCCAAGGAACTTCTCCATGGTCTCCAGAGTCGTGTCGATGCGGTTGCCAGACTCAACGACCTCGCCTTCTCCTAGCGAGACGCCGGACCAGTCCTCGGGACGCTTGTAGATACCGGGGCCACTGATGATACCGTTCACTGAAATTATGTTAGTATCATTCTCATGGAGAGTTGTTTCCAATAATCGAAACTGAATCCCAGATGACGACTTACGGGCACTGGCGGCAACGACCTCGGGGCTGGCCAGATAAGCCTTGGCATCCGGCGAACCCATTCTACCCTTGAAGTTCCGATTGCTGGCGGAAATACCAATCTCGCCGTCTTTGAGAAGACCAGCACCCAGACCGATGCAGACGGCGCAGCCCGCAGGAAGGGCAATAGCGCCGGCATCCAACAGCGCCTGCCAGTCGCCAGCCTGCACTGCAATCTTCTGCTCAGCCTTGGAGGCCGCGGCAACGTAGAACTCGACACCCTCGGCAATCTTCACTGGACCACCGGTCCTCGCCGCAGCGTCCTTGAACACCTTGGCCGCGGCCGCAATATCCGACGCTCTCGAGTTGGTGCAAGAAACCAGGTAGGCCTTGTTGACCTTCAACTTCTGCTGCGCTAATTCGTCGACGGGAGTGGCAACCTTGACCGAGTTGGGTCCCGAAACGTAAGGGGAGAGGGTTGACAGATCCAGGTACAGATACTTGGCATACTTGGCGCCCCGGTCCGCAACGGTGGGGTTAGCGAACAATTCGTTGATGCGCTCCTCGGCAAATCGTCGCGCGGTCTCCGAGCGGCTTGCCGTGGTGGCCTTGTTGCGTAGCCATTGTTCCAGAGTCGAATCGATGGGGAACAGACCAGTCAACGCACCCCACTCGGTAGTCATGTTGGCAATGGTCAGACGAGTGTCGACCGAGAGACTCTTCATGGTCTCCTCTGAGCCAGTGAACTCAATGGCGTAGTTGAGCACCTCGTCCTTGTTGAAGAGACCCGACAGAGCAACGATGACGTCCTTACCAGTGACACCCTCAGGCAGGGTGCCGGTGAACTGAACCTTGGCGATGGGGGGAACCTTCCACCAGGTACGGCCGGTAGCCCAGATGGTGGCGGCATCGGTGCGGACCATGGGGGTCCCCAGACATCCCACACCACCGTACATGTTGGAGTGACTGTCACTGGCCACGGTAACCGTGCCAGGGAAGGCATAACCCTCCTCAATCATGATCTGGTGACCAACACCGTGACCGGCGGGGTAGAAGTCCACCCCATGCTTGTCGGCAAACTGCTCGATCTGTTCATACTTCTTGAGGTTTTTCTCGCTCTTGTTCTGGACATCGTGGTCGAGGGTCATGACAATCTGGTCGGGGTTATGGATCTTAGAGGCGCCAATGGCCATGAATTTAAGTGCGGTAGGCCATGAGTTGTCGTGCGTCATGCAACGATGGGGGCTCAGCATCACGTAGTCGCCGGCCTTGACATATTGACCATCCTTCAGGCCCAGAGAGTATGCTTGTACAATCTTCTCGGTAAGAGTCTGGGGTACGCGGGGAGCGGCATCGGGCGAAGGCCGGGTCGAAGGCGAGACCGGGGTTTGGGTTGTTGCGGAGGAAGAGGCTTCAGCGTTCCGGAGACGGGAGGTAGTGAGAAAGGGACGAGAGCGAGGCAAAGACCGGGGAGCAGATGAGGTCGAGACTGCGATCAAGGGCCGACCGATAACCGGGGCGCGTGATGCCCTGCACCGAAGCAGCAAAGATCCGGTGCGTTTCTGGAGCGAGTCAGATCGAGTTGAAACTGTGAGGATGAACTGGTGGGGAGAGACATACAAGCATTGGGACAGAACTCAATAATATACAATTTAGAAGGGGGCCAAAAAGAAACAATAAGAGGTATCTCCAAGAGAAAACGGAGAAGAACCAAAAAGGGAAAAAGTTGAGTCTAGTATGAATTGACTGGGAATAATTTCATTTTCCTCCTCCGAACCGATGCCGGACGCATAACAATTATCCTCCTTAGTAATCCGGGGATTCTGAATAATCACAAATCCACACCCGCTGGTTCGTCCATTAGTATATACTACTATGGGGTATATCAACAACTATCAATAGCTTCATGGTCCTCCCAGTCAACTGTCTCTTTCTTTTTTACATCTGTTCTTCGCTTTTCTTCTTCTCCTTCTGCCACAAGGGGATTGATATCACATTGGCGAGAGACTAGCAATGCATGGACTTCTGTCCGGGTTTCCCCCCGAATCCTCCGACACATGAAGAATCGCATACTTCCCTCGATGAGGTTCCGCTGATGACACTTTTTGACGCCGTCCTTGTTAATCCCTCAATCATCCCAACAGCTGATTGAGGATCTTCTTCTTTGTTTTTTTGCTCGATAGTAGGATTACGGCTGCCGATCTTCCATATTCAAGTATCTCCGATGGCTCGTTTCTTCTTTTCCAGCTTGTTCATTCGTGGCGCTCTCCGATGCCTTCTCCTGACGCCCTTCCCTTTGATAGTCACCCAAATGCTTCAATACTACCCAGTTGGAATATCTGACAGTAATCTTCGCAATCTTGGTCGTATCTGCTCAGTATCTTGTTCGTCAGAGTCGTTATCGTATCTGCCTCGTGGCTGATCTTTCTTGCTGTCATCCCCAAGCTATTCAGGTTTCCCTGGCCACTGCATGTAGTTAACAATATATAAAAAAAAAGGATCAATCCCAGGGGCATTTTAATGCCTCGTAGGTCCAACTTGGGAGTCTTCCAGTGTTACAATCAAAGCCTCACTGCTCTGTCTCCCGGTATATCAGCGTCTTACTCAGAAGTCTTCCCTTGCAGCGAGATAGCCTCAGAGACCATCCATTATCTACCGGGCAATTCTTCTTGTCTCTTGTCTGCATTCCCAATTGGTTTGCAGATTTTTTTTTGGTTCTTGTGATCTTGATCTTGGTTTCTGTATGATTCTATTGATTGATCTTCTGGATCTCAAGTCCAACCTCGCTCACTTCTGGCGTTTGTCAACCCCCCCAAGTCACAGCTTTTGTTCCCTTCACTATTCACCGCTAGACTTGGTCTCATAGCCTCACCTGGGTTTGCAACCGTGTCTTGCATGACGTTGCTCCTCTCTTTCTAGATTTCTGGTTGTGACTATCTAGTTTTGCCTCTCCCAGTCCTGCTCTTGGTGTTGACATACACTCTTCTCTCATCGATTATTTCTGGCTATGTAGGAACTTCAAAGAAGAGTCTCACCTGATTACTTTGCACACTCTTCAACAGTTCTTTAAAGACATACTCCACCATGGAGCAGCTCCCTGAAGGGCTACTGTCGACTGCAGCTCGTGTTCCTTTGGTGATGGATGACTCGATGCCAGTGGATGTCCTCGACATTACGTCTTTATGGAAAGGTATACTCTCCTTGCGACTTCATACAATCCAGCTTGGATTCGTGCTGACTTATCTGGCTTCGAGCAGCCTACAGCGTCAAACCCTCAGCACTTGATGGCAATCTTGGATACAGACTCGAGAACTTCTTTTGGAGAATTGGGAGCAATGACTGCCTTCGCGATTCTCTACCTGGTGCAGCTGTGGCCAAGTTGTTTATGCGCATTTCAGAATCCAGTGTCCCCAAAACCCTCGAGTTGCAAGACCAGGTTTGCGTGCAGGAATCCTCCAGTGTCTACGTTCCACTAATCCGAAGACCAAGACCTTGTCGAACCAGGATATGGCCATACGAAAGAACAAGAGTGAAGAGCAACTATCACTTCAGCGCGACGCGCCACCAGATCAAGGACCGCCTCTTCACTCTATTCTAAAGAAACCTAACACAGCTCCAAAAGACACGACTAATTCAGCCCGCTTACTTGTAGCAGGAGATGATCGCCCGGCTGCGCCAGTCTCGCCTGTGAAAGATGTCTCGATTAGCCGCCACAGCCACAAGAAGACACACTTTGTCACAGGCAAGGCAGCGAAGAGCTCAAAGCGACGTCCTGTGATCACGCGTCGCAAATCATCGCAGCCCAACATTTCCACTAAAGCTGTCCACTCTCAGAGCCCTAAGCGTATGCTGTCTTCGAGAAAGGCCCCAAAGCACGTCAGACCAGAGGACGAGGACGAAGATGAAGACGAGGAACGCTTATGGAGTATCTCTCGGTGTTCGTCTCCAGATCTGGAAGGTAAGCAAGACTTGAAACTCGATGGACACTCCGACGCAGTCGCCTTGATGACGTCTGGCTGATCGTTGGAGCAGACTGCATGGCCCTTCCTCAACACATCGCAGATCGACAACCAGAGAAACCACGAGAGCTGCCAGAGGAGTTCGTGACGAACCTCAAAGTCCTCCTCAGCCTGCGACCACGCAAGGCCAGCTGGAAGACAGCTCCTCTCACCATGGGATTCCGGTCCCAAGTTCCCAACCGTTTTCGCGACATCCGTTATCTTTACATACAGAACTACATGCCACGGCCACCGTCCATCGTCAATGCCGAGTTCCGCGCCCACTTTCTGGAGAAGATGCGCGAGGAACAGGTCGAGCTAGCCTCCCTCCTGGACAAAGAAAAGCTTCAGCAGCAGCAGCAGCAATCTTTCAACACCGAGGGCACCAGCCCTGATCCAACCGACTTCTCAGGCACATTTGGTGTGTTGAATAGTGACGCATCCACCGCACCTACTACTACGCCACACATGTCGATACCGGGCCAGTTCTGTGGTAATCCAATTGGGTTGGACAACGGGTTCCTCGACGTCTCAGGTGGGATACCCCGGTCCTTCTTCCACCACACGCCGCTGCCGTTGCCCCGTTTGTCGAGCCAGCTGGGCATGATGATCGAGGAGAGCCGTCGGAGTAACTCCCTCGAGTACCACAGGCCAGACCCGAGCGAAACCATAGGACCACAGAGACTGAGCCGCAGCTATATCGATACGCTGGTCGAGTGGAACATCAAGTGGTTGCCGTCTACTCCGAGCTCGTGGGGTTCCTGAATTCGTGCTGGGGGCGTGGATCTTACGATATGGCATGACAGACTGCAAGGTTAGCATGGCGTTACTCGTCGAGCTGTACAAAGCATGGATTTGGGCACTTCAAACGGATATGTATTTGTATGTACAGGGTTGGGGGCGTTTTGATGATAGAGTATTTGGGATATGACACTTTTCATTAATAATTCCATCCGTGCCCGTCCTATCCCTCACCACCAGAATAACGCCTCGAGTAATATGCAAAACACGCAAGTAGGACAATCATACACCCACCCAGACCGACAACTCACTCCTCTTCCCTTTCCCTCTTCCTCTTCCTCTTCCTCTCAATCCTCCACCCCATCTCAATTCACCAGCATGCATCTCAAACCACAACCCCCTTCTCAACATCCTCCTCCTTCACTCCCCTCTCCCCCTTCACCCCCTTCCACCACCTCATCCCCGCCCACACCATCGTCCCAACCCACAGCCCCAAATTCACCAGATCAACCCACACTGCATGCCGCATACGCTTCACCCCGTCGCCCTCCGTATACACCCCGATATACATCTTCCCAAAGATCCCAAACAGCGTCAGCCACAGCACACACATGACCGCCTCCCAGACAAACAGCGGGAGGTGCAAGCCGGCCCGCTGCGCCAGCGGCACCCGCCCCTTCATCACAAACGGCAAGACCAAGTAAATCAGCGCGGTGGCGCAGGCCAGGAAGCCCGTGACGACGGCGTAGACCCAGGCGGGCGGGTGGCGGCCGTGCAGGTCCTGCGCGTAGAGGCCGATGACGGCCAGCCCGAAGGCGAACTGGATGAAGCGGAGGAGCGTCTCGAGGAGGGGTTTGAGGGGGTTGCGTGCGGTGGTGGAGTCGGGCATGGCGTGGGCGCGGGCGGTTGTGGAGAGATCGATATTGGAGTCGGGGTCGGAGTCTGCGTTGGCGCCGTTTTTCTTTGCTTTGTGCTTCTTGGCTTCTTTGACGCCGACGCGGAGGAGCTTGAAGATGGCGAACCACATTTTTGGGTATTAGGTTGCTTTGGGTGTGTTGTAATTGCTATACCCCGGTTCTGGTTTGAGGTGTGTAGTGTGTAGGATTCCACGGGGATGTCAAGAGATAGAAGATGCAGATAGTAAAAGATGTGGATTTAGAAGCAGGATATTGCGTCCAGCGCAAGCAGATGCAAGAAGAAAGAAAGGTATTTCAAGGCCTCCAAGGAAGGATGGAGTATACCTCTAGATGCAGATGTTGTATACCAAACAATGAAGATGAACGAATGCGACCCCAAGTCTAGTAAAGTTCAATGATCAAAGATCAACATCAATGTCAAAAGAGAATGAGGATGAGAATGAGAATCCAAGACCAGACAAAGAAAGAAGGGAACAAGGAAAAGAATGATGTTTGAAGTGCTGCTGTTGTCCGAATACAATCACCCTCTCCCGTCCACCAGCCTTTATAGATCTCCTCATTCTTCTATCTTAGTGTTACCTACCTACACACATCTCTTTGTCCTCCGACAAAATCCCAATCAGAACCACCTTCCGACCCTCTCATCCACCAGATCCATCCCGCCAAAGCTCAACTGAAACAGAAAGAGGAGAGAAACACAGCTTGTAACACGCCTGATGCCCCAAGCTCCAATTCTTCAGCTTCGCGCGCGGCTAAAATACCCCGACGACATCAAACACGCACTTCGCGGCCTAGGGGGGGGGGGTGGAATCCTCGTTTCAGGCACCGCAAGGATAGAGAGACGATCAACGGCTTATTGGCCGCGGTCTCAGGATCCAAGAGGCGAGATTGAAATGGGCGGTTGTGCGGGTAAGCAAGCGAGTGAGCTGCTTGATTCAACTCGTTGCGGTTGCGGATCTTCATGCAGGAATGGCAATCGACTGGCTGGGAGGTCCTGCTGGCGGTCTATTTATGGACTCTGCACGGAAAGCTCAGTGGTTTTCACAGGATAAAAAATACACTCGCTCAATACATGATCATTATCAAAGTCTCGATGGTGGATTATGGGGTAAAGTGAAGTGAGGAAGAGCTGCTCGATGTATTCGACGACGCAGTGTTTATTGTGCTAACCAATGGCTGATATGGCAGGTATTCACATTCTCCATTCTCTCACTCTTGAGTCTTGACACTACTACTCTCACTGACCCTGCTGTTTGACTCCCAATCAATTCCCAGCAACCGACAATTTGTAGCGCCAACCCACAGTCCAATATGCAACCCGTCCTATGCTGCTTCCATTCCCCGTGAAACCAGATTCCAGAACACCTGATTTGCATCAACAATCCCTACTGATTCAAAATCGTCCGAAAATGCCTTTCCAACATGCGTACTAAAACGCTTGAGCCCTCTGCAACAAAAATAGAGCCCCAACAAGACTAACACATCCACTTAGATGAAAATGCCATTTACCTGCCGGAATCAATGCTTCATGATGCTGTCGTGATGTTCATCAAAATATGTAATTGGAGGGGGGATTTCATAAGGTGCACAACAAGACCAAAGGAAAATTGGCTAAAACTCAAATCAAGAAATCGACAAAGACCAGGGCAAATAACCAGAGGCAAAAAACAGTAACAACAGAAGGAAAAACACTAGCAACGACCGCTACCAGTGGGCAAGAGGACCATGGCAGCACCATCCGAACGGCCTCATGGAAAAGAACTGGTGACCAGGTCTCGTCCGTCATCAACTGCTCGAAGATTCCGTATGTGTCCTTTGCCCACACAGTCGTTCGAGCCCACTGTCAGGGTGGTCGAATGTTCGCCCCGTCGAGAACTGGTTTGGTGTCCGGTGGGGGAGACACCGCGGGAACCGGATGCCACGAAGCCGGCGGTGTCTTGAAGGCGTTGGGCGGCGCGGGAGGTGGCATGGGGATAGGCTCATCATCGTACTCATGTGGTAGATAATCGTCATCGTGGCCCCCATGCCCCCCGGCCGAAGAATGATCTACAGACGCGCGGTCGTACCCGGGATCATACACGGCTTGGTGTGCCGCGGCATTTTTCGCCGCGTTCTTGGTTGCCTTCTTGCTCTTGCGGCCTTTCATCTTGGCTTTTTCCAGCAATCTTTTCTTCTCGGCGAGTCGCTTTCGCTCCTTGCGATCTTTGATTTCATACTGTCGAATAAGAGCCTCGGGTGGCCGGCCAAAAATACTCTCGTACTCGCAGAATTCACAAATCCAGATATCGTCCAGACTCGGGGGATGGTGAAGATTGGTATATTGTTGCTGAATCTTGCGCTGACGAGCAGCTAGAGCATAGATACTTCCCGGCGAGCGCTTCTTCTTCCGGCCTGCGCCAGTCGAGTCGGCACCAGGAGCTCCCTGCTGCGGTAGCGGCGGTTGCTGCTGCTGCTGCTGCTGTAGATGTCCTTGTTGGTCTACCTGTGCATTCATACTCGGGCTTGTCTGGGTTCCTTGCGTAGCGAATCCTCGTTGAATCTGGGCCGCTGCGGTAAGGGGAACGGACGATCGGTGCTGTGGTGGGTACAGATGCTGTGCCTGCATCGCCATGCCTTTTGACGAGTCGGATTCACAGGTAAACGTGAACTGGGTCTTGGTGGGTGTTTGCTGCTGTTCAAGCAGACTAGTGTTGCTGGGGCCGCGAAGAGGGGACGAAAATGTCGCAGCGTTCGCTATGGCGGCGGAGATGATTCCCTGGTCAGGCTTTGCAGTGGGATCGCCTGAACACCGAGTTAGCGGGGGCCGACCATGAAGGATGGAGGGGAAGGGATGAGAAGTACCAGCGGGTGCCGATGTTGATAACATGCCCTCGCGACGACCTGCTGCTCGGCCGGTTGGCCAGCCGACCTGAGAATGGATTGACACAGGGTTCCTCGAGGCGCCACTGCGAGAGGGATGGCGCCCCAGACGACCCCTACCGGGACCGGAGATACCATTGAGTATGGGAGATGCCGGGCTGCCGGTTCCGTAATATGTACCAACGTTGCCGAGTTCACTGGGGGCGTTTGACGATGCCTGGGCAGAATTGGCCAGACCCATATTCGAAAATTCGGGAGAAAGGGTAGAATGATGGCCGCCTAGGCTACCGGGAGTGGGAATCTTGCGCTTCTTCTTGTTGTTAGTGTTCTCAAAGGCATCGTACCCGTCGGGACCCGCCGAGGATGACTTGATCTGCGACTCCTCAACCTTGTTGGCACTTGCGTGCGGCTGAACGCTAGAGGCAGACGACGATAGTGATGATCCGCGAAAACCAGCACTTCGACGAACAACTACGGGACCATTTTCGTCACCACTTTCCAAGTCAATGCCGTTCTCATAAGGAAGATGAGCGTCTCGTTCGCAAGGCTGAGCGAGTGCATCTGCATCCAGGCTCTGCTGCACGTAGACCTTGGTGTCGTTGACGACTTCGGCGTGATCGAGCGAGGTCCCGTAGAACAGCTGAGTCGCGGGAGGAGCGAGAGGGTAAAGGATAGAGTCGGCAGCCTCGGTGGACAGGCGAGAGCGCAGGGTCCGTTTGGGAAGGGGCCGGATCAGCCTGTCCGGATAAACAGGCGACGGTGTATCTGGAGCGGAATTATACATCCCATCTGCAGGCGGACAGAATCAGCAACTGAGCTTTAGCTGACAGCAGATTCTCGCTTCTCCTGGAACTCGCCATCCGGCTGGTTCTGCAATCGCATGTTTGAGACGTCCAGAAGAGAAGACACCCTTGGTGAGAAGAACATACTCAACGTAGCAGTCATCGTCATGCAAGTATCTCCAGCTCTATCACCCTCCACAACCACAGCCGAATGGCGCTTTTTTTTTTTCTTTCCCTTTCTTTCCTTTCCCCCCTTCTGTCCCCTGAATCACCCTGCCCCACAATCAAATATTGAAGTTGGTTTAGAAACCGAAGCCGCAGGAACCCTTTTATTTCGGGTTGTTATTTGTTTCCCCCCCCCTCGTTGACCTCTTCAAGATCACACGGATCACAGGGTATCACCAATCACAAAACTATGGCTTTTTCCACGTGGTGCTTCGAAGGACGCCGAGTCGGGAAAGAGAGAGGAGAGAGGGGTGTGGGATAAGAACGGAGAGGGAACCTAGACCGAACTGGTTTGGCACCCACAGTTAGTTGTCACTGCTAGCAGCCACCCGGGGAACATCCGAAAGTCTTTGAGCAAGAACCCCAAAGCTCTCGTCATTTGAGGGTATATTCCAGGAGCAAGTGCTGAAGACCGTAGATCCAACTTACGAAAAAGAAGTAACCATTAATCAGCACCGGAACCCCCCATGGAAAGATTTTGGAGAAATAGCCGAACAAGAAAAGACGTTCGGAAAGGATCCAGTACAGAGGAACCTGACAGTCACGAGGGTCTCGATACTGCAGAACGAACAAAGAGTTTCAGAGTTTCAGAGGAAGAACTTAGGAGGGCGGAATGAGCCAGTATAGACAAGATCAAAGGATGAGTAAACTATTGGGGGGGGGGAGTGGAATTGACCATCCAAGAGTATGATACAATCAAACAAGTTGATCGGAGTTGATAGGTGATCTTACTAAGGCGAGAGTCCCCGTTCGTTTAATGCTGCTTCCAGCTGCTACTACTACTACTGTCAGTCTGTCACTGTACTTGTGCCATTCTTCTTCCTCTGCTTACCGCCCTGGCCCGTTGTTGGTGGGCTTTTTTTTTTTTTTCTGCCTTTCCTGGTGCCTTTATGCCTGAAGCCTAAGGCTACAACTATGAAACCAAGGCCTGAGGCTACCAGGAGACTACTCATCCATTTTCATTCAGAAAACAGTGCTTCAAAGTGAACACTTGATACTGATAGGAGTGCCTGGGTACTGCCCAAGGTAATAATAGAAGTACCAGGGCATTCTCTTTGTTTCGGTCATTGTACTTCGAGTGTTCTCCCTGTGAAATCCAGCCATGGCAACAGCTTGGCTACGCGCAACTTAGCGGCAGAGCTTCGAGTTTGGCTGATGTCTACGAAGACGCTCTACTGTATACCTTCCTCCTGGGAAAGCTATGAGCTGAGCGGGTGTCAGGTACAATCCTGCATGTGCAGTTCAGAGGAAAGTCGTTGCGCATTGATCGCCTGCGACAAGTGTGTTCTCAATTCCAGACCTGTATGATGACAACATCTGCAAGGATTAGCTGAGCTCGACTCTGGACGGCGTAGATCTCTTCGTAGGTTTCTCTTGCGACGATTCCGCAGTACTATCAAGGTTGTCTAGAAGGTCAATGTGATCGAACCCATTTGCTTTCTATTTCCAACGGGATGCTTTATGAAAAAGGCACGACACGGAGGATGAGGACGGACGGTCATGGATCGCGATAAGCGGGGGTCTTTTTCTGGGTGGAAGAATGGACGGGAGGTATGGACAATACGATGCCATCATCAGGATTTGTACAACCCACGAGAAAGGGAATCTGCGAAAATTCAGATCAGACAGAGATGTCAGTGAAGGCTAGTAATACTAACAACCACCGCCGTCCTCATCAATCCTCAATGTCACTGTCGACGTTTCTTTTGCTTTGACCAGGAAAGCGGCGAGCGGGGAAAAGGCGGTTGAGAGAGAGAAAAAACCCGCTTTCGGTCGGAGCGATTATTATTATTATTATTATTATTATTAACAGCAGTGGTTCCTGCTAACTAATACTAATGGATTATTACCAGCAACAGTACTGGCAAGATATCACTGCTTTCTCTCTCTCTCTCTCTCTCTCTCTCTCTCTTCTTCCCAGACTCTCAAACTCACCTCTTGCTCCTCCCCACCCTCCCTGGTGAAAATCTGCAGACTATGTAGTCCTCGGCCCATTATCTTTTTCTTTTTTCTTTTTGGATTGTCTCGTCCGTGTGTCTCAATTGCCAGCTTCCATTCTCTCCATCTTGCCGGTCTTCTCTGGGCTCTCGTTTTTTCCCCTTCTGTACGAGTCGTTGCGTTCCCGAATCTCGCAAGCTTCTTCGTCTACGTGCGACAGCTCGCTCATGGGCCGTCTTTGCTGACAATCCGGCCTTAGTTTGCTCTTTATTCTTATTATATTCCCAATTTTTGTTTCATTCTCTTCGCCAGGAGTTATCAACTTTATCTTTACCTTGCCATTGCAGTCCTCTCCACCATGACTCCCCGTCGGTCCTCTCGTGCCCGCACCTCCCAACCGTCCCCGGCCATTCTCCAGCATACGAATTCCTCCAGCTCCTCAAACTCCTTGACTCGAGAAAGAAGCACCCGATCGAATCATAAAATCTCTTCTCCCCAACGATCTTCCACCCAGCGGTCCCAGTCCATCGACGATGCCGACAGTGGCACGAGAAGCGACTACCCACAGACGCGGCAGCGCCAGCGCGCTCGAGGAGAAGATGAGAATGGACAGCAACTGAGACTAAATGGGGAAGAAGAAGACGAGGATGATGAAGGAGAAGGAGATGAAGAAGAAGAGATCACCAGATGTCTCTGTGGGCAGCAGGAATACCCAGGCTTGCCTCCCTCTCGTCGGGAGGCACTCGGTCGCAACGGGTTGGCTGCCGGCTTCAAGGACGAAAATGCCTTGAACATCTCCACACAATCATCCGATCTGATGTCCGACGACATTGGCAGCATGTTCATCCAATGTGACTCCTGCAAGGTCTGGCAACACGGCGGCTGTGTGGGTATCATGGACGAGGCCATGAGCCCCGACGAGTACTTTTGCGAGGAGTGTCGGAAGGATCTTCACAGAATAGAAAATGAGCCCAATGGGTAGGTCACTGATGCTTCTCTTTTCTTCAACCCTTTACCTTCAGAGCTGCCCTCTACTCTTCTTGGTGCGCTGCTTCTGCTTCGCCTCTTCACTAATTGAGAGATACCGTCACGGTGCCTGTTCAACTGGCTGGGGCTGAATTCGTTAGCATACTCATCCCATGGCTTTAAGTTTTCGCCAGTTGCCTCCTGCAAACATCCGTTTATCATGTGGCCATCATGCTAACGATCTCATAGTCAATATTCCTCACAGTACCTACCTGTCGTCCCGGAACCGTCTTCCGCCGCAACATCTCGCGATTCATCGCGAGATAACTCTCGACGCGCGAAAGATTCCAGGTCCCGCCAGAGCGAGTCCCTCACCAACCCAAAACGAAGGTCGACGATGAATAGCCGCGACGCTGCGTACGACGAAGAGGAGCAGCTTCGTCGAGCAATCGAGGAAAGTAAGGAAGATAACACCCAAACTGCCGCCGAGGACCCTGCTGGACGACGCGCAAAGAGAAGTCGAAGCGACAGTGAGGCGTAAGTCCTTCCCAACCTTGGCCCTTGTACAAGATGGTCCATCCGGGCGCTGACTTTGTCCATTTCATCCAGCCACAAACAAGTCGCGAAGCGGCCGCGCACGAGCTCACCTTCTCCAACCACTGTTCTGGAACCCAATGATCCCGAATCTCAGGTACCCTCAGAAGACGAATCAACAACAAAAACAAATGGCAATGGTGATAAACACCCCACAGCGGCTTCTCGAAACCAGCGCGAAAGGGAAGCAAAGAACACAGAAGAGCCTGAAACGGAGCCTCAAGATACTGCGAATCACAAGAAAGTGAGACCAGAAAGACGGAAGGGTGAAGGTATGGACTTATAAGCCCATCTCTTATCTGTTTGGCTTAGGCATCTGGCTTCTCGAGACTAACCCGCTTTTACAGGCGCCGACTCTGACCATGAGATGGGTTCCCCGACAAAACCAGCTGTCGAAGAGGTGGTAGAACCTCCACAGCCCAGCCCCGAAACCACTGTGCCGGTCCCCGAACCTGCGCCCGTTCGTCCACCCACCCGCAAGTCCGGTCGCCCACCTGCACGCCGTGGAGGCCGGGTTGGGCGTAATCAATACACAAGAGATCGGGATCTCAATGGGGCCGATCTGGGTTTCATGGGCAATTCCCCACGACGCGGGGGATCGCACGATATTGGCGGAGACTCGCCAAGAGTGGGTGGCATGAACGGGGCACATATGAACGTGGACTCGGGCAAACCGAGCAGACCGCGGTACATGAACCCACAGCGAACCACAATGAATGAGATGAAAAGACGGGTCGCGGGTATTCTTGAATTCATCTCACGCATGCAAGTCGAGATGGCGGTAGCCGGAGATTCTTCCCCTCCCGGAAACGGTGATGGGCCCAACGGCATACTTACCGTGTCGTTGGCTGATCAAAATGACCATCCTTCACACCCGTTGACTAACGGTGTGGAGTTAGGAGCAGCTATACTCGGCAGTGGAACGGATTCTATTCAGGCCCCCAAAGAGAAAGACTTCAGAGAAATGAGCAGCGTGGAGATGATGGATGTCCTCACGCGCCATCTGCTGAAATGGCAGCAGGAATATGGCAAGTTCGGGGAAAGGTGACATACCTTTCTAATCTCGTTCTTGTCTACTTATATCCAAGCGTCACCATCCCCAACATCATCTTATCTTTTCTCTTGGTCAACTTTCCTTGGAGGAGTTTGTTACAATAACGATACCCTGAGCCTCTCGTCCACCAACATCTGAACATGTACAATATGACTTCTGGAGCAACACTTTGTTTCTTGCAACTCGATCGGTTACGGCGTTAGCAGGGTCGCACGGCATTAGTCCCCTTTTATTTTTTTTTTTTTTAATGTGATTCAAGACTTGGTCCCTCGGATGTGACAACGGTTTGATTTATCGCCTCACGCTCTGCTCCGCATAATGCTTTTACTTCATGCACTGGGTATGTGTTCCGGTGCATTATGTTTTTGATGACTTTTTATTTCTATCTCCAGTGGCTGCTTAAATATTCTCCTTCTCCCGAGGTTGATTCGCGGATGCTACCATGCAGAATACATATTCTGCCTTGGTTCATCGCCTCGATAGCCCTAATTCTTTCTACTTTTTGCTTCTGTCCTTCGACCTTCTCCTTCTGCTTCCTATCAAGCGCAGGCATGCAACCGGAAGCAGAAGGCCCAGGCTGTATACAATTGGATCCTTTTCGCCGTCATTTATACGATTTGCTTTCCATGTTTTGCAAGGCTGGGTATGGAGTATAGGGAAGGATGAACAGCGTCGATGTATTTGGTGGGATCAGAATGTTTGCTTGGTATATACTATAGCTTTGATGTGAATGGTATCGATCTGAACAATCAATGTTCTTACGGCGTATCTTGTATCTCGAATGGATGTTCAGTTTCCGAGGTCTCTGAACAGAAGTGCTCGAAACATTGTGCTTTCAGGTGATCGTAAATTACCTAGGTGAGGAGGGCAGATCTCAGAACATTGCTTTGTTTCTTTACACAGAACTGGAGACGGTTCTAGTATTCAAGAGCATATACAGATGAACAAGCAAGTGTGTACGTGCCAGAGAGAAGGTAGAAAGAACACAAGGTAGTATTATGATCTCGCTGTAGTTACAAAATGGAGGCCAAGATTGATACACAAAGAAGCCGGAATCAACAAAAACAGAACAGTGAACGGGTCATGCTTGTCATTTTTGTCTTCATTTTTTTTCCCTTTCATTTTCTGTGATTTTCGGGGGGTAGATCATCGAAGAGGGCCATTCCAATCGTGCAAAGAGTCCATCATGTCTTTCGAGTACAAACAATTCCCAAGATCGTTTAAATTATCGTTTCGCTTAACAGGTAGAGATTCGTGACTAGAGGTGGATATGTTAGTGTCATGGGCAAGGGGAGAGAGGGAGGGAGACCATGGGTGAGGAGACGGGTAGACTGACCTGTTCCGATATTTCAAAGCAGGCTAAGCCAGGACAGGCTTAGCGCATTTACAGGCGGGAACCGTGGATGACCTTGTAGTCGACGACAAGCTCACGGCCACCATCGTTGATGACGAGAGCACGGACGCTACCACGGCCCTCGGAGAAGGCATCACGGATCTTGCGGAAGAGCTGGCCCTGACTAACGACGGGAAGAGCCTGTCTGACATCACCGGACTCGGTCATGGCGGTGATGGTGTTGTCCTCGTGGAGGTCCAGGATGCGGTAGGTCTTGTAGACGGGACCGATCATGGTCTGGACCACCACGGAGGGAGAGGGGTTGGAAACGAAGCTGGACTCCTCCTGCAGCTGGCGGGTGAAGAGGTCGACACCGAGGTAGCGGTGCTGGCCAGTCTGGGGCGAGACGGAGATCCGGATGACCTGGCAGGGGCGGCCCTGCAGGATCAGGATGTCGCCGATGCGGATGAAGTGGCAGGGGATGGGGACGGACTCGGCATTCTTGTTGCCGGTGCTGCGAGGCTCGACGATGCGGACGTCCTCACGGACACCTTCACGGTAACGAACTGGGCCACGTTCGTCAGCGATGACTTCCTCACGATCGTGGTCATGATGATGATGGTTGTGGTGGAAGGGATGCGTGATGCGGTCGACAGCACGCTCCACACCACGGCGGAAGGAGTGGTAGTTACCGTCGTCGTCGTAGTAACCCATTTTGCGAGCTGGGGGTTGATCGATAGCGGTGTAAGGCTTGAGAACCTTAACTTGAGAGATCGAAGAGGCAGGGGAAGGGCGAGCAGGAACAGACTCTACAGAGTGTTCGCGGCTGAAGGAGGCGGCCTTGTAAGTCTCAAGAGGCTTAGGAGCGAAGGCCTTGTCGTAAGAGACGTCGTAATCGGTCTTGGACCGCTGGTACGAGACGTCGGTGGTGTTGGAGGACTGGTAGCCTTGGTAGGAGTCTACGGGAGCCTGGGAGCGACGGTCGTACGAGTTATTGACTTCGTAGACAGGATCTGTGCGACGACGATATTCACGTTCAGTGATGTCGAGTTGGGCCTCGAGAGCTTGGTCGTAGACGGGCTGATGAGGTTGAGGTTGAGGTTCGTAACGAGAAGTGGGTTCACGGTACCTGGAGTGGATGGAAATGGGGAAGCGTCAGATCTTATCCGAGATCAAATGACAAACAAGAAGACAAAAAGAAGTGGGAAAGGTAAAGGATAATAACCACGGATTGGGGATGAGAAGGGGGAGGTGGGTGAGAGGGAGAGGTGGGTGCAGGGTCAGGGAACGGGCCGACACCGCTTATTGGGTGTTTATTATTGTATTTTTCTCTTCTTCTTGGGTTTGTTTTGATTTTGGGGGGTGGATTTGTTTTGTTGTTGTTGTTTTTTTTGTGCCACGTAAATAGATTGCATGGCAAGGCTAATGGATTTAGGCCCGGCTGAGCCAAAAAAGAAAAACAAAAACAAAAAAACAAAAGCGCCGGGCTCACTTGGTAAATCAATAGCTCGAATCCGCACGGAGTCAGCCATGGAGCCACCTTGCCCCGTTGGACACATCCAGAAGCAGGCGTCACCGCTTCTTCTGGAGCTTGTTGGCTTTGTTTTTGTTTTTTGTTTTTTTTTTTTTGGCCTCTGGCTTCGGATCTCCGCTTCCTGTCGCCATCTCTCTCCACTTTTTGCAACTGAAAAGATGGAGGGCTCTGGCGACGGAAATCCCCGAAAATAACCAGACAAACCTCGAAGAAGATCGAGAAATCGGGGGGGGGGAGCGGGAAGACGTAGAGAACGTAGGACACGTAATCTTTCGGAAATCAAACAGAATGAAAGAAAAATAGAAAAAAGCAAGGCTTACCGTTGACGCGAGAGTTCTACCTCTGGAACGCGATAGTCCTGCTGCTGCTGGTGATGATGGGTACGGTCCTTAGAAATAACCTGGAACTCGTCGACCTTGTGAGAAGGCGCAGGGCGATGGTCCTTGGTGATACGAAGATCGACTTCTTCTCTTCCGTAGACACGAGGATCGGGAAGAGGAGCAGAGGTTCGAGTATCTTCCCGTTCGACGTGCGAAGTACGATCGAGATTGACTTCTCCCTCTACTCTGGTCGGAGTAGTCTCAGGAACAGCGTCACTCCGGTACGACGACGGGAAGACACTGAAGGGGATGGGGACGCGGGCGTCAAAGTCCAGATTGGCTGTCCTTTGGGCGTCTCTTCTCGAATCCCTTTCGAACTGTTGCGAAACAACTCGAAAGGCGAGACAAGAAAAGACTCTTTACTGAAGAGAAGTCTTTCTCGTGGGGAATGAAGTAGAGATTAGATAGATCTAATCGGAATCAGATCAATCTAGATGATGAGGAATGATGAGGGGGGATAGGAGGAATGTGAGATAAACTCAGGAATTCTGGGGAACTGATGGATGGAAGAAAGGAGGAGGAATGGAAGAGAGAGAGGGAAGAAAAAAAAGAAGAGAAGAAGAAAGGAGGATTAAAAAGGGAGGAAGAGGAGGGGCTTGAAATATACGATGCGTTGCGTTGATTTCTCTCTCGTTCTCTCTCTATGGCTGATACAACCACAACAACCAAAAAACAGCGCCTTACATATACAATTTTCCCCAGCGTTCTTGTCTTGCTCCTCCATCCAACCGCAACGGCAGCTTCTCTCAGAATACAATCAATTATCATCTCATCAATTCTGTCCAATACTGCTGCTCCCTGTTTCCACGCGTTTGTTTACTGCGCCTTGCCCGTTTGGGGGTCCTCTTCCAGCCTCCCTCCGAACGGGAAGAATAGTTAGTATCATGCTGGGTTGATCGATCCCGAGGTTGTCGAGGAGAATCATATTCGATTCCCTAAACTCCAAGAAGGTAAGATGAATATGCTTAAGAAGCGACAGGTGTTAAGGTAGCTAATGCTATATTTATAGCGTTTCCTGATACTTCTTCCCCGTACGACTCCATCTTGTTTGCATACGAATGGGCCCCAGCACTAGATAGAAAACTTCTCGTCAACACCGCTTCGAAATCACCAATACATATCACAACAATCCCGGAGTGGCTCTGGAAAAAGAGCATTGATCCATTCAGAGGGATGAATTTTCACATGCAGGATGGTCAATAATATGACCTTAGTGATCCAGTCACCTCTGTGGGAAAGACCCATTCAGGGATTGGGGGAGATTCATTGCAAGTTGCAACCCATCAATAATCTGGAGGCTGGTCAGCAGCTTTGCACAGCTGAAACTCAAAAACCACACCATTCTCCATGGCAACCTCGCTTTTACTCCGCGGGTCGAATCGGGATTCTGGGTCCCTTGGCGCCTGGCTGAGGAGATCGACGGTGATGGTGGCTGCTACAGCTTGCGCGACCCGTTCTTATCCTGCACAACGGTCAACATTGGAGCTCTCAGAATGTAACCAAGTACAGAACTCATAGAAAATGGGCAAAAGGGAAAGAGCTCCATTGGAAGTTGTAATCGAAATGCGATCTCACAGTGCCAAATGTGACGAGCCCCCAAACCTCATCTGCAAGACTACCAATTGCTTCGCGCCAGATCAATTGTTCGTGGAGCTCTGTCATTGGAGCTGGACACCCATCGGCTGTTGCCCATTTCCACTTCCCGCCAGCTCATGTTTCACTGGTCCGTTTCCCCTCCCCAAGCGTCGTAAGGTTGCAAGTGCAACTCGCAGCTCACCTTGAGCTCAGCTCTGAGCTTCCAGCCACTACTAACTAATTTGATTCGGCGGATCCACTCCTCTTCCCTCGATCTCGGCCATGATTGCTCTGGTCTCAACTCCCACGGGTCACGGATCCCCTTGGTAGTTGGTAGTTGGTAAGCGCCGCCAGCCTCTTCGTTTCGGAAATAGCTGCGGTACTGGTTTGTGATTGTGAACTGGTGGTGTCTTGTCTTGTTGAGACTTGAGAGATGACCAGTTGCTATGGAGGAGATAGTTTGAGCTGCATTCGATCTACGTTCGTACTCCTACCAATTATCGGTTCTAGACTCGCCTCCTGCTCTGCTCCAGTCTCCTGCATATGTCATTATTGATCGATTGAACATATGATGCATCATGGGCGGCAAATGCAACCGCATTAATCAGGAGGTTGGCGCAGGTGGCTGGTATATCTTGATAAGTTGTACTCCGTAACTTGGTATCCAATCCGTACGGAGGAAAGTCAGTTGTGATTTCTGGTTGCTGTGTGGGCCCTTCGCCCAAGATGATCACGATTCGAACTGGATGTGGACTCAGGGTGGAGAGGACAACAACAGGGCCTCGTTAATCGTTTCCATGTCTCCCAGCTTTTCCCATCCCGAGGTTGTTGCGCGGGTCAACCGAGCCGATCGTCGGGTACTTTTGCATCCTCCTTGCTTGATCACGCCCACTCCTGGAGTTCACTTCCATGGATAGGAGATGATATCTGGCGGAGTTGCTGTCATATCATCATATGTATGGAGTACAGAACTGCTAATACTCGGCAGTCAATAATAAGAACTGACCTCTCTTATGTAAGTATCTTGATAACATAGTATAGCAACACTCCGTTGCATGCGTGGTGACCTTGTGACAATGCCATTATGAATTTATGATTACCTATGAAGATTGTTGGTCGACAGATAGATAGATAGATAGATAGATAGTACAAGATTTCCTTTCCTTCTCCCATAGTCTATTATTGATTAAATCTTTCTGCCTGCGAAGTCCTCCAAACACAAGAAATATAATTTCCTTCGTCCTGATCTGGTAAACGATTGTCCACAATTCCAAACCCAGGTTCCTTCCAAATGATAAAGATTAAAGAATGCTATAGAGAAATAAGGTGTAGAAATCCAATCAGTAAATTCAGGTTTCCCTTCATCGCTGGATGTATATCGGCTGCCGAGAAAGAAAAAAAAAGTAAAGGAGGGTATCAAACAGATTAAGATATGTCAAGCGAAAAAAGAATATCTGTTAAGTAGCAGAAGTAGGATCTTCATCCTACACTGCCTAGCGTAGCAAATCATAGTATCATGGAAGCGTAAGACTGTCCGGAGTTCCAACAACCATTGAACGACTGCATATATCGCAGTCATCCGATAGATGGCGATTAGGTATCCGTATGATCAGAGTATATTAGAAGCACATGCTCAAAATATATATCAAGAAGAATTGAATGGAATATCATCCTGTGTTTCTTAGTCGCGCATGCCGAATGCTTTCCGCAGAGAAAAGAATCGTTTCTTTCGACCTCCTGGCGGGAAGACAATGTCCTTTGCGTTAGGACCATTCGCATCATTGCTGCTGCGCAAGGCTTGAACCTCGTCGGGCGCGCTTTGCGCCTCCTCCGCCGAGTCTTTAGCGACAGAGTGTCCCTGATCGATGATTGATGCAGCCTCGTTCTCAGATGCACCATTTGCCGGCAGGTTCTGCTTGACTGCGTGGCTGTCCGTAGATCTTGATGCGCCATTGGGCTGCTCCGTGACTGATTCTACATTCGCAGGAGCTTCTGATTCCTTCCGGGCTGGATGTAGTGGCCAGCTTCCGCTGGCCGTTTTCTTTGCGCCTCCTTTGGTCAGTTTCGAAGGCGACGGCTCAGGGTTGTTGGCTGAAACAGTCGTGATAGTGCTACCCCGAGCGGGATTCAGCAGGCTTTCATCACGATCTTGTCCAAAATCCCCCATGTTGGACTTGGACATCCTATGATCCGTGGGCCGCTTAGACTTCTTCAAGGCAAAACGGCCCAGGATTCCAGACATTCGCCCTTTGGGTTGCCGGTGGAGGAACTCGTCCAACTCTTCCTCAGTCATTCCGCGTGACTTGGCCACAGCAGCCAGTCCTGGGTCATGTGACAGAGGTCTGGGTTTCGAGGCGGCTGCTGGCGCAGGTGTAATAGGCCTCTCATTATCAGAACTGTCCTCTAACTCCGTCGAGTCACCGTCATACGTCCCTTGGCGACGCGGGATACCGCGAACTGGACGGAAACTCTGCATTACCCGGTCTGCATCGTCATCGCTGGAATCATCATAATGATATTGCAACCTCCGTCGCCGGAAATCCGCATCTTCATCATCGGAATCCGGAAATCGAGACATGAAGCGAGGCCCTGTAGCCTTGGAGATTTTTGACTTTGGTGATCGGGTGGAGGCAAAAATTGGAGTCTTTTCGTTCTTCGGCCCATTTGCTCGCAACGTCATGCGCATAGTACCCGTGCCTGAGCCTGAAGAAAGAGGCCTAGCTTCATTGGGCGACGACGCCCGAGCGGCAGAAGATTGCGGAGCGCGGATCGTGGGACCGCCACGCATGGTTCGTCGCATACTATGCAGTCCGTCCTGCCTAGCGCGGGGGCTTGACCGTATAAAGCTGCTGGATGAGTCGCTGCCATCGGACATTCGCCTCCGACGGGTGTAAGGCTCCCTTCCGTTGACGGATGTACCATTATTGGGCGTTGTAACGATTTCCTTTTGAATAGCGGGTACAAATGACACAGGTCTTTTCTTGACCCGCTCGGTGCCAGCTTTCCGTAAAGCAGAGGTCCCGCTGCTAGGCGCATTGCGTAGTTCCGAATCACCGTAGCCAACGGTCGACATGGGACGCTCTGCTGTTCCAGAGGGCATAGACAAATTCCCGGCATCTCCATTGGTAGACTGACCTAGAGTAGTAGATGGTGTGGACAATAATGGGTAGGGAGAAGAAGACGGTAGTGCGTTTTGTGAAGTTGCAGGTGAGTCCGAGGCATGCTGGGTAACTGTGTCCTTCGAAGAGGTCACTGCGTGACCACCCAGATGATCTTCGAGTCCGGTCGAAAGTCTGATAGACTCGACTGGGAATTCACGAGTGATATCCGTCGATAGCTCGTTAGAACTGCTAGCATCAACAGGCCTGCTGTCTTTGCCTTGTGCCAACCGCGTATCCACAATAGCATTGATGGAACCAAAGCCGTCACCCTCGACGACTTCTTCCGCATCACTATAGACGCTTTCTTCGGATTCATTATCACTTCCTTCAGTCGAGATACGATCATCAACCCGCCGATCACGTGACTTTTTTCCTTTCTTCGTGCTAAGGTGTTTGGAATCAAGCTCCAACGAGGTCCGCGGAAATCCGCCAGGTACGGTATACTGTTCGAGACTTGAACGCCCCTTTTCTAACTCGGGTGAATCGTTTCGGTCCATCAGATCCTGCGCAACTAGGCCCATGTCTGCACTCGAGGACAACCTCTGCCCCAGCATCGAATGGGTGTCATATGTCGACAAATTTCCAGGCTGTGTGACTTGTGAGTTTGGCTCGAGAACAGAGCCATTCCTTATCTCCCCGGTAGCATTTGATTGGCTATTAATATCGTGAGGAAGTTTAGGTGGAGGTATGCTGTCAAGTTCTGTGACTGGCCGCAAATCCTTTAGTGGCAAATTCGATGATATTCCTCCGGTAGCATGGTTGTCCGAATAAGACCAGCCCGAAACGACTGTGTCGTATTCAGATGAGGCTGTTGACTCATTGTCACTAAACTCAGGGCGAGCTGACAGAGACGGGGTTTCTCGAGAGCCTCGTATACTACCGAACGAAGGGAGCGCTGGACGAGGCCTCAAGACTTCATCGAACTCGTCCGGCGTAGTGGAATCCAATTGGGAAGTCATTCGCTTGCCTAGTGGAAACCAACCATTTTTGGATTTAAGTCTTTCCGGGGTTCCAGGCGCCATGTCCTCCGGCGACGTTGGTGGACTAGCTGCAACTCCCACAACTTCGGCCTCGTCATCGAAACTGACTTTGACGGGCTTTCTTCGGGAGCCGAGCCTGGAACCATCGTCTGAGGCCACCGAAGTAGCATCCGAGAGCTCACTGAGCGCTGGAACAGGGCGAAGGATGCCTCCATTTCTCCCGTCGGGAGACAATGAGCTTTTCCGCGCGTTTTTCAACGCTGATTTGACAGGCGAGGCAGACCGTGCAGGCGGCTGATGCTCGGCATTTCCCGTGACCGCAAGTTGAGATGAAAAGCGGGCAGATCTGCCTGGACTGGTACTCGTTGGGCGGTTCTGAGATTGCTGGAGCCCGTGCCCAAGCTTCACCGAGTCTTTTGTTTCCTGGGTATGATCTGGGTAAGTGGGTTGGAACCCGTCTTTCTCATCCGGTGTGGCCGGTGTCCTGATGATTGAAGGTTCCGCCGCATAGACATGTTCAAATGGTTTGGGAAACCGATTCTCGATGGGCAAGATACTCCGGCGAGGGACTTGATCGATGTGGCTCCCTGTATCAATGGCTTCCGCAAGTTTTCCGCCCTTGTTATTCTCGGTCACAGTATGTGGCTGTTTTGCGACCACTGACTGAGTTGTGATTTTCCGATCGTCTTGATTGTGTTTCTGAGCAGGGGCAGCCGATTCTCGAATATAACCTGAGCGAGCAGATGCAGGAGAATGATTCATCTCGTCTCTTGGCACGATAGCAGCCTGCGCAGCTGCGACAGCAGTCCCCTTAGAAGGAACGGTTCTTCCGGGACTCCCAGGAGCGAGGCCCGTACTCTTCCTCACTGATTGATTCTTTGTTACCCGAGCGTTCGGAGATCCAGCGGGTGACAGATCGTAGTTCGGCGATGCGCTGGCCAAAACGTCACGAGCAGGGAGCTGAGGCGATACGGTCGGGGAGGTCGGACGAGCGGCTATCGGATAGGAGAAATTGATAGAATTCCTACTACCAGATCTTTCGACTTCAGGCACTGTACTTAACTGTTTGGATTGAAGCGGGGATTGGCTCGCCGAAGTCTTCAAAGATCTGTCAACACTCAACCCACGGCCTGCGGGTCGCTGTTTTGGGGAGGACCTGAGACGTATGCTGGGATCCAAGCTGACAGAGCGCCGACTGGTATTTTTCCCTCCCATGATGCCTGGAGGCATGGATGGCAATGGCGGAACAACGTCTACCTGACCGGTACTCGTAAAAGGCCGATGAGGGGACTGCTCTCGAAAAGTTCTATTGCTCATCGAACTCGAGCTATTGGAGCGACGCAGGTCCGTTCTGCTGACCGGGCGCAAAGTGGTGGACATGCTGGCCTGGGAGGTGACAGAAGCGCGCCTCTGCATCATTCTCTTGGTCTGGACATTTTCCACGGGCGTCGGAGTGGGTGTGAGGCTCCGCAGAGCCGCCGCCGCCGCAGCAGAAGACAAGCTGCTCGAGGAGGGTTGAGATTTGAGGAAGGCATGGGTGGCAGCGGATTGCGCGGATTGAGAGGATGCGGTAGAGAGAGGCTGGAGCAAAGACGATTAAAGATTAGCTTCAAATATCACCAGATTTCGCAATCAGTCGCACGGCGAGCTTCACCTGATGACGCGATGTGCTCCTCTTTCTGCGGAACATTTTTCGTTCCCAAGTGAAAGAGCTTTGATGTCGGTCTGTCTGCCTTAAACGGCGGACACCGGCGATATGATGTCAACTAACTCGTCTGAGCCCCAACGCTTCCAGTTACTACCGCGCGAGGGTTCGGGCAGGAAGAACAGCGATGGAAAAATGCACTGATGCGTTGTAGAAGCAGACTCCGTGGCAGCCGAAAGCTTGAGCCGCGTGCGTTATCGCGATAATGCCGTGTTCTCGATGAAAGGGAAAAAAAGAAAAAAGAAAGTCGGGGAACAGGGATTCGCACGAGGGAGGTACTGCGGGGAGAGAACGATCGTAGCAATAAGCGAGAAATAAGGGATGAAGGGAAGGGGAGGACGATGCCAATCCGCAGAAAATCAAGTCGTCGCAGACAGTTCGATGACGATGGACAAACGAGGATGAGAATAGAGAGATGATGAGATGGACGAGGAAAAGTGAGCGGGTCGAAGGGGAACACTTTGCGTCATGGACTGGAAGGAGATCCGATCAATCAGTCAACAGCATCGGCTCTTCTTTTCTTTGTGCTCGATTTTCGCTGAGGAAGAAGAAGAAGAAGAAGATCTCAGACTCTTTTCATGGTGACGGACGATGAAGAGATGGACTCTTGAATGTCGTATTTTTTTTTCTTCTTCTTCTGCAGGGGAATGCAATTGTTGGTCACTTGGGGGTCCTCAGGATGCAAGGCATCGATGATGTATATGAGTGCCTCGGTGCCTTAATGCCTGAGTATCCATTTCTGTTCTCGCACAGTTCTCTACTCTTTACAGCATACCCAACATGTTCCAACAGTATACCATCTCCAAGAGCAAGATGATCGATCCAACAAGAAGAGAGAATGGCACCGCAATACCACAATATCGAATCAATTGAATATTTAAGACCATGCCCACTCTCCTTATCCACCTAAACCTCTCGTCGATCCATCTCCATCCCGAATCGAAAGAGATGAGACATGGGATATATCTCAGATCTTAAGAGAACATAATAAATCTGGATGAACTGCTTTTGCGATCATGAGCTGCCCTAGAATTCGATGAAATGCTGGGTTTTCATGATCCAGCGTTCTAATCTCATCACGTATGGTAACCAATAACTCCATAAGCGACGACGGCTGGCCACCCACGGCATGATAAACGAGACTTTTCCATCGAACAAAGTTGACCAAGGACCATGCATAAAGCCATAAACTCATATTGTGGGTATGTAATGTAGAGACAAAAAGACAACAGACACAGCAGCATTATCTACATCATCATCCAGCTCCACAATGCAACCATGCACACTGGCAGCATGCCCATCATCGTCGGTTTAAACGCAGTTGCAGCCGACGTCAGAGACGTTGTGGTAAAGACATCACCGAACCCGATAAAGCTCGAGTTGAAGCAATTATCGCGCGTCACTTCCTCGACTTCCTCTGGCTCGGCGAATTCGATATCGACGCACTATAGCCCACGTTAGATCCAGCCAGCTCTGTATCGCGAAAAAAGTAACGTACATTGTACAAGGCAGCGCCATGCTTGGCCGTTTCAATGACCTGGATGGTCGCATGGTCGCCGGGGTTAAAACTAAGGCCAGGCGGCAGTGGCACCTGGGGCAGGCAAACTGTTCCAGGATAGGGGTTGTTTGTAGGGCCGGTGATCTGGAAGGGAGGGACAACCGGATGGCTCATGTTGGGTGGCACCGTCCCCAGTCCCAGGTTGATGTAAATGAGCGCTGTTTGATGGCCTTGAAACCAGCCAGGTTGAAAAGCCACAGCGCCGCCTTTGACCGGCCATTTGGTTCGATTGGTGGAAGTAGGCATGCCACCGCCTATAGATATTGTTCGTTAGCATGCCTGAATCAGTCCGAAAGAGGTGGGAGAATTGGAAAGTGCGTACAAGGATAAATCCATTCCATGCCGTATGGATAAACCATGGAGTTGTTGATATAGGCTGCTCCTAGGCCACCTGCCTCTTCGACAGTGCTGTTGGTCTGGAGGTTGTTCCCTCTATAGCCAGGATATGTGATAACTGTGTGGGTGTGAGCCAACCCAGCCCACAGAAGTGCAACGAGTGCCACCCATTGCGATATCGATCTTTGAAGCATCATGGTGTGAATATAGCCTTCCTGCGGAAGGTGAGAGATCAAGTACGGTCTGAGACGGTGTGTAGAAAATAGCCGGTGCGATCCCCAGACTTCTTCGTCGCAGTTCAGATACTCCCTCTTGAAAATTCAGGTCGAGTCGAATCAAGCCAGTTCGCGAACAGTTGCACCGTCCGGGCTGCAGAGATTGATCATCATCAGAAGGAGGGAGGAAATAAGCTTCACGAGCAGCAGCGGAAGGAACCAAATAGGGAGGGCCTTGAGGAGTTTTTGAGGGTGATCAGTGGTTCAACGCCTGCAGCAACAATTCACATCTCGACACTGACTACCGCGGGGAAGAGAGTTAACATTGGACGAGTGAGCATGCAGGAAAGGCGGATGTGATCACACCTGCAGTCTATCATGTTGAACATTGGCTGCAGCATTTGAATTCCTTTCCTATCTATGAGAGATCCGGTAATAGTTAGCTGTGAGGAGACCTTGGGTCAAGCGATGGGATTGGATCGAGTGTGCACCCAAGACGCTGGGCTGCAAGTGGCATCACGTCTTCACAAGGATGCTTCGTGCTGTTTGGCCACGATGATTCGCGGAGCAGGAGTGGTGCAAGCGCCTCAATCTCGACGCTAGAAGAGAGGAGCTGTCAAGGGCTCGGCGCTTAGAGATCCTCTGTGAGTTGCAGCAGAGATGGGCGATCACTGTGACAATGCAAACGACCGGATCTTCCAGGTTTATGGATAGAAATCACATTCAATCATGGTGTACGGATGACCTGATTCACCCGAGTTTTCTCATTCATTATTTCTGTATGTTGGTTTTCATCAATTATTGATGATGGAACATGGTTGTCGTATTCCAGATGTTAGTATCATACAAGCTCATACTCCAGGATCAACGTCCTTCTCAGTCGAGCGTGATGCTTCATGACCATGGATAATGCAATACTGCTAGCCTCTTCAATTGTTAGCCATGGGAGATTCTAGCTTGGAAGGTCATCGACTGACCGATGGTTGTCCCTCAACGGTGGATTGACACTAGGCCCCCAGAAGATCCCGATCCCGATAAGCTGCTCCCCCCACCCGATAACCCGATAGCGATAACAAAAAATCCACCAGCATCAGCATCATTGACATTCAGCCACCCATCCTCACCACCTCGGAAACCGACAAAATGCCGCACACGAACCGGCCCAAGAAACCTCAAGCCGAAAAGCGCCTCGAAGTCACGGACATCGACGGCTGGACGCACGTCACAACCACCAAGAACGTGCGCCGCGCTCTACGCCGCTCCCACCCCAAACCCCACACCACCCAAGCCGCACAGCAACAAGAACAACCTACCCTCACACCCGCCGAAGCACCCTCACAAACGACCTTAGAAACCCTACAGAAGCAATTACTCACCCACCGCGAGAAATGGGAGAGCTCGGAGTCATGGCGCGTGACACACGCCGGTCTACAGGGCATATTTGCAGACTCGGATCCAGCATCCGGCGCCCAACCAGGGCTGGCGGTCGATGATATCGTCTGCGTTGGGCTGGGCAGCCCAAGCGGGTTCCTACGAGGCGGGTGGGTGGATCGGCGGGATGTATCGCTGTATCAGCTCGCCGCGCTGGCGAGTATGGTGGATATGATGCGTGAGTTTTCTTTCCTTTCTTCTTTTTTTTTTTTTTTTTTTTTTTTTCAAAGCCTGAAGACATGGTGGGCGAGACGAAGCGAGACTAACCCTGGTGGTTTAAGGGAAACGTCATCCCTCCGTGCGCGTCTACGCGCAGGACCCCGTCTTCAACGACCTTGACCGGTCCCTTTTAGACTCGCTGGGGTTTACTGTCCTCGAGCACCCCGAGGGGTTTGCGAGGGTCTCTGATAGGACATTCTTGTACTGTCCTGGTGCGGAAAGGACGCATCTCGAGCAATTGCTTCCTGCCAATCCGCCGCTTCTCTTCGGGGGTCCGCTGGAGGAGATTGAGTCGGAGGTTGTGGGGCGGTTCCTTGGGGCTAGGAAGTCGGTCCGCGTGCCTGTGTTTGAGAACAATGAGCATGCGTTTTGGAATATGCGGCTATATTTCCTGGAGAGATCGGAGGAGTGAAATCAGCGGAGCCGAGCGGGTGTCTGATTTTTCACCTCTCGAAAACGCTATATATATAGATACCCCTGTGCTTGTAATCTCAGTGATACTTCATACTTATGCAAGTGTCGATGATAGACCATTATTGTGGCACAATGTGCCTCACGGACTTAACTACCCCTCAAGTGCCACTCAACATTCCGCAGACCCTGTCAGGCCCGTGCAACAAGGGGCCTGCTATGCTATATACAAACATGCACTCAACAAATAGCGTCAAATATCACCAACGAAGTAATGCAATCTGCAACAATCTGCAACCACCTGCAAGAGAACCACGTAACGAACCGGCAAATGACCCGAGATCGAATCACCGACCTCAAATTGAAAAAAAGAGAATATACACCAGGTCATCAAGGTACACATATAAAGGAGGGAAGAAAAAAAAATAAACATCCTACAACGCCGGAAACCAGAAACGTATGACAGAACAAGGGTCAAACTATACATCGTCAAACATGCTGTCGTGGAAAGGATCGTCGAAAGGAGGGTGGAAGATATATGGAGAATTTGTAACAGTTCAATAGGTAAGCGATATCAAGCTGCGGTTTTACCACCGCAGTCGGGAATTTTGAGGCCGGACTTGAGTTTGCGAGCAGGATCCATAAGACCCCATTTATCTTCCCAGTTCTCATTCTTCGTGTTGAACTCGATCTTCCATGGCTCGTCGAATGCCTCGAACCTGTGACTACGAGTTAGTATCATCCCCAGCACCAACAGGCCGATGTGAAGGTCGAATGGATAAAGGGACTTACCAGAAATAATCCGTGCCATTGTCCAAGGCTTGACAGACCCAGTCCTCCATGAACTTATTCAACTCGTCGATGCCGGCCACGGCGCCCGATGTATCGTCGGGGCAGTTCGCGCCTTTTCCACAGTCGTTTCCTCCACCGCTGGGCCATCCGACCTCAGATATGACCTGCCTTTTGTCGGTACCCTGAGTCAAGATGACATCGTGATCTTGCCAGAATCGCCAGGTCCAGGCTGCGGCTTGGTCCACGGGGATACCTCCAAAGAATGGATGGACGTTGGACATGACCACGTCTGCTATTTGCACCAGTTCGGCGTTCCAATTGTCACCGAGATCCGAAGTCGCGATAGGCATTTTGATATCATGCTTCTTGAAATGGTCTCTCACTTCCTGCATGTATTTAGTGAGGGTGGCCTGGGCTGTGATCTTGTTGTCTCCCGCCCGGAAGAGCGCCTCGTTGCCGACGATCGCACCGTTGAAAATAGAAATGTCCTTGGCATCGTCGACAATCTTGTACAGCTGATCTATCTGTCTTCGTGACGTGGTTTCATTGGTGTCGATCCACACTCCGAGCCACACTTTCATGTCCTTCAGGTCGAGTTTGTCGATTGCGTGGAGCACCATCTCCGTCTGATTGCAGTCGGTGCCATACAGCCGGACATTGTTCGTCAATTGAGCGAGCACAGCCATGTCCCGAGTGACGTTGTTCTGCGAAGGAGGGTATTTGAGACACAGAGGATACTGGACACCCCACGGGGTATAGTCCATTCCAGGGAACACTTTGTGAAGATCCTTGTTGTTCATTAACGCCTTAATCTCGGCCGAATTCTTATCGAGATCGCCGTTGGTGTCCGTATCACCGCTCGCTGACTGCGTGGATGCTGAAGACCCAGAGGCGGAGTCTCCGCTATCTTTATGGCCAATGGTCCCGCCGACTGCACCGCCAACGATGGCTCCAATAATGATGACGGCTAGAATCGCTCCAATAATCCATCCTCGCTTTCGACTACCCGTGCTAGGCTTCGGTTTGACCCACTGGCTTTTCTCCCCGGCCTCAAGACCTGCTCCAGGAACGGGATCGTATGATGTTTCAGCGGGATTCCTGTTGTTGAAGAGCCCTCCAATACCTCCCAGCACTCCGCCTGCTGCAGCACCCCCAGCCGCAGCGGGGACGGCCTGGGACCTACGAGCGCTGGATCGGGAGTTTCCAGCGGGCGCGAAGCCATCATCACCATCATCGGCAATCTCTTCCGGGTTAATGTCGAGCGGAAGATCGTTGGAGCTATAAGCAGAATGCCGTTGGTAGGGACCAGCACTCAGCCCCCCAGCACTCTGGTACGGGGCATCGTAGAGGTTACGTTGCGACGAGTTCGACGTGCCGAGATGCGTGGCGGAGTGGCCTGGCGTCAACTGGCCGGCCGGCCCAGCCGCAGCTCCCAAGGCGACATTGGATCCGTACGACTGTCGCGGATGTAGCGTCTCGGAGCTGCCATAGCCTCCCATATCCGGCGGCGCGGGGATGTACGGGTTGTCGGACCCCGTGGTGTTGTATCCTCGTTCTGCAGGGATATTAGCCTCCTGGCCATCTGTGCCCCTCCGGGCCTCCACCCCACTCAGACGATCATGACTATTGGCAACACCGAGAGCAATACCGCTTATACCGCCTCCCACAGACGCTGGACCCAGGTTATCCATTTCGGGCGTCGCCGTGAAGCCTGTCCGATTCGACGGACTCGGCCCTCGCGCCTGACCCCAGCCCTGGTGATTGTCTTCCGGCACCGACGCAAGTCCATGATGTGTTTCGTTCATATGACCCGGGGACGAGCTCATGTTGGAGATCGGGGAGACATCGTCGTACTGCGGGTGCATCGCGTGGTCCATGAAGGAGGAATGTGCTTCCCCATCACCGCGCTGCTCGAAACTGAATGTCCGGTGGGGACCGGACATGGTGAAGCCACGACCGGCGTCCCAGTCTTTGGTTTAGTAATCCCGTCTGTGCTTTGTTGGTACCCCGATAGAAACGTGCGCGATCAGATCAGGGTATCGAACAGTGGATTTGCCGGAGAGTCTTCTTCAACAGAATAGACGATTAAAAAGAGACGGAGACGAAGAGACGCAAACGAAATCAGAATTCGATCCAGACCGAGATATCCACAGGGCGACTCTTTATGAAATTGAAAATAGGGAAATCAGCGGACAGGCAAACGGTAGCGAACCACGGTACCCGTGAAATTCCTTCAGGAACCGTCGTCAAGAGCGTGGAAAAAGTGGGAATTGTGTGCAATGGGGGAAAAGACACGGCGGTTCGAATAGATCTGCCGAGAATCAATAATTCAATTAGAGACATGCTTGTGCAGACACTGGCAATTTCGAGGCGACAGAAGCACTCACCCGATGCGATCAAATAATGTGAGGATGGAGGGGAAGTTCTGGAGAGCGGGAGGGAGGAAGGATGACAATACCTAACTACTTTCTCAAGACTCGAGTCGGTCAAGGACTCTCTAGAAAAACAGAGAGAACAAAGAGACGGAAACCCTCGCCAGAGGGGTTATTGAGCATAGTGTATCTATCTACAGAGTAAGTAGAGAGATAGATAGATGTGAAAGGAAAGGCAGTAAGCACGGGGATTCAATAATTAACCCAATACTACTGCATGCGGATGGCAACGTAACAGCCATGGTGAGCAACTTCTTGCTTGTGTATTATTATTATTTTGTTTCGAGTAGACTTACAGAGTAGAGGACTAGTCAGCACGGATGATGCGTTTAGTTACTACTAGTTAGTAGTTGTAGCCCCGACAACCCGACGTAGTGCTGGGCAGTGGGCAGGTTGCCCCCCCAGCTCCAAAATAATCCTGTTCATAGTTGATTGTTGAGCTTGTTTTCCTTTACTTTTTTTTCTTTCCCTTGTTATCTTCTATTTCATTTTCCCAGTATTAGGAAACAGATCATCTTCTGCCATGTCGAGAGTGACACTCCGAGTTCAGACAGCAGCCGTTGAACATTCTGGTTCTGAGACACTCCACGTTGGAGACCCTGGATGCGGCAAATTCCGGCGTGGAGAAACCTGGACGCCCCAGGCAGACGTTTCTTTTGTTCTACCGGCTAAATTACCAAGTTACTACGGAGTACTCCTACTAACTAGCTACGAACGATCTAGATACGGAGGAGGTACTTGCAGACTTGCAGTTGCTGCACTGCTGCAGCCGGCAATCTTAATATATTGGTTCTCATCCAGACTATCAAACGCCACACAAAATCATACGGCGGGTCTACGACTGAGGAAATACTAGGTATTCAATAATCAAGACAACCTATGACCTAGGTACCTTAGAATGACTGATTGTAACATGGAACTGTCAGCGTATTATTTTCGAATTGTTCTAATTTTACTGCTGGCGTAACCGGATCCAGGGTAACCCTGCCTAACTTGATTGGGTAAGGGGCTGGCCGGTGCGCTCCCATTCTCGGTCTAGTCCCCACGCTCAATGTCACTGTCAAAGTATCCTGATTGGCTGTGCTAATACATGTGATCGTTGCTTGTCTCAGACTCATTCTTTCCACCTCATGACACATGATAACCAGTCAAAAAAGAAACAAATCCTTCATTGCATTCATCCCTCATAATTCTCATACATGCCCAATATCACAGTCGTCAAGTCATGGCAAAGGAATCAAAGAGCAGAATATAGAACAAACCCTAAACAGAAAACCGAGACACCTCATAACCAGAACATACCCGCCAAAACACGTATTTGCTGGTTCTGTTCCGTCGCAGCCAACCTGGCTGATGCTCCAGCGGCGGCGATGTTTATATTCCCATTGCGCCGTCGCATTGTTGTTCCGAATTGTCGTTGATGGACTGGGTTGGGGAGAGAGAGTATAAGAAAGTAATCAAGGAAAGACAGCATCATCCCGCCAAAGCATAATCATCTTATCACTAGCCTTCAACTTCTTCCGCGCTCCGTTGGGACGCGGACATGGTATGTCCGCGGCTTCGATCTAGAGCTGCTCTCCGACGCTCTAGGAATCTTCGCTTTCCTGGCCGAGTCTCGAAATGACGAGGGATGGAAGATGCTTCTTGGCCCGCAGCGAGCATGGTGCTGCGCATCTTGTTGCGGTACGCGTCAACTGTTTCCAATTAAAGATAGGGATTAGAGTTAGCCACGACACATTCTTTTATTTGCCACGAGCGAAAACGGGGCCGTCGTGCTGTTGACCATCACCGGCTGACTGGCAGGGACCCACGCGGAATTCAGAAGCAAGGGATGCGTTATGAGAAGCAGGGTCAAGAGGGGGCAAGCAAGTAAGGGAGCATGAGCCTACTCACGAGATCGTTGGAGAAACAACATCCGTCCTGCGAATACCCGACTCTGACTCCAGCTCATCCGGTAACCAAGGTCGTTCAACAGTACTTCTTTCCTGTGCTGTCCTCGGGTCAATCTAGGAACAGCGATCTCGCCATCGCCGTCCATGTGCGGTGCTGGCACCAGAACCCTGCCCACCGTCGGGGGTGCATCTTCATCGTCCTCCATCTCATTGGCATCCTTGAAGTATCGTTTCCCGGGGGCATCTCGGCCACGGGGTTGTCTCATCTGTACGGGAAAGTAGGCTTGGGGATACACTGAATTGGTCATGCGGTAAGAGTCGGGAATCTCGTTCATGTCGACCTGGTCAAGCATCACCTTGACGCGAACCCGGCAGTCCCTTTGTGTATCATCAACAAGGATGAACTTGCGTCGCTTGCCGTCAGGTTGAGCTCCGAAGAGCGCACCGGGACTTGGATTGCGTTCGTCATCGTCAACTTCCATATCGGCTGCCTCCGCCTTGCTGACCGAAGTCGCAACAGCGGATAGTCTCCCGAGAGCCCCGATCCCACTGCCTCGGATCAACGGCGGTATCGAGGGGCCTCTTGATCCACCAGCTGCATTGGCGGGTGTAGGATATGTGGGGTAACCGTGGAAGACCTGTGCAGTCCTGATGTTGGGTGCTGTGTGCCCTGACGAAGGGTGAGTCTCAGTGGCAGAGTGGCGATCAGTACCGTTCGCAAACTCAGCGGCACCTAGATTATGTGAAATAAGACGATATTTAGAATTAGCCTACACTGAACGGCACATGGCACATCAAAGATATCAGGCATAAGGGGAAAAGACATTCATGATAAATGACAAACAACATGATTGGGTATGGGTTCAAAGTATACGAGCAAAGACCACTCCAAATGGCATAAAAGTACATGGGACTCCATATATCTTAGACCCAAGAAAGTAAAAATGTATGAGAAAAGAAATCCCAAGAGATGAAGAAAGAAAAAAAAGATGAGAAAGAAGAAAATAACATCGAAGATATAAAAAGGAGAGCCCCAACCCAGTGGCATCCATCCAAAAGGGGCTCCATAGAAAGATTGTTACAGAATTATTGGTCATGGCTGCCACTGTTCAAAAGGCAGATGGCAGCTGGAAATAAGAATCAACACATCATATGTGATGGAACATACCGCTAACATCCTCATTGCTTGCGCTTCCTTCGGGCTGGGCATGGTGATGGTGTAATTGTGGAGGGCCCATGGTCAGAGGCCCCAATGAAGGGCGGGGTCCGGGCGCTGCGAGACTACCGGGTCCGAGACCGGGAGCGACAGGCGGCGTAGCAGCCATGTGGGCCGGGGGTTGTGCTGGTAGCCCATGTCGCCTGTTCATCTTGGCCATCCTCCTCACACGTCGGCTTCGGAGTCGAGGATCCTGGTTGCTATTTCTCCAGCTATCGACTGCTCGTTGAATTAGACCGCGTTTGCCTCGCAATGCGGGATTGAGCTCTGCCAAAGCCCAGCCAACGGCGTTACACTCTGTCTCATAAACGAGACGGTTGCCTTTGTACTGGTCCTTGCTGCAACACGCTCGAGGATAAACACAATTCTCCGTCTTGAACTCTTGACTGAGATTATCCACATTTACCGATTCGACATCACATCGGATGGTGTATTCCATCTTCACTCGGTCTCGAGAATACTCGAATGCAATCCACTGCACACCGTTGCTATCCTGCCGCACAACCAAGGGGGTAGTCGCCGGGATAGGGCCAGGAGCTGCACTTGAGCTTGCACCGACGCTTGGAGTCGTGTGATGAATACTATTTGCGGAAAGAGGGCCACCGCTTGGGCCAGGATGGGGTGGACTCAGCACCGCTCTCTGAGGCGGCAGTGGCTGTGATGCTGTGACTGCAATAGGGCTACTGGCCATAGTGACGGATGGCGTCGGAGGCTGGTGAGATAACTGGGCAGTGCTTGTCTGATGAGGCAAAATCATGGATTGCGAGGTGAGTGGGTGTTGTTGGGGAGACGTATGACCCGAGTATGGCGGAGGTTGTACGGGGTTGATCGAGGGATACGGTTGGTAGCCGTACATCTGTGAGGCGATCTGAGGCGACTGTGTATAGAGACTTCTGCTGTGCTGATCGTGTGTCTGAGAAGCGACAGATGCTGGAGAGCTGGATTGAGGAGTGTGATAGATGGGAGGATAGGGCCTTTGCATTTGAGCAGTGGTCGCCATGGCGTCTGAAGGGCCTAGCGAGAATCAGTGACCGTCTTGACTGAAGCTTGCAGACCGTCAAAATGTACGAGCAGTTGATTGGTACAGATACATACCGCTGGATGAATACTGTCCGGGCGCAGATGCAGTACTGTATGGGGGATGAGAAGAGTAGTAAGATTGTTCTTGGGCGGATTGACCGTAGGGAGCTGCGTGATGATGCAGAATGCCGTTTCCCAATGGCTGGGGTGCGTATGAACCACCAGGCAAAGACGAGGGTGGTTGGTGAGGTGAACTAGGCGGCTGTTTTTGCGGTTGGGCAAGAGTCACAGAACGAGGGTGTTGTAGGTGAGAACTTTGGGAGATATGATGTGCAGATGTCGAATGACGAAGCTACATTGGTGGCAACAGCAAGTCAGCAAAATGATCAAGACTTCAACAGCAGTTTAGCATTATAAAACGGGCTGCCCAAGGCCCTGCTCTGAGAGATGGCTGGAAGTTGCTCGGAGACTGCTGATCGAATATTCCGCGTTCTGAAGTTTGAATGACGCCAATCTTGATATAATAGTTTGTCTGACCATGAACTTGTGTATGTCTCTTAAATTTGCAATGCTCATGGATCCGTTGTCGATCGAGCCGAAGGCCTGGCAAAGGAGGGCAACCAGTGTTGAACGGGAATAGGAGTCGCGAAGCATCGGAGAGCCTCCAGTAGCAACCGAACGTGGTCATTGTGCGAAGCGAGACAAGATCTGTTTTGGATACTCCTGGGCCCAGGTGGTATACCTTCCATTCACATAGAGAAGATAGCATGATAACAACCGTAGCAGCTGCGATGAGAAGAGTTGAGTCGGCAGACAAGAGCAATGGCGAGGGCAATGCCTTGACCCTTGACATGATGTATGTTTTCCGATGAGATGCCGCACAAGAGAACGGCCCGGGAATCAAGTACGGGGCCAGTATACAGCTCGAAGTCGACGTAAACCGTTGCGAGAAGCGACACAATCCATGGGCGTGACAAGCAGACACAGCGAACTGGGGTAGTCCTTGAAGGGAGCGAGGTGACGGGATTGAAGAAAACACAGAAAATGATAGACAAAGAAGAGCAGGAAAAAGTAATCAACTTACAGGATCGTCGACAGGCTCGTCCTTGTACTTCGATGCAGGTGGAGGACCTAGTTCAGTCTGAACCATGCCGGTCATAAGTGACCTCCCGTGGCCTTTTGTTTGAATGTCAAGGATGCAGAGTCTGTTTCCTTTGCTCTTCCGCTGTAGCCTTCCAGTTGTTTAAAAAGTCAACAATTACGAAGACTGGGAAGAGATGATGCTATTGCCAGAGGCCAGGACGAGGATGGCGAAATCTTTTAGCTCGAGAACCAAGAACAATAACCCTAGAGGCTATCACAGATGGTCAAAATTGGCACGGAACGGAAGCTAGAGAGAGGCTGAATGGCAGCGGGAGTGGTTCGGAGGGGCTCCAGTGGCTCTCAGACTGGGGGGGGGGAAGGGAGGGGTCTGAGAGGCGAGGGGATCTCTTGTCTCTCTCGAAAAGATTGATGGGCCTTGTCAACGGGTGCCAGTGTAATGTGGAGGGTCCAGGGTGGTTATTTAGCTGCACACGAGGTCCATCCTTCAGGCAGGCAGACGTCTCTCAACACCAGACCACGATCCCGGAAGGGGAATGGAGGCGAATTGGAAAATCGGGCACTAAAAGAAAATGGAAAAAAAAAAAAAAAAAAAAAAAAAAAGATATGGTAGGAAAATCACCAGGCAGGAAGGAGAGGAGAGTGTCAGATGGGATCGCTGACTGGTGGGGAGCTGGGTATATCAGAAATGAGCTTGTCACTAGCGGGAAGGTGGTGTAATATTGACCAGGATGGATGCAGTATGCAGGAGAGAAATGATTGATAGGAAATAAACAGAATGTGACGGACTTGTGTATCGAGATTTAAGAAGAAATAAGGGAAGATGACTCGAGAGGATCCAATCCAAGAGCTCGGGTTGTTTTGGGTTGAAGCCGGAGCAATATGATAGTTGCGATATAGTATAGTTGTGGGTGGTGGTAGGAGTCGACGCGGATGATGATGATGATGATGTGCAGCTTGCAGGAACAGACAACGATGGCAGATTAAGGAACTAGAAATCAAACCAACCTGATACAAATACAATCCCAGATGGATGTAGTCTAATATTCTCTCTCCAGGCAGAGAATCGAAAAAAGAAATGACACTCATGCAGGTAATAATAAATCAGAAGATAAATAAATGAAGAGTTTATCCGACGTCACTGAAGGCATGAAGCGAGTGTGTAGGACAAAGATTGGTAATAATAATAGTGAGAAATAATAATAATCAAAAAATAATAATCGTAATAATAAAGACAGCAGTCTGGCTCTTTTCCTCCTCTGGCCGCCAGCTGAGGCAACACAAAAGATATGAAGGGTAAGCCAAAAAAGGAAAAGAAAAAAAGAAAAGAAAAAAAGGCAGATTTGGATCGGAGAACACCGCCAGTGCTCAGTCAAACTAGTACTAGGGAGTATGAGACGATTGAAAGAACTAAGAGAGATGAGCTTCTTTCTGGGCTGGTTCACTTCTCTTTCCTTGTTGTTGACTGGGGACTTCACAAAGAGGGTGCCAAACCTTGATAATGAGGTGAACCAGACATGAGGGATGGCTTGTGATGATAATATAATAAGAGAGTGAGGGATATGGCATGAGAAAAGTACCTACGGAGTACATCTATCATCTCTTCGCTAACCTCCTCCAGACTGTTGTAGGTTAGTGTCGACGTACTGTAATATCTTGATCATATTGATATTGTCTTGCTCGTTTGCTACCGAATACCGTACTTCATAGGATTGAACGGCTGGTAATCACAATCTATGTGGGAACCTCGAATAATGCAATATAGAGAATGATGGAACATAATATGGTTAGTATTGATGGCCTCGATGGAAGAGCGGATGCAGCTAGGTAATTACAAACCGGCCACTCATTTTGCTAGTTTCTTGAATGATAATATGATAATAATGCCAGTGCTTCGGAGCATCAAGTAGTTCAAAAGTCGTTAGCCCGAGTGTGTGTCCGTATCATTTGGCTGTGGCACATGCCGTTGGGCATGAGCAGTTGAACTTGATGATAGCTGAGGTGATGTTTAATAACATTACCACCCTTTGGTTGTGCATTAACCTGTCTGGGGCAGTGCTACCTGCTGCCCGTATAGATTAGATTCTACTATTCTAGTCTCGTCGAGTTGTTGGTTTGAGCTTTGGTTAACAATTACAACCAAGGACTTTTTTTTTTAGCTGTGTTTTGTTTTTTTTTTGGCATCATTCTTATTCCTCTCGGCTTCAATTTCTCGAGGGAATCTCATTGGCATCTTTAGACTTCTGATACCCACATCACCTGCTTTAGTCCTTTTAAGTTTTCGGTGGGATGGTTTAGATCGGTTGGTTTGGATGGTCTGGGATAATGAAGATTGGCGACGGAAGGAATAAGCACCGCACAGTAGTTGCTAGGCTAGTGGGCAACCTGGCTGGTGTGTGATTTAGCACCCTTTGCCCACTTCAAAACTGGAATGGTCTGGAATTTAGCTTCATTAACGTCGCGTTCCATGTCGGGTCTAACAGACAGGCCCCCAGGTTGTAGTTCTCACACGAGCCATGGAAGAGATGCATTGGATGACAGATACCATGATCAATGCTGGCTGGGTCACAATGTGAGAGTACACAGTAAGTGTCTCACTGTTAGCACCTAGATGCTTGAGTGGACTGATATACCCGTATTCCACTCATTGTTGATGCTGGTTATTGATCATAGATTGATGCCTCCATTGCATGAACTAAACCTGCGCCGTGCCCTGACAGCCTCCACCTTGCAAGCATAGACCTGTGTTTCTGTATCAAAGTCCGAGGTATGATCGGCCTGGGCCCTGATATCGCAACACTGCTCCGGTCTCAAGAAATGGCCACAGTGGCTTTCAGTGATGATAATCCCTTGGATATCTAAATCACCGTTGGACCTAGTAGTTATTTCCAAATATTGTTTTCAAATACCTCCCTTTTCCCTTTTTTCCGTTGTGGATGGGGAAGGGGGGGATTCCTCTGCGAAAAAGAAAAAGTCAAAACAGCAACGACTCGATCTGGTAACACTCGTATGGAGACAACCGATCTGACTTGTTGCCGTCAGCCTTGTTTCCACGGGTGGCGCCTAATCCACCCCTCCCGAGCCATCCTAGCCTCCTAGATAGTATGAGAGCGGAGAGGGAGGGAGGGGGTTTTCTAACCAGTCGTTGATTTTCTTTTTTCCCTTTCGCTTTTTTTTTGTATTTCTTCTCTTTACTGGCTCCTCGTTCCTCGAAAATCAGAATTTCATATTTCTCATGCCAAGATCTAGTCTAGATGCCTATGATCGAGTTAGAATTCACCCTTCTCGGCCCCGTCTAAATAAACTCGAAACAGCCTAACGGCGCCCATTCGGATGATTCACTCCATGCGGATGCTGCTCTTGCAAACAACTGTGTAACCCCAGGATGTAAGCGCACAGCGGGCAGATCAATCATCTCCTCCCATTGTGGGTTGCTAAATGATGAGTCCTGCTGCTTCCCGGCGACTAACCTCCTGCAATGTGTATCGTGCTTTGCTTCGACTCCAGGCGTCCGTCGAGAAGGCAAACCTCCGCGGACGATCGAGTGACCAAAGGGAGTTGGTGCCCCACCACAGGCCGTCAGAGCCGGAGCCACCACGCTAATACATGTTTACTTTCCGTCCCCTCAACTCTTTGAGACAAGACTCGCGAACTAGGAAATAGAAAAGCCAATCTCTGTCAATGAGTTGGGGACCCATCAGCAGCTCCACTTTGCCCAATCGTACAATCAGAGTGAAATATTGAGGTTTAGTGAGACTTGGCTCCGAGTAGGTAAACTCAGCGAAGTGGTGGTTTGAGGCCAGTCGATACTCGATACTCGACTAACAGAAGCCTTCAAGCCCTTCTCGAAAAACATAGAGTGAGAGAATGGACGGAGGGCCGAAAGAGAGTGCGTGGCTTTCAGCCACAATGCAACAGAGGCATTTTTTGCGCACTATTTCGAATTCCATCCTTTGGCGATCGGGGACGGAGGAAACCTGAGCGAACCAGAAGAGGGAAAAGAAATAAAATGGACATCATTGACGAGGGACGCTTAATCATCCTAGTTCATGAGCGGATTTTGATGCTCCGAACCAAGTGTCAGAAACAAAATAATAATGCCTTTGTCGTTCAAATACGGAGTCAGTACTTAGAGGATCAAAATTAAAAAAGAAATAATTTCTTCGTAGTGCATAATCAAGCACGGAATAAGAGATATGCGTGTTCAGAGAGTTTGCGTTTTGCAGACTTGTCATTTTGGATCAGATGCCAGGAGCCACATACCTCCAGTTCTCCCAGGTATTTCTTAACAGGTGGAGAGCTGCAGGCCCAAGTCTCCATTTGACAGGGGATCATTCAATCCACCAGCCCAAATTCAACATCAATGGTTCGACATGGCAAATACAGGTAGAGGTGTAGGCTTGCAACAACAACAACAACAACAAATTGACTATAGGTCATAAGATGGGGACTAGAATACCGCCCACAACAAACGTCTTGGTACTGACAGCCTTTTGCAACTCGACAGCAGCCAGACCCGAAAACAAGAAAGGCTGGATGGCCGATGAAGCCCAACCAAATTTGGAGCCTAGTCGTAGGCGCTGGAGACTTTCCAGAAGAAGCTAGTGAGGACGTCGTAAGCCGGAGCTTTCTCTTTCCAACTTGCAGCCTCGCGTCTGCTGCGCCGCATAATTATCACCCCATTCACAGGACAAGCCTGGCCTCTGTGGCTTGGAGTTTGGAGTATCTTGACGAGCTCTGGTATCTGTGTATCGAGCGATCCATACCCATAATTATTACATGATTTGTTATGTATGGATTTCTAAGAGGCCCAAAGACCAAGAAAACCGCGCTGAGCTTCAATATCCGAGAAGTGGAGTCCCCTGGCTGATGGCAAGCAACGGTGCTATCATCCACGATCTCATTCCTAGTAAATCGGTCAATTACTATTGGCAAAGATTACTATGATCGATGCAGGGTGCTTGAGGCACCAGCCATAGCTTCCGTCTCCCCCCGGAGCTATCTTTCTTCATAGCCCTGGTTTGTCTCATGAACATACTCCGGAGTAGG